TGAATGCGAGCGATAGGTTACAGCGTGGAATGTACACAGAAAGACGATACGCCCGTACAGTTGGCGAGTTGTAGGAACGGATTGTTGTGGATCCCTCAGACGGAAGGACAGTGAAAATCGCGTCCTGCGATAGCGTATATGGTTGGAGTCATTGCTGAAAGCGGGGAACTGGGCTGGGGGACGGAATCCTCGAGGGGAGTGGTGAGAGTCGTGAGTGGTCGTAGCTCGAAGATGCTGACAATGGCATCGTTTGAAACCGAGTGATAGCTGTAAGTCATCGAGAGATCTAGCACAGCACCTGAAGCCAAAGCCGGCGTACCGCTATACCAGACGTTTGATGCGTCTTTACTGCGCGAGATGGGCGCAGAAATATTGACGGTTCTTGGGAAGAATCATGGTGTTTATTTCCTGTAAAAGATCAGTCAGCTGGATACGACATCGAACTGATACGAAGGTAAACGCACGATGTAATTATTAAAAAGTTCAGCCACCAATCTTCGAACAGCGTCACAAGCAGTTGCATAATCCGATGATTTCAAGGGAATAGTGCACAGTAATCGCGGCGCAATTCCTTCCGAGCATGCTACTGGTGTGGTTTCATTGGGACGAAATGGCAAAAAGTCACAGAAACGCTCACAACGTGACGTTACCACGTAATTCTGTTCGTTCTCCCTACCAGCGAGCAAATTTTCCCAGGTACATCATCTCCGAAATTCGATATGTATGTCTTCCCGTATTGTCAGTCATAACGTTTCCCCATTCGGAAACAAAGAACTCACAAAATCAATCACACGGAAGGAGCTCACACGCGACTCGACAAAACGCAATCCTCTTTGGCAATTATTCTGGTAACTGTTCCTGGCTGTTCTCAGCGCTAATCAGGAATAAGAACTAGGACACACCTTGTTGCCAATGAAAATACCTCGAATCTGCCACTACGGCACAGACTTTCATCTAAAGGACAGAGAGGCAAATCCTGCCAACATTCGAGGGAAAGACGGCTGGGCGGGCGGTTGTCGCTCGTTGAGATGAAGGTTGAAGGGAGTGAGCTTCGGCTAACTCCGGCAGGCATAATATGGCGATCGGCCCGTAAGTCCGAACTGAACATCAGGATTCAGACCCGCACGTTTGCGTCCCTTGCATCGTCGAACTTGATTTTGGTCTCATCACTTTCAACTTCTCCTTCTAAGAGTACCAATGTTGTCTATGGCACGCTGAGTTTCGAACCTATTGTGCAGTGCAGTAATAGCATTCCTTGGACACCTCCTGTCTGGAGAATTGAGCCAAAGACGCACCTTTCGACGCAGGCACTCGCTACGGTGATCGTGGGGTCCCCGACTGAGCTTCGCAACGACTAGCGCGTCTACCTCTGTTTATGCTGTTTCATCCTGTAAAAAGGAGTCATCGTTCCTATTATTCCATCTCTAGATGTCTGCCCGACTATGTTCTGGCCAGCTATGTCCTCGTATCATGTTCCGTTCAGCTGGCTTTAGCGACTCAGAAATAAACGTGATGCAAAAATAATGCTCTGATGTTACCCTAGTAAAGCATACCGATGATCCTGCCCTGCCTATCATCAAGATTGCATACCAGGATCCCTCTCATCGATGTATCAAGTTTTCTTTCTTGTGTATTTTATTCGTTGGCCCCCTCCGTACTCTCGTGCATATGACACCATCGATTACTCACGCTCATGACACGCAAAATGGCGGATCGCCTATGTTAATTCCGGTGCTATCAGCACGCTGCGCGGTGATACATGTTGCTCGCGGTAGATAGGTCGTATTACACGGCATGGTCCACTGGGGGACGTCAGGGATTTACAACCTGAGTACGCGTTTCTGTGTTTTCAGGGAATTCTGACCCGCTCATGGCGTATAGCGTACACTGAAACGTCGGTGGTATGTAGGATGATGACAGCCGAATTGTAGCATACCCAAGATGGAATATAGAACAATATCTGCTATGGTATAAAAGACGACATATGAGGTAGGTATTTCTTCACTACACTACTTCTTTCTTTCTTAACTAACTCACCGCAACCTCGCTCACAATATGCAATTCAATATTTTCAAGCACATCCGTATCCTCCCAGGTGCTCGGTGTGTATTCGTTTGAATGCTCTATTTGCACCATTACTCACGAGGAAAATCACAGGGGACTATCCAGGTTCGGACCCTATTCATCTATACTTCTCTCTGACTAAACTTCCACAAGTCCATCCAACTCTAGGCAAGGGTACGTGGGTTTTACATTGTATGAAGAGCGAGAGATATCATACAGCGCATTACAGATACATCCCTCGCGGCAAAGGGAATATCAATAGCCAAGGCTCTGCAGGAAATGGAGGAAGTCAAACGGGACCGTCTAGCAATGGAACCAAGGGTGGAGGACAAACTCAAACTAGCCAAGGCTCTAGTACAAATAGCAAGTAGTGGTCGATGATGGGAAACCCCGATCCCTTTACGCATTTGAGCTGCCGTTCTATTTTATATTTGTCCACCGGAAATAATTTGCCCTTCCTTGCCCTTCGCTATTCCCATACTAGTATTCTTTTATTTACGCGACGTGGTCGTTTCTTCACAGCGAGCAAGAGCTTCGTACTCTTCTCTCGATTCGTGCTACTAGACCTACTTATATCGTATAATTTTATATGTACACTGATACACTTACATTTGCGTGCCGCAAGCTAAGTATTTCCTGCAATGAGGAAAGCCGAGCTTGGAGAATGCTCTCATGGTTTTCAATTTAGAGGTAAGGATCGGACTCAACAGAAACACGCAGGTATAACATCGAGGTCGGAAAGAAGCCCTTGGAGGTTTCATGTGCATGCGCAACCCTGTGCTTCGAGTAAGCGTTCAACAGAGCAGGGAAAAACTTCAAATGGGAAAGCGGACTGTCTAGTTGGGAGTCGAACCCAGCCCTCGTACGCACGCGCAACGAGCGCGTACTAACCAACAGACTAACAGAGGATATTGTAACACTTATGGAAATACTATTGTCGATCCAATCGTAACCGTTCAACGTCAACAGCGATCATCTCTAGTCTCTAATCAAGAACAACATTCAGATGAAGCGCATCAGTATCTCTGCATGAATGCCATCCATCCCAAGCACGATGTTCCCCAATCCCATCGGATTATCCCAGTCATAGCACCCACATTTTTGAGATTCTATCCTAGTTACTCATGCCAGAGTCATCGTCTACCGTCGCTGCCTTTGCCTGGAACGACGTTGAATACAGCGTATTAATTACTATTGCCTCTTTGCATCTGTAGGCACCCAGTATCCACACTTTACGGTCGTCTCTAGTGTCCAAAAACACGACATTAAAATGACGTTGATTGTGACAATGAAAATTCTCACCTGGGATTTGTTAAACGCTCAAATACAAATTGTTTCCGCTGAGGATGGGCATATCTTTAGTAGACGTCACGACAGAAGATAAAATGGGCATGAATTTGCGGTCTTCTGCCATTATGCGCCTAATATACGTCCGACAGATATGAGCATAAACGATGGGTGAAAGAGCAGAACGTACGAGGGATTCTCGCTTCAAAGCATCGGCGACATCCTACAGCTCTCTTTTGAGTGAAACTCTTCGCTGGAAATAGCGTTTAATACTACGGAATTCGCGGTTTTCTGGCTTGATATTCTCGAAGAGTGTTGCACTATCCTAACGAGTCATTGTTAGACCGAGAAAACAAAGGACGTGAAGCAATTACCTGCAACTCCCTACAGCCTTTACGCCTGATGACGTTGCCAGCCAACAGTATCAAAATAATTGTGCGCATGATAGGTGAGGCCTCCTTTACTACACTGAGATCTGTTGCAGCTCTTGTTAGCTCGTTACTGTTCAGGTGCCGATACCAGTGCACTTACATCAAGGGCGATGACCAGAAAGTAAACGAACCCTGCTCCGCCAGATAGTGGTCATCCAGACTCTTGGGAAGTGCGTTGAGAACCATCGTTACTGGCACATAATCAAGATAGGTGGGTGATGCAACAGACATGGGTCATGCTAAGAAAGGGCGCATACATCGATTTTCCCAAGAAAGGCACAGCGAAACAGTACCGATGCATAAGCGCCTCAAATGATGCCGGCCATTTGATCGCACGCTGGGTGTTTGTGAAAAAATCAGGTCTTCTTCATACATCCTGGTCGTATTTCATTGGCATAAATGACTGAGCGTTCCTTCGTGAGACAAGCAGAAAGTCCATCTATGCTATCCTCAGGAGTGGCTGACGAGGATAGCGGTGTGCTCACCATGCTGGCCAGCAGGATTGAACATCGTCGAAGGGCATTTCTTGCCTACTATGCGTCCACGGATCGTCTGTTTTGGATGAGGCATTACGCTGCACGAGAGTACATGGCAAGCTTTTCAGCCGACTGCACGTAGGTCGAACGAACGAACCTTGCTGCTACCGGTGGCCTGTCTACGCGCATATACCTTGACTTTGAATCATTACCTATCTGAGCCTACTGTGGTTAAGCCGATGGTGAAAAAAAGACGCATCGAGGAGTACGTACCCCATGGAGTAACAAACCGTGGTCCCTGCAAGCTTCAAAGTACCACTGGATATAATAGAGCAGAAATTGTTAAGAGATTGAAATAATCAGAAAATTCCTGAGCGTGGAAGCCGGTATCTATCATGGGCACACTGTTGACTTCGAGGCGGTGGTGGTGGTAATAGTATCAAGTCGAAAGTGAAAGGTCCCGAACCCGGAAAGCTGATGGCTCCCACGCCACAGACGCGTCGTGCCGCATATAGAATCAATCCCAGGTCTCTAACTCGGACGACCTGGATGTTTGAAGGATCACTCACAGTTATACGTACGATATTATTCCTCACCTTATGAAACGGTTCGTTTCTTCACCAAATGGTGTACTATGTAGAGTCATTTTACCTTGCTTTCCCAAAAATTCGCAGCCTAGCACCGACAATACGTGTATGAAACATTAACACGCAGTGAAGGGCACTGGCTTCGCATATGCAATGGGCATTGATTGCGCACTGTGCAGGAAGAGGAAAAAAACACAAGTCCCAAAACCTGAACTCTCTAGCTGGGAGTCGAACCCGACATCAGCTTGTATAAAGACAATATGGACTAACCTATAGACCACTAGAAACTAATCTATTACTATCATTATTATGGATTCTATAATTTCCAACAAGCGTCGTGTTTTCTAGGGTTGAATTTGGCTTCCCCTCTTCACCCCATAACACGCCTCGTTCTCATCCAGCCGCATTTCTGAAAGCGGATGTCCAAAAGGACTTGCTTTCCTTTGGTCACAAGAAGCTTGACAACGCGACTACGACCAGTGCTGAGGTGATAGGCGGGAGAGGCATCGCTTGCACGAGCGACTGTGTCCGTCTTTGGGCATCTATCAGACGATGAGTTCTGAATCTGAGGCCTGCCTCAAAACCTCAAGATGCGTCTATGGTATTGCGGTACGCCGGCTTTGGCTTCAGGTGCTGTGCTAGATCTCTCGATGACGTACAGCTATCACTCGGTTTCAAACGATGCCATTGTCAGCATCTTCGAGCTACGACCACTCACGACTCTCACCGCGCCCCTCGAGGATTCCGTCCCCCAGCCCAATTCCCTGCTTTCAGCACTGACTCCAGCCATATATGCTATCGCAGGACGCGATTTTCACTGTCCTTCCGTCTGAGGGATCCACAACAATCCGTTCCTACAACTCGCCAACTGTATGGGGCGCATCGTCTTTCTGTGTACATTCCACGCTGTAACCTATCGCTCGCATTCACCGGTTTTAAACCCATCAAGCCTGCCGAACGATCTATATGGTTCTGTGCTCGCCTGGCCATAGAGACGTGGCAGAGAAGAGTGTCGCCAAATGAAAGGGTTCAACAGGCCGAAGATGGTTTTCAGTGATATCACGCCGTTGGTCTTGCTCTGTTTCGCTGCACTGGGGGAGCATACGCAGTGCTCAAGATACCTGTGAGACATCGAGGTATGAATCAGAGGATGCGCGGAACATCAGACGTTTGACACGTCTTTACTGCGCGAGATGAGCGCAGAAATATTGAGTGTCCTTGGGAAGAACCATGGTGGTTATTTCCTGTAAAAGATCAGTCAGCTGGATACGACATCGAACTGATACGAAGGTCAACGCACGATGTAATTATTAAAAAGTTCAGCCTCCTTCGCCTCTGGTTTCAGAGGGAATAGTGACCATCATCCATCCTTGTAATGCCGAGCAGTGGCGCTATACGAATCTTCCTTCTCCCTGATACACCAATCTTCGAACAACGTTACGAGCAGCTGCATAATCCGAAGATTTCAAGGGAATATTGCACAGTAATCGCGGCGCAATTCCTTCCGAGCATGCTACTGGTGTGGTTTCATTGGGACGAAATGGCAGAAAGTTACAGAAACGCTCACACTGTGACGTTACCACGTAATTCTGTTCGTTCTCCCTACCAGCGAGCAAATTTTCCCAGGTACATCATCTCCGAAATTCGATATGTATGTCTTCCCGTATTGTCAGTCATAACGTTTCCCCATTCGGAAACGAAGAACTCACAAAATCCATCACAAGGAAAGAGCTCACACACGATTCGACAAAACGCAATCCTCTTCAATTATTCTGGTAACTGTTCCTGGCTGTTGTCAGCGCTAATCAGGAGTAAGAACCAGGACACACCTTGTTGCCAATGAGAACACCTCAAATTTGCCACTACGACACAACTCTTCGTCTAAAAGACAGAGAGGAAAAACCTGCCGACATTTGAAGGAAACACAGTTGGGCGGTTGTCGAGCCTTGAGATGAAGGTTAAAGAGAAGGAGCTTCGGCTAACTCCGGTAGGCACGACACGGCGATCGGCCCGGAAGTACAAACTGGACTTCGGACGTCTGATTTTGGTCCGGCTGAATAGCTTCAGCATTGTCACTTTCAACTTTTCCTCGAGGCTCAAACCCCTCGGGCACTGGTAATAGCATTCCTCGGACACCTTGACTGCCTGAAGAATCGAGCTAAAGACGCACCTTTCGACGCAGGCACTCGGTACGGTGATCCTTCGGTCCCCGACTGAGCTTCGCAACGACTAGCGCGTCTACCCCTGTTTATGCTGTTTCATCCTGTAGGGAGTCATCGTTCCTATTATTCTGTTCTTACATGTCTACCCAACTATGTTCTGGCTGGCTATGTCCTCGGGATCATGTTCTGTTCAGCTAGCGTCAACGACTCGCCAGCGACTCGGAAATAGATATGATCCAAAAATAATGCTCCGATGTCACCTTGGTAAAGCACACCGGCGATCCTGCCCTGCCTATCATCATCGAGGTTTGCATACCAGGATCCCTCTCATCGATGTATCAAGTTTTCCTTTGTATTTTATTGGCTGGCCCCCTCTGTACTCTGGCACCATCGATCACCTATGCTCATGACACACAAATGGGGGGTCGTTGCTGGTTTCGGTGCCATCAGCGCGCTGTACGGTGATGCAGAGTCTACATGCTGGGATTTACGGTACACTGTTCTTTGATTTCAGGGAATTCTGACCCGCTCATGACGTATAGCGTACACTGAAACGTCGGTGGCATGTAGGACGACAATAGCCGACTTGTAGCATACCCAAGATGGAATATAGAACAATATCTGCTATGGTATAAAAGACGACGTATGAGGTGCGTATTTCTTCATTACACTACTTCTTTGTTTCTCTACTAAAGCACCGCGACCTTGCTCACAATATGCAATTCAACATTTTTAAACACCTCCTTGACCTCCCAGGTGCTCGGTGTGTACTTATTCGTTCAAATGTCTTATTTACGTATCATTGCTCACAACAGTGTTCACAGGGGACTGTCCAGGTTCGCACCCTATTCATATATTCTTCTCTCTGACTAAATTTCTACAAGTTTATCTAACTCTGGCCAAGGGTACGTGAGTTCTACACTGTATGAAGAACGAGAGATATCATACAGCGCGTCACAGATACATTCGTCGTGGACAACAGACTGCCACTAGCCAAGGTTCTGGAAATCCTGGAGGGAATTAAGAGGGGGAACCCAGCAGTGGAGCCAATAGCGGGGGACATACTCAAAATAGCCGAGGCTCTGCGAAAAATGCAGGGAGGCAGGGAGAAAACCCCAGTAGTGGAACCAATAGCGGGGGACAAACTCAAACTAGCCAAGGCTCTAAGACCAATAGCGGGTAATGGTCGACTATGGGAAACCCCGATCCCTTTACGCATTTGAGCTGCCTTTTTTATCTTATATCTGTCCACTGGAAATAATTCATGCTCCCTTGCCTTTTGCTATCCTATACTAGTATTTTCTTACTTACGTGATGTAGTCTTTTCTTCACAGCGAGCAAGAGCTTTCGTGTTCTTCTCTCGATTTGTGCTACTAGACTTACTTACATTCATATAATTCTATAATTAGTCTGATGCTTTATCTCGAAGGCTAAGTGTTTTCTATGCGACACAGTGAGGTTGAAAGATGAGTTCATTATCGCCTAAGGCTTTCGAGAATGCTTTCAACTAGTGTTTTCAGTGTTTTTGATGTAGGGAAAGAAATCGTACTGATGTTTCGCCTCCGCTTGGGTCACTGTATGTTCATTTGGCTAAATGTAATCCATTGCTTCAAGTTATGCTCGCCCGGCGGCGTAACCCTACCCTTGCCAACTTGAGCAAGTAAAATTCAAAAGAAAAAAAACTGGCGCTTTGAAATCTGCAAAGCTCTCTGCCTGGGAGTCGAACCCAGCTTTCGCGCGCCATAGATTACGTCACGTCCGTTGATATATGTTCATGTTCCGATCGCAACCAGTATTATCAGTCAACTTAAACTCCTTCCACGCTACAATCATCTCTAGTCTTTCAACATTCGGACGATGTGTATCAGGTCATCTATACCGACGACGGTTTCCTCCCGGAGAAGTCATGCACTGAGGCGTCTGCCACTCTGTTGAAGCTTCTGCGGCAGCAACATCGGATGTTCAAAAAGCAATAGTAGGGCTAGTTTTGAATTCAAGAGACACGGATACAAGGTTGGCTATTTGTCGTCGTGTTCTGCAGGACTTTTCTCATATCCTGCAGTAAATGTCGCGTCGAAAACTAATGGACACGGATTTGTATACGGTCAAGGTGAGTGAATATTCTACATTTCTAACAATAACTGATGGACACGATATAATTACAGAATCAAATGATACAGGTCACGAGAGAGGGACGCGGGTTGTAGGAATATCGGCAGACAGCAGACATTGAGACGCGGTGGATATATGCTCTCTGTCCTGGAGCCGAAACTCAACTGGATATCTAGCGTGAAACCTTGCCGTACGAGAGGCAGACACAGCTCGAATGGTTGCGATGATGAAAGTCGTGGAAGGTGCGTCAACTTAGACGACTGCAACAAAGTCAACGCTCATTCGTACCGCCAGACCACGACAAACCCGTACCATTCTGCACCAAAGGCGACTTCCCTTCATCAACCAATTCCTTCCCGCGACGCGCCTCGTTCTCATCCAATCGCCTTTCCGACAGCGGATCACCAGACCATCCCAACAATCTCGTCTTCCTTCGGCGCATTTTCGTCACCACCAACGCAGTGATAAGCAGCAGGGACACTGCTACCAGGATGAGGATCACTGCTGGGGTACTAGGCGAGGAAGGCATCGCTTGAGTGATTGTGTTGGTGCAGAAGGACCATCTTATCCTGGCAGGCCATGTGCATCCCAAGTGCTGAAATTAGAGGGAATGCCACCGAGTCATGAACGTGGGATCGTCGAGTATTCACTTGACAATCGCGCGCGACCTAGATGGTTCTCTATCAACAACTTCTTTACCTTCTCATCGTTTTCCTTGTGTCTTGCTCTCATTCACTGGTTCTCTCGTTACTATCATATCCCTCTTCCTCTCAGAATATGATGCGCAGGGGACGGGCATGAGAGATGAAGGCTATATCTGGGTCATTGTTTGGGTCTACTGATCTTCCGGCTAGTCTTTGAAAGAGCGTTACCAGTCCTGAGGTGGGTTTTCTTAGTATTCCATCTTTTATCAGGGACCTAACGAGCTTCGATAGACGCATCGGCCTTCACATGTTCATTAGAATATAGGGGCAGATCATACGAAAGCAACGAACCGTACACACGAAACTGAGAATGGACATGTTTGCTTATTTGAGGATCTCAGAGTGAGCTCTGTTACCGTGTTGTCTTGAAATGTTCTAACCTTATGATCCAGGGAGGTCAAGCTGCCTTCAATGAAGGGAAGATCGAAGACTCTCGGAACCGAGCCACCAATCCACTTCTGTTCCAATCAACGACGCCCCTTATGCCGTGCCTCGTTCTCACCGGGCTATCCCAGCGTTCACACATCGCTTTTTGAGACATGTTGTCCCTAACATATCCATGCACCACAGTTGGAGTGTGCGATTACTTGACACGGTCAAGACGGCGCATGTTCTAAAAGTATCGCCTGAGAAAGATCAGTGCCTGGACATTCGATATTGGGACAATATGGATGTCAGGTCAGTCTTTTGGCAGTGGGTTTTTCGTGCTTTTCCTCATATCTTACAGATGCAACGGCTACACCGAAGGAACGTGGGGTTGTATACTGTCAAGGTGAATGCATCGCATCATTCGCACTTATCAATAACAATAACTGACGAACGCGGTAGAATCATGAAGCCGGTTGACGCTGGCCTTGGGAAATACGCATGGGAAGCAGGGATATCAATACGGACCGGAGACATCGAGCCACAGTGGGTATATCTTACCTATATCCTAGAACCAAGGCTCAGCTGGATATCTAGCTTGAATGGTTGCGATGACGCAGGCGTTGGAAGATCCTTCATTTTAGATGACGGCGACAAAGTCAGCGCTCATTCATACCACCTGACCACAGCAAATCCGAACCAAAAAGTGATTTCCCGAACCCTTCATCACTCAATTCCTTCACGCGGTGTTTTCGTTCTCATCCAACCGCAACGGATCGCATTTCTCTCCGGACCATTGTGAAGGTCTCGCCTTCCTTTGGCCCATTTTCGCCACCGGCAGCACAGTCAGGACACGGTACGATCAGTACCGGGATAATAGTCGAGGGAGGCATTTCTGGCAGCGACTGTACGATCTTCGAGCGTCTATCAAGCGATATGGTATGGTCTCAGGTCCTGCAATAGAAGGATCGTCACCGACTAATGACCGTATCTAAGTCTGATCCGAAGGAAACACCGGAGCGGGGAGCTAGAGATGCGAATGCGAGGCCTGATGACTTAGTCGAGGGTAGTACTTTTCATGGAGGGTAGCCGAGATACTCCTCGCTACGGGTTTTCGAGAAGGATCACGGGGTTCTGAAGGACCAGTCACCAAAACGCGGAACATACGCATTTCGGCATCCTTTCAGACGAAGACGTTCGGCAAGGTATGTGGAGCAGATGTTGTTTTGAATATCGCCCGACTCAAGCGGTCTGTCTCTAGGTCTGAAAAAGCTGAATGATTGACCAACGTTTCCCCAGTTGATTATAAAAGGGGAGTTCGTCGGTGGGTTAATATCGTGCAGGAAACGCCTGATAACAGAGAGTTTGCCGAAGTCATTGCTTAGATCAGCTGTACAGCCCTTTTAGTTTGTACTTTATATTGTACATCAGACCCGGTACAAATATACATCTGGTATGTTTAATAAATGATTTTACAAACACTTTTGACCCATCTGTTAGGGAGATCGGTTATCTTATATATCCCTTGACCTTGAATCCTTTCTCTTTCCAGATTTTCTCGATACGAAGGAGACTGTCGACCGAGTCCAAAACTGTCTTCTCCCAAGGGATGAACGATTCGGGCTTCATTCCGATCACCTCGTCAATCCTCTTCCAGTCCAGTGGGAGGGTGTTGGAAGGCCATTCCGGTGCCCTACGGGCATCGGCAAGGCGTTCTTTAAGCTCCGGGTGTTCGCGCGCTATGGTCTCGATTGCGGCTTTGTACGAGCACTCGTGGGGACATACGATAGCTACCCTCTTACGGCCAATCTTGGATGAGGGAGGTGACTCGAGTGCGAGAACGTGTGCTCTGGCGGTGTCCCGAACGTCGATAGCTCCTGGAGCCATAGGAAAGGCGGTCGTGTCTGGTCGAAGGAAAGAATAAATAGTCGAGTTCGTGGAAAGAGCACTGAGGTCGGGTTCGGGAAGGAGGTGCTCAAAGCCTGGAGCGAAAGGACCGTAATTAAATGGTGGTCCCACTGTCGAGCGTCAATAGACTGCGGAAGGTAAAGTTCGGCTTAAAACGTCCTCACCGAGGGTAACATCGATCTCAGGGTGGATATGGGAAAATTCTACTACGGCCAAGTCGGAATATTTCTTTTCGGCCACGTAGACAAGGAAAGGATGTCTGGAGGCTATTGCTTCTTCTTTGGTGATAGAGTTCCAATCTGGAACGCCAGAGGGTGAGGACTAGCTTGAAGGGCTATCGGAAGGGACTTACTATCTGCGTCATACAGACCCTCGGGGAAATCGTAGGATAACACAGAGCTAGTAACAACGGCCCTCGTGACTTTAGCCCTGACGGCTTCTCGCAGTACGTGAAGGGAGCCTTCGATAGCGGTCTGTAAGTTGATGATCAACCGCTGGTGATCACAACACAACCCGAGAAGAATCTACTTACTCGTAAGGCTACGTCAGCGCTAGCTCTTCCTGGACGAGGAGCTGCTGTATGGATAATTCCATCTACTCCTGCATGGAGGGAAGATAGATTTATTAACACCGGAATGATAATCAAACTAGTATCTGACCTTTGAGGATGCGACTGAAATCCCCTGAGCAAACATCACGAACCTCTACGACCTCAAAGCGGTCCCTACTGTAGTTGACTGACAGTGCTTTCTTCAGTAGCTCGATTTTCCTGCCTCTTGCGGCCCTGAAGGGGAGTGTTAGATGGGGAAGGGTGATGTTGAAAGCATAGGCGTACGCTCGAACATCATAACCTTTATCTAATAGCTGGGTCAAGATATGGAATCCGATGAATCCAGACCCCCCAGTGACCTATGCTGATAGTCAAAACGAAATTTCTGGGTGGAATAGAAGGCGCACGAACGAATATTAACTTCCGGGTGGTACTCGACATGTTGGGAGCGGTAGGAGCCATACAAAAAAATGTTTCGAGGTTAAAAAAATAAAGGTGAGCGATGAGGAAGAAACTTGAAGACAAAGCTACAGTGATCTCCCCATGCCTCTTTATACGTCTTCTACCGACGTAAGTCTTGTCAGTTTTGCAAGGCCCCGTGTCGGACAAGCGGCTACAGTCCCTAGCCGACTTAAATTTGGCGTCCTCGGGCGGCATAGTGAAGAGCATCTAGACTTGACACGTCTCCGTCGTTCAAACTTTCACTGGCCGAAACCTCCCGGTGAGAGTCAAACAGCATCGGCCTTGCCTCACCCATGCCCGAGTCCCGAAAATGGGTATAGGAACGGCGCGCCTGACAGACCCGACGGTGCTGAAATCAATTTTCTTGCGACCCTGTTCCGACAGGATTCGGTCTATGCCGTGCCGTCAAGCCGACAGGTCTCCGAACCGGTTGGTCGCCGTTAAAAAAATTCTATATCGATTGTTATGAACACTAATTAGCTCCAATGTCGTGAGGAAGCAAAAATTGATTAACAATAGAAGCCTTACTGAGACGATGAGCCCTTCAGCATCTCAGTGATAAGTACGGATGATGAAGGAGTTGACAAGGCTGATTTGGTATTCCGGCGAGCTTCTGGGAGAGACCGGTTATAACCGGTAACCGGGTGGCAGTGTGCTTACCAATGCCTTGATCCAGGTTGTTTCCACGGCGGTCGGTCAGTCGGGATTCGGGAACTTCTCCTGAGCAATCAATGCTCTTTCATCGTCTTTCACTTTCTTCATTCCGATCAATAATCATCATGCCTTTCTCCTACTTCTACCACTCCAGAAAAGAGGATGCCGAGAAGTCTCGTGTTTCAATCTGTGGTGGACACTAGATATCTATTATCGAGGTCCGCTGTAGCGCTCGGTATCCAAGGTATTACATGGCCCGGGCGTTTACTTTGACATACATCCGATCATGATAACATAAATGTTCTGCTCCTTACTAACAACCTGACTCCTGGTCATCAGTAGAACAGCCGGAATCTTCTGGTGTCGTCCATCGGGTATGTAGGCCCTCGTGTTTGATGGCCTTCAAGATCTCCCTCGACTTGATGCAGTGGGCGGCGAACATTCTATCAGTGCCACTGTGTCGGATACAGTGACCAGTGACATACGATGCAGCGGGAGCAGTGTTTCTGTAATCACCGCGACCTCAGTATTCTTTTTCTTTGAGTGGCTAGGTTTTTCCTACGAACGTCTCAAAGTTCGACAATGAATGCTCGACTAGAGATGTATCTACGAAATACAAGCTTATTATTCCTTCTAGAACTCGAGAAGGACTATTGGTGTTCTCTTCGTCTAATGCTATGACCTTGGTGTTCTTTTATTTTCGTGTATCTTCAGAATTACGTTTCTCAGGTCTTCGCGTTTGAATCAGGATCGCTCGAAAGGAAACTGAAGCCTTCTGGTGACTTTGTGGGTGAACACGTTGTACACATCGCAGTTCGTCTTGAGTACCTACTTACGTCGCTTCGCGATGTCAAGGTGGTTTACTATTGGATCTTGGGACCTCTGGCCATCGACGAGGCTTATTCGATTGGGGTTATGGCCAACACCCACTATGTGCGTCGTCTTGTGGCTTTCATATAAAGTCTCTTTCAGGGTTCTTGCATCTCGTTCTCGGGTTTTCTTAGCTCCAGGAATAAGTAGATGATGAGATGGATCGTTTTTATTATTACAGTGAGTCCTTCCCTTAGAATACGCAACATATGTTCTACAAACAGTAATTGTAGATGCTTTTTACTCTGTTGCTGGCCATCTATATTCCCTCCATCCGGACTACAAGACAGTGAGCGCTTAACTTGCGATGAACCTAATTCAGTTATTTGATAATGAATATAGCATACTTAGTTGTGTCACGACACAAGGCTTGCTTTGTGATTTCATGACGGACACAACACCGATGGACTGACGGCCCAGCGGCTTGAGCTGTCAATCAACTCGCAATCCCGATACTCATGGACATTAGTGCGACGACCCCAGACTGTCGCGCTTTCTCACGTTTGGATGCTGACTCGAAAACTTGATCTAAAATCGGTACATATCTGGTATTGTTCGGATAACGTTGACGCCAAGTTCCCGGGATGCTTGAGGTAGCATGAAACATTCGAAGTGCGCCGGGGGGTGGCGCAACTCGAGTTCAGATGTAACTTCCGATGCGTGGGATCACCGCGACTTTAATACATTCCCTCAGGAGCCCGGTCTTCTTCAGTACGGTCTTCCTGGCACCACCGCCGAGGTTTTTAGCAATATTGTATTATGCCTGACCGAGGTGTATCTCCGAGGCATAAAATCGATCTTCCGTCTAGAATTCAGGAAGTATCACAAATTTAATGTCTCCAGTGCTACGACCAAGACAAGATTCCATCCTCGCTGGTCTCTTAGCCCATCGTATGAGAATTGGGATTACTTAGAAGAGTGTAGCATGCTTCTGGCGACTTCGTGGCTGAACACAATGTTGTATACGTCCTAGGTCGCCTTATCTATTGATTGCATCATTTTACGAGGACATCAAGATGGCTACGCTACTGTGTCTTTGCATTTTGCATCTTCGACGGGGCTTGTTCAATCAGGGATATGACTAGGTGTTATATGGCGCATCGTCTGCACTCTTGATTTATCTAGTGCTAATGCAGCTTCCTAATATCTTGTTTTCAACTGCGGTTTGTCCTTCCACGGTAGCATTTTGTATTCGCAAAGTCATTGTACCACAGCCTTAATGACACCAGGAGATATATATTCCATCGCGAATTTGAAAGATGACTGCCTATTTCGAAATCCACTAAGCCGTCGGAAATGTATACATACCTTTCGTAGCACCAGCTGGAAGGTTTTTCATTTCTGCGACCAATTTTACTCATTCTGCACAGTGGTAGTTGCTTCGACTCCGAAATAGTTGTTTAACGTTCAATGTTAAACTCTTGACTCATGAATGAGAGTCTCGACTCTCGATCACAGCGACGCAGCCTCGGCTTTCAAGTCAACTTCGACAAGATTTACATAAAAAAGGTTGTAGAGTCACCATTGCAATGTCATACTTGAGCGGGAATCGAACCCAGCTTTCGGACACAAACCGATAGTCACTGCGATCATCGGATCATTCATCGTGACTCACGAATCGGATTAGGTTCTCTTAACATGGCACGGACGTCCTTCATGGGCGAATGTCCTGAATCATCTGGCACTCTCTTCGACCTCAACGTTCAACGGTAGCGAAATCGGACAAACACTGTAGCGGAGCCGAGCGAGCAAGGTGCGCGCTCAGTTCCGAATTTGAGATGATATGGATGCCATGTCAGCCCTTTGTCGTCTTTTGCGAAAAATTTCCGCATATCTTACCGCAGGCATCACAGTGAAAACCGATAATTCGTATACGATGAAGGTGTCCTAGAGCCGAAACTCAACCTGGATGTGTAGAAAGGAATCTTTTACGTGTACTAGGTGGCTACAGTTCGAATGGTCACAACGATGAAGGTGGTACAAGGTGCGTTAATTTAGACGGCTGCAGCAAAAGCAGCTCTCATCCATACCATCAGAACACAGAAAATTCGTACCGTTCTTCACCAAAAGCAATTTTCCATCGTTGCTCAGCTCCTTCATGCGGCATACGCAATTCTCATTCTCTGATGGCGGGTCATAGTTTTTCACGTCAATGACAAGACGGAGCAAGCAGCACAGGAGCGTCCAGTTTCGAATACGAGGCAACGCAGAAGCCAGGTCAGTCTTTCGTTGTTGTGTTCGGCGTCTTTTTTTCGTGTCTTACAGCTGCCCCGACAGCGAAGACGAGGAGACACGGGGTTGTATGCGATGACGGTGAGCACATAATCTACACCTGCAACAATAACTGATGAGTGCGGTAGAATTAAGAAGTCGACTGCAGGCATTGGACATGGGAAATGGGTATAGGATGTAGGGATATCGGTGCAAGCTGGGTACATCGAACCGCAGTGGGTATATGTTGTCAATATCCCAGAGCCTAAGCTCAACTGCATATCTAGCAGGAAATCCTGCGTGTACGAGAGGCAGATACAGCTTGAATGGTCGCCATGACGAAGATCGTGGAAGGTGCGTCATTCTAGACGACTGCTTTACAGTCAGCGCTCATTCATACCGCCAGACTACCGCGAATCCTTGCCAAAACGCGATTTCCCGATTCCTTCACCACTCAATTTTCCTTCTTGTGGTGCCTTCGTTCCCATCCAACCGTGTTTCCGACAGCGGGTTACAATTATTTCCAGACCACTTTAATAAAAGCTCTCCCTCTTTTGGCGCATTTTCGTCACCAGCCGCACTGCGATACCGCCCGGACATGACTGCTACAAAGATGGCTAGTACTGAAGTAATAGGCGGCGGCGGCATCGTTGGCAGTGACTCAGTGTACGAGTCTCGTCAAGTTATGTGGGATAGCGTCCCATGATGGAGGGAGCGCTGTAATGAACGTGGAAACGGCGACTTAAGGTCATGCACGAATGGCTAGGCCGTTCAACATCAACTATTATCTTTTCTTTGTCGTTCGGTACCCTGTACAGCTTCGCCCATTGTTCTTTCCTCTGGGCCAATTGTTGTGTCTTCCGGCTAGGTCCCAGAAAGTGTTGAGGTGAAGTTACGCACTGTTTCATCTTTGATTAAGGATTTAATGAACTGCCGTAGATGCCCTGTTCTATGTATCTTCACCAGAAACCAGGTCCAGAATATGAATTAGATGCGAAAGGAACGAGCTGAGAGTTGCTTATCTCGGGACATTACAGTGAGAATTATCACCGTGTCGTCCTGAAATGTTCTAACCTCAGGATTCAGAGATGCCATGCCGCCCCCAATTAAGGAAGGATGAAAGACTCACGGAAACGGACAATCCACTTCATCTACAGGGATTCTTCACACCTTTCTATCCCAACCAACGAAATCTCTTCATCTCCGAATATTACTCCATTTTCATCACGGTCTCATGTCGGTTTTTGAGATCTGCCCATTGCATCTCATTTCAATAGGCAATGCCCGAGAAACAAATTTCTTCGGAAAACCCTATTTTTAGCTCGCAGCTGTTCACTTTGTCACTCGAGCCATCGCTTGGTGAAAAGTCAACGCACAACACACATAACATGATGTTGCTTGGCATCTTTTTGTTCGACGTTCTGTGAAGAGAAGGAAAGCTAATCCAACCCCTTCGATGCGGCGATCTCTTTGCATGGCACGCTCCCATTTGCAGAGCGAGGAGCCTTCATTACAACTGGACTCGGAGAAGATCTGCCGTAGATGCTGCAATCTGATTCACAGCCAAGTCTTGGTATCGATTTGCGGCCTCTGTCGATACTCCACTTTAGTGGGAAATACATCGACTTCGTGCATCAGACAGCGTATCCTGCGTCCTTCGACATGAATTCGAAGGTGTGCCTCTCAGTAACGCCGTCCGGCCTTGTTGTATCAGCACCTTTCGCGCAGCATTCTTCTGGGTGGCATGCTCGATATACCTCGACAGTCAGTGCGGAGATTATCGAGGCTTGCCGAATCGTCACCCACGCGCATGGACCGTCCTTAGCGTACACCCGCTGTCCCATCCTGTCTACCCCTGTATCTTGTGGTTCCATACTGGGTGCCTACCCGGCTCGTTCCCAGAATCTGCCCGTACCGCCCAGCAGCACAAAGCACAACTCATATGTCCATGACTAGTCACCCCTGTGGAAGAATGCCAGGCACAGTCTTCGTCATGCCGGATGTATGCGCATAGTCTAGTTCTGCGAGTCAGAGGTCCTTTTCCATGAAGATAGACGCGCCAAACATGCACGAATGGAAGACTCCATATCCGCGCGCGCCTTTGGAATTACGCGTTTATGCATCCATAGATTGCTTTTGATTATGGATACCAGTCGTTGACCGAAGTTCTTGGCACGCTTCCGAGGATTCTTCGTTTATGTGTGCGAGGAGGCTATGTATATCTTACAGGCACACCGACATCTCGGACGTCATGGATTCGAGTTTCATCTGTGCTCTTGTCACTCCTGTGGTGAACAAATGGTTTGCTGCCGTCACGGGATCAGAGAGATCACTTCGCCAAAGAGAAGAAATCCCTTTCAGCAAGGCTTTACACCCCTCCGGCAGCAAATATTACTACCCCACGAAGTCGGCCGTTCATTTCTGCAATTGCGCCAGATTCTCTACTCGGTTCAGCGCCTATTCATCGGAGTCAATGAGGGAGAGATACGTCTGCGTACCAACGTGCCCGCCCTCCTTCGTGAGAAATGGTGCTGTTCCGTCACCCCTAACTCTCTAGCCAGTCGACGCCGCCCTCAACTCGATGCTCGACTCAGTGAGCTACGGAAGCGGCCACTAACACACAAGAACTATCTCCGGTAATAGTATTCATTCATCCTCGACCGCCGCCAGATACCAGGCCATCCTTAGCCCCATCGCTCGTGCTAGAGATCCATAACTTGTAGGCTAAGGCGCCGCTGCATGCTTCTGTTGCAACAATGTGTTTGTGGTTGACGTTATTTCTCGCACGACACCAGGGTGTTCACTATCTCTATCGATGACGTCTGTTGGACTACGAGGAGGACCAAACCAATCTTCCACACCTCGAGATTCCTCTCAGTTGCACGTTCCCGGTTACCGTCTACTGCTGCCAGGCCTCACATTTTCATTTACGGCGGGAAGTACGTGAAGAAGACTTTCACATGACAACATGGGAGAACTCTCCCAGACTGTACATCCTAGAACGATGACGCGGACCATTACACTAAGGGGTCCCTCTTGGGGTAGCATACGGTCATTCTACACGGGCGATGTTGACCGACTCTTGATCTCATATTGGAGTTCAGCTCACGCAAATACTCGGTCGTTCATTCCGCGACCGCAGTTCTCGAGATGGCGATATCGGATTTCACTAGTGAGTCAACTCGTGTTTTTTCTCGCTTCTGTGGACCCTGATTGTGTGTAGCTTGCAATACTGCCGTTAGACTAGGTTGACAAGGTGTTGATGATTCAGGGCGCCTGCGGGACGCATGATTGTCTAGAAATGCTTTTCGGAGAGGGTACCACAGCAGCGAGCGCATTTGAAGGAAGCGAAGCTGAAAGATGAAGGATCTGCTGGATATCTTCAGCAATCGGTAGTGGTATTATATTTACGTTTTGGGTATGTGGCCGTGAAAGTCGAATTACCGGAGACAACTAATAGGTTTGGAAAGACGAATCCAAAAATATACGGTGGCCAGGGAATCCATACAAGGGGTTTTCTAACCATCCTTCGGACGAATAAAGTACCTCTACTTTTCATGCCATCAAATGCGCAACTCAGATATCGATACCGATGCCAAGCTTTGGTGAAAATGCCAGGCTTCTTCTTTCGGGGAAGTTCTCAGTGGCATCCACGCACAAAAAGTAATGACGCCAGACTCTTCGTACCCAATCGGTTTCGATTGCGTCAGACAAATTCTCTAGGACGGAACCTCGTGCTTGAGACGACCTGTACAAGAAGATTGAAAGCAGATTTTCGGAAGTGTATCTAGTTCTCCATTGAAACCGTCAATGAGATGAGCCATAACGTACCCTATTGATGGTTGCGGCGCTTTTATGTCGGAATGTGTAGGAGGTAATGGCGAAAAGCTGTTTCCAAGTGGGACGCCAGCGCTACGGGAGCATCGCTATGAAAGGAATTGAGTCAACCGGGCAATCTTTGACTTAGCATCGTCGAATTTGGTTCCACGCTCACTTTCAACTTTTCCTGTTGAAGGAACGAATGCTGCTGCTGATATTACGAACCTCAAACATCTCGGGAAGTAATAGCATTCCTGGGACGCTTCGACCGCCTGAAGAATTGAGAGGCGTCTTTCGCGGCAGTACGACGATCGGCCCGCAATTCCCGACTGAGCTTCGCCATGGACCACCTACAGTTGCAGCAGGCACACACTTGCTTATACGGTTTCATCCTTTATGAAGTCGTCGCGCCTTGGATGCCATAAATTGTATGCGGTTCCTTCGTTGCACATCTAACTGATAGCCGACTATTGCTTAAGCCTTGTGATGTGCCTTGTTCAACCGGAATCTAATGCGCCTCGGAAATGGGTTGAAGTATGCATAATCCAAAAATAATGTTCCGATGTCGCCTTGGTGAAGCATACCGACGATCCCACCTTGTTCATCATCAAGGAGGTTTGCATACCAGGATCCCCCTCATCGACGCAACAAGTTTTCCTCTTGGCTCGTTCCTACGTGCTCCGGTGCGTATAACACCATCGAGTACCCACTCTTTCCTAGGCTTATGACACACAAAATGACGCGTCAACAGCTTCACCTATGCTGATATCAGAACCATCAACGCGTTGCGCGGCGATACGTGTTCCACATGGTAGGATTTACGGTGCTCTGTTCTTTGATTCGGAAGATCCTGGTATGCATATAGCATATAGCGTATACTGAAACGTTGGTGTTCTCTAGTACAGTGACATCCGACTTGTACCAGCCCAAGATGGAATACAGATCAATATGTGCTATGGTATAAAAGACGACGTATGAGGTAGGCATTTCTTCACTACCCTACTTCCTTCTTAACTAACCACACCGTGACCTCTCTCACAAGATGCAATTCAACATTTTTAAACACGTTCCTGTCCTCCCAGGTGTTCGGTGTGTATTCGGGCGAATGTTCTATTTGCCACCATTACTCACGACGATATTCACAGGGGACTGTCCAGGTTCGCACCCTATTCATCTATTGCTTCTCTCTGACTAATTCCCAATAGTGCGTCCAACTCGAGCCAAGGGTGAGTGAGTTCTATACTGTCCGAAGAGCAAGACATATCGTACGGCGCATCACAGGTACATCCCTCGTGGGCCACAGAATGTCAATAGCGGAGGTTCTGCGAAACCTGGAGGGAGTCAAGAGGAACCGTCTACCAGTGGAACCGAGAGCGGAGGACATATCACTGCCACTAGCCAAGGCTCTGCGACACCTGGAGGACGAAGGCCCAGCGGAAGCGAGTAAACGTCAACGATGGGAGATCCCGATCCCTCCACGCATTTGAGCTGATTTTTTATCTTACACCTGTCCACTGGAAATAATTTACGCTACCTTACCGTTTGCTATTTTATATTTAGTATTCCTTTACTTACACGGTGTAGTCTTTTCTTCACAGCGAGCAAGAGCTTCGTGCGCTTCTCTCGACTTGTGCTACTAGACCTACTTATATTCATATAATCCTATATTTATACTGTCGCATTGCTTCGCAAGCTAAGTATTTCTGATGATAAACAGCAAGGAGGATCAAGCATAGACAATAATTTCAGCTTTAACTTTAGAGATAAAAGATTGGACTCTATAGAAATGGACGTACCACGTAACGGTACTTCTATAACGTCGGGGCTGGTTTTAAAACAAGGTATCCTACTACTCCTGGACAGTAGAGGTTTCGTGCACATGATGCGATCGCCGATGACTGCGCGTTGCACAATGGACTGACAGTTTCTTCAACCGGTCGATGTCCCAGCAGTTCAGTGTTCATTAGTTTCGAGTCTCGACAAAGCGTTCAAGGCGTTACATAAATATTATAATCAAGCCTGTGACTCTGAGTGGGTTTCGAGGCCGGCCCGGGAATCGAACCCGACGAGGTGATTACTAATCAAAACCTATAATATGACAGCCAACGTCCAGTTACCCTTTGTACAGTTACTACCATCATCCCATCTCTAACCAAACGTACAATGTTCAGACGGCGTGCGCCAGGTTATCTATATCAACGGCGATGTCTTCCAGCCAGTCGCCCGCTGAAGCGTCCAGCGCTCTCGTCAGTCGTTCCGACTCGCGAAGCTTCTGCGGCACCAATATCAGACGTTCAAGCGCGAATACAGCACGAATAACAGGGCAAGTCTTGAATTTGGGATGATATAGTTACAAGGTCAGCCATTTGGGGTTGTATTCTGCAAGCTTTGCCACATATCCTGCAGTAGATGTCGCGTCGAAAACGAAGGGACCCGGCTTTGTACACGGTCCAGGTAAGCGCATAATCTACACTCGTAACAGAGACTGATGAACGCGGTAGAATCACGAAGTTGACTCAGATACTGGCCATGGGAAACGGGGGCGTCGGCGCCGGAGTCGTCGACACGGACTGCAGACATCGAGGTACAGTGAGTATATGCTACGTATATCCTAGAGCCGAAACTCAGGTGAATGCCTAACAGGGAATCTTGCACGTATGAGAAGCGGATACAATCCGAATGGCCGTAGCAGTAAAGGTGGTGGAAGGTGCCTCATTTTTAGACGATTGTGACCATTTCGGTGCTCATTCATACTGCTAGGCTAACAAATGCGTACCAAAAAGCGATTTCCCGGATACTTCATCACCCAGTCCCTCCTTGCGGTCCTTTCATTTCCATCCAACCGTGTTTCCGACAGCTGGACAATCTAAGTCTTATCCCTCTATAACGCACTTTCGTTACCAAGAGCATGGCCAAGACGCGGCTGCAACAATGACATTCAGTGCCGGAGTAATAGGCGGGGGAGGCATCACTGGCAGTGATTATACGAATCTATATCAAGCGATGTGGGATGGTCCTCAGTCCTGCGATGGAGGGACCACCGTAATGAAGGTGGAACCGTCGACAATGGTCATGCGCGAATGACTAGGCCGCTTATCATCAACTACTGCTTTGTCATTCTCCTCCGATGCCTGCCTCACTCTTTGTTCGTTCATGTCTCCCTGCGCTTAGACCATGATGCACGGGTGGATCCGCTGGAAATGTTTCACGCTCCCTTGTCGTTTGTTATCCCATGCTTAGCATTCCTTTACTTACACGAAGTAGTCTTTTCTTCTCTCGATTTGTGCTACTTGATCTACTCTCATTCGTTAATATGGCACCATCCCCCCTTGTTTTCAAGGCCCAACATGTTACATATTCATTATTCGCTCTGTTCTATTCACCCTACATCTACATTCTGTTATCACTCAGTCTTCTCCTCCCAACTCAACTCTCTCGCTGTCGTCTTCTGTCTTCTGCTCTTTCTATTACGATCGCTTCCCTGATCTCATCGGGCCAGTGGGGAGAGTGATCGGGCTGTGCCGACTTGCCGATGTTGTGGTCTTTATTCTGTACGCTCCTTTTAACTTCCAACGTCAACCATGGGTACCATCTTTCCCTCCAACATCCAAGATTTCTTGACGTTCCTTCCTATCGCACCTCAGCCGGGTCCAGATCCATGGATAGAGACGTCAACGACGGCCTATACCGCCCATAATATCCTGACCCCTCCTGCGGATCGACCACTCCTCAGCCGACCAGACCCCAACTTCGTCCCCAGACTCACAGAGTTTCTTAATTCGAGGGTCGCTGAACTCGGTATTAGCGATGTATCTTGCCAGTCGATGCTACAGGGTCTTGAGCTTATGCGAATATTGGAACTCGAGGACGAAAACACCGTGAACGAGTATGGCGAATATGTTACTAGAGCGATAGACCCTATCGTTCGCACCATCGCCAACGCTGCCAATCTCGGTGGCAGATTCAATCTACTCCGTGGCCATGTCAAGAAATTCGAATATTCGTCGAAGAGCGACTTTACTATCACGTTTGTCCGAAAAAACGAGCAAGGCATTGAACGTACCGCAACCTGCTCTGACGAGGACTTGGCCTACTCAGTACTACTTTCGAAGGCAGAGGAACTCAGCCGGCCGATTTGTCTTGACGCCACTAAAAGGCAAGAAGGCGCCGCCGCCATGGCTGTCAAGGTCAGTCTCCATCGAGTGTTGTCCCATGCTGCCGTCTCACTCGGCTTAGCTTGCGTTGCAGATGATTACATCACGCGTAGAGTACGGTTTTTTGTTCGGCGGGTTCATTGCAATTGCCGCCCAGCTAGGCAAGACATTCATCATCGCTGGGCTCGACAGACATTTCACAGATCATTTCTAGTCCGGTCTACGGATGTTTCCCGCCCGGGACATATCCTACTTCTATCACCTGCGTTCAAACTTTTCAGAGCGCCCCTTGTACATCCTGACCCGAACAAAGCGCTCAACCAGTTTCAAGCTAACATTCAACCGCAACCGTTCCTTGCTATAGTCGTTGCCATGATTATTTCCAAATTGATTCCTGGCCGCCGCGTCGCAGATCCTCCTTCTAACCTCTTACGGCCTCAGCTATTGGAGACAATACAAGATGCAGAGGAAGGCGAGCAGGGTGACGAAGAAGGTGGCCATGACGGGGATGAAGTATATCAAAGTGGTCTGCCAAATGTTCTTTTACAAGTCTCAACCAATACAGTATGTTATTTTTTTTTGTCTTCTACGGCAAAATGTGCTAATGTCGCTTGTTAGATGACATTGCAACATCCATGGTTGCGGTCCAGCGACATACACCGTATTTCTGTCAGTCAACATCCTGTTCAACCATCTGTCGACATACAGAATACTCCGACAGCCAGCAGCGACTCCGGCTTTGTGATGAAATCCTTCCCGCTTTCCTTACTTCCACAGCCGTCGTTGTTACAGCTTTGCCGTAGTGCTCCTCGCATTCTCTCGACAAGCCCTGACGTGGTAACGCTCGTAAGCCAGATTCGGGCCAGTCGGTGGAGTACTGTGTGGGAGGACCGTGCTGACGACCGTGAGGAGCTGTTTATCATCAAGCTTGTGCCGGACGCTCACACAAACATGATTTGGCGAGAGTTCTACATGTATGAGGTGGTCCTGAAGGAATGTTCTCTCGTCCCCAGATTTTATGGGATGTTCCAAAGACCCGTCGGCGGTTGGTTTGCTTTCTGCCTTGAGGATGTTGGGGACTGGAGAAAACGTATGGCCTAGGCTGGTCTGAGGTAAAGAGGTCCGTGCCTAGGATGCAATGGTAAGTGACTTTGTATCTTCAAAGATCACTACACTCATTGACCGGCTCCTTCAGGCGCAATTTTCTAGAGTCAGCGAAGCAATTACATTCATTGGGTGTCTTGCATGGTGATCTTGAACCACGAAACGTGGCGCAAACCGCCGGGGGATTCAAATTCTTTGACTTTGGACACTCGGAACTGCACCATTGTCAGCTTAAGGAGTGCTATGAGTTATCAAATCTGCTGAGTGTATAGCACTGCATGGCTGGGTACCCCGGCGGCATATCACCTGTGACGACCCGATGCATGCGGCACATGCACATGGCCCCACAGAAAGTCTCCCTTTCACTTTCCTCGCTCCAATAGACGGACTGTTCGAGCCGTCTTTTGTGACGCTCTGCTCGCTCCAAGCATTCAGGAATCTACAAAGTGCGCTCCAGTGGACCGAACATTCCCGGGACGATGAATACGTTCCCGGGGCACCGGACGGAAGATTCTTCCCCTTGCGTTGCAATAGAGATAAAGGCTACGATCACTTGGGTCACTAGCCAAGGACGAGGCCGCTACACATTTTCCAGAAGGTTGTCCCGCCTGTTATCTCATCGGCTCGCTTGCAAACAACAGAAAAAAGCGAACGCGTGGCAACAAGTGCTCGCCCTCTCTTCCCTATTACCTGTTGTAAACTTTGGCGACTTTTAAAGGCACCATCTTTTGGATGCTCAGTGATCCTCCAAATTTTGTCATCCGAGATTTCGTTTATCAGACCCTAATATTTTGATGTGCAGTCCTGGCTGTGGCCTTGAGGTCTACCACCGAACGCACCGCCCTTCCATGACCCATATCCCTCTGTCTGTTGACTTTGCAGAGTTCGACTGTGTACCTTAATCAGTAGTTTGCCATCGTTCTCCAAAGAAACGGGCTTCGCATCGTCCCTATATTGTGCAACTGGGCCGTCCTCGCTCTTCTGAAGGGCAGGACTCCACACAGGACCGGCTGAAGAGGAGGGAACGGAGAGCTCGCTTACTCGCTTGCTATCTCCTGTTAGCTCTGACTACACCTCATGGACGCTTATCATGCATCATGATAAGTTGGAACATCAGTTCACTAGCTTTAGAAATCAAACTCTATTGTATGGAAGGGTGCAATGAGGCATGACCACCTGAAATACATGTGTTTGAGGGTCTGCACATCTAGAGATCCAATTTGCCTTCACGGAGTCAAATATCTATCTCCAGTAATCCAATTCTAACCACGATTTGCTACCGGATGGACATACCGGTTAATAGTTACTTTTGCATGTAGATCAGGCCCGAAGTTGTGATACGCGAGCTTATTCTCATTCATGAAGCGTATTACCTCGTTGTTACGAAGTCTGTACCTTTCTGGTTTATGTCTACTCTCTATCTTCGAATCCTAGAAAAAAACATTCATTGCGATAACGCAGGGATCTCTATAAATACAAAATACAGAGGTCATGCATAAGGGATGATCGATAGGTATACAGAACAATGAGATGGGGATAACATGCGTGGGGGAATGTGAGGTGAGATTGCAGGGAAATAAAAATGAAAACGGAAGTATAAAGGGCAGCGCTAAAATCCTGTTTCACCTTCAAATAACATGTTCGTGAAGCTCTCCACTCCGTTCATTCCAGCGTCAAACGGCTCCCTGTTAATTTTTTCCAAAAACTCATCCCACATTCTCGGGTCGAGCTCGGGTGTTGGAGAGTGAGGTGGGGGTTGTATGGGTGTCTGTGCCCATGCTGCTCGACGAGCTGGGTCAATGGGGGTTCCTTTTCCAATCCGGGTACACAGGGAGGGTGTCGGCGGGGGTGTGCTCTCTGCAAAGCCATACTGAGCAACGAGTTCAGGGAGCGTTATGGTGGAGAGGCGGGGCGGTGGGAGGGGCAGTAATTGCTGGGGCGGGTCGAGAGGCGAGGCAGGCGGAGAGGTCAGAGCAAACGTGATAAGCGGGGGCTCGTCCTCAGAATCCGACTCCGAGTCGAGCTCCCAGTCAAATATCTCCTCTGTTAGGTAATCTTCTTCATCCCGTGGTGTGTGATGCCGTCGAGCATCCTGGCTGACGAAGTCCCGGATGATGCTGGGAGTGTATTGGTGCGTACTGCCAGTCGTCAGCGACAGCGAGCAGGACAAGATCCAGAAGAAGCTTACATATGGTCGACTCGTCGCCTGCATGCAAACCGCCAGATATCCAGCTCTGTCTTTTTGCGTGAGTGGGGGATGAGCCATTCATCGTCATCATCGTCGTCGTCCGACTCGGAGTCGTCCTCAGCGTCTGCTTCGACTTGCATTTCGTCGTCGTCTTTCTTGTCGAAAGTGATAGCGGTGTGATAGCTGCGTGCGAAAGGTTTCTCGATGATGAATTGGATAGGAAGTGGGTTGGAAGTCGTGGCGGGTGGTGTCGTCGATGTCGTCGGCGTGGGAGCAGGTTCGAGTGTCGTCTTCGACGACGATGCTGCAGGCTGTTCTCTGTCGACGTTGATGTCGACGTCGACCACTATAGGCTGAGGCTTCTCGGTGGGCGGCGGCGGCGGCGGTGGGGGAGGTGGAGTATCGCTCTCCCGACCCTTTCTTCGCTTTGCTGCCGGCTGCTGGAACAGCTTGTCATCATCTGCAACATCGTCAAGGACCTTCTTCCTCTTGGTCGACGTTGCTCTCCTCCCCCCCTCCACCTGCACCTGCAGCTGCTGCCTCTTAAGGAATCTCAGCGCCCTAGGCGACTGCTGCCCCTTCTTCACCGGGCCCTTCTTCACTGGCTGCAAAAGGCGAGCACTCCTTCGTGGCTCGAAAAGCGGCGCGAAAACCGACATGGACATGCCTTCCTATCGAATTCGGCAACCTAGAACGGAGGCAAACGGACGGATTCGGTTTTGGCTGGATGAGGAAAAAGACAAACTGGACGACTGAATCAAAAGAAGGGAAGCGATGGTTGCCTGCCACGTGCTGATGACTAAGACGGCATCATCTTTTTGCCGGGTGGCCTAGATCCGTCCGTTGCCAAGTCCAAGGGTTGGATGACGCATACTTGCGCAATACTTCGACCGACTCGGACTGGCACTGAAAGTAATATAATACTGAATGGACGAGTTCAGGCTTGACAGAAAATTGTATTCTCAAAAATCCCGCACAGTATCAACATCATTCATCACGGAAAATCCTTATCATCACGTTCTCGCTACTTCTAGTTCTTCACGTCAGGACCGAGAGAGAAAACGGGGCTTGGTTAACATTCTCGCCCTGATCTACACCTGCTTTTGACAATCTGTCTCTGCATTTGGACGTAACCATGCGCAACGCCAACTCGTATTCCGAGTCAAATCCCGCGGCATCTCGACCATCCGCCGGATAGTAAGATTGATCGACGTCGGACTAAGTCAAACGCTTCCTAATCACATTCTTTTTCATGCGAGGTTGAATATCAATTACTTACAGGAGAGAGGTGCCCCCGAGCTTAGCCTAGCTCATTTCGTTATAGACGATCAGGACACATCAGAACTTTGTCTTGCCCATAGAAAGCAGATTTTGGCATGAAAAACCGCGGTCTCTGATAGCTATGAATACCGCGTATCACGAGCGCCTACATCCAAGTTTACGCGTCGCGGCCATCATACCCTGATTTACAGCAGTACCCGGTATACGACATCCAACGTCTTGGGTAGCCGTAGAATCGGATTGTCGTTATTTATACCCCTCCCCGACATCTGATTCCCAAGGAACACTGATAGAATGGATAAACAGAAACTTAGGACAAGTGTGAAGCATCCCCCTTTGGTTGGATCAGAACAGTGAGCACATGGAAACAGGATAAACAGAACGACCAGCGCGCGCCCTTCCGCATAGAACATATCCCAGGAATAGCCATTTCGAGTTGCTTTGGGGGGCACATGCCGCCCAACTAGGGTATTGGAGAAGGGGGAGTGGGCTTACTGCAACGGGTTGCATTGTCCTTCTAGCATCTATGCTGTTTGGAAGTATGTAACAGGTTCATCCTGATGCGGTGTAAAAGAGAATTGACTCGAGGCGCATGTCATCGCTATCGAAGGAACGAACTGTCGCTGTTGCCAAGTTTAGCTAAGAAAAAGGGATGCCGGTGTACATCTCATCTCATCCACGTGAAGATCTGGGCTCGGCGCAGAAGATTCGCCAACGCAGTTGGTAACTGCGCAGAAGGACCTGTAACGCCTAGCCTCGACGAACACAGGCTGCCGAACTTTCTCGACAACCTTATTGAAGGTCACTAGACCACATACAGAGCATGCTCTCAGAGTCTTCATGGCATAAATGAATGCCAAAGATGAAGCCAAGGTCCTGACTGCGAAACTGATGGTAGATCTTTTTTTGCTCTGGAAGAGTTTTTTTTGTTCTAGGGGAGGACTGAAATCAGAAATCTTGCACTGAAGAAAAGCAGTGTCAAAGGGGTGAAAGATTGGTTTCCTTCTCTTCATATTTTGCGTGTTCTAACAGATGCCATCAATGCTGCACGAAGAAGTAGCAAACACCTAGTACTGTACGTTCAAGCTGACGGGGGGGAACAGTCTTTGGGAAGAGCCTTTACTCCCGAGCGATCCCATCTTGACTGGTGTGAGATTGTCCCCAGTAATTGCAGTTGGCACCCCGGGCTGTGCTCGAGCAATGGAAGAGCAGTATGAGACCCTTCGGTCAATGAGGGTCAATGAGAATGAATGTGTTGTTGAGATAAAGAAGGGCAGAAATTTCCTGTCGGCTACCTGTGTTTGTGGCCGGTCCCGTGCATTGAGGGCGGTATGGCGTCCTATACACATCGATGTTACAACGTGCCGCCATGATATGCTCACTGTGAAAAAGGAGGTGGAAGAATACGCTAGTTCCGATCACACGACTCCCTCCTTCATTTACTCATGATCAGCCCTTGACTTTGATGAACATACGTGGAGTCGATGAAAGCCGGCATAGGGAGAACTGTGAAGAAAGTCCAACGTCATCCCGAGAACTGCGGTTCGGAAATGAACGGCTGCATTCATGGGGTAGTGACTGTCGGAGGGGCCTAATGCCTTGATGAAAGAGATTTCGTCTACTTGACGAGGTCATGTCTCTGATCCAGCAGACGACACTCTGTATGGATGACTACGACGACGGCAAACCGCTGACATGGTACAGCGCATAGAGGATGATGCACAATGGCGGGAACGAGGCTTGCTTACGCAAGACTTCGTCATCTGGAGTAGAGAAAAGGTAAAAAATCCTGGGTCTGCGATAGGAAGATAAGTTCTCGTCTCCCGAAGACCGGTCGATTCTTCCGCCACACTAGAATGTGCTTCAGATGGATAGATAGAGCAGCGTTGGCGTTACAACGGATGTTCGTGTTCGCGTGTCTATTTCGGCGGGGACAAGGTAGTTCGGCCACAGAACTGGACTGCACGTACTTGGCTGTCGCTGGTATTCCGTCAAGGCTAGAGAAGTATTTCGAAGTACGGACATGTCCATGGACCATCGAGTGCGGAACGACACCAGAGGAGGAGAAAGGGCCAGGCGTTCCGGGAAGCGAGACGGTAGGTGTGCGTGGAAAAACAGAGGTTCCGCACATGCTGGGAACATCGAACTGACGCTGAGCAGAAGATGCTATCACAACAAGGCTCGACAGCATTGTTAAGAGGCACACATTGTGTTCTTGAACGATATGGGTCCGGCTGAGATCGACGGATATATTCCGGTCCCCTAAGGCACCTTATTACAACTAGGGAGACGCGTCAAATGACCTGCAAACGACTGATGAACGAAATCTTGCAGCAACTTAGATCGTGACATCGAATTCGGCGGCGGATACTCTTTGTCTCTTTGTGTGGTTCCTGACATATATAAATATGCCGACCATGTCATGTATCCCAACGGATCCCATCAATGTTGCACGAAGGGATGATACCGTACGTCAGACTCCCCTCCCTTGCGAGGACCGTGCTCGTTCGATAACCATCAGCCACCCATTGAAGGGCTCCCCAATCTTGACCTCGATGACCGTATGCCACCCAGCTGTAAACAATAACTAGTAACTTTCTGAGGGCAGTAGGTTTGAAAATCAACGAGAATAACCCGGTATTCGGTGACGATTGGTGACGAATGAATGACGTTGCTGAAGATGATTATTGCGCATCAGTGTCCACCTCCGACTGAGTTGAGGACAGCACCGACCGGCTAGAAGGTTCGGGACGGCGGAACGTTGGTACTACTGACGAAGGGGAGAGCACCCCAGCGCGCAGACGCATCTTTCACTCATTGGCTCTGATGGTTGTACGTGTTACAGAGTAGAGAGTCCAACGTCGTCCCAAAAATGAACGGCCGACTCCATGGGGTAGTGGTTGCTGCTGGACGGGGCTGTAAACCCTGGTTGAAACTGCTTGGCGGGGTGGTTTCTCTGATGTGGAGACGACAGCAAACCATTTATTCACTACACGAGTGACGAGAGCACAGACAGGCCTCGAATGCATGATGATCCGAGGCGTCGGCGGGCCTGTGAGAGACATGATCTTCTATAGTCGTTTTCGCGCCCGATAGCGCGCCAAGAGCATTTAGTCAATGGCTATCCCAAACGCATGGTATTCCGTAATCAAAGGTGATTCACAGATGCATGAGGGAAGGGGCGTGATTCCAATGGGGTACGTGGATGTCAGGGAGAGATTGATCCTCTTCTATTCGTGCATTTTGGTGCGTCTTTTCAAGAGGAAGGACCTCTAATACGCAGAACTGGCTATACGTATACACCGAGCACGACGAAGACTATGATTGACATTCTTCCGCTGGGACAATTCGTCTTGGGCAGGGGTGCGAATGAGAGAAGTTGTATCTTGAGCTGCTGGATGGAGGGGTCACGTTTGTAGATTCCGTGGAGAGAATAGGCGCCGAATTAGAAGAGAAGAAGATATTTCGGTTATGGATGGGAAGTACGCGTCAGGATGGTCTATGTACGACAACCATCATCTGCGCACGCCAACGATTCGGCGGAGTTCGATAGTCACACGGACTGCCGAAATATACAGAAATTGCTACCCAAAAGGATAATATGTCAAAAGGTGCTCTCACGATAGGGTTGCCAACAGCAATATGACGCCCAAACATCGATGTCAAGGTTGTGCTGCGAAATATGGAGAGATCTTCCTCGGTCCGGATGATAGCAGGTCATAGTCCGGTTGTCGATAAAGGCTCCTCGCTCCGCAAATGGGAGCATGCCACTGCATGCAAAAAGATAGTGGCGCAGAAGGGTTTGATAGACGTTCCTTCTCTTCACTGACTCCACAGTTCGCCAAAGTAGTCACGAATGCCGTCTGCATCACAAAACGTCGAACGAGAGATCGAGTAACACCATGTTCCTGGGTGCCGTACGTTCGCCTTCACCAAACGATAGCGGAGAGAAAAAGTGGACAGCTGTGAGCGAAAGACGGGTGTTTCCGAAGAATCATCTTTCTCGACCAGTGCCTATCGAAATGAGCAGATTCCAAAAACCGATATGGGATCGCTGAGATAGCTCGATGAGAGTAACGGGCGACATTCGGAGATGAAGGAATGTCGTTGGTTGGGATAGAGAGGCAAGAAAAGTTTCTGTGGATGGAGTGACTTGGTCGCCTTAAGCTCTGGTTCCATGGGTCTTTGATCCTTCATTTATTGAAGAGGGCGCAGGATCTTCGGATCCTATGGTCAGAACATTTCAGGACGACATGATGATAATATTCACTGCAATGTCCTCAGATAAGCAAGTACACGGTTCGTTCCATTTCTATCCAACTCTTATTCGGGACCTAGATTCTGATGAACATAACTTATAGGGAGCAAGTGCGTCTGCGAAAGTTCATTCATTAAGTCCATGATAAAAGATGGCGTAGTAAGGAAACTCACCTTGAAACTGAGAGTGCTCTTTCCTGGTCGGAAGACCCGAACAATGACCTAGATGTAGCTCTCATCTAGAGGATCTCATGTCATTAACTGATCCATCCGTGCACCATAGTCTGAGAGCAAGGAGATATGAAAGAACGAAGGGCGAGGCAGGTATCGGAGGAAAATGAGAAGGTAGTAGTTGATGGTTAGCGGCCTAGCCATTCGCGCATGATCCCTCTTGACGGTTCCACGTTCATTACGGCGGACCCTCCATCGCAGGACTGAGGACCATCCCACATCGCTTGATATAGATTCGTATAATCACCGCCAGTGATGCCTCCCCCGCCTATTACTCTGTCCCTGGATGTCATTGTCGCAGCCGCGTCTTGGCCGTGCTCTTGGTAACGAAAGTGCGTCATAGAGGGATGAGACTTAGATTGACCTGCTACCGGAAACACACTTGGATAGAAACGAAAGAACCGCAAGGAGGGACTGAGTGATGAAGGTTCCGGTAAATCGCGTTTTGGTACGCATTTGTTAGCCTGGCAGTATGAATGAGCACCGAAATGGTCACAGTCGTCTAAAAATGAGGCACCTTCCACCACCTTTGCTGTCACGGCCATTCGGACTGTATCGGCTTCTCATACGCGCAAGATTCTCTGTTATACATTCAGATGAGTTTCGGCTCTAGGATATAGGTAGCATATGTCCACTATACCTCAATGTCTGCAGTCCGTGTCGACGACTCCGGCGCCGACACCCCCGTTTCCCATGGCCAGTATCTGAGTCAACTTCGTGATTCTACCGCGTTCATCAGTCTCTGTTACGAGTGTAGGTCATTACGCTTACCTGGACCATGTACAAAGCCGGGTCCCTTCGTTTTCAACGCGACATCTACGGCAGGATATGAGGAAAAGCTTGCAGAATACAACTCCAAATGGCTGACCTTGTATCTGTATCATCTCAAATTCAAAACTAGCCCTATTATTCATGTTGCATTCGCGCTTGAACGTCTGATATTGGTGCCCCAGAAGCTTCAAGGCTGACGAGAGCGCTGGACGCTTCAGTACGACTGCCTGGAAGACATCGCCATCGATATAGACAACCTGGCGCGCGCCGCCCGAACGTTGCGCGTTTGGTTAGACATGGGATGATGGTAGTAACTGTACAAAGAGTGACTGGACGTTGGCTGTCGTAGATTTTGATTAGTAATCAATCACTTTGAAATGTCGATTCTGGTTCGATTCCCAGAGAATCACAAATGCTTGTTCACAATATTTATGTAACTCTTTTCACGCTTTGACAATGTCATTGTCATTGTCATAGTGTGTCGTCGGCGAGAAGACTCCGGTTGATTTTTGGACAATGATGCAAGCCACCCACGTACGACACTGCCACATCGGTCCGTTGTTCCGAGTACAGTTTCCCTCCCACAACGACGGTACATGAAGACCCTCTACGCTGTTTGAACGTGAAGTGATGATGTCAAGCTCAACGGCGAGGAACAGTGATAGTGATAGTGGATTAGCGAAAGAAGGTGAGTCTCAGCCCGCATGCGCTACCTCTCTCTCTGCTCAACTTGCATGTATCTACAATCTAGGTCCATCAGTGTGAACCACCCCTCCCTCCCTCCGTAACGTTTGACAGTACGGATATCAATTTCGCTCGTGCCCATTTGTTCCAACATCCTAGGATTCAGTTAAACAAACAGGTTCTGCAAAAACTTGGCGGGAGCGGCTGCATGGGTAGGTCGAAGCCTTGTTTTTGTGTTTTCGCCGGCTTTGCTGACACTCTTTCATTTAGTTTACTTCTCTGGACGCAGATTGAGATGGTTAGCATGGGATTGATTGTTGTGGCTGTCAATGGGCATGGTATTGTATCTCTGTTTGCTTACTGACTAGTCATGTATCGAAGCTCTTGCTGCAACGTAGCGTTAATATAGTAAGTATGTATTAGTTGTTATCCTGCTCATCTTGACACTGAACAAACCCGATAACTTAGAAATAATAGATCTCAACTGTTTTATCAAAGGTAAGATGCTCTCATTATGAGATGGCAATGGGTACTAATGATATATATTGAACTAGATGACGTGACTGAAGCGTTTCAAGCCCATAAGACCTACAGCGTGCGAGCACTGTCATAACTTCAATCATCGGGTTAGTCAAACACGTACAAGACTTCGTCACAGAGAACAAGATGGTGGAACGGTGCTTTCTACTACGCTTCAACATCCAGACACAGATAGGACGGACTTAGTGTTGTACGTGTTGTTGGAGAACGCGTCTATTTTGCCAGACGCGTTAGACACGTTGACCAGACCTCTGTTCAGTTGACCGTTATGTTACGATGGTTGGCCTCATTCCTCAAACCGTTTGCGTGTCCTTACGAGGTCAGAATCAAGTCATTGTTAGTGGTAAGAAGTCTAGATGCACCTGCAATCCCCACTGAGGACCACCGAATTCTGGGTCAATGCTGTGAAAACAGCGAACGGATGGGTGTGCAGATGTTATTCGCAAGAGGTCGATAATCTCTGTAGCGTTCCGGTGCGGCCATCCAAAGCTTGACGTGTTCGTCTCCTCGTCAGGGCCCGCAAACTGACAAATACGAAGCGGACTAGGGCGATGTGATAGGCAGTCGGAGGGGATTCATGAAGACAATTATGGGCAAGGCGAAGTACGTTACGAACTTTGGCGAGGAGAATATCGGGGACCCGCCAGGCAAGGAGATCATGGAGATGACAGGAAGCAGTCACGATCTTGGCAAGGAGGATACCACTACGCAGACCCATGTGGGGTTAAGTCAGAGGTAAACATAGCACATATATCCAGTACACACCAAATCTAATGTCAGGCATTGCAGCGTACATCACCACGTCGACTACCTGCTCTGCTGCGACCCATAACCGACAAATCCAGCATTACCGAGAGCGTAAAGTCTTCCGGACAGCATTCCAGAAGGCCGGGAGATCCCATAGTCAGTTTAGGCGAGTTTACGATGGTGCTCAGTAGAGAAAAGCACGGGTCCAATATGGCTCCCGCCACTAGCACCTAGGACCAGAATGCCATCGTTGTGAGGGAGTTGTGTCAGAACGAGTGGATCTATGTGGCTGTGTCACACCACAATTGTCCAAAATCAACCAGAGTCGTCCCGCCGACGGCACATAGTGTCGAGACCCGAAACTAATGAACATTGATATTGAACTGCTAGGATGTCAGCCGTTCGAAGTAAAAACTATCAGTTCATTGCGTAACGCGCAATCATCGCATCGTATGCATGAAACCTCCACTGTCCAGGAGTATCAGGATACCTTGTTTTAAAATCGGCCCCGACGTTATAAAAGTACGTGGTACGCCCTTTTCTGTGGAGTCCAATCTTTTATCTCTAAAGTTAAAGCTGAAATTATTGTTTATGCTTGATCTTTCCTACTGTTTCTCATCAGAAATACTTGCGAAACAATGCGACAACATAAATATAAGATTATATAAATAAAAGTAGATCTAGTAGCACAAATCGAGGGAAGCGCACGAAGCTCTTGCTCGCTGTGAAGAAAAGACTACATCATGTAAGTAAGTATAAAATAGCAAACGGCAAGGGAGCGTGAATTATTTTCAGTGGATAGGTGTAAGATAAAGAATCAGCTCGAATACTTAAAGGGATCAGGCTCTCCTATGGTTGACGTTTACTCGCTTCCTCTGGGCCTTCGGCCTCCAGGTTTCCCAGAGCCTTGACTGGTTTGAGTTGGTCCTCCGCCATTGTGTCCACTGGGCTTTCCCCCTTGACTCTCTCCAGCTGTTCCAGAACCTTGGCTAGAAGTATTCTGTTTTCCACGAGGAATATATCTGTGATGCGTTGTATGATATCTCTCGCTCTTCGTACATTGTGTAACTCACGTACCCTTGGCTAGAGTTGGACAGACTTGTGGAAATTTAGTCAGAGAATATAACAGATGAATAAGGTACGAACCTGGATAATCCCCTGTGAATTCCATCGTGAGCAATGGCGGCAAATAGAACATTCAAACGAATACACACCGAACACCTGGGAGGACACGGATGTGCTTGAAAACGCTGAATTGCATCTTGTAAGTTGTGGGAGAGGTCGCGGTTGCGTTTAGTTAAGAAAGATGTAGTGTAGTGAAGAAATACCCACCTCGTACGTCGTCTTTTATACCATAGCACATATTGATCTGTATTCCATCTTGGGCTGGTACAAGTCGGATGTCATTGTATTATAAAACACCGACGTTTCAGTATACGCTATACGCCATGTACACATCAGGATCTCCCGAAATCAAAGAACGGCGCACCGTAAATCCTACCATGTGGAACACGTATCGCCGCGTAACGCATTGATGGCACCGATATCAGCATAGGTGAAGCTGTCGACGCGTCATTTCATGTGTCATAAGCCTAGGAAAGAGTGGGTACTCGATGGTGTCATCTGCACCAAAGTACAGAGGAGCGAGCTAAGAAAATACATAGGAAAACTTGTTACATCGATGAGGGGGATCCTGGTATGCAAACCTCCTTGATGATGAACAGGGTGGGATCGTTGGTATGCTTTACCAAGGCGACATCGGAGCATTATTTTTGGTTTATGCATACTTCGACCTATTTCTGAGGCGTGTTAGAGTCCGGTTGTATGGGCGTAATAGCGTGCAAAAATTCACGCCCGCGCAAGTGAGGTTTTTCCGGCCGTAAGTTGGTTATTAGTGCGCAAGTTCGCTCGAATCTTTCCCCCAAGTTAAGGGACATTTGAAGCAAGTTTGCTATTGTAAGGAGTCTGTGATTTGTTGTCCCGCTGTGGTCCAGACAACTGATTATAGACTATGCACCGTACGTATGTCAACTTTTTGGGAACGAATGCGGTACCTACGCTGTTCAGCGGGCCATATTGTGAGCCCTGGAACTCCGTGAAATTTGGTTATCGTACCTCGGTTTATCATTGGCTCGCAGAGCAATTGAATCCAGAGTTAACTGTCTGGACAAGGTTGAAAGGCATTCCAGTTCAGAAATCAATTATCGCACAGAAGACATTCATACATACCTTGAACTCGAAATTCGAATCGTTGAAGGTGCTTTGCTACTGAGGATCAAACTTAGAGATCAAAATATCGAAGACAAATAAAAATCTGACTCCATCACATCAAATGGCGTCAAATAAATAGCTAAGGTAGAAGAAATCAAAACTTAATGCCCAAGGATTTTGGCCCATCACGGCAACAAAGGAAAAATCTTGATATCTAATCGCCGAAATAATGTCGGCCGGTCTAGCCATCTCGGTTTGCTCAGAACCCGCCCCCAGATCTTATTCAGAGATCTATGGCAACAACTGATGATGTGTATATCAGTATAGGAAAACACTTAACTTGCAGGAGGGGACATGAACTTGCGCACTTAAAGTAACTTGCGACTGGAAAAAATATAACTTGCATTCATCGCATTTTTTGCACGCTATTACGCCCATACGGTTGAACAGAACGTGTCAAGACACATCACAAGGCTTAAGCAACAGACGGCTATCAGGTAGATGTGCAACGAAGGAACCACATCGAATTTAAGGCTTCCAAGAAACGACGGCTTCATAAAGGATGAAACCGTATACGCAAGCGTGTGCCTGCTGCAACGGTAGGTGGCCCTTGGCGAAGCTCAGTCAGGAATTGCGGGCCGATCGTCGTATTGAGTGCCTGCCGCGAAAGACGCGTCTTCGGCTCAATTTTTCAGCCAGCCGGACCTTCCAAGAAATGCTATTACTTCCCGAGAGCCTCAAGGTTCGGCGTATCAGTAGAAGCATTCATTCCTTCAACAGGAAAAGTTGAAAATGACTGTGGAACCACATTCGGCGATGCCATGTCAATGATTGCCTAGCGGCTGACTGGATTCCCCCTCATAGCGATACTTCTATAGCGCTGGCGTCCCACTTAAAAACAGTTCTGCGCTATTGCCTACCGTATATTCCACGTGGTACATAATTGCTCATCACATTGACAGTCTCAACGGAGAGCCGGATACACCTTCGACAATCTGACTTTTACGTTCTTGCATTGATCGTCTTAAGCACCCTCTGACGAGGTTCGTGTGTAGGGAACCTATCCGGTTAGCAATTGAAACCAGTTGGATTCGAAAAGTCTAGCGTCATTGTTTTTTATGTGGGAACGTTCCAGACGATCCCGAAGAAAAGCTTGGCATCTTAACGAAGGCTTGTCCGCATCGACATCGAAAAATCTTCTGGATTTCTCATTTGACAGCATGAGGAGTAGAAGAAGGGGTACTACTCACCCGAGGGTTAGAAAATTCCCTGCACGAATTTTTTGGCCACTATACATTTTAGATTCGTCTTTTCGAACCTGTTAGTTGTCTCCGGTAACTCGACTTTCACGGCCACATACCCAAAACGTAAACACAATACCACTACCAATTGCCGAAGATACCCGGCAGATCCTTCATCTTCCGGTCTCGCTCCCCTCAATTGCACTTGCTGCTGTGGACCCTCTCCAAAAAGCACTTCTAGACAACATACGCCCTGAATCATCAACACTTCATGACCCCAGTCTAATGGCAGCATTGTAAGCTACACACAAATCCAGGTCCGCAGAAAAGGGGAAAAACGGGAGTCGAGTCACTAGCTCGGAGAGAAATGCGATATCGCTGTCTCGGGAATTGTGGCCGTGAGGTGGACATCAGGAGTTGTTCAACATCGCCCGTGTCCTCAGAGTCCTCGTCGAACGACCGCATGCGACTCAAGAGGGAGACCCTATTGCAGCGGTCCACATCGTCCTTCTAGGATGTCTGAGAGAGGGTTCTCTGTTGTCTGGTACAAGTCTTCCCGTGCTTCCCGACGTAATGAAAATCCGAGGCCTGACAGCGGTAGATGGTAGCCGAGAAGACGCGACTGAAAGAAATCTTGCATTAACTGAAGGTGCGGAAGATGTTTCGTCCTCTTCTTCGTATTCCAACAGACATCATTAATAGACATAGCGAATCCCTGATACCGTCGGCTACCAATGAATTTTCGCGACAGAACATACGGTGAGCAGAGGAAGCTCATTAGATTTCATAGTATGAAGAGAATCCAACGACATCCCAGAAATGAACGGCCGACTTCATGTGGTAGCATATGATACCGGAGGGACGTAAAACCCTGCTGAAAGGAATTTTTTGTCGACTTGGGGGAAATGTTCACTCTGATCTGGAGTACGTATGATATTTGTTCAGAGAGTGACGCAAGCACGGACAGGACTCGGATTCGACGCTCGTCAATTAATCACTGAAGGATCTCTCATCGGAGACATGCCCTCCTGCAGTCGTTCTCGCTCTCGTATCTTCGGGAGTGGGTTAAGAATATTGCAATGTGCAACCAACGACTATGCTGGATATGCTGGATTCGTCGCTGAAGGCAGTTCGTGAGAGTGTAAGAGTGTAATTCCAGCTGCAAGGAGAGATTGAGCTTCCTCTTTTCGGCCATGCTTGTCAGGTCTATCTTCGTGAGAAGGGGCCGTCGATACGCAGAACTGGGCTATACATATACTACCACGAAGACCGCCACTGACATTCCCCCGCAGGGATAACCTGTCTCGAGCAGGGAGTGTAAATGAGAAGAGTTGTGCTTTGGGCTACTGGGGAGACAGTGGGTGTTTGGGGGCTCTGTGTACCAGCGGGTAGGTAGTGAGGATGGAACCACAGGAGAAAAGGTCAGGCGTAGATAGGATGGGATGGAAGGCGCACGGCAGGGATGATCTCTACGCGACAACCATCACCCGTACGTAAACGCAAACGGTCCTGCGGACTTCGATAATCTTTTGCGCGGACTGTCAAGGCATATCGAACTCGCCACTCAAAATGATGCTGGTGAAAAGTGCTGTTATGACAAGGCTCGACGGCGTTGCTGAGAGGCGCACCTCCAAGTTCACTAGTAGTCTCGAAAGATGGAAGACATTTTCTGAAGTGCCGTGCATTGAAAGTCGATATGCCTTCTGACGCAGAAGATATGTCGACGGAAGACGGTATGAGGTCCGCAAATTGATGCTGAGGCCGGGCTGGGAATCACGTTACGGCATCGACGGTAGGTCTTCTCTGAGTCCGGACGATATTAGGTTGCTAGTTCAACCATCGATAAAGGCTCCTTGTTCCACAAATAGGAGCGTCCCATGCAAAGAGAATTGCGACATTGAAGAGGTTGTTGATAGGTTTCCTTCTCTTCACAGTTCGCCAGAGTGGCCGCCTGAATCACAAAAGGTCGAACAGAGAGATGCCGAGCAACTTCATGTTCCTGGGTGCCGCACGTTTGCCTTTCATCAGACGAGAATTCGAGACATGAAATGAACAGGTGTCAGTTAAAGATGGGTTTCTCCGAAGAATCATTTCCTCGAGCAGATTTCAATAACCGATGTGAGGCCGCTGAGGTAGCCCGATGAGAATAAGGAGCAACATCCGAAGATGACGGAATCTCGTTGGTTGGGATAGGGAGGCGCGAAAAGTTCATGTGGACGAAATGAATTGGTCGCTTAGGCTTTAGTTCCACGAGTCTGTGATCCTTGCTTGATTGAGGGCGACGCGGCATCTTTGGACCTATGGTTAGAAAGTTTCGGGACGACACGGTGATAATGCTCACCGAGATTTCCTCAGATAAGCAAGCACACGGCCTGTTCCCCCATAATCAACTCATTCCACCCGTAGCTTCTGATGAAATCATGCCAAGCTAGAGCACCTACAGAAGTTCATTAAGTCCTTGATCAAAGATGGAATAGTACAGTACTTTACCTCAACACTTTTTAGAATCCAGTAAGAACGCGCAAACAACTTGTCTACATGTAGCTTACAACATTGATTGATCAAGCCCGCATCATGTTCAGGGGGCAATGGGATAGAAGAGAAACAATGAGCGAGGCAGTACAGGGGTATCGGACGAGAATGAGAATCGTTGATGGCGAGTAGTCTAGTCATTTGCGTATGACCACAGTTCAACGGTTCCACGTTCATTGTAGTACTCTTCTGCAAGACCTTGGACCATCCCACATTGCTTGATAGGTGAGACTCTCAGGATGGTCCGGAGAGAATTGGGACCGGCAGTTGTAAACAAAGTTGGATGAGAATGAAAGGACAGTAAGAAGGAATTGAGTCATGAAGGGCCTGGAAAATCGTACGGATTCGTTGTGGTCTGGCGGTATGAATGAGCACTAAATTTGTCGCAGTTGCCTAAAATGAAAGGCACCTTCCACCACCTTTGCCATCACGACCGTTCGGGCTGTATCTGCTTCTCATACACACGAGATTCCCTATTGGACATCCAGCCGTGTTCCAGTTCTAGGATATAGGTAGCATATACCCACTGTGACGTGGTGCCTGTTCAGTCCATGTTTCTATATCTATTTCCATTTCCCATGGCCAGCGTCAATCGATGTCCTAATTCTACTGCGTTCATTAGCTATTGTTACAAGTGTAGCCCATGCACTCACCTTGACAATATACAACTCCGTGTCCCTTCGTTTTTGACGCGGCATTCCCCCGCAGGATATAATACTACTTGCAAACAAACGATTTGGCAGGCGTATCAAACAGCGTATCCTGCACCATTTGACACGAGCTCGAAGGCGTGTCTCTCAGTAACGCTGTCGAGCCTTGTTGCAGTAGCACCTTTCATGCAACATCCTTTTGAGGGAGGCAAGTTTGATATACATCAACACATTGTGCGGAAACTATCGAGGCAGAGTTGATGTCCTTCCCATTCAACTGGAGCGTCGACGGAGGACACTATGAAGCCGGCAAACCGATTCCGAGACTTGGCTGCGAATCGGGTTGTAGCATCGATAGTATATCGTCTTCGAGTCCGGATGATAGCGGTGCCCTCGATAAAGGCTCCGTTTTCCGTAAACGGGAGTGTACGCTAGAAGAGCCGTGCAAGACGAGCACAGCATCGAAGGGTCTCGATTGGTTTTCCTTCTCTTCAAGATCCGCCAATGTTGTCTGCCTCACAAAACCTTGCGGTCGTCGAAGAAAGAGAGGCCGAGCGAAATCATCAGTTCCTGGGGATGCGGCACGTTCACCTTCATCAAACTATAGCTCGAGAGTAGAAAGATGGTTCTTTTCCCGAAGAACTTTTTTTCTCGAGCGGTACCTGATGAAATGAAAGATACACCGAGCAGATCTCAAAAACCGATGTGAGACCGCTGAAATAGCCCGATGAGTATAATGTGCAATATTCGGAGATGAAGGGATGTCCTTGGTTGGGATAGAGAGGCGAGAAATGTTCCTGTAGACAGAGTGATTTGGTCGCCTTGCTCTGGTTCCGTGAGTCTTTGATCTTTCCTTAATTGAAGGAGGTGCGGCATCTTTGTATCTTTTGGTTGGAACATTCCAGGACGACACGGTGATAACGCTCACCGTGATACTCTCAAATAAGCAAGCAAACAGTTTGTTCCCTTCATATCTAGCTCATATTCTGGACCTAGATTCTGATGAACATACACCGAGCGAGTGCGTCTACGGAAGTTCATTAAGTCCCTAATAAAAGATGGCATGGTAAGGATACTCACCTCGGAACTGAGAACGCTCTTTCTTAGCCGGAAGACCCAAACGATGGCCCAGGTGTTGTCTTTCAAGGCCTCATGCCACTAACGGATTCAGCCGCATATTACGGTCTGAGAGGCGTGGAGATATGTGGGCCAAGCAGGTACACGAGAATGAGAAGTGGTTGATGCGAGCAACCTAGTCATTCACGCATGACCATACGTCGACTGTTCCACATAGCAATCCTTCCATTACAAGATCTTAGACCATCCCATATCACTTGATAGGCACTCATACAGTCACTACCGGTGATGCCTCTCCCGTTTATCACCCCGGCAGTCATCTCCCATTGTAGCAGCCACATTTTGGCCATCTATTGCTGGTGACAAACATGCGTCAAAGGAACGCGTGACCTTTAGGATCACTAGTAGAGAATCGTGATTCGTTGTCGGAAACGCGGTTGGATGAGAAAGAAAGCACCACGAAAAAGAATTGAGTGATGAAAGATCCAGGAAATTGCCTTTTGGTAGCATTTGTTGGGGGGACTGACGGTATGAATGAGCGCTAACGTTGCTGCAGTCGTCTAAAACGATGTGCCTCCCACTACCTTCGTCGTCGCAGCCATTCAAGCCGTCCCCGCCTCTCGCACACGCAAGAATTCCTGCTAGGTATCCATATTTGGGTTTATTGGTAGCATATCATATAACCCTATAGCCCATATCCATTTCCCGTGGCCAGTATTTGCAGTTGACTTGGTTCTTTCACACTCATCAGTTATCGTTGCGAGTGTAGATTATGTGCTCACCGTCATCATATAAATCCCCTTGTTTTTGCCGTTGCAGCTATTGTCGTATATGAGAAAAAGCACGCAGAATACAACGACAGAAGACTAACTTGGTATCCGTATTGTGTCGAATTCGAACCTGAATACCCCGGCGTACCTGCTCGGCCCTATTATTGGTGTTTGAAGGTTTGATGTCGCCAGGGCTGCCTGGCACTTATGACTGTGATTGGCACGCGCTGCTGGTGACAAAAAGCACATAAGGAGAGTGAAGCCGGGGGAAACTGTGACCGTTGTCGGAAACGCGCTCGGACGAGGATGAGGCGCGCCACGGGAAGGAATTGAGCAACATCAGGAAATGGGATAGAATGGTGCGAATCTTCTGTGTTCTGGCAATACGGATGAGAACTGATTTTGTCGTAGTTGTTTGAATTAACGTACCTTGCACCACCTTCACCGTTGTGACCATTCGCTGTGCCCGAAGCTAGTACACGTATGACTCCTCTCTGCGCTGAGCTTTGGCTCTAGGATACCTTCGTCGCATAGGAATCCGCGTTTCCTCGTCTTCGCCGTGACATCTGAGAGAAGAAACTGGCAAAAAAGTACAAAAAAAGTCCTAACTGATCTCACCTTTCGGATAATGTATATCTCAAGGTTTAGAAGGAGAATATAGTAAGTGGCCTAGCCATTCCCTATCGCTGGACCTGGCATCCCAAAAAACACTCTGAGATGAACACAACGACTAGGGCGAGTCGGGCGGTGCCTTATTACCCCAGCACGCCAGAAGCCGTATTAATCATCACTACTACTAGCACCAACGAAAGAACGAGATGTGTCGCGGAGAGGACGGATTGAAGAAGGGATACAAGCACGCGAATTACACTTTGAGCTCGTTGAAAGGCCCACGAGGACGACTAGAATTGAATAATCTGTAGTCGACGATGGATAATTCTCTGGTAGTATATCGGTTAGTACACGCGCCTGTCATTGAGCTCAAAAAGACTACCGCGCAAAAGCTGGGTTCGACTCCCAGCCAGAGAGGTAGAAAATATTTTGCAACATTAATTTTGGTTTCCGACGTCCGTCAAATGAATTATCAACACTATGAACAATGAACATTGAAGTGACTAGAATTTTTATTTGAATCCAATGTGCAATAGTAGATACAACATGCAAGTGCCCGTCGCCCGACTGTGACTTTTGGATACAGGTAAAACGACTCTACGACGAAGAGAACGAGACCTTTCCAGAAGGCGAACGACATACATTTGCCCTCGTCCGAGTCAGACGTCTCTCATAAACCCTTTGGATCCAGTTCCGACAGGTATCTAGATACACCCACGAAATGACCATCTGTAAAGTCTTGAGTGCTGTATCGTTTTGGAGGAAATACACCGTACCCTAGTATGTCGTCGCATGGAGATCTTCGGCAGCGTTGATGAAATAGGCGGTCCCGTGATAAATTACATGGCAGGGCACGACATAAACCTGAGTTTGGTAAAATATGCTGGAAATACCAGAGAAGGGATATCATGACGTCGGACGGCGTATCAGATGGCAAATAGAGAGAGAAAAAGGCGGATTTGTGAAGACAAAATTCATAGAATAGGCGCCTTTCAGACGGGATAGCCTGGTATATATCCATGAAGGACAAAGGGACAAAGGAATTCGAATGATGGCGATCTCGAGAATGAGTTCTGAGTACTGATGGCATGTGAGAGCAAAATCATATGGTTCAAAGCAACAGGCCTTGGTACTCGTCGATAGTGGTCTGCGCACTGTCCAGACGCACTGAGGAACATCAGGACAAAGAACTGCAAGGAGGAGAAATTCCCAGACGGGCTTTGATACTCCTCACCGTCACAGTGTTCTGTTTGAGGGCGAATGATGCTCTCCGCCGTCTCATTCACGTCAGAGTGAACTTGTACCAACCACTGGAGTCGGTTGAAGTATACGGTCCTTCCACTCAAAAACAGTCCCCCTACGTGAAATGCGGTTGCAGAAAATGGAGAGGCACCCCTCAGCTCCAAGCGCCAATAAATCGCCCTGTTGCCAGGGGTGAATTTAAGAAAAATGCGTCTTTCTTGAGTGTTTCCTCTTAAGGCTCGAGCGGTCCCATCTTGACTAGCGCGAAGGATTCAATGTCTTCCCAAGCCGTTATGTCTGGCATGCGTAAGAACAACCGGTCACAAAAGCAACGTGAGACCGCTAGGAGATTCTGGAGCACCCGTCCAGAGTGGATGAGAATGAAGACGAATGAATGTTGTTATCAAGATAAAGAAGTGCGGAAAATGTGTCGGCTGGGTGTATTGGCGACCAGACTTGGGGCTCTCCGAAATTGAGGGCGCATGTGTATTGAGCTTCTCCGTGACCCGCTGACCAAACGGCATCACTGGGAGTTAACATCAACGACAGTCTGGAGATCACTCTGCAACCATTCGCGTCATCGTAGGTGAAAAACCCTCAGTCTATAGGTGAGAGCACGCCGAGAACATATCCATTGTCCTGAATTTTTCGGCCGACGCTGGGTCAGACTTCGCAAGTGCCATCGCATACGCTAATGTTCATCACAAAAGCAGTTTCGTACTGACTGACATTCTGCGTGACGAGTCCGAGGCGGATATGTCATGATATGGGTACATAAAGGGAAGAATTCTGAGAGCAGGTACGCCGTGTGTATAGGGGGGATAAGGTTGATTGTTGAAACCTGGAAAGGCTCAGGCTGTATATGTGTGGCGTTAGGGGGCAGACAGAAGTCGCCTGATAGTTGCGGGTTCCAGATGGGAAGGGAAGGGGGAGGGTCCATCGATCCAGCTTCTGTCGTCTCTCCTACTTAAAGAATGTGGTGCCGGAAAGCGGGAAAGCGACAAGACCACGGGAGACAATGCTCAGCTCGAGGCGCTGAAACAACGTTGCCTTTTTGCTGCAGGTTCCTTGGAAAAAAGCAGCTTCCTCCGAACTCGGCACACGCATTATCGCAGGATTCACCGACATCCATGACGGGTCTTCTTAACATGCTCGAGGGATATAGACGATGGTACAACATCAGGTATTGCCATCGACTGAGAATTCAGATGAGTACAGACGTTCGTCCTTCTCTTCTCGGGTAGACATCGATCATCTACTACGCGGAACTGGACTATATGCGCATACCTATGGGCCGCATACTGTTGTTGCGAGGATTATAGTACGGATTCTTCCAAGTGAGGTCGTCAAGAGGAGTTGTACCGCACATGAAAAATTTATGTTTTGCGCCGTTGAGTGAAAGGGGCACGCTTGCAGGTGTACCATTCGGAGAGGCGTCGAGGATGGAACCTGCACCAGGGGAAGAGAAGGGGCCAGGCATGGGCGGGAAGAGACGTCGAGTGCGTGACGGTGACTCCTGCGTGCAAGAGGACCAGCCTCGACGATCCGCACATGCTGTCGAGGTATCGGTCATCCCATCTAAAAGGTCGACGCCGCGCGAGGATTTAAGAAGACTCGACGATCTTGCTGAGATCGAGAGACGAAGGAAAGCGCCGTGTGCATGCTTTCCGATGCAAATAAAATGCGAACAGAGGTCGCAAATCGATGCTGAAGATTGGCTGAGAATCACACCACAGCATCGAAGGTAGGTCTTCTCCGGAGGGCAACGGCCTGCGCTTAATAAAGGCGCCTTGTTCCAAGAATGGGAGCGTGCGCCAGAAATGTCCATTGGAATCCTGAAACAAATCTCGTGTGACGGTTGGTTTCGGCCTCCTTTCTCCCCTTCATATACTATGTGTGAAGATCGCCCTGCTTGCATCATAGTCCCCGAAGGAAAAAATAGCGAGCAACATCAGTTCCTGGGGTGCCGTACGTTCGCTTCTCATCAGACCAGAGCTCGGGTGATAAGATGGAGAGCTGTGAGCCAGAGATGGTTATCAGACGGTTTTTTCGGAGAGATCTTTTTTTTCACTCAGGCGGTGCCTATTGGAAAGGGCGCCATCTCGACCTGCGCCAATCAATCGCACATCACAACTGTGCGAGGGGTAGCATGACTCGTACGACCACCAGGATCCGATGAGAACGATGTACGGATATCGCAACGGGTTGGGATAGAGAGGTCTGAAATTTTTTCTGCGATCTAGTGGGTTTAGGCTCCGGTTCCTTGAGTCCTTGATCCGTCAGGAAATGGGTGCAGCGTGACATACTATGTTCATTGACTGGTTAGAGCTTTTCAGGACGGCACGGCGATAGAGCTCACTGAAATAAGCAAGGTGGGCGAGCATGCCCTAGTTCGAATATAATCAACTCAGGGCCTGCTCCAGATTTTGACGAACACACCACGAGGAACCGGAGCGTCTACCGAAGTTCATTAAGTTCCTGATAAAAGATGGAATAGCAAGCATACTCACTTCGGAACTGCTAGCGCTCTTTCAAAAACTAGCCGGAAGGTCAGTGGACTCAAACAACGGACCGGATGTGGCCTTTGCCTCTCATGCCACTGACTAATCCAGCCGCGCATCATGTTCCAAGGGGCAGGGAGATATGAAAGAAAGTGAGAGCCAATAAGAGAGGTAGTGTCGGACGAGAAGGAGAAGAGTCGTTAATGGCGAGCCGCCCAGACATTCCCACATGACGACCCAGATACTCGACGATTCCGTGGTCATTACTCAGTGACGAACCCTCTATTGAAGGACTCGTGGTCGTCCCACGTCGACGTCGGATAGGCGCCCAGGGTACATCAGGATAAGATGGTCCTTGGACAACCCATGGCAACCACCCATGCCTCCCCCGCCTGTTACTACCCTAGCACTGATCATCATTTAGCAACGATATCATCGCTGTTTATCACCGCGCTGCTGGTAACGAAAATGCACCAACGGAGAACAAGGCTTTTAGGGTGGCCTGGGGAGAACAGTGATTCGTTGTTGGAAACGCGGTTAGATGAGAACGAGGCGCGCCGCGGGAAGAAATTGAGTGACGAAGGGAAATCGCCTTTGGTGTAGGATGTCCTCGTACGAGTTTGTTGTGTTCTGGCAGTATGGAGGAGCTCTGATCTTCTTGCAGAAATTCGAATTGATGAACTGCGCCGTCGTGAATATTTGAATCTTACTTGCCTGGCAGACTGTAGGCTCGAGATTTAGCTAAGTTTCGGCCTAGAATATAGATTGCACATACCTACGAACTCGCTGTCCGTCACCAGTCCATATCTCTACAGCCTCATCGATTCTCTCTCCCTTGGCCATCGCCAGTCAACTTCAGAATGCTACCACATTCGTCGGTTACCGTTACATATGTGTAGATTATGCATGCACCTTGGTCGTATACAAATTTGCGTTCCTTCGGTTTCGGTATAAAAGTTATGAGAAAAAGAATTCAGAAGGCATGTTGCCGCTGCAAAGGGTAGACTTCCTAATATGGAGAATCAGGAGCTAATGATAGTAATTGCCACCCTATTGTCTTTGGTAGTGTATCAGTTATTGAGTTCGCCGAATCTTCGAGTCCACACGGAAGCTGGGTTCAATTCCCAGTCAGAGACTTGGTTCATGATACGCAGATATTTTTACAATTACGTCATTCTAAGATGGTAGGACGGCTTAGGATGGCTAGGCACCTACTAGGGCTAAAATCACAGTTACTATCCAGCCTCTGGACTCACCGAGAACCTCCTTGACAACACTACTCCGCCTTGATGCAGCCCACGAACACTATCAGTGTGTCAGAAGCAGAGACATCGCACGCGACGTGGCTGAAGCAATGTCTTTGCGATGTTTTGGTTACCGTTTCCTTCTTTGTCGGATGCATCTACAGCCTAAGCATTCTGTCAGATCTTATTCTGCTTAGGCTAAACATCGTAATGATCCATGCACGACGTGGATAGATGGCAATAGTAGTACCAGCATGCCTGCGGTTCTGGATTCGATTTGTGAGTTCTGTCGTTGACTCGTGCGGTTTTCAGGAGGTTGAAGAAATTGATTCTTGCAGGCTTTAAGAACACGTTAGACACAGAGACAGGCAGCACGCGGGTGCGCACCATTTTATCTACTTTCACTGGCTGAACTTGGATAGAATGAAACTAGCAACCACTTCTCGACGCATTTTTACTTAGCAAATGATTTCAAACGATCAAACTTTCCCATATACCATTTGATTTTTATCACAGGGCTACGCGAACCGTTCGTATACTCTATGTTTCTGGCTTAGACTCAGTCCCTTTCAGATACTTAGCCTGTGAGGTATCGTATGCATCAGTGCAAATATAGAATTATATGGATATAAGTAGGTCTGGTAGCACAAATCGAGAGAAAAGAACCGAAGCTCCTGCTCGCCGTGAAGAAAAGACGTGTGAGTAAAGGATTGCTAGCAAGGGGGAGGGAGCGTGAATTATTTCCGGTGGATAGATGTAAGATAAAGTGGGTGGCAACTCAAATGCGTAGAGGGACCAAGTTCTCCCATCGTCGACCTTTACGCATTTCCACTGAGCCTTCGGCCTCCATTTTTCCCAGAGCCTGAGCTAGTTTGAGTTTGTCCTCCGGAGCCCTTGGTTCCTCCTCCTCCTCCACTTCCTTTAGAACCTTGGCTGTTGACATTCTGTGACCCGCGAGGGATGTATCTGCGATACGCTATATGGTATGCCTTGCTCTTCGGATAGTGTAGTAGAGCTCACTCACCCTTGACCAGAATTGGACGGACTTGTGAAGACTTAGTCAGAGAGAAGCATAAATAAAGGGAGCGCAAACCTGGATAGTCCCCTGTGAATGCCGCCGCAGTGAGCATTAGTGGGCAAACAAGACATTCGGACGGATACACACCGAACACCTTGGAAGATAGGGGTACGCTTGAAAATGTTGAATTGCATGTTGTGAGAGATTATGCGGTGTGGTTATTTAAGAAAGGAGGAGTGTAGTGAAGAAGTACCCACCTCATACGTCGTCTTTTATATCATGGTACATATTGATGCTCATTCCATCTTTGGCGCGGTACAAGTTGGATGTCATTGTACTAGAAAATACCGACGTTTCAGTCTACACCATACGCAATAAGCACATCAGGATCTCCCTTGATCAAAGAACACCGTACTGTAAATCCTACCATGTGGAACATGTATCGCCGCGCAACGCGTTGATGGCACCGAAATCAGCACCGACCTGCCATTTCGTGTGTCATAAGCCTAGGAAAGAGTGGATACTCGTTGGCCTCATATGCACCGGAGTACAGAGGGGACCAGCCAAGGAAATACACAGGAAAGAAAAACTTGATACATCGATGAGACGGATCCTGGTATGCAAACCTCCTTGATGATGAACAAGGCGGGAGCGCTGGTATGCTTCACCAAGGCGACATCGGAGCATTATATGTAAAATACATCCTTTCAGATATTTCCGAGGCATCTGTGAGTTGTTAGAGTTCGGTTGAGCAGAGCATGTCAGGAAACGTCACGAGGCTTAAGCAATAGTCAGCTAAAAGATAGTACTTCGGATAGACGTTCTATGAAGGAGCCATAGGGACGATGGTTTCCTGCGAGATGAAACCGTATAAGCACGCGCATGCTGCAAAGATAAACATGGTGGTCTCCATTGAAGCTTGGTCGGGACTTGCGGGCCGATCGCCGCTGAGTGCCTGCCGCCAAAGACGTGTCTTCGGCTCAACTCTTCAGGCCTGTGGCCATCCAAGGAATTCCGAATGCTATTACTGCCCGAGAACTTTGAGGCTCCGCATATCAACAGCAGCATTCTGTCCTTCAACAGGAATATTTGGCGACGGTAGTGAAGCTATGCAATGGTACTAAAACGTTGGTTTTATTTGATTGCCTAGTGACTCACTTCATAGCAATACTTCTTTGGCGCCGGCGTCCTACTTTGAAACAGCTCTTCGCCATCGTCTGCTATACATTCCAACGTGAAAGCGACGTCGCCATCAATAAGGACCATTATTGTTAATCTTACTGATAGTTTCAAGTATCTGCTTTCCACGTTCTGGCGTGGGTCTTTTCAAGCACGCTCTGGCGAGGAAGTGCGTCCGGCAAACAATTGATAGCAGTTGGAAAGGAGAAGTCTGGCATCATTACTTTTTGTGTGTAAGAACGTTTCAGACGATCCCGAAGAAAAGCCTGACATCTTGATGAAGAAGGCTCGCATAAGACTCGGCATCGGCATCGAAACTTCTTCGCATTTGATTGTACGGAGAGTAGAGCAGGTGCCCTACTCACGAGGAATGGTGAGAAGCTCTTTGTACAGACTTCCTGACTGCCTTACATTGTTGGAATTGCCCTTCCCGACCTATTAAGTATCGTTAAGCATCTCCGGTAATTCGACTTGCCTGGACACGTACCTAAAGTATAGATGCAATCTTACCGATTGCTGAAAATCCCCGGCAGATCCTTCATCTCTAAAATGCAAACTCCAGCTTCTTCAAGCTCCGCTTCCGTCTCAGCTTCAACCGCGTTCGCTGAAGTCGTCCCTTCTCCAAAAAGTACTTCTAGGCGATCATACGTCCCGTGGGCGCCCCGAATCATCAGCACCTCGTTACCACGGTCTAAAGCAGCACTGCAAGCTACATACAAATCAGAGTTTGCAGAAATGAGAAAAAACGGACGTCGACTGACTCGCTCTCAGAGAGAAATCCGACTGCAGTCCAACCACAACGATCTCTGCATCAGGAACTATGAGCTCCCCGAGCATTGTCCCCGCAAAAGCATTATTCTTCTTCTTATCGATCACTGGCTCGTTTGGCAGTGGCGGGTTGACAAGCTCCCATCCCGGTGCATTTGGCTCATCAGGTTCTCCGACATCACCTGCAGTTCGAATGTGGATTATCAATGGTGGTGGATTTGCGGACCGCGCAGTTTCTAAAATTTGCGCAATGTTCTTGCGGACCGTTTCTGAGGAGGGAATTCCGGTTGGTGGGGGAGAGAGCGCTGCCGTTTGAGCATCTACGATAAGGAGTACTCTGCGCGTATTTCCTGGCATCGCAGTTTCGAGTCGAAGGATAGGACAACCGGAAGCCCTGAGGTGACGGAATCCTTATACAACAAAGTCCGAAACCAATAGATGTCGTGGAGGGGATCAAATGTCACAGGAGGGCCATCGTTCGGCAAAGCCGCCGAAACGAAGCAAAGTGCAGTTCTGTGACCTACAGTCAGTCCGCCGTTTGCACCGTCGAGATAAGGAATTAACGTTACTTTTCATGAAAGCAGGGTAGCGAAGGCCGTCAGACGGTGTGGCGTACCGAACCACAGTACTCGAACACTAAAAGCTTGCTCTGGGTAACGACGTCACATGTTGAACTCGCAAGTATGTGAACTTGTTGAGGTTCTGATGGTGATGGTTACACCGTAAGTAGCAGTCTCAGCACTGGAAGTCATGTCTGCCACATTGAACAACGTCATTATGAACGAGCAGTGATCATTTGGGGGCACAACGCGTTCCTGTTCCTAAAACCTCGGCTTCTGGTGGACAAGTCACCGACACCAAGAAACACCTGAATTCGTGGTTTGTGACAATCGAGGAGTCAAATCAGCCATGGATGGTCATAGGACTACGCGAGGCCACAACGGATACTGTGTCGAAATTCCGGGCCGGTCATTCCGAGACGATAATAAATCAATTCGTTGTAAGATATGTAAGTAACTTATCCAGCAAGTTGTTAGTCAAAGACTCGTTCCCCATATTCCGCACTCACAAAATTACAATAATGTCGCCCAAGACAATTATTTCGATGATTTACATTATAAAGCCTGAACGATACAAAACCTTACAAAACTCGTGATTAGCTGGCAGAAGGTAATCGGAGTAGATAGCGACGCACCGGATAGCCTAAAGTTTCTTGCAGGTCTTTTTATGCTTTGGCCAGTCTAAAACCTGGCAAGCACGTAGCCTCGGCACGCAATACCGAACCTTTTTGCATTTCCCACAGCGTGCCAATGTCGTGTTCTCCCCCGTCCGTGCACATGTCGCACAACAAGTGTCCCCCAGGGCCTTCCGTCTGGCATCCTCCGCTTCTACGAGCTTCAAAATTCCTTTCAACGTTGGTATTTTCCGCAAGGTCTGATCGATAGTCATCCGAACAGTGAATCCATCCTCATCTGCCAGATCGATATTACCGCCGTGCCGAAGAAACCATTCCAATGCAGCATGAGCGCGAGTGACAGCATCGCGATCACCTGGCTTGTAGACCTGAACGATCTCCTGCGCGACAGACGAACCGTAACGGTTGCGAGAGTTGACATCTCCGCCAGCATCATAGAGAATCTGCGCATACTCAAGGTCGAAGCCAGGCTTCGTGGAAAAGCAATGTGATAGAGCACGGGTGCCAGAAAGGTCTGTTCCGTCTACCGGAACTCGAGCTGTTTTAATGAGGTACTTCGCGATGCTAAGATACGAAGTCCGCTCCGGCGGGTAAAGAAGGGTGAACAAGCCTAAAAGATTGTAAATTGGAACTCGGGTGGGGCCCCAGCGCATTTGATAGAGCTCATCAGCCGCAGCAGCACGAGCAGCCTCTTTGGATGCTTCGAGATCAACAGATGTTGCGGAAATGACTTTAAGGTGACGTTCTACTCGCATTTCGAAATCTGCTCGTACTCTGATGACGTCGGCGGTGCCAAGCAGCGTGCCGTAGGCATCAAGGTCGCGGTTGGGAATCATCATCTGGGTAGTACAGTACGTTCTCAGGCGCTGAGATTCCTGTCCTTTCAGAGATTCCTGAGTTTTAATCAATTCTTCTATGGGCCTAACTAGAATTTCAGAGACGTTTCAGGGCCGAAAAGGACTCGGACCACGACGAACCTCCCTTTCCCTGTGTCAGCAGAATGAATGACATTCATGACCCTTGCACGAGTTGCCGGGTCTAAATAATCCATATTGCGCGGCGAGTATTGCGTTGGATTGTATTGGCAGAAGGAAAGAGAAAACTGAAAATTGTTTCAATTTGCGCCTCTGGATTACATCAGACGCGCCGCTCACGTGCCGTGGCTGTCCACCGTTCATCCATTTTGGGGCTCGGGCACGGGTAAGGCAAGCCCGATGCTGCTTGGTGATCCTCTACTTGAATTCCTGTGGTTCATCAGGAGGCTTCGGCCAGCAGACAATGAAGCAATTGAAAGTTAGGTCTAGATTATCCCGTCGGCACTCGGCGACACCAAATTTTAGCAGGCGAGGGACCGTAGCCGCCTGCCTGACACTGTTTCTTTGGAAAACTGAATGTCGATAGAAGACATATAAAAAGGCATTGGGCAGCAATCCTAGCTTTACATCTCTTCCTCCCTATTCGCCCTTTTATTTACCTCTAGGCGCCTTTAATATGGTTCCCACCACTCGCAGCATGTCGACTACGACTCGGAAGTTAATATTCGTTCGTGCGCCTTTCATTCCGCCAGGAACCCGGTCTAAATTTCAGATAGGTCACAGGAGGGTGCGGATTCATCGGACTGCACATTTTGACCCAGCTACTAGATAAAGGATACAAAGTTCGAGCGTACGCTTATGCTTTCAGCGTCCTCCTTCCTCGTCTAACACTCCTCTTCAGGGCCGCAAGAGGCAGAAAAATCGAGCTACTAAAGAAAGCTCTATCTGCCAATTACAGTCGCCACAATTTCGAGGTCGTAGAGGTCCGTGATATCTGCTCGGGGGATTTTAGTCGAATCCTTAATGGTCAGACAGTTTGACCGTCGCTCTCAGTATCAATATATTTATGTTTCCTCTTTACAGGAGTAGACGGAATTATCCATGCAGCGGCTCCTCTCCCAGGAAGAGTTAGTGCTGAAGCAGCCTTACGAGTGAGTATATTCTTCCTGGGTTGTATTATGTTACCAGCGGTTGATCATCAACTTACAGACCGCTATCGAAGGCTCTCTTCACGTGTTGCGAGAGGCCGTCAGGGCCAAAGTCCCAAGGGCAGTTATTACCAGCTCTGTCTTGACTTATGATTTCCCCAATGGCCCGTATAACGCAGACAGTGAGTCCCTCTCGATAGCCCTTCATAGTAGTTCTCACCCTTCGGCGGTCGTCCCAGACTGGAACCCCATCACCAAAGAAGAAGCAATAGCCTCCGGACATCCTTTCCTTATCTACGTAGCCGAAAAGAAATATTCCGACTTGGCCGTAGTCGAATTTTCCCACATCCATCCTGAGATCGATGTTACCCTCGGTGCGGACGTTTTAAAGTAGAACTTCACCTTCCGCAGTCTACTAACGTTCGACAGTGGGACCGCCATTCAATTATGGTCCTTTCGCTCCAGGCTTTGAGCACCTCCTTCCCGAACCAGACCTTAATGCTCTTTCCACGAACTCGACTATTTATTCCTTCCTTCGACCAGACACGACCGCCTTTCCTATGGCTCCAGGCGCTATCGACGTCCGAGATACCGCTAGAGCACACGTTCTTGCACTCGAGTCACCTCCCTCATCCAAGATTGGTCGTAAGAGGGTAGCTATCGTTTGTCCCCACGAGTGCTCGTACAAGGCAGCAATCGAGACCATAGCGCGCGAACGCCCGGAGCTTAAAGAACGCCTTGCCGATGCCCGTAGGGCACCTGAATGGCCTTCCAACACCCTCCCACTGGACTGGAAGAGGATTGACGAGGTGATCGGAATGAAGCCCGAATCGTTCATCCCTTGGGAGAAGACAGTTTTGGACTCGGTCGACAGTCTCCTTTGTATCGAGAAAGTCTGGAAAGAGAAAGGATTCAAGGTTAAGGGATATATAAGATAATTAATCTCCCTAACAGACGGTCAAAAGTGTTTGTAAAATCATTTATTAGACATACCATATGTATGCTTGCACCGGATCTGATGTACAATGTAAAGTACAAACTACAAGGCCGTACAGCTGATCTAAGCAATGGCTTCGGCAAACTCTCCGTTATCAATCATTTCCTGCACAATATCTAACCCGCCGACGAACTCCCCTTTGATAATCAATTGGGGGAACGTTGGCCAATCGTTCAGCCTTTTCAGACCTAGAGACAGACCGCTTAAGTCGGGCGATATTCAAAATAACATCTGCCCCACATACCTTGCCGGACGTCTTCGTCTGAAAGGATGTCGAAATGCGTAAATTCTACGTTCTGGTCTTTCAGAAGCCCCGTGATCTTTCTCGAAAATCCGCAGCGAGGAGCATCTGGGCTGCCCTTCATGAAAAGTACCACCTTTGACTGCTTCATCAGGCCCCGCATCCGCTTCTCTAGCTCCTCCGGCGTTTCCTTCTTCTCACTGACGATGTCGGCGGCCTTGGCTGGGGCCAGATCAGTCTTGGACAAGGGATTGATAGATGGCGAAGCCGCGTGTTTGGCGATGGCAGTCGTCAGTGCTTGAGCATTGGCTCCAGATATCCGATCCAACAGGGTATGACCCTGATATCTAATTAATAGGCTACTCGATGTCGAAAATGATGGTCCACTCACCCTCAAGATAACAAAAGACGGAACAGCATCAATGTCAAAAGATTCGGCAATATCTGGCTGAGATTCAGCCTCGACCTGAAGACAGGAAGGGTAAGTATATGAAAAAAAGATGGAATATTGCAAATGCACCTGGAGAAAAAGAACAGCAGGGTACTTTTTCGACAGCTCGAAGACGACCTCATTCATTTGCTTGCATGGCTCTGCAAAGTCTGCCCAGAAGTTAATGAGCGATACTCTGGTAAGGTCGGCAGAGAGGAGCTCCTGGAAATGGGAGGGGGAGGTGACTTGGTGGTAATTGGCCATGCTGATTCATCATTTTATCGGATAAGATGGAAGCCCATGTACAGCTTCGGATCTAGCCGGAGGGTACCGCGGCCCGAAACGGCATCCGATGATTGCCGATCGTTCACACAGCTTGCTTCATGATCATCATGTTGTCCGGAGAATACAATCTACCGCTTCCTGGGCCGGCCAATATATTTTTTGTTTTTGGCCTTTGGTGCGATTCAATATCGTCTGTCTCCCACCTACCCTTCTGTTGGAATAAAGGGTAAATAAACCGTTGCTTTAGATGTGACAGGACGCGGTGCTGTTGGTTGCATATTCCCGAGCCTAACGTCCTCCAGGAGTCCCGCATGACGGGAGCGGCTATTCGGTTTCACATAAATGCCTACATAGAACTCCGCGAAGTCGTTATCCCCACACTTTTCCTGGTTCTGTTCACGTCGCACACCGACATCTCCCCTCATCGTCGTCCACCACTAGCTATTGCGCGACCACCATTGGCCAAGATATTTGACAAACATGGTAAGCTCGGGCGGGGACAAGTCTAGACCCATTTAAGGCTGATTTAAACTTTTTTTAGACTAGCAACGGCATTCAGGCAGTTTCCTCCATCGTCGACGCCTACCCGAAACGTCTTACTGCCGTGCTTCCTCTTGAACTGCAGGAAGAAATCATTGACGAGCTCAGCACTGACCTCAGAAACCTCAAAAAATGCAGCTTTGTGTGCAAGAGCTGGCGTTCTCGCACTCATTTCCATGCATTTTCGTCCATCCGGCTTCAGCATACTTCCGTTGAAACATTCAGTTCTTTTCGCGACAACCCATTCTCGTTCTTCACCATATATCCCCGTGCTCGTCGCATACATATTGTGGGATCGCATCAGCATCATGATGCCATGTCATGGAATCCGTCGCAACTTGAAGCCTTGGCCTGCGCCTTACAGGGACTTAGAGACATCGGCAATGCCTCAGTACTAATCCTCGAGAATACCGATTGGGAGGCACTAGCCGGATCGCCTATTCCATCACTAATGCTGTCCCTCGACACCGTCAGCTCCTTGGAGTTGTCCTGTGTCACTTTTCCCCGACATTCACAATTTGCCGAACTTGTCGCAGGTTTTACGGCCTTGCGCCACGTCGTGTTCCAGGATATTGAGTTCGGAGACTCGCCACCTGTGCTTGAGCGGTTGTTGGCAGATAAAATCATGATGGACGATGAAAAGAGCGCGCTTTCACTTAGGGGGGCAGGGACATTCCTGAGAAAGAGTCTCCACTGGGCGTGCCATTCACCGAAGCGCGGTGATGAACTCACCACATCAATCGGCGCCCATGTTTCGAGGTACACGGATCCCTCCGCCGTTTTACGATCACTGGGTTCGTCTCTCAACTATCTAGAAATTGTGTCGCTAGGTAAGAAATCTATATTTGTGACCCAAAACGGTATTCATTCTCATTTTGGTCTAAACAGCGGATATATCATCAGATACGATCATATCCACAGTAGACCTCTCGTCCAATACATCCCTTCGAAGGCTTAGCCTATCCTCGCCTTTCCGTGTGCTCTCCCTTATTCCATGGCTAAATCATGTGCTCTTACAAATATCCTCCCCCTGTCTTCGGGTCCTGGATATTGCCTTCGCTGCCTCTCGCCAGTTCCATTTGGACCAGCCGTTCCTGAAATATCTGGACAAAGTGCTATCCAGTCCTCAGTTCGCCGAGCTCGAACTAATCCAGTTCATCGTGGTGAACGGGAGGCTCTATCCGGACCTACGCTTGAGCATGGATAGCTGCGTCCGCTCAGCTATGCCGTCCTGGGATAGGAAGGGTGTTTTGAGGGTTAGTTTTGTTTAAGCAAAGGCACTGAATTAACCGGCGCTGCATTATTTACGACCTTTCTATGACTTTCCGAAACTTACGGTGATGGACTTTTATGATTCTTGACACACCTCACTCGACATTGCTACTACAATCAAATAAACTAAAGACCTGGCTTTACCTATCCGAGCGCATCTGTACCTGGCTGCATTGCGATACCGGCAACTCACCACAAAAACCACCCTCGATATTCGGTCGTCGGTAAAGCAGAAGAGCCCAGCCTCCTCAAATGGATTTATGAGATTGCGTTAATCAGCAATATACAAACCGTCTCGAGCCTGGAACCAAGCTTTACGCGTTCTCATCAAACCATGCTCATTACTCGTGCAATGTACATGGAAAACGAGTTGCTCCGTACCGAAATCACCGTAATTGAGGCACTGGTGACCAAACTCCATTTCGATAGGACTCGGTAGGCAACACTGCAACACTGAGCAGGACTCATCTCCGGTCCTGTTGTCGAAACGCTCACCGTATTTTGTTGGCAGAGGCGTAAGCAGTGCCCCTAACCCGATATTTTCAAATGCATTGACTGGACGGAGTTAAAGTGGCCCGGGGACCTTGTCGTTTTGAGTTGAACAATTTTCTGCCTTCTTCCACGTTACTATTATGTTCGTGCGAACTCCTTGCAACAAAGTTTCCTTGCTAGTGGGTCCATTTCGCCTACCCTGAGGGTTATTTCCTCAGTCTTGACTCCCTGCGGTCTTGCATCCGCCGAGTCCAGAGTCAAAATCCAACCTAAAACCCAAGACTGAACGTCTTTTCCCCTTCGGGGATCATTCATTCATAGAGCGTGCATTGCATGCTTTATCGACGTCTGTGAGTTTATTCAATTATATCATTATGCCGCCAGTTTTTAAATAGGTATTCTTGATAGCACATCAGGGCTCTTCTCTGGTTTCCTTCTGAATGCCGGACTACAGCAGCTAGATGCTGATAAATGGTTTATCCACATCTTCAAATGAGGCGTTCTCTTGATCACTGTCCAACCGTAAGTTTGTCAGCCTCATTATACGCGCGTGACGTGAACCTCCCTTAGCGTTCGCACGGACCACGTCCGCGACGTCGCTCACATGTCATGTCTTGCCACGCCGTCTTACCAAAAACAACAAACACTCTATATCCCGTCTTCGACCGTTTTGGCTGACTTGAGCGTCTCTTCTTCGCCTCATGCGGGATGCATGGTGCTCTTGTCAATTTTTTTGTTCACCGTGCGCTCCTGCTGTGTGTTCTTTCCTAAAGCAATTTACCGTCGAGCTGATGAGTATATAACAGCCGACTTTGCAACGTCTGACGTCCTCCCGGTTGAATCTCGAACCCTTGAGGACGCCGTTCTTCACGAATAGTAGCACCTTTTTGCTGCAATGAACAGGCCCAGGACAGCGGACCCTCAGACCACGTATAGCTCGCATCGTTTTCCAACTAGACGCGGTTGGTGTAGTCTCACTCTTATTTTGCACACTGGCGTCTTATGACAAGGAGATTTCAGCTTGGAACTCTGATGACGATGACACCATGAGTTTTCTGGTCATGGACGATGACAGTAACATTCATAAATACTGGAAACGTCGCATACGCGGTGGTAGGAACTGTAAGGTCTCTCAGATATTCTGCTGACCGGATCGCTGATGCTGTAATCTTCAGTGTCGTCGGTGTCTCTCTCACACCCTCGCCCGGCGACTAATTTGTCCTTCGAAGCCCATGCCGAATCTCATACCCGAAGCTGGGCTTCCAGACTGTTTAGAAGGGTTTTTTCTCGCAAACGGGTATAGTCTAGAGCCATTGTGGCGCGGGAGACGTCGTCAATAATGATTGTACGGGTATCGTGAATCTTAGAAGGACGTGGAGAAGATTTAACGACATGCGCACTCGATCAGATTTATCTTGTCGTGTATACAGCAAGTGCCGTGGCGGCTCACGTCGGTGCTAAAGAAGACATGCCCGTCGGGTTCCATTGAAGATTTCTATCTCTATTTGCCGGACTGTAGCCTATATCCCCAAATGTTTCTGACAACCCTGCATCGACGTGCCGGTGAAGCCTGCGGCGATATCTTGGCAGTTGTCAGTAAATAACTGCACAGGATTCCGCGTGCCACTGTCATCCCCACCGATGTACGTGTACGTGTACACCCACTAAACCCACCGTGATCCCTGACTTTCCCATAGGTCCGTGCCCTCGTACATTGTACTATTCAATGGACATCATGATTGTCACACTTTTTTTTGCTCAATGTTGCTATGCGAGTGCATATGATAAAGACGGGAACTATGCACCCTTTTGAGGTCTCTTACACTTGAAGCCGTCATGATCTCTGCGTCATACACTTGACAAATGTAATACACTCGACAACTCCGGTCGAGTTGAAACGGAGACGTACACTGGCGCATCATCACGACCTCAGGTACTACTAGCATTCAACACAAGTTCCCATCCTGGTGACGGCACTTACACCATCGAGGCGACTACCGCATGCGCTAGGCCTGGCCTATCTATTATGGGAAGTCAGCAGGAAAGATGATAGACGGGGATTACAGAGGTTGAATGAGCTCTAAAAGCGGGGCATGTGGAAGACAGATGATTGAATAGGCGCACAAAACCAGATTTGACTGCCAATGGGTTTTGGAAGGCACCGCTAGACACTAAACTCGTGTTCCGGGGACTCGAAGCGGGAACTAGCATCAGTAGCTCTCTTTCCTCGATCAGCCCGGCTCCATAAATAATTGTCATGTCACATACGAACTATCTTCTTTCGGAAAACTTACGGACGAGGCTTGTCCGTATCCTGGACCAAGGCGGCCTGCTGAGTTCCTATAATTGAAGCAAACCATCCGTACGTCGGTTGCCAGGGTGAATGAGAAAGACATCCCGAATTCAGCCTCTCGTTTGATGATCAGGGCGCGAGGTTGCTTGTTCAACCCCCAGCAGCAGGTGACTGCGTAACTATCTCCGTCGGCCCGGGCCGTGGTGCTTAAGAATGGTATAGACGAGATGTGGCAATTAGCAGTGGAGCAAGACCCGAAGTTTTCGGTAGAACTCTCCCCTTCATTCATATTTTACACAAATGGAACTTGTTTCCTCGAGGAATGAAAACGTGCAACCTCGATCGGTGTTCAGCGCCATATGTGGATGATGTACTCGAGGTAATCACTCGGAGATTCGAAAACGCCGGGTAATATTACACCGCAACGAGGCCTGAGATGGCTCGAGGGAAAATAATATATGCCGGTTGACTATTCCTTGATATTACTCATGGCCTCGATTATTGGGAACCATCAGAAAGGTTATTGCTTGATGAACGGCGAACTCATCGCTGCCTCGCCGGGAACAGGGCTGTCGACTAAGCATGATGGAGATTTAATAAATCTACTCTCGAGGCCCATCCCGTCTCGTACTAACCCGAGTTTACGAGACTCCGAGTCGGACAGGCAGGCACCCAGGGCCGAATCAGATTCCTGGAATCTGTAGCAACTTCTCTTTTATTGTTTGGTTGCTCGTTGGAGAGTCCCACGATTCCAATGATTGCTCGTTCCCCAACAACCGTGATGTGATTAAGATTTACCCTCTGCATCATGGAGACAGACTTATCATGGTCGCCAATCACGAGACTATCCTATATACCCAATGAGATAGATACGAATTAAGATTAAAAATACAATAATATTAATTATGTTCGTCCAACCACTCAGCAACACGATCAACCAGCTCAGCCTTCTTTCCTGAGACAGGCAGACTCTTACCCTTACAGAAATCCTGGGAACGAAAATTAATGCATACGCAGCGAATCTGCCAATAGACAAGCGCACCTTGAGCTGATCTACACGCAACTGTACGTGAAGAGGAAGGGACCAATAAACTTCTGCCTACGGAGTGAAAAAATAGAAGTTGCCCACCTTAGCCAGTGACCCCGACTCGTGCTTACCCCGGATCTCGGCTTCGTCGACTGACGTGTCCTGTTTACGGTCGGGTCATATGAGCGCACGATACAACACGCCCCAGAGGGTTAGAGAACACGTACCGCCTTACGCTTGACACCGGCAGTTTGGACGGCCACAATATTAGCTGATTTGTCCTCTACCAGAGCTTGTTTCCACTTCTCGATCAGCTTTCCAGCATGCTAATGTGACAACAATGAACACAGGCGAACAGAAAGCATCTGCGCCCAAACAAACCTCGTGGATGAGGTCTACGTGGGGTTCAGTTCGGTCCTCAAAAGATTCTGGATCGTATTGCTCATGAAACGCGCTAGCTTGGAGCTGTGCATTGTGATACTCCAAAGCTAGAAGTGTACATATGAGATCACTAGTGAAAATAAATGGAGAATTACGAACCTGGATTAGGATATGAATCCGGGACATAACTCCTTGTGTTGATGGGTAATTTATCGATCCATGCACGAGCTGCGTCTTTCAGTTTTTCGCTAGCTGTTGTACAAACACATTAAGTTCCGTTGACAAAGCGATGACGCGATGATCACCTACCACGAAAGCCTTCCTGGACATTTGCCTCGCGGATGTCATCGGCAAAGGGCAAGGGGATGAGGTGGAACCCTGCAGGTTCGATCCAGCCCTTTTTGTCGACCTGTTCTTCCTATTAAAGAGAGTGAGAGATGAGCTTCTTGTCAGCCGCGAATACATTAGAGCTACCTGTGGCAGAAGGGCGCAGAACAGAGGCGAAGAATTCCTCCTCGTTAAGGCCAGGACAATAGCCACCTTCTTTTTCTTTACCATCGACTTCAGCAGAGAGCTGAATGTTCGCTTGCTTCCCGAGGAGGACTAGGTTATCCACTTAGCGATTCCGACATGACGTAGAATGACTGCACCCACCGTTTCATCGGGATAAACAAACAACGAGTGTTTAATGTTATCTTCAAACAGTAGCTCGCTTTGATCTTTAAAACCGAGTAACTTAATGCCTAGCATTTGGTCAGTCACAGCGCCGCAGCTGTCTAAAGTGATACCCACTAGGCTCAAGCCCCAGCGTACGGAACAATCGTACTTCCTCCGGAGTGTAGAAGGGCTAAATATGAATAAGAATTAAATAAAACCTTAAGGTCGTGGTAAAGGAACCTTACCCGTTGACCGGATTGGACAACTCTGACGCCGGGATCACCTTCGTTGTCATCGTCGTCCCCGGCAGTCCCACCGCTCGTGCCGTATAATATGTTGGTCTTGTCCACCTCAACTTGGCGCTCCTATGCATTTTTAGTCTGATGATCTAAAAAATATCTCTGAGGAACAAGATAACCGCACCTCATCGATATAAGAGGTTCGCACGTTAGCTACCTCCATCCTGTCTCCGAGATCTGCGAAATATTTGTATGCTCCCTTCCTCTGTTCTGTCACCAGACCGTAGCTAAGATGACCACGTTAGCACAAACAGCAGTGATACGAAGATAGCGAACCCACCCTTTCACACCAATTGTGAAGCCGTTAGCGAGTTGGAATGGAATACTGAATAGAGCCCGCTTAGGTACTTCATGAAAACGCATTTGGGAAAAGAGATTATCAACATGTGTCACAGAGATGGATTCCAGAAGGGTGGTGGAATTCTCTTCGTCATCATCAGTGAGATTGCTGGAAAGAAGAACAGACTGAGAGTATGGTGAGCAACGCGACTAGAACAAAATGAAAAGCACTAACAGAGTAGAACTTCGATACATTAAACGGCTTTTCGGCGGTACTGAGGAAAAACGGTTCTACCGTCACGCCGGCTTGTGTAAGGTCCTAACAAAGCGTTAACTATATGATGGTTACTGTGATAGATGGGATTTATTCTACAATGAGAGTGGTTTTCGCTGATGTGATGAGCTGTTTACTCCCGGGCCCGGAATGTGGGTCATCTTCGTCAGTGATAAGAAAAACACGTTTTGTGGCAGTCTTGGGTGCTCTGTTCCGTTTTATGGTTCGTTATACATTGAAGTCATCAAGTGACTCACCCATCTCGTAAGACCCAGTTGCAACTGGTGAACACATCTCCCATTGGCACTCTCTTGTTATTCAAAGGAGGTAACACTTTGTTCAGTTGTTCAGGGTCATCTTGCGAAGCTATTCAAAGTTTGTTTGCGAGTCTGTTTTTACTAGAGACGGAATAACAAACCGTCAAGGAGGTGAACCAGTTCTTGGATCGTAGGAGCGCTCAAGGGAGAAATAGGCTGGTAGAGAAATGTGTTCTGCTTGATTTCTGAGCCCTGATTTCCGTTGTTCTCATTCTTTCTCGTCTGGTCGCATAATTAGCTACGGTGGCGCAGTCGAACTCAACTTGAACGCACTGTGTTAAATAGTAGTATCCCAACGGAATCGTTCGGGCCAATTATAACTTTCTTCTTCTGAATGTTCATGGCTGCCTCAAGCGCGGCATGTAGACGGGATGTCAGAACGACACCTTCGTAACGGGAATCTTCATACAATGCGTGCATCGATGGAGAACAGTCTATACAGAAGAGAATAACATCTTTCTTGGATTCAAAGTACTGGTATATGCTGCGGGTTGGAACAGTATAAACGAAAAAGGAGGCAAGACTCACGGAGGTATCTTGCAATTCTTCATCCTCATCGTCGTCTACCTTGCTCCAATCGTCATAGGGTGCCATTGGCGGTAACTATGGAGAATATATTTGTAGTTCCAAAAGCTGATTTCTGTCCCAATATTGGGAAGACAAGACGATGGTAAGAATCAAAGGTGCGCCTCGGAGCCGTGTGACGTGACTCGGACTGAGTAACGGACGCGTCAGTTACGTGCAGTCACATGTACATACGTCAGTTAATGTCATTTTATGTAAATTTCCTTCTTTCAAAAACTACTCTTGAGCTTGTATCACACGGGAGGAAGAATGGCGCATCAGCTGCTCCAGCTGCGCAGCATACCACTTTCAAAGGTACCAGACCTTGAACTTCCGACCCAAAAAATTCGATCAGATGAAGCCGTTGAGGCGTGGAAAGCGACCCGTGGTTACGAAGACTATTCATTGTATTTGCGCCGACTCAATGAAGCGGTAGTCGGGTATACCCTCCCATGGGAAAGCCCAAATGCAAGTCAGGCATGTGTCTTGTAACTCTGTATCGCACAGTTCTATTAACCCGACGGCAAAAAGGCTGTTCTAAAATTAATCTCTCTCCTGGATATTCTGGACAGCTGGGTCACAGATATACCGCCGTTAAAAACGCCCCAGAGATTCGGAAACCTTGCTTTCCGTACCTGGGGGAAGCGTCTCGAAGAGGTTAGCGCTTCAGCCTGGATACTCGTTCCACGATCACTCGCTGACCGTCTTGATTTTATGCAGGAGGCGGATGGACTGCTTCTCTCCCTTCTTCCCACAGATTTTTCTCCGGTCGTTCCCCATGTTCGATCCTATTTTTTATCCTCCTTCGGCTCTTTCATACGCATGGATTATGGCACTGGGCACGAGACGTCTTTTGCTCTGTTTCTCTGCTGCCTGACACTCGTTCGTTTCCTTCAGCCTACTCCGGAGGAAGAGAGAGATGTCGTCTTTTGCGTCTTTTTGAGATATCTTCACCTCTGCTGGAAACTGCAGGATGTTTACATGCTTGAACCCGCCGGTAGCCATGGTGTATGGGGGCTTGATGATTCTTCGTTCCTGGGCTATATCTTTGGTAGTGGTCAACTTCGAGGTTTCTACTGTTCTTTCTGATCCCATACTATCGCTGATTTACTCGATGATAGACCAGACTGAAATACCGGTATCAGCAGTTCTTCACCCTCCCCTTCCTCCCACAAACTTGTATTTTTTGTCGATCATGCGTATTCATCAGGTCAAGCGTGGTCCTTTTCATGAGCATTCTTCCCAGCTTCACTCAATAGCTATTGGTGTACCCAACTGGGGTAAGGTTAACACGGGATTATTCAAGATGTATGAGGTACCGTTCTCACTTTTGCCTCCGTCTACACCCGTGCTGACCTTCTCCGGCAGGCTGAAGTACTGGGAAAACGTGTGGTGGTCCAACACCTACCGTTGGGTGGGATTCTGGAGTGGAATCTCCCCTCGGTACCGACGCTGCTTATCTCTCCTTTAGAAAATTCTTCGTCTTCCACTTCTTACTATCCTTTGCAGGCACCGTGGTTGAGATCACCATCCGGAGCCGCTGGCCAATCCAATCACTCAGCATTTTCTTCAGCATTTTCCACCACGTCGACAAGGAGACCTGGTGACCCATATGCGCGCGCAGGCTTGTCTGTGCCACAGGAACCGAGTCCGATGGAAACCTCTTATCAGAAGAGATAAGATTGAATCTAACGGAAGGATCGGGGCTGAAAGGCGAAATCTCGCAAAAGTTCAAGGGGGACTATAGTGTTCCGATAGTAAAATCTTTCTTTCCGCGACTCGCGTCTGGTAACTATTTGCAGCTAGTCATTTGGTCGAGCCCTCTTGTACCTACGTTGCTTTGGGACATTACAGTGTCCTTGACTTACCTGCCTCTGATGACTTCGGGTAATCCATGCCGGGCCGTTGACCTGCTGCTTACCAGCGACGCATAGCATGTTCGCAATTTGCCCAGGACGGACCATCACCTCCACAGAATGGCAATTAGGCGGCGAGATCACAGCAATGGGATAGGGCCAGACCAAGTTCCGATGTAATATCGTATCTCACGCAATACCGGCGAATAATGAAGTTAACGAGGGAGCCCCGAGTACAGAGTTGGTGCCCTCCCACACCAAGAATGATTTCGACGATGTCTCGCACCGGTGACGTTCCACGTTTGTTATAAATGTTCCGTTGCAGACAGGTCGTTTGACCAGATCCACCCGCTCAATAGCATGCATGTGTATGGATGGTAGTGGATCTGTCAAGTCCGTTTCCGGAGTTCGAGACATCTATGCTTTATACGACAAGTTGACAAATGATCGTACCCTCGATATGCCAATGACTATAAAGGGTAGGTTGAAACGATTCATGAAATGAGATAATTATTTTTTAAGCTTAGCAAGGCTGCGGACGATCAGTGTGGGGTTCTGCGAAGACACGAAGAAGTCTGCCATGAGGTGAGAAGGAATAGTACGCATTTAGACGACTCCGATATCAAGTGCCAGAGCCGGGTGGTCGAGACTCAAAAGAACGGTTCGTTCTCCCCTCGGCGCTGGCAGATCGCTTCCCTCCAGATTGACGTGTATTCTGAGTACTTAATTTATTAAGGCGTCCCTGTGTACCAAAAAAAGATTTTGTAGGGTCTGAAGCACCGACATGACGTGTCGGGTGGATTGTACAAGTACCGAACCGACTGTGCAAGAACCTTCTTCATGCCACAATCACAATCATGATCGCGTTGCACAAACGACCTGCTAACGGCGATTCAGCAATAAGATTCTAACAAACATACGGCGAGATCGCTTCGATTGGTAAAATTTTCCGGAAGTACCTGGTCCGTGATTGAGGCTAAAGGAACCGTGCGAGTATCGAGACTTATGGAAAGTGTGTTACGAAACCCTCAATAGGCGATAGGCGGAATTGAAGGAGAATTGAATACGTCACGGAGGCTTCGAGAGTGATTCATCGATCAGTTTAGATGGAGCGGTAAGTGAACTTTGTATATCTCTCATCATCGATCCAAGCATGGAAGCGTCTTCTCGGTGCTTTAGTTGTAAAAACTTATTTAGAACGCAATTGCATACGCGCCGCTAAATATGCAACCGCAGCCTTTTCGCAGTACCGCACTGAAGAGCGGGTCTTTGATGAAGAAGAAGGAAGTAGAGACAAGAGCGTGGGTTTGATTGAGCTCGAAATAACAGAGTTCATGGCGGCAACAGCGCGCTGGCGGTATTCCGTCATCCCGGAACCAACAAAATATTGTTTGAGACAGGTGATTTTGAATTTTCTTTTCGTTACATTATATGGAGAAGAAGTTCGGGTCGAGTCAGCATCCCTTGGCACTGACACAGGTTTCGCCCAACTCCGTTCATGGCCGTGGGAATTATGCTGTCATCAACATTGATGATAGACCGAAAATCCTTGTTCGTTTCTGCGACACGAGCCAACTTTCTAATCCTTGACTGTATTGCCGTTTATGCTGTTAATTGCGGAAATTTTCAGGCTCCTCTCTGCTGTGAAATGTGCAGCGACCTATTTGCCGACCCTGGATAGACGTTAATTTTTTTTCGTTCGTCAGCCTCGTGGTTTCTCGACTAACATGATGCCAGGTCGTGTATTGTGTAACACAATAATTTCCATTCATTAATATTGAGTACTGGATCTTTGACCCCGAAATTGGTCCACCGGAGTCTGGACGGCCCTGTTAGACTTGTCATCTCGGCTTGCTGGTGCTTGTACTCTCAACACTTTTGCTGCTTTTCTTAACGCCAGGATATCAGCCTTTCCCTGAAATTTATTGTGTTCTTCCGTAATCAGCTCTGATAGCTTGTAGGGTGTCTTCTTTCAGCGCACCCCACGAAATTTCACCAGGGATTCTGACGTTTTCTCTGTCTATATCTATGTCTGTTTCTCTGGTTGTATTCTCACCGTTTTGGCCCACGAACTGTGCGCCAAGTATTGCCTCATGGTCTACTCTAAATCCCGAGTATCCTGTCTGTCAAGGAAGTCTCCGACAGACGCTCCAAACGATAGCGTGACTGCAGACCGTTTTGGCCGCGGTGAACGGGGACCTTCAAGTCGATCAGTCGATCGATTCCATCTCCACCACCACCGTTACCAGTGACTCCAGGTAATGTCTCCCAGGAGAAGGGTGAATGTGTTGCATTCAATGCGTCTCGAGGGCGCTTTCCATGAGACGTCCGAATTCGATCAACTGTGCGGTAGCAGTCCGAGGCTGGTGGATTTACTTCAATTAGGACATGCATTAATCACCTTCCGCTGACTCCTGTGATGGCATTCACCCACGAAGTGCCTTGTTTGGTTCAGTTCTCAGGACACTTGCCTAGAGTAAGGATCGTCACCCAGCTACCTGTGTACAGTGGGTTCCGAGGTGACCATCATCACTCAAACATTAATGTTCTTTCACGGGTTTGACATCGTGGGCAAGAGGTTGCCCCTCTATGCAGGTCGTGTGCCGTTGATAACGCGGGCTAGGCTTCATAACACAGTTTACTGCCTCCTAGATGTCGTGGTGGTGGTGCCCAACGAGATTCATTGAAGGTGACCGACGATATTGATCAAAATTTCCCTGATCGTCAAGATATCATATTGATCGCGGAGCGTGGTAAGTATATGTGGTCTCTAGGGAATTCAGTCTTGCGACGTATATCATTTCTTGACGCGCCCCCTTTGCCTGAGCACCGATCCACGGACCACACGGGTAATCCGCAGGCGATCAGCAACCGTGAGTGTCCACGTCTTTTGGGCCTTTCCCGATGGCACCCAGGGGTTTCTATTCCATTCAGATTGCATCAATGATCATGTGCTGTATGGAACTACGAGCAGCACTGGTTCAACCATCAGACGGTCAGCCCTTGCTGGGGAATTCGTTCCGCATCTCCCACCCCAGGCTTGAGCTGATTTATTTGCAGATACGCGCCCCACTTTACCTCCCGGCTTAAAATTCGGACTAATCCAAGGGTGTTATGTATATTGGTAGCGCACCTCTGTCATTTGGGGGCCAATAAGGACCCGTAGAACATATCTGAAGGTTATGTTATTCGCACCTTGTTGAAGGCCAGACAACACCCTGAGAGTAAGGTTCATCAACGCATGGATGCTGTGGCTTACGCAAGGCTTCTTTTTGCACATGGTTTCGGTACCGACAGAACTGCGATAAAAACGGGTTGGCGGTGTCACAAGCGTGACCGTGGCTTCTCCGAACCTCGGACACGTTTCTCAGGCCCAATCCGACAGAATCCGACTCGTGACGGCTCGATCGAGGATCCAGGCACCATAACAAACAGTCGTCATGATCGAAGACATTTCTTTTTTCGGTAGGTTTCCGAGCCGAGGCCGGCCCGACCGATATCTCATTTTTCATCTTTGAATATTGTCACACTTCACAGCCACCGCCATCCATTGGTTCCCCATTCCACGGGCGAAAATTGTTTCGAGCAAATTTTCGATCCACCTGTCTAAATGGGGAGCCGGGGGCTGATCTCCCAGCCGCGAACGTTAACGCTTAAGCAAATTCCGCTGCTGCAGGCGACATCCTTACAATGTTCCGATTCATGGAATGTATCTAATTTGGCCTCGGGACGCAGGCATTTCCAGCTCAGTAGTCATCACGGTGTGTCGCAGAAGTCCCCGTAACTACGAGTACAAGACCGAGATTCCTTTGGAAAAACACTAGCGGGTGATGAAAAATAGGCGGCCGAACCTGAAGATGTCGAGAACAGGGAACGGAACCCTGGCTGAATCATAGAGTTCCCGCTAGATGAGATCTCAAGGGGTCCATCTTGGTGATCGATGCTGCCGGGGCCGAGGCCGTCAAATTTGGAGCCGTACTCTCGCTTTCCATTTACGGCACACATGGAGACCTGTTTACGCGTGGTACAACCGTATTAGGGTCCCTGAACTGTGATATGCGGCTTCGCAGAAAACAGCCGAAATTGGTGACTACCCAGACCTGTTTCTTTTTCTCCTCTTTTGTTACTTCCACCAACTTCGCACTCCACACAACGGACCACCTTCCGTCCCACTCATTCCGGACTCTCAAGCTACCCCCCCATCTCACGACGTAGCTTCTATTCTGCTGGCCAATGACAACAGGTATACTTCAGGTATGTCAGGGCGCGATTCTATTAAAACACCCATGTTGATTCTGACTTTGACTACACAGGAAACAATGCAAGTCTCCCCACAAGGCGCGGGCGCGCGCTTTCGCCCTTACGCCAGTCCGAACCATCATGTCACCAAAGGCAGATACATTACAAGCAACGATCCACGAGGATACATGTGCGTGTCTGTGCCGCGACATTTGCATTCTTGCTGATTTTTCTCTAGACCTGTATATGAATATCCGTTGAACGGTCAATGGATTATGATGGATATTGACGATGGATATATCCTGTGGACTGGAATTTGGAAAGGTATGTTGGTATGTCAGATGGACAATACTTGAAAATTGATTCTCCCCCCTCCTCCAGCTCTTGGCCATTCGAAGGGTAAGCGGAATTTCCAGCTTAAAACTGCACTATCATGCTCAAAGTATTTTCTAGCCGACATCGTAAAGATGATTGACTCCCAGCCGGACCTCGCGCCTCTTATCAGACGTGTAAGAGGCGGCTACCTCAAGATACAGGGTACATGGATGCCATACGAGGTACGATCACCTTTACATTAACCCCACTATCTCCCCGACTTATCATTTTGAACCATTCCAGGTTGCCCTAAGGTTGTCGAGAAGGTGCGTTACTATTACTCCGTTCAATGACATTCCACTGACATCTATGTTAGAGTCGCTTGGACCATTAGAGACGAGTTAGTTCCATTGTTTGGGTATGCTGCATCGTTTTCATGCCGATATAACCCTCTAGCTCACATATATTATTTTAGACCCACATTTCCAAGCACATGTCTATCTCCAGATCAACCGGGTTACGGCCAGGTTGTTGCTGGTCACAACCGACGACGTGCACGGAGGGGAACTCAGACTCCCGTTTACTCTACCACCGTCGAAACCGCAAAGTGGAACGCGGTGAAAGATACAAGCTCAGATGATTCCAGGTCGGACAGTCGGAGACCGCTTCCCGTCTATTCTCCGTACCCTTCACTGCAGGAGCACCGATGTGAATTTAACATGGATATCGATACATTTCCACCTACTCTTCCATGCTCATCTGGGCGTCGCACAAGTCGGGGACCACCCCCTCGATATTCGCCATACCCACCACCCTCTACACCTTCCGGCCGCGCTTCGCATCAGCTTGTTCCATTGGATTCACTAACTTCACGGAATTCACGGCCGATAGAACACATTGTCCTTCCGCCAATTCGAACCGATCATTCTGCTTCATCCAAACACTCATCTCCATCTCCCTACGCCTTGCCTCCGATATCGGCTTTGGAAGACCTCAGAGGTATAGACGCAAACGATACCGCCGCTGTCCTACGTCGCCTGCGATCCGACGATGATAGCGATGAAGCCTCCCACTCCGAGACGGATCAACACTGGGACAGGAGGCGCCCACCATCCACACCGACTTCACCAATTTCTAAGTATGTCCTATCCCCTCTATGATATTAACAATCATCTCACAGCATTTGTTTATAGTCCGCAGTCCGAGAACCCCTACCGGAAAAGCTCTTACGGTGATCGTATGAAGTCCGAGAGACGGGTTCATCCACGTTATCCAACCATCAGTATACCCTCGTCCGGTGCTTCCCAATCGAGTACTTCCTCGAACGCCTCTCCCATTTCCCCCACTACACCCCACTCAATACCCTCTGGACCGCCTTCTGTAACCCCATCGGCACCGATGGACATGTTTCGGGGTCTACATAATTCGGGGTGGTCTTTTGGACACTCGGCAGTCGCACAGGAGCACTTAGCTCTGAAGGCAAAGGAACATCGGTCCATGATGCCTGATTTTTCTAATGAGTTGTCGCCACCGATTCGACCTTGGTGAAATATGATGTCAACTTTAATTCAAACACTATCTTTTTTATAGTTTCATCATAAATGCTTTCGGTTCAGCTTGCATAAGCTTGTATACTATGATATATATGTATATTCATATCTTAATGTTGTACGCACTATTTGGATTTCCGTCGTGGTACATACTTTGCTAGAATACCTCTGATAGCCTATTCATCTCGGACTTGCTTTCCAGGTACTATCATTATTATATGTAAATGCTTCCTTTCTGTCCATCTGCAATTAGCATTGGTTATGAAATTTAGTTGGCACTTGGTTCATCATACCTCCATATGCTGCCAGGTTACTTACCGGTCGTCCTTGTGGCAATATTCAAAGATTTGGGACTAACGGAAAATATTATACAACAGCCGCCTTGTTGTATTTTTATTTATTATCTTAGCCCCTTTACCGCTTACCAGCTCGACCTTTCCCTGACATCTCCAAACAAACGATCGCACAATAGTTGCGTTTATACCAACCGGCACCGAGAAGTTCGAGGACAGGCTCGAGCCGCAATCTCGATGCCTAGCCTCGGTCCACGTTTCTCTACGCAGCACCTCCCTCGATCACTTTTGATCGGGATATACGATAATCACGCCTTCGACAGTTCACGTCGTTTTCTCCTAGTCCAGAAAATGAAAGGGGGCGTGGCATATTTGTAGAATCCCTGCATACCATCAGGTGCTTAGATAAAGGAGTGGAGATCGTTGGTAGGTCCTGGCAGACATATCAAGCGCTCACCGCACTACGGCCTCGACTGCCCTAAAGAGAAGGGCCCTTAGGAACACGTTGTGTGAAAACTCAGACTGCGGAACGGAAGAACAGACAGAAGTTTAATAACTATTCTCTATATATCACATCAGAGACTTCGGAGGACGTCAGTGATAAAAAGACACGAGGCTGGCACGAGCACTCACCCAATGGCCTTCATTAGTATAAAGCCAACAGTTGACACAACCTACGAAAAGCGTCATACAGATAACTGACGAGATGTCAAGAACAAAAATACTCACAAGGGTGGCAATAATGCTGGCCGGCACGCCGTTCTTCAAGAAGTCCACGTTACTTAGATAAAGTTCACCCAGCTCGTTCTCCTGTGTCGCTCTACGCCACATATTCAGTACCTTATCCGGTGCAGTTGTGACAGGAGAAAGAGACTTACGCCGTCTGATTCGGGAAACCAGAAACAGGCATTCCCATACCAGCGGAACAGATGAGGCCAGTGATGAAGATGAGAAGATTCTTAGGATTACCCTCGAGGCTCGAGCCAACTTCCGCGGCGATGGGCACCAGAAGTACACTGGCAATAGTGTGACTGATGAAAGTGGATACAACCTAAGACATATGATATTACAGTAATTAGCGGGATAAGGCAAGCCATTGAAATCAGACTTACCAGCACGATAGGAGACAGGATCATGACAACAGTGTACAAACTGAATCCATCAACCATGTCACGAATTATGATATCCATCACCTCAAGAAGACCGCTCGACATTACAGCTTTGCCGAGGGCAATCCCACCCATCGCCAGGAACACGATCGTCCAAGCAAATTGTTCGAAGTCATCCTTGATGACGCTTAGCAAACTCTAGACAGAAAACGCACGAACCCACCTTCTTCAATACGCCCGTTGAAAAGAACGCAATGATCGGAATGAGCGCAATTACGCCCATATCACCCACGTAGTACTCAATCTCATGGGCTACACACCAAAGCGCGATGGTGAAAAGACAGACGAATGACACCCAGTACTGCTTCGCTGTGAAGGCTTCCCGTGTGGGTCTGATCGTCTTTATCTCGATTTCACCATCACCATCTGGTGACTCAGCGGGCCGGTATGATGCCAGAAGAAGGCCCCATATTAGGAGGATCGAAATGGCAGACACGGGTAACGCGACAGCAAACCATTTGGCCCAGTCGAGAGGGGGATCCATCTTCTCCAAGGCAATCAAATTCTGGGGTGAGGATATGGGCGAACTTTGACCACCGATGTTGGCCGCCAGGGCAATTCCCAGCTAGCAGTAAACAAATATCAATTTGACGCAAGGCATGACGCATCCGTAGGTGCTCACAATTAGACACGGTCCAAAGGAGGCCTTAGGTGGTAATGTTCGTAGAATGGGCTATGCATAGACACCGTTAACGTTTGACATTCATTCATGAACACATGACTTACACGAATGAGCGTGAAACATAACGTTGGTGCTGCCACATTACTGGAACCGCGGATCAAATCTTGCAAAGAACACATTGGAAGGCTATTCACCTTATCCACATACTGGCGAAACAGGACACGCCCATGAACGCCAGAAGAACGGTTCTTGGCTTAGTTCCGGCCAGGCTCAAAACGCGTGTAATTAGTATCCGATCGATATTCGTTTTGCTGAGCCCGGACGATATCGTGAACCCACCAATGAGAAGCATTATTGTCGGAGAGAACATGACTGAAAATATATATCTGGAAGTAGATCAGATTCACAGATGCCGTCTTCGGAGACAGGGAGGCTCACTTAGTAGCAGCAGGAGGTGCAAGGCGTTCGTCATTGTCGTCTCTTATGACACGTAAACAAACCGCGAGTATGGGGACTGTCATTGACGTGACGAATAACGGAATGGCCTGCGAAAAAGCATAAGAAAAAGGAAAGGTAAGCAGTCAGCCTGAAACGAACCTCTGTGGCCCATAATATTGTACAGAACACAAGGATGGCAAGACACCGGTTGGCTGCTTCACCCTCAATGAACTGAACATTCAACATAGTGACAAAGATGGCCGAAGATGCTAAAACCCATAGCAACTTTTTAGAAAGTTTCAATCGGCCGACTGGAGTAGAGACGTCGACGACGTCCTCATCCTCTTTGAGTACGTCCACTCCGATGGCTTTGGGCCCATCACCCTCGCCCCGTCGTTCACGACCAATCATCTGCCGCCAAACAGTATCTCGTTCCCATGCGATCTGTTCCCGCTGATGCAATCTCAGCTGTTGCTTGGCAGCGTATATGTCGCCGCGAGTTACACACTTCGTATACAAATCCACCAGATGCGCAATGGCATCATTGAGTCTGTCTTTAGACTCTTGGGTGAAAGGTTGTGCCATTTCCACGACTTCGTGAAGATATCGGTCTTTGAGCTCACCGTATAAGACCTTGTCGTACCTATACAAAAGTGACATGTTAGAATGACGAATGCGGATAGATGAAGTTCATACTTTTTTAATATCTTCCGAAATCCCGCATAGTTTATCTCTACGTAAGATCTCAACGACGTAAATGAGGTGTACAGTGTGGTGATCCGACGTTTATACAGCAGTCGTGTGTCGTACGCAAAATTCGTCTTCGCGGTCCATATTGTTTCAGGCAACGCTGATGTCGCTGTGCTACCCATAAAGGGAAGGTGATTCGTGATCTTGCTCAGCGCACGTTTCGTCTTTGAATCGTTCCGGAGAGACGAGGTGCTTTGTTCAAGGCCGTTGTATTCGTCGCTAGATATACTATATCTGTGACGAGTAGGGGACTCCTCCGGAATTCCAGCTAAAATGTCATGAGTAATCGCATTCACTTCACTTGATATACTGCGTGCGTACCTCGCAGCGCAGATGAATTCCGACGTTGTCTCGAAGTAGACGACCGGCGTCGTCGATGCGTGGGGTCAGCACTATGTCCCAGCTCGCTGTCGTCGTCGTCGTCTTCATCGTATATCCCATCATCCATATAATAATTTCCATCGTCGTATCCCACCTCCTCTTGCTGTAGAACTAGATTCTCCAGCTCTTGAAGTTCCTCCAACAAATCTTTCTCCTGCGCCTCATAGAAAAGCATTATTTTCTTGAGCTCCCGGTCGAGTAACGGAATGAAAACGGCATCAGTAGCTGTACCTTGACGGCCTACCAGGGACGCGGTTTCGTTTGACTCCAAATCATGGTAAGAATGATCCAATTCACTCTGCTGCTTCTCGAGCTGGTAGATGTATTTTTTCAGGGTTTCATACCTATACCTTTGCATAAGTAAAGATATCGAAGAAAGATAACAGATAACGCACGCAATGTATTCATCCCACCATTCAGATACGGCATTGAATTTTAACGAAGAGCTGATATCGACTATTTAGACTCTGTTTTCGATACAGACAAAGTGACGGAGCACCTGAACTTCATGGCCGGTTCGTAAAATTTTTGTTAGAGTCGATTCTGGTGTCAAGACGGGATGAAGCTGTCGAGTCACCGTTAAGGAGTTACAGGGTACATGGACGTTTGTCGCTGAATTCGGGTGTGGCAGCAAGCCATTCCACGTGGTTCTATTTACTTCCAGCCATTTTACCAATCAATGACACTGCTTGAACCCTAACCATAGTCATTGGCGATTGACCAATTTTGGAGGCGGTCCCGGAACTGTTTCCTTGCTGCTCTGTCTACATTTTGAATGCCTGGCACGAATGTCGGACTCCAGTTACCAGTGCCAGTGCATTTCCGGAACAAAATCCCGACTCTTGGATACCTGACGGTCATCGCTCTCTGGACTAGAGTAACAATCTAAGAATAATGTGGCAATCCATCATTGATTATGGCTATACAAGACCTTTCTTTACTATATAACGTCCCCAATTCCTTTGGTACCTCTCCGGAAAAGCCTGGTAGGGTCTGGGTACCCTGCTTTTCCTAATCATTTCTCACCGAGGTCCCCTGGTCGGGCAAAGTGTGTCGAAGTCGATGCTCGATAGCTTCCTCTTCTTTGTTTATTTCCTATTCTCTGCTCCGTCTCTCCCCGTTGACGCCACCGTTATATACGCTAACACATCTTTGGGAGATGTACAAAATGCCGTTGTCGTAACAGGAGCCGCTCTGAACGTCACCGCTCAAGAGGAAAAGTTCAACTTTAATTTGACGGCAAACATGCCAGCGAGCACAACGACTTCTGTGACGGTACTCGAGGCTTTACCAGAGAATTGTGGGGCATATAACGTTCCTGGCAGCGAATGTACCGACGGCATGACAGCTACTAACGTCACCTTCGATGACTGTGGCGACCCCTGGACTGTGTGTCGATGTTCCAATGGAAATATGACCATGGATACGGTCGTTGATCAACTTGGCCGGGTACCGGTAGGCTTGAGACGTTATGTTGCGACTGTCGTTGTTCTCGGCGATACGAGTACACACGCATACACCCTTACCAACGGGGATATACATCTTTTTGGTGGTTCCGCCATCGAAACTTGGTTGCATGAAGTACGTACCTGTATCTTTTCTTTTTGTTTATGGCATAACAGAACACTCTGAGTAGTCAATGCATTCATTTGGTTTCGCATCGGGGACTTCGGTATCAAGCGCAAGTAAATGGTTGGATGCCATTGGAAATGATTCTTGTGCTCCCGATGATTATTCGTTGACTAACGCTGTAGAGGTACCGTTTATTTCGCGTTTCGTTTTGCCTTCGGCACATAAACTCTATTTCTTTCAGGATTTCGCACAGGTTGGCGTGATGAAATTATATTCTTTGGCTCATTACGGCGAGTTACCGTCCGGATGGGAACCCGAATGCATGAAGAACCAGCTAGCTTACATGGATGGCCTGCCTTTGTTTAATAGAACAACTCTGTTTGGGAATACTTGCGATATCCCTGGAAATTCTTCCGGTGCTCGGTGAGTCTAGATTTATCTGATCAATGGCGCCGAGTTGCTTTCTAAGTCAGGTTATTCACAGCAAAACTCAAGCCCCACCATATCTTAATACGAGCGACGTTTTCCCACTCTCTGTTTCAGACAGTCCTTACATTGATACGGACCCTAAAACTGCGGCGAGTTCTGCATCATCGTCGCCAACCGCTACTGCCGGCAGTGTCAACACAGGCCAGTCTGTTCATATAATATCTCTTACTGAAGTTACTGTAATGGTGTCAATTTTTATTACCACCGTATTTCTAGAGTAATACACATGTATACAATGTTACAAGTCTAATTTATAACATCTATCCTAGCCAATCTCTGAAGGACTTCAATCATACCAGTGCACGCCGTCTTCCTCTCAAAAACAGTCGCATGATCCGCACCATCGAAGTATAGAACCTCCAATTTTCCATTTTCCTTCACCCATCTCTCCTCTATTTGAGGTTGTTCCGTTAGATACTCCCATACCTTCGCTGTCGGAACAATTTGGTCTTCTCCGGATAACACCACGGCAGCGTTCTCTCCCTGTAAATCTTCCTTCCACAGTACATTTTCGGTCCAGAAGAAATGACGAGCCAACGTCCGCCCGACATCAGCGTCCCGACTAGCAAAATACCAAAGCAACCACTCGTTCGCATCTTTCGGAGGACGATAAAGGAAATTGTATGTAATATCAGGAAGGTGTAAAAGAAAAGGAATGGGGTCGATAAAACAGTATGCCGTGATCTTGGTCGGCGGCGGCGGGCCTTCAGTGGCCTGCTGGGACCGCATTATGTGACCGGCAACCACAGTTCCATAAGAGTGCGACGCCAGCGCCGCCCGAGTAATGTTCAGCGATGATGTGATGGCGTAGAATTCATCTAGCATAGCTGGACGAGGCAATACCGGCATTGACGTCATGCGCATACTGATAGGCAGGATTTCGATGAGCAGTATGCCCACTTCGGGATCCGACGCTACCAGTTCGCGAAAGAAAGGAATGTACGGGTATAATCCAATCTAAAAACTTGAAATCAGTGCCTTGAATGAGACGCTACCGAAGAATGAGCGCACGCCTATTCCGTGAATGAAAATCACGGGGTTCTTGATTGTTGACCGATGTGGGCGGTACCAGTACGGTAGATGCAGCCCCGGCGAGGCACGTGAAAGAATGGTGAAAGGACGGGGTGGAAAAGCTTGGAACCATTTCTTTGGGGCGTAGTGTCGGAAATCCAGGGATGCGAAGCGACCAGCTGTGTACGTGTCCACGAAGCACACGATCTTAGCGTAGCCATAAAGACATCAGAAATGTTCCTTCCGGAGAAGGATGAGCCTTACAATATACCAAATTAGCGGCCGATGCAGCACCACGACTGGGTCAAATGTTAGCCGCATGCAATCCATGTTCTTGTTGCGTCCTTCCTCAAATTTCATCCCGGCGAGCACTTTAACTTCGAGAGCAGAAATGAAGCCATCTATTTCGCTTCTCCATTGCTCTATTTCATCGGCCTTCTTGCCGTCGTGAGAGAAAAAAGCCCAGAGAAGCCAATCCACAACATTTTCTCTCTTGATTGAAAGAATGTTGGTGCAGAGAAACCATCGGGGTAATTCAAAAACTGTTCTGGAGCAAAGCGCAAACAATTTTTGGCGTTCGTCCTTTGTGAGGATTTGAGGAGCATGGGATGCTGGCTATGACAGCATTTAGGAACGGTGGTTGCCCGCAACCCCGCTTCTGTACGTACCTTAGCTAATGTCTTCCTTCGAGGAAGAAACACAAACAAGTAGAAAAATGCTTCGGGTATCGTAAAGAGGGATATCCACGGAGAAATAAGAAAAGAACGACGATATGCAGAAGCCACAAGGTGAACAATGCTGACGGGGACAACAAGACGGAGGGCGGTGATTGCAGCTCGGATGAAGATGTACTCGGGAATGGTTTTGCCAATCATTGGCGATGTCGAAGAGATAGTCAGGGATGGATGTTTATGTCATGAGAAGAGCTGTCGAAGAAGAATCAGAAACTATCTCGCCACAAAGCGGAATTTACCGCCGCGTTATCCGTCACGACCACGTGACCCCGCTTTCGTCACTCGACTTCACAATTTTCTGTCACTAAATCAACCCAGGCGTTCCGAGGCACTCAGGCCTACTTGAAATAATCTTCATCAGACTCTCATCAAAAATAATGACAAATGTATTAGCTCCACAGGTACCATGTGCGCGTATCCGCCAAAATTCCGACCGTTTGTTGAAATTGTTCAAGATCTTTGGTGGAATCCTGAGATCGTTGCGTCCGCGCCACAGCCTGCCACAGCCTAATCTATGTACTCATTTTGGAATATCTCTACTTTAAAATTGAAATATACGGGGCCGCCGACCATGACACCGACTCGCAGATAGCGCAATTGATATCCGAAACGGAATCAGATCTACTAGTGTCAGAACGCAATCCATGCGAGCCACGCCTTCTCTACTGCGATCTTCGAGTTACCATCAAATCCTAATTATCTCCTCATGATCCCGGTTTTCGAGGACTATCCGAGATCAAGGTAACTGCGAGATGTGTTTTCTTCGAATTCCAGTGACCGGCGCTTGATTTGGAGTGCAGTGCCTTTAACGGCGGCGTGACATCCTTCTGTTGGTCGCATGGACGCAATTTAAGGTCTTCCATATCTATTGATTTCATGCGAAGAGGCTAAAATCTCCCACAGGTTTTTCTCTGATGGAGAATTTTTTCTGTCAATTTATCAAGAAGGAATCACCCATTCTATGAAACGTCAGAAGGTTGCCGGCCTGACGCGTACTAAACGTTGCTTAAACTTCGGGTCAAACATGTTCTCCTATATACGGTACACTCCCACCATCATTACGGGACAAGGGCCCCAGCGTGGTCCCAAGAATCCTATTGAAGTCGTCGTTGGCTTGATTTGCAGGGGCCCCTCTGCGTATGGCATTCAGGATCATTTGATTCCGAGGCCGACTCAAACTGGACTGACATGTGTTTGCATGTGAAATAGACCGGCAAGCACGTTCCGTGGGCTTGAAGACGATATGGAAGGTTCCTAGAGTCTGGGCATCCAAAAAAAACAATAGCAACCGGAGAAACGCCGATTCATGCGGGTAGAAATAAGTTTGTAGAGGTACAACGCTCCAGGCGGTAGCACGAGTTTTACCCTGAACGAAAACGCAGCTTCAAAGTTTAGAATGATACCAAATTTTTAGCTCGGCCCCAACATTGCGCTAGCGCTGTTAATAGTAGTTCCATGACCGCCTGAGAGTGTTCTTTCGCGTTTCTGTTCTGTTCTGCCTAAAAAGAATGGAGCGGTAACAATGTATCAAGGAATTCTCATGGTGGGGGAACAACCGAATCCACGCTTTTCATTTACCAGCGTCGCCGTGTTATTCGTGGGCATGAGGGTATAACGCGGCGAGTTTAATGAATGAGCAGCGTGGATTCGGTGTTTCTGTTCCCTGGGTACCATAGGTACAGTTTATTCGCACTTTCGAATCAGTTTTCGAAGAGATTAGATCATGTCGGGCAGAACAAGCCTGAGACAAGATTCGGGATATGTTGAACGCAGACGGCTCATAATGCCCACCAGATACAGGATCTTGCCTTACATTATTGAATAGAAGCAGAAACAGGAGAGGTCCTCGCCCTTGTACCTAAGTTCTACGTCGTTCTGATGCGATGAAAATGTGTCGAAGTAACTTGAAGGTGAGTGCGCCACAGCCGATGAACCTGAGCGGGTTGCAGGGACGCAGACCGCCACCGTGACAGCCAAGTCAGATACCCGGTTTTTCCTGTCTCTTCCAAGTCTAGAACTTCATTCGAGCACTGCTCAGTATTTCATCGACAGAACTCACAATTATCTTGCTTTTACAAATCGAGTGGAATAAAGGTTGGTCTAGTACATCCTCAGAGATCACTGTCAGACGGCAAATTACTGTGAAGTAAAGTCAGACGGAAGACGAAAAGAAATGATAGGAAAATTACAGAAGATGCCCTTGTATCCGTGAGGCCTTCAAGGAGTATATTGCGGTTCAGGCTAGATATTTCACCGTTTCTATCACTGCCCATTTCTCGTACTTTACCATGGGCGACGACTCATGATGGATGAAGACGAAGAGCAGGTTTTGCTGAATTTTTGAGTAATTTTGAAGCATCGGACCGTTCGGACCGATGTTACAGTTGTCACGAATTTGGAGGTCACAATTTCCCAAATCGCTTCCTTTCCACCATCACCGAGCACGACGAGCTCGAGCTCGAGCTCATTGTGTGACACGATGAGTAAGACAGAAAATCAAGTATTCGCCTTCCCCCGTCCCGCCTCTCCAACGAAAGAAGAGCTACGGCCTAACGCCCATCCCTACGCGATAAAGACGACCTCTACTGGGGTGCTCACTCGTTCTAACTCGAATGCGTCGCCGCAGCAGCAGAGCACAACCCACCATTATGTTCCCAGTCCATCGCCCAGTCTGTCAAGGTCGAGCTCGTCGAAGTTGAATGGTCGTGGACATCGTTACAGTCGAAGCCTCAGTTCGGATCTCCCGCGTCCTCTGCCCATTCCGCCGCCATCTCCTTCACAAATTACAGGTGACGTCTTCAGCGATTCAACGAGCGAAGGATCGCCGGCTCGCCGGCCCAAGCGGTCGGAGACGCTACCTACGCCGCCTGGGGTAGGCCCACGTCGCTTGCCTGCCCTGGACGACCTTCCAACGAACCCGAAGTCATGGACACCTTCTCAACTATCTTTATATCTCTCTACGACGCTGAAGGTACGGTCGGGGGAGACCCTGCAGCTTCCAGCACCTGTAGCTCAGGATGTTGCCGTGTTTGTTAGAGAGAGCAGAATTACGGGCAGGTCCTTCCTACGCATGAAGGAGGAGGACTTGGAACAGTGCGTAGAATTCGTTTCTTTTCTTTAAAGCACAGAATTTCACTCAATATCTTCCAAGGTTTCAAATCAACAAACTCTGGCGTTCTGCTCTGCTGTCGGCCTCGAGAAGTCTTCGTCAAAATGTACTTAAAGGCCGTATCTGGGGCTTTGGCAATGGAATAGATGGTTCTCCATACTCTGTTGTTGCCGAGTCTGATGATGAACACACACCGAATGGCCATTTGCGTAGGAGATCTTCCTCGCTTAGTGAAACACACTCGTCGAATCCTTTCGTCAATGGTTCCGCATCGTCTGATGACTTGGGGGACAACGATACGCCCATACGTCGGAGCCTAAGGGGAAAGGCCTCTGGTGGTCGGTATCGGAACGGACGCGTCAAGGGTATGGTGGAAACTTTTGAGCGAAGTAACAGCGTCGATGAGGGACTATCTGACAGCCACCCTCGTCGTGAGCGCAGCGGGAGCAATGCAAGCACCAGTAGCGGGAGTAGTATTTACGAAACCGCTGACAGCGCCTACGCCACCCTCAAACCGCGTCCACTGCCAGCGACACCTTCGGACTCTTCCCTTTCTACATCTCCCCCTGAGGAGGAACCATCAATCGAAGAGCTTCTCGCTAATTCTCACCTGTCATCAGTGTCGCCGGTCATGGAACGAGGTGATAGTTCCTCCGTCACGAAACGACCCAAGAAGCGGCGTGGAGGAGCCGTAGGTGTGCATGCATGGGAAGCTGAGGTCGAGGATAATGATAGCGATGGGGAAGATGGTCCGCAACGCGTTACAGTGAAGCGGATTCTCCCTGTTCCAGGAACAACTGTGGAAGACCTGTTCGCTCTGGGTCCTATTGCCAAGACAGAGATAGATGTTGGTGTGGAATCTCTTCCCGAGGAGCCGGCGCCCTCCATCGATGCTAAAGCACGGGCGCAGGTAGAGGTGCTTGAGAAAGACCTCGAAACGACGAAACAGCTTATCGAAAGGCTCAAGGCGCGATTAGAGGTGGTAGAGAAGAGAGTTGAGAATATGGAAGTGGTAGAGGCGGAAAGGGAGAGGGAGGAAGAAGAGAGGCGGAAGAAGAGGGAAGAGAAGGAGAAACAGCGACAAGAAGAGAGGGAGCAGGCTGAAGCATCTCGAACAACAGTTTCGACACCATTCGAGCCCCAGACGTATCTGGGAAAGATTTTTCGCGCGCTGTTTGGTGCTCGTTCAACACCATTAGCAAACGATGACGGGCGACCACGATTCTTGACATCTTCATACTATGAAAGATTTGTCGAGCCTACTACGCTCAGTGGACTACCCTCATATATCCTGCTGGTCGGCTTGGGTGTCTGCGCTGTTGTCTTGAAGGTGTTGATCCGCAAGAGCTTTGCTATAGGTATCATCGCGCGAAGGCGCTAGAAACCGACACCACTCATTCATCTATTTTCCTTTCTTGCATATTATCTTTGTTTTTATATGAACTTATTTCATTCTGCTTCTACATAGTTCTCTGTATTTTTTCTCGTCCTCTCACGACTTGTCACGACATTTCACGACATATTGACTACGACTACTTGCTCGCGCAGTGATGACTTTGCTTTCTTGTCTCTTGCTTTGTATGGATCTTATAATGATCAGGTCTGCGAGAATTAATTCTCGTCTAAACAATGTACGACTCCTTTGGGCCTCGGTATTAACGCCAATACGAAACTCTGATCCCATCAGCTTCTGTGTCTGTGGGCGCTTATTTCATTCTTTTCACTACCATGACACCGCAGCCCCTCGCAGATATCCTCAAATCCTTTCCGCCTCTACCACCATTAGATCCTGGTCACCCAACGGAATGGCTTCGCATGGTTGCGTTCATAGCATGGTGCCGCGAGGTTCCCAACCGACAATGGGCAGATATCGTAATCTATTTCATTCCCAACGACACATCCACGAAAGGGATCCTTTCTCTCATCCCCACACCTTTGGTGGACTGGGAAAAATTCGAACCTGCAGCTACTCGTATGTTGTGTAGGTCGTTCTCCGTTTTGTTCTTCAATTCGTTTTTTAATACGACTCAAGCGACTGTGTGTGCTGACGTGGGAAATGCCACTTTCTTCACTGTCATCAATGGTGTCTGGGCTATACCTCAGATTGCTTTACGAACAATCGCTTCTGTAAGGACAGCATTTGTCTCACGCACTTTTCCTTTGTCGTGGAGGGTTGTGCGCTCGACATGGTGAGAACTTGGTCGTACTTTTCAGCCCGGTCTTATCTAAATTCTCTTTATTCAGGCAAGGTGCCGGAGACGTACAGGTCGACCAAGAAGCTATGGTATTGAGGTCTTCAGACGGGGTCCATTTACTCTTGGGACCTGTCACCACGACCGAATATCCCAGTACGACCGACTTGTTTGCTGAGGGCTTTACGATCGTTGCAAGGCCTGGCTCGGGTCCACCTCTGGTGGAGGAAACGTGCTCTCAAAAGAGGTATTTAGCTTTTCCAATAGTGGACTCTTCCAAGGTGTCTTCCAAACTTTAAAAACGATTGGATACACATTAGAAAACGTACAAACGATGTGAAGAGTTGCCGCGTGTCGGTCATGTGAGCTTTGTCATGATATGAAAGTAACTGTAAAATATCGTATCAAAACGTCCGGTGGGTAAAAAAATCCCAAGGTTTGCGTAGTGCGCAAGACTGTATTCTAGTATAAAACAACGAATTCAGAAAGTGAGGCGCTACTAGGGTTCGAACCTGGGTCATGGGAACGCTGAATGTCAGAATCCCATGTGTTACCACTACACCATAGCGCCATACTATTATAGTTATTGACAGGTCATTGCAACACCATCAGTTACTGAAACAGTTGATTTAGCCTCCTTCTCCCCAGTTCCGCTGCCTGAAAGTATTGTATAATCGGAGACATAGATGTTATGGATTTTTAGTGATTTTTTGGGAATTTTAGCGCTACTGCTGACCCCGTGAAAAATCGAACAGTGATGCAAATTTGGCAGGGGTTTGCCACGTGGTCATTTACCAGTCAATGAAACACCGTAAATTACGAATATCTCAATACTAGATGCTTTGATCCAGTTCGTACTTTGTACTGACATCACTGAGTAATATTAAAAAATTTGTGGCTACTTTATTTGAGGAAAAAGATGATGTGTGGTGGATGGGACAAAAAATATTTTTCGGCGTTCCAATGACCGGTAAATAACTGTAACTTGGTTTGTAAACTATTGTATCAATTTTGAAGATAGGCGCCCTCACGTGGCGCTTACCTTTCTAAATTCGAATGATCATCATTTCCATCATTTCTTTCTTCTCTTCTACCACGACGATGATGGATGAATCTGCCTTGTTACTACCCATTTCTTGCAGATTCAGTGAGTACTTCTCTCTAGGCTCACACCAGCGAAATGATGCCGTTTCCTGCAGTTCCATACGACCAATGGCTCACTACCCATGTCGACCCTGCTTGGAGGGTGAAACAGGTAAAGCACTGGATCCTATCAAAATGTATATCCCACATCAAGGAGGAGGTCGATATTGAAGTACCGGAGCCACGACACAGATCTCCTTCCCCCATTATATTCGCACCGCCCAAGCATCATCGCCCAACATCGCCCATCGAATACAGTACAAAGGCGGGGAGTGGGTACGAGGAGGATGACGAGGCAGATGCTGAAGGTGAAGACGTCCAGAAACTGCCTGCTCAACTCCCAAGCAGTTCTGTGTTACCTGCCGCCGAACCACCACCTCCGACTAAGTTGAAGGCCAGACGGAAGAAGAAATCTACTTCGTCCTCGGAGCCTATACATCCCCATCACCGCTCTGCATATGAGCCTTCTCGTCTCACCCTGCTACGTTTTTCGACCGGCCAGATTCTGGAAGATGATTTCACCTTTGCTTGGTATGAGATTCAACCGGGAGAGTTGTTCGAGGTCCATCGCGTTGGTGTCGTGCTGAAACTGCAGAGAACGGCACCGGCAGAGTATGCGAAGCCTTATTGGGAAGGATGGGCAAAGGCAGTGAACACGAACCCGAATGGGGGGAAGAAGAAGAATGTAATGGGCGACGGAGGGAAGGAAAGCAAGTTCGAATGGAAAGACCATTGGGTGGTAATCAGAGAAGGTCAGATGCAGTTGTGTAATGACCGTTCTGTAAGAGCGTTTTTATTTGTTGCTCTTATCTCATTCTCACCTCTGCTAAAGGATCCTATTCCACACAAGGCTCTTTTCCTATCGCATTTGACGGCGATTCGCGGGTCAGATCACCTCAAAGAGACCGCCGTTAAGGTCACCCCGGAGATGCGAATCATCTGCGCCAAGTTCAAGATCCGCTCGAGTGTTACAACGTCGACAGTAGTCGAAACAGTCTCGTCTGAGAAAGATACTGAACCTTCAACAACATTTACCGTAATATCTCCTGCTAAGAAGCCCCCGCACCCGTTGACCATTGACCTTCGACGGACCCGGAAACGTGCATCGACAATATCTCACCTACCTCACAAAACCGGCCATGATTCAGACTCGACTAATCCAGACGGCGAAGACGACTCTGATTCAACGCTATCCTCTCCCGTGTTCGCTCACGATCCTCGAACGGATGAAGAGGTTGATGATCTCGACGATGACAACGATATCAAGTCAGTCCTGGGCCTTCGTTATGGACCCCGTCATCGATATAGACATGACAGAGCCATCAAAATTCGTGGCTCAGCAGAAGATGACGACGATTTACCGTCAGTCGACCCAACAGGAGAAAAATCATCTGAAATAGGTGAATGGATCGTCCTGGACCTGCTCGAAGACAGCGGGTACCTGTCTCTGTTGCGTACTCTCCATCGTCTGTTCCCGCATGAGCACTTGTCAATCCACGAGGCATCGACGTTTGTCTCTACCCTTTTACCCTCATTGAACTCACCTGGCACCCCCGTCCCGCCAACTCCGCCTCCCACATCGGCTTCAACGCATCCGACCTCGCTGCTCCCGTCGCTACCACACAACTACGGAGCTTTGGCGTTTCCCGAATGGCGCACGGAGCTGGTCCATCGCGCTCGCAAAGCCGGAATAGGGAATGTCGGCGGCGCCATGGGGTGTCTGATGTGGGGTCTGGCGCATGCGAGAGAGGAAGAGGAAGAGACAGAAGAGGACGAGAGCGATACGGGTTCGCTGGCTGAGTGGGATGGGTGGATGGTGGATCTGCCGAGGCAGGCTAATGCTATGAAAGAGCGCGAGCAGCCGGCGAATGGCGACGAGTATGACGACGACGATGAGGATGACACGAATTATCACCAGGAGCAGTCTGACAGAATGGCGTTGGAACCTTCGGCTGTCGTGACATCAGTCCCGCTTTTTGCCTCACCTGCCACTACGCCTCCACTGTCGTCACCATCTTCCTCTGAGTCGCTGTTCAGGAGATCGGGAGCGCTGAACGTGAACGTGCTGGTAGATAGCCATGGCCGTGAGTTACGGCACAGCAGGTCGGACGAGCCGCAGCTACATGAGCAGGGGCCAGCGCGTCGGCCAAGTATGCCGTCGCTGTTGTTTGGGGGAGCTGGTGTAGGTAGATCAGGTAGTGTGTTGAAGAAGGGGAAAGGGAAGGAGAGAAAGAAGGACAGGGCGAGACCTGCTCACCACGACGAGTTGGCTGATGCAGACGGGAAGAAGAAGAGCGGGTTGGCGAGGGGCATGGAGAAGTTTGTGAGGGGTTTAGATCCGACTTTGGATTTTGTTGATTCTCGGTAAGTGCTTATTGTTGTAATAGTAATACTTTGTACTGTACACGCTGTGTTTTTGGGAAAGTCTGGTGTATTAATCGTTTGTCTGTATACATATCCTCGTTTAATGTATTGAGCTTGTAGAACTTGAATAGAGTATCCTCTTCTTTAACTGCCGAAATCTTAAAATGCCAATACCGGATTCTAGGTTTATTCCAGGTATTTGCACAGTATATAATAGTAGCTGTCATTAGGGCTATCGTGAAAAGGGCCAAGTGCCCGTCCGTCTTTGCACAGCTCGGTACTACTAACATTGAGTCAGTTTCAGGGAAGTAGCATGGAACGAGTGCAACCGTGCGAGCCTGTCATATACGCAATAAATCTAGAATCGTAAGACATCCCGACCCATTTGAATTCCAAGAGTACAGATTTGCGAAGATAACAGTTGGACGTCAGTGATTGATCGATGGTATACAATAAACACAAGTGCGATAATCGTGAAGTCCGTACCCAGAATACAACTGAGTATTCGAAAGACAGACTAAGGAACATGAACGTCGCCTAAGGAACTGCCGAAAAGGTAAGTAAGCTTTTGTGGTACAGCACTTCGGCATTCAAGTGTCTGGTCTAGAGAGAGCTGCAATCGCATACGATATCGTTGCCCTTCCACGCTCTAGTATCAGTTACCAAGGCCTGTCCAGACCCTAACGAAGTACATGTATGCATCAGTTTTGCTTTGTGCGAATGTATCCAAGAGTAAATACGTATTTCAACATCGTTCAACACAGGTGACATAGTAGTAGCCAGTCGGAAGCAACAGCGCCGGAGCCAATGAGACAGATAGCATCCTCAGGTCCGTGGAGAACAAAGGACCAAGAATAAAAGACACGACTTGCGAAAGAGGCAGCAGTAAGGCAGGCTCCGTCATCGTCGTCGCAATGTTGATAAATGCTGGTGGTGGTGGTAAGGAGAAAAGAAAGGATCGTCACAACTGCGCTACACTCTACCATCGCTCGTTTGTACTTCAAAAGTTCGTTTCTGTGCAGAATTAAAGTCATCAACTGAAGTTCCCTACTACAATTACACATATCGTGAATAATGATACAACATTTATAACGCCAAAAGCGCATGCTGTCATCGTTTAGTCGCCTCCCTCATACTTTTAGCCACGTTCTCGTTCCATCCATAAGTCAACGCGTTAGCGAATCCGACGAATTGCGTCGTAGCCTGCATAAGCTGCAGCACCCTTGACGTATGTCCTGACGCCTCCACCAGCCTATTACACAACCCCGGTATCCACAGCACGATATACGCTATAGGATACGCGTTGAGCAGTAGTATCTTCGCCACCTGCCTCTGCCTCTTCTCGTCCATCACAGGTATTGATGAGTGATGCACGTGAGCACTGGATGGTCTCGGTGGATAGTAATGCTGCGTTGGGGGCGGCGCCTCCTCGTCCCTGATATCCGGCTGCTCCACAGATCGAAACTTCTCCCCAGAAGTCTCCTCGTTGAACTGGACCTGGGACACATGAGTCTTGAGGTCTGGACCTCGTTGAGGATCCGCGGAGAGGAAGGACAAGTGCGACGGATTCGAAGACCCCGTTGAAGTATTAATCTGGTTAGCGATCAGGAAGTTCATTGTTCGGAAGCGTTTTTTGAGATGGATGTATAAATATGCATAAAGCCCTGGAAGAGAACCGTTGAGACCACGCGGATTCAAAAGAAAAGAAAAGGCTCACCGATTTCGGAAAAAATGAAGAGAAATCGCCAGGCGTGGGTCAACACATAACGTAGATACGCTGGCTCGGTATGTATCCAGCTAACGACGTCAAAATTCAATCGTAAGCCAAAGCAATAGAACCTGACAGTTAGGAGGACTCACCACCAATTGCCAGAAACCGCACTATAATAACCCTTTCCGAGGGCGACAAAACCTTGACTGCGGGTTAGGATGTTCCGGAAAAAGAAAGCGCCACTCACTCGTGATTATCGGCAGCACCCAAGTGCTAGCGCAAACAAGAGCGACCTTCCACCATGTGCGTTCGCTCAACCACCCGTCTTGGGTTCCCGTCACAATGATTACAGTCACTACTGCGATTGCAAATATGGACGTGTCCGTAGCCTAGAGCTCGTACGATAGGCGAGGTACCGCTGGTAGGGGGCGTAATGACGCTAACCTGAACAGATAGTTGTCCGATGAAACCGTTGGCGACGCAGGCCGTATTGTAGCGTAGTTGGCCTTTGGCTAGCACAAAGGCGCCTGAAATTCCATTATTGAGGCCATTTGTAAAGTCTAGAAAAGACGAAATGAGCAGGGTTCGTACAAAAGGATAGTGAGGGAAGGGAAGATCCCGGAACCCACCTGCAACGGCCAGGTTGAGGATGAGAAGATGCCTATAATGTCTCTTTACAGGAAGGCAGACGTAGCAAAGGATGATAAACCCCGACCCGAGAGCGGATAGCGTACTCCCTATGAAGTTCGCCACAGCCAACGCAAGGGCAAAATGACTGAGAGCCATCGCCGCGTGGGGGAGAAGACGACGTCTGCAAAAACCTCGCCCTCATTTGTATTAGATGAAGGAAAACGATAATCGGATATTCCGAGGCCGTATGTCCCTTCCATCAGCAGCCCTGTATTATAGCACTTTCCATCGATCACTGGATAATACGGCATCCGAGCGAGACCAACTTGCCCGAGCCAATCATATTCTGGTAACAGGCAAATTAGGAGTACATATGTAGGAGCAGGGCGCTGGGAACTGGCTGGCAAACCTCATTCAGAAACATTCCCGTCCGCTCAACCGCTGGCCAAGACCTTGAAGGGTAGTATATGCCTTGTCTGCTCTCGGAAAATCATCAGCGAAAGAACCATGGTATTCGCAAGCGCACTTACAGGGAAATGGAAGAATTTCTAGCGAAAGAACCAGGTGAGATGGCCCAAGCTCTCGCCGTGGCTGCCGAAGCGTCGCGGAGCTCTGCCGATTTGATCTGCACCCTAATTACAGGAAGCAAGGACCGATGACATGTCTGCCTGACATACTCTACTACCCGAAGGTAGTGGCGTAAGACGCTTCGCAAACTGATAGTCCTTCGAAACGTCGAAAAAACCAGAGTCACCAGTCCGGACTCTTCAGGTTCGGAGCATTTGCATCGATAGTCACATGAGGGGGGATGCATCGCTTAAGATGTATTAGCTAAAGCTTGGGAGTACACAAAATATAAAAACATACCGCATCTAGTCACCAGAGAGATAAGAGAGATCGAAGGCCCGCTTGCCCTGTCTTTGATATCCAAAGACGAGGAGAAAAGGAGCACCAGTAGTCAGGTATGAAGTCACGGCTTGCTTCCTAATAATACTCAGTCATCGGCAGAATAACTGCTGCCAGGACAACACTGTGTCTCATTTCTGGAGTTAAATGGTTCCGCAACAGTATCTCAGCTTCGAAGGGTCGTGTAATTCGTCGTCCACCTAAAGTCCCATTATTTTGAAGCGACCTTCACTCAGCATGAAGGGAAGGATGGATGAAGGTCGTTGAACGATAACAGTTAAGTACCTGCAGACTGTATTTCAGTACCCAACTGCACCGTACTAATCAGTATGTTGAATTGCAAGAAAGAAAAACGTTACGGACGTATTCGAAATACCCAGATGACAGGTCCTGTGTGGAAATCTAATGACATCCGCGAAGGCTCACTGCCTAGAGGATTTCCTCGAAAAGTGCCAAGAAAAGGTGAGGGTGTAACCTGTTATTGACATCCCTCAATCTAGGGCAGCGAAGTGGGGGTAAAGCCCCTACTCGGGCTTCCGGTGAAGTCTTTATCGTAGGGCCAAACAAATTCCTTTAGAACGTTGGATAGGAAAAGGATGGACTACGAGTTGCCATGTGGCCGAACATCCGAAGGACGGCGATTCCCGGACTTCAAGTTAGATAAATGGTCTCACGCCACAGGCGCGTCTATCTAGATGTTTACGCTGTCAGGAGGACAGTTAAAATCCACATACTGGATGATAGGCGGCTAGATATCATACCAGTGAATGAAGTTTGGGCCCCAGGAGATGCTTAATAATACTTCTTGGTAACAGTTTGAGGAGGATGTAATTTTTAGTTCGGAAACAATGCTGAACTTAGGCCCCAGGGAGCTCCTGCCTTATGAATAGGATTCGAACTTTGCAACAGAAAGCTGATACGCTGGCGACACACCTCATCTACATTGATTCAAATCCCTCAGATGAACTTGCAACCAGATGTGCTTATCGCTGACAGAGCGACTTTAGGGTCGAGAACAACCTGTCTTGAAGCCGGGATTATCAGCTGGAGATGAACAAGGGAACGAAGGAGATCATACGTTTCGGACAACGACAGATCTTCGTGGTAAAGATGCGTAATATTCGCTACTCTGCTGGTCTGTCGTCAACGGGGAAATTCAAAAGGTGAACACGTCGGTGATACAAGGGGATATCCGGAATTTGATGAAATCCAAGTCACTGTGCTCGACGATGATGCGGAAAGATCATGATGATTCAGTCATTCCCCAAGAGAACGACGTTAATTGTCGCCCTAACGTTCAGCCGTCATCAGGATAATGAAGGGCGCGCATGATTTGAGTCATCGATCATGCTCGGCGCTTAGGACGCACATAGACTCTTAATTCAAAATGATGGAGCAGGAGAGACAACCATTCCAATGATGTTTCTAAACGAAGCAGTAAAGAGAGCGCATCAAAACCAAGCTGAATGAATAGCTAGAAATATATATATCTTCGCGTAGAAAAGCCCGCATGGTATAGCCACAGATCATCACAAAGTTCGATACATGAGACAAAGTGCTTACTTTCAGGAGTACGAGAACTCTTGAAGTTCCTCTAAATGGTAGATCCAATAAATCCCGAAATTAATCGCGGCAATCTAAATGATTAAATCGTAAACTGAACTATCTTGTTGCTTTGATCGGGCAGCCACGGTATTACTAAGGATGCGTGTGTGAGGAAGATGAAAGCGCTTGTGTCGTTTCGTGGTCGTGATGGTTCGGGTTGACCGGGGACCCGCTAGGCAATCAGATCTGCGAAAAATTCTGTGATCGGCCTGCCAACTCTGTGCCTTCATGTCGCCTGGGTCAATAATTTCATCATACATTTCTTCTCTCCAAAATCTAAGTTGCTATTCTCACAAATAACTTCGGACCTCTCATTCTTGAGCTTGAGGGCTCAGGCTCGCTCATAGTGCATTCACCCCACGTTCGACCCTAGTCACCGACGTTTCCACCATCCGAAGGACGCTGTGGCGACCGCGACGTGAAAGCTGTGCTTGTTCGGGGTTTGCGTGAGTATTATTGCTGTAGCGGATCAGATCTACAAGATTTTCATTCCTTGTACCGCCATTACGGTTGATCTCTTTGCGACTGGATATCAACAACCGACCCCTTGACGAACTCGATGAAAGATCGCCATTTCAGTTTCATCTTTTTGTTACTAGGTAGCGCGGTTAATGCACTAGCGCTCCGACTATGCATTTCTGATGCGTTGATTTTTTATTACGGATTTCGATGTCCAACTCTCATGGTTGTATCAGATCCGGAAATATCACACTGCCAGTCTTAATCTCATTCATCTTACATCTGTTGACTCAGGCATACCAACAATGAGTCATGCATCACATCAACAGGAGGGTATAAAGAAGGGTGCCGCGGTGGGTTAAATGCATATTTCTACACTACACTACCTTCTTCCCTAGCATGGAGCTAGAATAAAGACCAACAGACTCACACATACCTAATATGTCTCTCGAACTTCTCAAACACATTCTTTCCGCACCCTTCCAACATATTATGTATGTTTTATTTCGATTTCCAATCCAACGAGTGACTAATACTCATCACTTGTCTAGACTCACTCTCAAACGAGAGTTCTTTAGGTTCGTGCTTTGTTCAACCAATATCATCCGTCGACTTTCTTACTAACGGAGTACTTATCAGTCGTTCGGAGTCAGGTCAAGGGTACGCCAATTTCATGACACCGGATAAATAAAATCGTCTTAGCCCGTCCTCCGCAGATACATTCCCCGTGGAAAACAAACCATCACTAGCCAGGGTTCCAGCAAGCCTGGAGGAGGTGGGACCAAGGGACATGGGTCAAGATAAAATCGACCAGCCTCGCAAGGACGAGATTTCGGATTGATGCCTGATAAACCACACTCCCTTTGACATATTATTCCCTTATTAATTAGTCCTTATTTACTTACTATTTAATTCTACGACCACGTATTTTCGTCCTCGATTTCGACATGGACAAGAGAAGGGTCCAATATGTTTCAATGGAATTCACCATTTCAAGTTACCTACATCTGAGTCGAAACAACGGATACTCCCCGAGTGACACGTCAAATAGTTATCGATGCGGTATGAAAAGGAGATGCGAGCGGCGTGTTGATGAAGTTTGAACTTGGAAATGATAGAAGATAGCATGATGGCAGGAGTTATCCGTATTTGGACGGCGATCGGCCCGCAAGTCCCGAGCGAGCTTTGCGAAGGATCACCATCACTCTTGCAGTAGGTGCACGCTTAGAGGGTTTCATCTGCTTGGATGTCTTCCTTCAGGGCCTGGAAATCGTCTTTTCTCAGCCCCTGTTACTTCAGTGGCTTCTATTGCTTCCCTGTGCAAAATTTTTATCGACCTCATCAACGCCTCGGCAATAACTTGTGAAAGTATTCATGACAAGAGAGCATACTGGCAAAGACGTCTCTTTCATTGCAAGGGATTCTCATACTAAGATCCCTCCGATGTATCAAATCCACCTCTGGCACTCTCCGTACTCTGTCAGCAACGCCATCAAGGATCCCGTCTTTCATAGTATCTCAGCTTTATGACCCGCGGAATATATGGAAGTAGCATCGCCTATATCAATATCGGCGCGATCAACCTCATGTGCGCACTACGTGATGATACATGTTCCACGTCCATCCGATCCACGGTGTACAGCTCTTTGATTTCGATGTGTAAATTCTGACTTGCTCAGTATTTGCAGTGTACGATGAAACGTCGGTCGGCGTTTCGTTGTGCGATGGGATCCGACTTGTTCTAGCGTTCCAGCCAATGGCTGAACGTCCATCAAATTGATATGCGCCCTCGTATAGAGCCGATGTATGAGGTGGGTATTTCTTCACTACTACTAGTTCTTAAACTTGAGTGGCATAGAGCCAGAAGAATGCGCTGAAGGCATGCGATTCAACATCCTCAAATACCTTGCTATTCTCACAGGTCATCCAGGTTTGCGAGTCAATCATTTGTTCGTTGCCTCTCGTACTAAACACTAGTCAGTATGCCGATGACAGAACAAGGGTATGCGAACTCTGGCGAGGTGGCAAAATTTCTCATCCAATGCCCACAGATACGTCCCTCTCGGAGGGCAAACACCAGCAGTGAAGGTGGGAATCTTCCGAAGCCTGGTAAGCATAAGCGCAACGAGGGCTCAATGACGGAAGGCTTGGACCCCTCCGCGCTTTGAGCGGGATTTATATCTTCTATCAATTCACCGCGTTCCTTCGTTATTTATTGTCTGTTGACTTAGATTCATATAATTTTCTATCTGCACTAATTCGTATATATTGACACCTTTTCTGACGTACGCCGACGACTAAGTGTCTTCAGGACGTCCCAAGTCGTGTACTGTGAGGATACAAGTCTGTGCCGCTGTTCTTCCGAGTCATAGACCCCACGGAAATTGACGTACCGGATTTTCTATGCTATCCGCGACACAAGCTATGGCATGCGCTATTGAGAGGTTAATAACTCTCTTCTGTCGGCATGTAAGAAACTTATGCGAACAACAGGAAAGCAGCGGGTTACTCATGATAGTCCAGAGCCGTCCTTCAGGGAAGTGCTGATCAGGTAGCAATAAATATCCAGTGCCTCGCCGAACGTGTTGGTGTTGTATGAAATATCTTTGTTAGGCTACTTGTTAGTGACAGATGAGACAAACTGATTTGCCATTGGCTTCCACACCGGTTGCCTAGTTCCGCTTTCACGTCGGTCACTTTCTGTGATCCCTCTGGCTTGGGTTCGATGCAAGATATATGTGGGGGCTAAAGGGGCAATAATACAGCATCGTAGGACTGCAAAACGATGACAAGAGTGGGACTCAAACCCACGCCCTTTCGGACCAGATATTTAGATTGAACAGAAGCTGTCCTGGTCCCGACTCCCGACTTTCCTGTTAGGAGAAATCGACATTCCTTAGTCTGGCGCCTTAACCACTCGGCCATCTTGCCATGGAAGGGTTCTGGATAATGTTACTTCCATTTCAAAGTCCCAGATACACGAGGAAAAAGGCCATTTGACCATTCGGAAGGGGGGGTGGGGGAAAACTGATCGAAAACGTGGCAGCGATCACGCAAAATTTTCAGAATTTTAAGACAACAAAGTATAGTACTCGGTAAAGAATTTGACGGTTCAGAACATTTACCAACTCAAACAATGACTCTCGGAATATTTACTGTGGAAGATATCTACGGGACGACTACCCGAGCCGATAGGCCGTGGCGGAGGCCCTAGGACAACAAGGACATACATCGCCAGTTTCAACGATTTCGCGGCTTGCCGCAGTGGTTCCTCCACAACCATCAGCACCTCATGCTCCTACAATTGCCAGTAGAGCTTCTCGTAAAAATATCGGAACTGGTCATTCAATTGATTTTCCTCACTACTCGCCTTTTCTAACTTCGTATTTCCGCAGCTCAGTCACGGAAGTCAGAAGAACCTTCGTCTTGTCTGCAAGTCGCTCAACGACGCCACTATTGAGCTTGTTTTTGCAACCTTTGTCATAAAGGTTACCGACGATGCCCTACTGTCGCACTGTGCCATGCTGAAGGAGCTGGCAACGCGGACCACGGATATCTGGAGATACGTCAAGGTACTACGTCTAACCCAGACTACAACTCTGGAATCGGTCCTCGCAAATGCAAATGTACCGCAAAAATCAGCAAAGGGTGTTGCACCAACATTACACAAGGCGATTTCGTCGTTCGAAAACGTTACCGCTGTCGAGTGAGTGACGATCAACTTCCTTTAGGCGTTGAGCTAATTTTCTCCTAGCTGGAATAGTCTGAAATCCGTCGATGACGCCGTCATTGTGGCTTTGATCTCAAGTATCTGTCGACTACCCTCTCTACATAAGTTCACACTGTACATGGCGACTAGGATACGCGGTCCACTTCCCACCTTTCACCTAAAGAACCTCACGTCATTGGATCTCTCGTTCAGTGGACCGTCTTGGGATGATTTTATCTGCAATAGCCTGCCCAGCATTTTGGACAATAGCCCCGACTTATCTTTTCTTTCCCTGGGTGACGAAACGATTGGTTGCGCCGGTACGGTGAATACCCTATTTCAGAGCCTCCGTCGCCCGTTGCGATTGAAGTCGCTGGCCCTCCACATGATCTTCGTGCCGCCGCCTAGTATCCTCGCTCCTCATTGCCAGTTCCTCACATCCTTCGGTGTAGCACCTGCTGGAATGCTTCCACCCAATTTCTGGTCCGGCTTACAGAGAAGCAATATTCATCTCCGTTCCCTCACTATCGACGATGTCAATGCGCAGCTTTTGGATTATCTGATGTCATACACCGGCGTAGAGGAAATCAGATTACAAGTGCCTACAGATGATGCGGAGTACGACGAACTTGGCATCAAGTTCTATTCTGAAGTCATACCTCATCATTCTGCGACATTCAGGATACTGAGCATTCGACCGAAGTATGAGGGAATCTGGTCTTTCCAGGAATCAATGATGTCCCCCATCCTACAGTGTCGCAATTTGGTCTCTCTCTGGTTGTCTTTGCGCTTCTCGGATATCAGTGACCCCATTGAATCAGGCGTAGTCGTTAGTCAATCTTACAACTTTTTTTCCGTAAAGCTTGCGCTGATCTTCATTAGGCATACCTGCTGTGCTCCATCAAGTCGTTACCTAAAATCTACTTGCTTTCTTTGGAGTGCCCTCTGTCCTTCCCCCCTCGGCTTCCCCCATCGGTTACCCAGAATCGCTGGAAAGCCAAGCATATGATCGCGCAGGCGATTGAGGCTGTCAACACTATACCTAATCACGATCCTTATCTCGCCCTTCAAATTAGTATTGAGCCGTTCGGTTGCAGGTATAGAGCACATTGGGATGCCGAGAGTGGTTTCTCGTTTTTTTATGCTGAAACTCGTGATACCGACGTTGTATACTTGGGCTGATTAGATTATTACTTGAGCGCGTACGTAAAATAGCAAGGCAGGACTATGACGATTATCTACGCAACTACTGTATCCCCGTCAGTGTCCATTTCTTGCTTCTGCTCCGGTATTTTTGTCTTGTCCTGAAGGAGTAGCATCGGGTGGAATACATTGAACGTATAAAGCGCCAGTACCACCATCGTTCCGTCGAGTACATCTAATTATTTGGTGAGACGACGACCCAAAGCTAAGACAGAAAGCTCTCACTGAAATAGACTTCGGTGGTAATGATTCTCCCTGACCACCCATCAGACAATTCAATAGTACGATACACAGCTCTGTACGACTGTCAACTTGGCCGCCAAGTTCCCAAGACAAAAAAGACGTACCGAATAAACAGACAGACGGTGGTGAAGGCGAGAGCTACGGTAAGGAATTTCAATTTCGTGTTTAAGTGACCTCTGGTGATGTCGCGTCCGCGAATAGGCTTATCAGCCAAGTATCTTATGAAGAACTCGCTACCCAAGATGGAGTATATCGCGATAACGGCTGCTTCTGGTCAGAGAGAAGGTCTTGGAAATGATGAGTTGAGAAACGTACCCATTTGGAAGGCAATACCGCCTAGCATGACGTGTCCCCCCTGCAGAGCTACGATAAATTAGGCTGATACAAGATGAATTATGAAGCACCTTCTCCGGATCTGTGTCCTCAGATACAGCTGTTGCTGCCATTCCACCCCCAATCGCTTGTATCACGAGAGAAATGATATCGCAAGAACAAAAGAGAATAAGATCTAAAAACCCAGGGTAAGCAAGATGAGAAGCAGCCTCGTGGGCAGAAATACGCACAGGTTCTTGGACTCAAACGACTGTACCCGGTTCCAAGACGCTCAATCAGTTTCTCAAGGATCACAAAGTTGGCGGCCAAGAGCGGCGTCGGGGCCAAGATAGTGCAGGTCAACCTATTATCGTATTAATCAAAAGATGATGTAGGAGAGACTGAACAGCCGGTGAACGTACTGCATCTCGTAAGGATCCGGGAGCCCTGGATTGGAACTTGACCATAGCCGTGCACTCCAGCCCAGAATCTCGAGGAGGCCGCACAGGACAGCGGTAGCCAGTAGCCACCACGCCCGAGAGAAGACCGCTTGGCCGGTGTGGATTACTACGTCGACGAGTAAGCGCGTGTTGAGCACGAGATGAGGGCACGTACGAGTTGATACAGAAAAGAGGACCAAAAAAAGTATTGAAATCCCTCTGTCGGGAACATATCCGTAGAAACTGTCTACGTCCATAGCGCGTTTGCCGAAATCTAATACTGCAAGACTGGTCACTTGTGCTCATCCACGCTGGATGAATCAAGAGTAACTTACCTTCGTCTAACATCATGTACAAAATGTGGAGTTGGTTGTTGAAATAGAATCAGGCGCTTCCCTTCTCTTATACGCTCGCCAAGCCGTCGTGCGGTTAGGGTGAAACGGGACAAAATAGACGAATCAGTATTAAATCATCGAGCCGCGGGCGGGTGCCTATGTGGCTGAATTACCAAGCTCTACGGCGACGGGTACAGAATCAGATCTTTCGAGATCCAAATAATCCGTGTACCTCGACAATGTCAGTTTCGACAGTGGCATGCGTTTTATTTCCATTGCGCAAGGAACGGAAGCTCCAATCAAGAATGAAGTTTACTGCAGAAGTATTCGGTGGTGTAGTGAGGACTTGCCGAGCAGAATCTAGAATATACGCACCTGAAATTGACAATCAGGAAGATCAATTATCAGATACGATGGCTGTGCTTGTTGTTCCCGCGGCCCGCGGGTTACTTGTCCCACGGAAGATGACGCATAATCTTTGACATCGTCGCCCATCTTCGTCCATTCAGAGTTCAGTGGATTGGTAACTATCTTTGGTAGCAGATCTTTGAATTTTCACCTATTAACTATGCTGACTGTCTGCCCAATGTTTGCTAGCAGCAGGTTATTGCATAGCAACAGGTGGCAACTACTCACTGTCGCACTGCGTGAATATCGTCAGATTTCAAGCTAAATCAGATACTTAGCAGGTAAGTACGATTCTTCATACGTGTAGATTTTACCTTTTGATACATCCACACACTTAGGACCGAACGTACTCGCGTTACACCAGTCCCAATCAGCTGGAAACATGAACACCAGCCTTCTAAGGCTTCCCTTCCTATTATCAGCAACCTATGGTGTCCACAAATCAATGACACCGCCTCATCTAGCGCCTGCAGAAGAGCAACTTCCCATCAAAGGCTTCGATGTTGAACGAGCAGCACCTGCCTTTGCGATCTTCGCCAAGGTCGGTCACAATCTAGCGCGTGTACTAGTTTTCTCCATAATTTTTGCCTTGGCTTTTTAGTAACAATCTTCATTCTCTAGGCAACATTCTACTTCCTCTGTGCAACCGAAACGGCCGCGATCCTCTCAACCAATGATCTTTTACCCACACAATACATCCCCCTACACCTCCTTCCATCCTTAAACCACACCATTCAGCTCACGAAACCCTACCTCTTCTTCTGGATATGCACGATCCTCGGGTCATCTCTACGCGTGTACTGCTACCGCATAATGTCCTCGTTCTTCACGTTCGAGTTGAGCATCCGGAAGGACCATAAGCTCATCACTCATGGACCTTACTCTATCGTCCGTCACCCGAGCTACGTCGGGGCAATGCTATGTGGTATAGGCGCTGTAGGCTCTCATCTGAGCAGAGGATCGTGGTTATCAAACTGGATCAATACTACGCCGATCGGATGGTTGTCAGCTTGGGCTTTCACAATGGCATTAGTCCGTATTGCCTTGGTTCCAAGGATGAACAAAGAGGATAATATGCTCAAGGATGCTTTCGGAAAGGAGTGGGAAAATTGGACATGGAGGGTACCATATAGGCTTATTCCGTGGGTGTATTAGCGCCAACTGTGATCATAACCACAAGTCATAGTGTATTGAGATAAAATTTTCATTTGAACAGTGGGTTGTGCTATGATTCCAAGACAGTGATGGCACTGCAGTTTTCCAGGGGCTGAAAAACAGGCGTCTTATTTGCGGATCGCTTAGAGGAATTAAAACCGTCCGTTTACAAAACTTGAATGCCCTGGGAGAGTTCAAAAGATCCTAAAGGCTAGACAGATTGGAAGACTGATTATATTGGATGAAAGGTGACACACAGACAGATGTAATGAATCGAACAACCCATATCAATCAAATATTCGTATCAAGCGACACAGGAGGTGTTGCAAGTCCATCGTAGCCTCTGTAACGCTTCGAGTGGGATTCCTGTTTGTCCATAAGGTCCCGTTTCTGTCGTCCTGCGCGTTCAGCGTCCCGTACCAGTTTCATATTGTCACACCAGTCAATGCCTTCGTTCGGGGGTTCTGCGATCTCCTCGGAGAAGGTCCTCAAAGTTTTATAGAGCCAAGAAGGTTCTTCGAGTCGTGCGAGCATCGCTTGTTGCAAGGAAAGCTCGGAGGCAGAATGAGCGGCAGGTATGGAGCGCATACGGATGACTTTTTTATACCGAGCAGTAAAGGCTGTGCACAATTCGGTCAAACAAGTTTCGAGCCCAGGGACTGTCAGGCCTATATCACTGAAGGCGTCCGTCATCAAAGCTCTGCGTTTGTGTTTTCCGCCTACATCGCGTTGATGAGGTAAGGCCACATACTTGTCAAAGATGGATAACGTGTCTTTGAGAAGTTCGGGAGATAAACCATGTGGAAGGTTCCGCAAGGCCACCCAGGCAAGGACGTAGAGGGCCGATTCACGATCGTCAACAACCGTGTGCTCAGCTTGTGGATTGTCAAGAAGATGCGCTGAAACGAATTGCCAAGTACCCTGTACATCAATCAGTCAATGTAGACACAGAAGTACAACGAATAAACGCACCGTTCGCGAAATACGAGAGGATCCACGAACTCGATCCATAAGGACACAGTGATCCCAATCGATCAAAACGCCCCGTCTATACTCCCGGTCCAGAGTCATCATGATGTTCCCAACACTGATATCTCGGTGTAGAATCCCTGCGAGCTCATAGGCTTTTTGGTGGGCTGCGAATGATTCAGAGTCAATCGGTGAACAAGGCATATATTCATAAATCAACATACCTTCCATCGCATCAGCAACACATCTGACAAGCTGCTTTGCGGTTTCGAACGATTCCAATGGCCGGCCTCTGGTAACGAGGACAATGAAGTGTCCGATAAGACGTCGAATGCGGTGGTGAGAGCGTGCCCAAGCCTTCGATGAGTAGCTATGTCCGATGGTCTCGAAACCACTGTCACCACCAAGTTCCATCTGGGCAACATAGGGAATCTCATGTTTCGCGAGGAGATGATAGACTTCAGACTCTGGTATAGTATGAGGCGCATCCTCCCTCCAATAGTCCTTGTAAAAGAGCGTCTCGCGCTTGGTCATGCAATAGGCCATGCCATGACAAGTCGCCCTTCCGAAAGGAGAATATCCACCCTGATGCCAACGAGGCGCTCCAATGATGAAAACTCGTTGATTAAGTCCCGAACCAACTGTCAATCGCAAAAGAGCAAGCTGAGTCACGCTCATCTCCTCTCTAGCTTGCTCCAATGCCTTGCCTCGCCAGCATTCAGGAGCATAACGCCTGAATGCAGCCCTCGCATTAGAACCTTGAGCCTGCGTAGGGATAGATATTCTAGAGTCACGACCTCGTTGCGCCAGGGTCAGTTGCGCAAAGCGTTTGTAGAATCGGAATAAGATAAGTGGATGCTCGGCATAGTTGAATCGACGGCTGACAATTACGGAGGAGCGGTCCCATCGAAGTAGCCGGGCATAGGGACCGAAGATAAGGACTGTGAATAGATGTGTCCGGAATTGCATAGTCATCGTTGCTCCAGCGTAAGCACAGATTTGGCCGCGAGTGCGTTGCCCACGAAGCGTGCTATTATCGAAAGGGTATTCTTCATCAGGTGAGGGCTCGGTATCATCAGCGCGTTCTTCCTCCTCAGTTGGCTCCCCAGCCACTCTCTCCTTGGGATCTTCGTTTTTGGCTACGTCGAGTTCTCCCAAATCTTCCGTTTGATAGTCTTCTTCGCATTCTTCGTCTTGACAACCGTTTTCCTCATCCTCTACTTCATCAACCGAGGGAGCATCTCCAACGTATTGTTCAAGGTCCTCGTAATCGTCTTCGTCGCCGTCCGATGCAGCTTCTCCGTCACAGTAAGGATCATCCAACGTCTTGGGCTTCATTTCGGTGTGAGTTTCGACGTTCGCGAAATCGAGCTTCCGCGCATCAGTGCGCCTGATAGTCGGTTTACTGACATCGACCGCGTTGACGTCGACAGAGAGCGAATCACAGTATATATCTGGGGTGGCATGGCTGTCATTCCATTGAAGAACGCAATGAACATGTTTAGGGCGTTTCATTCCCGGGTTGAGATCGAACGGCCAACCGGAGAAAGCTTTGATCTGTAGCAAACATTAGAGAAGGGTAGCATAAGGGAAATGAAGAGCATACAAATAATTCGTAGGTTTGGGCCTCGAAAGCGGTAGCCATATCCGTCAAATTCTTGATACGTTCTGCGCTAGGCTGGAGGTTTCTAAATTTCTTCGGAGTGTTGTCGTTCCAGGGCAAGAATTCGTTCATGAAGTCGCGAGCTGGCATAGGACCCTGGGCTATGCCACGCGTCTCTTCAGCGATCTCAAGACGCCTGTCCATCATTGCTGGATTTTTGGCAGCAAAAGGACCATGCCCAGCGGCTTTCTTTTTGATTGGAGTGTGCGCAACTGGTGAGGGGGCGTTGGCAACGACAGGTTGGCTGGGAGTGCGAGCACCGTCTCGGGTAGAATCTGACATTAGAAAAATATGTGAGAGAAGAACAGAAAATTGAGCAGAAGATGATGAGAAGAGAGGACCCCCAGTTCATCCGTTATATATTGGATTTCAGCATGAAGCGAGGCTGATTCCAAATACAGAGATTACATTGTGCCACTCACGTTCAAAGGCGTCCTAATGACAAGACGACAATGGAGACTGGGTTCCACAAAGAAACAGAACCAGACGTCGTATCAAGAAACAAAGGAAGCTCTTCCGAAGGAGGCTGAAATGAAGCAAAGTTCAAGTTCTTGTTGAACCGGCCGCTCGATCACTCCACCGGCATTTTCCGGATCTGAGTGACTTTGTGGATGTTTATGGCTTCAGTTTATTTTTCTGTCGAGCCATCGCAAGTCTGGGTCGCAACTGGCAGTGTTCACGTTCGGTACGTTCAGTAATACCCTTAAAATTTCATCCCCCATAAATAATCAGAATGGCAGTAGCACATCGACTTCAACGAGAGAAAAAGGCTCAAAACTCCTTGCGTAGTTCTTTAAAGAAAAATGACGGCCAGAGTGTGTCGACAATGCTGCGCCATGAAGCTGTATTTGTGCCGTGGTAGGAAAAAACAAACGGAGACCATGAACTCCAATTTCAATTTTGAGATGCACCTTTTTGTTTTAGCGCCGAGGGGGGGGGATACCCAGAATCAGAATCCAGCGCTTGAGCTTAATCAGATGACGACCAGATGAGAGCTCTGCACTATGTAAAATCTGTATTTAATGGGAAAGGCAAGCTTGTAAGGACTTGGACCGGGTAAAAGCAACACACTCGAACAAAGATTTACGCTGACTGCCACATACTGCGTGTCTGAAACATGTTGTATCAATGCTATTATGTTTAATACTCTGTAACGAGTAATGCTGCAAAGGCTTGTGGATAAGTAATCAACGAGATTGTTCAGTTCAGCTTGCCGACGGCTGGCGATCACTCGGCCGGCATCTTCCACTTACCGCTACCACAACGTCCCCCGATGGACTGTGCTGTGTAATCCTACTTACCTACCATGGATGCCCTTCCTGCACCAACGACTTCCAGGACGATGCTGCCGCGCTCGAGAGCAGCATCTTTGGCAGCCAGCTCACGGTCACGCTCTCGTGCTAGCTCTAGGTCTGGACCAACGATATCGTCTATGGAGCCAGAGCCAGAGCCAGAACAAGCGACCGCGACTGCAAAACGACAGTCTACAAAGAGAAGAAAAAAGGATTCATCAAACAGGTCTCCGCGAAAACGAAGGCGGAAGGAGACAGTGAAAGCAGAGGAGCCCGAGACTGGGCCCAGTAGTTTCACCGGTCCTCTAGTATCCCCAGACGTCGACCAGGGACCGCTCGCAGAGCCATCTGAGCTCCCTTCTGAAACAACAGCTGAAGAAAGGCATGAAGCGGAGCTGGAGCCACTGTCTTCCTACAACTGCCCAATATGTTTTACCCCGCCTACCAATGCGACCCTCACCCCGTGCGGGCATATCTGTTGCGGGTCGTGTCTTTTTACTGCTGTGAAAGTTGCCAAACGAAGAGCTGGCCTTATGATGGGCGGAGGAGAATTATTAGCGAAGTGAGATTTGTTTCGTGTTTTTCTGATCATCAGTCAATTGAACCATTGACCAGATGCCCTGTATGTCGTGCTACTATCCCTGGATGGGACGGGAGAGGGGGTGGTGTTATCGGATTGAAGGCTCGCACCTTGTTTAGTGTCGAGTGATGTATCCTTGAGTCGTTACAATAATTCTAGCGACATCTCCTTTATCCCAAGACCTTGAAGGTGCGTCTTTCAGCGAGGTTATCGAGTCTTATTGTAACAGTATCTTCTCGCTCAGCGAACTTTTGGATGGAAAGTTGACATACCTTCACAGCTGTGTGGACACTGGAGCATCGAGGCGGGGCCCGTTGTAGGCAGGCGATGTTGCCGGGCGCTTGACGTATACGCACTGGCCATCTTCCTCACCTATCTCCGACTGGTATACAGAATCTGTGACCGCCCCATTAAGAAGAATTCACAATCTAGTTCTCGATAAACCCTGGTGTTTCAACAGTACATCGCGCCCAGAAAACCTCCGTCATCCCATCTAATTAAGCGCATCAGGTTCTATATCATCGTCCAGGCAGAGCCGTAAACTGAAGCGTCTGGCGCTCTCTTAGCGACAGAGGTTCAAACATCAATACTTAGCAGGGACGAGCAAGCAGTGCGAGCGCATTCATTCTCGTTTCGAGACTGTACGCTTCCGGGGTCAGCGCTTTGTCGTCGTGTTCTGCAAGTTTTTTCTCATATCTTACAGGACCTCACAACGAAACCGAACACGGATCTGCATAGAGCATGTCATCTCACACTGGCGAATACGGTAGAAATACGAAATCGTCGACGTTAGGAGAACATTGGTATGGACTGTAGGTATATGGACACCGAACCACGATGGGTGCATACTACCTATGCTCCAGAGCCGCAACTCAACCTGCGTAACTAACAGAAATACTACTGGGTCTACGAGTGGCGGGACAGCTCGCATAATAACAATGGCAAAGTGTGGAAGGTCCGCCAATTTAGACGACTGCAAGAAAGTCAACACTCGTCCATCTTTACCGCCAGACCATGAATTCGTACCATTCTGCACTAAAGGCGATTTCCCTTTATCACTTAACATCTTCCCACGGCGCGCCTCGTTCTCATTCAATCCCGTTTCTGATAACACTTCACGAGACCATCCCCAAAGTTTCCCCCTCCTTTGATACATTTTAGTCACCACCACCGCAATGATAAACAGCAAAGACACTGCTACCACAATGATTACCAGCGCTGGGGTAGTAGGCGAGGAAGGCATCACTTAGGTGACTGTAGGCTGGCGCAGAAGGATCATCTTATCCTGACGGGAAATGTGCATCCCGATTGCCTATCGGCGATGTGAGATAGTCGCAGGTGCTGCAACAGAGGGACTGTCGCCGAATGATGAACGTGGAATCGTTGAGTATCTATTTGGTGGTCATGAGCGAATGCCTAGGCGGCTCATCATCCACAACTCTTCTCCTTCTCATCGCTTACCCCGTGTCCTGCTCTTACTCATTGGCTCTCCCTTCCAATCATATCTTCCGGCCCTCGGAATAGGATGCGGAGTGGATGGCATGAGAGGCGAAGGCCATATCCAGGCCATTGTTTGGGTCTGCTGACCCTTCTGACTACTTTTAGAAAGAGGGCAAGCAGTCCTGAGGTGAGTTTCCTTACTATTCCATCTTTTATCAGGAACATAACAAACTTCAGCAGATGCTCCGGTTCCACGTTGGGATATGCATCAGGATCCAGGGGCAGATCATGACTTGGATGTGTTTGAACTAGGAGCGTGCTCGCCCACCTTGCTTATCACAGTGAGCTCTATCGTCCTGCCGTCGTGAAAGGTTCTAACTATACAATGCACATAGGATGTCACACTGCTCTCACTTCAAGACAGATCAAAAACACAATGAAACCGAGCCTTAGCCCACAGGCTCACAGGAATGTTTCATACCTCTATCCCAACGAACGATGTCCGTACATCATTCTCATCGGATACCCGTGGCCGTATGTCTTTTTTGAGTCATGCTCTCCTTATGACATTTCTTCCATGGGTCTTGCGGACCTTCTGGCGTAGGCTCCCATTCGTGAAACAAGGCAACTTTATTGAGGGCAGGACGTTACCATACGGAGAAGATATACCATTGAAGCTACAGTGTAATTAGCAACATGTCTCGGCATCGGTTTGCGTTTCTTTACGTCAGGAAGCCCACCTATATACGGACCCCCTTGGTAAATGGCCAGCTCCTTTGTTAGGGCTCTTACTGACCCATTTCACAATATCAGACCTTAATTGATGCATGTTTTAAAGATGGGACAAATACCGCTTTACTGATTTGGACACACAGTGCTAGGAATCGTTGAAAGTGCATTGATTTTGAAATACATACCCGTATTTCTTGTCTCAGGACCCCGCCATCATTCTATCAGTCGCCGAAAGATAGGTACCGCCAAGGGTGTGGCATATCTGTATATAAGCGTCATCGCTCCTCCCAGTATGCCTTGTCGTTATGAAGGCTCTCGCCCCTGATCTCGCAGCTCTTGCGGGCCTCTGGTGCGCAACCGTTTTGTATGGTACGACACTCAGAGTAACCCTTCTTTCATTCTCACTGATCTGAACATTTAGGCGTCAAGTATGTTGTTTTGTGATTATCGTTATGGCTCTCATTCGGTTCCTGCTAGTCTCGTCTTGTATTTCTGCTGTGTGCACGTTCTAATCAGACGTAGGACATCGACTTCATGGTAAATCTTACTCTCTGAACCTGCATGCTTCTAATTTATCGGTTTTCTAGGGTCCTTCTTGGTGGTGCAACTGTACAGTTCATAATTTCGACCGTCCACATTGCGGCAGGCTTAAGGTCCATGATCGAGGGATTCATTTGGAGCAATAAAGTGCCCGGAGGCTCGTACTACTATTGGGAGGACATGACACGAACTGTGTATATTTTACAGGAAGCGGCAACTGTCACTAATGTGCGTTATTTCCTTCACTGCCATCTCATGTTGCATGGCACTTAAACGGGCCTCTCAGTGTCTCATCGGCGATACCATACTCATTTGGCGTTTATACGTCATCTGGGATAAGAAGATCCTTGTTTGTCTCTTCCCCGTGCGTAGGCATCTCTTCCTCGGGATCATACGGTTCCTAATATCCTCCGTCCAGGTATCTGTTGTACTCGCTTTTAGTGGTGAGCTTCTATTCGTTACGAAATGTTCATAATCATCGTTCTGATGAATATTTTTTTACAGTCTGCGGTTACATCTCCATCTACCACTTGTCTCATCTGAGCCTATCGGATGTCCAGGCGGAACTCCAGACGGTGGATGATATTCTCAACTGGCTGCAAGCTACATGGTCTTTATCACTTGCCACCCAGATCCTCGTAACGACGTTGATCGCAACGCGTATCTGGTGGGTGTCAAAACAAGCGTTAGCCCGTGCTTCTGGAAAACGGTCCAATCCGTATATGACTGTTATACGGACTGTGATCGAGTCTGGTGCTATATACGCTCTCACTGCAGCTTTAATGCTCGCTTTCTTTACGCAGCGTAGCCAGGCGAGTACGGTCATGGCAGATGCTTTAGGACAGATCAGCGTATGAGATATTATCTCTTTCTAGTGTTGCTATCCGCTGACATGCATTGTGTATTTCAGGCAATGGTTCCTGCGTTGATCATAGTCAGGGCCGGGTTGGGATATTCTCAAACTGGATTGTCGACAGATCGGAGGGAGTCGAGTTCTGCGGGCTCCAAGTATAGAGGTCCCTTGCATATCACTGTGGACCAAAGTGTGTCATACGATTCAGGATTCAAGCTTTGATGGACGACCGTCACATCACGGCCCATACCCAAGCAATATTCAAGGTACCCCTTTTATCCATATACCCGTACTTAGGAAGCTATTATTATTATTCATGGCTGTTGTTGACAATGAATATAACTTCAATATCATTCAGAGCGGTTCCGATTCTAATTTCTCTGCCTGTCTCTTGGTCGCAGATCGGGCACCGGAGCTGCGGACCGTCTCTATTTGGAACAACAGGCATTGACCTGAGAGCCAAATATTCCTGGACACGTCGTCATTTCCCTTTTTGGTCCAAGGTATACTCGAAGATCCTCCGTGACGCCCATTACCTCCTTCCTTCCTTCCTACCACGATGTCCTCGACGTACGACGAGGACAAGAGCCTTCTGGAAAAGCTCGACGAAGTGGTTCCGGCACCTCTGGCACAGTTCGATGCATTTCCCAAGCTTCCGTCGTCCTTCAAGTCGCGCTCAGAGTCGAGAGGATTCATCACTCTCTTCGTCGGATTCCTTGCACTTCTCCTCATGCTCAATGATATCGGAGAGTTTATCTGGGGTTGGCCAGACCAGGAGTTCTCCGTCGATAAGGACCCGTCGAGTTTCATGAACATCAACGTGGATATGGTCGTAAATATGCCGTGTCGATGTGCGTGCTGGCGCTACAGGATTTATTTTATGGTGATTCACGCAAGAATTATTAGATATTAGCGTCGACTTGCGCGATGCTATTGGTGATAGACTGTTACTGAGTGGACATGGACTACGAAGGGATGGGGTGTGTGATAGACGCGTTCTTATTTTCTGTTCTTACCTCGCCCTAGACCAAGTTTGATGTCGGGCAGGCTACGAAGCTCAAGTACGCATTCTGCTGCTCTTAATTATGTTGACGACTCACCAGGATCACTGCAGAGAGCATTCCGAAGCCTTGTCAGTACACCAAGCCATCGCACAGTCGAGAAATTCTCGTGGCTTCTTCGATACCATCTTTCGCAGAACACCGACGAATCTTTTCAAGCCTACGTACAATTACGAGGCTCATGGTTCAGCGTGTAGAGTGTGGGGGACTTTGGAGGTAAAGCGGGTGACCGGTATGTGTTCTCCGACCTCTCACTTTTCCATGCTGACACGGGGACAACAGCTAATTTACACATAACGACACTGGGACATGGATACGCTAGTCATGAGCATGTAGATCATAAGCGTATGCCTCACTCCTGCTCTCCCGAATCTGTCTGACAGCTCGCTCAGTTATGAATCTTTCTCATGTCATCAGTGAATTTTCCTTTGGCCCGCATTTCCCCGATATGACCCAACCTTTGGATTACTCTTTTGAAGTCACCCATGACCGTAGGCTTGTCGTTGACTCCTTAGACGTCCAGCACTCATTTCTATCCAGCCTTTGTCGCGTACCAATACTTCCTTCATGTCGTGCCGACGACTTACATCGCACCTCGTGCAAAGCCTCTTCATACACATCAGTACAGTGTGACCCATTACACACGAGTTCTGGAACATAATCGCGGAACACCTGGGATCTTCTTCAAGTTTGACCTCGACCCAATGAGCTTAACAATACACCAGCGAACAACGACGTTCACCCAGCTTATCATACGGTATGCTGATGCTACGGCTGAATAGATGTACACCTGTGAACTAATACACTATTCGACAGGTGTGTCGGTGTCGTTGGTGGTGTTTTTGTATGCATGGGCTACGCCATTCGTGTCACCACGAAAGCCGTCGAAGTCGTAGCTGGTGCTGATGACCCAGGACTTGTCGCAGCGGAGGCTTCTGGCGCCAAAATTGGCAAGGGGCTACGTTCCAAATGGGGTGGTGGAGAAATTCGCTCAAGGAGCAAAATCGTCCGCCAAGGGTCCGGTTGGGCAATGGAAGGTAGTCCTGGCACTCCCAGCTATTCGACCTTCGTCGGTACACCACCGATTTCCGCGACTAACTCGCCGTACCTGGCTTCGCCTGGATTTGGGTCGAATCCGGGCACACCAAGTTTCTCTACGCCATCTTTTGGACCCAGTTCACCTAGGCCGTATGCTGTGCCACCACCTCCCAGTAGGGGGATGCGTACGCCTAGTCTGGGGACGGAGAGTGGGGCCGTAGGGAGCCCATCAATTAACCCGACATCCTTTTCACCTCCATTACCTGGAGCGCCGACTTATTCTATGTTCCCACCAACGCCTAATCCAGAAGCAGGTGGATTCCCTACGAGTGCGCCTCCGAGAAAGGTAAGTAATGGGCCAAAGAAGGATGATTGAGGATTTTCAGTCTCGTAGAACTGTACTTACTACAGAAAGATAATGTGATCGAGAGCTGGTATGGCAGACCAAATTCGCCGTCCGGAAAATGCCGGTTGAGTGATCGACCGGCCAACTGTTGAAGTTCTTGATTGTTGAACTTGCTTTCAGCTTCCTTTATTTCTTGCTATAACGTCTGGTTTCGTTTCTTTGTAGCTTTGTAGAACCCAGCTTGGCCGTGTGTTGCCAAAAACTCTGCGATGAGGGACAGGTGCCTTGAACTCGCTGAAGAGACGCGTGGCATAGCCCAGGGTCCTATGCCAGCTCGCGACTTTATGAACGAATTCTTGCCGTGGAACGACACCACCCCGAGAAAGTTCAGAAATCTCCAGCCCAGCGCAGAACGTATCAAGAATTTGACAGATATGGCTACGGCTTCCGAGGCCCAAACCTACGAATTATTTGTATTTCTTCATCTACCTTATTTTACCCTTGTCTAATGTTTGCTACAGCTCAAGGCTTTCTCTGGGTGGCCCTTTGATATAAAACCTGGAGAAAAATGCCCCAAACATGCACATTGTGTACTTCAGTGGAATGACAGTCATGCCACCCCGGATAAGTACTGTGATTCGCTCTCTGTCGACGTCAACGCGGTCGATGTCAGTAAGCAGACTATCAGGCGCACTGATGCTCGGAAGCTCGATTTCGCGAACGTCGAAACTCACACCGAAATGAAACCCAAGGCTTTGGATGATCCTTACTGTGACGGAGAAGCTGCATCGGACGGCGACGAAGACGATTACGAGGACCTTGAACAATACGTGGGAGATGCTCCTTCTGTTGATGAAGTGGAGGAAGAGGAAAACGGTTTCCAAGACGAAGAATGCGAAGAAGACTATCAAACGGAAGATTTGGGAGAACTCGACGTAGCCAAAAACGAAGATCCCGAGGAAGGCACAGTTGGGGAGCCAACTAAAGAGGAAGAACGCGCTGATGATACCGAGCCCTCACCTGATGAAGACTACCCTTTCGATAACAGCACGCTTCGTGGTCAACGCACACGCGGTCAGATTTGTGCCTATGCTGGAGCAACGATGACTATGCAATTCCGGACACATCTATTCACAGTCCTTATCTTCGGTCCTTACGCCCGGCTACTTCGATGGGACCGCTCCTCTGTAATTGTCAGCCGTCGGTTCAATTATGCTGAGCATCCACTCATTCTGTTCCGGTTCTACAAACGATTCGCCCAGCTGACCCTGGCGCAACGAGGTCGTGACCCTAGAATATTTGTCCCGACGAAGGCTCAAGGTTTCAGTGCGAGGGCTGCGTTCAGGCGGTATGCTCCTGAATGCTGGCGAGGTAGGGCGCTGACCTCAGTTAGAAGGCAGATGAGCGTTACTCAGCTTGCTCTTCTGCGATTAATGGTCGGCTCTGGATCTAGTCAACGAGTTTTCATCATCGCAGCACCTGATTGGCATCAGGGTGGATATCATCCTTTCGGGAGAGCGACCTGCCACGGCATAGCCTATTGCGTGACCAAGCGCGAGACGCTCTTTTACAAGGACTATTGGAGGGAGGATGCGCCTTATACTATACCAGAGTCTGAAGTCTATCATCTCCTCGCGAAACATGAGATTCCCTATGTTGCCCAGATGGAACTTGGTGGTGACAGCGGTTTCGAGACCATCGGACATAGCTATACATCGAAGGCTTTTTTTTTTGAATCCGTTTTGTACTGTGTACTAATATCCTACACGCTAGCGTATGTTCGGATTATACTATTGTCCTATGGTGATTTTCTGTGTTCAACGCTTTAGTAACTCGTAACTGGCGAGCATCTTGTGCTCATTGCGAGGTATTTCGCGACCATCTTTCTCACCGAGTTGGTGAGATAACAGGATGGCGGACCGGCTGCTTCTCTTCTGGCTGGGTCGTCATCTTTCCTCTTCCATCTATGAATCCTCTTCGTCATCAATGTCCACTTCCGGAAATCTCCCAAACGTATTTTCAAATCTCCGTGTGTCGTTGAGATATCTGATGAGGTGTGGTATATTCTTGCGGTTCGCTAAAATGTGTTTGACTGTCATAGCTCTTCCTCGGATGCCCATGGCATGCTGCATTGTTTCGCGTTCGTTACGGAATGCTGGGCAGCAGATAAGGAAGTGGTGTGTGGATTCGTTTGGATATGAGCAATTGGGGCATGCAGGCGAATCGATTCGGCGGAACATCGAAGGCTTGGGCACGCTCTCACCACCGCATTCGACGTCTTATCGGACACTTCATTGTCCTCGTTACCAGAGGCCGGCCATTGGAGTCGTTCGAAACCGCAAAGCAGCTTGTCAGATGTGTTGCTGATGCGATGGAAGGTATGTTGATTTATGAATATATGCCTTATTTACCGATTGACTCTGAAACATTCGCAGCCTACCAAAAAGCCTATGAGCTCGCAGGGATTCTACACCGAGATATCAGTGTTGGGAATATCATGATGACTCTGAACCGGGAGTATAGACGGGGCCTTTTCATCGATTGGGACCACTGTGTCCTTGTGGATCGAGTTTGTGGATCCTCTCGTATTTCTCGAACGGTATGTATTCTCATCGTAACTATATGCGTACAGTGACTAATTGCTGCCCAGGGTACCTGGCCATTTGTTTCAGCATACCTTCTGGAAAATCCGGATGTTGAACACACTTTTGTTGACGATCGAGAATCAGCACTCTATGTCCTTGTCTGGGTTGCCCTACGTCACCTTCCACACGCCTTGTTTGCAGGAAGTCTGAAGGCGACATTGGAGATTTTTGATGCGTGTGTTGTTGAATCTGGGCAACGCGATGTAGGCGGAGGAGCCAAACAAAGCGCGTTGATAGCGGACACCTTCAGCAGTGGGATTGGACTTAAGGTCTCTGGGCTCGAAATCTGTTTGGCGACATTGTGCGAAATCTTTGCTGCTCGGTATAAAACAGTCACCAATCACCGTTTCAAGTCTGCGGCTCAGATTGCCGCCGAACTCGCCTGGCAAAAAGAGGCCCTCGCGCTGCTGGAAAAACCTTCTTGGTTCTATGATACCTTGAGGACCTTTTCCGAGGAGATCGCGGAACCCCCGAAAGAAGGCACTGACTGGTGTGATAATATGAAATTGGTACAGGACGAGGCTGAACGCCGCGCAGGACGACAGAAACGGGACCTTATGGACAAGCAGGAATCCCACTCGAAGCATTACAGAGGCTACGATGGACTTGCAACACCTCCTAAGATTTGATTTAGAAGGGTTGTTTGATTCGTTACATCTGTGTGCACTACCCTTCATCCAATTTACTTACGGTCTTCCGATCTGTCTAGCTCTAAATTTATTTGAACTCCCTATCAGGGTCATTGAAGTTCTATAAACGCACCGTTTAAATAATCTGAGCGATCCGAAGATACTTTGTTTTTCGCATTACTCTTCGCTGTCTTTTCATACGACAACTCAACAAATGGCACTTTCGATTCAATTTATATGTATAACACCATCATTTATCACGACTCTTAAAGCTGACCACACAGTTTCATTACAGCATCTGTTTAGTGCTTGCACTCGGAGCACTTGCACTGGCCGGTAGCGCAGGAGCAACTGGAAACAATGGAAACATTCAGCGCGCGATGTCTGACTGAAAAGAGGATGCTATTTACGAGCTGCAGCTGCACGAAGCAGTACTGCAAGTCTGAGAGACGGGAACTTCGATGGTCTGTCGAACAGCAACCTAGTGATCAATATAATGTAAGAGAGTAGAGGATGGTGGATACGAACAGCGAACATGATGTTTTAGAACGGCTGGTTTGGCTGTTTGGAGCTTTGAAGATTTGGTGGCTTGATGAGGGAGTTCCTACATATTGGGCTGTCTTATATAGGAATAGGATTCCTGGAGCTTTATTGCCAAATATTTACGCGGTCGTCCATAAAATTGTTCTCGGAATTGAGTGGATCCAAACAATAGTGTAGGCCGTTCTGCGCCGCCGAAGGATCGCTATGAACTCGGTATTGAATATTGATCTTCCGTGCGGATGTAAGTTTTAGCCACTGTTGACCGGCCACTTTTTCTGTCGTGGAACAGTAGACTTTATAATGTACTTGACATCATGTACCATGCCCGGAATGAAAGGCGAGCTTTCAAGGCACTTTCGAGGAAACGATTCAGTCCGAGTTGGCAGAGTGTCAGGTATCTGATGGCGTGGAGAGATCCTTCCATTAGTACCCAAATTATCGTTGTGGAACCTGAACTCATGGGCCGTGGCGCCAAAGGGAGGCGCCGCTGAGACCCAGTGCCACACAGGAGCTCCTGGATTACGGTCTGATTTGTACACCCCCTCGCACAGCGTCACGCAACCAAGTGAACGCCGCATGAGAACTCGCAGTTGGAGGTAACTAGAATTAGGTGTGCTCTCGGTTGGCTCGGACCGATGCCTCGTGGCTCGGGGTTCCTTTTTCGGACGTTCTGCCAGTGACGGCCCATTGCTGTAAAGCCGACTATAGTATAAGAGCACGTAGAATCGTAGCACACAGGTGAGTGCAGCTACCACGTGTAATTTCCATGTAGGGTGTTGCACCAGCGTACAGTAAATCGATGGAGTTCGAGCACTGATGCTTATTGAATTTCCTCTGTGGCTTCGCCAGAGCCTCACCTGTCACCAAATACTGTGTCTCGCGCTTAATACAGAGCCCCCTCCCACAGGCCTTTCCAGGCATTCTGATGATCCAGAATTGGACCAGACGGCGCCCTAGAACCGCAACCACGGTGCACAAGCAAGAGCGTTGCCGCCGTTTCCCGGGACCAGGGTTTCTATTATACTGGATCCTCTCCAGTATCACTGCCTGAAAAGCGCCTAGCGCCACTTGCCATATGCATTCTCAAAAGGAATTTTGAATGACCCGCCCGACGCCACCATCGATACCGGGGATGATGGGATCCATCAGTTATCACGATTTCATCGTGGAAGGAATGGTTGTAAACCTGCCATGTCATGAAACGAGTCCCAGGACATCGATATCAAATACACTACCAAGATTAGAGGAGTGATATATACAGCTTGTCGTGTCCATTCAACCGTTTTCTTTCATTGCTGCTGCTGGTCTCAGTAATATCCTGTCTAATTCTATTGCTCCCGGATACGAGCTTATTATCGTCGCTCTTACTGTATGGTCCGTGTCTGTGCCATTTCTACCGCTTACTTACGCGGTGACCACTCCACACGCCAATCTCTCTTCAGCTAAAACCGCGAAGGAGATCCGAGAACCCTCAGGATTTGCGATGGGCGGTCGTGTGAGTTGCAGTTGTTACTTCGCCTGATCAGGAATATCCAACTGAATGCTCATTCTTGTAGGCTAGAGAGTACGGTATGAAATTCTACTCTGATGCCACAAGTACTAGTAACGAGGCTAATGTTGTGCTTTCAGTGCTTTATGATGTTCGTCATTCAAGCTAATGTCTGTATACCGCTTTAATCCTTGTCCTTGTTGACTCGACGTACCGTTCCAGTTTCTACATCGTTCGAGCATGGATCGGTACGACAGGTCAATAGATTCTCATTCTCCAGCTAATTATCTCGACTAGCGCGCTCCTTAAAGCAGCGGATACGTATACCTCGAATAACAATTGCCTTATACGCCCTTGATAAGTCTTGTACCTCTTCAGGATGTCGTTTGACTTGTCAGTCCTGTTTGTGAAGGCGCAAATATCAATGCGTCTCCACCGATCCCGCTGTTCACTAGCACCTCTTCAACCTTTCTCAAACAGTTCTCACCATCAAACAGTTCTCGAACCAGCTGCTGTGAACATTTTCAGGTGGTGGATTAAGTTCCGTCAGAATCTTTTTGCCACTCTGAAATCATACTGATAATGATGACTGAACCGCACGATTCCGACTTAAGATTTTCCTTCATTGTAAGCAACAACCCATGTCCGATATTGTGATTAATATTATAATAAATGAACTATACACGATGGCTTGACGGATTCTGTATTATATCATAATCGTAACGCCAATGAAAAATGTGGTGGGCACGGCCGGGAGTCGAACATCGCGCCAAAAGTTGGATGCCGCGACAATCTGGCAACTGATTCGCTTCTCTCACTCCTACCACCACCATCTGCCTATGAATTCCTTTGGCTCACGTATACATGAGCAGAGGAATTGTGGCAAGGAGTACGGTGCGTAGATATTTTTTCTACCACGAACGGGTTGATATTAATTCTTTGACAGAGAATCGAACAGAAAAGACAAGAGCGCTATTTTCTTCTGCAATACTTATATCGAACGAGTACTCAAAGTACTCAAGTTCCTCAGGTTTTCATTCTCTCCAATACGGATGACATTTTGGCACCTTGTTCTAAGTCTAATTAACCCTTGACTTCCTTGCTTCTTATAAGCGCCCAAGGCACCGTCAGTGCTCCCGCGAAGGCTCAACCTTTGACCTTCAAACCTCGACGATCTGAACACGCCAGTAGCTCTTTTTACAGGCAATCAATATTTCGTTGTATAGATATCAACGATGTCGACCACCGATGTTGCGCAAGATACGACTATACACACGCGAGGCTACCAGCAGGAGATGCTCGAGGAGAGCCTGAAGAGGAACATTATCATAGCGATGGACACGGGTTCGGGCAAGACGCATATCGCGGTGCTGCGGCTGAAGATTGAAGCCGAACGAGAGCCACGGAAGGTGCGTGCTGCTTTCTGATTGTTCCAGTCATACACTGATCTCCTCGATTGTAGATATCATGGTTTCTAGCTCCCACGGTTGCGTTATCCAAGCAGCAGCACCGTGTCATCACGGATGTGCTCCCTGTATCTGTCGGCCTCATATCAGGATCGCTAGAACCGGACCAGTGGAAGGATGCATCGCTGTGGAAGAGGGTCATTGAGACCCATCGGATCGTGGTATCGACTCCACAGGTGCTTCTGGATGCGTTACGCCACAGCTACGTCCAAATGGGACGTGACATTGGATTGATGATATTCGATGAGGCGCATCATACGCTCGACAAGGCGCCATACAACATGATCATGAGGGAGTTTTACTTTGGGTTGTCGCCGCGGGATACGCCGAATCTGGACCCTCGATATGCCAGGCCAATGATCTTGGGCTTAACGGCTAGTCCTATCTACGGGGGAGATATAATCAAAGCTTTCAGGTAAGAGCTAATGTTATCTCTGTACTACCCCACCTGACTCGCTGTCGCAGTAATATTGAAAGGAATCTTGACAGCGTCATTCGCACCCCTCGTCATAATCGCGAAGAACTGGCCAAACATGTCCATCGGCCTGTTTTCAAGCATGTCAGATACGACCCGCTAGACGATACTCTATTTTCAACCAACCTCACAAGTCTAAAGCAAGTCGTGGCTACTCTCAATATTGAGAATGACCCGTCTATCATCTCTCTTCGTCACGACCTAGCCAGAACCTCCCCCCAGTCGCCTGAGCACTATCGGCTCGACCAAAAATTGTCCAAGACCATTCTAAAGGAGAATACCTTCACGCACAAGGGTCTTCGCGATTTCCTGCGCACGGCGAATGATATTCTTTCCGACCTTGGCGCTTGGGCAGCGGATTGGTATGTCTGGATGGTGTTGGAACAGGCGAAAAAGGCTTGCCAAAATGACGAAGTGATGCCCTCTTGGCAGACACGGGACAAGCCGTATATGCTAGGCCTTCTAAACCAGGTTCAGGTTTGCCCGGTATCTTACTATGCCTACGACATCGTCAAGGATTCGTCTCAAAAAGTGGCAGAACTTGTGAAGGCATTGTTACAGGAGAAACAAGAATTCGAGGCAGCCAACGAGGCGTTTAGCGGGCTTGTGTTCGTTACGCGTCGCGACGCGGTTCTAGCGCTCACCGAGATCCTCACAAACCATCCTGACACAAAAGAGATGTTCAAAATTGGGAGCCTATTGGGGACATCTGATAGCAGCTATCGGCACTCGTTTTTGGATCTCACACGCAAGCTACTGAAACAATCACAAGAGGAGACGCTGACAGATCTCAGGATTGGAGAGAAGAATCTCATCATTTCGACGTCTGTTGCTGAGGAGGGTATCGATGTCCAGGCATGTGGATGTGTTATACGCTGGGATCCGCCGCAGAACATGGTCTCGTGGCTACAAAGCCGAGGACGGGCGCGTCAGAAGCGTAGCACATTCACTATCATGTTCGAAAGAAATGGAGGGGGCGAGGAAAATATTCGCAAGTGGGAGAGCACCGAAGCCGAAGTGCTGCGCTTGCGCAATGAGCCGGAGAGTGTCACGACAGTCGAGCCTGAGGAGTGCAATGAGCGGGAGGAATTTAGGGTACCATCAACTGGGTGAGTATTCACGAAATCTTTTCATCGATCCGTTGCTTATGCCCTCATTTCTCAGTGCTTTATTGACCTTGGAGTCGGCCCTTCCCCATCTAGCCCACTTCATCGCTGTTCATCCGAACGCAGGTTTCATTCCCGATTTGCAGCCCCTGTATGAGCTTGACCCGCCAGATCTACCGTTGGGATGGCATTCGCTTGAGAATCGGTCTACTACAAACTACCGCGGACCATGGAGTTCGACGGTCACTCTTCCTAGATTCCTAAGTTCCGAACTCAGGGTACATTCGACGGAAAAGATCTATTTCTCCAAACTGTCCGCTCATCGACATGCAGCCTTTAAAGCATACAAGGCACTGTATGACAATGAATTACTGGACGACCATCTCCTGCCTCTCTTTGACCATGACGAGGAGATCAAGAAACTGCAAAGCGAAGTGGAGAAACGTGTCGGTATTGTCAGCGTGTCGCCCCAGATGAATCCGTGGATGCCGGTGGATGATGGTACCGCGGTCTGGTATCGCTCAGAATTGACACTGGGAGAACTGCCTCCTTTGCTCATGTTCACGCGTACACAGTGCCCGTCATCATGGTTCGAGAACGACGGTCCTCCACCACTCTTTGCTCCTCATCGAGGTCGCATCAAGGTCTCCCTTCGCAACGTCGGAAAAATCAGTCTCTACGATGAAGATATCAGTCGAGCACGCGAATATACTCGACGAATATTCTGGAGCATACACGGTCAACGGATGACCTGGGACGACCTAGACTTTTCGTATCTTTTCCTTCCCGCTCCTGGGACGGAAGATGTCAAGTGGGAAGACCGTCGTGCGTGGCTGAAAGAAGAGAATGAGCGTGAAGGGCGATCTTACAAGTACGCCTTTGATGCGAATGCACAGGATCTTGGGGAAACCTTTTGGTACCCCCAGGACCTTGCTATTGTGAGAGCTGGATTCCAGTTTGGGAAAGCATATCGATTCATCGCTTGGCGGTATGACACCCTCAGCGAAGAAGAATTGGAGGATATGAAGACACGATACTTTCGGCAGGATGATTTGGAAGATATCCCGTACCCACTCATCATCGCGGAAATTTTGCCGACTAGGAGTAATTTCTTGCTGCCACCCACCAAGCCTGTTAAAGGACCTTCACAACCACCGAAGAGGGTTCTGTTGATTCCGAAATACACCCCCGTCACGCTTATATCTCCGGTGGAAACTGAATATGTGTTCTTACTGCCTTCAGTTCTCCGCGCTCTGGCTATGTCACTCACTATTCAGTCAATGAAGGACAGGATGTTTACTTCGTCGTCTCCTCTTTATACCATTCCATCGCAACTATTGACCGTCGCTATGACGGCCTCGTCGTCTCAAGAACGTTATAACTACCAGCGTTTGGAGACGTTGGGAGATACGGTGCTGAAGTATCTGGTCAGTATACAGCTTCTGTCGGAACACCCGCTCTGGCACGAAGGCTACCTAACTGGACGGAAAGACCACGCTGTTGCCAACGCGACGTTGGCGAATGAGAATATCTCCAGAGAAATGTTCCAATGGATTATCCGAGGCTAGTCCCAAAACAATATGACGGCGTCTTATCTCATGTTGACGTGTTTACATTTAGATCGGATGCTTGGCAAGAAGTGGAAGCCTGCGTACTTGCATTCTACCGCGCCTATTCGCGAGAAGAAATCGGCCGAGGCAGTTGCGACCGTTCCCACGAAGAACGAAGCGAAGGCCAAGAAAGCAAAAAAGATTGCGGGAGAGCTCTCCACTAAAGGTACGTCCATTGTGCTATATCTCCAAGATTCGATGCCTAATAGTACTGTTCAGTGCTGGCGGACGTTGTCGAATCAACGATTGGTGCTGCGTATCTGCACGGAGGGCTCGAACTGGGCTATGAATGTGTAAAGTTCTTCCGTCTCGACCTTACTTGGCAACCAACTACGGACCGCATCTCGTCCTTGATTCAAAGGGTCAGTCAAATCGAACCCGAAGTCAGAAAGCGTATCGACTTGCCGGAGACGACCATATCTCAAGTAGAATCCATGTTGGGCTACGAATTCAAGCACAAGCTCATACTTCTCGAAGCACTCACCCATCCAAGTCATCAGCAGGATTTTGGTATCATCTGTTATGAGCGTATGGAATTTCTTGGAGATGCAGTGATGGATATGGTGGTTTCGGATTACCTGTATCGTGCAGAAGGCAAGGAGTACAGTCCTGGGCACATGCATCTTCGGAAATCGGCTGTCGTGAACGGGCATATTCTGGCATATCTGTGCTTGAAATGTTGTTTGAAGGTTCGCAGTTATATGCCTCGGCCCACGGAATCGGGGAATCGGATCCAGCTCGAAGAGGAGCAAGAGGACATATATTTGTGGAAGTGCCTCTTGCATGCTAGTCCTCGTGTTCTGGATGATCAACGTGTAACGTTTGACCGGTTTCAGAGGCTTTCGGATGTGATTGCTGACGGTCTGGAGAATGGGAAGATCTATCCTTGGGCGGCGCTGACTCGGCTACAAGCTCCCAAATTCTTCAGTGATATGATTGAAAGTCTGTTCGGAGCAGTATTCCTTGACTCGGAAGGAAACCTGGAGAGGACGCGAGATGTTATGCGAACAATCGGTGTCTTGCCGTTGTTAGAGCACATCGTCAAGGATGACGTTGATGTTCTTCATCCTGTTTCACGACTATCAGTCTGGGCATCGAAGCGAGGGCAGAAGGTGAAATATAGATTTACGGAGGAGAAGGGAAATATTAGTTGTGTGATAGCGTTAAAACAAGAGGAGGGAGGGGAAGTCCGGGTTTTGGAGGAAGCGCGGGTCACGGATGTCAACAGAGGCAAGGTGACGAGGTTGGAGGTCAAATTCGCAGCCGCTGAAAATGCTATAAAGTTGTTCCATGTAAAATAGCCGAAATGATTCATCATCCCTCTAGTATTTTCTGTCCTGCACTACTTAAGGTCACCTTTCGGCATCCGCTTAGTCACGCGATAATAACATTGCTATATTGGGACCTTTGCCTTGTCATTTTCCTCCCACCTTCAGAATCGAATGACAATGCCTAGAGGCCTTGCGAACCTACTATTTGGTAAAAACCGCCTTGAGGTCTTATTCTTTCTTGTATTCCAGAATTCTGTCGGCCCGTTGAAGCCGTGTTAGACACCGCATGACCCTCAAGTGATTTTTTCGTGATGGCGGATTTCTTTCAGGATCCATCTTGCATATGGTTCTCATTCTTCCAAGGGTAAGGGTCACATTATATCTGCCGCACCTTCAAATATGGCGCTTTAACTGCTCGGATATCAGTCTGCTGACATCGTACGCTGGGCCCAATTTCCTGTCTTCTGTGACGCCTATCCACGGACCGGTCGTTTGTCTTGAGGAAAGATGAGCCGTGTGACCCATAGCCAAGGACGTAGAGATATCCTTCTCTGATAGAAGGCGTCTTTCGGTGCCTACTTATATAAGTGATCTCGACGATTTCACTCTGGACTTCGGGTGCCATGAAGACCATCTTCGTATCCATTTTGTTCTCCGTTATTGCGGCAGGCCTGTCGACGCATCTCTCGGGTCGGCAATCTACAGAAGACGAAAGCTCAAAATATGTACTTCCCGTAGGATCCCGTAAGTCCTCAAGGCCTGCTTTAACTTATGCTCACCGTGTCACATTAGCGGACTTCTATAACGGACGATCCAGTGCTGCAGTAACTTTTGATCAACGCTCTGTCCTGTTGGACGGCAAGGTGGATTTCTTGTGCAGATGGGACCTACTGTACATCTAATGATTTTAAATCTAGCGAGCCATGATCTTCTCCGGAGAGTTTCATCCGTTCCGTTTACCGGCGCCAGAACTATGGTACGATGTGCTGGAGAAGTATGTTTCCGTCTCCTAATCTTGTTTCAGCCACTTACGAAGCTCGCAGATTCAAGGTGAGTCGGATGCTTTCGACATGTCCTTGCAAGCTGAAGAAGAAATCAGGCATCCGGATTCAACGGGGTGTCTGTATATTGTAATGATCTTCCTTGTGGATCACCTTCATCTAATTTATTGTGGGTATAATCAGGGCACTGGGGACTGTCGGCCCCGAATGCAAAGGAAATTAGGTTCACTGATCACAACAATCTGACGGCATTCTACGAGGTTGCAAAGCAAGTTGGTATCCTTGTCATCGTTCGTCCCGGGTATGTCTTCATACGGCTCCAAACATATCTGTTAATTCCGGTATCCAGTCCTTACGTCAATGCTGAGACAGCGGGCGGTACATGTTTATGGTTTTTTGACTTTGGCATGCTCACTTATTATAGGAGGCATTCCCGCATGGGTGTCGAACCTTCCTGGATTGGCGAGGACCAATGCGACGGACTACAAGGAAGCTTGGCTACCTTAGTAAGTCACTCTTGAGGTCTGATCGGGCATTTGCTGGAGTAGAATTCAGTATCGAACAGTTTTCGAGAGAAACTGCGCCGTACCAGGTAAGCATCATGACTTAGTTTTTGAGATTCTTTTTATCCTGAGTACACTTCAGTACCCGGATGGCCCAGTCATAGGTACCGGCCCTCTTGAAAATGCGGGCGTCGCACTGATGTACCTCTTACAAGCTGTTCAAAGTGAAAACGAATACTTTACCAGCCAGTCTTTGGGAATACCCGGTTTGAGCGAGCACATGCAGGACATTGAAGATACATATCGAGCGAATGGATTAACGAAGATACCCACAATTCACAACGATAAAAACGCCGGAGCGCAATATTCCGAGCCTGGCTTGGGGAAAGTTGACTTGTGAGTTTACCTGTTCTTCCTACATTGCCGAACGTCTTATTTTATGTTAGGTACGGATGGGATGGGTATGTTCTAAATGCTAGCATGTTGGTTCAATAAGAATCATGAACGCGATAGCTACCCTCTCGGATTCGATTGCGATAAACCGGAAGTGTGGACCGAACTATCGACTCGTGAGCTTGTACATTCCCCGTCTCATTTTACGATCTCAGAGCTCTACTCCAGAGCATGACGCTAATCACCAAAGACTAAATCCCGCAGAGCCCCTGGCTCTGTTCGAGTGGCAAGGCAAGCTATTTCTGATTAACTGGATCATGTATTAATCCCCTTAACAGGTGGTGCATTCAACTATTGGTCTGGCCCAAATTACGACAACTGCTACAAGCTCATTAACGAACAATTCGCTAATGTAAGATATACGAGACTGTCTATAGTATACGCATTAAACTTCTTTAGGTATATTACAAGGTAAACGGCTGCGAGGTCTTCGTCCTGCCATCCTAAGTTTTGGTATCAGAACAATTATGCGGCCGGGACAGCAATTCAAAATTTGTATATGACGTATGGTCAGTGCTTTCATGCTGACCTCGTTGAATTCCCTGATCGATAGTTAGGTGGAACGAATTGGGGCAATATGCATACGCATACGATATACTCAAGTTACGAGTTGAGTCATTTTCCTTCCATGTTTTTCGAGGGAACTAATGGCATCTAGCTACGGCGCTGTACGTCTACCATGCAATCAAAACATCTAAGGGAATTAACGCGTCGTAGGCCATTCGCGAAGACAGGACATTGACGCCCAAAATCGATGAATTGAAACTGCAATCCTACTTCCTTCATGCATCGCCCGATTACCTACTGGCTGGCCGTATCGGCAATGGTACCGTAGGTAGTGGCACTGCCTATAGTGACTCTGCAGACATCTACACTACCCATCTTCATTCTCCCGCATCCGGGGCCAATTTCTACTTTGTTCGACAGCTTACTAACACCAAGACTACCGATACAGATTTTAGTCTCAGAGTTAACACGACTATCGGAAACGAGTTGTCTATTCCTCGAGCCAACAGTCTTACTCTGGCAGGTAGAGAATCTAAAATCATCGTTACGAATTACCCATTCGGAAGCTCTACTTTGATTTATTCAACGGCCGAGGTAGATAGACAAACCTTTGCCTTATGATCTCCATTGACGTTCTGCATCAGGTTATGACTTGGGCCACTTTTGATGGGGTACGACATTGCATGAGAATTATTGGGCCTGTCTAGTGACTCTTCGCAGGTTGATACAATAATCGTGTATGTCTTAGAAGGGCAGTATGTGGAGATAGCTCTTCGGGCCAGCTTCGCGCGCCCCAAAGTCACTCCAAAAGGATCCTCGAGTGTTAGCACGAAGACCTCTGGTAATGTAAGTTCTTTCTTTACTTTTTATGGGAGTTGATGACAATGGATTGTGCCTTCTTTAGATTGTCACAGTGTCCGGTTCAGCCTCCGGGATATCCGTATTGACGATCGACAACATTCGTTTGATAATTGCAGACAAGAAGACTGCTGGTGGCTTCTGGGTGACCCATTTCTCTCTAGGATACGGTCACGATCACTATGATGTCTCTCCCGACGTGCCTTCGGTCTTCGTCCGAGGACCTTACCTTGTCCGTTCAGTGTCCCACCATGGATCGACTCTGAATCTGATCGGAGATCTGAACGGTACAACGACGATTGACGTGTTTGGTCCATCCGTGTATACCTCTCTGACGTGGAATGGGCAGCCCATCGCGGTGAAGCAAAGCGACATTGGAAGCCTACGGGGCGTGATTTCGTTCCCCGATTACCTCAATGATGTGGATATACCTCGGATGGAGGTGGTGGATTGGAGATGCGCTGACTCTCTACCGGAACTGGCCTTGGATTTTGACGATACTGCCTGGATAGTGGCGAACAAAACGTCAACTAGAAGGCCGCAGCAACCGACGGCAGGAAAGGTCAGTACGATGCAGTTTTGATAGTCTTCACACGTCCTCATGGAAGTTTTCTAATAGTACGTTCTCTATTCTAGCGAGTGGGTGAGCTTATTACCGACCTGGACCATAACTGATATATGATGTCCGTAGATATGGCTACCACGCTGGTGTGTTGTCTCCTTCTTTTGCTGTTCGTTTTGGTTCAATGGCTACTGTGATACAGGACAATGGGTCTGGCGAGGACATTTTTCAGGCAACGCCACCGGGGTTTCGCTCGACATTCAAGGGTAAGAAAGTCTAGGTTGAAACTTTGTACGCTGGCGTTCAGCGAAATTTCAGAGGCTTCTCTTTTGGTTACTCGGCTTTCCTCAATGGACGTTTCTTGGGCTCAGGTCAAGGTTCTTCACACAGTCAAGACGGAGTCGACATCTTATCTCCCACATACAATTTCACGGTGAATCAACTTGTCGATGGTGACAATGGTAAGCTCCTCGACGACGAGACTAAAGTGTCGGAATACTGATATTACGATAGTCTTAACGATTATTCACGACTCTACGGGAATGAATCAGGATTGTAAGTGAGACACTTACTCGCCGCTTCTTGACTACTACCAGTTGTCTTCAGATAATATTGACGATGAATTCAAAACGCCCCGAGGTATCCGAGGTTATACACTGCACTCAAACGACGGGTCAGACTTTACAGAGTGGAGGATAGCCGGCAGTAAGCGCACAGCTTGAGATGAAAGCATCATTCTGATCTGTTTCAGATGTCGGCGGCGAATTCGCTCCCGACTATGTTCGAGGGCCATATAACGAAGGGGGTTGGTGGTTCGAACGTGTCGGTACGTGATATTTGAAGTGCATTTTTAATCCCAGAGTCGAACTTCGTAACAGGTGCTCATCTTCCCGGATACGAGGCTTCTTCCTGGAATAAGTCCTGCACGCCATATGATGGTATCTCAAAGGCTGGGGTAGCGGTCTACCGCACGACATTTGATCTTGATATCCCTCGCCTTTCCGACGTTCCGCTTGCTTTTGATTTCGAGCTTGACTATGTCAACCCTTATCGATTGCTGATCTATGTGAATGGATGGCAATTTGGAAGGCTAGTTCATAAATCACGGAGACCGTCACCATTACTTAAATCTTTGCACAGGTTTCTTTCATCTCTTGGACCCCAAGTCAGTTATCCCATTCCGGAGGGAATCCTTAACCATCACGGCACCAACGAGGTTCTGATTTCGCTCTGGGCCTTGAGTATGAATTTCGAGATCTGGTATTGTCGCGTTGTTATTTAATGGTCCTTTAGATAGCACTGGGGCGAAGCTTTCAAAGTTAGAGCTCAACAAGAGGGCGACACTTTCATCCAGTAAGGCCGCTACAGTGAATACCGTGAATGCACCCGGTTGGGATGAGCTCAGAGGAGGTCAGAGCACGACAGTTCTACGACGAAAGAAAGTAAAACCGGAGAGCCGTTGTAATCCTATGCCGCGCCATGTACCGTGACTCTAATTTTTCATTCCTCATTCCTGTCTTGTGTACAACGTATTTCTTATTCAAGAGGCTTTCCACTTCAAAACCGGGGTCCAGTAAGGTGGGCACAGCAATTCTGATGTAGCCCTCAACTGGCGGTTGACCTTGGCAAGGCTGTTATGGTGGTTATCGATCTGCCAGATACCGGGAAGGGCCAATCGAGATAACAAGCAAGGTTCATGGTCGCCAGCCAACTTGAAGAAATGTCGTCGAGACAAGTCTCGGTACCAGGTAAGCGGCAGTTTGCATAGGACGTGTCCATTGACTTTTAAATTTACATACAGAGACAATTCATATGAAGCGAGATCGCCGCTGAGCAACAGTATGGCGTTTCAAGGACTACCTACACTCGCTGTGATGTAGCAGCATCGTCCAGTGAATTGAAGACACTGATGCCAACACACATCTGATGATGACGGTCTCGAAGCACCGGCAAGGAGGACCTGCGGCTGCGGTTACTCCTTATATCCGAAACTTGATATGTTCCGTCTCAAATGGCAATTCAGTCACTTGGGTAATAGGTATACCGATCCAATGACTTTCAACTGCTCAGCGTCTACCGCTAATTCATATCGGGTTTGCTCTTTGTGCGTCAAGCCAAGCTTCTAATTTACAGCTCCAAGATGGTACATTGTCTATGTTCTCTGAGACTTCATTGAGACATGATTTGAATCGCGGGCACCCTATACTTACAAAGTTTGATCATTTTCCACCCTAAGTCCGGGACACAGCATTCAGTACAATGCACAGCAAAACCGGTGCCGCGGAGGGAATTTGTTACCAACAACAGTCGACGGGATGTGCGCAGCGCTGATTCAGACATTACTATAAGACTACAGATCACTCCGTACTAGTCAAACATCCTCGATGTCAGGATCGAACAGTCCATGCAAGTGCGATACTAAGATGACAAACGCGGATACCATAGATATCAGGAAGGTAGGTTGCAATCAAGTTTTCTTCTATCAAGTGTTTATTGATTGGATGCGACCATAGGCATACTGGGATGTTCAGCTAAGCGAGGAACCAAGAACATCGTCTGATTCGCTTCCACCTTATGAAGCCGAAGACCAATTACCCCCTGCATATTCAAGTCAGAACCGGCATCCTCCGTCTAAATATCTCTGTCTTTGCGGTATACGTACGCTACCATGCTTCGTATTCATTTCGTACTTTCATCTTCTGTTTTAGTGTGTCCTCTTCTCTGGATCATCGGGGCCCTCGTCCTATGGTTTCCATTACGACATGTGTTTCCTTTTCTATTTTCCTTACGACGACAAAATACCGATGATAATGTATCGAGGAGAGTACGAAGAAACGAGGTGCAATGGGCTAGTGTTTGTTTAACTCTAACCGGTGTTTTCCTTTTCATTGGAACATTCATTTTCGTCACAAGTTACTGTGCTTGATATCATTGGTCGCATCAGGGATGAGTCATTGAATGTGTTACTACCGCGTAGTGTAGGGGATCATGGATAAGGGTATTTATAATTCAACAGTGTGTACTTTCTCATTACAATATATAGCGAATCACGAGCAATCTGATGGCAACGAGGTTTCATACAAGCCTCCGCAGCTCGCAAGTCGCCACATCAAATTCTGCAAAATGATCCTGGTCTGTCTCTCCCTACTCTACGGCTCGATTCGTCAGCGTACTCTCCCTCATCATGGCGGCAGTAGTTGTGGCATAAGAGAACGAAAAGGCTGGTGTCTCATCGGGCGCAGGTGGCGTCGCTGGTCGCTTCACCTCCCGCCGTCTACTTGAAGATAAAAAGACCGTCCGAAAAATGTCAAAATCGGCACCTTTCCTTAAATTTGGTCCATCTGCCAGTGTGACCGTCTTCGCCACAAAAGACCGATCAAAATTACACCCGGCCGACCGCCGCTGGTCCTCCACAAGGACGCCACCAACAATGGTACCGATATGAGATGGTAAGGTATGATATGAAATCTGAGCTGCCTGGTCGAGCTTCTAGCCTGAGAAAGATGTCAAGTTAACGCGCCGTAAGCAATAGAAGCAGGCCATATACTGGAGCGACAACACAGAGAATCTCCTGTCCCAGGACTAGGCGTATGTTGATACCGGGACAGACAGGATCAAAGGAATCCACAAAAACTCGTCTGTCCGCCAATCGCAATCCCAACGCATGGTGCTGTACGTCCAAGGTCAAACGGAGGTGGTCGAGTTGAACCAAATTTTCTTCCTGAACGCCGTTGTCGAATGGTGGCCGCCGCAGTTAACGTCGTCGATTCTCAAGTGGCGGTGATAGTATCAAAGCTGCACGATATGAAAAGCGCGCTGCAACTTACGAGATTTGGCCTGATCTGCGGTGTCGCTGTCAAACTGTGTCCCAAAAATTCGGCTAATATAGAGTATTCAAAATAAAATCGATCCGACATACGTACCTGCGGCAGCTCGGTCCGAACGAAAAGATTCTCGGATGTCAGTGGAAGTTAGATCTGTGCAGGATATCTGCGTAGGGCCAGAGAGGAACGGGATAGTTCACATGGTGCGAGAAGACGTCGTCTCAGGTCAAAGCAGCCGATCAGAGGTCCCCCTGCGCCTGGCCACGACATCATCATCAACAAGGTGCGTTCCAAGCGTTCTATCTGTAAAAAGACTGTAAGGATCCACTACTAGCCAGGGTGAGCTTGGATGTCAACAAAGAAAACACAATAAACCTGACCAAGGTCTGCCAATGTTGCACCTAGAACCTGGTTATTCGGAAGGAGCCATCTAGTTATCCCCGACACGACGAGAACGACGGAACTGCATAGGTTGAGGCATCATCCTTCTTTCGTATCGATGCGCTCATCTCCGACATCGCATGGGTACCTATAGTGCCTTAGATAACCAGCATGGTAGTGTTCCTTTCATCCAGGTTGTCAACATCCTAACTAGGAAAAGATGAGGACATGGAACCAGGGGAAGATAGGATACTTACTGGGTGTCTAACGTGGTGGTCATTGCATAATCCGCCCGCTTCCGGTGTAAATTACTGCATTACGCTTGAAATGAAATCAAAACAAGGGCAAGCGTGGTAATTGCAACCATGATGACCGGTCAAAGACGAGTCTCCGCTGAATTTGGCGTGAGCTCAACATGTCTCTTGAGTCGGCGGCCTACGGGGTAAGGGCCAATGTATATGAGGACGATCCACTTACCTTCGACACTCTGCGTACCAGAGAAAATGCGGGGGTCCCGGTGGTATTAAGGATTCGGCATCCCTGCATTAAAACAACAAGATGTGTTAACCGCCGAACGCAGAAAGAAGACCAGCATACCAAGATCAGGGGTGGTGAGTATCAGGACGATTGATGGGAGTAGAAGCGATTCAAGCGGGTAACCAACCCAACAAGCGTCGAAGTAAAGAAAGGCAGGGAAGGCTGCTGTTCCATAGGGTTCATTCGCCTGGAAGAGAATCGGCAGGTGACCCAAGAAGACGGAATAAACTACATACTGCGAGGAACCCATGCTTCGCAAACGTTATGACACTATCCGATTTATTTCTCGAGTCCCCATCACCTACCAGATCCAGACCAGACTTCGGCATGGCGGTAATGCGAGATATGCAGAAAGCAATACTGAGCCAACGGTTTAGAATTATAGATCGATGGCGGTTGCGACGGCCTGAATCAGGTCCAATACTCGTTCCCGAGAGTACGTGAAGTAGCCAAGGAAGGCGTCACAGTGAAGAGGTCCGAGGTCCGAGTCAGTTCTAGACACCTTGACGTAAAAGTTCCTTTACCGCTTCGCTGATGTCGCTGGAAAAGGACGAACTGGAGGCCGGATGTCGTAGTTTATCACAGAATCACCGTGACTAAACCCATACTCCAAACTATCGTCACTGAAGATGTTGTAAGGCTCATATTTCCCACGTCAATAGCAGTCCCTGGACGGGAGGTTGTCTTGATAAGTTGACCCTAAGATCCAGTACAATCCTGAACAGTGAACATAGTCTTTGATACTTCGAATTGACTGCGACAGTCAATGTCTACAATTTCAAACGGCCTCGTGCACGGAAGTCGTCCGAACGAAAGTATCTTGGGCAGGGTGAGAGAATCACGTTCGATTCCTGATTCAAAGATGTGTGTGAGCAACGAATTGATGACATACACCCTTGCATCTTCTGCCATGGCTTTTTTTTTCTTATGCGAGCCTCTGGATCCTTACGTTAACAGATATGGATGGTCGAAGCATTCCTCTGGGTAGTGCTCCATTCGACATTGATTCCCTCGAACGCGTTCTGTAGTAAATACTTGTGAAGACGGGCACCGTGGCAAGTATGTGAACACACACCAACCTTATATTCGAGTACGACTGTACCGAACATTCCTTCCGTCATTGACTGCATCATCTGTGCAAACACGAATGAATGGAGGTGACTGGGCGACTGAACCTGATGGCCGAACAAAGTCTAAGCGACACTTTTAATAGACGGAACACGAAATACATACTTGTATGTCTAAAAAAAGTAGCCTAAATCACGTTGGCAGGTACACACCAAAAATGTGACCAGGCATTATTAGAGCTAGTCAAGCAATATATATGCGCATATAGATGAAGGCGACTATCCTACAGCGCAAGAACAAGAGAGGAGTGTCTTCGAATCACAATCCATTTATTTGACAAAAAAGACGCTACGAAAAGAGTTAGGCGACGAGAAAATGGAGAAAAGTAAAAGGACCGACCCCTCGGCGCACAGTGGACCGTTAGTCTCTGATTGTTTATAACAACGTTCCGGGTTGCTCTAATACTTGCGGGTAGTATATCGGACTGAAACGATGCAGCGTGTCAAGACTGCTGGTAATATGGGCTTGGATAACAGTATGCTGATAAGCAACAGAGTCTATGGCTTGATAGACCAGCTATTTTCCACACACACACACACTGGAAATCAAAGATGCGATGGAATTCCGAAGACGGTGAAATCTCTGGCCCGTGACAGGGGAATTGAAGGTCAACAAGGGAATAAGATGGCAAATAATTCGAAGATGGTCCTAGATCTCTAACATTATTGGATCTGGCACCGCGACGGCTTACCCACAGAAGAACGTTACGAAGTTTTTGTGCATCATTATTGTATATAAACGAGCTCGGAAATTCAATGCTATTTGTTTGGCGCATAGTATTTTCGGGCGGTGTAGATGCACATTGTAACCTGTCGCATCATATTAGATTCTTGTCAGAAGAAGTAAGGAAGCGTACATGTTCACGGTCAATTGCGAGTCAGCGTTGATGTTGATCGCTGGTTGAAGAAAGCCGTGCCGTGATGCCGAAGCCAAAGGGCGTTCTGAATTCGCACGGAATAATTTGGTGGCGAACCGGGCCGGTTCGGAGCTCCAACCCAATCTACTTGTTCCTCGTCTACAGACAGCCCTTGACTAGCCTTGACTGTCGAGTAGAGTGTCGATACTGCGTCTGGAGAATCGTTTTCTCCGCTACAGCCTAGGTGCATATCCGAGGGTCAAGGAACGAGACTAGTCCGACTCGAATTCCCTAGTACGAAAGGGCATCTGTGTTGAAAATCAAACCACGGGCATGTCAATCTAAATATTTGGGCGCTATATATTTTATATCAATTGTATTTTAGGATAACACCATCAGTACGGTGCAACAGACCGAAGCATCTAGCAATGGCTGCGTTCCAAGAGATGTCCAACGCATTAGAGTTTAAACTTGAAGGTATTTCTTCGCCTCGGTGGAAGCACGACATCCTATACTTCGCCTGCTTACCTTGCTATCATTGGCAGCCCGCGGATTTTTCATCGTTGCGTCTTATTGATGACTCGGTAGTATTCTTCCGCTAGGACGCTTCTGCTAGCTAAGCTCCGCCTCTATCGTAGAGATGCCCCACAGTCTGAGAATCTACCAAGTGCGACTACGGCTCTGATTCTCATGCTTGCGGCAATTTCCTCTTGAATCGCCGGTTGTTGACCAATCTCATCGGAACCGGAGATCGTCAAGGACGATCAAACTTCCATATCACTAGTCATATGTTTTATTGCCCTCATTCGTGTTCATTCTGCTTTCACGGTTATCTGATCGGCTTTCCATAGTTTTTCCTTCAAGGTTAGCCTTTAGTACGCCACAAGCTTCGCTTAGTGCAGGCCTACGGACCGTATGCTCAAGGTGTTTCACTAAGATAAAAGGGGGTCTATATATGTTCTCCATTGTCGCTAGGAGCATATCGGCTTCATATGACATTTCCGGCAATCATCCTTCCCCGCCTAATGAAGGCGATTTAGTGTGTACGCCCTCTTCCCTGCATGGTTGTTCAAAATTGCTGATCAAACGAGGAAGGTTCTATGAACACTTTCCAGCTTCCACGCCGCAAACGTACACTCTCAATTGGCTGAATCTGTCTTCCCGATATAGAGAGAAGATGTAGAGGGCCAATTTCTCGCGTGTTCTATGTTCATACATAAGATCACGGCCTTACCTTTCTAAGGCCCTTACACTCCGACGCTCGTATGAAATACATACTCGTGTCTGCCTCGGCAGTTGCGGATCAGGGGATGGATTTTGTATAACCGAACATATAAGATGCCGTCTCTTCATTCCATTTTCACTAGACGCCAAGATGTCTTCCTTTGTCAAAATAGCCCTCGTTTTCTCATCTATGGTGTCCATCCATGTTGGACTGACTCCTCCAAATCGTCCTCCCCCGGTGGATGTTCAGTTCATACCCCCCGAGAAAGGGTCGGTTCGGACCAGTGAGGTCGTTCTGAGACGAATATTGTCTTCAGGTGGCCCGGCGACCTACTTCAAGGTATCAATGCTTTTCTTTTCATCCATGGCGTCGATATGCTAATTCAACATTCTTTCCACAGGCACTGTTCTGGACTTTCTGCACGCTAGAATCCATACTTATCCTCTCCGTAACTTATCCCAAGTCGCCTGTATCGCAGCTCATGGCGACTCTCTTCCCCACCTCAACCGCCATATGCCATCCAACACCCTTCGCCGTCATCTGTACCCTCATCACGCTCTCCGGAGGCTTCCTTCGCGTGCATTGCTTCCGCGCTTTGGGGAAATTCTTTACCTTCGAGCTTTCTCGGCAGGAGAACCATAAGCTCATCACCTCGGGAGCGTACTCCCATGTCCGACATCCTTCCTATCTAGGTGCGCTCCTCACGTTCGCCGGTGCCATGCCGCTTTTCGCAGGCCCAGGCTCGTGGGTATGGGAAAGCGGTATCCTCAGAACCATTTGGGGCGTTGCGGGGCTCGCCTTGTGGTACGGAGGAATCGTCCTCATGCTAGGAACGTTGATGTTCAGGCTGAAAAGTGAAGACGAGTTCATGCGGAGAGAGTTTGGAAAGGAATGGGAAAAATGGGCCGATGAGGTGCCATACCGGTTGATTCCACTGATTTACTGAATGCAAATAGAGGAGCATCATGATTATTTTCGTACAGTACTAATTGATGGTTGCAAACTTTAGCTTCGGCGGTCCGGACCGTTGCCATGAATGTTCTTGCACATAAAAGCCATACCCACCCCTATCGTCAGTTGAATGAGTGGCGTGGGGGCACATCGTCGAGTTCTCTGGTCTCCATCAGGTGTTCCTATTCCAACACGATAACCCTGTAAAGATGGCTGAGTTTCTGACTGTCTGGATTGTCCCTACGGCTGCATTTCCAACTACAAAAGTTCCATTACCAACATGTCGGGTTTGATGAGACAACTTAGAGAACCCCCATACAATTATAATTGTCAAAGTCTTGGGTTCGCCACGGCCCATGGTCTGTACAAGAGTTGCCGCGACGACGGCGTTCACTTGAGTGGCAGACATCCGCCACCCGCACGTCGCGTCGTATGCCATTGATCTAGTGTCTGTCTTTCAGATTTTTTTGCGGAAACATGAGGTCCGTCGGGAGAGTCGTCGGAGGGGATGATTGATATTCCTGTGAGAACATTTTAGCGCTCGCTTCCGAAGGGACGACGTCCTTTCTGAGGCCGTGTATCTCCTCTGGGTCTATGCGACTTCTCTCTCGCCTTGGCAAACTTTGTGACAACTTGGTACAGGCACGACTCGCAAACTTGTGTTCGTTTGACCACGATTCTTCCTGCCTACTGACCTTGGCCGTAGCAGTACTGAAGGACCGAGACAATACGCCGGGCGAGTGGCCTACTTAAGTTCCTTACGAACTCTGACTAAAGCCTGAAGTGCCAGATCCATTCAATCATTGCGTTTGCGTTGCAATCCCTCACCTTTGTCTCTCCTTCACATAGGACCAACCTTCGGACAATTATGAATGGGGGTACATTTTCTTCAACGGCAGTCACGGTTGTACATAATATTCACCGATAACCCATACGCGACGGCAAAGGTCGCTCCAAATATTACCGGGGGTGTTTTTTCCTTGATCGCCCCCCAATAAAGGTTGCTCTGCGCAGAATAGCTCAGCTTATTCCTCGAAGTCGAACGAGAATCGCCTTCCCACGTTATGGCAACCTACCCGAGTGCTCGCTCCGTGACTTATCCGATAAAGGTGTGGCCTGATTCCTAGATGGCTCAAGGATCTGCCTTATAAGTAGTTAGAGAGGTTTTCAGTTTTCCCGCTAGCTCACGTGTTCGTTCACTAGCCCTTTACGGGATAGCAAATCCCCGACGGTCTCATTGGGTGTGCCTGCGAAACGGCCTCTTGCGGAAAAATAGGATGTGTCATTATTCACGCTAACACGTTCGGTAAAATAGTGGAGATATTCTTGCTTTAAATTTAGTAGCATGCCAAGAAGGTTGCCGGTGCGTATCGAACCTCGAAGGAAAGTTCATATTCGGCGCACGGTTCCAGTATAATCATGTTCTCTGAGTCAAGCCTTACCATCCTTGACTGGGCTGTTTAGCGTGCATGAGACTAGGCCCAGCAACCGCGCAGCACAGAAAGACCGATGACGTTTCACTAGGTAACTTCAGGAATGTTTCGTGCCGAGTCCAAACTCCGGGACTTCGAGAATTCCTGGTCTTTACGCGCTGCACCTAGAGTCTCGGGCTAAGAAAGGTGTACTCTGGAGATTAAGCCCACTATTCCCTCCTTGGAGTCTTTGCTGGGGCTGATACGCGCTATTGAGGCTTAGCTCCGAACGCTCGGGCCCGATGCTAGACCACACAGGAAAGGAAGTACATACGGGCATTGCGATACTCCGCATCATAGAATCCTACACGTGCTTGCAGTGCCGCCAACAATTTTCTACATGGCGCCATGCACTAAGGAATGACTGAATCAAAAAAACCGTTAGATTACTCAAGGAGAGAGGAGGAAAGGGACCACCACCGCATAAGACTTGAGCATTGAAATGCATAACCTTAAAAAGTGAAAATAAGGGCCAGCTGACGTGCGGAGGCGATGGCGATGACAGTTGCTACGCATCGGTTTTATGCAGGATGTAATGAATGCTGCGACCGTAAAACGCACAGTAAAATTTCGCTCTATTGTATCCATAATAGGGTCTCTCCGAGAACAACATCTCTCTGGATGTCGAAGTGAAGAAGGTATGTGTTGGAGTTATTGCGAGGGAGGCAGGATGGGTCCGGCAATCCGGACCGAAGTTTTCTATGACGTCGCACGACGCACAACGTGGCGTATCAAGCTATTGACTTTTGACAGTCATCTATCTTATCCAGTTTGTAACCAAGTCGCCATCTATCACACGCACGTAGCTTTAGACTGACCCACTCTAATCCAAATTCCCCCCACTCAAATGTCGCATGCAGCACTGCGCAATGTGGCTCCTAGCGCTGTGTACATTGAGGCCTCGTTAATTATACGGTCATCACACCACATTGTAGTCATATCCTGAAAATCCAATCAGCACGAGTCTCATGCTTCGACTTCATGAATCCAGGGACAGAGTGTCTCGAGATTCGTTTCTGGAAGTCATCCGGAGATTGAAGGACTCCCTCGTAATTCCCCTCGAGGTCAGCACCTTTTTTTTTCCATGTCACGGTGTTGAAATTATTTCAGGCTTCCGCTAGACAGGTAGACTTCGCGAACCTCCTCGGTATCGTGGATATTGCGCGAAAAAACGCGGAAGGCGCCTTGCTCGTTCAGCCCCGCCTTATAACTCTCCGGTCTTTTATTGAAATAACTTACGTCTTGCGGCGCAGTGCGCGAATAAAGAGCTGGCTTTTTTACTGGTACAAATTGATCCGATCAAATCAACTGTTCGTTGAAACGCCGGCTAGACATTCCAGGACATTCCATGGCAGAAACCATGCCCTTTCAGCGTGTGCGGCCGCGTCAGGAAATCGCATGTAAGTCGTAGTCCTACCCCATTTTCACTGACACACCCTTCGTTTTCTGAGAGCTGTACGCATTTTTACTTACTTATTTGAACTGCGACTCAGGGCTGTTCTCCCGCTCGGGGAAGCCGTTCATTAACGCCTCGACACCACCTTTCTTGAATGGAAGGTCGGTGGCCGAACGTAACAACGCTGTTCGGGATACAAAAGGCTCATAAAATCCGAGTTCTCCGTGGAGCGCTTGAGTAAGGCGGACGCGTTTCTGGTACCACTTCGTGCCGCAAATTTGTCACCCACCATCATTAACGATACTGCCACCTTGACGCGGAACACAAGCAGTGTCCTTCCCCACAGTACAATCAATTCCAGGTGTGTATGTAACTTCCTTGTATTTCTCGAGTCCATCCGCTCTGCTCCTCCGTCCTTTCCTGATTGTTGACAATTTTTCTCGGTTCCAGATTCAGATTTATTGGCGTCATATCGTTGTACAATGGATTTCAACTTTGACACTCCCTCCAGTACTCCAAGTCTTCTGTTTTCTGACTTTAATGCAAAGCTACCACCCTCTACGAACAAGCCTGCAGCAATAGACGTTTCCAAATTCCACTTGGATGGCTTCAGCGACTTCAACCTCGACCTATCGGTTCTCTCAAGGCCTGCTTCCCCCGCTTCCTCCCCATCTCCCCAGGCCTCTACATCCTCTGGACGAGACCTGCCACCATCTCGCAGCCCGTCTCCTTCAACGGTTTCCCATCCAGTACCAGACGATTCAGAATCAAACAATATTTTAAGGAGAGTGGCGTCAGGCAGGCTGTCGCCCGCAGCAGTGACGTCGGTCATCCGCGGCTCATGGCCCATGATTTCCCGCATGACAATCGGTCGCGGTACGCCTTCCGATCCCACCAGGAAATCTGAATGGGCGGGAGTCAGCTACGACGAAGATGGGAGGCTAGTAAACAACAACCGGTCAACTTCCACGGACCTGCCCGTACGGCAATCCCTATCCGACTCTGACTACTACGTCCCCACCTCCCCCCAGCCTTTTGTCCTTCCAGAATCCTCCAAGATCCAGCTTGACGGCCTTGGCGGTGCGACCGATCATGCAGAATGGGACTCGCTCATGCAAACGGTTCTCGGCCATGGCCAAGAAACACCCTCTACCTCCACTACCTCCGCACCTGCTACCCCTGCTCCGGCGGACCACAAACCGCAACAACAGCCGTCACTTTCCCCTCTCCCTCTTGCCGACATTGCTCTCGACCCGGAAACGCTGGAAATAGATCTCGGTCTGGAAAAGGCCCTGGACTTAGGGTTTGGGCTCGAGAAGAGAAATAAGGATGGAACGGGACGAGGTATGAATTGGTTCGCGTTGGGTATGCTTTCGCGCTCAGGGTTCGATTCACCCTCAGTTTACTCGACTACGTCGCGGCAACCTACGGCGTCGCGTCCGGCGTCTGTTGTCGACTCGCAGACTAATATCCTTCCTCGGCATGTCCAGAGTCAGGAGGAGACGAAAACTCCCGAGAAAGCCGAGCTGAAACCGGAGGTGAAGACTTCACCTTCACCGCCCAAGGCCGCTCCCGCTGTCGTGCAGTCGAGTCCCAATCCGCGGCCCCCTTGGTGGAGGAAGATATTGGGAAAACTGCAGATGCTTTTCAGTCCTAGAAAAATTTGATTTTCTTCTTTTCTTCTCTCTTCTCTCTCTCTTCATTTCGTTGCGCGTAAAAATGGATTTATACCCCCGCGTTTCTTGGCTTTTTTACCCAATCTCTAATATTTTTTTATTTCCTTCGCCGGAATTTGGACACATTTTACCACTGCTGACCACTTTGTGTCGCGTCCACACTCCTTTTGCATTCTGTTCATTTGTTTACCCCAAGAGTCCATTCGTCGCTCCTTACTACAACTTGACGACTTATGATCATGTACTGTTCTTTTAGGTGATAGGTTTTCATTACACTTCTCTTAATTACCGATGTAAAATCAAATTTTAAGCGTTTCTTCTGCTCGCTCTTGGACGCGATTAGAAATGTGATATCGATCTACATGCCAACGCCGCGATATGTGGTGACAGAAGTTTCCTACAGTAAGAGCTGAATAGAAAGTTATCTCGGCTTCCCAACACTGGCAGAATAGCGTCCGTTGTCCAACCGTTGGGTTGGAAAAAAAAAAAAAATTAAGGTCGCTACGTAGTACAAGAATTTAAAGAGGAGGATAAATTACAGTACTGAAGGAGAGGGAGGAGTGCAATAAATTCAGTTCTACGGGAGTCAGTACGAGGACTTGCTGCAAACCCTGCCCCTGTTCTGAGTTGCCGGTCTGGAACATCGGCCCGGACCTCCGTGAAGCCTTTTCTACTCTGTTGCTCCCAACGCTGCCAAACAATGCGATCTCCGAGCTTGGTTTTTTTTTTCGTGTGTTCTTTAAAAAGTTCTTCTCCGCTGCTGCGTTCTTGTATACTTCGTTCGCTTTTTTGGCTTACCCTCTTATTTCCTTTTAAATTTGTAGCTGGTTAGCGCCTGGTCTGACAGGCTGCTACCCGGTCCGGTCCCCTCGTTCTCAAGAAACCCCAAGATATCTTTCCATCTCTACCCTTGCTGGTTTCACGCGACTCAACTTGGTATTCAGTCATATCAGATGACCAGCTGAGTCCAAAACCATGACTCGAATTATGACAAAGTCCGAGCACGGAGCCGGGAGCAGCTAAATACTCTCCGTGGAAAGTTCCCGCGATAACACTACGATCATGGCAACATTCCTTGAGCTCGGTATCCCGTCCTCTACGTCCACTGTTTCTGTCGCTGCTATTAACCTCGGCGCACTACTACTATCGTCAGTCCTGCCTGCAGGGTTCTTCCTCGAACCCTTACTTCCGGGCAACGAATCGTTCAGACCGCCCGTCTATGCATTCTTCATCGAGCATCGTATCACTGGCAAACGCCTCATGTTCGACTTGGGGCTGCAGAAGAATCATCCCTCTGCTGTTCAGGAACTGCTGACGTTGTGGAGGGGCCGTGGATGCTACCTGGAACCTGCTGACAAAGATCTATTTGAGAGGCTCCAGGATGGTGGAGTTGACCCGGCGACTATAAATACGGTTATTTGGAGGTAGGTCGCCGGTCGTCGAGATTCAAAACATGAACTGACTGTATGTCTAGCCATGGCCATATCGACCATACTGGTATAGCTACGTTATGATTGATTCTGAAAACTTATTTATGGCACTGTATGTAGGTGAGATGTCCAAGTTCCCAACTACAACCGAGCTCGTCATTGGTCCCGGTTTGGATACTCGTACATTCCCAACCACACCCGAGTCTCATCTCCTCGAGTCGGATTTAGCGTAAGGTTGCTTATTTTTCTTGAGCATGGCTAACCTACTTAGAGGTCGTAAAGTGACTGAACTCGATCTCAACGATTTCGCACTTACAATCGGTGACTACGAGGCACTCGACTACTTCTCTGACGGTAGTCTCTACATCTTGAATTCCCCTGGAGTAAGTACTGGTCCTCCCATTCTCCTAGAAAAGTATAGCTTTCTGAACGCCCAGGCTGGGCACATCAGCATTCTTGCCAGAGTCACCTCGACTTCATTCGTCTTACTCGGCGCTGATACTTGCCACCATATTGGACAGGTGCGGCCAACGACCGAGCTTCTCGAGCACTACCCCTGCCCTTTCCATAGCATAGCTTCACGCACCACTCCTCTCCTACCTGAACATCCTGGCTATGGCCATGCTGAACCAGAAGTAGCTCGTACTACAATCGCCAAGTTAGCAAAGCTCGACATGAGTCCGGATATTTTGGTTATAATCGCGCACGATGCTACTGTGCCTGCCGTGATTGACGAGTTCCCGGAGATTTTGAATAAGTGGAAAGAGAAGGGATGGAAAGAGAAGCTTATGTGGGCGGTCTCGGACAAGGATTTCCCCGCGCTTAAAACTTGAATTGTTTTTTCTTCAGTTGTTTTCCCTTGTTGGATATTGAATGTATTCATAATTTCAAGTAGGTGTTGGTCTGCGAGGCACAGATGGCGCCTCGACTACCACTGTGACAGAAGAAAAACAACCGTTTTCGTTGGTCTGGACCACTGTCGGCCCGAACATCCGAGAGACCCGAACTTTTTTATTTAATGCAACGAACGAGGCATCAAAACACCAACATCAACACCTCGACTCAACCAAAAAAAAACATACTGCTGAAATCGGTACTCAATATTTTTTCCTGAATTTATCGCGCCGTATCTCAGCACCGTCGTGGTGTCCACCACTTTAGTACTGTCGCCGGCTGGAAAGAAGGAGAAAGAACGCCAGCAGGTCGGGCTTGCATTGTTGCAGCCCGTGATGGAGCACGCCCCACCGATTATGTCCAGCGCAAGGGTTACCAAGAGACGAATCACCATAGGAATGACAAGATTAGTGTCCTCTGGGCTCTCCTTGCGAGCTGCAAGCGCTGATATCAATCTCATGGCACACGAGGTGGTGTCGGTTGCAGTAAGTATGGGGCATTTACCAATCGAGGTTCGGACGGACATTGTTGTGGTCTCCTGTGACTTGCAAACAGATCACGCACTGCTACTTAACCATCTCCGAGAGGAAACGCCCTCATGACGTTTTTCGGTACCTTATAGATATTGGTTTTATCTTACGTTCGTTCCTTTTACCTCCCATGGTGCAGACATGGATTCTATCTTTACCTTGTCTATGATTTCCAGTGCGAGGACTAGTAACTTGGTTGCTTTTGGCTTTTGGTTTATTCCTCTTGGTTTTTGTCTATATCATACGACGACGGTTCGTCTCCTCATTACCGCTGCCCCCTGGGCCCAAGGGCCTTCCTATCATTGGCAATCTGTTTGATGTTCCAATGGAGCGCGAGTGGGAAACTTGGGCGGAATGGGGGAGAAAATATGGTGAGCTGTAGCGTTTACCGCTGATGTCCTGAATCCATATTCGCGTTTCAGGAGGTACCTCTTCCGTGACGATATTGGGACAGACCATCATCGTGTTGAACTCGTATACATTTGCCAAAGAACTCCTAGATAATCGTTCAGGTTTGTTTTTCCTTAAAGATATAATATGTCCTCCGTTTGTGCTTACTGGTGACTTGGCAGCCAATTATTCGGACAGGCCCTATATGACCATGCCCATTCTCTGTGGTTGGGGAGATTCCGTGGTAATATTGAGTTACGGGCCAGCCTTCCGCATCCAGAGGAAGCTCTTCCATAAAACGATGGGGAATCTGGAGAACCTGCGGCAGTTTTATCATATCGAGGAAGGGCAAAGTCAAGAATTCTTAAAGAAAATTCTAGCCGATCCTGAACACTTTGTAGAGTACATCGAACTGTTGAGTCAGATATTCCCATCTCTTGTCGCCCTAATCCAACGATCGAGCTTTTAGCAATGTTGCATCTGTCGTCCTTCGAATTGCCTATGGTTACGCCCTAGGTAACGACGACCGCCTACTTGTAGAGTGTAAGCAAGTAACGGAAGACTTCATTCAAATGACCAAGTTTCTTGTGAACAAACTGCCCTTTTGTACGTGTCATTCATTCAAGGCAGTTGAATGTTAAACCGAATTTTATATAGTACGACATATCCCGGAATGGATGCCGGGAGCAGGATTCAAAATTCGAGCCAAAGAATGGAAGCGAAATGTACAGGATATAACCAACGAGCCTTTCGAATGGGTGAAGGAACAAATGGTGAGGCTTGCTCGATGCTATTTGGAATCCCTACTGATTCTCCTTAGGCCGGGGGGATCGCAGAGCCGTCGTTCGTATCTTCACAACTCGAAGACGGCGAGGATGAGAATGCCATCAAATATGCCGCGGTTACAATGTACGCAGGTACGGAATTCCTCATATGTGTTAGCTTCATTGGACTGTTAACACGTGTACCCAATCCTCAGCCGGATTTGACACTGTACGTGGACTCCAAGTACCTATGACATTACTAAGAATGATGTAGACAGTCGTCACAACCAAGGTGTTCTTCAAAACGATGGCTTTGTTCCCTGAGGTCCAAGTGCGCATTCAAGCTGAAATCGACTCAGTAACGGGAGGCGACCGCCTGCCCACTCTCGCCGATCGCGACAAGGGACTGCTTCCGTACACGGTCGCCACGCTCTACGAAGTTCTCAGGTGGCACTTGCCTCTTACTATTGGTTCGTATTGTGTATTTTAACAATGCAGACGAACCCGTTGATTCAACCCAGGATTCCCACATCGGGCACTGGAAGACGATACGTACAGGGGTTACTTCATCCCTAAAGGATCTATCGTGGCTTTCAGTTCATGGTAAGCCGCTGGCAGCATCATTGAACATGAGCTATATTAAACCATCAATGATCCAGGCAAATGTGTCGTGATCCCGACCTATACCCTGACCCCGAGGTGTTTGACCCCACGCGATTTTTGGGCACTTCTCCTCAACTCGATCCCCGAGAGCTGGTGTTTGGCTTCGGTCGGCGCATCTGTCCAGGTGTGTAGTCCTGGACGATATTCCACTGTCAGCATATATTCAAGGGAACTCTAGGTCGTTTCTTAGCAGAAGCTTCTGTGTTTGTAATTATGGCGAGGGTTCTCGCCGTTTTCGACATCGTGAACGCCGTTAGTGTAGACGGCGTTCCATTGAAGCCTAGTCCAGTTCAGCTGACCGGTACAGTAAGGTGAGAATATAAATCTACCTTTTACGTACGAAAGACCCACCCACCCATGATGCTCAGCGATACGCCTGAATTCAGTTGCACCATCAAGCCACGAAGTGATAAGGCCATTTCCTCAATCAACGCGACTCTTTGAAAATGTAAAGCATTTTTATTTTGTACGAAGTTTTTCTATACAGAACTGAGCATGTAGACCTAAGCTTACCTCCATACCTGTCTTTACAACTTCTATCTCACAATTTTCTCTCGTTTTCTAAGCCAATCTCGTCTCAGAGTCCTGCTCTTTTTGGACTGCTCACGAAATAAAGTGGTGACGCGGCACGCCCTCATTCGATTGGACTACCTAATGCTGCCACAGAACGAGAAATTGCATATTATGCAGTTACGATAGGATTGCATAGCAGGAGTTGAGCAGGAACAATGATTACTTCTCAAGGTTATCTCAAGGTCTGAGTATCGGTCCGGACATCCGGAGCCTGGGCGCTCTCATCAAGCTCTCTACTTCCTCCCTTCACTCACCAATGATACCAATGATGCATGTGTTCGCCTCGATAACCTGAAATTTTGCGATCCAAAGTGCAGCCTTACGACAATACTTATTCCAGCGTGCTAAAGAAGGAGACGGTGATGAATGACCAAGTACTTCGGTGAGAAAAAATGGAGCGAGACGCCTTTGGAAGTCAGGATCGAGACGCCACAGCGTGCAGATGATTGACCCATGGCCCCTGCGATCTCCAAGAGGAAACTTCCAATGATGCATTCTTATATCCACCGACCCCTTGACGTTATCTTGTCTTTCCTGCTCGTTCCTCGAATCCTCATCAAGCATGAATTCCTCTTCTCTCACTACGAGTTCAGAATTTGAGACTTATATACTTGCTTTGGGCACGGTTCTTTGGGTCACTATTTGTATCATACGACGAAGATCTAGGTTATCGCTGCCTTTGCCACCCGGTCCGAGGGGATATCCCTTCATTGGCAACCTGTTTGACGTTCCAACGGAGCGTGAATGGGAAGCATGGGAAAGATGGGGGAAGAAATACGGTGTGTTGACGTGTTACCTGACAAGCATTTCAGAATCTCATTCGCAACCCAGGGGACATATCTTCGGTGACGGTGCTGGGTCGAACCATCGTCGTATTGAACTCGTATTCCTTGGCCAAAGAACTCCTAGACGGTCGATCAGGTACGTCCACAGTATCCATCGCACACCCATCTATCCTCACAGCGGTGTCTGCAGCCAAGTACTCAGACAGGCCTTACCTGTCGATGCCAAACCTCTGTGGGTGGAAAGATACACTTCTGATTTTAGGTTACGGACGGGTTTTTCGTACTCAACGAAAGCTTTTCCATGAAACGATGGGGACAATGGAAAAATTCCATCGCTTCTATCACATCGAAGATGAACAAAGTCGAAAGGTTATAAGGGGAATACTATCGGATCCCGAGCATTTCGTGGAGCACATCGAAACGTAGTGTTTACTTTGGCTTTTGTTCATTTCTTTATCTCACTCGTTACTGTTTCAGTGGTGTCGCCTCGATCGTCCTTCGAATTGCATATGGTTACACTATTCGCGAAAATGACCCTCTACTTGCAAAATGCAAACAAATAACGGAGGATTTTATTCAGATGACGTCGCACAAGTTTCTCGTAAACAAGATACCGTTCTGTGCGTACGATACTTCCAATTGGACGTATGCTAGACCAGCTATGTAGTGCGACACTTACCGGGATGGATGCCTGGCGCCAACTTCAAAAAGCTTGTCAAAGAGTGGAAACAAAGAGTGGAGGAAATGATAGACGACCCTTTCGACTGCGTCAAGGAGCAAATGGTTCGTTTCGGCTGCCCAGGTTCACCATACATTTACTGATTGTCGCAGGCAAAAGGTACCGCGGAGCCCTCATTTGTGTCGACAAACCTCGAAAATAATGAAGACGAATACTCCATCAAGCGTACTGCTGTCGCAATCTATGCAGGTGCGACTCTTACTGTGGCACACAATGGCATTAGATACTGAGGATTAAATATCAGCTGGATTCGATACTGTATGTCCTTCTTTTGCTACTATCTATCTTCAACGCGTTGACAATGAAGCAGACAGTCGTCACCATAAAGGTCTTCTTCAAAGTCATGGTTTTGTTTCCCGAGATCCAAGCACGCGTTCAAGCCGAGATCGATTCAATAACGGGGGGTGACCGGCTACCCACCCTCGCCGACCGCGACCAAGGTTTACTCCCGTACACCCTTGCAACGCTTTACGAAGTTTTCAGATGGCACTTGCCCCTTCCTACCGGTTCGTGTCACAAGCGTACTACAACAGGAAACTGATTTCCTTTCAGGCTTTCCTCACCGCACAGTGGAAGACGACACCTACAACGGCTACTTCATCCCTAAAGGATCTATCGTTGCTTTCAATTCATTGTGAGTCTACACGCGATTCTCTGAAAATACACTATGCCAAACGTTTCACTTAGGCAAATGTGTCATGACCCCAATTTATACCCTGATCCTGAAGTGTTTGACCCAACACGGTTTTTGGGCCATTCACCTCAGCTCGACCCCCGTGAGCTGATCTTTGGGTTTGTTCGGCGTACTTGTCCTGGTGAGTAGATCTATGTAGAGGATGCTGCATTGTGCTTGGATGCTCAACGGTATCTAAGGTCGTTTCTTAGCAGAAGCTTCTGTGTTTCTGACTATGGCAAGGACTCTTGCGGTGTTTAATATAACGAACGCAGTCGATATGGATGGCGTTTCCTTGAAAGCGCATCCAGTGCAGTTGACGGGAGCTATAAGGTAAAAATCTTACTGTCCAGCCGTGCATGACTCATTATAATGCTTCAGTGATACGCCAGATTTCAAGTGTACTATCAAGCTAAGAAGTGAAAAGGCCATGTCATTGATTAACGAAACCCTTTAAGTTTTAGAAAGCTCGTCATTTTGTATTTTACAACAGACAGAAATCCTCTTTTCCTTTCTGATTTTAGATGCCTTCAGATTCAAGTTACGCCTTTATCACCTCTCTTACAGCCTCCGCGAATATCTGGCACCCCTTCGCCATTTCCTCCTCACTGATATTGAGTGGTGGAATGAACCTGACCACTTCATACATACTCGTCGTCAGGATCAGCATCCCCTTCTCAATACACTTCTTCGCCACACGCCCAGCCAGCCCCACTTGCTCAGTCTTGGAAGCCACAACATCATATTGGCTGCCCGCAGAGGCAGACGAGGCAAACTCGACGGCAACCATCAAGCCTCGTCCACGGACATCCAGAATATACGGTGCGACTTCGAGATCAGCGTTCAGAGCGTTCAGTTCGGCAAAGATTTGCTTCGATCTACACGACAACTTAGGATTGAAAAGATACAAACAGGAAAGATGAAAATACCGTTCTTTTACATTGTCTAGAATCTTTTCCTCCTTCATCGCGTCCGCGACGGCCACAGCAGCAGCGCAGGATACAGCATTTCCAGCATAGGTTCCTCCCTGCGCTATTTCAGAATCAGTTTGCGCAAAAAAGAAAATACACACCATCGATCCGGGCTTGAGAAGGTCTGTGATCTCTTTTCGGCTAATGATGACACTGAGCGGGAAGCCATTAGCCAGACCCTAATTGCAACTGTTAGCAAGGAGTGCTACCAAACGGGAAGATATGGTATGCCTTTGCAGAAATCAGGATATCTGGCCGAACACCGCTAGGCTCTACGGCGAACCATGTCCCTGTTCGACAGAATCCGCTCTGGACTTCATCAATAATCAACATGATGCCATGCTTGTCGCATATCTCGCGTAGACCCTGCAAAAACTCGTTGGGAGCAGGGACGTATCCACCCTCGCCAAGAACCGGCTCGATGATCAGGGCAGCCGTATCACGAGGTGCTGATTGCTGCGCAAGAAGGATTTCAAGCTGATAAAGCGATTTTGCAGTCAGTTCAGACTCGGAGATCGTTGGGGAGGCTCCGAACTGGTGCCAGAAAGGGAAGGGGATCGAAAAAGTTCCTGGCTAACACCGGCGGTTAGAGAGCATGGGAATCCAAGAAATGACAAGCATTACCATAAGGGGCGCAACACCTTCCGAATAGATGGTCTTGCTTCGTGTTACGGCCATCGCACCGAATGTTCTTCCATGATATCCACCTGATTACGGCCATGAGAAATGCCTACAGATCAAGGGACCACCTCACCTTGCATGGAAATGATGTTGGGACGGCCAGTTGCAATTCTGGCCATCTTTATGGCGCATTCAATGGCCTCGGAGCCAGAGTTCCAAAAGAAGAACGAGTCGAGCGAAGGGTGGGGCATGAGTGGAAGGAGTCTTTCGATAAGCTGAAGGTAAGGCTCGTGGAAAGCAATGCCGCACTAAGGAAGCTTGAGCTGAGGAAGTGAATGAGAACTCGATGAGCCTACCTGCGCATGAACAATATTCATGCACTGATCTGCGGCGGCCTTGCTGACTTTTGGATGGCAGTGACCTATTTCAAGATTCAGCACGCTTCAAAACTCCAGGTAAGTGACTACATACCGAGATTTGTTACACCGATACCGCTCGTGAAATCCAGCATATGTCGCCCATCCTGAAAGTCAACGTAGGATCCCCGTCCTTGTGCAACAACACCCTCCGTTATTCGTCCGACACCTCGGGTTACATGTTTCTCGCCAAATGCCTGCAGTGACTCAGTCGATAGGCCCCGAGCATTGTACCGGCTATAAGCTGGGATTCAGTCGACAGGCAAGACGAGGTTACGGACACTTGCGTTGCAGCTGCAGTGACATTAACAGCACGCGTCGAGCAACGCGACAAGGAGGTACCCAGGCGATACATGGTAATGGTACGAGTCAAGAGTGCCCTTTTGAAATGACTGTAGCGTTTGACTGAAGCCGGGATTTGCCGAATCCATGACATCATCATGACCTACCGAGTGCACCCCTTTCTTTCTTACCACCACAATCGTCTGCATTCCTCCTCCAAGTACGCGACTATACCTCTACGACAGCATATATACTCATTTTAATAACAGATATGTCTGACGAGAACAACCAATCAGGCTCCACCTACCAGCCGAAGTCGAATAACTCGTATTACGCGTCTTTTGGGTGCGTAACAAACCTCTTTGTCCCCGTACCGATGCTCAATATGCGCTATTACAGGGGATATAACAACTTCATGCACTCGTACGGCCTCAAGCCCTGGGATATGGATGATGTCGAAGAAGGCAAGGCCATCCTTGAGATGTTCAAGGAGCAGGATAGGCTTGAACACGAAGAGGCGCAGAAAAATAGCGGAAAGAAATAACTTGTGGTTTGTTTCCCTTTCACAGTCCTTTCTTCTATATAAGCTGATCCACCATCCAGAATTTCTTCTTTGCTGGTCCGATGACGGTGTAGAATAGCAAGCAGTCTCTCTAGATGTAATACAACCCAGATCCTGTTGTTCTACATCAAGCCATTGGACTATTGGTTAGCTTGTTCGACAAAGAGTGACGTGGCGCGTCCGATTCCGAGCCGTTCTGTACTGGTAACTCAGGGGCCAGAACTGCAAGACGCGTCAGTGGCGTGGGAAAACACTGATTGAGTGCGTGCTTTGGTCTTATTTTTTTAATAGAACTTTACCATCTACTCCTGACAATGTTTGAATTTGGTCAGTTATCGGAAACGAGTTTTCTGTCTTCACAAATGTCTCTCTTCGATTTCGATTTCAACTCGAAGCTTGATTGTCTTACCAATATGAACCACCACTAACAATTGAAAATTCCCAGACCTCTTTGAACTTTCTACTCCAGTACTAGGCTCCGTGTATGCTAGAAGATATGGCATGTAGTTCATGGAACTGCTTGTTTCGGCTCACAAACCGACTGCATGGGATATCCTGTCTAGACAGCTGGCAAACCATCAAGAAACGTATAACCCGATCGATGGCTTTAGCGTTTCCTATGAGCTCTCATTTGCAGTAGCCACGAGTTTTTCTTCTGTTTGAGACGCCGCAGCTCACACATACAGCGGTAGTGGCACGACCTTAACTTCTCACCTTCTGTTTCTCGACGCTTCTGTTTGACAGCTAGGCGGCCTACCGGCCTGGGTCCGTTTCGCTCATCTGTGCGGGGTAGCGATAGGATGTAGGTATCTCCTTCCGTTACCGTGTAATCCTATCTACCTGTCTCTTCGCAGTTCTCGGATGCCTATACGTCCCTTGGGCAGTAAATTTTCTAGCAGCCCTGACCCTTGTGAAGCAGACAAATATAGTCGGGGGGAATATTTCCTGAGCACGCCTGGCAACGGATGGAATCTCCTCGCATCTTTGAGCTCTTTCGATCCAATCAGAGTCCGCTTGACTCTGAAAGTGGGGAATTCATGCGCATTCTGGCTGCTAGCCAGGATAGGAAGGGTAGGAAGGGTATACTAGGGGCTCTGCAGAGTAAAATAGATGCCACCCAGGGCCTCTTGGATTTTTTGAAGGGTCAAAAAAGCATCGCCGAATCCAACGAAGCTGACGCTGTCAAGATTCTTCGCCAACACCGTATCCTTAACTCAGATTATCTCACGAGCATATTCCAACAGTGTTTGGATGATGTCCATCCGTTTGGACCCTCGAAAGGTGCTAACTGCTTGAACCCTGTGCGACGGGCACCTTGGTCGCTGTCGCCGGTGGAGAGATGTTGCTCTGGATTCACCGAGATTATGGTCTAGCGTCAACCTTGATTTCGGCGCCCAATACGAGGGATGCGACTACTCAAAGCGCCTCTTCAGGCTTGGGATATTCCTTGTAAGGAGTCGGGGTTATCCCCTTCGAATCCGTCTACGAAGCCAGTGGGATATATCCGCCAACCGCATCTTCCAGGCCCTGCTACCGACGTCATCTCGGTGGACAGACACATACTTTTCTTTACTTTCGAAATCATTCCGTTCATTATCCACATGCAAAGCATTCTTCAGTAGATTGGAGCGGCTACAAGTCAGTCTTGCCGTCTCTATGGAGCTGGGATTAGACACCTTCGGAATGGCACTCAACATTCGCGCCTGCACGACTAACATCACCCAACCCTTCCTTGTTTTCAGTCACTTCCCCGGTGCTAATGTGCATTCCTATTCATCATTCAGTGGGTCTTTCCGCGAACAAATATCCGCATTGACCTGTTTGCCAAACGTTCGGGATCTTGTCCTGCGATGCCAGAAGTCTGATATAGATTTGCGCAGCCCTGCCACGCTTATCCATGTACAAAGTCTTGACGTCTTCGAGATATATCACCCTGGTAATGTCTCACAGACACTCGACAATCTCGTTTTTCCCTCCCTCAAAAAACTGCGAACGATGCTCGTCGCAGAAGTACCGTCTTTTCCCGCTCAACTCTACCTTGGTCATATCACATCATTAGAGTTAACTTGTCGACTGAGCTACGACGAGGATATCGATGCGTTTTTTCTCTTCCTCGCTCCCCTCATGCAACTGGAAACTTTATCCATCCATGCGCCGCGAATTCCTGAAACCCTCATTTATAGACTGAGGCTGAGTCCTGGGTCAGATCAGGTTGTTCGTTATGTTCCGTGGCTCAAGTGCCTTGATTTGCGAAGATCGACATTTGCAGATGAGAAAAGCGGAACTAAAGCATTCCTTTTGATGGTAGAGTCTCGTCGGACAAATGACGCGAAAGAGCTGAGGGAAGTCTGCTTGGAAAGGCCATAGGACATTGAGCCGTGGGAACCGCTACGCAAACGAGGTTTATACGCCAATTATTGGGAGGTGCGTTGATGAAGTATATACGTATGTCACAGTTGAACGCTTGCACATTCTCTTCATTGCAACAGATTTCCAGAGCACCGCGAAAGCAAGTATCTTAAAGTCTGTAGGTAGGTATGATTACGTGCTGCCGCTCGCGAAGTTAAGGACAGCCGAGACGTAAAAGATAAATAAACAATATGCAGTAGAATAAGAGAAATCTTCTAGCATAGATGAAGCAACGCTATGGCCTTTTCAGAGGCTGCAAATTTGACTTCCAGTCTCGTCACTTTGCCTCTGTTGATATCCGTCGCCCGCGCTTCCTCCAAAACCCGGACTTCCCCTCCCTCCTCTCGTTTTAACTCTATCACACAACTAACATTTCCCTTCTCCTCCGTAAATCTATATTTCACCTTCTGCCCCCGCTTCGAAGCCCACTCCGATAGCCGTGAAACAGGATGAAGAACATCAACATCATCCTTGACGATGTGCTCTAACAACGGCAAGACACCGATCGTTCGCATAACATCCTGCATCCTCTCCAGATTTCCTCCCGAGTCGAGGAATACTGCACCGAACAGACTTTCAATCATGTCACTGAAGAATTTGGGCGCTTGTAGCCGAGTCAGCGCCGCCCAAGGATAGATCTTTCCATTCTCTAGACCATCAGCAATCGCATCCGAAAGCCTCTGAAATCTGTCAAACGTTACACGCTGATCCTCCAGAACACGAGGACTAGCATGCAAGAGGCACTTCCACAGATATATATCCTCCTGCTCCTCTTCAAGCTGGATCCGACTCCCCGATTTCGTGGGCCGAGGCATATAGCTGCGAACCTTCAAACAACACTTCAAGCACAGATATGCTAGAATATGCCCGTTCACGACAGCGGATTTCCGAAGATGCATGCGCCCAGGACTGTACTCCTTGCCTTCTGCATGATACAGATAATCCGTAACGATCATGTCCATCACTGCGTCTCCCAAGAATTCCATACGTTCATAAGAGATGGTGCCAAAGTCCTGCTGATGACTCGGATGGGTGAGCGCTTCAAGGAGTATGAGCTTGTGCTTGAATTCGTAGCCCAACATGGATTCTACATGGGATATGGTCGTCTCCGGCAAGTCGATACGCTTTCTGACTTCAGGTTCGATTTGACTGACCCTTTGAATCAAGGACGAGATGCGGTCCGTAGTTGGTTGCCAAGTAAGGTCGAGACGGAAGAACTTTACACATTCATAGCCCAGTTCGAGCCCTCCGTGCAGATACGCAGCACCAATCGTTGATTCGACAACGTCCGCCAGCACTGAACAGTACTATTAGGCATCGAATCAAGGAGATATAGCACAATGGACGTACCTTTAGTGGAGAGCTCTCCCGCAATCTTTTTTGCTTTCTTGGCCTTCGCTTCGTTCTTCGTGGGAACGGTCGCAACCGCCTCGGCCGATTTCTTCTCGCGAATAGGCGCGGTAGAATGCAAGTACGCAGGTTTCCACTTCCTACCAAGCAACCGATCTAATTGCGAACACGTGAATACGAGAAGGCCATATCATCTTGGAACCCACCTCGGATAATCCATTGGAACATTTCTCTGGAGATATTCTCATTTGCCAGTCTAACGTTGGCGACAGCATGGTCCTTCCGTCTCGATAGATATCCTTCGTGCCAGAGGGGATGTTCTGATAGAAGCTGTATGCTGACCAGATACTTCAGCACTGTATCTCCCAACGTCTCCAAACGCTGGTAGTTGTAACGTTCTTGAGACGATGGTGCCATCATAGCGATAGTCAATAGCTGCGATGGAATGGCATAAAGATGAGATGATGGAGTGAACATCCTATCCCGCATGGACTGAACAGTGAGCGACATAGCTAGCGCGCGCAAGACTGAAGGTAGTAAGGACACATATTCAGTCTCCACCGGAGAGATGAGCGTGACTGCAGTATATTTCGGGATCAGCAAAACCCTCTTCGGTGACTGTCGAGGACCCTCCTTGACAGGTTTGGTGAGCGGCAGCAAGAAATTACTCCTGGCCGGCAAAACTTCGGCGACGATGAGCGGGTACGGGATATCTTCCAAATCATCCTGCCGAAAATACCGTGTCTTCATATCCTCCAGTTCTTCTTCGTTGACAGTGTCATACCGCCAAGCGATGAATCGAAATGCTTTCCCAAACTGGAATCCAGCTCTCACAATAGCAAGGTCCTGAGGGTACCAAAAGGCTTCCCCAAGATCCTGTGCATTCGCATCGAAGGCGTACTTGTTAGATCGCCCTTCGCGCTCATTCTCTTCTTTCAGCCACGCACGACGGTCTTCCCATTCATCATCTTCCGTTCCGGGAGCGGGAAGGAAAAGATACGAAAAGTCCAGGTCGTCCCAAGTCATCCGTTGACCGTGTATGCTCCAGAATATTCGTCGAGTATACTCGCGTGCTCGACTGATACCTTCATCGTAGAGACTGATTTTTCCGACGTTGCGAAGGGAGACCTTGATGAGGCCTCGATGGGGAGCGAAGAGTGGTGGAGGACCGTCGTTCTCAAACCATGATAACGGGCACTGAGTACGCGTGAACATGAGCAAAGGAGGCAGTTCCCCCAGTGTCAATTCTGAGCAATACCAGACTGCGGTACCATCATCCGGCGCCCATGGGTTCACCTGGGGTGACACGCTGACAATACTAACGCGTTTCTCCACTTCGCTTTGCAGTTTCTTGATCTCTTCGTCACGGAAGAAGAGCGGCAGGAGATGGTCATCCAGTAATTCGTTGTCATACAATGCTTTGTATGCCTTGAACGCCGCATGTCGATGAGCGGATAGCTTCGTAGGATAAATCATTTCTGTTGAATGCACTCTGAGTTCAGAACTCAGGAATCTTGGCAAAGTGACGGTTGAACCCCATGGTCCGGAGTAGGGTAAGGCAACACTAGTAGACCGGTTCTCGAATGAATGCCATCCGAAGGGTAAATCAGGTGGGTCTAGATCATACAAAGGCTGAAAATCGGGATTGAAACTTGCATTCGGATGAACGGCCACGAAATGGGCTAGATGAGGAAGAGCCGACTCCAGAGTCAGTAGAGCACTGGCAAATGACAACATGAGCAACAAGTGCTAGATATATTCAGCGAAAACTTACCCCGTTGATGGTACCCTAAATTCCTCCCATTCCTCCCACTCGTCAGGCTCTGCCGTCATGACTCTCTCCGATGCATTACATAAGCGTAACACCTCTGCTTCGGTGTTTTCCCACTTGAGAACATCCTCCTCATTCCCTCCACCTCTTTCGAACATGACGATGAACGTGCTACGCTTCCGACGCGCCCGTCCTCGACTTTGCAGCCATGAGACCATGTTCTGCGGCGGATCCCAGCGTATAACACATCCACATGCCTGGACATCGATGCCCTCCTCAGCAACAGACGTCGAAATGATGAGATTCTTCTCTCCAATCCTGAAATCGCGCAACGTCTCTTCTTGCGATTGTTTCAGTAGCTTGCGTGTGAGATCCAAGAACGAATGCCGATGGCTGCTGTCCGATGTCCCTAGTAGGCTCCCAGTTTTGAAGATCTCTTTCGTTTGAGGATGGTGTGTGAGAATCTCTGTGAGCGCCAGAACCGCGTCGCGACGCGTAACGAACACAAGCCCGCTAAACGCCTCGTTGGCTGCCTCGAATTCTTGTTTCTCCTGTAACAATGCCTTCACAAGTTCTGCCACTTTTTGAGACGAATCCTCGACAATGTCGTAGGCGTAGTAAGACACTGGGCAAACATGAACCTGATTGAGAAGGCCAAGCATATACTTCTTTTCCCGTGTCTGCCAAGAGGGCATCATTTCGTCACCTTGGCAAGCCTTTTTGGCCTGTTCTAACACCGTCCAAACATACCAATCCGCTGCCCAAGCACCCAGGTCGAAAAGAATATCATCCGCTGTACGCTCGAAATCGTGAAAACCCTTGTGCGTGAAGGTGTTCTCCTTGAGTATGGTCTTTGACAGTTTTTGGTCGAGTCGATAGTGTTCAGAAGACCGGGGGGAGGCTCTGACTAGGTCGCGACGTAGAGAGATTATGTACGGGTCATTTTCGATATTGAGGGTAGCCACAACTTGCTTTAGACTTGTGAGGTTGGTTGAAAATAGAGACCCGTCTGGCGGGTCATATTTGACATGCTTGAAAATAGGCCGGTGGACGTGTTTTGCCAGTTCGTCCCGATTGCGGCGCGGAGTGCGAATGATGCTGTCGAGGTTTCCTTCAATTTTACTGCGACAGCGAGTCAGGTCAGGTATCGCAAATTATGGCATTAACTCTCACCTGAAAGCTTTGGCGATATCCCCGCCGTAAATAGGGCTAGCCGTTAATCCCAATATCATTGGCCTGGCATATCGAGGGTCCAGATTCGGCGTATCCCGCGGCAACAATCCAAAGTAAAACTCCCTCATGATCATGTTGTATGGCGCCTTGTCGAGCGTATGATGCGCCTCATCGAATATCATCAATCCAATGTCACGTCCCATTTGGACGTAGCTGTGGCGTAACGCATCCAGAAGCACCTGTGGAGTCGATACCACGATCCGATGGGTCTCAATGACCCTCTTCCACAGCGATGCATCCTTCCACTGGTTCGGTTCCAACGATCCCGATATAAGGCCGACAGATACAGGAAGCGCAGCCCTGATGACACGGCACTGCTGCTCGGATAACGCAACCGTGGGAGCTAGAAACCACGATACCTACAATCGAGGAGATCAGCGTATGACTGGAACGATCAGAAGGCGGCACGCACCTTCTGTGGTTCTCGTTCAACTTCAATCTTCAGTCGCAGCACCGCGATATGCGTCTTGCCCGAACCCGTGTCCATCGCTATGATGATGTTCCTCTTTAGGCTCTCATCGAGCATCTCTTGCTGGTAACCTCGTGTGTGTACATTCGTATCTGGCGTAACATCGGTGGTCGACATCGTTGATATCTATACAACGAAATATTGGTTGCCTGTAAATAAAGTTAGTGGCGTATTCAGATCGTCAAGTCTTGAATGTAAAAGGTTGAGCTTGAGCGGGAGCGGGAAGGTGCCTTGGGCGCTTATTAGAAGCAGGGGAGTCAGAGTGAATCAGGCCTAGAGCAAGGCGCTAAAATGGTGTCCGTATTGGAGAGAATCAAGAATAAGCGAGCTTTCGTTCGATAGAAGTAATGCAGAGATAAATGTTGCTCGGCCTTTCTGTTCGATTCTCTGTCGAAGAATGAATATCAACCCGTTCGTAGTAGAAAGAATTTGAACGTACCGTACTCCTTTCCACAATTCCTCTGCTCGTACTATGTGCATGAGCCAGAGGAATTCAATGGCAGATGGTGGTGGTTGGAGTGAGAGAAGCGAATCAGTTGCCATGTTGCCGCAGCATCCCTTTTTGGGCACAATGTTCGACTCCCGCCTTGCCCACCTCGTATTTCATTTGGCATTCGTTACAATTATGGTATAATGCAAAGTTCGGATCTATGAAGCCATACTTTCTAGTTAATTCAATATGAAGTGGTACTGTTGTCGCGGGAATCTCTGGTTACACCTGTGAAGAGATATTCAAGTCCGAACTGTGCGGTTCAGCTACTACAAGCTGGAGAAAAATCAATATTTTTTCTGAGTTAGAACAAGGGAATACGTGCGTCTTCAGGAAAATCTTCTTCTATTGGTACGAAAAGGATCTCCACCTTCTCGGATAGATATTCACAAATATCGTGTGGATCATCAAGTCGGCTATTAATGCTTTGTAGAATTGAGTCATAATAAGCAATAAAAGCGTCAGAAAAGCACCAATCCTTACATTGCAAGAATGTTATTCACGTATACTATCCGAATTTCAGAGTCGCCTTAGAGAACAGATGATTTACATGCTTTACCTTTACTGAGCGCAAGATGCCCAAGCATCCATACGTCCTTCTTAACAACCAAGCAGTACTAGCATAATATTTCAGAAATAAGCTGACTTCAAGCAGTTTATATCGACTCACAGTTATTATCGCAGCTGCCTGCACCATTCTGTCATCTCGATAAGCTGCAAAGCTACAGAAATAGCCGCAACGCGCAACCGACGTACCCTGTAATGATGAGCCTAGCACAGACATAATATGTCGCGTCATCTCGGTACTTGGAGATCCTATGAGAACCTCGGTGAGACTGCTTTGAACAGACACACCCCGCGCACCATTGAACGACACGGTCTCGCTTGGTTCCCAAACAATAGCAAGAGACGATGGTTATGACGATATCAAACGTCGTCGTAAAGGCCAGGACACCCACGCAAATCAACTACGAAGGATGCAAATCAGCATCTTTGTTTGAGGAAGATTAAATCCCACCGACGGAACCTACTACACCACCTGAAAACGTCGAGAACAGCCGGTGCGGAAATGGTTTGATGGTGAGGACTGTTTAAGACAGATTGAGGAAAGTGAGGAGCATGATGAGCGGAGACGCACCAATGCTTGCGGCTTCACAAACAGAACTGACAGGTCAAGCGGCATCCTGAAATGGTACAAGACTTACCGAGGGCACATAACGCGACTGTTATCAGACCTATGTGTATCTGCTGCTTTACGGAACGCGCTAGTTGGGATGGTTAGTTAGGGAAGGAAGTCTATTGGCGTGACTCGTACCGATCCATGTTCGAATGATGAAAAAACTGGAGCGGTACGTCAACAAGGATAGGACTTGAAGCAATAGACAGACATACCCTTGGATGGCGAACATCATAAAGCACTGAGGCGTAAAGTTAGGTTCGTTACCACTTGTGGTATCAACTTAGATTTCATACCGCATTCTCTAACTACAGGAATGAGCATTTAGCCAGATATATCTGATCAGACTCGGATGAAGTACTCACTGCAAATGTCCTAGCGCGAACGAATCAGAGCTCCCACGATCATCACCTATCACAAAAGTACGCACCATGGATAAGGTGAAGGTGATTTACGGGAATGAATACACATTTTCCCATCCATGATCTTCGATGCAGAATGGGAGATGACCGCCGTACAGCAGGTATCGACGAACCTAGACGGACAAATTTCAATTCCGAGCACTTGTACAATACATCTTGAAGGCACTGGACTTGCCATAAAGTGAACACCTTCACATCAATGAATAAAACATAACCCTCGAATTAAGGGACACGCACCATAAGCCTGAAGGCTCTCGAATCCCCTTTGCGGTTTTGGCTAAAGTAAAGACTAACATGTGAAGTGGTCACCACGTAGGTCCTGTCTGCACGTCAGGATTCATAGAGTGGATTCCAAGTGCAAGTAGCACGCACGCGGTAGTAAGAGCAACAACAACAAGCTCATATCCAGGAGCAATAGAATCAGACAGCATATTACTGAGACCGGCTACAGCAATGAAAGAAAATGGTTGAATGGACGCGACAAATTATATATATCGCACTTCTAATCCTGGGCGGTGTATTGGATACCGATGTCCTGGGGACTCGTTTCATGACATGCCGGGCTTACAACCATCCGTGACGATGAGATAGCGATAACTGATGGATCCCATCATCTCCGGTATCGATGGTGGCGTCGGGCGGGTAATTCAACATTCCTTTTGAGCATGCATATGGCAAGTGGCGGTAGGCGCTTTTCAGGCAGTGATATTGAAGAGGATCCGGTATAATAGAGGCTCTGGTCCCGGGAAATGGCGGCAATGTTCTTGCTTGTGCACCGAGGTTGCAGTTCTAGGGCGCCGCCTGATTCAAATCTGAATCATCAGAAAGCCTGGAAACGCCTGGGGGAGGGGGCTCTGTAATCAGCGCGAGGCGCAGTATTTGGTGACAGGTGAGGCTCTGGCGAAGCCACAGATGGAATTCAATAAGCATCAGTGCTCGAACTCCATCGATTAACTGTACGCTGACGCAACATCCTACATAAAAATTACTCGTGGTAGCTGTACTCACCTGTGTGCTACGACTCCAAGCGCTCTTATACTTACCTAAGTAGTCGGCTGAGCGGTCAGAAAATCCGAAAAAGGAATCCCGGTTCGGATACATATGTAGCATCGGTCCGAGCCAACCGAGGCAGTGTCTGGCTGGCGCATATTCTGCCTACAACCGCGCGTTTTCATGCGGCATTCACTTGGCCGCGTGACGCTTCTTGAGTCGGTAAGCAACGCAAGACCGCACCATAGCTCCTAGGACTCAGCGGCGCCTCCTCTTGGTGCCACGAGTTCAAGTTCCAGGACGATAATTTGAGTACCAATGGAACACTGATCTCTTCACCGCTTCAGACCTGACACCCTGTAGACTCGAACTGAATCCTTTCCTACAGAATGCCTTGACATTTCGCCATTCATTCTAGCGTGGTACATGATGGCATATACAAGCTTCATTGTTCCCTATCAGAAACAGTGGCTGAAACTTGCATCCGCACGGAAGATCAATATTGAGTTTATATCGATCACTCAGCGGCGTAGAACGGCCTGCGCTATTTCTTGGATCCACTAAATTCCGAGAGCGATTTTATGGACGACCACGTAAACATTCGACAATAAAGCTCCAGGAATTCTATATAAGACAGCTCAATATGTAGGAACTCCCTCAGCAAACCACCAAATCTTCAAAGCTCCAAACAGCCTAACCAACAACCGTCCTAAAACATCATGTTCGCTGTTCGTATACACTATCCTATCCTCTCTCTCATTATACTGATCACAGAGGTTGTTATTCGACAGACCATCGAAGTTCCCGTCTCCCAGACTTGCAGCTCGTAAATACCATCTCATTTCCATTCAGAAATTACGCGCTGAATATTTCCCTGCTTTCCAGTTGCTCCTGCGCTACCGGCCAGTGCAAGTGCTCCGAGTGCAAGCACTAAACCGATGTTGTAATGAAACCTCGCCGTCAGTCTTACTGTAGAAGTTCAGAGTCATAATAGATGATGGCATAGGGAGTTAATTGCATATAAATCGAATCAAGAGTATTATTTGTTAAATTTTCCTATGAAAAGACGGCAAGAAAGGCATGTGTCACAGATTGGTGAGAAAAATCAGCTGTCTTGCTCGCACATCAAAGTTGTGCGAGGCTCTCTTGTTTTACGGCGCGTCGAGCAACAATAGTGGCAGTAGACTTGAAACGGTTGTCCACAATTTCCACATATCGAGCGGCAAAGATATCACACAATGTTGTCAAGCAGCCCTGGATCCAGGGTTCACGAATCACAAGTCCGACACGGCTGCCGAACCTCCCTGAGGTTAAAGCGTCTTGCTTGGATCCACCGCCTCCATCACATTGCCCGGGTTCGACAACATACGTATCAAAAATCTCCAATGTCGCCTCTAGATGCCCAGCAGGCAACGTATGTGGAAGGTGACGGAGAGCAATCCAGACAAGGACATAGAGGGCTGATTCTCGATCGTCAACGAAAGTATGTTCAGTGTTTAAATTTTCGAGACGATTTGCCGAAACGAATTGCCAGGTACCCTTTGTTACAGTCGGTCACTGTAGATATGCAGTACGACAAAGAAACATACCGTTCGAGATATACGGGAAGGGTCGAGAGCCTTATTAACAAGGACGCAGTGGTCCTAATCGATCAAAAAGCCTTGTCGATGCTCCCGGTTCAGAGTCATCATGATCCCGGCGCTGATATCGCGGTGGAGAGCTGCGAATCATCAGGAGTCAGTGGATAAATAGAGCAAATCCAAAAACTATGCGTATCTTCCGTTGCACCGATAACGCATGAAACGAGCTGCTTTGCAGTTTCGAACGATTCTAATGGGCAGCCTTTCCTAACGAGGACAATGGGATGACCAATAAGACGTCGAATTCGGTGGTGAGCGCGCGCCCAGTCCTTTGATGCGTAGTCATGTCCAGAGGTCGCTGTCACCACCGAGTTCCATCTGAGCAACATGGGGAATCTCGTGTTTGGCGAGGAGATAATAGACTTCAGACTCTGGTATAGCATGAGGCGCGTTCTCTCTCCAGTAGTCCTTGTAAAAGAGCGTCTCGCGCTTGGTCACGCAATAAGCCATGCCATGACAAGTCGCCCTCCAGAACGTAGGGTGAAGCTTTCTGAACTTGTTCGGGGGTGGTATCATTCCACGGTAAGAACTCGTTAATAAAATTGCGAGCTAGCATAGAACCCTGGGCTATGCCGCGCATCTCTCCAGCGAGCTCAAGACGTCCGTTCATCACTGCAGGGTTTTCAACAGCACGCGGTCTGTGGTAAGCGGCTTTATTTTTAATCAGAGTGTGCCACAACTGGCGGTAGGCGTCGGTGTTGGGAGCAACGATAGGGTTGGTTGGGAGGAGTGCCAGCACCGTCCTGGGTGGAGTCCGACATTGGGAAAAATGTAAGAGAAGAACAGAAAACTGGGTGGAAGGCGTCAAGAAGAAAGATCTCCCAGTTTATCCGTTATGAGTATATTGGATTTCAGCATGAAGCAAGGCTGGTCCCAAATACGATAAACATTGTGCAACTCACGTTCATAGGTTGCCTAGTGAAAAGTGTAAGCTGGGTTCTATAGAGAAGCAAAATCAGATATTGTAGCAAGAAACGAAGGAAGCTGTTCTAGAGGCTGAAGGGAAGCAAAGTTCAAGGTTTAAGTTCGTTATTGGCCTACCGGCCGGTCCGATCACTTAACCGGCATTTCCCAGGACTCCGACCTTGAGCGGATAATCCCGTGCCGGTACATAAATATCTGATTATATAATTGCCGTAAATTATTTCCCGAAATAATTCGTGGCGTCTGCTTGGCAATCTCTTTCCAATCTTCCACGACCGCCGTATATCAATTGTATCCGTGTAAGCGCCCAAGTACATCTGGGTAATATTTCTGCTTGATTTCGTACTTTAACGGTCGTTCTCGACGCCTGCAGAATCTCAACGGAAAGAACGACGAGAAGTTTCTCGCGACTATTTGGAAACACACTGAGAGGCCTTGCTAAGCGCGTAAAGGTGCGTCTCTGGCGCTTGTGTGCTGTATACTTCTATTTACGCTGGATAGGCGCTGTACTGAAACTGGTGGCCGAGCCTTGCTACTGCTGTGCCATTTGCGACATTGCCATCGACCAGTTTGACCTTCAGACGAGTACGAGGAACCTGTACGTGCTCTTTATCCTCACGAGAACAAGTGTTCAAACTGTCTCACTCAGAAATATGCCCGCAAAATACTCTCATATCAAACGGCGTACTCCCAATCCCAAGAAGAATGCAAAGGGCTCCAACAACAACAGTAATGGCTCCAAGCAAGTGCTCAAGCACCGACATTCGCACCATCCCAATCCCCACGCTGACCGCAGCGTAACCCAAGCTATGTCAGCTGTCACTCAGCTTGAACGTGCTATTTCCCGCATCCTACTTCTCCGGTACGAGCAGGATATCGCCCGGTTGTTCTCGACACGTCTTCACGACATCGCTCTCGTTCATCTCCCCACTTTTGTGATGCGTTGCGTGACGTTAGGTGGTCCTAGTTGGGCAGCACACAATGCAGACTGCGAAGAGATCAAGGATTTTTTTCGAGCCGCGATCAGCATGGACATGCGTCAAGCTGGTGAGAGAGTTGCTACGAAGAGTGTCTTGTGGAGTTACACGGCTTTGAGGCATTTTGTATGTGTCCGACTCTTGTTTTTGGGATACCGGCTGACGTAGTTTTAATTCCAGGCGATGTCAAATAATGTGACTATATGTCAGAAACGTGGTTTGCATTCGATGAGACTGCTACCGCATTATTCGTCCCTGAAGGGGCATCTGGATGTATTGGAAGCGATGCCTCCACCTGTTATCTCTAAGCCTCCCCATCTAGGGTCTCTCAAGGAGGGGATAGAAGCACTGGAGGAAGCATGCGAGCACAAATATGCCAGGTGGAGCCAAATACCGCCCGAGTGGCAGCATGATTGGCGACCCAAGGTACGATTGGGGTACGAGAAGGTCACACAAACGCTTTGGCGTGTAGCACGGGAATTTGATGTACGAGGATACGGCCAGGTGTTGAGGGAGAAGCTGTCCACCAAGTGGTGTGACTGCGGGTGCTCAACGGACCATCTAGGTGAAGTGTGCGAGAAGACTGTGAGAGAGGACGAGGAGGAAAGCGGGGTGCGTTCTGGGAAGCAGAGGGAATGGGATGGCAGAGGAAGCGGCATCTTCGGGTGGGAGACAGAGGAAGAGGAGGATATATGGGAGCTGGAGCTAGATTTCAGTGGTATGGATCCAGAGGATTTAGACGAGGGCATCGATCCCAGTATGACTATTGGAGAGATCATGGAGTGGCGGTTCCTCAAGGCTGAGCGAGAGAAGGAGCAGGTGGGTGCACAGACAGTGTTACCATGTCGTAGCTCATATTCTTCTTACAAGGGTAACACTGCTTTCCGAAGGGGTCTCTTTGGTACAGCAATTACACACTATCAGGCAGCGCATAAAATTGAGCCTGAGTTGCCGCATTACCAACTGAATTTAGCTGCTGCGTATCTGAAGCTGAACAAGTACGATTCTACACATTGATCTCTCTTAGTTGCTCAACCACCGTTTGATTTAGCTGGATAGAGGCGGAAAAGGCTTGCACAAAGGCATTAAGCCAGCACCGTAGCGGGAAAGGATACTTCCGTCGTGCGCGCGCTCGAAGAATGCTCGGGAAAACGGATGATGCTATTAGAGGTGTCTTTGGTGCCCATTTATCTGCACTGTTCCTGACATCTTTTAGATCTGCGCGCCATACTCAAGTTCCAACCGTCAAATAATGACGCTATAACAGAACTACTCGAGCTGTTACCCCCTGACACTAACACTCCCACTCCCTCATCCTCTTCCGCCGACCAGCGATACCTCGAACATCTACATGCACATCTCGGAATCGCCAAGCCCAAATCGATAAAACCCCCACCCTTCCCACGCGTTCCAAGCGACAATATGAAGCTGAAGATTGTGATACTGCCCACGAACGACGTGCCAATATGGGAGCACCATCATGAGGTTACGGAGAAAGGCAAGCAGAAATTAACGATGACGATGAAGACTAGTTTGACGCCGAGGGAGGCGGAGATGCAGAGGCTGAGGAGGGAGAATACGGCGTATCCAAGTTGGGATAGGTATGTGGTGAAGAAAGCCTGAGGGGAGGATGTTATTTGCCTCTTCTGTCGTTTATATATTTACGGCTTGATTAATCTTTGACCTCTATGTCGTTTGTGCAGAAAGGACATTAGTCGCCCTCGTCAAGGAACGGCCGACTTCCTTCTTCCAGCTGAACATCCAATGTTTGAAGGTCTACAAGCGAGCTTATCTTCACTAGCAACAACTCTCATATAATCAGAATGTGCCCAAGGAGCCCAGCTTTTAGGCCGAGAGTCATTAAAATGATCTTCCTGGTTCGTACTGGCCACCATACTGCCAAAAAAAGACTAGCTCGACAAATGATTCTCACCGAGGGCATAAATAAGCTAAACTCTAATTTTTGCGTTTAATTGGATAAATGCATACAGGCCACAGCTGCCGACTCGTACTGAACCTCCACTTGTGAATCCTTACTGCTATTCGTCAATCTTGAAACGATCGAGGCGTCCACTTTACAACGGTGTGATACCAACTGTGAGACTCAGCATAGCAATTGTCTTCAAGTAAGATATTCGCGAAGGCGAAGGCAAAGGGCCCGTCGAAGCCTCGGCCACGGCTCCACCGGTTCTCCTGTAGACGACGTGATCTTCCAAACCTCGATGTACATCTGGTTACTTCTACTTAGGTTGGACAAGACTTCCATACTGAAAACTCGTATCTAGCACCTGAGCAAATGCTGAGCGTGGTGGAGGGTTCTTCTAAGCCAAAGAAAGGCTAATAGGCTGAGCTAAACCGAAGCGACTTTATCTCGGCCCGCCGGAATTTATAGTGAGCTTTGTCATTCTTCGGGCCTATGTCGAGGCGAGTCAGCTGCGCATTTACAAAGGTACGAAGGTTAAGTATATCGATTAATAATAACCGTACTGTGTCGTGCAGAATCTCCATGATCTCCGAAGCAAGTGGGAGGGAACATTGGCTCGTTGAACCTAGATAAATATTGACTATCTTCTTACACTTCCACGTATATTTGTACCAGTATTAATGGGCTTTTAATTCGCTATGGTGCTGTGGAAACCTAGTACTAGGGTGCTCAAAGGGAGCTGGCAGATTAGGGAGATGATACCGATTCAGTAGGGAAAAATATACTAAACGTGAGTAGCAAACGCGCAGCAAGGGAGAGTCCAAATATGGGCGACGATTCTTCATGGTTCCTGATGATCGAAGTGATTAGCTCAGTAAATGCAAGCAGAGTATCTAATAAATTTGCGAAGTACGTATGAAGAAGGACCATTTATCGTGCGTTACCGCGTGTGTCTCCTATGAATACGGTACGCACATCATAAATCGCCCATGGCCTGCCGTACCTGTAAAAACCGGCCCTCGTGCAACATCGGCAATTGTCTTCGTACCCAAGACTGCATGAAGAGGAAGTCTGACGTGCTATCATGGTTCGCGTCAAGAATGATCCTAACCTCTACCGCAGGAGTGCCGATCACGCCGACGCCGCAAAGGGATGTGTCCATGCGTGTCCATGCGTCAATGGACTCATCGTCGAACAATGAAACTAATGGAGCGCTAGAACCCGTCTCCAACTGAAGGATGATGGTGATTTCATCCGGCTCCCAGCCTTCTGTGGCTACAGCGGCGCGGCTGAAATTGTTTGACCACCATTGTAGTGATGGTGAAAAACCGACGGATCCAGAAGTAGTTGTGAGGAACGATATCTCAGATATGCCGTTGAGAGTCACAGGTCTCAGGGCTTCCTCTGTAAAGATGTCAACAAACAGTTACAGTGCTAGAAGCAGAAAAAAAATTACCGAGACCGTGACAATCCCCGACTGAAATCGATGCAAGCATACCACCGCCAGATACGACTAAGCAGTTCCACAGTTTGTCCAGTCCCTCCACTACTGCATCTGAAGATATGCAGACTTCAGTTAACCACAATTTCTCGACCATATCCATCCGAATAGGCGGGTGAAGGCCAAACAGTATATTCAGCACTTCAGCGTCGCCCTCAGACTGTACGTCAAGCATCAGCATGGTCAAGCGACACTCAGCCGGCTGAATCCTCATTGACCCATCGGATGACCGCGTACCGGAGTCAAAGGTAATATTCCCTAGATCTAAGATCTCCAGCGAATCTGAGGAATACCTCAGCAGCGCCCGAAACTCGTCATCGGATCTAAAGTGTACAGAATCCAAATGAATTCTGGTAAGCCTCTGGTTCGTAATGGCTGAGCGACTGGCCTCTGGAAGAGAGGAAATTTTGACAAAAACCATGCTAATGGCCGTAACATTAACAAGAGCTCGCATCACGTCTGGAAATGTCGGCTCCGTGGGGATCCACAAATGGTCCTGGGTACCCTCACGTATGTTGAGCGTTCGCACGAGTGACGGAATATGAGGTATCGATTGAACGAGATTGTAGAAGGACCGGCATGTGGTGGGGACATGCGGTGAACTCGGTGGATGAAAAGAAAGCACGGAAAAGAGGATTCGTAGGCAATGAGAGCGAAAGGATCTAGAAACTCGTGAGAGTGCGCGGATAGAATCGCGATCCGTGTTCGAGTCAAGCCCTTCGAGAATGCTATCGACTATTTCTCTCGAGATTGAATGAATAGACATGCGGATGGAAGCTTGGAGGATGGACACCAGAATATAAATGCAAGAGGCACAATTATGCAATGTAAAGGAACGCTGTTCGCCGGCACCTGCACAAAACGGTATTATTGTATGGCCGTTGCTCTTTACTACCTTTGTATCCCCAGTAAGCCCGGCAGGCATCCAAGATACCCAGCACGCTGCACGGATGAATAGACGTTGAGTCGTGATTTGATATCCCGAGGACCTGTTATCTACGCCGAATCGCACAAACTCGAGTTCGTGGGAGTAGATCTCGGAGACCACTCAGATACTCAGATTGCACTAGCCAGTGATCCGGGGAGACATCCGCTCAGATCTTCGGTCTGTCCAAGCAATGATTGTCATCATTAAACTAGTACAGACATCGCAGGAGAGGAACGGGGATACGTAGAGCATCAGATAACGGATGTTAGCATGGAAAGAAATACGAACTCACATTAAGATGGATGGCCTGCGTGCTGATGCTACGACGTCATCATCATGCCTCATGGAGGATCATTGCGTCAATATCAAGGGAAGATATGCATCCAGAGAGCTTGTCACACCGACGTGATAAGTGAAAACATAGTATTTCCAAGGGTGCTTGGCACGATAATATTCCCGATTACGTGAAGAAAGGCATTCATTCCTTCGTTCCTGTTTGTACAAGCGGACGTTGTACATGTCATGTGGATGGTCGTTCACATCGTGTCAAGAAGTCATGGCATTTTCCCGACAAAGTCCTGGTTTTTGACAATCTTTTTATAAGTATGACTGACTTGATTTGGCAGTAACCTGAGCATTCACCAGTGATAGTTAAAGAAGGGATAAGCTGATGACATTTTGCCTTGAGTTATTCCGAGAAATTGCGGCTAGAGTACCAGGGAGTCGATGTCAAGTCGCATTGCACCCTAGTGGTGGCGTTTGGGGTGCTTAGCTTCCAACTTTCAATTGGTAACCACGGTCGCGTGACCTTCGAGGCTACGGTCCGAGATCCGGGTCTCCCTTTGGTCAACTCCCCTATTCCCCAAAGTTCGCTCAGTAAGTGCAGAGAGGACCCAAGAGCTTTCTGCATTCCACTACATCCTCCTAGTATAAATATTGAAATGTTCATCCCCGCGGACCAAATTCTAGGTATCTCTAACAGTCTTAAAATCTCATTGGCAATCATTGTGCATGTCTTGACTGCTATCTCGCGGAAATATCCCTATGATGTCAATGAAAATAACACCGCAAGTTCAGGCTCTTTGCCTTCTGATAATAGTTCCTCCATACTCTGTGCGCCATATGTATACCACGCACTGGGCAAGATACTAAGCAGCAGCGGTTCGCCATCACCTTGCACCGCCGATCCATATATTTTGTCACCTGCCTGCTGACGTCGTTTCTACTAGTGATCCGGCAACGAAAGAAGTAAGCCACGTATGCAGCGGACCGAACAGGTGGTCGTCAGCGTCATGGACGAGGGGTTCTCCCGGAATGTATATTTGCGGTAGCAGTCATTTGATGCTTCTAGGAGTCAAATTGGTAGTCATAATATACTCTGAAAGACACTTAAAAAATAAGCAAAGGCGACTTGCTTCGCCTCGACGTGTTGGTTCGGAAACTAAGTGTGTTAGTAATAATTAGCTCGCGTCGTCCTCCCAATATCTCGACGTAACTCGGGAGATATCTGCCAATCAAAAACAGATGCTCCTACTTCCATCCGGTTTACTCTTGGAAATATCCAGTAACCTGGCCAACCTATAGAATACTTCATTCAGTGAAACGATTCATAAATAGTTCAAATACAAAGAAACCGTGGAGACCTCGCCAAGTCCCGTGCTCTGACGCTGCTGGACATAACGGTCTACTGGTATTCTTCCGGAACCTTCCTGTGCAACGACCAGCTTCGCAAAGACATGATTCAACGTCAAGGTGATTGCCATTCGATGAGAAGGCTTTATGATTCTCCTTGGGCGTCAGGAACGATGCCCTGATTTCGATAAAAGTCTGGGCAGAGAAGAGGGCCTTTGTATCATAGGGAGCAGTGTTGAAGGTGGTGACGAAGAGAAAAAGCCGCGGTTATCTAAGGCGGCCGGATGCAGATACTGCTCTTGAGGTGTACAGGCCGACCTGTCTCTAGATAGCCGCCTATAAGGTGGATCGTGGACATACATGGGCATTAAAAAGGAAGCCACCAAGACGCGTGGAATCTCTGGCAATATAGACACTGAATATACACGGTGAATAGGGAACAATATTGGAATAAAATCTCGGGACGAATGCTTCGCGCTTACACTTTTTTAACTGCTGGTGTCTTCATGCCGGGCGGCAGAGCATCGCCTTTCGGTACACTGCACACAGTGCTCGCTACTCTCCGAAGAACACCTGTTCCGCGAACCGCGTATGTCCAGTTCTTTGGGCTCCGACTAACTCTAGGCAAGTGCTACTCTACCACCTGACCTTGGCCAATAATGAAACACTGGAAAACAGTGATCAGATATGAACAAATGACAGCAGAAATCAAGACGACATACCCAATTCAAACATATCTCTCATCTTTCCCAGATGGGCGCGATTGTCCATTTATCCATCTCTACCGCACTCCCCGTTGTCAGCTGAATATGGAGTGGTACCCTCGCATGAAGGCATGGATACAATCATACAGCGGGCAGGGTAGCACATCTTCCATCGCAGGCAGTTGTCCAATAACACAGAAGGTTTTCGCTGGTAAACGACCTCGGATCTTTCGTTTCTCCCAACGTCGTTCGTCATCTTCTCAATCTTTAATAGGGTTCAGAAGACCGGTATGTGGTCCAAAGGAAAGAACACAGGCGTTCTGTGAAGCCACAAGATGTGTTAGAACTTAGAAATGCCTCACGGGTTCGATACTGTCACACTAGAACGTTGCGGAAGCCCGCGGAGGTCATGAGTGACAGCGTTCCCCGACGCAAGACGGCTTGTAGCATGAGATCACCAACGTCAATATCGCCATAAATTTTAGAATTTTACATAAAGATAACTCCCCAAGCTGCGCTGCCATATCCACCGAGTTGGCTAAGCGCGAATATCGGATGTCATTGTAGCTGATTCTCCGAGCCAGCGTCCTGAGCCAAGTGGTGGGGCGGCATCAGTGGAGGCCTCTGCATCAAAACTAAGTTTACCACAGAAACCTGACAATAGAAGCTTGAAGGAATTCACCTCGGCCATAAAAATCGGACTAAGAGTCTGAATCAGACAACAGAGAGATAAGAAAATTATTCTTTAATGCGCTGACAACGTCCCTGTCAAACTGGTTTTCGAAGTAGCGCATGAGAACGTAAAGAGCTATGTACTATACACACGGCGGATGCAGTTTCTTCCACTGAGATACGTGGTCTATCAGGCCTTGTTCTTCAGCTGAGCGACTTCCCAAAGACTTCGGTAGTTGGGGTCCGACGGTTGGATACCACTACCCCATTGATGCATACTCTCTTCACATTCGGATTCACTGACATATTCAGCCTGAACGTTCACAGCTAAAGACTTGGACTCGAGAATCTCCCTCGCGAAGTACGGAAGCTATTATCGTTATTCAGTCTCTTACCAAGAACGGCACGAAGAGCCCACCATACCTTGAATTTGCGATCATTAGGGAACCAGGTCGCCATGAACATCATAGCCAACATGATCCTATCCTCGTCACTGGCGTTGGGCATACCCGCATGCCAAATACGCTGATCGCGCAACATTACACCCCCCGGCTTACATGCAATCTGGATGGGCGGACGGATCTTCCTGCGCTCCTCGACAAGCTCGGGACGGATGAAGCATAGAGGGGCCTGTGCTGCTGGGTATTGTGCAGGCCACATCTGGTCACCCGGATCAGTAGTAGCATGGGAGCCGAGCCACATTTCCGTGGATCCATTCTCCGCCGAGAACTCGCTGAGAGGAAAGTTGGCGATAACAATTGAGGGAGCGAGTGGGTGGATGAATGAGCTGTCTTTGTGAACAGCTTGACGATCCGTGGTCCGTTTGTTAGCGTTGTTGCCTGTAATGAAGGTCCAAGAGGGAGAGGGTCCTATGGAAGGTCTGTTGAGAACAGTAATCAACAAGGAGCCGCTGCAGCAGACTTACCTAAGTAATGCGAAACGACTTGGTGAACGAAAGGATTTGCATATACATCCTCGAAGAAGAGGGACCGGTTGGTAAGTGGAGGGGACTGAATGAAGTTCGCTTGATGACGATGTCTCAGACCACCAAGTATACAGCAAGCCCAAATTTATTACATACTGGCGACACCTTGATTATACTGGGAAACGTCGTCACCCTTCTTGGCCTTCAGGATCTCTGCTTCATCCAGCATCGCAAGCCGAAGCTTCTCGATATGTTCAGGATCAACTATGACGAATAAGCATCAGAACATGATCTTCCTTCGACCAAATAACGTACCAATGTTCTCTAGATAGACCACACCATCGCGGTTCAAGCCTTCGATTGCTCGTCGTAGGCTATCTATGGAGTATTTCCCTTCAGCCCGTTCAGCACTGGACAGCGAGACGATAACAGGTTGGTCGGACATTGCACAGAAGTTGGCGTTCTCCGGATGCGCCAGAAGCGCTATCTATATAGATGCCATTGTCCTACTGGCTTTGCCGGTAGATAAGACAAGTGATCCCTATCTAAGGCGTAAGATAGGGCGACTGAGATTGGCGTTTTACTGTTTGCTCAATGTTCCTTCGGCGACTAGCCAGTGACAGGTAGGGGTTTCGGAGATATTGCCGACAGGGATGTGGGTGGAGGACTGTGTAGGAGTGATGGATGAAAAGTAGCAGCACCGAAGAAGGTGCCCGCGGCCATCGTCCCGCGGCCGAACCGCGGATATTCTCCGCGTCGGTCCTTCGTGCAACGATTTCCGACTTAAAGCAGCCGGATACGGCTGTAGCTGTCAATACAATCGGACGGCGAGACTGAGTAGCCTCCCTCCTGCGAGAAGTTCACGAAACTGTCGTTTGTACCAGCCACATGAGGAGAGTTCTCCGCTGACGACGTACAAAGCTTCATCGGCGACTGTCCTTTTCTGAAATACACAGAGACGTGCGTTTAACGATAGCATTGCTGTCCACTTCGAAAATCAGTGCCAAAATAATCGAACTTCAGCACCAATACGGCATAGAATAGCGATAGTTGCAGCGAATGTCAAGACAAATGAGATGTTGCAAGAATAAAGTCGTAACATAATCTTCTCCCACGGCATAGGCGGTTGGCGGATAATTGTACAGTGGGTCAATCGCGTAATGATTCAATTTCTTTGGTGCTAGCGTCCAAATATTCGTCATAAGAATCCTGGTAAGAAGCTGCAAAGAAGAGTGAGCAGATGTCTCAATATAGTACCACCAGGATCGTTTATAGTACCTGAAGTCTGTGCTCTGGCTCGATATTGGGCTATCACTTTGCGATTGTGTTCTATGGTAGATAACTGAGCGTGCTTGATTGTACCTGCCAAAGAATCTGTTAGACGCGTGCCAACCCACTTGATTCGTACACGAACCAGACATATCTATAACATATGGAACAATACGAATTCCATCTATCGAATCCAGCAACGTAAGTCCTCCTCGGGCAACACGATGGTGATCCCTCGCAACACGGATAATACATATATTTGTCGTCGGAGAAAAATACTTCACTAGAACGATTCTCAGTACCTTCATGACGATATAGTAAAACAAGCGCACCAGTTAAAGAATGCGACACGCTACCCCAGCCCACGTCGCCAAAATGATTCTGAATACTTTCCTTCAAAGCAGCCCAAATCTGTTTAGCATCAAGCCTGGATGCTCTTTGCTGCTCGCCTACTGGAATAAGTTCTACCAGAAGCCATCGATTCTGTTGATTAATTCAGCGTCTTTTCAGCTGTATTTTCATGAAAACCACTGGCCTTGAACCGAACCATGACAAAAAGAGCAAAAGAGGCGTGGGAATTATCTCAGACAGACTAGTCACAGCCACCGCGGCTCCGCGGATCTATAAATGTCTGCATCATGTATTGATCGTTCATCTCCCTCATTTACTATTTACCACCATGTCAATTCGAATTCTCGCCTCAGATTTTCCTGTAAAATCTGCTACTATTTACAAGTCTTCAAAGGCAGAAGTGATTCGCACCTTTCCGCTGGAGCTGAAGGTAAATCCCGTTCGGTGTTACTAGACGCGGGCTAATGGCATGTTTCATTCACGCAGGCTGGACAGAACACTGTCGAGATTAGAGGACTTCCTAGTGCCATTGACACGCATTCTGTGAGGGTATCTGGTCTAGGCGACGCCCGCTTATTCGACGTTGTCTGTAAACTTGGCAATAATAATTCCACGCCATACGCACCGGACAGCCCCGCGGAAATTGTCCGCAATTTGAAGGCAAAGAAATCTGTCCTTGAAAGTGAAAAAAGAATACGTGAGCATGAGGCTAATATCCTTGTGCAGTACGCCAAAACCATCACTGGCGAGTTCGTTGCTCCTGCTCAGATGGCTCAGTTCCTCCAGAGTTTTGTTGAGCAGGGCCGTAAGAACACTGAGGCTGTTAGTTCAATTGATGAGAAGATTGTTGAGATCGACAGGTCTCTCGAGATTGAGGCCGAGAAGCTGTCGCTGAAGAAGGGTACGTTGACTGGTGAGGTGCATGTCGCCATCGGGGCGACAGCGCCAGAGTCGATTCAAATGCAAATTACCTACAGCAAGTATTTTTTCTTTGTTTCACTGCCCATTATTAATATCAACTTGTAGTTGTTGATCATACGTCGTGGGAACCAACCTACGAATTGCATGCTACCACCGAGAACGGAAAACCTTCAGCCAAGGTTTACTTGCATTACCGGGCTCGTGTCACCCAAAGCACCGGAGAAGATTGGAAGGATGCTGCGATCACTCTCAACACCTCTTCCAATGACCTGTCTAGGAAGACGATCCCAAAACTTCAGCAGATCAAGATCAAGCCGCAGCCTCTGTGGCGATCGAACACATTCGGCTCCAACAACGGTACTTCGTTATACAAAAACGTTTTATTCGGGTCGTCCAAGGCTTCCGGTCCGTCCACTGACGCGTTTGCCCCAATGACGATGCAACATCAGGCGCATCCTGGTGCAGCACTATTTGGCCAAGCGCCCGCCGCTCAGTCTTTGTTTGGGTCTGCACCGCCACCTCAACCTCAACATGAGCCCGTACAAGCGCTTCCTGATGAGTCCGAAGAGATCTTTGAGGAAGTAGTTCTTCCTGACGGATCAACCACGTCTGAAGCGTCGACGTTGGTCACCGAAACACCATTCGCCATCTCGTATTCCGTCGAAGGAACATCTACCATTCCCAGTGACGGTGTTGAACATCAAGTTGCAGTCGCCGTACTCCCATTCCAGAGCAGTACCTCATACGTGACAGTTCCAAGAATCGATCCTCGACTTTTCTTGCAGGTAAGACATAAATCTTTACATATCATAACCATACTTAGTACTTCTATGCAGTGCCAAGTCAAAAACACTAGCGAATACAGACTTCTTCCTGGTCCCGTTCAAGTGATCCTGGACAATACCTACGTCTCACGCACATATATCCACGATATCGTCGCCGGAGACACCTTCGACTGTACTCTCGGCGATGACGCTACGGCCAAAGTCACATATGCACGCACCTTCAAGACGACACGCTCTAGTGGAGGAGCCTTCACTGAGACCATCAACACAATCACATACACCACCAAGATCACGGTGCACAACAAGCACGCGTTCGCTATCGAGGACCTCATTGTTAAAGACGTGATCCCGATGTGCGATGACAGCAGGGTGAAGGTCGTGCTGCGCAAGCCCGAGGTGTTAGCGAGCGCCAAAGAAGGAGAGATCCTGGATGTCGGGAGCCAGGGGTTGAAGGTCGGATGGGAAGCGACAGTGGATGGGAAAGGCGGAGAAAAGGAAGGGAAGTTCGAGTGGAAGTGGAGGGCGGATGCCGGGGCTCAGGTTACAATGGAAACTCAATGGGATGTCAAAGGCCCATCAGATGTTACCCTCGTCGAGACAAGCGCGTTGGGAGGATTTACTCAAAGTTTTACGTGAATGAAAGCAGAGCGTCATAAAGATTTGGATTTCTTTTTCGTTTGGTAGTACATGTGTGCATATGCAGTAAAATTTGTGTAAAATTCGTGCTTAGTACGTTGTAATTACTATTTAAAACGTGTTGCATCTCCGAGTCAAACAACACCGTCACTCCGGATAGCGCACTGGCCAAAGTCATATTTCGTAAGGCCCTCGGGCTTAGGAAGGATATCCTGTAAAGTAACTGAGCTTGGGAAGGCAGATGAATCGAGCATCAATACTAACATGTTCGAAAATACCCGTAGGCAAAGCCAGGGTCACACACGCGTTCGGAGAGTCCTGCCACATATATCAATCCCAGAGGGTTTAGTTGCAAAGCGGAACGTACGACCACAGCTCCCACATGGCTTTCAATCGGGGCCGCCGATAGAAGTAGGTCTTAGATACTCATTTGTAGAAGCGACGTACAAAATGTGAAGCTGCGACTTACAAGCTTGTTCTCTAGCTACGATAATGGGGTGAGCAATATTTCAAAGAGGCTAGAGAGAACTTAGAGCGTACTGTATCCAATCTAATGGAAGAACTATAAGCCCGGAGTGATGCTGCGTTGCAAATTAAACGTACCTTCATCAAGTATGCAATGGCATTCAAAGCCGCTTGTTTATATGCCACGGTTCTATTAATACCGTGAAATGCAGAGGCATTGGCAGGCGACTCATAACTCACGCATCCATATTGTATTGCTTTCCATCCCCATCTGCAAAGACGTTCAGGTGCCATGGCACAGACAAGAGGACAAACATACGGTAATCGACACTGATTCCCTCAAAGATAAGCTATGTGTGTGAGATTAATTTGGACCAATAAATTGAAAGCAATCGGTCTGACCTTGGATGAGTATAACGGGTCGATAGGAGAAGGCTGCCGACACTCTCGTCAGCTGTGGCAGTGGATGATGCGTCTGGGTATGACGAACCATAAAGATGGGCTGCTTCAGAGCGAACTTCTCCACGCCGCCTTTGATAATGCTTGTACTAAAAGTAATGATACCCGCCTAGAAACAATAATGACGGGATAAGGTAACCTCGGGCACAATATGGGTTTGCCCCATACCATCTCAATAGCTCCACAGAACGCGAGCTACAGGAACCCGGCTCAGCTCTAGGTTATTCTAAAAAAATTGACGCTCACTTCTCCCTAGCAAGAGGAACAACATTAGTGTCCATAACTAGAAACCTGACAGGATACACGTACATCCCCTTGAGAGAAATGCAAGTCACCGACTGACAAGTTCGCTCCGGGAACGAACACCGGGAAATAACAACGAGAACCCCTGCAGGACCAATCAGGAAAGTAGAAGGAGAATTAATAGCTAAAACGACCTTGACAGATTCTTGATCTACCCCCAACAGTCAAAGTCCGTTATCCACGAAGGAGCAATGTTGAACGTACATCGCAATTCCCTCCATGTTCTCTCCCAGGAACAGTCCTAGCCCCATTCTCCATGATCCGTTTTCTGACCTCGGGGTCAAGATTATCCTGGCCGATATACGCGCCCACGGGATTCGGCGCGTACGCGACGGGCGGCATGGCGTCTGCGTGCTCTGCAATAAGCCCTCTCTCGCGTTTGTTCCACGTAGCAAGGAGTTCAGCGGACGGGGCGGTACCAATCAGGCCTGGGTGAGAGACTCCTGCGAAGCGCACACCAGGGATATGTCGGGACGTCGCGTACATGCCTTTGCGGGATCAGTGCTATTGGATAGGCAAGGTCAGGTCATACAACACCTTTGAAGTCCCAGATGGCTTTGGCAGCGCGGCTTTTGAACTCGCGGGCTAGGCATCTATTAATGGATCATATTTCATGGGCAACAAGATGCACGAACCGAACAGGCCCCCGCCATTTTCAAGCTCAAAGATTCCCTATAGATTAGGGAAGTCAGGATAATTTTGGCTAACAGAAGGCTGGCGTACAGTAAAACCCCAAGGCATCTTCTCGAACGGTGTCACTGTCGAGCGTATTTAAGTTATGTGGTCTGTGTCATGGAGAACACTTTACCGTCGAGAATATCGACGACCAGGCAATCGCCCGGTTCCGCGCCTTCGACAGCAATAGGGCCGGAGAGATTATGGATCTTGGTGAGATCGACATCCCTGATATCATCACTGCCTACAGACATAGTAGTAGCAAATAGAAGGCGCTAGTTTATGATGAAACTCACTGTCATTGTTGCCAATTTGAGCACCGGTCCAGTCTTGTCCCAAAGCGTTCAGACAGAGCGATGCGATATGAATTTGGGTTCGTACCAATGCATTCCACCTTGAATACCTAGGTAGTTAAAACAGCTCGTGGATTAGTTGACCAAGTCATGCCTTTTTCCGTAAGCAAAGCACACCTCGCCGGGTTTGACTGTCGCAAACGGTGGGATGTCCGGGCTGTAAGGTGCTTGAGATAACGGGTAACTGGCAAAGAGGAGGGACATACTGCCAGCGGTTATGTATACCCTTAGGAGTTGCGTCAATAATAGAGTGCTTTCGATGCGTTGCACGTACTTTCTGCTGGTCTGCTGGTCTATCAATCATTGCATGAAAGACTGAACTCAAAGCGTGTAGATAAGGCACGAACATGAACGGATCGATCTAATGAAAGGTTCGTGTTAGTAATCCGGTATAGAGTCAATTTCCTCACACACCTTCACTAAAGTTGGGTGAGGAACAGAATTTGCTTGTGTCGCCATAGTAGATAATGTCAACGGAGTAGATAACAGATCCTGGGTGTGCGAATATATATATATGTGTGTTACAAAGAAGCTGCCTTTCTGATAAGCTACCCTGGAATAGAATCACACCTCCACGCGAGTCAAACGTACCATCATCACCTGAACGAATAGCCTCGGCAAATAGAACGGATAACAGGTTCGTGGGGAAGACTTTCCTCAAAGGATATTTGGATTCCGGCACGGACATAAAACACTGATTGAAAACATACTGCTATCTTACATGATACAGACATCTGCTTCATGATGATTGTGAGCGCAACGACGAATGAGAGATACGGGATATCGTTACTTTCAAGGAGAGCAACCGTTATTGTTTCGTCTTCATCAGGATTGCTGTTCTGGAATGAACAACAAAACTCAAGTTCAGGATCATGATGAGATGAGCTGTGACGTACCTGTAACAGAATCTTTCCGCGGCGGAAACGAGAACAAATCGAAATTCGGAGGTGGATCATTGTATACAGGGGGGGGGGGGCAGACCTCGATATTTCGTTTCCTCTGATGATCTCTTAAGTAGGCAAGGACCTGCTCTAAGGGACGACGGTAGCGATTTTCAGAGAGAGTTTGAGCTCGGACCGAAAGGTCAGAGTCCTGCTCTGGTGACAACGACGCATCTGCCACTGGTACACCTACGCTCTCATTCTGATTTGTAGCCAGCAAATCATTCTGAGAGGTTAAATCCATGCTGGAGGATGAGATGACAGAGAGACCGAGTGAGCCCGGAGCTTGCGGCCTCACCCACGAGTCTTAAGTATCGCGTTACGTGGCTTGGCCACCATTAATGCATCTGTTCTAAACAAAGAAAATTAGCCCAAACTTGAAGGTGGCATAGTGGCATGTGCACGGTCCAAGTTGCGGAACCAAACAAAGAAACAAAGCCACAAAGCACGAGGCTCGAAAGGGCTCGAAGCTGAGGAACGACTCCCCACGTGACCTTCAAGCCCGAGGGCCCAACCTTCAAGACTTCGTCATACTGGCTTCCAGAAAATTGACCAATCTATCGGGCTCTCACTTCGTTGTTGGTCACCAAAACATATCAATGACTAGTATTCGTCACCTCACTCAAGTTGCGTTGAGATAGTGAGACGACAAGAAAGGATGCCGGTGATTATCCAAGTCGCCATGGCTATGATAAAGAACAACACGTTTAAAATAAGCGCACATATAAGCAGAAAAGTAGTAGATACAGGTTGAAATACAGATGAAGGGGTGGTTGAAGGGGGGAAACTACAAGTGTTACAAATGCGGTGAGGTTACTTTTGAGAAATCTGAAGAGGGATGAAGGTGCTTATGGTGATGACGTCGACGAGGAGACCCGTAGGAGGAATTTTGAGACCCCCAATCTTCGAAAAATCGACCTTTGGAAATCGGAATCTCCGGTAGAGGTTTCAATTCGAGAGCATGATGAAAAGACAAAGGCGACATGACCGTTCCCGGGTCCTGAGTTCATTCCATTGATAACAATTGTCGACAAACAAGTGTACAACTTACCCTAGGTCTCGGTTGGTGATGGTGATGAGGGGTATGTTTCGGGGAACGATAGGTAGAATGGCTCTGATTGGACGAAGCAGGGGTATGTTTTCGGGACCGACGTGTGCTTCCCAATGAAATGAAACTGAAAATCGAAGTAGATCCGCGACTCCGGCGACGTGCATCTCTCAATTTTTTCTAAAAATATTTTCGTTGTCCTTCCATTTTTCAATGACATGTAATCATTTAGCGTACCTGCACGTCCTTGAGTAGCTGTCTAGCGTTATCACACCACTCCTGCGGCTTCTGCCGGCCTTTGGTAAGCTTTCGCAGCACTGGAGCAACAGTGAAGAGCCTAGAGGATATAATAAGCACAGTGATTCAGGTTCCAGGAAAAGGTTGGCTCACTGCGCCCATCTGGAATCCAGCGACGGCACATTTGATGCCAAAGACCCCCGATGCTGGTGGATCAACTCTGAAGCATTCTTCAGATATCCGTGTCCTTCCACGACCTTGGACGCCTTGAGGTTGCGTCGTGCCGCCAATCGATTATTAGGTGGGTATCTAGGCTTCGCAGGTGGCGGCGCCTTGCGTAGTTTTCTGGGCCTGCGAATATAGGCCAGCAGAGGGTTCCTGTCCTCGCCGGCGTCTGAATCGTCGAAATGGAGGTTCCTCGAAAGCCAGCTTAGGCTCATCGTGGTTGAGGGTCGTCCTTGGACATGGTGATAACCCACAAAAACGGCCCGCGGAGCTTTCCGTGGAGTATGTCTTGAACCGAACTGCCTCATGTCCAGGACCCCAGTTCTCGACCGCCGATCCCTGCCAAGCAACCTATCTTTCTGCTCATCTGTCGAAGATGCACACCTTCGATAGTGATTGCTCTAATGTTTATTGTTTCATTCATGGTACCAGCCGTGGTCCTAATGACTACTAACTTGGGTGGCCTCTCGTCATTGTTTTTTTTTTTGGATCTGCATTCAGTGCGGACAATGCGTCTCAGTGGTGTCCGTTATGTACAGTCCTCATTCAGGACGCCCTATAAGGTGGTATATTCCTTTCAGTTCCCCCAAATTCACGATGAAGTTCTCAAAGGCGCTCAATGCCAAGAATGTGACGTAGTTCTATTGATCTTAGAAAAAGTTTGCTGACGATGGTTGAACAGGGCACAGTTGCAAGGCACGATGAAGGCCCCGACTTGGATTCTCAAGCCTCTCAAGTGCAGGACATGCCATCCTATGACCAAGCTCAAGAAGCACAGGACGATCAGGTGCCTATCGGCGAAGCCCAACCTCAAGTTGGGACTGACGATCCAATTAAACCACAAGCGACCTCAAACCATGCACCATTGCTACTACAAGAACTGGAGGAACCGTTCTCCCCAGACAGTGACCCCGACCCGCTACACTTCGTCGACCCTTGGGATTTCCTCTTAACACACCCCGAAGGTTTACCCCACCCCAACTCGGAACCTCCTCTGGACCTCGGACTCGGACTTGGTTTGTTCGATTTTGAATCGGAGTCGTTGTTGGAATGGGACCAGGTAAGGCTATGCTGTTCCGCGCGTTAATTCTTGACTCATTGTCTGAAGATGCAGGTATATTCATCACTATGACCTAATTCATCAAAGATGCACCATGACAATCTGTTCCTCCTGGTTCTTACGATGATGATTAAACATCATGCAACATGTCCCGTCCTAGATCATCTTGTCATCTTCATGCAATGCTCTGTTTTTTCCGCCGCACCTTTCCATTTGTTGTTAAAGATAGATCAGGTTAGAGAGCCATACCTATGGACCGAGTCCTCGGCCTCAATGATCAATCAATAGCGCTATCCTTGAACTTGAATGTGAACGCAGCATTGGTTAAATCCACTTGTTCCTTTGCTATCTCTTTTTCGCACAGCAGTGCAGCGCGTCTATTCAGATGAGGACGTGAGAAACTTTGTCATTTCATCAATGGACATGTGTGTGAATCGAAGACGTAGAGAACCTGCCTTGCCCACTCATGTCAGCCAGCGAATACGTTCTATGCGCCGACGGCGGGGCCGTAGCAGCAGCCGTGCCAGTTCTCTCCAGCTACTCACATCTCGTAGTAGACTGTGAGGGAGACCAGCTCGGCTGTAATGGCGGGCGTCTGTCTCTTCTGACGATATCGCCCATCCGATCCGCTTCCGACCATGTACCCGCCTACATATTCGACCTCCTCAGGGTGAAGAAGAAGAATATGCGGCGGGTATTTGATCTCAGAAATGCATCCCGTGTGAAGATATTCTTTGATGGAAGGATGGACTATAGTGCGCTCTGGCATGAGTATGGCGTCCCCATAGTTGGTGTCATCGATCTCCAACTCGCAGATTTGTATTCCCGTCAGAAGCGTAGGGAGACAGATTCTAAGCGGTTAGAGCGCCTTCGTGCGTATCTTCCGCAAAGCATGATCACAAAAAATCTACACGAGTGTCGAGCACTCACTCGCATGTCGAGTCTGGCAAGCTGCGTTCAAGAACATTTGCAAACCAATGAGAGTAAAGGCAGTGGTGAGTAGTCTTTACTATCACCAGGTACCACCACTGATAAATACTTTTGTTCAGTCGACCATAAGAGATGGCTCGAACGACCATTATCCTCAGAACAACTCGGTTACGCCGCCCAGGATGTACTTCTCATAGGAAGAATCTACGAGCACTTCAAAGCCCAAAATTACCTCGCAGAAAACCTCCCAGAGCAGAGCGAGCAGTACATCACTTTCTGGAAAGGCGGAAAAGCGGACAAAGACCGGTATTTCAACTCTCACTGCCTGCTACCTTTGGACATCATTGACTATGATGCGAGAAGGCCCACAAAGAGGTGTGATGGGTGCGAACGACTTTTATCCGTCCATTGTTTCCCCCGAAAAACCACCAGCTCAGAGGAAATTTATTGTTGGGTATGCAACGCCATTCTGCGGAAGAAGGCGTACGAAAAACGAAACTATATCAACTCAAAGCGTGGTGGTAGACGGGGCCGTCGGCGTTGAAATAGCACGGTTTATGACTTGGTTGCTGTATGTACTGAGATTGTAGATGAAAATTGGTACCACTCGTCTTGGATATCGTCGTAGTAGTTGATTTGACATTCTGATCGAAGCAGGCATTGTAATATACTTATGGCCGTGGTTTTTGCGAAGTGTAAGCTTTGGACACCCTGCATCACACGGGGCGATTCCAGAGGAACTGTAAGACACTCAGTCAGTACGTATCTCGTTATTCAAACATGAAACCGACAGATAAAATGCAGCTATACAGCCGTGTACTATGCAAGTTGAATTTCGATGGTGATCACATAAGAGACGCCTGACCAAAAGAACAGATCAGACGCGAGTGTCGGTCATCGGGCAATGCATACCGTAGATGAATAAAAATGATGCATGTCCATCATGATGACCTTAAACCATGGTCTTGATCTTTCTAGAACTGAAAAACATCCTGGCCGAGTGGACCAGTGGTCAGATGTCGCAGAGTTACATCCGTACTGCCAACTACCGTAGGTAGGGTAAGAAAAGCACATGGATGAGAGTGGATGCATCACTTACGTTGACAAGTCATGGAGTAGTTACACACTTTTGAGCACCCGTCGTGAAATAAGCCGCCTGTTCGAGAACCACCAGCTCGTGTAAATAGCTGGGTGAAGTTCGGAGGCTAAATACTATTGAGACCCTTGGAATCGAGTCCGCAATGTAGTAATGCACACAGCTGGAACCTTCTTAAGTCGTAAGCACGCATATAGTCACTTCATCGGAGCAGAAGCTGAAAGAGACATTGTTTCTGTATGAGGAAAGATGTATACGGAAAGATATTCTACGGCTTACAATGGACATTGTGCCGTATGTTTGCGACCGCCCAGGGTGAACTATTGCACATGTTCTAACAGTATAAGTTCGAGGTGTCTAGAGAAAAGCGATAGCCCAGGCCAGAAAAGGAGCTATGAGTTGTTTGTGGGATGTGAGCTGGAGCATCATTAACCCTGGTGACTGCATATATGTGGGTACACAAGCTAGAAATTGGCCGAAGCCTGGGCGATTGTGGTGGAAGCAGGAGCACAACCGAGTCGCGTACGTGTTTCATGACGTCATGTCGGCCGATCGGATCGGTTCCGCCTGGAGGAAGTTGTATATTCCCAGTTTCAGATGAAGTCAAAGTTTGCGCCGAAGGCAAGCAAGGCAAATCCTCAATATTGTCAATGCCCGTATACACATTTCCCCTCCGATTTTAATTTATTCTCAGACCGACCCACAAGCATCACGATGGTTGTTATCGGAGATCGGCCCGTTACCCGAGTCCATTGTCCGGGAGCACCTGGAACAAACAAAGATTACCTCTTTTTCCTCAGGTCCACATTTCTCTTTTTACTGACGCGCAATGTGGTGGCCGTTCACGTCATCAAAGCCCGAAAAAAAGGAGGGGGCTCCTCTCCGACAGGACCGCCAGAAATGCTATGAATTCAGAGATGCGTATTTTGCCTGTTTGGACCGTGCAGGCGTGGTGAAAGCCGGAGACGAAAAGTCCAGTGGGTCATGTCTCACTGAAGCGAAGAATTACGAAAAAAACTGCGCACAGAGTTGGGTGGGTACCTTGTCTTGTTGCGATCATACCGGGTCTGACACAGTTGAAGATTGAATACTTCAATCAACGGCGGGTGATTGCTGAAGCACAAAAGGAACGGTTGGCGCAGGCGGGGACACAGGCCCAGAACGCCAGGAAATGACAAAATGACAATGGTTACGCTTAGTTGATGTTTCCGTGCAGTAATCACGCCTCATTTCGTTTCCTGTACGACCACTCCGCGCTTTTATGCCGTTCCCAGCTTCCTACTGCGCCTGTACTCGCATTTGGCCCTATTGTTTTGTAATTATTCATCATTCAGATCACCAACCACAGCCAATGTTTCGGCCCCCCAGCTCTCCCCAATACCCGAGAGTTAGCGCTGTGAATCACATTGATATGACATCGCGGTTGATCTTCCCACTGATGAAAAAACAAAAAGGTTGTGGTCAAGGTGCGGTTCTTTACTTTGACAGTTATCAACCTAACTTCTATATTACTTAAATGTATTTCTGCCACCTGCTTTTCATTGAAGGGAGGCTTCTACATTTTCTTCTGTCATGGCTGTCATTAAGCGATATAAAATGACCCACCAATGACCGTCTTGGATCAAGACATTTGGCGCCATATCAAAGGGCACACACGAAACGAAATCATTCAGTGATAATCAGGACCAAGTCTACCTCGTTCATCATGCATCCTGCCCCAATTGTCTCCGATAAACCGGGTTATTCTAAGACTTCTGTAACCAACACCTGGTGATTTCTTCTTTTCACGGACACCAACCGTTGCCCCTTTACCAAGATCCAGGTCCGGGTCCGCTGATCAGCATTACGATCGACTCCAATTTCCAACCAACTCAGTTCTCGGACTGGACTCGCATATATATATGCGGAGCCTCTTTGATACCATCGCGGGACAGTGCCTCTGGAATCACCTTGCACCTTTCACTATAAGTGTTGCCTGGGCCTTGTCGCCTGTCTGCAATGCCTCCTCGCAGTGCCCCTTCCTCCTTTCTCACCACCATGCAGTCCACAAGAGAAAGATTAGCAGGGTACTCTGACTTCTTTGCTTCGGGTCTGCTTGCAAAGGCTCGTCGTGCCTATGAACGGCAGCGCCGGCCGGCTTCCGCTATATTTCCCGAGTCTTCCATTCTCCACGAACCTCAGCCAAAACACTTTCGTCGCCATTCCAGCGTCTACAGAAAGACGGGCGTATCTGACGCCGATGCCGACTTTTTGGTGGAGGAGAAGCGACGGCGACGTTCATCAGTTGTCGAGTTCTCATCGCGTCTCTTCGACCGAATAACGACGAACCCATCCACCGGAGAGCGCCGGTCTATGGATCTCTCAGCAAAAATACCTCGGAGAAAGTCCTTGCGCAAGCAGGCGCCGGTGGTACCAGATGATTCGGACGTGGTTTGGATAACTGCCCCTGCTCCTAGTCCTCTAGAACCGACTCGCACACAGTGAGCGTGAATTACATCCCTTTCATGTCAGTGTCACTAAGTATTCATTAGCAGTAGCGGCTCTTGCGATTCAGATGAAATATCCTTCCACTCCTTGGACCCGTTCACGGCTGTCCCCAATGCCCGTTCAATATATATAGAGATATCCCCCCCAAAACGCGAATCTTTCCTTTCCTTCTCAGGATCTTCAAGGAGTGGCTCGGTCCATAGCCTTGCATTTCCTCGTCGAGAACGACCGACGTCGATACAGACCATACCTACACAGTCTCCGCGCTCTTCATTCTACTCCAACCGTCGGAGCACCAATGTGGAGTTTCCGTGGGTTTTGGAGGAAGAGGAATCTTGGATAGGTGATGATGATGAACTACTGGATGAAGATGCCCCCGCCAGGATTGACTGGCGACAGTTCCATGTTGAAGTCTTGCAGGACGAGTGATGAATTTTCTCATATTTCTTTCTTCTTCACGTGTTATACGGCAGTCTATGCGTTTCATAATGTTATAATGAACTCGTATTTATTCTGGATATTATACGGATATGACTATTGGGACACTACTGTAACAATCTAATGTATTGCGAATGTTATTCTGGGCCCTACACACGTTTCAACTCGATCGTTGTGGAGAATGTGATGATCGACTATTGAGAGGGGTTTGGCTGGCGGAAGCAAAATAACACAGATGCACATAAGCTGAACGGCTTGCTCGGAATGTAGTAAATAGTACGGCAGATTATCAGTAATGCCCTCTCTTACTGGAGGAGATAAGTGTCGGGTGTAACGTTATCACAGGACCTAGGCCTGGTACCTATCTCTGACAGTGGAGCCCGTGCGGAATATTCAACGGGTGTGGTCACAAGGTAATGGCTTATCTTCTGCTATTCATAGCAGACGAGCGGATGCTGCCGTTCTATAACGTACGTACCGTGGCGATTCATTCTTGCGCGAAATAGGCAATGATTCATTATTCGCTTGATAATCGGGTGAACCTTGGGAGTTGCGTTGCCAGCGTCTACAGTTCTTTGAATAGACGAGACCGCGGTCACGAGATGGTTAACTCTTATGTCACAGTGAAGGGCGTGGCGTTCTGACACAGTACTATTCGCTCCCTCTGCAGTTTTCAGTGGGTCAGAAGAAGCTGATTTAGGGCATAATCCATTGCATTTGGTGGATTTGTATTGTCTCTCACACATCCTCTGCGACGCGCTTATTTTGTTTTCGGGAGATGCGAGCAAGAGTGCTTGTTACGTTGAATTCCCTGTTCAGGCGAGGTTATAATTACTTTGGATTCCTACTTGGTACATTTTGGTACGGGTATGAGAGGCCTTCGAGGGATTGGGCTGGGCATACTTAGCGAGATTAAACTCGGTCTCGTTTCCTCCTAAGTAGAACCTGGATGCGATCTACTAAACTCTCATCGTGCGCCCCTGTTTGTCTCATACCGCCGGAGGCGGAGTGGGGTAACGAAATGGAAGCTGATAGTTGCACATCACAGGTGATGTGGCGGCGCGTTTTGTCACGGCTCGTTCTGATTGTAGGTGTATGTACGTGAGGGATCTCGAGAACTGATGCACTATAATAGCAAGTCTAAAGGATCAAATCTGTACACAAAACATTACATATTGTTATTATTATTAACATGAGGTAGGATAGTGGTTTCGGAATCATAACAACGACAATAAAACAAAGCCTGGGTCAAAACACACAGAAAACACTTATTCGAAAGCTCGATAAAAAAAGTTCACGCCGATATCATCACAGCCACAAGTATATCCATCTCTCTCACCTTTAATATACCTTCTAGGCGGTCCTTCATTTCGGCTTTAGTCCCTGCGGCAAGGATAGCTGGATTACACGTTGCATGTGCCAAGAGGTTACGCTTGAGCGCCGCACCGGAGAGTTGCGAACAGAGAGAAGCTCGGCGAATTAGTGGAGGCTGAATGTCAAGAAGGTATTTCTCATGGAGGTCTTGGGAAACGCGATCAGTGTGCGGAGTGAGGTAGTTCATAGAAATTGATGCTCACTATCAATATAATGCTCGCAAGCCCCGGGTATCTCTACATCGATGATTCGCCCTTCACGGTTGATGACTTGCGCTAGACGACGAAGACCAGGCATATCGATACTAGTATCCTGGATGGACAAGAAAGACAACCTGGAGAGGAGCAGCAGTGCGGGTATCGCATCATTGTCAATGTCCGGGTTGGTAGCAACAGAGAGATGAGTAAGAGTTCGCTTGAGTGAGGTGATGATGTATACTCTTGATGAATGAATTAGTTTGAATGCTTCGGTTATGAACGGAGACACTCACGCTTCATTTCCGATACCAGTGTTATTGAGAAGCAGAGCGGAGAGTCGAGGCAGGTGTTGGATATGCACAAGATCAAAATCATGGACTAGGGTACCACTAAGAGACAGAAACGATAGAAATAGAAAGCTGTTCGGCTTGCTGAAAACTAAACAGAAGCTTCATTTATGGAAAATGGACAAGTACGTTGGTCCGTACCTGAGAAAACATCGCGTCCATCAATATTCAAACCGTCTTCATCGGCTAGGGAGTTACTTAACGATAGGTTACGGATTTCAGAGGTCCGCAAGATGGAAATGACGCGGTTGTTTAGCAGACCTACGAAGGCAGTCAGAAAATGGCCTATAAAGTTCCAGATTTCACTGACCGTGTTCGCCCATGTAATCAGCGATGCCTTGATGTGACTTGTCGTGCAAAGCGCTGAGTCGTTCTTTGAGTCGGATGCCAGGAAGCAGGGTACCCAATCGATCAATGAGAATACTGAGTCCGCGGGGTGATTCTGGACCAATCGGAGGACCATAAAGGAAGTCTAAACGCGCATATATGCAGTTAATTTTGCAATTTCATCCCGAAGAGAAGAACGACGTACCTTCAAGCATCCGTATACGATTTACTAACTGTTCCTCAATTGAACCTGCTTCCTTCTCTACCAGTTCTTGAGTCTGAACCGGAGACAGGTCGCTATCACAAGCCCGACTCAAGTCCAGCGGTAGAAATGTGACAGATTCGTTGTCTTCAGGATTCAAGTCTTCGCTGGCAGGAAAAGTAGTGAAAGATTTAGCGTGTTTTGTAGGTCCATGAAGTATTTCGGGGAAGCTGTCAGACAGTTTTCGTTTCAGAGAGGGTCTTGGTGATGTGTCCTTCGATGAAGAGGAGCCAGAAATGTCCCATGGAAGCTGGATGAAGTCTGTATTCGTATTACAGTTTTGACTACGCGTCTTGATGGTCCTGAGCATCGTGTTTCGAGAAGAATCGTCCTGCAGGAGCGCTTTGCCAAGCAAATGAGTAAACGAGGATACGACGACCTTGGGGTCAAATCTAGAGCCAGTGCGGCGTCCTTTTCTGTTAGAATTCTGAGGCAAGCGTATCGGACGGTTTAGCTGGGTTCGTAGCGCATTGAGAAAGGAAGCAGCGGGTACGGTAGGGCAGTATAATGGGTTCTGTACATCAATAGACGGAGCTGAATGCAGTCGAGCCATGAGTATCGTCGGTGGTGGTGGTAAGAATGTAGGTCGCACCGCCTGTTCTTTTGCAATGATTTTGGAATAGGGACCGTGGGAAGAACACACGGAGGGGGCCGATATTCACTCTCCGCTCGAATGTCGGCATCTGTAAGGACGGCCTTCCCAAGGCTTTTCTGTATGACAGCGCAACAGAGGAGATTCCTAACCACGATATATGATATTACAGTTAGGTAAATATATTCTACACCTGCCAGAGACTTCCCTAATTTTCTTGGGTAGCAGGAAGTTCAGGATCAGGAAGAATAATTTTCACCTTCAGCAGCTATCCCGGCAGCTGAATGGCAAATCATCCTTCCCTCATATCTCTTAGAAAGCGTATACTTATGATACTGGAACATGTAAATGTCCAAATACAAAAATTTAGGAGGGAGAAAACGCAGGAATCAAGCCATGGTAACGGATTTCCAAACTGACTGTGTTTCAAGAGAAAAATTCTGTCATTAGACTAGATATCTGTCCTTATATTACTGATCCTGTCTGTACAGAAATATTCATTACATTCGTGAGTATGTGTCGTGTCGCTATCGATATAATGTACTGAGGTATATGTGTCGTGAAGAATAATATATATATATGAAGGATGGTCAATAAATCAGCATGAAAAAAACCAAGAATAGATAGAGCAACGAGAACACCAAAAGGCGGCGCATATCAGCCCTGGTACTTCTTGATGAGATCTCTCAGCTTCGCTTGGCCGAACGCAAGATCTGGTGGACGTTTAGAATCCACGACAGGCGGCGCAGGTGAGACCTTGGGTGCATCCATCTCACTGATCGTAGGAGGGAGCTTCACTGACGACCTAGGTTTCGTCGGAGACGGCCTCGCGAGGGATGCCGTACTCGACAGCGTTGGCGTCGCATGTGAAGACGAGAGCATCGCCGGAACAGAAGTCGACTTGACAATAGGCTTCTTAGCAACGGGGGGCTTCGGAGCGATGGGAGGTTTGCGCGCAGTGGTGGGCGTGGTGGTACCAGATCCAGGGACCGGAGACCTACGCGGTTTCAAAAGTGGCGAAGGCACTTTGACATCATTTCCCTTTCCGTCTCCATTCTGCCCGACAGCTCCAGATGCCCATATAGCAGCAACGGCGGCCACTTTTCCGCCACGACCACCCCGGGCAGAACGTATGTCGTACTTGGATTCGGGATCCGTGCTCTTGGGTGACGGGAAAACGGGAAGTCGAGGAGATGGAGGCATGACCTTCTTTGGAGATGCCGCAGGAGACCTGACAGATTTCCAGGGATTCGTAGGCGTGGGTGCCGAGGCCTTGGCTGAAGGTGACGATACTTTTCGATCAGTTCGAATAGTTGTTACTTTAGCCTTGTGAGCCGGAGACGCAGACCACAAATCGGTAATCTTCTTAGCTTCTTCAGATGGGCTCGAGTCCTTTGGTACTAGCGTCCGAGTATACAGATCTCGTTTGAGAGTACCAATGGGCACAAAACCAGATGATCGAGAATCAGGAGATGAAGTCGCCTTGCTTTGTGGTTCTTCTTTTTCCCTTGCGTCCGTTGCTTCCAAAACCTTAGGGAAGGAAACCTCTGTCTGAGGAGGTTTAGGCTCCGAGGGCGTCACTAGTGTAGCCGGCAGAGGGTCATTTACTGGCGCCGGCGGAGGATCGGCTTGCATAGCGCCCAACCATTCTGCTACTCTTCCTTTGGCCTTCCTCATCTTTTGCGTATCACCATCCCTCTTCTTCTTCCCGCTCCTCCTCTCACTGTCTTTCTCCTTACTAGGAGAGCCCTTGAGACTCTTTCCGCCCGCCTCTCTTCTCCCTTCATCCCCAGACGCATTCGATGTGACTCCGGCACCTCTATGTGTCTTTTCTTCCCACTCATGGTCATCCGCCAAGGTCAGGCTCGATATAGCCGAATCATTAAGAGTCTCAGGTTCCTGCTTTTTCGGTATATCTATAGGTGCTAACGCCGTCCTTGCGTCTGGTCGTCGCTCTTCGGGATCGAATTTCCGCGTTCCAACTTGGGCCAATAGTCTACGCTCCAAAGCGTCCAAACCACTCTCTGTGTTAGCAGCTCCCAAATAACCTGTGTCATTTTTCACCCTTTTATATGGTGTAATCGCGGTAAGTGTTGGTGTTGGAGGTGTCTGATCCAGCGGTGTGGGTGCAGGTTCCGGCGGAGTCATAGGAATAGGATCCACATTGGCAAAGTACAGATCAGCCCTAGGACGCGACTGCGTGGACGCCATCGGAGGCTTGCTGGACGGAACAGGAGGTCCCGGTAATGTTTTGTCAATGTTGGATTCAGCGGGAGCATGCCCCTTGTCGACAGGTTCATCTTTCGGTATGTCCCCAGACAAATCCTTGGTTTGCTTTCCAACCTCGTCTGCCATCCGCTCGAGCACCTCTACTCGTTCGCTTTTCGGTAGCGAGTTCGGTAAGGGGGCATACGACTGCTTGGGGGACAACATCGGTCTCGGAGAATGTACAATATTATCCGAAGCTGGTGTCAGCGCAAGATTTTCGAGATTCAAAGGGGGTAGGGTTATGCTCCGAGGAGGGTTCTGCGGCGGCTGGGATATAGGCATCGGATTAGAAGTTGACGGCAGAGGATAACGGTGAGATAGAGGAGAGACCGAGCGATTGCGCGAAGAGAGTCGAAGGTGTTGCGTAACGCGAGAAGCGCGCTCGCCTTTCCCAGTTTCAGGCTCCATCGATTGTGCTTGCTGAGGCAGCGGGAGTAGAGACTGTTGAGACGCAGCAGAAGAATACCCGGCATTACTGCTCGGGCCTGCACTCGATGGACGTGGTGGCTGAGTGTAAACTGGCATAGTTGGAGGTGGCGGGTAGTAATAATGCTGCCCATGAACAGGAGGGGGAAAATATTGGTAAGGCTGTGGAGTCTGAGCCACCGGCGGAGGCATCCAGACGAGATTGGGATCTACGTATGTCGGGACAGGAGGCGACACCGGAAGTGCAGGATATGCATACGGGCTTTGAACCGGCTCATAATATTGCTGAGGTGATGGAGGTACATGCGGGAATGGGTTTGGCAGCTGAGGCGGCGGTGGAGGTAGGTCGGGTAGAGCTGCCGGATGAACAATGACAACTGGTACATTGACTATAATATCTTTGCTACACACCGGGTCAGCGTGATAACTGATTACGAAGCGGTAGCACTTACTTCCCGAGTCCCATAGTCATCTTAATCTCAACGGAGGCTCTGATTTCAAACAATGCATCCGTTCTTCGCCCTTCTGATTCATCGCCTTCCAGATGACCACCTTTGACGCTCCTGGCAGATCCTGATACATCAAAGACCAAGCTAGCCACACCTTCGGCACCTGGAGGTATGATGTATTCAGGTGAACGGAACGGGACCGTCAACAAGGTATCTGAGATCTGAAGTGGTGCTTTCTTGTCCGAACCCTCATTTCCTAGATGTAAAGTCCGTGAAAGAGATACTATTAGTCCAGTGTTCTAAATGACCATCAGTAGACTTTTCTAAGACGATTTTGATAACATACCCTGCGGGTCGAATGATTCTTAACTTGCAATTCTACACAAGCAGGTTCTCCAGCCACGATCATACCGCCGACAATCTTTCCCTGAACCCAGATTTTCCCATTTTCACCGACAGCGACAGCCTCAGGCTCTGCTCTGGAAAAATCTTCCTCAAAACTTTCAACGATATTGATCTCCCGAGTATCAGTAACCACCTTCTTCTCGCCCTTCCAAGATACCTGCACACTAGCCCTAACCTCGTATCTAACCCGCGCCGAACCTGAGGCAAAGTTGATGGTCGATGGACTGGTGCTTGGTATCGGTATGCGAAAGTTGAACGTAGATTTCCCGCGTTTTGCCTGGTAGTAATGTGCCGGCAACGGAAGGTCTCCCGGAGCAGGATGCGCTTGCACGGCATTAGACGGTGGAAGCCCTGGCCCTTGGAATAATCGCCGACTGTATAGGAAAGGAGCTTTGGCTGTATGATCCCGCGATAGCAACTCTGCGACAAATTGTATCCAGTTAACGATCACGGGCCTAACGGAGATCCACACCTTCAGTCCCGAACAATTCCACCATCATTCCACTGATCCCAAGCCCTTTATCGGCCTTGCACTCCATCGCAAGTTGGCCGCAGACGTGCGTACCTCCGACGAACAACGGATCGGAAAAATCCATTGATATCTTGACCTTTGGATGCGTTGGCGACGAGTTCATCAACTGAGGCCGATCATGTTGCAACGCCATGGCCAAATGTTTCTCCAGGAACTGGCTGCAATATTGTCTAGAATATGCGAATGAAGCCTGAGAAATATGAACATTAGTGAAGGTATACGGACAGGGAGAGCTACCTGAAATTATTAAATAAAGTGAAAGAGCATCAGAAACGCGATAGAAAGCAGAAAATAGATTGGAAACGAAAGCAATGACGAACGGAAGAGAAGTTGTGACCACGTGTCACGCACGCTGTTGTCGGATATTTGTCATTAACTAGAAGTGGCTGTGTTATCCTCCTCGCCGCCCCCCGGCCCGGTTCAATTCACTATCCTTCAACTGAACTGTGCGCGTACGCTCTTAAGTCATTGATATTTGAGGGCAATGATTTTCGCCCATGCTTCAGTGTCCTTTCTGTACTCTCAGCACCATCAGAAACAATGACTTGGACGTTCAGGAACTTTGGTAGTAAGTAGTAAGGCGTCCCCTCCTTGTACCCTCTCCAATTCCCAGGGATATACTATACTTTGTACAGGGACGCTGGTAGTCAGTTCCTCTACTACAGGCAGAGTAAGAAGTGCTTCTCTCCCTACAATACGGACCCTGCTCTATATTTTAGCTGAGTACTTTTGGGTTTTATTCTTCGTTTACAATCCGCGATACATTCCGACGGAGATAAAACTAATCCACCTTGCTGCTACGATGGTCCTACAACGGTAATGATATCTGGTATCCCTTTCTTGGTTCCCTTTTCTCGTATCCGACAATGAAAGCATTATCCACTCGGATTATTGATCGTGCAATGCACTCCTTTGTCTTCTGTAACTCCTCCGCGCCTGTTCGAAAGTACTTCCTTAATTCCATACCAGGCAAGCTCTCCCATTGTCCCTGCTCATGAGCAGACTGAATCACCATCCCGGGGCGCATCAGTTTTCTCTCTCGTATTTTTTGCGATGCGCCAGAAGTTGTTGACTGATTCTCACCTGTCATTGCCAAAATTCTACCAACTTTTCCGTCCCCGGCCTAGGAGGGTCCATCCATGTAAATAAAGATGGACGGGAGGCGCCATACAACTACTTGGTCACTCTTTCGATGATTTCGCTGCTCTTGATACGATCTTGTGGTATGTATCTGTAACATTGTGTATGGTTGAAAGCGCACGACATTTTGTAGGACTTTCAGAAAACTCCGGCTCATCCGTACATCAGCTCTTAAGACGCTTTAATGTATGAAAGTAAGTCGCATATCATGTTCAATGTGAACCTCCTTGCCGTTATAAATCTCGCGCTGATCTGTTTACAGGCCATAGTTATCGTACACATGCAGACCGATGTATACGTTGCCTCCATTCCGGACTTCAGTCATCATTTGACAGTATGTATTGTCTAGATAACATGACAGAACAGAACCTTCGAAGGCAAAATACGAGGCTGACGGTATGAGGTTTGTAAATTGCGCGATGGTCATCAAGTTGCGGGTAGAATCAACCTATCACAGAATGGGTGTATTGCTTTCTTGAGGTTGGTGTGTTTCCTCTACCTGAAAGGGAATGTTCTCGTCCAGGAGTGTAAGATGCCAAGCACGAACGTACCGTTACTAATCTAAGATTTAAGTGAACCCTTTACTCTTCTAAAATCCGTCTTTCATTCCAAAATTGGTCCTTGATAATATCACAATGAATAACATCGATTTTGGTGTGCGGTTTCGCTTTTTTCGCTTTCTTCTTCTGCTGTTCCGTCTTGTCCGCCTGCTCTTCTTCGGGGACCTTATACACACGGTAAGTACATGAGTATCATAAATACTAAATTATGCAAACCTCTGTTCTCACTATGACACTTCCCTTTCTGTATCTCGGGTCAATATCGTTGTAGTTGATCTGAAACCTAGAGAACAAGATCTCGTTCTTTTCTTTCGATATCGTACCCTGATCAGAACTGTTAGACATAACACATCCACGGCAAGTGAACGAACGGACCCTCAGAGTCGCGTGGGCCTGCGTTGTGGTTTCTCCACCCTGCTGAACAAGGGCCCAAAATGTGGTATTATACAGGTTATTGATGTGCGCTATGCTTTGAACAATGAGTATGTACTCGCAATAAGGTCACTGCGGCACTCACTGTCGGCCTGCCTCCAGGCAAAGTAGTCGCGTATCTCCTTTGTACCCGGATACAGTACTATCCTCCCGTCAAAGGACGGAGGGTAGCGCAGAGGTGTATCCGGAAAGAAGGTAGGCCAATACAACACGTAGCAAGACGTAAAATACGACGTCAGAGTAGAGACAATTTTGAACTGTCTACGGTTATACAGTGACGTCGATTTACGAAGGAGAAAACTATGTAGGAGTTGGTAACGGTCGATGCGAGTTTAGAGTGCACCTTACCTGTATTCGTCTGATTCACCGAAACCAAGGATGATATCGGGGTATTCTTCCATTAGATTTTGTGCGGCGTGGTCCATAAGACGTAAAGCTCGCAAGTCGTTAGGCTTCGAGAATTCATGTTCGTCGGAGAATCTATAACGATAAGATTAGACTTGGAGAACGAAGACTGATTGTCGTACCGATGGAAACTATGGCCGTCTAAACGGTACACCATGAATGTTCCTGGCAGAAGGGGGTCCGGCAATTCAAAATTCTTAACATATTGATACTTGGATCCCGCCATCTTGTGAAGATATCGATGGTAGCCAAACGGTGGAGGGGAGCCCAAAAAGGCATGCGTGATCTGTTACCTAACGTGACAACAAAATGATTCACATCATCGGAAGATCCCGGCGCCTCAAGGCCTCGAGACCGCGGGCCACGACCCACTTGTGCAGTAACCACCACCAGCTTTCTTTCTTCAGCCGTGTCCACCACTACTCGCCACCCTTTAGCAACGATGAGCACCACTACTTCACCATACCGTGATTACTTCCGTCGCCGCACTATTGGTCGGGCAGCGTCGCCTCCCACTTGGGCTTGCTACGAGCAGATCCCATACGACGATGAAGATGAATACAGCGACAGCGGATCGGAATCCTGCTCCGAGGATGAAGAAGACTATTCTCACGCCCATGAGCACTTGAGTGACTCGGAGGATGACAGTGACCACCGGGGTGCGCCAATGAATGAGCATCGGGCCGATGATTCCTTGGATATGGATATGGATATAGACGAAGAGAACACGGAGGCGGCGGCTGCGAAGAAGGCTGCTACGTCTCAAAAAGACGTCAAAGGAAAGCAAAAAGCCATTGAACCTGAGCCTGAGCCCGCTAAGCGCCGACATCGCAAGAGGGAGCGCCAACATGTTTATACTCTCCGTCCCATTTTGACCATACAGAGGAGTCAGGGATTCGTCTGGAATCAAGTGAGCTTATCTTACCCTTTTTTTTCATCAGATTGCTTATTGGTCCGATTATAGGACTTGTTCGTGCCGCCGTATATCAAAGACCGATGTTCGTCCATCTACCTTTCTATTGTCGCCTCCTACATCCGGAGGAGAGCTGATTATTGACCGTCCATTCCTTGTAGATGTCGCTTCAACTTCGCCACCAAATTCTGCGGGTTTTATATCCACGTCCGTGTCGTCCACCAATTCTGCGTTGAATGATTACGAGGTGGAGGTCGTAGAGATTCGTGTACAAGACGGTGACCTGGATCATATCATTCCATAGATACATCACATACGTTTCACTTCGTAGTTCTACTTTTTTTGTGTGTACGTAGGTTTTATTTTCACTTCTGTCTTTCCATTTATTACATACAAGTAATAGTTTTGCTTTACGTGCCAGGGTTTTGCGCATGTACTGTGGTCATAATATAAAGTTTCACTACTCAATAAAACCTCAATGTGTCTAACTAAAATGCTGTCGCTTTTAGCAGGGCAGGAGAAGATCTATCCATAGAAACTAAAACCCGTTCAGTACGGAATGTGCGGTTTACGGCAAGCCTGCGGGTTCTCGACTCAATGATGAACCAAGCGGAAATCCTGCACTTGCACTCCGATAACATAGTTCAAGAAAATGCAAAGATAAAAATTCCGGGGGAAATCTAGTCACCGTGAGATGGTCATATATTGCTGCACGTAAAGGATAAAAAACCTGTTGAAAACAACCTGGGTATAAAACCGTAACTTACGAGTAGGGTTGTTTCACACGCGCAGCCCTACGATGCACAGTACTGATTAGAGTCATTAGACTCCAGAGTGTACACACCGCAATCAGAGGTTTGATTGGACGCAAAAATACTGCTCCCGGCCAGGATCGAACTGGCGGCCTCCAGATAATTCCCACCGCACGGGATCATACTTAATCGTATGAGACTGGCGCTCTAACCAACTGAGCCACGGAAGCACGATTGCCGATGAGCAAGATTGCTAGCTGACATAACTTTTGAGGAGGGCTTAAGAATTATTCTTACTAATGTACTCGCACGGAGGTAGTATGCCCATTGGGCGGCCTCCTTTAACTTCGGATAAGCAGCCCGTTCTTTTGGAACGGCCGAGGAGAGCGGGGCTCGATTACGCCGCGCTGGAGCGCCTTATGTTCCGTCTATATAATTGGCGTCTTCGGGTACTGGCTCGTACGGCGACCTCCAATCCCCCATGAGTAATTAAAGTCCCTAGACTTGAACTGATCCGTTGTACATCACATGTCGTATGTTATATTACAGCCAATAGGGCATCATCGACCTCCCGGTCCACTTCCTTCAATCTGGCAGCTTCTTTCTCTCGTTCCAGCTCCTTCTCTCTGACGGCCTCCGTCTCTCTTGTGAGAACGTACGTGGGTCTAGTATGGGGCTGATAGTCGAGGTGTCGCTTAACATAGAAACACATATAGGCCCGAGAGTCCAGACATGCACTCAACGAGGAATGCGTAACTCTAATGGGTGTAAGTTAACGAGAAATTAAAAGCAGCGCAGCAACCTCACTCACTTATCATCGTCGAACCGATACCACTGCCAAAATCTATCAAGTCCCTGCATACGAGACACATAATAAAGCCATACCTCGCTCCCAAACCTCGCAAAATTCGTGTAATGGCCGTTGCTGATCTGGCCTTCATGATTGATAACAGCGAAAAGATCATATTCGTACATGACCTCCGGGCCGAAAGAGCTGAGGCACCATCAGCCACATCTTACTGCAAGGTTATGCCACACCTACGCAAAATTGTTTTCCTTTTCATTCTCTTTCAAAGCAATCGAAGTGAATGGCGCCATGTTGATAGTAGCGGGAAACCGGACGGGTGTATCAAGCTTCCGAGCCGTGGGTTTGTCCGAAGTTTTATGTTCGAAGCGCTGTACGAGGGAAAATCAGATAACGGCACCGAAAGGCCATAAGTACCGACCTTGAACTGGAAGCTTAAGACAGGGGGGAGCTTAGAAATGCTCATGCGCTTGCTGACCTCCTGATCTCATGGTACAAAATTAGCGATGATACCAGGTATGACGTGGAGAATGAACAAACGCGAGAAGACTTGTTGCATTTTCCGCAGTTATATTCCTTGGATCCAAGTTTCTCGGATTGTGTAAACCTGTCAAGATGTTACAAATATGCGCCTTAGGCATACCAGTAACCGACCTCTTTAAACAGCCATGCAATGTTGTCTCGTCTTTAAGCTCTAGACTAATGTCGAGCATTGGGTCGGACGTGCTCGTGACGTTGTTACATCGCTCGCACTTGACATCGCTCTGAAGCTGGCCAGCAAAGGTGGAGTGGATGATGCAATTACAAGAAACATTAGTTGATCCGCGAGAGTTACTATGAATATGGTTTAGTACGGATATGAAGAATTCATGTGCATCGTGTTGTGCGTAGCCGGCAAGATCCGGAGACTTCATCCAAGTCGTCGCTAGAAATGAGCTTGGTCCATATGGAGCGGTGTCGACGGAATAGATCTAATAACAGTTACTGTCAAGGCGATGCTGGCAGAGAATTTCGCTATTACCTCGGTAATTAGTTTGTCCATCTCGCAACAGCTGCAGTCTTCAGTTTTGCATGCCTTGACGTTATGTTTGTCCCCCAGGAAATAGTTCCTAATGAGAGGGTTATGCACCAGGCATTGCAAGACAACGTTGAGAAAACACGTCTGTCCCAGATTTAACAGCCCACGACGGGCTAAACCACATTAGCAGATGCTCACAACATCGTGAGCTAAGGGTGTTACCTTGACAAGATATAGGCACCGAACCTTCTAATACCGTCGTGTCCTCAGCACTCGGAGCCCAAGCAACGAAAGGCTCTCGGGATCGCTTGGACACTGCATCACCGTAGTCAGTTTTGAAGCTTCCATCGAAAAACGAGCGACAAACCTTGATATCGGGTTTCCTTCTCCTCGGCAGAAATAACTGTCGCTAGATATATTGCTTCTAGCTTGGCATTATAAACCATGTCCATGCAATCAGAGTCCGAGCAAAATACAGATCCTGAGTTCGGATCAACGCCTGTTTTATGGATTAGCTATGAGACGTTCACGGAAACAATGGACCTACAAAATAAATGCTCTGCATCCGTAAGATGATCTAGAATATGTGTCCAACAGCCCGCGAATGAACAATGTAAACAGGCGAATGGCCGGGAGAGCAGCGTTTCGCAGGTACCGCAGGAAGGTGCTGAGATCTGTAATACGAGAGTCAAACACGTAAATTAGGCTTGCGAGTACGAACGAACCTTCCTGCGTTTTGCATTGCTTCGGACAACTTGATATTGATGAACGTTCCAAGAAACAAATTTCTCATATCTCGAAATGATAGACTCGTCGGTGAGAGCGTCCGCGATATGAGCGCATTCCTCTATTTCCTCCAGGGCGGCTTCCAAGTCTGAAGCCATTTCAGGAGTCTCGCGTGCCTCGACGACGGAAGCAAATTGAGTAAAATCGCGCCGTCAAGACGCGACGACGACCGGGTATGTAGTAGCCAGGTATATCCAAGAATGTGAATGACAGAAAATAATAGCTCTGTCAGGGAAAAGGCATTCCAGAGCTCATCCAGCCAAAGTGGTGTGGTAGTTGAAATTCAGGAGGATTTTGTTTGTTCGTGTTAAGAGCCTTTGGTATCACGTGACTCACGGGCCGGTACTGACGCTCAAACTGGCAGGCCAATCTGTTGATTCTTTCCTTCAAACGCAGTGACCGAAACGAAACTTGTCTGCCTCCTACATAAAATCCATCTAGACCAAAATTGAAGGTTCTGATAATGTTCAAGATATCTTGGCTCTTCTGCTCTTCCCTGCGTAGAGGGCCATCAGATCACACTCCAATCGATTCAGATTCGGTTGACAAGGCCTACATGAAATCCTGTGTTTTCTGTAATGTCTCAAAAGAGAACGGATTCAATATTCTTTGGGAAGTAGGTGGGACTTTTATTCCGATTTTTCAGGCTAGTTTCTTATCATCGGCCTTTGCTAGGATGATAAATACATCGCCTTTTACGACCGAGACCCCGCATGCAGATACCACGTTCAATTAATCCCGAAGGCACATATTCGTATGTTTGTGTCTCCGTTCCATCCGATCGGCGTTTCCGATATTTTGAAGGAAGCGTAAAGTCCTTAACGAAAGATGATGCGCAGCTTGGTGTGTATTGGTTCGACCGAGTTCGCTTTCACCGTCAGTAATGACACGATCTCCGTCTATTTAGTTCGGAATATGGCTGCTATCGGCACGAGCATTCTAGATCAACTCGATGTCCCGAAAGATATGAGAAAGTAAGGCGCTTTTTGTCCTGGTCCCTCGAGGCCAGTCTATCCTTACACCGGACTTTCAGGATGGGGTTTCATATACCCCCCTTCAATTCTGTTAGTCATCTACATCTTCACGTACAAGGTCTTCCGTATAAGAACTTCTTTCGTGCGGCAAAGTATCCCGTCACTCGGGGTGGTAAATGGCACGATAAAGGGTTCAGTTATTTTGTAGATGTGGACCAGGTCATCAGAATCTTGGAGAAGGGAAGCGGCGTCGGAATTTCTCCATGCTCATAACAGCGCAGTAAGTGTCAATTCGCCTCATCCCAGGTACTTTTCCTTTTTCCCATTGGGCGTCGCAGTAACTAGAAATATTTTAGGATAACCACACTCGTGACCGTGCCTGTTCTAATTTTACTGTATTTGACCTCCCTGCCGTGGTCCTGGAGAACGAAAATAGAGATCTATTATAGGGCGATAACGCAACCCACATGTCTACTATTTTCTTCCTGGAATTCCGCAAGTTGGCCTGAACTGTACTTGATAGGCTCTCCTTATCCTTGGATCCACTTTTCTCAGGTCATCGATCAGAATAACATCCTTCTCCTCCGTGTACCCGTTATCGCTTGATGGGCAAGCTTTTACTATTCCAGGTAACTCCAGGCGTGTATGCCGTCAGGCATTCACACTTGGTTCTGCGCGTAAGCTTGGTCAAGTCCATTTGTCAAAGGCTTACCGCCACGTTGACCCAGACAATGTAACTTATTTCCTTACTGCTAAAACAGATAAACGTTTATTGTCTTTCGTCAGATCAAAACCACTGATATTACAGGTCAACTGAGTAACGCCAGATTTTCGCCGTCTGATACGTGTCCTCTGCTGGGTAACCCTGCGGTTCTCGGCATCAAGGACCATCGTTACGTTCACGAACAATCGTGGGTTTTATAATTACATCTTGATCGTCTCTGATATGTACTAGAATAAGCCACTGGGCGTCTGCTATTTTGGCGTGTGGAGTTTGAATATCTTTATGCCGGCCTGCATACTTCTCGTCATCTTGCAATACCCGTCGAGCGTACTAAAAATACATCGCTGCTTCAAGGCTTTACACCTTCGATGCGATTTTGCCGCTTCTCCCTTCTGTCGATGAAAACCTCCTGAGGCACGTCATAAGACCAATCATCGACACTATTTTGCGTAAATCTAGTTTACGATCTAACCGCTTAAAAGATCTTACCGCATGCTTTTGTATCCTCGATTTGGAAGGGAGTTTGGTCTTTCTCCACTTTGCGTGTGTTCTCAAGGCGCTTGCATGTGAGCTAGGCAGACCCTTTTCGTTGCCACGCCTTTCTATTCGCGCTAAGCTGGCGCAACTATCACCCGACTTGTCTTGGCGACGTGTTGGCAAGACTTCGGTCAATCCTATCAAACAAGGTATAAAAGGGCTCATCAAAAATTCGATTATTTTCATCTCAAGTTCGTCCAGAAATTGAGTTCTTTCTCCGCCATTATGTTCCAAATCTCTTCGTTGCTGGGATTCGTTCTCCTTGCCCGACTCGCCATCAGTGCTCCCGCAGCTAGTGAGTCTGCTGCTTCCTCTGCTGCTGCCAGTGTTTCCGCCTCCGAGTCGAGTACTGCCTCTGCTACTGATACTGCCGCGTCGTCAACCGCGACTGTCCCATTTGCGAGCTTGGATCCTAATGTGCCACTGTGGGACGATCAAAGTGACCCCTCGGTAGTTTCTCCCGAACGTGGAAAGCTTGGGGCATCGATACTTGGACCAGACAACATTCCGATAGACCTACAAAACCCTGATCTTCTGGCCCCTCCGTCCACGGATTCTGGATCTATGTTGGTCCAATTTTTCCCTGAGTTATCTGATGACGGCTCATTCCATTCTCTTCTACAACAGTTCAAACGCCAAATGGCCGTTTGCTCTCAGCCACAACCGTTTGCAAACCGGTGGTTGGGCGCGTCAGGAGAACAGTAAGGCTTCTTCTCAATTTCACGAATCTCTTCTGTACTCATTGTTTGCAGTTGGCGTCATGCCCATTGCCACTCGTAAGCACAGAATTCCTCATCGAGCGCACCACATCATGGTAGTTTTTTATAGAAATGGCCAGCGTCAACATGCGACTGGAAGCGGGCGCAATTCGGTTAGTTGTTTGTGAATTCAGACTGACGCGCAACTCATACGTCTTCAAGGGAACTTCACTGGCACAAAACCTCAGAGGTATATTCTACGATCTCAATATAATGACATTCTCATATGAATTTTCAGTGGGCGTATGTCTTGAAGGTAAGTATCCCAATTAGATGGTTTTATCCACCGTTTAGACTCGATTTTCAAAGGGTTCCACACAAATTTCGGCTGTTGACGCTCAAGGGCGGAACTTTCTAGCCACCGTGGTATGTGATCTTACATGCCAGTATAGGACGTGACGCTTTACCCTCTGTTAGGGTCCCGGAGATCTGTGGTATTTCCCGCCCGGAATTCCCCACTCTCTTCAAGCCACTGCCGATGACGAAGGCGGCTCTGAATTTATTCTGGTATTTCCCCGAACCTTCTCCTTGGGATTTTACTGATTTTGTGAGGCAGGTCTTCGATGACGGAGCCTTCAGTGAAGATTCCACATTTTTGGTGATTGGAGCTTTTATCGTTAAACTTCATCCGCTGACCTGTTATCGCAGCTAACTGACTGGCTAGCACATGTCCCGGCGGAAGGTGCGCTCTTCCGTTTCTGACTCACACGCACATTTTAAGAGATGCCTCAGTCATTCAAAGGAATTTTCAAGTTGACCCACAGGCATTTGCGCACATTCCAGCTCAAGAGCTTTACATTTTCCCAAGTGGTACAGTCATCTGATGAATTTACCCGAAGAGCAGACGTGTCACTTATTTCTATCGCAGCTCCACCACCTGATGATGCTACACCCCCTGAAAGTCCCCAGGGAACAGTTCCCGATCCATTTTCATTTGCGCTGTCTCAAGTAAATGCCACACAGCTATCCGGCGGTTCGGTCAAGATTGTGGACTCGACTAATTTCAAAGCCTCTACTACAATCGCCGTTGCTGAGGTTACTGTTAACCCTGGCGCAATTCGGTACGCTGAAACTTTTCCTCCTCGATGTCTCCTAAATATTTTCAGGGAATTACATTGGCACCCGACTCAGGATGAGTGGAGCCTGTTCCTGTATGTGAATTTTCTTCACTGATGCTCGCATGCTCACGTCAATTTTAGTGAGGGCGAGGGGCGAGTGACGATATTCGCATCTCAAGGCACAGCGAGGACGTTCAATTATCAGCCTGGAGATATCGGTATGTCTTCCTGCCCATTTGGACCATTCAGAAGCTGAGGCGACTTTTAACAGGTTACGTTCCTGCGGCTATGGGTAAGCCCATGGAAATACAACACTCAGCATTCATTATTAACAATAGAAATAGGGCACTATGTTGAAAATACAGGCAACTCGACGTTAAAGTTCCTGGAAGTTTTCAACACAGGTGAGTCATAGTTACTGCGCAAAAGAAGATCGCTAATTTCGTTTTCTCACAGACCGGTTTGAAGATATCAGTTTGAACCAAGTGAGTCAAGATACCCCTGAATGAGAATGAAATACGACACGATTTTTTTAGTGGCTGGCTCTTACTCCACCTGATGTTGTCAAAGCCCACCTGGATCTAGATGATGCTACTATTGCGCAGCTTTCGAAGACTAAACCAGTCGTGATGGGCCCTCAAAGCTCGTGATTATCTCCACAGTTTCTTCATGGAACATTCGCTATGTTATTTTTATGTAGTGAATTGGATATAGTCAATAGGTAGTCAACGTTTTGATATGCTATTTGCGGGAAATATTTTTGTATTGATTTCTTCTATAATGTTCACATGATGAGAAGGAAATGAATGTAATGCACTATTTTTACGACAGAACAGTAGAGCCATGCCAGAAGAAGACCTTGAAAAGATCTAACTACATGGTCACGAACCGAAGATCGGGAAAGGGGGGAATACGCATAACATCTGGCTCGTTGTCTAGGGTCATTCGTACGGAAGGTTCCTTGACCGGCGGTCGGGAAAAGAGCTTTGACCATAAAGTCTGCTTCTTGAGTTTCTCATTCTCTACCTTCAGCGTCGCCATTTCCTTCTGTAAGCGATTCATTTTGCGGGAGAGTTGCACGATCCGAGGGTCTTCGACATAAGGATCAACTGGTGCCGTGTCGGTTTGTACGACCTTGTCTTGATAGGCAGTATCTTTTCGTTTTTTCCCTTGTCCTTTCCCGGATTTGGATTTACGTTGTTCAAAGAAAGATGACGACCCATGTGATTGGCCGAAGAACGGACGTTCATCAGTCTCCCATTTGTGAGAAGAAAATGCAAACTCTTTCACAAGACCGCGGGTTCGTACTGTCGGCGTGGTAAAGCCGAGCTCAAGCTCGCCGTCGTAAAATAGAGGCACGTGGGGAATCTCAGGGAGCGCTTGGATTTGAGCAGTGAATGAGGTGTCTGCAGCAAGACGCGATGAAAAACCACCGTTCTCAGCACTTGTATAGCTTAATGCATCGATCGGTGGTATGGCTGGAGCCGGATATACATCTGACGGAGGTGTGCGATGGGACTCCTCTGCCGACAGTCCGGGAACGACAATCCAGCTTCCCAACTCTAATGAGATATCTCCAGTCGACGCTGAAAAGCTGCGTCTCATGGGAGCGACATTGTCCTTCTCGGATGGATCCTCAGCGATTTGATCAATGTTTAACTGAGATGAGGTATCGGGAGAATAGAAAGAAGAGTTTGTGACTTTGAGCTTCGGGGGCATTTGTTGACTATCGGCCGTTCCACAAAGCCCATGAGGCATATTTTCAGTTGACCTGACGCCGATGATGCCCGCATCAGCTGCTATTGGCGGTATTGTTGCATCGATTTTGGCAGCGTCGAACCTGGATACTATGTCCCCTGCAATGCGGGTTACATGTGTAGAGAGCGTTTCTGGAGAAGGTCGCTGAGAAGTCCGGCCGCCCGCATCGATGCCAGGAGATGAAATGGTGACTGGAGATTTGTCGGTCCCCTTGGGCGCACAGTGATCGCAAGGATCAGAGGCGGCGGTTCTTGTATTGGAGACGTATTGCACATCCGAGGGGTTGTGACTGGATGGAGGGGTAAGGAGGCTGCTGTCAAAGGACCGGGGGGGATCGTTGAAGACCGCTGCGTTTGCCAATCCATCTGATTTATATGACGAAAGGCTGTTTCTCTTTATTTGCTCGCCAATATCGGAAAGTGACAACGATTGGTTCGGAGGATCTTGAGATCCATGTTCTGATATGACTAGCGCATGCTGGTCAACAGCGCCGCTATCTGGAGAATTGTCGAGGACATAATACTCGCATCTATCAAGACTGCTGTTGTACTTGTCGTCACTGGTCGGAGAAAACGACAGTGATTGCTCTATTTTCGTACCAACGAAAACGTTATTGCAGATTCCGACTAAAAACAGCGAATTGCGTACCCTGACGAGGTTTGTCATTATTATTAGACGCTTCAACTGATAGGGCGAGCCACGAATACTCGTGGTTGGAATCATTCTTAAGCGTCGAACTGAACTGGTCATGAGACGAGAGGGTCGAAGGTGTTATCTGGCCAGCTTCAGCATTTGCTTTCATTATATGGGCTTCTTGGCCACCGGAGACCCTAAGGCGGTCTGGACCTATCTGAAACTGAGTAGAAGGTCGCATAAATATATCAAGCTAACGCACCGATCCCACCTGGGAGCGACCCGTTGTAGTTTGTTTCCGCTTGTGAAACGCCTACACACCGGTCGACATCGGTGCCCAAATACGTTGTCTCTCCCCGCTCGAACGACTCGGTCTCTGGAACGGACGAGCCATTACGAGCTGTGGCATCGTGCGTCTCGATAGGTCTGTCATAAGATAAAGTTTCATCAATCGGAATAAGCTCCAAACCAGCCGCATCCGTTATTTGTGACTCCTCACGCTTCTGTTTCGGCATATCGGGATATGTATGGCCCCCGAGCGTGGCCAGGAATTCTGCGTCTCCAGAATTAAGAATTGCTTGCGGAGATATCAAGGTAGATGGTGAGATGGTCATGTCGGGGCTAGTGTCAAAGATGATCGGCACGTTCCTTGAGGAAGACGGCGTTGATGCTGAATCGGATGGGCTAACAGGACGATCTTCCTCTACTGGAACCCCAGTGATACCAGAGAATAAGACACCGTCATCGGTAAGTGGCATATGTTCGTCGCTAAATACCCACGGTCCATCGTGTTCTCCTAGAGCAGTTATTCCATGCTGTTTTCCTTCGTCCACGTCGGTCGCTCTCGCGGAAAGGATTTCATCCTCTAAGTCACTGAATACTGCAGACAATCGTAGCTTCGGGCGTCGCTTAAGCTGCCGCTGGCCGGTAGCTGCTCCTTGCAGCTTTGTCAGTGCGTCGACAACAGAGGGAGTTTGCACTTCTAACAACCTGTATGGAGTCACTCTCAAATGCACTGGTGATGGCACGCGAGCTTACGTTTCTATGTCGTCGCGTGAAATCGCTAAGAAGGCTTTTCCGTCCATCCTATACGACCGAGTAAAGTCGGCAAGGACCGTCATAACCGAGCGGTACTGTGGAAGACTATCAACGAAGAACTCTGCCAGGTCATCTGGTGACATCTGTTCAATCTGAACCTGGTATCTTGTTAGATGCGAGTCATTTACGACTGGCTACGAGCTCACATCTGACGACTTGGTAAAAGACGAGCATGACCGGGAAATTGAACCGTCGCTGCCGGATTCGGCCATCAAGTCGACGTTGAGATCTAGATACCCTGGAATATTCAAAGGCTCGCTCATAGCGCAATTTTCTAGTAAGGCTGAAGGAAGATCAAATCGCGATGAGAGTAGCAAGACCAGATAACGACAAGCGCCCGAGGCCGTGGAAATTTTGGTATGGTTTAAATAGTGGGAGCCCACTGAATATCAAAGTACCATATGCAGAGAAGATCATTGATTGCCATTGAAATGACGGCGGTGGCGCTAATAAAGTAGCTAACCCACTCCTTGGAGACATTAGGGAATGAAATATAGATATGCCCAGGATGTGACCCCGATGCAAGGAGAGTTCACTAAGACCAGCACCCACACAGATCCACGCCAATCGATGCGGACGTAATTGAGTAAAAATCTTGGTATTTTTCAGTTCAGGCGAAGGGAGCTCAAAGATCACACGTCAAGTCCTGTCGCGGGGAATTCAGTTACATCTAACTTCCAACAAAAGTGTATTAGTATACGCTGGGAAAATAGGACTTTGCATAGAATAATACCTGAGAAAGTCAACGAGACGTAAACGTACCTTAGCCTTAAGTGATACGGAGCGGAATCGAAGCGTCATTGATTCCGAATCCTGTTAGTTGCTAGTACAAAGCTTTGAATTAAATTGTATCATAAGCTCTTGAACATTAATAATTCAAGAGTTCCAGGCTAAAGCAGTGAAAAAACAGAGATCGCCCGGTGGAGTGAAAGATAAACCAACAAGCAAGAGCATCTTGGAGACGAATTTTGTAACCAACCTTTCGGCCCGACTGTGCCGTGCACGTGTCAAAGCTATCACGTGGAGCTTGCCCTAAAGCGCTCTTATTTAGCGAAAATTTTTAGGCTGGTCACCACTACCATTCAGCCGTATCCTCGTATGCTCCTGCCCTCGCCATAGCCGTGGACATTGGTGAGCGACTTGACTTTCTTTCTGTCCTGGACAAGATGACACTTTCCAATCATTGTCGAGCGTCTTTTCATCTTCCAGTTCATGGATAGATGGACGCGGTGTTGCACTTTTTTGTCATAGTTACACTGATCCATTCCTCTTTTTTTGTCTGCATTATCCCATTCTAACACCCTCTCCGACAGACGCAAGGATGGTAATCGCAGAGTTGTGCTCGTAGGATCCAGGTGAGTATCGTGTCGTCACGTCTCGTACTATGATGATCCAAAATCATTCAAACTAGAGTATATGAGCGCTCTGTAGCCCTATGCTTTAAAATTTCATTTTTTCTGATCATCGTAGCGGTTGAGAAGACTTTACTGACAGGCTGTGTTTTCTTCTAGATTTTTTTTTTGCTGCTGACGTAGCCAATGTACAAGTCACCTTTGCCCCTCGGACATATTCGGAGGTAAATATCATCATCGTTTGCCGTTGTCTTGTATGATGCAATTATGGAGTTACCGCCTGATCTGGGCTTCGCAGCTCAGCTTTGACGACTAATCCAAGGCTGTTTTTCTAAACATCTGACTTCTTGTTCTCATGTCTTCGATGCCTTTCGACTTTTGCTGATGATCCTTCCTTTAGATATCTGTTCAAACTATAGCACCGCTGACTCGTCCCGAGCGTATCTAGAACGGTGAGCATCCCTGCCAATTCTTTCGAATGATGTTCCATCACGACGGTCTTCGTAATCTTACTGCCGAAATGGCCCGCCACAGCTCTTTTTTCGGGCAACCCCACCTGATTCTTTCTCTTTCATCTGTTTGATATTCCCGGCATCGTACTAATGATCTTTGTACAGGGACATCTCCGGTCGAACTGCTCCTTGTAGTGAGTATATTTTAGCTCTTCTGCGTCTCTTATATACCCCTCCCCCCGATGAAATCTATCAAATAAATAATCAACTAGAAGCTGTTGCTGAGTCACATCGTGACTTTGATTACTCTTGACCTTCTGATTCTCACTTTCCTGTTCAACTGTTTGAAATACATGCTCATTACATTTCCTTAGGGTAGTGTTGAATGGTGGATGGATGGCGAACATTGAAGAAACGAGTGGGGCCGAATTGGATGCTGCTGCATCTATTCGCGCTCGTGTCGTATGCTTTCATCCCGCCGTGGTGTCTGCACTAATTGTTGGTGTAGTGTAGCATCTTGTATTCCAACGTCAATGGATATGCTCTTTTCCATGGTCATGTGTAATCCTCGACTTCTTAGGCACTATGCATTGCAAGCAACGATTAGCTCGATGTTAGAACCTCCGATGTCTCAACCGCACCGTTGATCCTGCATTGTGAAGAGCGCTGAGCCCGACCCAGACAACTTTGCATGTGTGCAAGGACTTCCCCTTGGCCTTTATCATATATACAATCAAGCTGTCGCTTTGGATTGGTTGTGCCAAGTTTCAGTCAAAACACTGACATCTGGTGAAAAAAATTGTGTGGCCGTTGGGGCAGTGGTCTGGCCTCTGATCCGTCTCGCAGATGCCTATGTACTTGACGAGACCTCTCTGGCGTCGGCATGCAGTTGTCGCCGTCTTGATGGGGTTCCTCTCGCATGCCGCTTGTATTCATTCTCTGGTGTCCCGAGCCGGAGTATTCTCATCCGCTTTAGTGGCCTCTTTGCGATGCTCGCATCTCCGACGCCGTGCACTTTCCCAAGTAGTCATTTGCCTTGGTCTTCGGAGTGTCCAGCCTTGAACTTGATGACTATCCTTGACTGTCTGGCGGCAAGGACGCAATGTCCGGTTTAGTCTGAATCGCGTTTTGAAATGTTTGGGGTAAGGACAACAGCGACGTTCGGTATCACTCTTCTGAAATATTGTCCAGCAGATAGTAGATACTTTCAGGCATCCATGGTTATTTAGCGGAAGCACATCACATTCAGTTAGGTTGCAATGTGCGTCTTTTCAAGGATTAACTGTTTTTCGTTGGTTGAAACGGTTCTCAGAGATCGCTGTAGATTCCCCGGCATCCATAGAGCATCTCTAGGAAGGAGATACATGCTAGAATCTAAATGGCTCCGAAGAAGATCCCTATGTCCTAGCAATGTAATCCGGTTGATGGGTATCATCGTTTTCTTGTGTGAGATCTACTTCTGCTTTTCTGCAACTCATTGTGTCGAAACTCTGTAAATTCTCTTCGAAATCCCCAGTGCTCCGTTCCTTCGAGATCCGACTGAACTGTATCGACTCAGGCTTACAATTTTTTTTCTATTCTGAAGAGATCATCTCTAAGCAACCCACCCCTGCCTAGAATCCTTTTCGCGGATCCGATCCCCAAAAGATGTTTGACGTAGTCTCGAGTGTAGCTCATGGTGCTTCCCCATCTGTCTTCCATCGCTACTGGGTTGCACAGCTTTCTGTCCCTGATTGTCCGGAATGAAGGGTCGGTCGGGACGGACATTACGCGTTCAACCCAGTTGTGTCTTCCTCTGCAATACGCCTTGTATTCTGGCATGAGTGGAGTCTTGTTGACTCGGGCGAAGGAATTATCCACCGATCTTTCAGCATGTTTGTACCTATTCTGGTCCCACGACTCATCAACTCGGACACTTCTCTCATCATCGCACGTCTATGAGGTCCGAAGATCCCAATGGCACCTGTGTGAAGGAGTAAGGGATCATCCCTCCGAGTATCGGTCGTGGTTTCATATGCTCATTAAATGGATATAAAGGCTACTTCGTCGACGCCGCTCAATTCTCATCCTCGCCTTCAAATGACTCTCGTTTTCTTCACCCTCTTATGTCTCGCCCTTTTCACATCTGACCCTGCTTACGCGAAGATAGGGCCTACTGGAGACCTCGTCATCGCCAACTCTGAGATTGCCCCCGATGGCTACTCGCGGGTCGCCGCATTGGCGAACGGAGTTCTAGATGGTGCGCTCATCAGTGGAAACAAGGCAAGTCTTTCATGGGTCGACATCTCTAAGACTTGTACTTACTGGCCAAATTAACAGGGCGACATCTTTCAGCTCAATGTCGTGAATAATCTTTCAGACGATAGTATATTGCAGAGTACCTCAATTGTATGTATTGTCTTCTCCCTTTTATATCTCGGCCTCATTGGGTTTCAGCACTGGCATGGTCTGCTTCAAAAAGGCACTAATTGGGCTGACGGTCCTGCTTTTGTGAACCAAGTAATTCTGAAATCATCGTATTTATCTACTGTCATTGCTAAAGCCAACTAGTGTCCTATAGCAAAAGGAGATTCATTCTTGTACACGTTTGATTCCACCGATCAGGCAGGAACATTCTGGTACCACTCTCATTTATGTGGGAGCTCTTCCGCCTCAATATATGACGTGAAGACTAAGATGGTTGTACTCTCCAGCTACCCAGTACTGCGATGGTCTTCGAGGGCCCTTCGTTATATATGACCCCAATGACCCGCATGCGGATTTGTACGATGTCGATGATGGTCAGTCGCCGCATGCTTATTTCCTTGCGATCCTCACTGAATCGCTTTCACAGAATCCACCATCCTAACCCTCTCAGACTGGTATCATACTCCAGCTAAGGAGCTGGAATTTCCGTACGCACGTTCTCCCAATAATTGATGACCTTTTCGAACGTGCTTGCAGGACACCAGACTCGACGTTGATCAACGGATTAGGACGGTGATTCATCGTGCCTACTCTCTCAGATGTTATCTTACTCACAAGCCTTGCAGATGGAGCAAAGATCCCACGTCTGACTTGGCTGCTATCACTGTCGAGCAAGGGAAACGGTCAGTCTTCCTGTAAAACTTGGCATACTTTATCACTCATCGGACCTTCAGATACCGCTTTCGTATGATCGATATGGCATGCGATTCAGCTTTCACGTTCGCAATCGAGGGACATACCATGTTCGTACCTTCCGTTATTTTGTCGGCGACGTTATCGACAACATACCAATTAGGACAATTATCGAAGTCGATGGTGTTAACCACCAACCTTATACAGTTGATCAAATCCAGATCTTTGCTGGTAGGTCCTGGCATTGATTCTCCGTCGACAAATGCTGACGTTCGTCAAGGCCAGCGATACTCCTTCGTTGTAAGTCTGGATCTATCCCCGTTTCCGAGTCTTCGAACCTAACACCCACCTAGCTCAACGCCAACCAAGAAGTAGATAACTACTGTAAGTCACTATGTTTCTCGGTTAACCAAAACACTCACCGTCATGCCCAGGGATTCGTGCGCTTCCTAGTATCGGGATCTCCGGTTACACCAAAGGTATCAACTCGGCTATATTGCGGTACTCTGCTGCGGCAGAGGTGGAACCAGCTACAGCAACGATATCAAGTGTGCTGAAAATGAATGAGACCGAGTCGGTGGTAGGTTATGCCTCGATCTACACCAGCTCATTATAACTCATCGTAATTGTTACCCAATAGCCCCTCGAAAACCCTGGAGCTGTAAGTTATCTTAGTTCCCATTTTGACTGGCTGATCATGGGAATCTTTTAGCCCGGAATGCCCGAAGTTGGAGGTGTCGACTATGCGCTCAACTTGGCGTTTGCATTTGTATATTCGTTCCCTGATGAAAGAGTACAGATTCTTATGGATTAGTGCTACAGACTAGCGCTGGAACATTTACTGTCAACGGCGCCCAGTTCACGGCTCCCAGCACGCCTGTCCTGTTACAGATACTCAGCGGAGCCAAGAGCGCAGGCGATCTTCTTCCTTCTGGGTCGGTGTTCTCCCTTCCGTCCAACTCGACCATCGAGTTGTCGATGCCTGGCGGGATTGTTGGCGGAGGTGTAAGTGTCTCGATATCCATTGTGCTTCCCACCCTCATTCTCTACCTCCCGTAGCATCCGTTCCATCTACACGGAGTAAGTCATCGTTGTGTGCCCCCATGCAACGGAATACTGACGTGCTCCTAGCATACTTTTGACGTCGTCCGAAGTGCTGGGAGCTCAGTATACAACTACGAGAACCCGATGAGGCGGGACGTTGTCAACATTGGGACAAGAGGAGACAATGTAACTATCCGGTTCCGAACGGATAACCCAGGACCGTGGTTCCTTCACTGGTTAGTCTGGCTTGTATCTTTTTATCGGTGATGCACTGATTTGGCATCAGTCACATTGACTGGCATCTGGAAGCGTAGGTATCTTTTGACACAACTATTATTCTTTCTTTCCCTTTTGCTGACATTTTAGGCAGTGGTCTCGCTGTTGTTTTTGCAGAAGATACCGGTTCTTGGACAAATTCTATTGAACCTTCAGGTATGTACCAGTACTATCTGGCCGCTCTACGACTTCCTGATCCCGGAGTCGTAGATCAATGGGAAAATCTGTGCCCTAAATACGAGAGCATGCCGGATAGTGATCTATAAATTGCGCTGTTTTATCCAAAACCTTTCTAATCGTTTTGTCTAATTCACCTTCCTTTCTTCAGGGTACCTTATGGCGTAGTACATTATAGTTCATAATCTGCGGTGTTTTGTTTTTCTATTTCTCATTTATTGGTATTTCCAGGTCAATGTATACGATACCTATCCATTCGGACCGATTGATGTTCTTCATCCTGTACATTTCTATCGACCGATAAATCACCGAATGAACTTCGACTTCGAAGTGAACTCTACGGTTAGCTGCCTATCACTGTCTTAGACAAAGTTTAGACCTGAGACGATATTTCTTCCCTCTTTCAGCTCCTGAAGGCAGAATAATGGGTCTCGTTCGCCCCCCAATTCGCAAGCCTCTCCTATATCAGCAGCAAGCCCACCCCAGCGGAAACGAGCCAGGGCTCGAAGAGCTGGAACAACTTGTCGCAGAGCTGAAGCGTGATTCGGCGATGGTCAGAACGGAAATAGAGGCAGTGAAGCGAGAAACCAAAGAATTGAAGCTGGACATTGAACTTTTGGAGGCAGAAACTGAAGGTCTAAAACGAGAAGTCGAAGGTCTGCAGCAAGAAACAAACGCTATAAAGTATGACTTGGAGAGTTTCGAGAGAGATGCCTTAGATTTCAAGGAAACACTTGTAATGCTTCTTCAGATGGGACGCTAATGCTGTAGCTGGGGCCATTCGTATACGGGTTGTACTACATGCAATTGGAACTGCGCTTCAACGTCTGGAGTATAGTGAACATCATGCCTTGCCGTTGACATGTTCGGGGTTTATAGGCTTTGCTCGTTTCATGTAAGGTCATTCGCGGATTTAATTCCTTCGCGCTATGCCTCAATGTCGCCCTGTTTCTCCCTAGTTGGCCTTTTCAGGGGCTTACGAATGCTTTCCCCAGAATATCTAGTGGCTACGTGAATATCCTTACCTTGGAAATACTTCGCAGCTTCGATAAGATGTACTCAATTCGTCAATGTGTTTGTGAAAGTAGGCCCGCCTTGAAATTACAAATATCGTTGATGTAAGTCACACGAGACGCGTGAACGTCTTGAATTTCAATTTCAGCCCTTTCTTGCTTCCTTCATCTCTTTTGCTCTTGGGACTCGAGCGTTGCCTGATTCTGCGGCTCTGCATCATATGCCGACTATATCTAGCAATCCTTCTCCATCCTCTAAGCCCTTTATCTTCCATACGGTGAATTCGTCGAGGAAGGGATATGTTAACGGGACGACTACCGTGAGACAGCTCAAGGCCGCTGCTGCCGCATATATTAAGCAAGACGTGGAGGACCGTAACATTTCAGAGTTTTGCAATGCAAGAGTCTTTGTTTCTGGTGAGTGATCTCCAAATTTCGCCTGTAATCCAACTCAATACTCCAAAAATTAGAGAATGGCCCAATCGCGCTTGCTCCTTACGAACCCGACGACTCTTTGAAAGTCAATACAGTTTGCTCGGACGCCACTGCCAGTGGATTTGTTTTCGTCCCTTCCCTGCCCACCGAAATGAGGCAGGAAGAAGCTGCCGCGGGTGGTAACAATATCCATGACATGCTTGGGCAAATGATGAAGGCGGGGAATGACACGACTATTGCGAGTCTGCAAGATGAGAACATGACTTTGATGGAGAGGATACAGGCATTGGAGGAGGCTAACACTGCTTTGAAGCAGGAGAACCAGGATCTGAAGCGGGAGAACCAGGCTCTGGTAGAGAGATTGCGGGAACATGCGGACGATACGTGCCATTGAGAGACATAACCATCTCTAAGGCCATCAGAGATGAGCGCTGAGCGACTGAGCGGGTATCTCTTTTTCTGTAACCAGTGTTCTGGTTAAATCTTTTCCCAGAGTCATGCTCCTCAGGAGATTCACTGTACGCTCTGCCAGCCTAAATATCGATGAATAGTGGGGCCTAAATCGAGCGCAGATTCTATAGGTGGCTGGTGAGTGGCTTTTGTCTGGATTTAACCATTTGAAAAAGTCCTGCTGATACTTTCCTCCCGGTAATGTAGGGAAATGAGATGCAGAGCGACAACTGCAAGAAATATAGCCTAGCACTGTAGCTTTTATAAGTTAGACATGCACAAAATTGGTGGCCTGGTAGCAACAAGTACTTATATCTGGACATAGCCATTCACAGGATATTATGATTCATTCATCATCATCGTGAGTGCTAGAATTGACCGGGCCGTTCGGGATTCGTTAGTCAGACAACCGGCAAATCCCGGCTTAACTCCAACGCCCGCCAGCATGTCGATCATCTCCACCAGCTCTACCTCTTCCCACCTGGCCAAACCCTTCGTCTTCCATACCGTCCATACCTCCAGGAAAGGCTACGTGAAGGATAACTGCACTATGAGGCAAATCAAGAATGCTGCTGCCGACTATGTCAGGGTAGATAGCGTGGTGGAGAATCGAGAGCAGTTTGGTAGTCCAAAGGTCTTTGTTTCAGGTTAGTCCTTTCATTGTTACTGTGGCATCCTTGATTGTGAACTCTGTGTAGAGCATATGTTAGTGGAATACTCTGAACCCAAGGACACTGCAAAGGCCAAGACGGTGTGCTCGGATCCCACTGCCAACGGTATCGTTTTTGTACCCATTCCCAGCGATACGCCTCCCCAGTATGATTATCAACCACATCCTGGCCACAACAATGCCACCACACCCTTCGATATTAAAGCCTTGCTCGAGGCCTTTCGGAAGGAGTCCGACTTGAGGATGGAAGCCCTGCAGAGGGACAACAGCTCGAAATTCGACGCTCTGCAACAGAGGATCATAGCAGTGGAGGACGACAATGAGGATCTCAAGCAGCGGGTCGATGATTTGACACAGGAAGGAGAAAACAAGGACCGAGAAATAGAAAAACTGAAAGGACGGACGGTCATTTTACAGGCCCGCATCGAAGATCTTGAGCGTGGATACGCAGACATACACGGCTGGCTGTCCGATGCAAGTGTATTTCATCTCATTTCCTGTACATTAACTAATCCCTGGCCTTTAGAAAGACACAGAATACATGGACCGTATCCGTTTGCGGCATATCCTCGACTGCGGGCAGGCGCGGCTCGCACGCTCTGCCGACGTTCCCGTTTCCGGCGATTTCTCTCCTCAGTCTGCAGGGGACTGGTCCCGGGCCTGGCGCGCACGTCTTTCCTAGTGTGCCGACAATGCAGAGCGGCTAACCACAGCCCGGAGTCTCCTCGCCAACTGTCCTGATGTCGAAACTAGGGATATGCCGGAGGATATGCTCCGATATTTTACCGTCAGACCAAGTGATACCCGTACCGAAGGCGATCGGATTGCTCATCCTGCTAAAGTAGGGGAGTCGGTTTATAAGGCAGTCATTGAGTGGCAGCCTGAGGACCAACGGCCTCTTTTACGACAGGTTGTCGCTTATGGTCTCCAGTTTCGCTCATAGATGTTGTTTTCTTGTCGTGCGCATTTTATTTATTGCTACTACATTCTCCCATGCTATCTAGTCACTCTATCACATTGTACAATTCATGTATACCATTTCAGGAACACATTTGCATCACCTTTCAGGATATTCGTGGCTACTCTTCGAATGCCGAACCTGTTGCAGCATTGCCAAGGATCTCGCCAAAGCTCATACTCCGAGTTGTGGATCTCATTCAATCGGCTGATGCGTACTGGACTCAGATATTAGTTTGGTAAGATTTAGCCATGATACATTTCGGCAGACCGACTTGCGCTCTGTATCTATCAGATGTATTTGCGATGTTCCGGTTTATGTGATACTTCATGGTCAACGCTGGGAGGACGGTCAGTACAAGAGCAATCAACCATTTCCTATTGAACGTACTGGACGAACGCCCGCTCGACCATCGGCAGTGTCTCGAGTTTATCTTGGAGATCTTGACTCAGGTCATGAGATTTCCATAGAGGCGTGTCACTGGGCATGACGATCTTTTATAGGTATCAGTCCGCATTATTCAATTAAAGCGATAAGAAAACTTGCGTCAACTTCAACGAGGAATTTCTGAACGAACAATCAGTCACCGAAACATTCTGATACTTTGAGGAGCTACGCACCTCCCCGCTGTGGTAAGCCCTGCAGGAGTCGATCTGCTTAATCTCATCGCTGAACGTGAGCGTCTTGTAGATCACCAGCTGGGTGAATTCGTGAGGAGCAGCTTTTCCAGCGAGATAGCCGAATTGTACTGGCGATTCACATGAGCATGGGAGGAAGATTTTCAAGAGATAGATCGCACTGTACGACGTGTATGTCCACGATACGATAATAACACACGAAATGATGACAGCGCCCATAGGATCAATCCACCACTTGAGCTTTGCACCAGCACTACTTGTGAGGATACCAAAACCGCTATCAATACGGAGTCAGCTACCTGCCAAAAAGCAAGAAAACACCATACTTGATCAAGAGATCATTTCGATGATCCTCCCAGAGGACTTGAACCTGCGAGCTTGAGTTGCGAATGGAGAAACAGTACAAAAAGAGGAGAACCTTTGTGACTAGGGAGGGATACACTTGTGTGTTAGCAAAACATGCGGGATAAAGTTGAGTAGTCTCTTCATCGAAAGCGACGCCGACAGCGATGACTGAGGGAACCTTGAATTCAAGAGTTTCTCCGTCCTTATGAGTCGTTAGGTCCTGGATCGAGAATGCCTGGACGCAATATCCTGGTCAGTCGCAAAAGGCATGTTGGACAGGCGCCCGACGTACGACTAGGAGGATGCTGACAGACAGCATGGCGAATGAATACACGATATTACCGATAGTAGTTAGCCGAGCGCCACCCTGATGATGCGAACAGGTCAACAAAGACCTGCCCAGAAGCAACCCCACATACGCCAGGATATTTATCAAAGTCCACGCGCTTGGACTTGCGATGGAGCATGTTCAAGAGAAGATTCGCAGCGGGGTCAAAGACAGAATCCGCAGCAGCTATGTGTCAAATGTAAGAAAACTACACGGGTAAACATATTCTTGGACCTACTAGCGAAGAAAGATAGAGATAGAGACGATATAGCTGCATAAAGCTGCAGAATAGATAATATGCAGTTCGCAATAAACGAAGCGTAGACGGCAATTTTGACCTGCAGTCACCGAGACCATCGACCACGTTCCTTTGAGCACATGTGGCGCAAAAGACATACCTTCAAGGCGTTTTCCCTCGTGTCATCTTCTCCGTCCCGAGCATGGCTCTCCATAGTCTACACGGTGAAAAATACTCATCAAACACTACTACAGTTCCGAAGCACGAAAACACGCCTTCAACATCGCGTCAATCTTCTCGTTCTGCGTCTCGTAGAACTTGCCAATATGGCGCTGCTTCCGCGGGTTCCAACGCCTGCGCAGGGCAGCCACGTCGTCTGGGTCTCGCAGAGCGGCTCTCAGCCTGAAAGGGTCGTCGACTGGCGTACTATCAGATAGCGAACTCTCCACATCAGAGACTTTGGGGACCGACAGCACGGGGGATAATGCAGGTGTCAAGGGTGGATTTCCTGAAGAACTTGATTTTCGTGGCTCAGAGGGAGGGCTGGCAAAAGACATATCAATGGGGGGAGAAGAAGGGCAGCCGAGAAGTTTTGCCGCCGCTTTTTTATACCTGTCCGCAAGTTCCCGAGAACAAAATGCTTGGCGTAAAAGGCATGCATTCCTCCAGGTGCTACAAGGGACATGGGAGGGCGGGTTAGGGAGGTTGAAGGTCAGTTCTGGGGGTTGCTCAACTTGGTACCGAAGCGTCGGGTTCGACGTCGTCGTGAATAAAGCCTACCGATCTGCCGGGTCAACCAGAGCACCGGTTACCGCCGGTCTCTTTCGTCACTGTTGTGGAGCGACGCATTATAAAAGGGTACAGTAAAAGTCGATCCTTGACCAAAGGAACTCCAAGCGCAGCCTGGGCAAGGGGTGAGATATATCCCAGATTGAATTTTCCGAGCCTGATTGACATTACCTGGAAATCTCTTTTTCGGGTCTGCTGTAACTCGGAACTCCTTGGTATCGGATGGCTTTTGCTCAAAAAGTTTTCTGTTGATTTGGGAGTTGGGAGGGAATCAATGGGTGGAAATTTTTTACTCGAATGAAATGATTCCTTCCAAGGACTAATTGATCGTAGAGATCTTAGTGATACAGTGTAAAATGAGCCGGAATGTGATTCACATGCGTTATCTTTGCATATACGCACATATCCAGATGACGCTGGCAGTTCGTCCCTGGAGCGGGATGCCGTACTTCGACAACCGGTCTAGTACAATTCCAACTGATTACTCTTCGCAGACTAGCCAATCTCTTATCTTTAGAAAGGCACCGACATTATGGACAGTATTCGTCTGCAATGTATCCTGAGACCATTTCCTCGCGTATCTCGTTTCATTGTCGGCGCCTTTTATTTACGTCACATGCTATCATTTATAAATGCTTCAGAAAGGAGGCAATATTCATACTGCAGTCGTACTTTGAATCCTAAACCAAGACCATTCGTTCTTCCAGTACACATACCATGTCTTCCACCAATTCGCGATTATTATCAGGCATACTTGCGGTGTTCAGGTTTGTGTAACACTTCATGGTCAACACTAGCAGGGAGAGTTAGTGCAGGACTGATTAACCCTGTTCTATTCCACATACTGGACAAACGCTCGCTCAACCATTGGTAGCGTCTCAAGTTTATCTTGGAGGTCCTGGCTCAGGTCATGAGATTTCCATAAAGGTGTGTCGCTAGGCATAACGATCTTTCGTACGTATCAATCCATGGTTTTCAATTAAAGTATAGGGAAAAACTTGCGTCGACTTCGACAAGAAATTTCTGGGAGAACAATGAGTCGCCAAAGCATGTCTACACATTGATAAATACCTCTCCACTGTGATATGCCCTACAGGAGTCGATCTGCTTAATCTCGTCGCTGAAAGTAAGTGTCTTGTAGATGACCAGCTGGGTGAATTCATGAGGAGCAGCTTTTCCAGCGAGATAGCCAAATTGTACTAGCGAAGCACATGAGCACACGAGAGGGAAATACATGCGGGGGAACGCACTGTACGATGTGTATGTCCACGAAGAAATAATGACACACGAAATGATGATAGCGCCTATAGGATCAATCCACCACTTGAGCTTGGCACCAGCACTGCTTGTGAGAATACCAAAGCCACTACGAACACGGAATCAGGCATTGGTTGCCAGCAATTAACAGGACGTACTTGATCAAGAGATCATTTCGATGATCCTGCCAAAGGACCTGGACCTGCGAGCTCGAGTTGCGGATCGAGAAACAGTATAGAAAGAGGAGCAATTTCGTGACTAGAAGCATGCATGTCTGTTAAGAAAAACTTGCAACAAAACAACGCAGCGTCTTTACCAAAAGCCACGCCGACAGCAATGACCGAAGGAACATGGAAATCCAGAGTATCTCCGCCCTTATGAGTGACTAGGTCTTGGACCGAGAAAGCCTGGTTTTAGTATCCTAGTTAGTCACAAAGCGAATGCTGAGTAAGTGCGAGACGTACGACGAGAAGAACGCTGACAGAAAGCATGGCGCACGAATACACAATATTACCGATAGTAGTCAGACGAGCGCCACCCTGATGAAGCGAGTAAGTATATTGACTCGCCTCGAAGACACAATACATACGCCGGGATATTTATCGAAGTCCACGCGCTTCGACTTACGATGGAGCAAGTTCAAGAATAGGTTCGCGACAGGATCCGATACTGAATCTGCAGCAGCTATACAGACGTCAGCCAGCCATACACGCAGCCTCTGACGTGCCCTTGAACTTACTTGCAAAAAAAGACAGAGAAAGAGATGAGATAGCGGCGTAGAGCTGCAGAATAGATAGTGTGCAGTTCGCAGTGAACGAGGCGTATACAGCGATTTTGACCTAGCATTGTTCAACCTTTGAGCCACGTTCCTGGAGTACATGTGACACATTGAGATCGCAAGTACATACCTTCAAGGCGTTATCCCTCATGTCATCTTTCCCATCCTGAGCGTGACTCTCCATACTCTATACGAGATAAAATCCGTCACTGTCCAAGACACCCCCATGACCACAAATTGAACAAACCTTCAACAACGCATCAATCTTCTCGTTCTGCGTCTCGTAAAACTTCCCAATGTGTCGTTGTTTACGCAGGTTCCACCGCTTACACAGAGCAGCCACATCGCCCGGGTCTCGCCAGGCATTTCTCAGGCCATAGGGATCATCAACTGGCCCGGTGTTGACAGTCGACAGCGAGCTCTCCAAGTCAGGGACATCAGGAGCCGAACGTGCAGGAGATAAAGGCGCCGTCGAGGGAGGATTGCAAGCAGAGCTCGATCGAGAAGATTTTCGAGGCTCTGAAAGGGGGCTGGTAGACGATGAGGACTCCATATCGATGAGGGGGAACAGGTGCGAAGGAGTTCTGCTGCTGTCGCTCTTTTATGGGGTGTGAACCCGTTCGCAAATTCCCGGGATGAATATGATTGGGATAACAGCATGTGTTCGCCTCTAGGCAATACGAGCATTTTTAGAAATGAGTGCTGGAAGGTAATGTCGAAGGATACGACGGTGGAAGGTGAGATCTTGAAGTGCTCAACTTGGTACCAAAGCGTCGGGTTCGACGTCGCTGTGAGTGCGAACCTACCGATCAGCCGGGTCAACCCAGAGCACTGGTAATTCACCTCTAGCGGTTACGGTTGATCAAGTAGTTAAGTCCACGCTAATATAGAGTTTAGACTCGAACTATGGTACGTGAATGCTCACCATAGTCCGTTAGCTGGGTTCGTTAGAAAGGGAGGCTGTGCCGAAATTGATTATCAGGTGTAGAGCAATATTCCGGCGGGGTGGCCGATGTCCTGTCGGCTTGGAGTCGTTGGGTGTAAGGGTGGTAAGAGGTAGAGAAGAGGGGCAGGTGACAAGTAGAATTTGCCATCCATTTTTGAGAAAGGCGCCGAGAAAATACGTGATCCACGGACCACAAGAAGGAAAAAAAATTTCTAGGCTTTGCCGTCAAGCAATGGATCCGTTACCATGCTGCTGATTTACCAGCAATGACCACGACGTCCATAATGTAGAGGAGCAACAGACAGAGCAGGCGTACCGAAATCGATGATGAGATTTAGAGGAAGTCAGTATCGAGGAGACCGGGGTAAAGCGGTTTCTAAATTCAGATCACCTCGATCAGCCTCAATCTGCATTCCAAACTGGTGGAAGCAAGCTACGAGGGTGTGGAGTGCGAGGACTCTGTGTTCTGCTAAGAAGGGGATGTGATTGGAAAACAAATGTATATGTGTACATTTAAAGTGCAATAAATAATCCTATAGTCCGAAACTGACATGTGTTTGGTGCTCCGTCTCTCTGACACCGGAAAATGTATTGACTATCGCCTTCGCTACGTGTACAGATTGTCCATTAGATGGCGGAGCATACTCTCCGGCATATTCCTACTCTCGTCATCGTCACACTTGGCGAGGAGATCCCGCACTGCAGTTAGTCTGTCCTCAGTGTTAGTCCATTGTTCAAGATAACTGCGAAAGGCGAGGGACCCCTGTTTTGCGGATCGAAGAGGGGAACTGATGAGGCCAGTAACGAGCGCGAGTCGCGCTTGGGCACATTCTAGTAAATATTGAGGACTGATATTGTAGTCCAACTAGAAGACAAGCGATTTGTCAACATGTATATAATGGAGAAGATGAAATACACTCACGACAAATTGTTCAATCTTTGCCTTCATCTCTGCCATTTTCCTGTCTTTGGCTTCACATTTACTCTCAAGGTCCATGATTTGTCTTCTCATTGACTCTAGTATCTCGTCTTTGTTTTCTCCCCCTGTCGAATCCTCGGGCTTCTCCCGTCGCCCTGACGCTTGATTCTGTCTTGATATTGTCCGTGCATGTCACGACATCGATAGCCTCCTGGTTGCCAGTATTCAGACTGGCCTTGAGCATTCTAACCTGTTGAAGCTGGAATGCTATATCGCTGGAGCGCCACCTCTGGGCATTTCTGGCAGCGTCCTGGGGTGTTGATGTATTTTCTGTATTACCTTTCTGTTCTTTCTTCGTAATATCGAGCATAAAAGCACTGTCCATCAGAGTCTACCTTTGCGCGAAAGGGGCTTTTCGGGGATTATGGACAGTAGGGAACAGGAAGACGAACGCTTCGCAAATAGAAAACTCCGTCCGGACTTTCTTGTGGGTACAATACTTCGGCATTCCGGCGCATAGTTTTTCGCAGGTAATCTTGCCAATTGCGGCACCCTCGTCAGTCATGTAACTTTTGCACGTGATAGGTAAGTAATGGTTAAAAAAAACTCCTCGGGGATGGCCCGGATGGGTGTGTACAAAACCATAGTTCAATCCTCCTGCAATTTTTGTGTACAGGCTCAGTCAACGACTCAACACTTTCATAGGGAATTTCTGATGTCGTTAAAAAATTTACTCTCTGACTGGGAGTCGAACCCAGCTTTCGCGCGTACTTTATTCATGACAGGCGCGTGTACTAACCGATATACTATCAGAGATACGGTAATTCTGAACATTTTAGTATATGATCAATAATTGAATGAAGTCGGGCATTCCGTTGGCAGAGAGAATACTCTCGTGCACACGTCGACCATGCAATGGTCCCTTTGGACTTTGTTTCTATCTCTTGTCGTGCCGACCCTCGCTATATGGCCATTCTCGCCGAAGCGATTTACTGGAAACTCACTCGTTGGTGCCGGGTCGAGAGGAATAGTACTCGGTGAAAGGGCGATCGCGTTCGGGGACTTCAATGGGGACCAATTGTGCGTCGTGGCACGACCATTTTGTTATTATTCTGAGCGTGAACGCAGTCTAGATGTTCTCATGCTCGACGAGGACCGACAGACTCTGATTGTATACCTCTGGGACCACGGTGAGCGGCATATTCGTACGGAGGGACGAGCACGGACCTGACATGGATCTTTTGCAGCCGATTTTGAGTTCAAGGAATCTGCGTCGTTCAGATATCCAGTAGTGGTGGAGAATGTCGTCCCTGGCGACTTTACGCACTCAGGAAAGCTGGATTTGTTAGTTATGGGTCGCAGCAGAGCCGGCAGCACCGTCGACATGGTGCTGTACCCTGCATTACCTGGCGGTGGCTTCGGTGTGTACTGGATATATGCGCTACCGTCCCGTCTGATTTGTCTTTAGATGTGGCGAGCCCAATTTCCGTGACAGCCTCCAAAGCCCCTCAGCCAATACCCGTCGATTTGGACGGTGACATGAAGATTGACCTCTTGGGAATAACATCCGACTCTGACAAGCCATTGAAGGCGTGGCAGAACGTATGGAACGCCTCGCAGGCACACTCAACGCTGTTCAACATGTGCGTTTCACCTGTGTATGTTGTTTCGTATTAACAAGTTCGCAGCATTGATCCAGAATTTCATGGCACACAGTGTACCCTTGCTTCTCCTCACAGCAATGCAGTCGTAGACCTCAACGGGGATTGTCTTGCAGGTTCGTCCAAATTTCTTACCGCCTATAACAATCTGACCAATGACAGACGTCTTCCTCGTATGCGATGTCGGCGGAGGCAGGCGGTCCTTCCAGATCTGGGTCAACGAGAAAGACGACGGATTCTATCTCGCACAACAAGGCACTCTTCCTTCTGGCGTCCAAGCCATCTCCTTTGCCGATATCGACCGCGACGGGACCATCGACATGATATTCCCCACCTGTTCCTCCATATCAACCTCCAGCGGTCTTGGAAGAGACTGCTACATAAACATCGCCTACAATAAGCAACTGCCTCTCTGTGCCTCATCTACCCAACCTTCTGTTGTCAGAGGTGTTCGCAAGTGTCGGTCCCCCGAGAGCCTGTGCATCGCGGATCCAGACTTCAAGTTCGACTTGAGAGATAGCAGTGACAACGATGCCTTCGCACGGTTTCCTGTGTCTTCCCTCGGCAGCGGCTCGCTCCTGGTCCTTGACACTTCGCTTTCTCCGGCGGTGCCTCTGCCTATCAAGCTAGGCGACGCGAACCTGGACGGGTTCCCTGATCTGCTACTCATAATTGACCACACACCAAAGCTTGTGTTTTCAGTCCCGTGCGAGAAGGGTGTGACAGGTTGTGCCAAGGACGGTAGTGGAAAACGGGGCTGGCGTGTCGAGAAGAAGGGCACGGAAGTGCTCGATTCGATCAAGGATGCGCGAAGTGTATCTTTTGTGGATATGGATGAAGATGTAGGGCCATTCTCTGTGTGCGTTATTGGTTACTTATGTCACTTCTAAAGGGCACATTGGATATTATGGTGCAACGAACTGGCTCGGAGAAAATACTGTTCGTGCAGAACAATTTTTACTATGACGCATTCTTCCTCAAAGCTATCGGTGCGTCCTTCATATCGTCGCTTTACAATGAAATTGATACATTTCCCAGTGTTGAATGGCGCATGCAATAATGGATGGTGTTATGGTCCCAACGGAACTCGATATCATGTATGTACATCCTTCAACGGCGTAATGACCTCGACTGACATTCCTATTAGCCATTCGGTGTGAGCTACTCCGGCGCCTCATACAAGTACACCATCCTCGATACCTCTGGGCGTCGCTCCGCAGCGCAAAGTACGGTTTTCCCCTCCCCTCCCCGTCCTAACTAACTCCCCTCCCCGTCCTAGTCGGCCAGCTCCCCCAGACATCCTACCATGCACTCCAGTCGCCCTATTCCTTCTTCGGCTTAGGTCGGACGAACAACTACATTGAGAACCTCTTCGTCGGGAGCACCATGCATGTGGATGAGCATTACATTAACATCGAGGGTGTCATACCCAACTCAAAGGTAGTTATACTACCTGGACAGGATGGCGCGGCGTGGAAGAGGCAGCTGTTTTTGAGGCCGGGCAAGTGGATTCCGTGGGTGACGGTGACGGTTGTGGTGGGAACCATCCTGTTGGCGGTGATTGTGCTGATATTGCATCTGAATGAAAAGGTTCGTTCTCGTATTATGGGCCGGAGTGTTTCTGACGGTGTTTTGACATACAGAGAGAAGACGAGCTGGAGAGACGGAGGGCGTCGCACCATATCAATTTTGATGCGCTGTAAGATCTTGGATATATTGGCACTTTAATTGTACACTACATATACGCTAGTTCTTTCTTTCTTTCGATAATTAAGTTTCCCTCCTTGACGGAACTTACAGAAACTTCACACTCCACAAGGCTCGTAGCTGACTACATTCCCCCAATTGTTTCAGGTGATGAATGAAGATAACGAGGGCAGTCACGCATGTCCCCAAGCCGAATGAATATAAATCAAATCACCCCGAGACAACTGTGAAGAACCTGTGTTCAAACTTCAAGGCTCGCATCCTACTGAACAGAATACGTGTATGTACATTGGTCTGCGTAGTATATACCGGGAATGCTGTGATTCAAGTATAAAACTGACGGCTTACATTACTCGACCGGACTCGGAACCAGGCGCAGCGGCATCTGACTACCTTTAGACATCTCATCTCGCACCATGGGAATCATAATTCCAGCAGGCTGCCGCTTGATGTCGATGCCTGCCTTGGAAAAAGTGAACTTGAAGGTCTCGAGGAGCTCGAACAGGATGACTTGTAGCTCCATAACGCTGTAACAATATAGCATGAACTCCAATGGTGAGCCACAAGGGAGCGGAACTCACGCGAAACGCCAGCCGATACAGGAGCGGACTCCGGCGCCTTATGAGAAAGGGACTATCAAGTGAAATGGTTTTAAGAAACGGACGTCGACTTACTAAAAGTCAAACTAAAAGCGAGAAATGAGATCGATGTTCTTGATGAACTATACTGAAACAAACTTACAGGTTAGCAAAAACCCCAACTGGCGTCTGTTTATCCAGTTCGCCCAAGAATCGATCCGGATTCCAGACATCGGCATCGGAGCCCCATACGGTTGGATTGCTGGAAGTCGTTGTGAGTAAGCGAATACTAAGTTTATTTGTTCTAACCGGTTGTAATATCCGATTTCAATCTTAACAAGCTGGCCCTTCTCCACAGGTATCTCAGTGAGCTTGACTCCGGTGGATGTGATAATTGGGTCGGTGAGCGGGATGACGTCGTCACAAGCAGCAACACGGACCAAGGCGGGAACAATGGGGTGGAATCGGAGAGTCTCCTGTCAACGCCAAACCGATGAGTGAACAGACGACCTGACAACGCGATACTACACACCTTGATCACAGCGTTCATAAACGGCATACCATCGTAATCTGTCGATGTGAGTTCGCCTTTGGTTGCATATCGGCTTCGAACTTTTGCTATTTCCGCGCGGATACGATCTTGCTGCTCGGGGTGATTACACAGCTCGAATAGGCACCAGGTAAGCGTAGATGCGGTGGTCTCGTGTCCTGCCAACGTAAGGGTACTATCATCGCCCAAAATCAATAAAATGGCATCAAGATGCAAAGAGAGAAATTGACGCTATCTGGGCAAGGACCTCGTCATCGCTCAGTCGTTTCTTCTCTTCTTCCTGGGAATTTGCGCGTGCTGTGAGATTCGATAAGCTCGAATGCATCAACGCAACCAACAACAACTCGCCTAAAATACTGAGAACGTCCTTGCCAGTCGATGAATCGAAATCATTCTCATTGACCTTCTCCTGGAGTAGTTCCCGTCCGACATTTTGGGCAGCAACATTGAAACTTGAAAAATGTTTTCTTCGCCGGGAAGGAATGAGGTTCAGGACTTGGAGTAGGGGCTTCGGCAGGACTCTTGGCAATGCTGAGAGAAGTATCGCAGCACGCGAAGGGAAGAGTTCCGAGTCGCAGCTAGAAGAAAATGAGCAAACAATAGACCAGAGCAGGTACTACAAACAATAAATTGTTCAGTGTCTTGGCCAATTTATCATCTTCATTATCTAGCGCTCCGTATTGGTATCCGAAGGCACCTTTCGTAATCATTGGTACTAAATAATAGCGTATTGCAGAACAGACTCACTCTCTCCAATAATGTCCAAAGTCAGCTTTCCAAGCCAAGGCGCCATATTAATGCTCGATTGTCCTCCTTCAACAATGTCAATGAGCTTTCCCGAGAACTAGATAGGCAGTGTCAAACTGCATGCCACAAACAGAGGCCTATCAGCAGGAGCACCTTCTTTGCTGATCGTTGGAAAAGGCTAAGGAAAGTCCGAAGCTGTGCTGCAGAGAATGCGGGATTCATGACTTTCCTATGTCGCTGGTGGATAGACCCTAGGAAAATATTTTCAAGTAACAAACGATGACGAGAACTTGAGGATGTAAACGCACCAGCTACTGTAACGATTCCCCTCCCAAATAGCATGGCCGTGTTATAATCCGAATCGAGGGCTTTGGGATAGCGATATCCAGAACCATGAAGGACGTGCTGCAGGCCCTTTGGATCGCCGAGGACCAATACACTTTGCTAGATTCGGAATCAGCAGTCTTGTTACGGGAAGATATATGAAGTGTATGAATATACATACCCCGTAGGGAGCAGCTCCGCGGAAGGCTGTGCCGTATTCGCGAAACCAAGCAAATTGCAGATCACCTACTTGGTCCTGATAGTTAACGGCGTAGTCATGTCCTTGAGAGCCCAAGGTCAGATAGGCATGGTCAGAAATCCAAGGTGACGCTCGCCAAGAAGCCAGGAGTCCACCGGAGGACCTCGAAGCTGCTTAATTACAGCTGAGTAATTTCGTCTGTGGATTAGAACAGTGATAATAATGGCAAGAAGCGCGATGATGAGCAGCGAAGTGGACTCCATGGTTGACCGGGATCTTTGAACCTTGAACAGCATGGGCTTTATATTCGAAACGCATGGTGCAGTAACGGAAACCAATCAAACAGAAAGTAACACGGTTCTTCCAGAATATCGAACTTCCCATACCAGCACGGAACAAGGGACATGGGGCCCGAGGTGAGCCGCATTGTACCAATGACGAGAACGAAAGGCTGCTCGAACGTAAGCAAATTTGAGTCAACGGCCCAGCACGCGACTTAAACGTCTTCAGAAGAAATTCCTCGCCAAAAGGTCCGAGTGGCGTCGATGAAAGGTGTGATTGTTACCCCATGGTTGGGTCGGCATGCGTCCGAATTGTCGATATTATATTTGGCGTCTGGATGTACAGTACTATTGCACACCGACCAAGTAATAGATATGTGAGTTACTCTGGGGGGGGGAATAATGGAAGACAGTCCGACCGTAAAAAAATGGCCGGGGTTCGGACCGGTTCCCGTTAGGCCAACCATCGGTAATTTTTGTATGTTGAGGTGTATCCCAGTCTTTTTGCCTATAAGGCGGTTCGGACAAAGGTGCCATTTATACCAGCACTACCTGCCTTAGAAGCGACTAAGTCAAGGTAGCATTTTTCGTCTGCTCATTTGACTCCCCGTTTTTCTTTCTCTTGTTATTATTAAAAAACAATTGAAAAAAGTCCCCTGCCGCAGAAAAACTGCGGAATGTTTGATTCTCTTTTCACAGACCTTAGATCCATTCTTTGTACAAGCAGATCTACAGGCTAAGATCCCGGCGTACACTAGTACCCCGTCATCTCAGATCGCCCGCTAAAGCTAGAATCGACTTCCTATCAGAGTCATCCATCATTAGGCTCCGGGTCAGAATTTCGACAAGAATTCGGAGTCAATTCAGGACTCATAAGGAAGTCATGGAGTATAATAATACATCAGACACCACACGAAACCTCCAGGGAAAGAAAATACCTTTTTTACCTGTCCTACTGCTACCCAACCATAGAAGGGACTGTCAGGTATTTGGAGTAGCCTTAGTCCATCGAGTCACAGGTAGAAACACTGCAGACAATCTACTTCCCTAGACATCGGTGTATAATGCAGAGTTTAGTGTTAATTATCGGACCTCGGATGGCCTAGTGGTGTATTCAACTGTTTTAATACATGCAAACATTTGCTCAGGGTTACTATAATACAAGCTTTTCTCATTCGTCAGTATTGAACGGGACTCGGAATCAGGCGCAGCGGCATCTGAGTACCCTTGGACATCTCATCTCGCACCATGGGGATCATAACTCCGGCATGCTGCCGCTTAATGTCAATTCCTGCCTTGGGGAAAGCGAACTTGAAGGTCTCAAGGAGCTCGAACAGGATGACTTGCAGCTCCATAACGCTGTAATAATATAGCATGAACTCCAATGGTGGGCACAACGAAGCAGTACTCACGCGAAGCGCCAACCGATACAGGAGCGGACTCCAGCGCCTTAAAGGGAGCTATTGAGTGAAATGCTTTTGATATCAGAGCGCCAACTTACTGAAGGTCAGACTAAAGAGCGAGATGTGAGATCTCGTTTCTTGATGAATAATACTCAAAGAGACTTACAGGTTAGCAAAAACCCCAACTGGTGTCTGTTTATCCATTTCGCCCAAGAATCGATCTGGGTTCCAAACATCGGCATCAGAGCCCCATACAGTTGGATTTCTGGATGCGTCCACGAGTGAGTGTACGCTTAGATTATAATGCTAACTTATACTAACCGATTATAGTATGCGATTGCAATTTCAACAAGCTGGCCCTTCTCCACGGGTATTTCAGTAAGCTTGGCTCCCGTGGACGTGGTAATTGGGTCGGTAAGTGGGATAACGTCGTCACAGGCCGCGACACGGAGCAGGGCAGGAGCAATAGGATGGAACCGGAGTGTTTCCTACCATCATAAATGAACGAGTGAGCAGACCATTCGGAAAAAGGATACACACCTTGATTACAGCATTCATGAACGGCATACCATCGTAATCTGTCGAAGTGAGATCGCCTTTGGTTTCATATCGGCTTCGGACTTCCGCAATTTCTGCGCGGATACGATCTTGCAGCTCAGGATGGTTACACAGCTCAAATAGACACCAGGTGAGCGTGGACGCGGTGGTCTCGTGTCCCGCCAATGTAAGTGAACTGTCGCCATGAAGAGTCAATATGATTGCTGCAGGACGGAATAAAATGAACTGACGCTATCTGAGCAAGGACCTCATCGTCACTTAGTCGTTTCTTCTCTTCCTCCTGGGAATTTGCGCGCGCTACGACATTCAATGAGCTCGAGTACAATGCAGCTAACAGCAGTAGCTCACCTAGGATACTCAGAACATCTTTACCTGTTGATGAATCTAGTTCATCGTTTCCCTCGACGTTCTCTTTGAGCAGTTCCTGTCCAACCTTTTTTGCAGCGACATTGAAACTTGAGAAATGCGTCTTTTGTCTGGAAGGAATGAGATCCAAGAGTTGGAGAAGAGGCTTTGGCATGATTCTTGGCAACGCCGAGAATAGTATTCCAGCGCGAGAGGGAAATATTCCTGCATCATGGCTGGAAGGAAATAAGGCAAACAAAATAGTCAAATAAGAGGGTATTACAAACAATAAATTGTTCAGTGTGTTAGCCAGATTGTTATTTTCGTCATCGAGTGCGCCGTATTGGTATCCGAAAGCACCTTTGACTGTCATTAGCACTGAATAATGGTATATTCCAGAGGGGCCCACTTTCGCCAATAATGTCCAAAGTCAGCTTTCCAAGCCATAGCGTTATATTGATATTTGATTGTCCGCCTTCCGCCATGTCAGTGAGCTTTTGAGAGAGCTAGACAGTTCGTTAGACCGTAAGTTACGATTCAAGGTCTACCAGAGAGACATACCTTCCTCGCCGAGCGTTGGAAAAGGACCAGAAAAGTCCGGAGCTGTGCTGCTGAGAATGCGGGATTCATGACTTTCCTGTGACGTTGATGAACAGACCCTGTAGAAAAAACGTATTGAGCAACAGGCGCTGCTAACCAACTGAGACGGAACTTCACCAGCTACTGTAATGATTCCCTTCCCGAATAATATGTTCAGGTTATAATCTGAATCCGCAGCTTTGGGGTAACGGTATCCAGAGCCGTGAAGAACATGCTGTAAACCTTTCGGATCACCGAGGACCAACGTATCTTTCTGTAGCCGACATTAGCTATCTGGCTATAGGGGCATATGCGAAGTTACTAACACCGTAGCAAGCCGCCCCACGAAACGCTGGACCGTATTCGCGAAACCAAAGAAAATCCAAATCGCCTACTTGATCTTGATACTTAATCGCATATTCATTACCTTGAAAAACAAAATGAGGCAATGTTACAGCCGAAGACAAGACTCACCAAGAAGCCAGGATTCCGCTGCAGGTCCTCGAAGTTGGTTGACTACAGAACGTTTTCGTCTGGAGATTAAAATAGTGATGGCAATGGCCAGAAGAGCGACGATAAACAGAGAAGTGGGCTCCATCATTGATACTTCGATCTCTACGCCGCAGGAGCTTTATAGTTGGAATGCAAAATGAAGCGACGGAAGAGGATCAAGCAGAAGGTCCTTCCAGAATATCAGGCTTCATTCCCATACCAAGCCGAAGCGAGGAAATGGGGCCTGGAGCCGCATTGCGAGGCCAAAAGGCTGCTCGGACATAAGCAAATTTGAGTCAACGGCCCAGCACGCGGCTCGAACGTCCTCAGAAGGAATTATTCTCCCCCCGGTGATGGACCTTCGACCAAAGACTGGAGTTAATGATGTCGCTGTTGGACTGATGTGGGGGCGAGTCGTATAAGTGTCTTCTGGAGGTATTTTGCCTGCCAACCAGTCTGGTTAGGGTCTAGGTATGCAAACAACGGAGAATTAGTGATAAAACGCCCTAGGAGAATTCTCGGGTTTTTCCGGTCCTGTTCCTACCAGTGCTGTCAGCCGGCGGCACAATTCATTCTCTCAGCTGCCAAACGATATCTTTCTGCAACCTGTGCAAATAAATGTGTATGTCATTCGAATTTCCGCACATACAAAGTTCAGCGTGGTGCCATATGGCAGCCGGAGCCAATTGCAAACCTTGAAAACCCCGGGAGTTTTTGGTCTTCTTACAAAAAGACAATGTGCTGTGTTTTATGGGGATAGCGGAAGCCTAACGCGGAATGACTTGGTGGGCCATAGAAAACACGGGCGCCAGTACACAGCAACTTCGTAAGTCTTACTGAGAAAGCATAAGTCTGACATACTCGCCCAAATGTTTGCTACCTAATATCTATGATGTGGATTTTCGGCACCGCTACTAGCACCCTGGATTTTCTGTCGTTGTCTACCCTAGATCCTCGGCTTGTTATTTGTAGCATGACATGTTCCCAATGATCCACCGGGCCAAGGGGAAGTTCCTTCTTTGGCATCGCAATTTGGCCACGAACCCAAGGATATACCGCGACGTTGTAGGTCATCATCTTTCCTTTACCTGCTCCCTATCACCTGCGAATGTCTTAATACCGACCCTGTAGCTCTTGTTTTTTGGAAGCCTGGTTGGACCGATGAGCCGGGTTCAATGGACTCATAACTGTGGACCTTCTTGTCTCGGCTAGTCGAATTATCAGTCGATCTTGGTTCTGTCTTATCTATTACACCACTAGCGTCTGCGAGAGGCCTGGCGTGCGGTCGACAGTCGCACAGCCTTGCTGACATGTTCGCGCCAAGGTATGTAGTGACTCAGTTTTCGACCTGGATTAGCACTGCATCGATCACATTGAAGGGGTGCTTCCCTCTGGTTCTTTCGTTATCCTGGCAATGGCATCACGGTCTCCTGAGTGCAAAGCCAGTAGGTCCTGGTTTTTCAATGAAGACTATTATCCAAAATGTCGTCGCCTTGTGGCTTGTCAAGGAATAGGAACATCCTAAAGTTCGTACACAAACGAGAACTGGAAAACGTTAGATGATGACTTTTTTAGTAGATCGAAGCTACAATTTCTACTACTACTAGTTGGAGCGAACAGGTAAATTGATAATCTAGGTCTATAAAGTGGCGAGACAGAAGGAGCGATACTTTTCTCTCCCTCCTACTACTACGACCCTAAGTACAATCGACAGAAAGTTCTTGGTACACTTCTGCTTTCTGTACGTCGATGCTGGTAGATAATTGACGCTTCCGGACATTCCTGACACTACGATTTCAAAAGATAAATTATCCTACGCAATTGACATCGTATTTCACATTTCAGTCATGCCACCGATACAGGCAATAACATTGCTCTTCGCCCCGCAGGTTCCGATATATCCGTAGCCGAGCCCATGCCAACAAAGTTGTGCTCATCGTTCATAGCAGGTGGGAAATCAGGCGGTCTGATCCTTTTCAAGAGGCTGTCTCTCTGCCTCTCGATGTATGCTTTATTCATTGGTGTGAGAGGCACCGAAGGGATGTACATCACTGCATCATTGTTAGTATCAGCGAGGGGTGCCTTGCGGATAGAATGCGCACCACAAGAATCTTCCTTTCCGGTATGTTCGACTTCGACGGCATGAACCATATCACAATGCCAAAATACGGTGTCACCTGGAAGAACCTTTGGTACCGAAATCATGGTTTTCTCCAGTTTGAGGTGAGGATGCATGTCAGGTGTTGGCCTCGGCCCGGTGTAACCGCTTCCCAAGGGAATGATGCCAGGGAAATCCGGTATCGAGATATCTATGCGAGAATATAGTTACTTAGGCTGCGCAAGATGGAGATGTACACACCATACTTCCAGTTTTTCGCCTTCAAAATTTCGGGAGAGTCGGCTGGGACAAGAGGTTGAAAGAATGGCCGCAGCATAATGTACACATTGCTCATGATTACGTTGGGGAAGAATTGAATAGTACCCTCGGTCGGGGCGGTCTCGCTGTTGCGGGCATGGAAGCAATTATCCTAGTCTTTACACTGAAGACGCATACCTAATCGCAAGCCATCCCTGGAAAGTCCGAAAGATCGTAGCCTTTACGGTGCTGTGTTAAGCACCCCATGCTGTTTCTTTGATGACGGATACACACCTGTCCTACTCTGTTATGCAACGAACTTTTCGCATTAATCCTTCCGCGCAAATCGTACGGGTCATGTTTCTTCCAGTTGCCTCCGAAGACATCCTTGTAGACTGACCGGAACGATGGATCTTCCCACCGTTCGATTGCTCCGCCTACACCATAATCCATTGCCTATCAGTGCAACAGAAATCAAGGGAACAGCACTTAGGCTTACCATCAATGTGTGGTGGATGGATGTTCCACTGCACCCCAGGATGTCTCATTCTGAGCCTATCGGCATAGCTCAAAGGCTCGGATAGATTCACTCCATCTGTTTCCAATTCGCCATCATAGTGATAAATCTGATTTAACCAGGTCGACACCTTGAGCATATTTGGATGTGCTCTAGCTTCTATCTGAGGTTTCGTCCAGCTAAAAAGGATTAAAACCGCGGAGTTTGTATGCTGGTACACCTACAAGAGCTGGAAGAACTGTTTGTTGTCGCTCGGAAACCCCTCGACATCAGGATTCGCCGCGACAAATTCTTGAAGGCCGTGTCTCCACGCAATGGCTTGTTGGTCGTCTACTACATTACGAATAACGACGCATCCCTTCCTCTTGATCTCTGTCTTTTGCGCCTCGGTTAAGTTTGTCAACTCAGCGAAATCAAGTTGGGGCAGGTACTGTCAAAACGATATGAGTATGGATGATAAACGATGAACCCAACGTACACACATTGGCGCCTTGTTTGCTAATGGTCTCAGTGACCACCGCTAGTTCGGCGATAACCTCTTTCCATGCCTTCGTGACGTTCGCCTCAAAGTCAGGGTAGGAAGCGGCGATATCTTCTTTCAGCTTCAGCAAATCTGCAGGTCCAAGCATAGCTGACTGTCAACGCGAGAATATAGAAGGTGCCAGGGTCCTCATAAGAACGGCAAAGTATTCATCCCCCAAAAGATAAGAGAACAATTGATAAGTGATTTGGGGTAATGCTTATACCAGCGTCTCCCACAGAAGTCACATAACTAGTCAACGTCCTCAACGTCACCCGGTCATAAGTGCGATCACGATGTCAAGGACAAGATAACAGAACTCACTTTGCTCCTTGAATAAGTGCCGGCGGTGCTGACACGGCACACCCTCCTGGTCACTGGACTACGAAAGAGATTGTCAAATTACGAAACATACAGTAAGAACCTGTCCAATACACAGAAAGATATGAACGTAGATCAGTAACGCGCTGCTGGTAGATGTAACATGCTGAAGTGCGAAGCCATTGGTGTTATTGCTCTTCTGCGAATTCTTCTTCCGCATACTCTGCTCCCTCCTCCTCAAGATACTCCTCTTCATCTTCCACCGTTGCCTCTTGATACTGTTGGTACTCCGCTCTGTGATACCGAAGCCTGCATGAGAATGACACCTTTAGAACGAATCTGGTACATACATCAGATCAAGCGTGTTACTCTCCGCTTCCGAGAATTCCAAGGGATCCATCCCTTCCCCAGTATACCTTCGAGCGTGATGAGGAGAGTTGTTTCAATAGTAGAGAAAACCCTTACCAATGCATGAAAGCGCGGCGTTTGAACATCAGCGAAAACTAGTAGTACATCGTTAGTATTTGTATGTGGATGTACTTGCTCATCAACGCACCGAATCTAGAGTGCGCTGGAATAGTTCCTGAATGGAGGTAGAGTTCGCGAGTCCCGTCGCGGCCTAGCGCTATGTTCAGACATTGAAATGTACAAGAGAGATTTACCAACCTGTTTCTGGCCCACGGGAGGCACCGAAACGATGGACACAGAAACGTTGTCGGGAATCCACCTAGAATGTCGTTAGTTGCTACATGGCGTATATATGTGGCGTAGTACACTCACTCGACGAATAGTTGGGAGTTCTTGCTTTGGAGGTCATGGACCGTGACCTGATATTGTAAGAGGAATGTCCAAGATCTGGACTATAGCACCCACCTCGGCCTGAAAAAACAAAGTTCATAAGCAAGACTGATCTAAGGAAATGCCAAGGAGAAGAGCTCTTACTTCGCGTGAAGAAATCTGTCCTCGGAAGATTGTGTATGCTGTAAGGTAGCGCCTTATACAAAGTTAAGACAAAAGAAAGGTTACACGAGGCCCCAGCGTACCCAAATCGTGGATCACAAGCGACTAGTAGATTTCTGCGATCGAAAAGTCTGCGAGAGGTTAGACACAATAGACAGTCCAAAGAGACAGGCGCTTACGCAGTCGTCAGGTCTGACACGCTCATCCTTTCGAACGATCTGGACTTTGGATCAAACAGAGGTGCGTAACTTGGCATGAGGAAATGTAGCTGGGAAAAAATCAGAGAGCCATCGCTGTGCAAACTGGTAACACTAACCCGAGGGAACGGGACCAGATTCATCCCCATTTTCCGTAAGTCGCTGTATGAAGGGATGAGCTCTGCACCACGGTATGCGTAATGATACTGACCCGTTAAGCTGACCAGGGAAGCGAAGGCTTGTACTGACCCCACACATCACTTTCGAAATCACCTGTGCATGCACGATCGTTAAAAGGACCACCATACACAAAAATTGAACTTGCTTGGTTCAAGTCGCTGAAAGACGGGCTCTTGACATGTAAGGTTCGCTGATTTATATCATACAGCGCTTCATTGTCAATGCAAATCGTCAAGTCAGTGTTATCCAAAAGTTGGTGTGTAGAGAGCATCGCATTATACGGCTAAAACCAGCTTATTGGTGAGAACAAGGCATACTTTGACATTGGGAACACATACTTCGACGACGGTTTCCGATACCTTGGGCGAGGGCATGATGGAAAAGGTAGCAAGCATGCGGTCGGGGTATTCCTGAAGTCTTGTTAATGTGGCTCAGGTGCAGAAGCATCGAAGCGTACCTCTCGCAGCTTTGAGAGCAATAAACATCCAAGACCCGATCCAGTCCCTCCTCCCAGTGAGTGGATGAGTTGGAACCCTTGTAGGGCATCGCAGGCCTCCGATTGTCTCCTAATCGTCTCCTACGAAGAGATATTTTAGACCGTACAAGATCTTGGTGAAAACAGCATACTGACTAGAATCCCATCTACGAGCTCGGCGCCTACGAATCTGTTGTTGAGTAAACGTAAAGAATATGAAAGTCCTCAGGAACGAATGACCTTCAGTGTAAACTACAAAGATTTATCAGCTCAAGGAACTTTTCCGGGACGTGCCACTTACATCCTTTGGCCCAGTTGTTTCCCGCACCGGACTCGGCGGAGACAAACGTATCGGGTCGAAAAAGGTTGCCCAGCTTCCCGCTCCTCACCTGGAGAGAAATGCTCAGTCCAGATCTCCACGATACAGCTAGATAGGCCTACCCTGTCTAAAACGCCAACCTCTAGATCCACTTGGACGGATCGAGGAACATAACGACGCTGGCCAGAAGATTCTACCTCCGTAAAATATGTGCCAACCTGCGATGGTATTCCATGACGTGAAATCAAGAAAATCGGAACGTTACGTACTCGTTGGAGTTCCAGATCATTCTTTCCTCTGTAAACCTACAAAGGTTGAGTCGTATCGATCGTATGAATCCCCGAAAGGAACGGCGTACTCCAGAAGTATCAATCCCATGTTCTGCAAGGATCATTGACCAAAAGTTTTCCCCGACCTGGTTGCCCGCCTAAAAACACCGTAAATTCAACATATGGAACGATATCTCCCAGAGTCGATTATCGCACCTGGCCAATCTATACTACCTCGTCAGTCATATAGTTAGGATGATTCGAGATAAATTCTCTACCTGAAGATTGATGATTTCCCGGGAGGCGCCCATGATTGACAGCGGATGGTGTCGGTACAGAGACAAGTCTGAGTCTGACAGTGACCGTGACTGCAGACTGACAGGCCTCGGCACCGGCCTGGGTTGACAGAGAATTCATCACGTGATACGCGTTTTAGGCAATTACGTCAGTTCAACTACCCAATCGCCAATTGGACTCGTCGCTGCTGAGTAGCACGATACAGGTGGACGATGCTGCCAAATTTCCATTGGATCTTATAGAAATCATCGTTACAATTAGACCAGACTTGTAAAATTTTCTGATCTCGTTTGCAAGGCCCTTCAACTGGATACTCCAAGAAAGTACTGGTCAGTTGTACGTATTGGCTTTGAAATGGGAAAGATTGTGACGCTCTGTGTTACTTTATTCTGATACTTGCATCCCAATGCTCGCAAAAAAAGAGAGGAAGATGCATCCAGATGAGCTGAAATATATGAGAGGTTTGATCAGAATGCGTATACTTATCATCAAATTCATCACATACTTCTTCAAGGCTTTTCCAAGCGTTTCAGTAGTTCCTCACGTATCTTCTCTTCAAGTCCACAGACCCTTTGATATACAACGCAGCGGATGCACTTCAGCAACTTCTTTCTGCCAACGCTAGTGTCGTTCAAGGCCCTTATACGTGCGTCTTCCACATAGCACTTTGCTCGCGCCTTGGCACAATCTTTGTACTAGGAAGGGCAAGTACCATAGGATATAGACAACTCTCGAAGTAGATACTAGATCACTTACAGACTCGGAAGGACTTAGAAGTTGTTTAGGCTGATTCATCAATTTTTGCTCCGCTTCTCTTGTCTTTCCTATCCGGGGGTGTTTCTTGCTGTTGGGAGCTGAGGCAACTCTGCGCGCACGGAGATCACCCGTCTCGGGAAGGCCACTTGCTCGACATCGGCGCTTGCGCAGGCGATCCTCCCCCGAGGGCTTGGACTGGTTAGAAACGATGATAGGATCTTCGACATGCCCCTCCTTCTCCTGTGCACTGTCTTGCGACCCATCAGAAACATAAGGTTGACCGTCGTCCTGTTCCTCAGCAAGAGCGTCATTGCGTAGCTGCGTCAAGGATCCAGGTCCTTCCTTCTTCTTCCAGTTCTTGGCATTATCACGGAGACTCTTCCAGTTTTCCAAGGAGCCATTGACGCCGTACATTCCATAGGGAGGCTGATTAAAGAGTCTAATTTTCGGCAACAAGACATCCTGTAAATGAAGGCGCGCTTGGTTGGGAACTTCCTAGTCGGCCCTCGATGCTCAAGATGGTCCAACGTACCATTATGTCAGAAAGCTCTTTGCAATGCCTGTATTTTCGCCAAGTGGCCTCCTGAGTACTGTCTGGTCCTCGCGTGTAAACCTCAGCGAGTCGGCTCAAGTCCTCATTCGTAACCGTCAGATCTGGAAGTTTTGGTCCTCCTTTTATCTTGAATAAAAATGGCTGCCTGTCAATAAAGAAGGGCTGGTTGTCCTCCATCGATGATCGAAAGATTGAGTTGTGTGTTTTCTGCAAATATCGATGTTCGGGACAATCTGACTTTCAGCTGCAAGTCGGCATTCTCTGGAGGACATCAGTTTTATGCATGAACTATAACACTGGCAACCAATCGTCCTTTGCTGTCATGTTCAATTCTTTCACTGAATACTATACAGACGAATGTACATACCTGAATTATGTCCAGTTGGATGTAAGCTTTGGCAAGTCTGCAGTGACCGCCCAAGTTACGTTCAGTTGCACTTTGCCTGCTGAAAAACCTTTTTCATGAATAGGATATTCCCTTAATCATGCGCAGGAGCACTGCAGGAGCAGTCGCACCCCAAAGACGTTGACAAATAGTACCAAATAGCCCCTATGAATAGCTGAATCCCTTTTTCACTCAACTCTCACTTGATTCACTAAGTATGTCGGCTATTCGGCTATCTCGTCTTTCACTCTGTCAATACCTCTAGGACGGGCTACATCAAGGACGAAGCGATGATGAAACAGGTCAAGGCCGCTACTGGCAAGTATGTCAAAGGCGACATACAAGAGCAGGACCGCCGAGAGTTCAAGGACGCCAGGATATTTGTGTCCGGTCAGTACACTATTGATTATCATGGCATCTTGAATTGCTAACTCTACACAGAGACCATCATTCCTATCGAGTATACTGAGCCTAAAGACACGGCGAAAGTTAAGACGTTGGGCACAGATCCGTCCGCTGGGGGTATTATTTTTGTACCTGCTCCCATCAGCATCCCACAGGATCAACTGCTTAACAATGCCCCCATCCCGGCTCCAGCTCCCGCCCCCTCTTACACCCCTATTTCCACTCCCGCTGCAGATCTTGATGCGGTTGCGAACGTCAACTGCAGGCTTGACGCTCTCCAAGGGAAGATCGAAGATTTGACAAGAGATAACAAGGACTCGAAGCAGGAATTAGCGGGGTTCAAGCAGGAATTAGCAGAGTCGAAGGACAAGCTGGCCACTTGGCAGAAATTATCTGAAGAACGAGAAGCTGCTTATGATGATATACGAGGATGGCTAGTAACCGTGCGTGCATCTGACTGGTCACTTTGTACTCGTTAACCTGATCATCTTTCTTAGAACGATACCAAGTATATGGACCGCCTCCGGCTACGGCAGAATAACCTAGGACAGGCATGCCTCGACCTTCCAAATCAAATCGACCTTCAGAGCCAACACGCGGAACTCGGAGCGAGTCGTACTGTGCACCCTGCACAGGTAGACTCAACGACATACAGTGAAGTTGTTGCGCGCCAGCCAGATGACCAGCGGACTTTGATACAAGCATTTATCGATTACAGTCTCAAGTTCCGCCCATAGACTAAGATATTGTCACTTCCCCCATTTTTATTGCATCCATTATTGTCACCCAAGTTTACATTGATTTGTTGCTGTCAAGTTTTGTACACTAAATATTATGTACCTATACCATATTGCATTGTAGTAGTAAACTGGGCATCAGTGCAAGTGATCGCAATCGAAAAGAACGTTAGCTCCTTGGACATCGACCACCACTATCCTCCACTATCTGGTATAACGGACATTAATCTGCTCTCTCTCTCTCTCTCTTCACAATCCTGAACTATGGAGCTCGTTGCTGTCGTAAAGGCGCCGCAATTTCTTAAAACCGCATCGTCGACTTGGATGGTCCACCGCTGTTTTTCAGAGTTTCAGCATCAGGCTCACGCTTTGCAACCAGCTCTGCGTACAAAAGGCATCATATAAGGACCTCGTCTAAAGCTTCTTCCACTGTCAAAGGCGAAGCTCATCGTTGGTCACAGTCGCTTTTCTACGGGATTGCTATCGTCATACTGAAAATGAGTTTTTAGATGCAACGGGGTTTCTTTATGTGCGGCGTACTGGTGAGTAATACGCGTTCTCCTTCACCGAACCTGATTGACATTGGTACAGAAGAATTTCAGCTCGTGCTCCATTTTCGCCATGATGTTGATTATGGCCACCCGTGAATTCGAATCGATACTTTGGGAAGGCTCGCCCGTTGCAGGTTACCGCCGCATGTTCGCTGGAGATCTAGGGGCTGTGGCTGTACCTAGCACTGACAGAGGAATGGATATCGGTGAGTAGCAGTTTCGGCGTCATTGTATGTGGTGTCTAACTGTGATGCAAACAGACCTGCAGTCTCTGTCAAGGTCAGAGATACCCCTCCCTGCACAATCTTACTTCGACCCCCTTGCGCCCCAGCTGTTCGTCGACGAATGACGACGGAAATCACTGTAGACCAACTGTGCCGAAGTTTCTGCTTTCTTGGTGTATGGGCGAAGCTCTCTGCCTGGAAAATTCATCATCGACTTGTATGGTGTACCACCGGTCTTCACTATCTCAGTAGCGGTTGCAGTATTTGGCTCATTCGGCAAAGAGACCCCGTTTCTTACAAGGCGAGGCGACTTGCCGTCACCCATTCGGATCGATCGGCATTCTTTATGTCCGACCTGAGATGCTCGTGGTGAGGAATATACTTTCAACTTCACTCTTGGGTTGATTGACGCTAGCACAGAAGAATTTCAACTCTGCCTCATCGCCATATTCTGCTAGAGCACATCTTGGATGCTCGGGAAAACCGTGCCCTAGGTGCCCGACATCATGATAATGACGTTGATCATCATCCGTTGAATCATAATGTGGACAAACCGCCTCGATAAAGGTATCAGACTTCTGCACGCGGTGTCAAGTGAGCCGTCGCTGCATAGTGTTGGCCATGTCGGTGAGTATCAGTTTCGCTCTCATTATATGCAGCGCCTAATTGTAAGATAAACAGCCCTGTAGTCTATGTCATGTCCCCACGGGTGAATAGTTCATCGACGGAAGACAACCCAACATATATGCATCACTGCAGACCAACCATCGCCGAAGCTCCCGTTTCCTCGAGCGACACTGCCCTTGTCATGGTGGCTATTTATGTGACGACCAACAATCTACCCATAAGTCCCTAGTCGCATCGCACTGCCTGCCCTTCGAGCGGGTCTCCTCACAAATTTTCCTCTATTCGCGTTCGACCATGAGAGCAGTCGTTCTGGCTGGCGTCATCATGCCAGCGTATGTCTTAGCGTATGCTGTCGAGCATATAACGACTATGCCTCCAGTAGCAAGACAACTTCCTGCTGGTAAGCTTCGTGGTCTTCGCCTAACAAGAAGGACTTAATCCCTGTCATCAGGTCTGTCAAGTGCACGAGAGTATCTCTCATCCTGCGGAAATTCCTGTACCGATATCGTCCAGTCCCAATACCAGAGCGCGCGCCTGGATATAAATCCGGATGACCAATACTGCAACAACTACGGAAACACCCCAGGAGAAGGTGCATGCTATGTGAATTATCCCTTCTTCCCGTTCTCAGAGGCTGTTATCCTTACACTTATATCAGTGCGGCAACTACCTTGATGATGGACGTCGTGTATCATCCCTCTCCGCTTGCATAGTGAACACATGCACTGAAGCCCCGAAAGATGTCCTGGACTTCATTGATGTCACGGGCCAGTTCATACCTCAGATGACCGGACAGCTCAACCTGCTGTGTCCCAATAGTATCAATGCACTCGCGTTTACCGGGGACGTGCAACCTCCTTCGTCTGCTAGCGCCACCATCACATTTAGCTCTACTTCGAAACCCACTTCAAAGCCGAGTTCGAGTTCTGCTACGCCTAGCTCATCCAGTTCTTCTACTGTGTCGTCCACGTCCACATCCACGTCCACGACTGCATCGTCGACTTCGACTGCGTCACCCACATCCTCACCGGACTCTGCAGCAAAGATGCCTGTTCTCATAGACTCAGTCTACCTCGCTACCGCGCTCTGTGGTGTGATCATGGCTGTTACGGCGTATATGCTTTAGGTTCTCCGTGCAGCTCGGTGAAGTTGTGTGGTCCTTAGCAACAAAGACTTTTTGATTTCCGTCTGTTATGAAATTCCATTTATATGCCTGTATCCGATCGACTTGTGGTTAAACAATACAATGGGGTTCACTTTAAACGCGAGTGGGAGTGGAAATACTCGAGCCTTCCGTCTAAGCAGGCGTAGCATGAATCCAATTAACCACACCCTCTGCCCATTGCTCTCCTTGTCCAGTTTCAAGTGCAAGAACTGGACTGACATGGTTATGCCCTTTTGCGATGAATTCGTCATACGATATCCCTTTCTTCGTCAACGCTTCCTTGAACTTCTCCAAAGCAGGCGTCAAGCAAGGGAAATCCCTCTCCGCGATACCTAGCAACCACCTTCGTGTCAGAACAGCTTCGTCTTTCGCTAAATTCAGTAACTCCAAGGGAAAGGTTCCCTTGGCTTCAGCATCTCCACTATAATACAGCCTTACTGCGTCCTTCATATCCGCCGGCATATCTTCAAAGGTATACGGTCCAGCTAAGAGGATCGCGCCTTTGATCCTGGGGTGCAGGGAGGGGGAGTACAGTTCCGGGAGAACGAGAAGGGTAGACTGTTCATCGCCCCGGCGGAATGGCCAAGGACATAGATGTCGGATTTGAACTGGAGAATGTCGACGACCCATTGCATCGCGTCACGGACATCCAGGGCTGCATCTGGGAAACGCATTCCCGAGTCCACAAGACGGTAGTCGGGGATGACGGTGATTAAACCGCGTTTGGAGAAGAAGGCACCGAGGTTACTGTAGATGATGTCGGCGCGCGCGGGGAGGTTGCGCGCACCCATGTAGAAGCCGCCGCCGTAGGAGAAGAAGAGGATGGGCGGATGTCCTGATGTTGGATTTGTGGGGGGATAATATACATCGAGCTGGTTTGTGAAAGCCGGTCAGTGCGGTGGTTGTTATACCGTGAGGAATTTTTACCATGTGCCTCTCTGTTGGTCCGTACTGGTGAGTTTCCTTCTTGGTTTTCTCGATATCCGCTCGCTTAGTCTCGAGAATAGGAACAAGTATGTTTCCCGCTATTGAAGGAATTCTAGTCAAGTACAACAAAAGCTGAAGGGAAAAAAACTTACTGGGCAAGAAAACGTCATTTATTTCTCTCCCTTGAATTTGCGCTATTTGATCCATATTTCTTTGTGCTGTCAAGCAACACCATCGCCCTTGCACTTTATAGTACGATGACCAGGGCGGTATGCCTTAGCTAGGTGGGTACGATTGGTGAGCTGTGGACCCGACTCGGACTACGATGACTGAAGTCACTACAAGGACCGACTTTGTCGGAGCTTGCTACTAACATTGGCCACCTTCGACGCGAAGAGGACGGTGCATCAGACCCAGGGTGGGGAAGACTTAACTTGGCGGCCACTGAAAGTTTTGTAAAGACCGCTTAGCACGGTTCCAGAAATTAAAGGGCGCTATACTTGGTGATACTATGGTTGGAATTTTGGGACACTACAATAAGGTAAAATGCGCCCCTCAAATCGACAAGTACTACTAACCTCAGAAGCGGGAAACATCAAACAAAACTATCATTGGTCTATCGCATCAAATGGGAAGCAGTTTTTGTCAGTTATTTGCTCCTTGTAGATGAAACTCGCGTGCCGAGAGACAACATGTGCCGAAGCAATAAGATAATATAAGCAATGGATAATATTCTTGAAGTTCTGATAAGGCCCAAGAAACTCCGTTATAGCCATTGCCATCGAATACTTACCATTTCCCCCTCTTTCGTACTTGCTCAGCACCGCCGTTGTCGTTCTGAAGAAGCACTGGATCCAGGAGACCGACATGATCTCCTCCAACCATCTTTTTACCTGGTTACATGATCAACGGCCAATTTCACTGCACCGGTATACATGTCTACCGATCCATCTTTGACCTTGAAATCAATCATACAAATTCTTTTGCGGACGCCCGAGTGTCATGCCTGACTGTCTAAGCACGTATCCTTTTCAACACTGGCGTGCTTGGCGTTACCGGCTACCTCCGTGAAAGAGCGCTTGTAAAGATGTTCAAAAGCAAGATATGGTTGGAACGGTTGTAGGGTATCATGACACTGAGATGAGTAGGTCAAGTCGCGAAGCACTACCGTTGCGCTCTGAGTGTTTCAATGGCAGTGATCTGCACCCCGAGTCGCCATGCCTCAAAGACTTATAACCACATCACCTTGCATCCCTTCTTCGTTTCCCCACGCAGGTCGTGCCAAACGGATCGCGCTGGACGCTTCCCACTCCACATAATCACAATAACGCACAGAGGCACAGATATATTCATCGCCTTCTCCCAACTATGGTCGCCAGGCTGCGTACCGCCATTCACTTCGCCGCCATCCTCTTTTCTCTACAAGCTGCTGCTCTCCCAGCCTTTCACATATATCTACGGGACGATGACCCTTCCTCGACTCTTCCTGATCCAGACCAGAACCAAGACATCGAGAGCGTCAGGGACTACATGGGGAAGGCCCTCCAAGCCTACCTCGCGACCCAGAACACGCAGAAGAACGCGACGTTCATCGCAGAGACAGCGTGGCGCGCGATTGTCATCGACACAAAGGGTATCGAGGATAGCGCGGATTCGGCAGGAACTGATGTTATGACTGGAGGCGACTCAGCTGGAGACGATGTTATGACAGGCAATACGAAGAGGGACATTGATGAGGATGGAAGCTACGGCCAAGAAGAATGGTGGAAAAGGTATTCTGATGACGATGACGAGCTCATGGGCAGTGCCTTGGTCGGCCGACAAGAAGATACAGAGCTCGGAGACACTGGTTCTGAGGACACCGGTTCTGGTGATACAGAATCTTTAGACTCGAGCTCCGGAGACTCAAGTTCTGGTTCCGGAGAATCGAACTCTAGCTCTGAAAGTTCCGAAGACACTGCAATCGCTCTCGCCAATAACGACGTATACCATCTCTTCGATAAAATATCATGGTCGAAGGACGATCACATTAACTTCTTCAGTGATGAATACATCCAGTTCACCAAAGAAATCGGCCATATCTATTCGGGGAAGAAAGCTACTGAAGCCGAGTCGAAGGAGCTCAAGACATTGGCCGACTTGCAGAGCACGTTGTGCACCGTACAGCTCTCCGACGTCACCGACAAAGCATACTACTACTACGAACGCATGAAAAAATACACCGACGAGGACGCTGGCAGTCAGTCCAGCCAGGATTTCCAGACGTGGGTGTCGACGGGTTATGCCAATTACAAGATGACATACGACCAATGTCAACTGGCACTCAACAAGTACAACAATCTCGCCGACAAAATCTTTGGAAATTTCCGCGGTCCGATCAACGCTGCCTTGCGTAACATCGAGCCCTTGGATTCAGGACAGGTCGAAGTCAGCGGTGTGAATATGATGCTCGGATCTGGGACCGGATCGCTAACGGGTCAGGGGATGTCGGTACCGTACTATGCCCTTCCTGGAGCTAAGGGCACGGTGGCAGCATGGAGGAAACAGGCACAAACCGAGGGCGAAGAGGAGTCAGGTGGAACTTTGAGAAAGAGGAAGACCGAAACTGGGGGCGGGAAAACAGATTCGGATAATGGAAAGACGGGTGCAGGCGATGATAAGTCAGGTACGGGTAATGATACGACAGCAGGTGCGGGCGATGGGAACACGGATACTGGAGGGGCTGCAGGAGGGGCCCTGGGTGGAGTTTCCGGAGGAGGTTCAGGTGGCGATACCGGAGGAACCTCAGGAGGTGATACCGGAGGCGACACCGGAGAAGGCACGGGTGACGAGTCTGCGGGCGAAAGCACAGAAGATTCGGGAGGTGATGGAGGTGACGCATCGAGCGGAGGTTCGACAGACAGCAGCAACGGAAAGGCTACATTCAAAGTTCCACCGGGGTACTTCTCCTATATCAGCTCCTCAAAGTCTGGGAGCGTTGAAGGGGAAACCGACAACGGCGGCGGCGGGGTCAGCTTTGGATTCAAGGATTATGCGTCCATCGGAGTGGGCGCTGACAGCAGCAAGACCAGCACATCGACCGAGCTGAAGATGAAGAGTTTCAGCATCGCATGGAAAGCTGCGCTTCTCCCAGTCCAGCGGGGGATTTGGTTCGATGGTTACCGGGTCGCGAGTCTGATGTCCAACCTCGGGCAAACCGGCAGTGGTGACGACGACAACGACAAGGAGCTCGATGCAGAGGCCACAAAGTCATTCGACAAGTGGTTCGGCACCGAAGACAGCCCTGGTCCCGCCGCCGAGTACAACGACATTGCGCTCATTATCTATCGTCCGATCTTCACAATGGAGTTCTCCGACACAAAGACGTATCAGGAGTTCAAGGAGACGAAGGCTTCCGCTGGAGTGTGCTTCTTCTTCATTTGTGTCGGAGGAAATGGGGGAAGTAGTAGCAACAAGACAACGTTCAGCGAGACGTCGAGCTCGGTAACGTATGAAGACTTGTCAGATAATGTTTACTACGCGGGAAGTTTGAAAGGCTCTTTCTGGACACAGTCAGGCGACAGTAACTCAGAAGAGACGCAGGTGGAAAGACGGCTGCTGGACTGGAGGTACGCTACCCCTGCCTCATGGTAGGCGACCAGGACTAACTTGAATTCCCAGGCCGTACTGATCTGCTGATGCAGAGGACAAGGACGCGTGTGTTTACTATAGTTTCATCAATATTTCTGTATTTCATAAAATGCTTGGACATGTCCCACCCTTTGTGTTTTTCGGTTTTTCGCAAATTAGGACTGCGCACCGTCGCCATATTGCAGAGTGACACGGATTCCATGTACGGTATACGTACCGAAGCCGTGAAGCCTTCAAGTCATACCCTACAATACGACCGTCAATGGCCGTATTAGCGAGGGGATGCTGCAAAGGTCAAGGGCGTGGTTCTGAGCTCCGTTCATGTCTTTACGTGTGTATTGAGCCGACTTTTCAATCTTATTGCATGTCTCGTGCGCTTTCGACGAATTTACGACCTGAGGCGATCCTTCTGAGGTATTACGAGATTATGGCATCGGAAGCCTGTGCTAGCTGCTAAGCCGGTGATCTAACGATACAGGGTGTAGGGAATACGAGGAGGCGGATTTCACTGTAGTATTATCAATATTGCTGCCTTTTACTGTGCCACGTATAGATTGGACTTGCCTTATCCTGTCGAGATATGCCATATTCAGGTGCTGCTTCTCGCATCGTCGGTAAGACCTGAAACCTGGGACTCCCTTCGGGATGTTTGCGGACAAACGATATCGAAAATACGATCAATGTTGGAGCCTTGACACGAACAAATTTTCAGGACTAGCTGAGCGCGGCTGAAGCGAAAAAGATATCAGATTATAGTTTGTACACGGTTGTTAGGGTATCGATATCGTCCGGCGTTGATAGGCTATATTGCTGGATATTTATGCAAGAATATATCCTTGAGAATAGTCAGAGATGAAGATGATTCTCCACAGGCATGGCAACTCACTACGGTCGGTCAAATCCCGCTATCACTCCGTCGAACACCCGGGCCAGGCGAAGGGGATTGGGGTACACTGACGTCGCCGTTTATTATATCTTGAATCGAAGCCTCGAGAGCGTCAACCCTTGTCGACATTTGGGACACTGTAGGCCGAAGTGAGAGCGGTACACATTACTCGGTATGAAACAGCCTACTGCGATCCAGAATTTGTGTCGACATTTCGTCGAACTTTGCGTCCAGATTCTCGAGTAATGTTTCAACCTGCCAGTGAAATTTAAGTAAGATAATTGCGCCTTTCACTGCGATAAGACACGTACGAAAGCGGTCAGTTCATGAGGGCTGGATATATCCTTCACCACTCCTACCGATACTTTCGCTGGCACTGGTGCTGCATCTCTTTCCTTTTCTTGGGCCTTGGGCGTTGCTTTCGGAGTTGCAGGAGGATTGACTTTGAGTGGTAAAGCTGACGATGCCATGGTGGTAGTTCGAAGTCAAGCCTGTAAGTTATTGGCGTGCCGCTCTTGCCGATGTAGCTGACTTTGAATTATTGACACCGTGGTCGGAGTTTAAAGGTGCCTATTGACCCCCCTGCATCCAAGCTTAACAGGACATTATTTTTGCTCCTTATCATTGCTATTGGACCAACGTAAACTCCCTGTTATTACTGTCGAAGTTTGTGTAGAACGAAGGCTAGCATTAGAGATAACGCCTTCGCCAAGGTATCTTTGTTGACATCATGCATTGATTCGTGACCCTCATTGCTTGAACAATATAGGGCAGGCCTATTTCCTTGGTGAAGTAATAAACACACATCCATGTTTTTGTTCCAATTTAGACCGTCTTAGGGACACGAATGAGCATGAGCCAGCATCGCGTAACTCCGCGCAAACTTTAGATTCCGACCGATATCACAACAATGCTCTTGTGTCGCTCCAAGTATACAGCCACATTAACCCAGAGAGTCCGGTCAATAGCTGCAATGGGGACGCTTCAATTAGACTCGAGACTCAAGGTAGGATTTTTTAAGGATGCCAGACGTGTCTTCCTAATGTTCTCCTCAGCTCCATGATGGAAACAGAATACCAGTTGTCGGTTTTGGTATGTCGTGCATGCAAGTACCGTGCAGTGACTGATCATGAACATCAATAAACAGGCACCTATGAGCTGGATGGCGTGGATGCGTACAATGCTGTTACGTGGGCACTAGAGGTGGATATAGGCTTGATTTATCGATGGTTAACTTAGATTCAGCTGATTTTGATTCTTAACCAGATTGGTTATCGTCATATCGTTCGTATCATCATGCTAGGGTTTTTTGAAACATGAGCTTATCATCCCCCAGGACTCTGCCGAGTGGTATGAAAACGAAAAAGAATACGGTCAGGCTATTCTCAACTTCTGTCGCAAGGCAAAAGTGCCAAGATCTAGTATATTTTTTACCACGAAGCTAAAGATGAATCGGGGGTATGCCCAATCAAAGAACGCCATTCGACGGTCCCTGGATGCTTGCGGATTAGGCTACATTGACCTGTATCTGATTCACGGCCCCCTTGGCGGTCCACAAGCGCGAAAGGACAGTTGGCGAGCTATTTGTGACGCACAAAAGGAGGGTCATCTGAAAAGCATCGGCATTAGTACCTTCGGGATCCGGCATATCCAAGACCTTCTAGACGAAGGACTCCCAGTGCCGACGGTTCATCAGGTAGATCTCCGTATAAAACCAGTATCTGGTCTACTCGATCCGCTAATCACCGCTACAAACAGATCGATTTGCATCCGTTTCAGGTCCGAGGCGACATTGTAGCGTTTTGCAAAAAGCATAACATTGCTCTCGAGGTCTGCCGTGCTACGGGACCTGTGATCCAACGTCATAGATAACATCGCGCTAATCTCTCTTCTGCTCTAGGCTTGGGCACCTCTCGTTAGAGGCTTACGATTCAATCATCCTCTGATCAAATCTCTGGCTAGGAAATACCAAAAAGAGTCTGCTCAGATTCTGCTTCGCCATTCATTACAGAAGGGATACGTGCCTCTTCCAAAGTCTTCGTCGAAGGCGCGCATATTATCAAACACGAACATATTCGATTTCGATTTGACTGATGATGAGATTAGCAGTCTCGATGGTCTCGATGAAGGTATGTCGTTCTTCCAAGCTCCGGGACGAACAAGTGCATCATATCAATCATTCACCTGGCAGGTCTTGTGACGGATTGGGACCCAACCACCTGCCCGTAACAGAGTGTTTTTCCTGGAAGCAACACGAAGCCTTTGCGCATCGCGTTGATGTATGATAATCGTGGAGATCATTCTGCAAGGCCTGTTTGCTGGCTGCCAGAGATTGGTTCGTTCCTGGAAGAACGATCCGAGTGTGCAAGTGGACGTTTCTTTTACGTGAACGACATATGTGCTGTACATGACCGTCACGGCCCTTTACTCTTCTCCGTCAACAGAGACCTTGTACTGCTAGCGAAGACCGCAAGGACATGGAGCATGAATAGTATCGGATACCTTTGCCCCCCTTGGGAATGCCCTTTCCGCGCCAAGACAGATCCCGCTCCAGTCGAGGTCTGATCATAATCTTTTCTTCTAAACATCAATTTGAAGGGTCTGATAAATGGGCAAACTTCTAGGCACAGCTACACCTCTTATCGGAGATACGGTTACCGGTTGAAATTTCTCCGATACTTTGTATTTCCGATCAAGGTGGGATGATCCAGATGGAGAGAACGACAGTTTGGCGGTGAAGACGAATTGGTCGAGTGCATTTTTGTGGAATGGTATGTCTGCGACAGGATGCGCACTATGCCCGTCATTGATTCCTCTCCCTTGATCGGGCTTCACGAGCTTCGGGTCGGGGGTTGTTGGTTCACCGACATTACAAATGAGAATCCCGACACATTCTGGCGTCTAGCCCAGTGTATATATGTATATATCAACGGAACAGAAGTGCGGGACTTGTCGTGCGAACACATCACCTCCCCACGTCGGCGGAGCAATGGCTAACTTGCGATGCTTGACGGAGGCTCCCAGGGTCAAACCGGTAGTCGTAGCGTGTACGTATGCCATTCTCATCTGCGAAGCTAGATGCTTCTCACTTCCCACATTTTCACGGTATGGCTGGGCGCTCAGGTTGTGTTTTAAAGTTTGAAGCTTTTAAGACGGTGATCCGCTTGATCAGAGGCTCTTAGTATTTGAAAGGCTGAAGACCAGGACAGTGGCCTCAGGCGCCATATGATCTCGGAGCCGACACAGACATTACTGCTCAGTCTCCTTTGATCGGAACCAGATGTTACATAGCCGTATTCTCACACTCACACCCTGTCCAACCCTTACTGGATCCCTGGCGTTCACCATTGTTGAATACGCGCTGTACGCATCATGTGTTGGTGACGCGACATGCTTTACAACACCTTACGGTACGTTACCAATGTGCTGCGATCATTTTATGTTCCATTGTTGTCCCGCGGTTTCCTTCGTAAGTGTGAACCCACTTGACGGCGAATCCAAAGTGCAGTAGGCATTTCTTTAACCGACCACTTCGTTCTGGTTATGACCCCCACGAGGTTGGATTTGTCTAAGTATGTATATCGGCTGGACGTCGCTTATAGGTTACGGAATGACATGGCACTTTGTAGTACTTGACTTCTCAGTAGCCCTTTACGCTAATAATATACTGACGCGACGCATACAGAGATACATACACCAGTTGCGATTACACCCCAAGTTCTCTCCGTTGCCCCCCCTTTGCATCCGACAGGCTCTAAATCCATCTAGTCATTTGTACGTATGATGTGTCGACACTGTTAATCAGCAACTGCTGAGGAGGAGGTCGCCGATCACTGAGAGGTATTTAAGTTCGATTACAACTTAACTGCCTTTACGTGACTCTGGAGCTGATTGCATGTCGTGTGGCTATTTCACATTACAAGACTCATATCACAGCTCCTCAAATACACCAGAGTGTCCAGCGCCGCAGTGTATACAATAGTTGTGTTTCGTGGCATGTTCTTCGCAATGGTTCCTTTGGCACTCACAAAAAGTACCGATCATCATCGCGGCGGCGGCTCGCTCTTCGATTCTCATACTTAACAAAACATTACTTGAGACGGGTGACAATGATGCTTCGGCCTGATTTTTTCCACACTTTCTCCATCGAATCCTTTTCTCTCAGAGACCGCGGAAAGAAGCAAAGAGATAGAGACAAAAAGCTGTGGGGCACAACGTCCGCCGCATTATGACTCTGGGAGTCTCCGTCACTGTGCAAGATTCGTGGGCCTCCTTTCATATCACGTTTACGTTCTCACAGGCCCTTATTTACAGCATGTTACCAAATCCATGTGCAAAAATCGATAGAAAACGTTAAAGTCCCCATTCCAGAGCTGACGCGATGTAAAGGTTTCTCGAAGTGCAGCAGGCTCAGTGTCGATGCCCCGCTCGGCGATAAACCATCACCTTGCGTCCTCGAAAATGGACGCTTCGAACAATTGCAAATTCGAAAGAACTCCGCGGCAGCTCCCGAGACATGCCGGCGGACGGCGGACGGCTAGGGTGACGGCAACTTTTACTTTTCTTATTTCTACCCTAGTTCTGTACCGCTGGTACGTGTGTACGATCTCTCAAATGCACTAGATTGACACTTTATTGCTTGACTACAGAGGACCAAATATGTTGCTTTCTCACAGTCCCTTTGCGTGTCAACACCTGAGATTCAGACAAATCAAAAAAAGTCAACAAATCTCTCACCCTGTGACGGGAAGAAGCACGGCGATCACCTTCACACCTTCAACTTCGATGTATTTCGCATCTCTATCTGGTTGACCATAAAAACCCCTCACTGGGATTTTCTGTTGGTTACTGTTGCTCGCTTCATGGCCAATGTGCTTGCCTTGCCCGGGGAAATTTGGGAACAGTGCGCTTACTATGCTCTCGCAACCGAACCTTCTTTCCTTGGACCACCATCTGGCCTGACTTCCATCTTGCTAATCTGTCGCTGGATCAATGATTCCCTCTGTTTCAGTAAAAACCCACGACTTTACGCCCGCCTTTTCTGTTTTAAGTTTGACATTGATGCTCCTCGACGACGTCTCCCGCCTCGGTGGCTGACGTCGCAATGCTTGGCCGCCGAATTCCACAAACGGATCGTGACCTTGAAACGTATCCGCCATTGCGAGGAGTATTCTCTGCATGACTTGTGGACGTGTTACTTAATGTGCGTCTTGTTCGTCTTTGCATTGTTCTATTGATTTATAATGGGAAAGGATGTCAGAAAATGACGGTCGTAATGAGCGCCAGCTCGAATGGGCCCGAATCCCCGAGTATCTTGCTCAAACCATCTTATTGCGGATCCCGTCGGGGCCTCACGGCGCTAGTCTCTGGTATGAAGATTCTGAAGCGACTTCCCTCATAATTTGGCTTTTTTGGATGTTGCTTTCTCCAAGTGAGTGAGATTTTCGCCTAGCAAAGTTTATTTTGACTCGTGTTGTGTCAGATTTTCTGTCGACTGAACCCGTCAGACTCCGAGGCTTCTGGACGCAAACGCTCTTGCACACTTTCATAGCTGCGGGTTTCAGAGTACGCACACGAACTATAGGTGCAATGGAATATATACCTGACTTTATGTTACTAGTTTCCTTCAATATATGCCCCCGACACTATTCTCCATTTACCAATTTCCCCTCACGCCTATCCTCTCCCCCCGATAATATCTGGTCCTAATCCCAGCAATACGATTATTGTACATTATTGGCATAGCCTGACTATTGCGGCGCCTGTGTTGACGCCTGCAGCTTTGCTTTTATGGACCGTAAGGCAAGAAATGTTCCAGCAAGCACACCCATTGGACCATAGCATTCTGGATCGGTTCCCTGCTGATAGACATACCGCCAATGCCCCCGGTGTCATGGGTCCGACCGTGGAAGATCTCACGGAATTTCATCAGCTAAGAATCTGTTCCCCAGGGCCGCTTCCGCTTCCACCTCATGCGACCTTCGATACATATGATATATTCTACTCCGATGATGGTAATCTTGAAGATGAAGATGAACCCCATGAGCCTCGAGGTTCCATGCGTTACGAGCACGACTGGTATCGCGAGGTTTCGTGTTACGATCTATTCGCTCTCCCAAGCGCCTTACGGGGCCCAGTTTTCTCCCTCGGCTCCTTGACGGGATCATGGGCTGGACGTTGGGTGGTGCGTGCTTGCATCAGCTTCCGTTTTGACGATACTGATCCATTCCAATCAGCTCACGAATATTGAATCCCATATGGACTTGTTGCGTGACCCCTCCAGCGTGGATCCGCGGGCCTTGCCCCTGCACAACAAACCGCTCTATTGGAGACTGCAAGAACACCATTGCTTCGAAGCGACAGAACCCATCGCTCCAGGAACAGATGAATACAACGGTGACGATATTTTGAATGCATGGTTGCCAAGAGGTCACCGCTTGACACATGTGGACGTGAGCGGTTCTGCCCCTAGCCGGTTGACCCTTTCACTGATGTTTTACCTCCTTTCTCACTACTATAGGGCGCGATCGAGTTCTACGATTCTGAAAATAACCGCAAAATACGATATGAAACATTTATTCCCAGAGGAACTAGAGAAGCACCATACCTCAAGCCTGCATGCGAGAGGCCCCACCCACAGTGGATCTTGAACGACTGCGACGAGATCGCCTCCGATGAAATCACGTCCCCTTCCAAATACGAAACGCATTTCCATGGGCGGCACACCGGCGAGGCGGTGGCGGGAATAAATGGCGCCACCGAACCATCAGATGAGTATGTTGATACGGTTTCGCACCGTAGCAGTGGTGTAGCCGATATCCTGGTCACCGGCGAGGTAGGCCCGAAGCTTCGGTAAACAACTCTAATTCACTGAATGTTGCTTTGCAGACCGGTCAACGGCATGGTGATGCTTGGGGTCATTATAGCATAGTGGGAAGAGTAAGGCCCTGGGATGGATTAGTCGTGCTGTTACAAAAGCCGGTAAATTACACTTTGATCATGACTCTTATTCACTGATTAATTTATTCCGTCTAGGCCGATCCTAGAAATGCACACTTCGGGGAGTGGGTTTTCAAAGGATATATTCACGATCAGAATTTTGTAGGTCGTTGGCGCGAAACGACCACCTCTGCCGACATTGTAGGATACGAAGGGGGTTTTGTTGTGACAAAGGCTTGCTGATAATGAAAGTTGGACTTCGCGAACTGTTTCTACGTGATATCTACCGTTATGTTCATTAATAGCATTGGATAGGGTAAATTGATACATCAATTGAAATCATTTGTGAGTTGCAAAGTTGCGGTTAATAGGTCCATCACACTCTTAAAAATCTGTACATAACTCTTGGACGAGAACGGGTCTACATAGATTCGCTTCTCGTGGTACCCTCAGGATGATTCCACTAGGCGGCTATTGGGTGACTATATTAATTGCTTCCATAGATGCTATCTCACGACCCGTGATGAGGAACATTATGGGGAAGGAGTACAGCCGTCACCTTTCCAATAAAGACCCCTTGGACTTATCTAGTTAGGTGCTGGGCAGTGTCAATTTCGCATTCGGCAGCTTCTGAACCGACTAGCAATATTATCCATGTTCTCAGGCTGACCGACAAATCAAGGGGGACAAGCATTTCGCCGCCCAAGTTCCTTAACGGTGTCCAGCAAGCAGGAAATCTGATTGCCTCGTCTCTAATTATGTCGCCCTTTCTGCCACATCTGAACTTTCACCATCTTTCGGCTGTTTATGCCTCGGAGAAAGAATGAGGTTATGAAAGTACACATGCGCTTGGCAAATGCCCTGGATAGGCAGCAGATTCGACTTGGATGCGCGCGCTGTCGACCGGGAATGACCGTGATTCAATCGCCTCATCGAGAAGAGGCATCGACAATCTCTGAAAATACCAAAATAGATACTAATGTATTGGTGTAGAAGCTCCTGCCGGGACATGCTTGTGAATACTCCTGCCGAAGTCGGATGATGACCTCGAGTGACTTCGCAGAGCACCACTACCACCAAATACCGAATCATGAGCACCACGGGCCGCAAAATCTTAGATTCGCAAAGAGGCCGCAGGTGTGCTGGCACTTACCTTATTTCAGTTGAGTCGGCCTTTTGGAAGCGATGCCTAGGTTTCGAATTTAGAAACAGGTACAGATTGTGATGCTGAGAAGCCTAATACGTTGAAGCGAGGTTACTTGGAGAACGGCAGATGCACGTCCAGGCGAGGTGGGGCAGGTATCGGGTCGCCAAGATAGATTCAGTCAGATGGAAGTGGTATATAGAATTCACTCGATGATAATGAATTGAAACGGTTGGATTTAATGTTACAAAGTATGTACAAAGTGTTTTAATAAACCTAAAAACTCAAGGAGAATCCCTTCGGAGAGCAAAACGAAGGCCTTTTGAGAGGTGGCGTCTAAAATTGTCAGGTAAACCCCACTTACGGTAACTGCAGCATGAAAACCCTATCCGACGCCGGGGTATCTGGCAATGAGCCACGCTATCGATCCGGAACTCGATGGCATGCTTGATTATGCAAAGAACCTACAGAGTGGAATCATAAAGAAGGTACGTGCGTCTGTCCTCATATACTCACCTACACCTCTCCAACAACCTCTAGCTTAAACGCGCTAAGCCATGACCACCACCACCTCTTCATCGGACGTCGAACCGTTTTATGGCTATGTCGAAACGACCGTCCACGCGCTTCGTCTAATACACGCTGCTCGACAAGGAGTCATCCCTCGCATCACCAGGCGCTTGAACGACTCGGAGCGGCGGGATATGATCAAAAGCGGATCGGTCTTCGTTTTCAGCGTCGAAGAGAGCGGCATAAAACGATGGACCGGTGAGTTTCCAACGGGGGAAATCTGTCACTGGCTCATTCAGTAATTTACTGGCCGTAAGATGGGTTGCTTTGGTCGCCGTCTCGTATTGTGGGCAATTTCTTGGTGGGTCCCGACTAGGCATAATTCGGAAGGGTACCGTTAACTGTGGCGACAGGTCTATCGCGAGATTAACGAGCGGGCGAGCAGTAGGGGAGGTCACAGGCGCTCTTACGGACTAGACGATACGCAACCGAGGTCGCTCACCCATAGAACCTCGCCGAGTCAGTCCTCTATTGGATACAAGCCCGGTTCACCCAACGGTACCATGGGCGACCAAGGGTCGTTCAAGCCTAACGGGTTGATAAAGAAGGTCAGAACAGTCGTGACATAGTGAAGGGCGGAGAAAGTTGACTTTTATTATAGACGATCACGGTCACTATTGACGGGTCTGATCTCCATCTTATTTCTTATTATACATCCGAAGACATTCGCTCAGGCAAATTGAGGGTTCGTTACTTTCCCCCACAATTCTAGGATGTCAATTCCAACGTACATTTGCAGAGACCATCGTCACGTCCAGATATTATGACTCTGTATATGCCACCGCACCTTTTCCGCTTGACGAACTTCCGTGTGCCGCCAAAGGTCGAACTGGGCCCTGATGGGAAGCCTAGGCTTGTGTACGTGGGGTTCACCAAGGGGGCGTTCATAGCTGATGTTCTCCTAGAACCGAGCCGGAAGACGTTGACGGAATCGTTGAACCCAAGGTGGAAGAACCGACCTATCACCTGTCCCATTCTCCGAACTCTCCTGTCAGCCCAACGTCGCCGACCGAAAGCCCTTTCGGGGGGAATCTCTACATGAATCAGGACTCTTCGTATCATCGGAACAGTGTCGGAGACAGATGGTCTTCTAGTGGAGATATTGTTCGGGTTGCGTCTCCGCGACATGATTTGCCATGGCCGTTGTCGCCGGCGTCCTCACATTCCAGTCATCACCGGCGCGAGGGTTCAATGGTGCCTTCTTCTGATTCGTGGTCGCCTCTTCAATCCTCGCGCTACGACTCGTCTTCGCCTGGCGGCGGGATGTACTATGACCGTCCTCGCCCTCGCACAATCAACAGCTACCAGAATAACCCAAGAGAAAGCGAGACTCTGCCTAGCTTCGGCTCAAAATATAGCGGAAATCGCAGTCGCGACGTCGGCTCACATCGCGTGCCATGGCTCTTAAACCAAGAGTCTTCAGGTGACCGCGAATCCCGCTCAAGTTGTAGATCATCCTATTCGTCGTCGTCATCCATTCCCCCGGCTTTCACACCAGACGGTTATCATGCGTACGGCTCATCATGGCCAGCACCCGGGGAGAGTAGCACCCTGAACGTCGCCACTCCACCGCCACCACCAAGTTTCTCGAACCACGGTTATGCGACTTCGTTTGGTGCTCACTCAAGCTCCCACAACTACAATGCATAAATCAGATCTGACGTGCTTTTTTGATATTTTGGATGACGTACGCGCTTCAATCTTATGTACACTAGACTTCACTCTGGTTTATTTTCCTGTTATTTCTGCATGTATAGAAAAAGATGCTGTCTTGTTTTAACGTATGTTCACATAGGCCTGTATATAGATGATTAATGTGCATTAATGTATAACGCTAATGCAAAAAGTTACGACTGGAAATCGAAAAGAATAGACTTAGGAAGCGTACCTCGAATAATTTACTAGCCGAGTACGTCGGAAATGCACGTTTTCGCTTATACGTAAGCTCGATTCTTTGGGAAAGAACTGTTAGGGTATAAACGAGTGGATCGCGCTGCGAGATCCAAAGTGAAGCTTTAGTTACAGGCGACAGGCAATACAAGAACACCTCAGCATAGATACAGGAGACAGTGAAAACACGAATGTCACCGGACAAAACTTTACGTCGTGGGTCAACTTCAACGGTTTGAGGCACTCGTACTAGGCCAGGTATCGACGAAACACCGGTTTCTTGTTATATAGAAATAAACAGCAAGCCTACAGGTATACTCAGACGGCAGTTGCAAGCACCGAGGGGAGCACTCACGATAGAAAATTAGCCATCCATCTGGCTCTGCTTTCTTCTTTCGATGAATTCACGGATATTGGCGTGCCCTTCCAAGCTGCCGAAAAAGCATCGTCTGGCAGCGTTCTCCCATAACACGACATCGAGCTGCTTAGCGTAATTTAGGACGAGCTCGTAATCTGCCTGAGACGTGAAAGATGTGTACAAACACCCTATAATGGCAAAGGTGTTTGGCAAGGCATGTTCAACGTTTCGTAACAGTGAAGCATGCGAACCTTCTTGAGACTTGAGCCTATTTTTTTCCAGCTCCCATAAGCGGATTTGATCTTGTACGGTCACAGGAAGTAATGGGTTCTAGAGCGCTCGTTTTAGCGGACATCCAGAAACAGGGAAACTGGAAGGTACATTTTTGCGCATCTGGGGATGTGCGTGTGTCACCAGGTAGCTAATGATCTGTGCCCACGATCAGAAATCTGCCATTTTAGAAAAGAAACACGGTGATAAGTAGACCTGATCTGCGGAAATGCCGTTCGTAAGGGCTTTCTTAACACTTTCGCGAGTAATAGACCCGACTACAAGGTTAGGAAAACGGTACTTCAGGGATACGAAAAGATTGAGAACGGCAGTTTGCAAAGGATTGTCTGTTTTATCGATCAGAATTAGATGAGCGTCCATAAATGGGACGTAAACATACCTGTGTATGCATAGACACGATAATTGGTCTCAAGTACAATAAATCCATCTTTGGGGCCGGAGCTTGTCCCGGTAGACGTAGGCAGTGGAGGCGAAGACGACGTTAGGGTGGTCGCGAGGCGCGTGGGGCTGAAGCGCCGAGATGAAGGCTAGCAGATAGTGAAAAAGGGGGAGACCTGACTGGATAAGTCAACGGACCTTACGCTGCCACAGGAGGCCATAGTCCCGAAGGTCTTCGAGCATGGCCTTTTGGGTCTGGGAAAGATTCTCAATCGAGTATTCCTGCGGTGGAAGCATTCAGTTAGAACATTCTCCGAGGGATAAAGGTGCCTACTCGGCCGAGCTCCATGGTCGACAACATAAATAAGAAACTCAAGACTTCGACGAGGTCCATGTGTCGTTGCTATTAAGCTATGTTAGGAGATTTGACCGAGTGTAGGACGTAAGTGAGCTTACACCAGCCATTTCTAGGTACTGTAGTAATAGGTGCCAAAGCTGAGCGTGAGGGGGGTAAAGGAGGAACTGGAAGCCCTTCGATGTAATACGAAGCGCGGCACCTCTGCAAAGCAGGGAGTGAATGAGAGGTAGTTAGACAGAGATCAGATCTTACTGTTGAGAGGCCATGAGGCCACTGCTTTGCAACAAATAGAGGACCCCGGGTGATGGCGAAGCAGGGTTCTGGCCGCTACCAGAGGACACCATGTAATGAAGAATGGTCTGGATGGGGATATCAGGTCAGTTGGAAGGAACGTGAAGGCTTGCCGTACCTCCCAGCGTTCTAAGGCATATCCGTCAAGCGAATCGACGTCAAAGGGTTGCCGCTTATCGTCCTTCTCCGCTGGGACACCAAAACTGCCACTGGTGCCTCTGGGAGGAAGGAATAATTACGCCATGAATTCTAATGAGCCGTAGGCCTTACCCGCCTGTTATCGCTTGCCGAAAACTAGTCTTGAAGGTTGCGTTTAATGCTAGTTTCACAACAGAGTTGGGCAAGATGTTGAGGTCCGTAAGGGATTTCACAGCGTCATCATACAGTCTATAAAGCTACATGAAGAAGACTTTGAGGCACGACAGACAAAGAAGGCACTTTTTATGTTCACGGACTACCCATGCGGCCATGGTGGAGGGAGGTATTGCTGATTCTAGCCACAAAAGATTCATGACAATTTGGCGTTCCAGAGGCGCAAGAAGCCTGTTTATTGTGTAAGAAACAGGTATTAAAGACATCGGGGGATTTGGTACCTAAATATTGCAAGGCATGAAGACGGTCGTTGGTACAGACGAGTTAACGTATTCTTGGGCTCCTTGGCGAGAAATTCAATTAGTGCATGAGGCAGAGGTGCTACCAGCGCTTCCTCCTCGTTATTCAGCAATACAGAAGGCATTACGCAGGCAGCCGGGCGTCGGGAAGGTATGCGCTAATGAAGAGATGATAGAAATGAAGAACAAATGGCGCCGATCCGGTCGCAAGAAGCCGTCCGATCCTAACACAACCACACAGGGAGGCCACCGGGGTCCGGCCCGTCGTGCGCCTACGCGTCAACCTTTGCTTCGTACTATTACTTACTACCATTTTCCTCGGAGTGATCTGCAGATATTATCTCGTAGAAACCAAGAGATTAATATGTCAACGCTTTCTATCCATAACGCCGCCCAGAGCAGTCAGGTCCATCCATCTGTTTCACCTTTCTGGTGTGCTTAACTATTATGTAGATCAGCCCGGTCTGCTAAAAGCATTGGTAACGGAAAATCCCAAGTCTGTAAATGCTCTTGATGCGGTAAATTATTCTTTACTGTTTGTAGAGCTGTTCTGACTTCCAGCCAGGATGATCGGACACCTTTACACTGGGCTGCATCGTCCGGTTCTCTCGAGATCACTCGATACCTCATCGATAACAAGGCAGATGTTGATTTGCCGGATAATAGCGGATGGACACCTCTGCACATCGCTGGTAACACATCTGCTTCTTGTGTCTTCGATGTGATACCCACGGAACAAATGGACAGCTAGCGCCGGTAATGAAGATGTCGTCTTGGAACTAGTGGGTGCTGGTGCGGACGTCAATAGGTGCGTTAAACAACCTCCTAATGAAAGGCTCATTACATATTTCTATTAGGAAAAACCACAAAGGCCTTACTCCGCTGTAAGCGTTCTTCATTCCAACTTCAGCGGATGCTTATGAACCACTGGAAGACACTATGCGGCATCTAAATCCCGCCTCGAAGTACGTATTCTCTAATGAATTACCGGTTTCACGTGTTGATTTGCTTTCTCCATCCTCCAGATTGGCAAACTTCTGATATCGCGGGGTGCCGATGTAAGCCGCGCTTGGGGACACTGGGCATTTGTTCATTGGTCTATTGTAGATCAACGCAAAGGATAGGGCCGGGCAAGTACCTTTGTAAGACTGATTTCTCTTCTCTCGCCACTGTCTGACCGTGCAGGCAGGCATCGCGCTGCAACCACGGGTTCAGTGGGATTTATACGCCTCTTGTTGGAGTCATCCAAGCCGCCTAATAAGACACGAATCAACCCTGCGGATCGTGTTGGTATGTGCTTCGTTCTGACATAATGGAAATCGTCAATGGACGTAACGTTTCCAGGGAACACGCCCCTTCACTTGGCGATGGACTCCGCCCATGCAGAGGCTGCTGTCGTTCTCATTGAGGCCGGAGCAGACAGAGGCCGGGTACGATAGTTCTTGTGGCGGATTCGCTTTTCTGCTGACCAATACATTGTAACAGTTGAACCAGGACGGCGAGGCACCAGAAGACATGGAAGGCGTTGGAGGCGTCGAGCAACGCCGTGCAAGACAGCATGTTGTTGATTCTTGCGGGAAGCCTTGAGTGCTGTACGTCGAAGGTAGCTCTATAAAAATATGTATGAAACAGTTGTATTTGTTTGGAAGGTTTGCTATACTTATTGCTTACATCCGAGTACTCCTCGGTAACCGTTTCTTCGCTCCTATCAGTCATGGTTCCTAAAATCGGCGTTCGTAGGTATCTATCGTTAAGGCTCCGTAGCCACGGACCATGGCGATATCCTTTGATCATCAGCGTCGTCCTCAATGGGTTCGCGCCCCGCGGAAATGCATCAAACTTGTGTGATGGGGCGGGCCAGTTGCGACTATTGATCCCTTTGTAGTATCCCGTATCACAGCTCGTCGTCATGCGCCAGCCCCAATTTATCAGCTAAGAGCCTGTCGACGGGGTAATATTCGATCCTTTAAAACATGGACGTTTGCATCACACATTTTTCAAGCTAGCCTTCACCCTTTTGACAAGCTTTGGTCTTGTCTTCTCTCTTGTGACTGACTCTTATCATTAACAAGCTTGGTCTTGTTCCGCTCTTCGCCCATCTTCCCTACCCAAACTCATATCTCTTCTTTCGATCTTTATTAAACAATAATGCGTTTCTTCATCGCAACCCTCGTCGCCGCTTTTATAGTTGCTTTTACTCAGGCTGCGGCCATTCCTCGCGTCTCGAGAAACAACATTCCCAGGGACGCGCGGCTCTCTCGTCACCCAGTGGTGAGGTATAATGGAGATGCTTCGACTCGGGTCGAAGTCAGAGAGACGGCTCCTACTGCAGACAGTAGCCGTATGATCAGACGGGTTCACCCCAGGCAATTCCGGCCCCTAGAGAGTTAGGTGAGTATACCTTTTTTCATTCTGGCAGTACAAGCAGCCAGGCAGCTAACAGACATTTTGAAGGTGTCCTTGAAGAGATGACGTTGAGGTTATGACAAGATGTTCTTAGAAAACAGTGGGATATGTCAGCGGTGATGTCTAATAGAAAGGACTTTTGATAATCAACATTTAAGTTATTTGTAGTATTACATGTTGCTCTCGGGCAGGGTTCATGTTAATACTGTAATGTACGAAAACTACGCGAATATTTAGGGAGCAGCTGAGCACATGTTTACACTCCTTGTGTGAAGTCCACTGGCTTAGTACCTACATTCTGTTCAATCGGAATCGGAACATGGCCGCTGGCAATGAGAAACTGCGTGAACCATTCTTGTAAACGCGTACAAGGCCTCAGATATCGGAAAATTATGTCGTCTGTCGACAGCCTGAGTATATTGGGATCCTGCAATAAATATCGCGCGCCACAGTCCTGGTGTAGGGCATCACTGATCGACTGGTAGCATTCCGATCAGGGCATAACATGCCATGAGAATGCCTTCTTCATCTAAGATTTATAGGTCCCTTAATGCACGACTGTGTGATGGAGAAGGTTCAATTGAGTCGCAAATTCGGACACCAAGGATCTGGCCGACAGGCAGATCATTAAGAAAACGCCACGATGTGAGATCCGCGTGATACAGATGAGAATTCCTAAAAGATTACTCCCGGATGAGATGAAGCGTCTCTCTTCCTTCTGAGCATCGATTTGCTGGAGAAGAGTATACGAGGGCGGGGACCACGAAAAAGCTCGTAGAGGTCGTTGATGATCGTAGCCAGTCCTGTGGTCGGATTTTATAGTTACCAGAGAACCGGATTCGCCGGCTATGAGATCTCCATAACGCGGAGAACAAAAATGACCCAGCAGATCGAAGTCGGAGCTGTTTGTGTTCTCCAATTAAACTCCCACTCCCATGCCACGTAACGTTACCGCCGGTAGGTTCGGCGACAGAAATAAGTTTAGCGGCTCCAAAACGGTCACTGCGGCTATCCAAATGATGAATAGAGAGCAGGAAAAGCAGACGGCAAACGGCGAATGCTGGAAATATCGAAATAGACTTCGGAGGTACACTTCGCGGGAGAAGACAATGCGGAATGACCGGACCGTAATGGTTGGCTGAAGGAAAATACGACCAAATACTGTCGAAAACTTTTTCCACCTGGCTCAAGCTCGAGACCAAGATGCATTTGATGTATACCCTCGATGCTAATGGAAATAGAGTATATACACTTAAAGTTAGGCTTGGCGATCCTTTTCATCTCGCCCCACGCTGACTAGAGTCTCTTAGAAAATAACCGATGCTGGGAAAATAACTAAGTCGGCACACCCTGGTGATTAAAAAGAGATCCTTGCTCAGATCATCACTATCTGACTTCTATGAAGCGAGATTTTCACCGGATGACAAGTTCTCCAGGCACCGTGTGACAATCAAGAAGCGCTACGGTGTCTTGTTGACGCAATTACCAGCAAAGCCTCTCTAGATACCTATTTCTTAGCTGGACGTCATGGCTTGTAGAAATGTGCATGCGACGGGTCCCCTTTCCTTCGAACATTTGAACTATCAAGTGTGCTGTTGATACTTGGTGAATGTTCATCACTGAGCGGCAAGGTTTCTCTCACTTCATTTGTGAGCCATTTTCCTTTTAAATTACCTGGCAAACTGACTAAAACAATACAATCATAGAAGTCCGTGATGTTACATATTTAATACTACAGAGTTTTGGTGTCCAAGGAAATGCTAACGAGACTGCATCATCTATACAATTGAGATTTTTCGCGGTTTTGTGTCGTGCGCAGCCTTGGGGAACGTCACCGTCAACAAGCCATTCTCCATGGAAGCGCTGATTTCTTCCTCCTACAGAAAGTATCGGTGAGTCTGTTTCTCCTTCAAACCAGCCGAAGACGCTTACCTTGACTCCCTGAGGAAGCCTCAACGTCCTCGAGAATTTGCCGGGCTTGCGCTCACGAACGGCATACCCATCTTCCTCCTTCTCCTGAGAGACCTTGGACTCTCCGGAGACAGTGAGATGACCGTCGTGCACCTCTATGTTCACGTCCTCCTTCTTCACACCCGGCAACTCGAAGGTCACTGTTACGACGTTTTGATCTGCGTCTTCGTGGAGGTCCATTCTGTAGAGATACGCGTGAATCAGATGAGTTGAAGCAGCGAACACAGAGGAGGCTTACTTTGGCCTCAAGATGGTGGCTACCGTAGCCTCCAGCATGATGCGACTCGGATGGGAGAATCCACCCAGAAGGCTGTGGAAATTATGAAAAGGTTCGTAGAAGGGAAGAGACATTGTCGTTTGCGTTTGTATGAAATTGCGAATTCTGAGGTGAGCGTCTTTTATATCTTTGTCTTCCGCTACTTATTGCTGGAACCTTCTCCTGCAGGTGACGTCCAAGTGACGAACAGGTGCTCCAAGAATGTTCTCGAGGTTCTCGACCCTGTGCGTAACTCGGCTTACGACCTTGTGGACTGACGTTATACTCTAGACCTATCTTCGCACTCTCTTTCTCATCTATTCCGTTTACAATCTGCACATCAGTGCTACGGGCAATCACATATCCTGTGTCGACATTTGTCAGAACAGCGTACTCTAGCCTGGGACCCGGGGCGGGGGTCCACAGAGGAACCCTCCAATCTCAGCGATTTTCGAACTCCGAAAGGATGCCGCCATGAAGCCGGCACGTGCCCCACGCGTAGCGCGATCGTGGCTCGTTTGCGTTGATCAACGCTTCCTCTACGCTCGCCTATACTGCCTTCTATGTCCGATGAAGATGTCGCAAATGACGGATTATGCTCGCCGGTGGGCCAGGCACTTGTACGACAGCTTATTCGGCCTCGGCTACCCCACGACATCCATGATTATGTGCTTGAGGGCATCTGCAAGGCTTTAGATGGCACCCATCTCATTTCTGTTGTCAAGACTGGTGGCAAGACGACATATTTCTCTGGATATATGATAGCGCTACAGGAGCTCCAAAAACAAGCCGAATCCAGCCCAGTGAAGCATCGCATGCGATGTTTGACCTGCTTGAGTCGTTTCAGACAGGCGTTCATCATCGGAAATAGCCATGTCACTATCCTGGCTGTTTTCACCATCGTTGAGTTGTCCGGTATTGTCCATGGCGAGGGTGAAGATGAGGCAGCACCAATTTCGGTCAATTGCAGCTATGAGTCATCATACATTAGTGAGCGGCTATACCGGCAATCTTGTCGGACTTTAAAATATGTTGAGATTGGGGGGTTCCCCTATGGACCCCCGCCCCGGGTACCAGGCTTTATATACAGATACGAGTTCCGCGAGTATATAATAAAGACGGCTTGCCAGGCTAAGCGTACTCAGTTGCGCGCCGGTTATCACGTGCTACTCTTGATCTTTCCCGGCCAATCGCTAAACTTCGAGATCCTTCTACAAATGACATATTGTGCGAGCCTTCGAACTTTCGAGAATCTAGGCATTCTCGTTCTTGGAGGTATAAAAAATTGCAGTTGAGACCGTTAGCGCAACTAACGAGTTATCACAAGTCTCCTAATAGTCTACTGTCTACTACCCGACTATCATGTCTGTCTTCTACTACGAGCCCTTCTATAACTGGGACCGTTTCTTTGACCAAGCGTTCGCCTTGAGTGCAGCTAATGGCCGCCAAGCCGAGCAGCAGCGCTTGGGCGAAGGTTCCCACAACGAAATCCAAAGGTTCTTGAAACCAAGGTATGTCAGTTGATTCGTCACGGGCCATCGTCTATTTCTTTAGGATGGATCTTCACGAGGATGCTTCCACTAATACCGTCACCGCCACCTTCGAATTTCCTGGTTTGTCGAAGGACGATATATCTATCGACGTTCACAACGGCCGCTTGACCGTTTCTGCTGAGAGTAAGATCTTAGAGGAACACGATAAGGACGGTTATGTGGTCACGGAGAGGCGATACGGGAAGTTCGCTAGGACACTACAGCTCCCTCGAGGTGTAAACGTGGGTCTTTTTTTTCAATGGTTACATTGTCTGATTCTGACTGCCCTTGCCTTTCAGGATGATGAAATTAAAGCCTCGATGCAGGATGGTGTGCTCGCGGTGACTGTCCCAAAGGTTGGGACTGAAGCGCCTGGACCCAAGAAAATTGCCATTGCTTGATCTAATTTTGATGGGTTTTGCTATATGAATGAAAGGAAATCTCCGTAGTTGTATTACCAGTTATACAGTTTTGTGTTTCGTTACCGCCTTTTCTTACAAATCTAGTTTTCTGTTGATCCCTAAATCATTGATCCACGGATCGTCTTTCCTCTTCTGCCTGACTTGAAGAAAGCAATAATACTCATGACTACTACTACTACTACTCATGGCCCAGATGACGTCAAAGCGGTATTTCGAAAGGTCCAAATTCGGAAGTTGCCAAGCAGACACAATCTCCGGTACACCGCTTTCTGTCTTCGACTACGACTACGACGACCGTGGCTGCTACATGTCTTCACTACTCTAAAGCCCAACTTTCTTGGTTAATATTCCTACTATCACTCTGGCGACTTGGAAATGAGTACATTTACTGTGTACTCAAACCCGGCGTTACCAATGGTCGGTACCATTGATTCTCACCTACAGAACGGCGACGAATCCAGTACGCGCACGAACGGCAAGCGCAAACGAGACGCGAACGATTCCGGGCCAGGAGTAGGGCCAAGCTACATCCCGCCATGGCAATCCAATGTGCGCGTCAATGGAGTCCAGAACCAGCGGAAGAAGGTCCTGAGAAAGGTGCGTCACCAAACATTTGGGAGGAAAAGTGTACCTCTAAACTAGCTAGAATTATAGGCCATGGTATACGACAGCAGCCATGAAATGCTAGATGCCCTTCGCATTTGCTTCATGCAGGAGAAGCAAGTCGATTTCAGTGGAAGCTACATTGTGGTCAATGAGCCGCCTATGCTGGATAAACACCGGATTCAACTGGTCTCTCACGATATATGGAGAGCATCCGGGTATCGGTTCACGTAAGTGTATGCCTACAAGTAATTTCTAGGCGCTTACCCCGAAGATTTTCTAGAGTCAAGGACCACCCTCGAACGAAGGACGGCCACAAGACTCGCCTATGGTGTACCCAAGACGATGCGCGACAGAACCGCAAAGGTCCCCCAGAGAAGGCCCGTACACTCGTGACTGGAGAAGTGGTTGCAAAAACTCGCTATCCATGTCATAGCCGGCTCCTCATCTCGTCTCGCGATACCACCCAACCGAATCACCGCATGGTCACCGTGCGGATACACCACTACGCCGCACATCCACCTTATCATGAGGCACCTCCAGGCTTCTTCATGAACCCAGCTTGGCCGCCGTATATGATGCTTCAGCCTCCTCAGCCTCAAATACCATGGATGATACCTCAACCACCTCTACCACTTCCGACGTCTTCCCAGCAGCAGCAGGCGGCTCATGATCTGGACTACCCCGACTCGGAAGAAGACGATGATGAAGAATCAGACCAAGAAGATATCAGTCACGAAACCCCTGCTACTTCCGAGCCTCTCCCTGATCCTGATCCTGATCCTGATCCCGCAATGGACCCAGAGCAGTTTCAAAGACAGATGCGGACACACATCAATAACATCCGCGACTTTTGTGATGGGTTGGAATACCAGTTGCAATTTAATGACCATCGGCTGTTACGCGAGTTGGAGAAGGAAGGTGGATCATTTCTACGCTTTGTGCATGAATGTTTGAGGAGGGAAGGCCGCTTGCAGGATGACGACGTGGCTCAGCAGAAGGTTGCTACGCCACCGTCTGAGCCCGAGCGGTCGGCAGCGTCAGAGTCGCGAACGCAGGAGACCGAAATAAACCCGGAACCAGACCATAATCTGGAACCTAACGGTGACCTTGATTAGCGATACTCTGTCGTGTCCGAATCTGAATACATTCATATTCGTTTCCTATCATACTGACACCCTGAACCTTCGGCATACGGTACTTACTAGTTCTGTTCCTTCTCCACCTTACTGGCAACGAACTGGCACCTAGCCACCTCTTTCTCATCAGCGAGTTCAACGAAACTCCCATTCGTTGTAGTGTTCTGTTGCAAAACAATCTGTCTTTCCTCGTCCAAGGAGAAGCGATCCCAGGAGGGTGATCGCTTTAGCTTGAAAGTATTTGGATCTTGTGCCCGCACGAAGGAGAGCCAATATGCGATCAGCTCCTGTGAGAAGGCTGTTTCCTCTGGTGTCATTGGGCTGAATGTCGCGGAACCATTGTATCTTGACCTCACGTCAGTTCAAGGGGAGCGGTCAGAGAAGGAGGGTGTATATTACCCTGTATTGCTGCCTAGGAACATCATCCAATTCTCCGCTGCGTGAGCGACGATGGTAGGACTGCCGCTCGTCGGATTGGGTTGGTTGTACCGATATGCCCACGTGTTAATCGTTTGGCTGGAATACGCACTGGCCAGTATTTGCCGCTTTTTGCAGGAGAGTATGACAACGGGACCAAAGCATGCACTTGAATGCACTCACACAACATCGATTCAAAGATTCACCGGTCGCTGCGGCCAGTCTTTGTTCTTCGGAGTCAAAGTCTGAAGATGGGTACGCCTGAAGGGTTAGGTTTCGAAAATACCACCAAGACGAAAAGTACTCACCAAGAGGTATTCACTAGTGTCTTGTTCATCCAGTCCTGGGAACAAGATTTTCAAGGATGATGGGATATCGTACCCCGGAGCATACGATTCGTTAGAAGTGGCACTGGTTTTGTTCAAGTTCTAATTTGAGAGAAGAATATGATAGCGCTCACCCGACGATAAGAGGGACGCGGGCGAAATGCCCCAAAGCCATGGACACTGTTGGGAATTCGGTAAAGATCTTGCCGTCCACGACAGGATGAAAGACGTTGTATGGACCAGCACTGAAAGAATCCAAGTAAGTTAGATGATAACGTGGTAGAACAGGAACGCACAATTCACCGCTTGCTGCGGCATCTTGAGCATGAGCAAGAGCGCTCACGTCGGCTTCTCTCAAGCATTGTAATTTGAAATCAAGGCTGCCAGATCCACATCCTGCTCGTTTGGCATAAAAGTCAAACAAGGGCTATCAGCAGATCAATTAAAGCACTGACAGTTGGGTAATGAAGTAGCCTACCCGTTGCTGCTCGGGGAATGGAAGAGGGGCCCTATAGGCACTCTGCACGATAGCGCCAGAGAACAACGATTCATCTTCATGCGCAACGAGATGAAGTTCTACTGAAGACCCTCCCGCGCTCTGCCCGTTGATAGTTACTCTCGACGGATCCCCGCCGAACGCCCGTATATATCGCTTGACCCATTTGAGGGCCTGTATTTGGTCAAGAAAACCTACATTGAAGTCTCCATTTGTGGAGTCTGCGAATTCTGGGATTGCAAGGAACCCGAAGGACGAAAGGCGGTAGTAGATGGAGACGATGACGACGTTTGGGCTCTGGTGGACCCAATGGTCGAATGGAAAGTTGGCAGGGTTGCCGTAAACGTAGGCTCCTCCGTGGATGTAGACGAGCACAGGTACTAGGGATCACGACTCGGTCAGCAGTATTCAAGTTTCATCGAGATGCTTACAATCGCTTCCATTGATGGGTGAATATATATTGACTTTCAAGCAGTCCTCACTGCCTGCCCCACCGGCGTCGCCAGCTAAAATAAATATGGCTCAATATGACGAGTATCGTTTCGCATAAACGCGTACCCCCAGTAGATCCCTGGATACAAAAATTTGGGTAGGATGCCGCGTCGAAAATAGCGCCATCCGCTTCTTGTGCGATTCGCGCCGTGTCCAAAGGGATGGGTGCGCGAAATCGACGGTCACCAAGGGGAGGTTCTGCGTAGGGAATACCAAGATATGCTACGGTGTCGGGGTATGAAAGGTTGCCACGATACTTCGCGTATCCGGTGTCGACGATGAGTCTATTGTTCGCGAAAACAAGGAACTGGACGAGCCAAGAGAGCAATGCGATGAGTAGCGTGAGTCTGGTAAACGCTGTACTGGCTGGTGCAAAGAGTTGTGGGTGATAGATAGGCATTTTATAATGCCTGAGTTCGAGAAGGAATTATCGAGAAGCCAAGTCCAAGCAAAGTTTGATATAGCATCAAGTTAGGGTCCTGTTGCTTGTAGGTGAGCAGACTACTTCTCAGGCGCTCAACATTTCAGGTGTTTTGGTACGGTGCCGGAATACCAACGGCGTAGCAGTGCTGTGGTAATTAGAAAGATAAAGATAAACCTGAGATGGATAGAAATTATTAAGCAGCGGCGATTGAATACATAATACATATCACTGTGACTTCGAGCATATGTGTAATGGAGAATGGCTTTCTTCAACCGAGGACGGAATCACATTCAATCATTGAAGGCATCACTGGGACTATTATGAAATTAAGCATGCTAGGACGATAAGTGCGGAAAAGATTTGAGAATTAAAGATTCGGTGGGTCCCTACAGCTGGCAGTGGCGAGTCTGGCGACTGTTTTGCGCGAGGCAAAATACAATCAAAATCTGGGCGAAACGCCGAAGGATTTTGACGAGAAAAATCTTTGCACCTTCCAGTATAGAAGGAGATTGATACTATTTTAACTCGCGCAAAATAGTCGCCCCCAGGTGTGGGGACTAAGGAAGTCCTGGATGCCGAAAGAGCCGAAATATCGTCGGCTATTTTCGGCAGACCTCTTGATTTCTTACTATGAGGAGGCAACGCCGCCGCAGTGAACGCCCTACCTGTATGCTAGGTGACTCTGTGAGCTTGCTACCTTCGTACGACTGGAGATGGTTTGTCGCGAACATTCCTTCAAGGCTTCTCAAGGCAGGACGCTCAACAAGACACGAGGGAGGGGATTTTCTGGAAGGTTTAGCTTAGAATAAGAGGGATTTATGGATGCTTGTACGCTCTTTCTGGTTCCTTTCCGACGTCCTGACTCACCATAATGGTACAGAAGTACAGACGTCAGGAACTTGTAGCTAGTGAAGGCATACAAATCTAGAATGAGTCGCACTTTTTTTCGACCGTACAGAGTCCGTCTATATCCGGAACTCTGAAGCATTCAACATCTCAATGCAGGCGAGTTCCATTTTTCAGACTGCGCAGCGCATATACAGAGCATTCTTGATTGATTCCATAGCATTATTTTTGCTGTATTAATAAAAGCACGCGAGTGTCAATTGGTCTCAGCTTTGACATCGAAACCAATGACGACCAAAAAATATTGGTCTCAGTTCGACCAATCACCGGCGACCCTTTTTTCTTAGGTTACAGTGCTTTTCATGCAGATTTGCCTTTTTCGCATGCTGTTCGATCTGTAGCAATTGTATTCGTGCTGGCTATGCTAGTCGGTGGACGCTATAAAAATGTCTTCACCCATCACTAGCCTCGACGTCGCCCGATACCAATGCCTACCGGACTCTACAACCCTTTCAACGATTCACATCCGGCCTTTGCTGAGTACAAGGTCCGTACGTTTGAAGCAGCATTGTCGATGTACTGATTTTTCGTCCAGGCAATGTCGTTGGCATATGCCGAAGCATACTATGACTTCAAGCCCGCCGAGACACAACAAAAGAAATCATGGTTATCTCGCGTGCTTTGCTTCTCTCTGCATGCAGGGCTCGTCTTCATTCACCTCCTCCTCTTGTTGATATGTATCACTGGAGTTGAACATAATATTGTTTTTCCCATCGGAAAGGATAGTGATATCTTATCCACCGTCATAGTTCAGGCGTCCCAAGTCATTGTTACGGTGAGATCATCCATTTGTCGACTATAACGATATCTTATCCTTATTTCTTGCAGATATACCTGGCGGTGCTCGTCTTCGTTAGTCAGCAACTGGCTACTCGGCGAAATCTGCAAACGAGACAGACCTTGACAGCCACGCATGACAATATATCTGCCTGGACAGGACTGGGAGCTGCTTTGCTTGCCATTTGGCGCCAGACATCCATCGCAGCTAGCGTCGTCGGAGCTCTCTGCGTGGCTGCGTATTTCGTGTTTGCCGCCGTTCTGCATATCACTACACCTGCGATCTTCAGCCTCCAGCCGTTTAATACGACCCGCTATACAGCGATATCTACTACATTGGGGGCGCCCAACATCTCGGTCAAAAATCTGTACGTGTCTCGCTCTCGCTTGCTGCTGCAATGTACTGATGAACCATTAGCGGTTCCTCTAATCCTTCGAGTTTCTTCCTCGACTCTACTCCCGTCATTCCGTACCTTTCCAATAGTGATCGCATTTCCAAGATCGGCTTGGAGAACGGGACACTTTACGATGTGCTCTCCGACAATCCGGGCCAAGGAGATGTCCACGTCAATGCTGTGACGTTCAACGTCAGTTGCGGATACGTAGATGGTGCATCGGTTGCCCCAATCAACAGTACAGGCAATTGGACCGTCGGCACGGTTTATGATGACCAGGTTAATCCTATACCTGTTCTCGGTGAGCCATCCTGCATAACTTGAAGCTCGCATCGACAAGGTTAACACCCCCATAGCGCCGAATACAATCAAATGGTTGTCTTTCCACAGCGACAAATTTCAAGATCCTGTGAGTACCGGTGTTAGATTTTATTGTGTTGCCATTCCTTACATATCCTTTTAGTCGCGGAATGTGATGTTTTATACATCGGCTAACATTACCGACTCTCAAGGCTCGACTGGCAACCTCGTAGACTTGAATCCTCCCATGCGACCTGGTGCCAATATGGACTCCTCACGCAGTATGTCTTTCGTTGTTTTCTCTTTCGTATTTCAAATTCAATTCCCTGCAGAAAATGTCAGTTATTTCGACGAGACGACTGTTTATACGATGCAGCTCATTGGTTGCACCGTCACTCTGGTCAACCAGTCCGCGGTCGTTGACGCGCAAACTCGGCTCCTTCGAGACGTACACCCTTTGGGTCACAAAGTGTCCTCGACGTGGTCTCAGTGGGATCCTGTAATGATCCCCGGCAATGCGACTGTCTCATCTTCTCCAAAGAGTTCGACGGCGATCCTTGGGCGCGGTGAACGGGCTGTTACGCCACGAATCAAGAAACGGCAGGGTAGTGGGTCAGGACAGGGTTCACCTACTCCAGCACCCGCCCCGCCGGATAACACGCCGGCTCCAGATCTGGGGCCTCAGAATACTCCCCAACCGCAACCACCCTCGCCAAATCCACCATCTCCAGACCAGGGTCCACCTACACCTCTTCCTCCAGATTCTTCGCCGATGCCGCCACCACAGGATACACCGCCATCGCCAAATCCTAACGTCCCGACAACCCCGCCGATGCCAGATCCGGGAGCTCAGAACACCCCTCCGCCTGGATCCGCTCCTTCACCCAGTCCGTCATCACCAGATGGTCTTCCACCTTTGTCGTTACCATCGGACAGGGTTCCGCAAGTTTATGAGCCCCAAGACCCAAATGCAAAGCCTGCGAGTCAACAGGGTCAACAAAACCCATCGCCGCAAAATAATCCCCCAACAAATCCTTCGCCCCAAGGCCCTCCATCTCAAGATAACTCGCCTCAAAATCCCCCGCCTCAGAACAATGCACCCCAGAATTCTCCACCCCAAAATCCTTCTCAGGATAATTCCTTGCCTCAAAATTCTTCGCCCCAAAATTCTCCATCAGATAATTCCTCGCCTCAAAGTCCCGCGGGAAATCCACAGACGAATTCCGGCCCAGATTCAGGTTCTCCCCCTTCTCCTGCAGATAACGCCGCTCCTGGATCACAACCTCAGGATACTGGTAATGGAGTGCAGGATGCAGGGAACCAGGGGGCTACTCCAGATCAGGGTTCCTCGCCTGTGCCTGGTTCTAATCCGGGTTCTCAACCTGCGAATGGAAACACACCGGCCGACCAGCCTGGTTCCAACGGTAACCCCAACGCCAGTCCTGGGCAGGACAACGGAAACATGCCAGGGTCTCAGCCCAATCCTAGTCCCGATACTCCGTCTGGTAATACCGGGAATGTACCATCCTTCCAAACGCCTGGGGCCAGTCCCAATGCCGGCACCAGTGGTGGGAATTCACCGTCAGCTCAAAGACCTGGTCCAACCAATATCCAACCGGGCAATTCACCGACGGGCCAGTCGACCGGCGCCGGTACTGCCTTACCCTCGAACAGCCGGGTGGGCTCATCAGCCCTAAACCCCGGCACGGTAACGAAGGCTTCAACCTCTGGTGCTAGTTCAGCGGCGACACATATGTCTAGTTCGTGCTCTCCGTCAACAACGACATCCAGCTGTACGTCCGGCACCTGTACAACTACAACTGTGATGCATAGTTGTACCACTAGTGCTAGTAGTAGTGCAACTGCGTCGCATAAATCCGCGTCTTCCATTGGTACGAAGCCGACCGCGACGGGTATTAGTGGCAGAGCAGAACCTGAGGCCCCTGCATATTATGACATGCCCAACGCATTGCTCGATGTGGTCAGTAAAAACCCTTGTTTTCGTGCAGTCCCAAACTCATTAATCCCACAGTGGTGGAACCTCTTTGACCAGGCTGCTATCAGCCGTTTCCCTTCGACTGATGACTGCCCTGGTTTCCCTTGGACCAACCCTGAGTCTTGCAATCCTTTGACTGTCGTTGAACAGTATGTCAATGCCCACTTCATATAGCCATTAAATGCTAACCCACCATCTTTTTGAAGGTTTGTGATGGAAAATCTCGGTCTACATCCTACTCTACTGGACAGTCCCGTACGACAAGCACCCCAAATCGCGCTCCACGATTTGGAGAACTCTCTCGCGAGTGCAACGGCGGCGTCCTATTGGGCGGGTGAGTCTCAGACGTTGCTTTCACTGGGACCTTTTGCTCATATCTTGTCAGCGTTGTACGCCAAGGCTGGTGGATTGAAGGACGACGATCCCAATGACGCAGCCAATTCTAAAAACATTGTGGCAACTCCAATGACCGGAAATGCGACCATAGCGTATGCTTACACTGCCACGCGGTTGAATGTTAGCCATCTATCATATTTAATGCTCGCGTTACTGATATGTATCCCCCTTCAGATCAACCTTCTTCCTCTCCTCGCTGGTCTAGTCGCGTCCATATGCCTCCTTCTTCTCTCATTCCGATTGGTCGGAAAGGGCTCCCGTGAAGGAGAAGACTCAGATATAGATGCAATAGGCGTCTTGCAAATCCTGTGGCTCATGAGTATGCGCCCAGACTTGCAGAAGATTATTTCCGAGGTCGACGATCCGACGGTAGACAACCTACGAAAGTCGGGAATGGTGAATACGTCCTTGCATAGAGATGATGACGACGTACAGCTACTCGCGCCTGTGGCTCTCACTTAGGTAGCGAACAGAAGGAAAGTGTATGAGTCCTGACGAACTATTGTACTAGTACTATCACGATGTGAACATGAAACCCAACTTTGCAAATTGCGCCTTCTTATGCACGCGACGAAGCGAGAGATGAAGAAAACCTTCAACAGTGATGAAAAACGGGTCCTCTGGTCCTGATCGCTGTAGATCAGGTACTAAGACGGAACGCAGTTTGAGAAGGAAGGTGACAGATTTATCATACAGACTACATAAAAGCTCGCGGGTCTTTCTGGATACATACTACTTTGCCTCCTTTTTTTTCTCCTCCTCAGCTCTGAAATCACGGGAAAAGGCTGAATTCCCAAACACCTTACACATGCCGATCTTGGGCAGCTCTCCTGGCATCTTTGACGGTACAAACCGCACCATGAAGACGTATTCGTTGTTAAATGGTGTGCCGAGCTTGGACATGCCATCCGTTTGGAGCTGAGAAAACAATGAACCGCCGTTAACGTAATGGGCGAAGAAGACTGACATATACCGCAAGCGCATTATCGGCTTCTATAATCTCATGAACAGTCATCTATAACAAGTTCAATCTTATGCACCGGGGAGGCAGCAGATACATCACGTACAGATAAACCACCATTTAGGGTAACAAAGACCGTCTCTTGAAGATGAGCGACGTATTCCTGCTTCTTCCATTTCACTGTAGCCATCGCTTGAGGAAGGACGTTGAACTCGAATGCTTCGTCATCTAAATTTGCTGAGATTCCTTCACTGTCAAACGCTCCAAGAGCGTTGATGTATGCAGCGAAGGTTTGCACTATAGGAGATGCATTTGCTGGAGGTTCGTATGCGACCATGGCGTTTCGTTCGAGTCTAGGACTTAGGCGGCCCTACCGATATTTAAAGCCTGTCGCAGTTTCACCAACGCCGGTAACAGCACCTGCAACAGTAAGGAAAGTCTGACAAAGACTAAGGAACTGCGTGTCATGGGGGCTGACGCGTATTGGAGTGCCATAAATATCGACCAATACAGCGGCGGGCAAGGGTTTGGCAGATACTGAGGGATTGCGCGGCGCGAGACGACGCGCATGCTTGAGGCTTGCGTTTGCGCGTCGGCATTTCGTATCTGCAGTGTAATAAAATCTGAGTCACCGACATACCTTTTACTAGCATGGCCCATCTTTCCCCATCGGAAACTGATTGCGTTTCCTGACGGCATAAGGGTAGTCGGATGCAAGGAAACAATCTGAGTGAATCACCAAAAATACGTTACCTTATACATGTAAAGGCCGACGTCAGGCGACTTGCACACTAGTCTGCACTAGTACGATTTCGCGTGACAAGACCGCTCTTGTGGCATACTAGACGTTGGACTGCACGGACGGATGCTGTACACGTAGGTCGATAGAAAGCCAGGCCCGAATAAAGAATCGGGTCCTGTGGAGAGTGTCACCGCTAACCAAATATCAGCGAACCAGCCTGAATATGTTACTCAGACAAGGCCCTAATAAAACATGTAGCAGGTACGCACCACGTATGAGTATGGTTAACATTTGAGTGCATACGTGCTAGTGTCGGATCATGACTCTTCCCTTTTTCAACCTGCCGTCCTCTATACCTCCAGGACCAGCTAGTTACGTCGGAGAGCGCTGCCAACAATTTGAAGCTAGATGATGCAGAGGAAAGGTAAGAAGAGGCTGACAATCCGGTACCGACTTCGCACACCTTCAGTCGTCGTTGTAACGTTTTAATTGAGAATTCTACACAGGTATGATATTTGCACCCCAACTTCACTACGGCTTGGCATGTATACTCCACGTTATAAGTTCAATCCCAAAACGAAATTAAGCACAGCATGATACAGATAGGCGAGTACCCTGCAATAGCTCACCATTGTTGGACGGACATGTGCTGTCGATGGTATTAATACCCGGTTCAATGGCACGAAAGAGAACTTAGACGACGTCAGACTAAGAATATTCAGGAACGGGAAAAAAAACTTACCGTTATCGAGGTGGAGTCATTGTGCTGCCGTTGCCGAAGAGAATCCTGCTACTTGCTGTGGAGTTGGTCAAAGAATTAGCTTGCAAGAGAGTCGCAGAGCGTGGAGTCCATACCCGGCGTGCCCTCGTTCAAATGCCCGACAAAGAGCTTGTGGTAACCATTAGAACTGCGACTTAAAGAGAGCAGTACTCAGTAGAGAGGTGGAAATATAAGTATGTAGTACATGATAGCTTACCGTAATCGGGACCTGTATTTAAAGGCTTCCCGTAAACCCTCAATACATCACACCAAGATCAGGCATTGAAATCTGCAGCGTCTAAAATTTAGAAGATCTTAAAAAAGATCGCGACGTCAAAATGCTGCATTGAGCTTGATGATCCCGATATTGCGCAAGAGGCTAGTTCAAGTCTATCATGAAAATTGACGCCGGTCGGCCGTGTACTTACCCTAGGCGTACCTAAGAGCTGGCGTTAACAGCTTGTAAGAGATTCGGCCTGTGGAAATGAACACTCAACATAACCGCAAAAACACACCCACGAACCGATTGGCAGCTTTAGCTTGGCCTTGAGGCATGCATGCAGTTTGAATGTTCGCTTGAAAGCCACGGACAAGGTTTCTACGCTATACATGCTGCCCATTGCTCCGACGTAACACATAAACAGTGTTCAATTGCATGATAGTACCTAGAGAAGAGACAGTAACAGCAAGCACACAGCTCTTGTCTCGCATATCGAACAGCCCTCCAATACGATAGATGTGAATAATAGCATGGTCCGACAAGGCTAACGTTACAATGGGCCTTGACATTAAAGAAAATAATACAGTGGACGACGTACCAGTCAGTGTGTATTGGAACTGCATATAACCAGTTTAACATCGTAGACATCTAGTCATCGCCTAACAAATCCCTCAGTCGGTATAGCGAAGGAGAGCCAATTCATCCAGAACGAAGGGAATTCGACGGCAACGGGCTTTTACAAAGAGAGGAACCAGTAGCAAGGCCCTGCTCTCAGGGAGAAAAAATACAATTGTTCGAGGTCAAGACCAACAGTATCGTCGACAGCAGCTTTGGCGACATGAACGCAAGAATTTGGAGAGCAAAGGATAGGTAAATGCACCTCATCGGTTGCCGCTCACCCTCACTTAATGAAGCGTACACTGCTATGCTCGACATTCTTGGCAATGATGAAGGATGATGAGCCATTTCGAGGTCATCATTGTGGTTGTAGAAGAGAAGAACGTGGGAAACTATCCTCTCACTGTTACCATGTCCTCCACCAGGGCCCTCAACGCGATTCTTCCTCAGATAGCGAACTCGCCGTACGAGGCGCACCAGAAAGCTCGTACATTTGCTTCTAGATACGCAAAATCCGGTCAATACGACACCGCCATCGAGGTGCTGTTCCAAAGTGCCAGGGAATTGCTCAAGACAGGGCAAGCCGGTTCCGGTACTGACCTTGCCGTGTTCATGCTTGATGTCTACGATTCGAAGGGAGAGACCGTCAACGATGAAAGCAGGGGTGCGCAGTGTCGTAGTGCTGGTTGTCCTGACCACTGATTCGAACGGCACAGACAGATTGACGCAGCTCATCGCATTGACTGGCTCATCAGGATCCTGGCGGAAGACCATCATTGACAAATCCATAGCGTTCGTGGTCACTCCCTTACTTCTCGTTATTCTTACCAGTAAAATGCGTACAGTTGGTCTGCAAAGAATGGACCGTGTCTAGCTGGTGATCAGGATCTGCACCACTATGTAGGGGAGCTGTTATTCAAAGGTGCCGACCCTTGATGCTACCATGGTGGGCTCTATACTAAGCTATCGCACTAGATGGTGTTCTAGACCAGGCCGAATCTCATTTCCTCGCTTCCGGGAAACGAGACAGCGCCAGGCTACTTGCGGACATGTTCATTCAATGGTTATCTGTTGGCGGTCCCCCTGGCCCTTTTGCATTACGAGGCGTGATTCCGTATGCACGCGTTTCATGTATACTTGCATCGCCCAACTGATTGTTGCCGTGTGTACAGATATCTCCAGAACGGAAATATCCTGGCAGCACGGACTTTTATCACACATTTTGTGTCACAACTTCCCCAGACGGCACACAAGACGTCCAAACGCGTTGACGACACCAACGATGTGGTACTGACGACAGATCCCTATGTAAACTTTGCTCAACTTGCTGTCGTGACATGCCAACGTGCTCAGGGAGAGCGGAACAAAGTCATGCGTGAGAGTTGGGCCAGATTATGCGGAACTTATCAAAGCAAAGGGGGATTACTCGCCCAACCTGAAGTCCGGAAGGTGAGCTCCACCCTGCACTCCTGATCACACTGGAAGGGTACTCTTGGCTGAGCCTGAATTTGAGCCAAAGTGCTAGACTTTTGGTCGCGCTTTCGCAACAATGAGACTAGAAATTCGTGGATTGCTGGAACGAATTTACCTTGGCCAAGGAATTCGTTTAGGGCATGCAGAGGTCCATGACCTCCCCACAGAATGTGATCGAAAATCCTGTGCGGTGGCTCAAACTCAGGTCGAGTCTGAATTAATCCTTTCTCGGTGTAAATTGTTACTATGAAAGCACCGCTCTAAAGAATCTTTCTCAAGCGGGAAGCTGTCAGTACTTACTCATTTTTTCTGTAGGCGCTGAATGAACTCGCTACGCTGTATTTTGCCATTCCTCCTCCGCGGAACCAGGCCGCAAATCCATTTGGTGAAATGATGTCGTCTCTTTTTGGAGGATCGTCACCGGCATCTGCGTCATCGGCGAGGCGGGTGCTAGCCCCGAAGTCTACTTCAGACAATCTGGACTAGGTTGGATACTACAAGGTACACATGATTCGCCACCAAGTGCACTTGATTCTTAGTCTGTCATTCGGTGCATAGAGGTCATCTTGTTTGGGAACGCGAATGGAGTATCGTTGTCCGAAGAGCTTGATATTTGATCCTTGGATGATTGGACTCCGACATAAAACGAAATTGTTTCCTGCTTTGACGTCGAACTTCTGCATCCGAAGCAAGATGACCTCTGTGACTGGGTGACTGACTTTGGAATGAAGTGCACACTTGCACATGTAGATGCATGCTGAAGATCAGTTTTATTGACAGCTCAAATGTCGGAACTACCACGGTCCATGACCATATTCAAGGGGGAGTTTGTAGCAGTCGGCGTCGGTGTCATCATCCACACTGTACCGCCGAGAGAGGGGGATAGGGAATCTGAAGGGTGTGTGTACATACGTTCAATTGCATTTGTATTATTTCCATTGCGGCCGGCATTAGTGAACTCAAGATCAGAAAACATAATTATCTCAGATCTGACGTCCGGCAGATTGCCGCCTGTCAGGACGTTGGCAGATTTATTCCAGCTTAATTGCTCTTCTTGCCTTCACTCCTCCGCTCCAACCACCACGACACTGATCCAGATCTAGACCTGTCCCGGTGCAGCTCGACGTTATGGGCTCGGACGCAGCAAGGGATCTTATCAATCTCAGTGCGTGTAGAGTACGTGTTTCTCGATTCCGAGAGGTCCTGCTTATTAGTGCTGAATATTTTCTAGTATGCCTATGGTTAGCCCATCGAACCGTTCATTTTCCCCGGAGACTGCTCATTATCCATCGTTTACGCAGTGGCTGGTCTCACGATATCACTGTGGGACATGTGCGTTACCATGGACTCTGAGATAGCGTGTGTATGGTCACGGAAGTGGTCGCTAGGGAAAGCGTTATTCCTTGTGGTCAGTACTCCCCCCTTCATATTGCTTTCGTGTCTCAAGTGAAACAGAATCGCTATATACCCCCATTGACTATTGCTCTGGATTTTTATTGTACGCATAACGTCATCAGGAACGCGGACATTGCTCACTTACTTTGCCTTAAGACGCTGCGAACCGTATGCCTAATAATGCCGAGGTACGTGTATTTTTTTCTTCAAGAGCACACCGACACTTAGAGTCGCGCAGTTGTATGTCTAGTTGATGCTTTTTCTCACAAATTCTGACTTGAATCAGCTGCAGAGTCTCCTTCGTGCTATCGAACGTTATCAGCATACTTATTGTCGCTGTTACCCAAGGTATCAAACACATCACCTGGAAAGAATCATCTGACCTCATAACCTTCTAGTGATTCTCGCGCTCCGCACTTACGCTTTATACCTAACCGATTTCTGGTTATACTTCTTGGGATGTCTCATTGTTCTCCCCACATTTACAGCTCTTTTCTTGATGCTTTGGGTCTACGGCAAATATATCGTAGGTAAGGTGGTACGCACTACAAAATTTCCAATTGAACGAAAGAACTCTGCCATTGTTTTCCAGTGGATTACGACGCGTATTCGCAATGGGTCGGTTGTATGTATATGCAATGCGATTCGCCTGTATGCACGAAAACTTGGGTATTTCTCGACTGTTATTTCATTGGCTTTGATACGGGTACGGATATCTCTAATCCTCTCACTTTTCTCTGCTTATAAACTTCATGAAGTTATTTTTCTTCTTACACTCTGGAAGTATCGCACGTCATATAGTGAAAAGCTTCCTACACGCGACGCCGATCTCGGTAGAGTTCTGGCGGATTACGAGTCATCCTTCTTGAGGGTGCTATTTCAGGATGGTGGGTGGCGTGGTTGATCGTCCGTCCCATCTCTCATCAATTCCCTCCCAGGTTTTTTGTTCTATGCAGGTCAGTCGTTTTTGTTTTCCAACAATCCCTGACCTATCTGATCAGTGATATTACCTTCGTTACTAGCCATGTTTGGTGCGTTATTGAAACAAAATCCTAGCAAAGATATCTGTCAATAATGATGGTAACTCAGCACTTGCGCTAGGTAACATACTTGTTGTGATTCTTGGACCAAATAGTCTCACTGCCCTTTTTGTTGGGTAAGGTTATCATTTATCTATCAACGCCGCTGTCATACTTACACTGTCGTAATTTCAGCCCGATCCATGCCCTTCGGTCTACGCTTTGTTCCAGGTAAAAATTTCTCCAAGTTTGTTTCTTCATGTACTGAATTCAGCGTCAGACTGTTTCTGCATCTCAGAGGACATCAAAAACCCCGTCCAGTAACGTCGTTACAGGGTTCTTCGATGATACGTACAATGTCCATGGAGCTCATGACCATTTCGCGTAAAACCGGTGTCCGCTTAATACGGCCGAAATAGACTGCTGAATTCTGTGATGGCCGTTCAAATACGAGAGTAGCCGCTATCAAGGGGACAGGGCGGTATCAGATATGAGACTCGCATCGACGGGGATGTCGGATGCATCTGTGAGCGCGTACCTTTTCTTCGAATAAAACGAGAGCAACTGTCCAAACGCCGACTCACGTTTGCGACTTTACGAGCAGCTCAAGCGGCAAATCCATGACTTTATACACGAATCTGAAATACATAGAAAGCGGGTTTGTCAGTACGAAGTACGTGGTCCCGTTCTAGCACCTTATTTCCGTCATTCCACGGTCAGGGAAAGAAGGGCGCGGTATCCAAACATACGTTTTCTCCGTTTCCTATACATTCATCCTATTATATGTAGGTTCATCACGGTTGCTGCGACCTGCTCAACGTCGCCCTTATTAGCCTATCCAAAGGCTGGCCTCTTCGTTTCGGCAGGGTTTGTATATAATTCCAAGAAGGCGGACAGGTGCGTCATGCCAATGAGCGGGTTATATTACAGATTAATACCCTTCCTAACAGCGAGCATTTTAGTATTCGTATTTCGGTCGTAAATGCCATTATATCGTACAACATCGAAGAGGCCTAAACCCAAAGAGAAAGCATAGGACCGATTTTAGCTACGAGTAGATCACAAAAGGACGCGTCTCATCATGCATGTGCATCGATGTATTCACCATCCCAGCCTCTCGCAAATTTTCCGTCGATGGTTCATCGACATCAGAGATTATCTTCTGCAAGTCCGGTCTTGTGCGCATGAGCCACAGTATCTGCAAAACTCCGATAGTATCGATACCCGAGTCGCCTAAGATGGGTGTGCCAATCAACCGGAATACGAGGAGGAGGAGTCCCACAGACGCGCCAAGACCGACGAGAAGCGGTAATAGGTTGATCTGGAGAAGAATACATAAGCGATATGTCCAATGAGAATAATTCAGGTCTGACATTTAACCGTGTTGCAGTATACGGGTAAGTAATAGTTGCGTTGCCTGACATTGCATTCACCGCGAAGTTATTGACATTCGCTATGTTATACGGGTCGTCATCCTTCAATCCGCCAGCCTTCGCATACAGCGCTAAGAGAAGGTCAGCATGAGGTGCTGACACAACCGACAGAAAAAATCTCACCCGCCCAATAGGACGCCGCCGTCGCACTAGAAATTGAATTCTCCAAGTCGTGCAGCGTAATTTTGGGTGCCGCTTTAACCGGGCTGTCTAGCAGAGTGGAATGAAGCCCGAGATCTTCCATAACAAATCTTTACAGGCCATGCGTAAGTAGTGAGAAAGCCGCATGGAACGAATGTTCACGTACTGCTCAACAACTGTCAAAGGATTACATAACTCGGGGTTGGTCCAAGGGAACCCTGGGCAGTCGTCTGTGGAGGGGAAACGGCTGATTGCAGCTTGATCGAAAAGATTCCACCACTGTATGAGATACATTTGAGTCGGTATGATATACAGGCTAGGACGTCACCTACCACGTCAAGGAAAACATTGGACATGTCGTAATACGAAAGGGATCCAAATCCTGAACTACTGTTGTGGGCACTTGGCGTAGTTGTCGTTAGCGACGGCTGGGAACCTCCGGGCTGAGAGTTAGGACTAGGACTGGACTGGACTGCCGGTGTCGTGGTCTGTTCACCAGATGCAGTGACCGCGTCGTTGTTCCCCTGCGTGGACTGTCTTTGAGGAGCAGGCTGTGGTGTATTTAGCTGTGGCGGCCCCGGAGAGGGATCAGGATTTTGTGGTGCTGGAGCTGAGGTCGCTGGCACCGGGGATGCATTTGGGTTCTGGGGTGCTGGAGTTGGCTGGGCTGGGGAAGGATTGGGATTCTGTGGTGCTGGAGCTGAAGTCACTGGTGCCAGAGAAGTATTTGGGTTCTGGGGTGCCAGGAATGGCGGCGCCGGGGAAGGATCGGGATTCTGAGGCGCTGGAGCTGAAGTCACTGGCGCAGGGGTAGGATTCGGGTTCTGGGGTTCTGCAGTTGGAGTGACTGGAGCTGGAGTTGGATTTGGGTTCTGGGATTCTGCAGTCGGAGTAACTGGAGCTGGAGTTGGTTCTGGGTTCTGGGGGGCAGGGCCTGAGGGTTCAACCGGCGGTGCTGGGACAGGAGTAGGACTCTGTGGTTCCGTTGCAGGTGGAGTTGATCCCTGCGGCTCTGGCGGAGGAGATTGTCCCCCTCCACCTCCGCCACCTGCATTCGGCACCGGAGCGGGTTCGGGCGTGCTACCCTGCGGCGGTACGAAAGGGGTTGTACCTCCAGCATTCTGGGCTGGGCTGCCCTGCGCAGGTGCGGGGGTTGGGTTAGGGTCTTGAGGTGCCGGGGCGGATGTGGGATTCTCGGCCGGTGTCTGCCGCTTGCGAAGTGCTACGTCGGACACAACAGTCTGTTCGCCTCGACCGTATATTGTCGTGGTGCCCTCCGGTGAGGAAGAAACGGTGGCATTGGCAGGGATCGTTTCAGGGTCCCATTTCGCCCAAGTGGATGTCGATTTGTGGCCAGATGGGTATAAGCGTTTCAAGAGATGCGACTGGGCATCGACCACAGCGCTCTGATTGATCTGGGTAACGGTGCAGCCAATAATTTGCATCGTGTAGACGGTGGTCTTGTCAAAGTAGCTAACGTTTTCTGGGCAAAGATTAGTGATATAAGACGGCGGAGAAGTCGGATGTTGTATGTACCTCGAGACGCATTCATATTTGGTCCCGGGCGCATGGGCGGATTGAGGGTGACGAAACTACCATTGGAACCATTGGAATCAGTGATGTTCGCTGACGTATAGAAAAGAACGTGACGCCACTGCATGAAAAATCAGTACTCGCCCATTAGGATGATAAAAAAAGTACTGACAGGATCCTGAAAATTGTAGCTGTAGAAGTTCAACCACTTGAATGTGTTGGGCGCTAAGAATGTAATAATGAGTTTCGGTATTTGTCTCACACGAACACTTACCAAGGGCAGGGATTGGTTGAACATGTTCATCGTAAATCGTGTCGACCGTCCAGTTGCCTGTATCATTGATCGGCGTCACCGACGCACCGTCAACATAGCCGCAAGTGACGTTGAACGTTAATGCATTGACGGAGACGTCCCCTTCCCCATTATTGTTTTCAAGCACGTCATACAGTGTCCCGTTCTCCAAACCAATCTTTGAGATACGGTCACTATGTGAAAGGTATGGAATGACCGGGGTAGAATCCAACCAGAAACTGGACGGGTTAGAGGATCCACTAATAGACAGAACACCGACTTATTAGGATGAAGTAATGATAAAGACGGTATCACGTACAGGTTGTTGATCGAAATGTTGGGCGGGCCAAGCGTCGTCGATATCGTTGCCTGACGGCTCATGTTGAATGGCTGAACGCTGAAAATCGCGGGCGTCGTTATATGCAGTACAGCAGCAAAGACAAAATATGCTGTTACAGAGAGGGCGCCAACAATACTCGCCGCCACGGTTGTTTGACGCCATAGCGATAGTAATGCCGCTCCCAATCCCGTCCATGCACTCATATTGTCGTGTGTAGCAGTTAATGTCTGCCTGGCATGTAGGTTCCGGCGAGTAGCTAGTTGTTGGCTAATAAATATCATCGCCGCTAGATATAGCTGCAGAAATATAAGTTCTCATCAGTCGTTAGATGGGGCGACACACCGTGATGATAATTTGAGACACCTGGACTATTACCGTCGACACAAGGTTGCTCTCCTTTCCGATCGGAATGACAACTTTGTGTTCGAGGTGGGTCACCCATATCATCAGAATCAGAACGTGAATGAAAATGAGGCCGAAATGTAAAGCAAAGCTAAGGCCATGCAAAAGCCAGGATCTCTTCGGACGTCGTTGAAGGCGAATGTCTGAGCGGATTTGCGGATACACCGCCGAAGGGGTCCCCTATAGTCAAGGTCAGTACATGTTACACTAGATTAGATTACTACGAACTTTGTATTCATAAGGAGTGATACGGGCCGCATAGGGCTCTTCGTACGGGTTGTAGAAGTCTGTGCTCATCGTATCCCGCGGTTGATAACGTAGGGTAGACCCTTTATATTCCGCAAGCAAGGAGCTACGTACACAGCTCTGACGTTGTATTGCAGATCATGCCCTGAAAAAGTCTGAGACGTATTGAAGGTATTTATAACAATCACTCTCACCTGGTGATAGCGGAACATACACCCGAATGAATCAATTTCCTCGTTCATCCGCACGTTATCGTTATAGTTATCTCGAGGGGCAGAACCGCCAGCGCTGATAACAAAGCTGAAACTATTCATCTCCGGAATAGTGGTAGTCGTTTATGTGATCCTTTCCGGGAATCAGACCTCCAGCGCACTTCCACTAGTCACTGTCAGCAGGTACATGAGAGACCGAATCAAACGACGCAGAAAGGGAAACGAACCCTGGTGGTGGTGGTGGTGGTGTTACCGGCGCCAGGTCCCAATAAGGAATGGCCGGGTCCACAGCTTGACATGGCGAACCATGGTGGGAGCAGCAAAAACCTTCTAGAATCTAGGAGTCATTCATAATTTTACCTCAAGGAGTCGAACCTGGTGCATGACCATTGATACATGCTAGGCTACGGGATACTTTGCACGTTGTACTGTCTTTCCGGGAGGATTGAAAGTCGATAGGTAAAGCCATCCCAACACCGCGTCCTTTTGCGTGCCAACAGTGCCGTGGCCAGATCTACAAAACAAAAAGGACTGTTGAGTGAGTCGTACGCGAATAACTAGTAGCAGCAGGGACGTACCACGCATTCCCAGTCGAGACACCCAGCACAGACCTCTATATGATATCTACGGAGGAGCCGTTATCAGAACTCCGGTTTGGCCTTGTCGGTAGTACTCTTCAGAGCGTGACCGCATTCCTCATAACTCGTTTGATGAAAAATAACATACATAAACCACAGTAATGGTTGACAAGAAAGGTGCAGCACAGCCACTGATTACATGCGTTCAGAAGAAAGAGTTAATGCCAAGTTTCACTAATTCAACAAATCGACACTGGCGGGATTCGAACCTGTATATCCAGCCTTGACCACTTGGCTATACAGTGTCCCTTCACGATGAGAAGTGTTTGCTCCCAATGGCAATGGAAATGGTTTTATTATGAGGGATACGACCTACGCAAACTTGAATTCCAATGCGTAGAAGCCGCGTCTCTTTCCCCACCTTCCGAATCTTGGTGGTAGCCACATTAGGCTGGTTACATAGAAACCAATCTGCGAAGAAGAAAGTGCTCAAAACAAAGGTACAGTGCAGAAAAATTACCATGTCTACCTTTTTTGACCACACGGATCGAAGCTGTACATTGACTCCTTGTATATGGTTACTTCTGAGATGAACGTTTGAACTATCATCAAGGCGGTGAGTGCATGGGAGGAAAAACTTGAATCCGGATTGGTGCGGATGACATGTAGTAGAACCCAGCGTCGCGTCGTTTTTGATTGTTCTCCCTTGCGGAAGACAAAGAGAATGAAGAAAAAAGCATCCGATGTGATTTGATGTATATTTCACCTCCAGGACTCGAACCTGGTGCATTACGCACATCCAATGGGCTACGATGGAGTGGCGGAGAGATGAGCTCCCTGCCAAGTTCTCCTTGATTCAAGTACGAGGAACGACAGAACTGCGAACCCAAGCACCTCGAAACGTCGTTCCGAGTACAAGAACAAGCGCGCCAATAGATGCATAGTCCCCCTTGCGGAAGACAAAGAGAGGGCAGAAAAAGCATTGATGAGTAGACCCTATTTCACCCCTAGGATTCGAACCTGATGCGTTGCGCATATCCAATGGGGTACAATGGACTGACAGTGATGACACCGGCCAAGTTCCGCATCGTAGGTCGTCGGAAAGAGTTGAACATCCAATCGAACGGAGTCTACCCCTGCCCTCGGCCGTATGTTCGTCGTTCAAAGAAGTCAAGGAGCCGTAGTAAAATTTGACCTCGTCTGAAGCTATGCGAAGGAGGGTTCAGACCGGGCGAACGTATCCGGACCTTACTAGTTACTCCTAAATAAGTAGAAGCGGGAGAGGTGCCGGTGATTCGCGGTCGAGAAATCCCCTCTCTCCAAGCTGCTTATGTGTATGAACCAACGCGCAGGTTTCGCCTTATGAGCGCGGTTGGAGGATTATCGATTATTCTCGAGCGGATCTTTCTTTCATTCAATCGAGCGACGTGCTAGATGTCGATGAGTTCCAGTCAAAATGCCGAAGTGTTACTCCGAAAGAGCGAGCTGGAGTTCATTGGCGAAAAAGGCGGAAGGCATTGAAGACGTGCCCGCTGACGAGAACATGGTCAAAGTGAGTGATTATAAAAAGCTAACAAGTCCAAACTTTGCGCCACAGACGCGATATGACTGCGGGACGGAAACGGGCCGGCTGCTGACATTGCGCCTTCAGGAATATGGTTCCAAGAAGTAATTCAATGTTATACAGGTTCAAAGACTATTTCGCGACTCGTTCTTTTCCCCCTCCCATCAAGTTTCTCAATATTCCCAAATTACAATACCCGACCAGATATAAGTTCACAAGAACACACACATCAGCGGCGCCCCGGGTCGCGCTGATTAACGATGCTGATAAGCATGATAGCAAAACGATTAAAGAGTCACCATACCATCTTCACGGGCAGCACATTAGTATAAAATCAAAAAGCGTCCTTCACTCCGCTTGAGGACGCAGTCTGACCTTCTTCAAGTTCTACTTCGGATTCAGGAGTGTCCGCTCGTGATTGCGCTTGCGATGAAGTCGAAGAGGATGGCGCGGCAGACGATGACCCTGCTTTCCTGGCTGAACAACCTCTGCACCTCGACCGACACTGGATACAGGCCGGATTCGGATTCGCACTTGTAACAGCGGGGAAAAAGCATGTCAGATTGAATTCCTCACACCTCTCACACTATGAAAAAAAGAGTTAGCTTTGCTATCCGCAAAACAACGGACGACACCACTCACTCTTGTCCTAGATTTAGACAATCCAGGCAGCGACATGAGATACTTCTCTCGTTCTAGAGGAGGAAGCCGTTTTACATCCTGAGATGTGAGGCGACCGTTTAAGTAGGGTTTCTTTTTTGGATGCGCCTTGTCTATTTCGGGGGCTTCTGTTCTTGGCCTCTTTCCCCTGGAGCGGGTGGCGCGTGAGAGTCCTTTATCGTCCGAGCCCTTCGTCGAGTCCAAAGGATCCAAAGGGATAGCACGACGAGGGGCAGCCCGAGCTGTCTTTCTTCCACCCATGTCGACATCCCCCACATTGTCGTCTTCATCTCCAGAGACATATGCATCTTCCTTTCGCTGCAGCTGAACATCTTCGTCCGAAGCATACAAGTCCCCCTCTTCCTGCTCCTGCCGCCTCGCTTCATCGCCGATTCGTTTCAGGGAACCTGGCCCATCGGCGTTGTTCCATCGTTTGGCGTCTTCCTTGAGCTTTCGCCAGCGCAACACGGAACCACGAACATCGAGCATCTCGTAGGGAGCACTGTGCAGCAAGCGCATGCGGGTCCGAAAGTCCTCATCGTCCTATTAGGAACGTAAACCATTGCGTGTAATGGTATGAATAAAACCTTACAAGCATATCGCGCAGCTTGACAACGTGATAATAAAGTCGCCAGGCTGCATGGATGTGGGGGTCTGCGCGAGGGCCACCGGCATATACATTCGCGAGGTCTTGAAGTCGTTTGTTCGTATTCTCGTAGTATTGGGGCACTGGACCACCGCAAATTTTGAATAGGAAAGGCTCTACTCCTATGAAGAATTCGTCAGCCATGGTGGCGAGAGACAAGGCGTAAATAAGCTTCAACTAGTGTGGGATACTTTGTTTGTGCTTCGCAAGATAGAAAACTTCTCTTGTATGATTGGCTTTCGGGGCTTGTTACTGGTCTCGTTGCCATCCTGAAAATGGTGATCGGCTTGCCAAATTGAAAGACCTGTCCCAGGCCTAGCTTGTTCCATGGTAATCTATCGATAATCGGTGATCAACTGGCTCGACACGCACCAAACGCGACTATGGCTAACGCCTCAGGGACGGGAGCAAAGAACGCAACAAGATTAATCAAATGTTCAATCAAATAAAGACAATCAGTGCACAAGAGTGAACTAAGAAGGTATTCTGAGTGTCTTTCTCTCAGTAATGATTCAACCCAAAAAGATCATGTACGTACCCAGCGCTTCACGGAATACTGTAAGCTAACCATGCCTCTCCTGACGTATCATCCCCACCTACCCATTTACTGACCAAGGCTGCCATCACAGTCTTCGTTACCCATCCGCAAAGAATAACAAGCATCGTAAATACAGGATGACAGTCGAGGATCACTAATTCAAGGATTCACAACGTTTTCAGAAAACGTCGAGGGACTGAACGTACCACGTAGCCCAAACCCAGCTGACATACCTCCTAAAACGTTACGGACTATCCACTCTCTATCAAGTTGACTATTATCGAGGACATTGAGAAAATTGGATAATTTTGACGCATCCCATGGGTTGGTTTGATTAAGCGGTTCTGATCGCGACGGACGCCAGATAGTCAGAAGAAACAAGAGGAAGAGTTTTATGAGGGAAGAGTAGAACAGTGTTAGCGGTATCAGCAAATAGCTAAAGACCAACATTACAGGCTGAATACAAGGACGACGTTCGCGACTTGCCTGAATTCGCGCCGGATGTCAGATTCTGGCGATGAAGGATGACGCTGCCTCCATTTCCCTACTGATGTTATCATTTTGAGTACAACGGAACAGGCGGCTATAACCCCGCAGTGAAATGCCACGGTTTCTGGAGATTCTGGTCATGTCAACACTTCGGCGGTGTGAGGGCAATTACGGACCAGCAAAACAACCAATGAATGTCCGAGTAAAGTTGGCAATTGTATTCCCTGACCAGGGGGAGAGGTGCGCAGACTGACTGGGATCTTCGAAAAGCGATGGGTACCAGTTTGTATGGCAGGAGAATAAGAGACACACTCAAATGGGTCCATCGAATGACTGAAGATCTCGTGAAGACGTGTTACGATTAGAGAGAGGTGAAAGCGTACAAGCGTCCACAAATGTGAGAGCTCCCCCAAGGCGTACGATAAGCAACCATCGCGATTTTTCTTCCCCGCCGTTGTCATCCTTAGACGACGTCTCTGTAGCGCGCCTAGGCTTAGCCCCTTGGTTAAATAGTAGGTGTCGATATACGCCTCTCTTGAGTAGGATGAGGTCAATGAGCAGTGTCAAATCGTCGTGCTCGATGTACGGATCAGCAAATGCATGGCAGTTCGACTGAGGTCAGGATCAACGTCCGCAGTAGTGAAATAAAGGAAGAATATACACATTGTTCAAGTCTGAGGTTATACGCCGATTCATACACGGTATGCAAGTGAGGCGTCCATCGCGTACACGTTGTACATATTGGCATGGTGGTGGTAAGTGAATAAAGTCGAGTTCGTTCCCACGGCATTAGTATTAGCCGGGCCGCCGGCATTCAATCCACTCAATGATACCCGCGGCGATAACCCTCCCTGTTCAATGATATTGAACAAGTTTTTGCTGACAGTCACTCCGGTATTTAAATGAGTACTTCCTATTCCCATTCCCATCGTGTTAACTAACAGAATACAGATTTCTGTTCGCGTTATAATAAACTACAAAATACCATAAAATATCTACGAAATTGTGATCTTCTTTGGCGCTGTTTCTGGAGACGCCTTGGGGAACGTCACCGTCAACACGCCATTGTCAAGGGAGGCCTTAATCTCCTCCTCCTGCGGATAACATCATCAGCAACTCATTACCTCTTCGAGAAAAATGTCTCTTACCTTGACTCCTTGGGGAAGCCTCAGCGTCCTGGAGAACTTGCCAAACTTGCGCTCCCGAACGGCATAGCCATTCTCCTCGTGCTCCAACGAGATTTTGCTCTCTCCGGAGATAGTCAGGCGGCCATCGTGCACGTCAATCTGCACGTCCTCCTTCTTGAGGCCGGGCAGCTCGAACGTCGCGGTGACGATGTTTTTGGCGGAGTCTTCGTGGAGGTCCATTCTGTAAAGCAGATGTGAGAGACTATCGACCGAGTGAATAACAAAGCCGTACCTGGGCTTCAACGTCGCCGTAGCGGTATTGTCCTGCGCTGCCTGTAACTGTTGGCTCGCAGGACGAGTGAACGCGTCAAAAAGACGGTCAAAGTTATAGAAGGGCTCGTAGTAGTAGACAGACATTGTCGTTTGGATGAGGAGGAGGTATGCAGATGCGAGCATCTTTTATATTCCTCGAACCCTGCTCGAACTTTCTGCTGCAGGTGACGGCTCCACCCCGGAAGAAAACCGAAGAAAGTTCTCGAAAAGTTCCTAGACAGCCTATTTCTCTAAAGGATTTTCTTGCTAATGCAGCATATGATTCATTGCTAATATCGTGGCAAACTGTGTATATTCATGGTCAGCAGCACCTCAAGCATCTGTCGGGATATTCAGACCTTCGAGGCTCAGACGCAGGCAGGATCATGTGATTAGCATGAACTTCGACCCCAAGTTTAGCCTGGCAAGCCGCCCTATAATACTCGCGGAACTTGTATCTGTAAATTCCGAGTTCCTAATTCGCAGGAGGTCGTGAGTGTTCCAAGTCTTTCTTGAATCTTCCAGACTTGAGATCTTCGGTGTGTTCTGCACAAACCGGCTACGCATCTCCTAGGTCGTCCGCCATGGATCCGATGCCGACTGTGCCCAGTGCTTGTAAAGAGTGTGGAAGAACTTTTGAGATGCGAAGGCAACAGAAGGCTTGAATAGGTCTCGCAAGCCAGCCTGCGTATGGCATCCGATAAGCCGGAAGAGGTGCCGAGCGTGTACATGAAGTGGAGACATGTGTCAAAGCTGCAGGAAGTACACGGCTGCCCAGTATATCTTTCCGAGGGCGGGCCACAGAATACAGTAGATCGTAGTGGAAGAGAAGCCCTAGCTATGCAAGTCACTTGCCGCCGTGCTGCGTCAAAAATAAGTATTGCACAAAATGAGGCTGAATATTTACCGTGTCGGCCAGTAGTTCAAAGAAGAAATGATAGGGGAACATATACCTGAGTTTCGATGTAAGTGAGAGGGTAAGAAGTGAGTAGCTTTCTCTTGGAAATTATCGGGGTTTGCCGAACTTGCTTTCTTCTGACCACCATTCACTCAACCGGCGCATATACTACTCAAAGTCGAGCTAGACAATGGTGAAACGCTAGGGTCACCACCCGTAACGCTGAAGATGCAGGGTGCCTCCTTTGCCAATGTCGATGATGACGAGATAGACCGAGTTATGCGTTGATCAAACATCGTTCACTGTGAGTGAAGACAGTGAGTATTTCTTAGTATATCGAAGTCATGCTTTCCTCGTCTTTTTACCATGACAGAATTATATCGAATTAATAATAATACCGGCCACCTGAGGCAGTAGTTGACGCAAGGCACACCAGAAATGTTGCGGCCGGCTTGTTTTCTGTCGCACCAGTAAACTGATTGGGTCAGCTGTGGGCTCGATATCGCCTTTTATCACCACAAGATTGGATCACTGTGAGTGTTGCACAGGAAAGCTCCGTAATTTCTGTAGGAGAGAGCGGTGAAATCGGTCCGATGGACAATTAACCAATGGGCTAGGTAAGTCTTCCCTAATTATATCTACGTTCGTTTCACTGAATGGAATATAGATCTTGGGGTGTATCGTGCTACATTCTTGTCCTAATGTCCTAACATATCCTTCATGAAATCACAATTCTCTTTGGCACCGTCTCTGGTGCCCTTGGGAACGTCAACGTTAACAGACCATTCTTGAGAGAAGCTTTGATGTCTTCTTCCTACAGATGGCATTAGTACTTTTGCTCATTTTACGAGGGACATTAATACACGATTACCTTGATTCCACGAGGGGCCCTTAACTTCCTGCTGACCATGCCGACGTTGCGCTCACAAACGGTGAAGCCACTCGCGTCCCGTTCCGGAATCTCTGCCCAGGTCCTAATCCAACCATCATGCCAGTCAATGTGTATGTCATCTCTATCGAGACCGGGTAATTCGAGGATAGCGGTGACGATGTTGGTAGCTATATTTTCGTGAACGTCCATGCTGCAGAGGTCTATCGGTTGGGGGATAGTATGTGGGCAAGAAAGGAACAATGCACTTTGGCTTCCTGGAGGGACAGGTAAGGGAAGACTCGACCGAAACTTGTGAGTTGAGACTAGGCCGGAGTGAAACGGCGTAAAAACTGGAGGCAGATTGTGACATGGTCTGATATGTGGATGCCTTTATATTCCTCAGTTTTTGCTCGAATGTTCTATCGTGCTACCCTGAATACTTCGAAGCTCTTATTCCGACTGCATTGTGCAAGCCGAGTATGCCACGTCCATTTGTCTTTGTCCATTCAATGCGATTGTACTCGTCATATACTTAGGAGTCCTCCAAGGCTCCAACAGCCTATTTGAAGACACATGCTACCCCGTTCAATCTGCGATGATTTGAGACTGGTAGACAAATATTATCGGAAATATCGTGTAGCGAATTTTTTATTCTGCTGAAAGGTATAATAGTATCAAGGCATGTGAATGGGCTCTATAAGGAACACTTTCCGGACTACGAGTCTCAAACACCAGATCTCACTGTAAACAGTGCTGGTTTAACGATCCTAGTTACGATCGTCGTGCGCCATCATCGACACTACCCCCATCTTCGTCACTTGATTCATCGACAGTCTCCCAGTCTCCTTCTGAATCAGCATCGTCTTTCTCATTTTCTTCACTCTCTTCCTCGTCACTATAAGGGTCCTCCCATCCAATGGCACGTTCCTCTTCTTTGACTCTTTGATACCCGACATCGTCCTGTCCAGATACAACCCTGCCTTCATTCTCCAACACATTCCGTCTTATCCTCTCCGAGCGGATGGTCTTGCAAGTTTTGTTATCATTGCTTGCATATATATCCATGATGCGCATGAAGTATCCGCCGAAGCCTATGTCGCCCACTACCGGGCTGTTTCTGACGGCTTTCACTTCGTCCTTGAGTCCTTCGACCTACCGACAGTATTCGTCGTTTCACACAAGTAAAAGAGGATTAAGGGATGCGTACCCAATCATGTATCCTCCTGTTCACTTCTTTCTGCTCTCGGAAAAAATGGCTGTACATCCCTTTCCAATCAAAGCTGATTTCGAATACATTCGACTCCGGATCGAAGGTGGATTGGAATTCCGGTAACATGGTGTCATTCGCACTGCGCCGGACTTGAATGATCACCCTTGGGCGTTCAAGTGAGGGGCCATTCCTAAACATCTGCCTCAGTCGACGAGCGAGCTCGTCTCGAAAGTCTTCATGGCATTCATCGTATCTGTATATCGCGCGAGAGAGATTGGCAGGGTCAAGACGAGAAAATTTGAATTCGGGGGCAAAGAAGACTTTGCCGTGTTCAGGGGAGTACCAGTTACCTGTAGGGCATAATAAGTCATGGAAAGGGATATACCATGGAGACCGACCAGCATCAATGTGAAGCCAAGTCTTTTTCAGATGTCTGGCGACAAAGACGCGTTCGACTGCGTCTTTGAAGCTGCGCGAGACTTGACGGCAGGTTATCCAGAGAAAAGAGGGGTCTTTCACTCCAGAATTGAGGAGAATTTCGTAGAAAATGTCGGTAGGAGGTTCCTGAGAGTTTGAAGAGGACATGGAAGGAGTCGAACATGAATGGCAGCTTCTTTCTGAGAAACTTGCAACGCCACCGCCAAGTGTGATCGCTAAAGTTGGCCAGTGATCTCTGACTCCGAGCCAACAAGAGGATAGAGGTATGAATGAAATGATTTCATACACGTTATCATCGAAGGTTTCTTACAGCCTGAAAAGCGTGTTCGACAATAGGACAATGGCTATCTATTCGCGGGAAACCTTCAATCCAAGATCTAGTACCCGAAGAAACCAAATGTCATAAGGCACTATAGCCAAGTGGTTAAGGCGACAGATTAGAATTTGGTCAAAGAATTCCAAGCTTCTATCTGTTACTCTCTGAGTGCGCAGGTTCAAATCCTGCTGGTGTCGATAGCTTGCTTTCATGGTGAGGAATTGGTTTTTCACAAATTTCTATTTTGCTGGGCACTGTGCAGTGTGCACTGTGGGCAGTGAACAGGGAGGCTGAGCGAGTACCAGGGTCTAGCGCTCAAGCCTCGATGCTGCATACGGCGTACGCAGTGCAATGCTGGTCGCGGGTTTGAACTCAAGTACCAGGATCCTGGTTAAGATTCCTGGTAGACCTGTGACCGGTCCCCTACAATGAGCAAGCCTACATCGATGCTTGCTCATTGTAGGGGACCGGTCACAGGTCTAGATTCCTGGCGATGAGAACTACACCCTTGCCAGTGGCTGTGCCAGATTCTCCTATTAACTTGACCACCACCGACGGCCAGCTCGGTCTCTTTTAGTCGTTGTCGTCCCACCTCATGTGTGTCGTTGGACTATCCCTTCTCTCTCTCCTTGCGACTTTAATCAATGCTTGAATAACAGAACGGTTGTACTAGCTGGTATTGAGGAAGGAGCACAGTTCTGCGATGGAGTCTTTGGTACGAAGACTTGTTTCTGATTCCATTTGGCATGCTCGAGCTCATGAGTTGCAGCATCTACTCTCCGACCTCTCACACCATTCTCTACCTCCGACTCACGCTATTCAATGGGATAGGCGGATTGATAGGACGAACGACGTTCTCGCTAGACAGGCTCTTCATGGTGTTTAACTCCCAAAGTATAATCAAGACTGAACCTTGCTGCAGAGGTATTCGCTAGTACGCACGTCAGACAAACGATCGAGCAGGAAAATCAGTCATCTGAGAGGAGGGCTCGGTTATTTGGTCCACGGTAACCCTTTGACAATCTCAGTTTTTCAGTTCGATAACAATCTTTGGTGGTCAATCCCTCCCAGATTGACGACACCTCGGACAGCCTCAGCCTCCGCGCTTCCTACTCTTCGTTTTCCAAAGTCAGGGCGCGTCAACCATCTCTTCGTTATTCACCGGTACCTTCATATGCCATCTCGTCAAACGCGGCCCGCGAGGTTTGATTAAGATTCTTGGCCCGTTCAAACGTACAGGGATATAGAAATTCCCCTGGACACACAATAGCCTCTCTTCTCTTCTACGAAGCGAGAACTCCTTGTCTCCCCACCAGTCCACTGTAGCCTATTGGATATGCATAATGCACCGGGTTCGGGTCCTGGGGGTTAAATATATACATCGTCGAGTCGCATCGGATGTCTTTTTCTTCAGACTCTCTTTGTCTCCTGTAAGGAGAAGAACCAAAAACGACGCGACGCTGGTTTTCGCCACACTAATCCGGATTCCAAGTGCAACTCGTCCCCTTGATGATAGTTCATCGTTCATCTCGGAAGTAACCGTTCCTTGCAAGATTCAGGAGGTGGGGAAACATGCCGCTTCTAATTCAAGTCTGCGTAGGTCCCGGTCCCTAGCACTCAAGATATTCACACTCTTTCTCTAGAAATATGAATGTGTCGTTTTCGGATATGTACACGGTTTAGAGTCCCTCCTCGTAATAAAACCAGTTCTATTGCCATTACCCCTCATCGTGAAGGGACACTGTACAACCAAGTGGTCAAGGCTGGATATATAGGTTCGAATCCCACCAGTGTCGTATATCTATTTGCTCTTGCCATGCATTATATAACCTTTTTGCGTATCAATTCTTTTGAACGCAAATTCCTTCCTTTGCTCGTCAACCTAACAGGGGACGTAGCCAGTGGCTGTGCTGTACCTTCTTGTCCACTACTAGTACTACCTTCTCACCTGTCGTAGTTGATGTATGTCATCTTTTCCAAACGAGCAACGCGCGAAGAAGACTACTACTTGTCAAGCTTCAGGACCCTATTGGAACCGGAGTCCTGGTAATGGCTCTTCTGTGGATATCATATAGAGGAGGTCAGTGCTCGGAAAATGTGGGTCAAGTGCGCGCGTGTAGCTTTTGACTGGGGAATGCGTGGATAGTCGTGGTGTGTCCCTGCTGCATGTTGTTCACATATGACCCACTCAAAAGCCCTTATTTCCATCAGATCTGACGTCCTCCTTGTTGATGCGATATTGACATGGGAGGGTGTCTTGGTCGAAGACGACTACGCAAGCAGTGTCATCGCCCCCTGCTTCAACTACATACAGGACGCGTCTAGACTCCAAAGTTGTGGCGGACAACTCCCCCCCTTAGGCTCGGAGGTGCGACATGGACAAGGCACGCTTAGAAGTAGTCGTTACCTCTTGCAAGCGCGCGGGCCACGAACAGATCTCCACATCCCAGGGTTGGACATATCTGATTTTGACTATGACGCGCCTCTCCTCCACGACCCACCAACTCGAAGCATAGTGACCTGCCGACTACCATTGCCAAACTCACCTCCCTCATCGTATCTCGTAGCCTAGCATGTATCCATGGTCATGCACCAGGTTCGACTCCTGGAGGTAAAACTATCGACATTATCTGGAAGGTTTTTTGCTGCTGCCACATTCCAAGTACCCACCACCAGCATACACGGGATGTGTCTTTTGATCCGACCTCTCGTGCATTCTTGACGAACGCCCTTGATGCGCGCCTCTGCCAGTCCATCGTTATGCGCAACGCACCAGGTTCGAATCCTAGGGGTGAAATATGGTCTACTCATCAGAGCTTTTTTCTTTACTCGACTTGGATTCGGAACAGCGTTTCGAGGTACTTTGGGTCCGGTTTGAATTTGAGGGATGCGTCGTTTGATTCCGAGTCGATCTTACATGTAAGTACATGCATGTTACTCTTGACTAGTGGAAATGCATAGCTATACGTGCACTGGGTTCGACTCCCACAGGTCTAATTCCCATGCCCTGAGAAGGATTGTGAACATTGTCTTTGTGTCCAAACGCCTCTTCTTTCATTTCACATTGGACCCGGGCTCGCTCTCTATTTAGGGGGGGGGGGGGGGGGGGGTAAAAGTTCAAGTCTGGCATCGAGAGTCCTGGGGTGGCATGGCCCCGTTCCTATATCATTTTGAAAGGACACTAACAGCTAAGTGGCCACCAGTCAAATTTGAATGTGCAGGTTCGAATCCTGCTAGTGTCGTTCCACGCACATGACGCTTTTTGGTGTATTTATTGAAAATGAAATTCTGCCATTCAGTACTCAGGACAGTTATCGCAGTGGCTGTGCTGAACCTTTCTTTCACCACGCCCTTTTCCTTTATTCCACCTCGAAGCATACATATGCATACTCAAGATGGACCTCAGGCCGCACACTGCAAAAGCGAACTCCTTCAGGTAACGATGGCTAAGGGTTTGGCTCGTCTCTTCGTCAACGAGAGAGGAATATGGTGAATACAGGGACATGTAATGCGGTCGCACGAAGAGGACTAGACTGAGCTGAAGTTCTGATAAGGAGATGTAGGGGAGGTTCGTGCTGGGGAAAGCAGGGTGACGTGAGCGTGTGTGGGGCCTGGTGCATCCCTTGCTATTAGTTGTTCGCGTACGACCCAGAAACCTTAAGTGAACCTAAATAGGGGAATTCACACTGATCCGCCTGTGAACTGGCCGGCAATTCACACAAAAAGTGTGACTTCGCGTGACGCACTGGGAATCCTAGTCTAACTCTCACCCCCTTCGTGCCGCAGGCAAGATTTTGGGTTTCGTCTGCTGTTTCCACTGTTCTGCCGCTCTGGTAACGCTACTGCATGGCTGGCTTCTCCGAGAAGAACCTCGACCCGGTCCTCATGGCAATGTCCCGGCCATCAAGCTCGACGACTAATGCAGCAACTGGGTCCGAGAATATGGTCACCCCTGGTACCTGTGAGCTCATCGTTTGGTTGTTTCCCCATCCAACGCTGAGCGCTGACGTGTCATCCTCTCCCTTTACCCAGCACCACCGGATGACAGTGCACATCTGCCATCATCAATTGGACCTGTGAGGACACGACGTCGAGGTTCAAAAGAAGGAGACTTGTGAGTATTTCAGGTACCAGAGAGGCTTGTGCAGTGCTCACTCTCGGCAACAGGGTTGTTACAAGGGCAAAACCTCTCTGTACGGTCCAGCAGCTGAAGGAAGAATGCAAATCTCGGGGGTTAAAGTGTACAGGTTTGAAAAAGGAGTTGATAGACCGGCTTGCGCAACACGGCTTTGCTTTGCTGAGGTGCGTAGGCTTTATATCCCCTAGTAGGGTTGCTTTTCTAACACTGCTGTTGTGCAGTAACATGCCCCAGTCATCACGGCAAGTCTCTGGCCCATCGGCACCTACTATTTCACTCTGCACGACGTTCACATCCCCACAAGTCCCCGCATTTCAAGAGGTCGATGACGATTCTGATCTGATCCAGGCTGCCAGATCTCTCGATTCAGACCAGGTGGTTAAGGATGCGGCAGAGCTGGTGGAGTCTTTTGAAGAAGGGTTCGGTCTTGGGCATGGTCACGGAGATGAGTGTGATGAAGATGAAGCCGGTGACGTAGAGATAGGCGAGGCTGAGACTAGTGAGGAATGTAGTGACAATGTAGCAAGAGCAAGAGCAACCAGTAGCATTGGCACCACGAGTTTTCAGCCCCCAGCAGCAGCCCAAGCCACAGGATGGGCTGATGAGTACATTCTGCAGACACGACGGAAAAGTGGGCGGGTTACTGAGCAGGCAGTCATCGCTCAGTGGAAGGCACGTATCTTGCTCATCATTTTTTTTTCAGAGGAAGAGAAGAATTAACGGAGAGTCCCTGTAGCAATGGATCCCCCAAGCCATCCATGATGGACTTGTACCCGACGATATTGTAGATGCAAATTTAATTATTCATTACCTCAAATACGCTGCAACGCGACAACTTCTCACGAAGCGGGGAGCACCAAAACAGACTAACGAAAGACTCTCAGCGGTATGTGATCTATATCTGTCTGCTTGTGTGATCCTATGCTAATAGCCATTGTTCCAGTCTTCCCTCAAGAAGATCATGACAATGCTTGGTCGGGTTCGTGGTCGACAGGAGGACGACAACCCTGACTTGAAGCATAGTCGTCCGGCTTCAAATTCTCGAACTGTTGAATTCTACAAGGCCGTAATGATCCAGACACAACGACACCGTCTTCAGTAAGTGATTTGGCTTTTTCACACTTTCTAGAAAGCATTAATGACCTAACTACCTAGGACCGAAGATTTTGACATCGCAAAGAACACGATTCTAGACCAGGAGCTTCAGCCAGACCAGTTCAGCGAGATTACAGCTGCGATTTTTAGCCAGAATCAAGGTACGTTATCCTATTTTAAATATCCCCGAGAGTTTCTTCCTTACTTACTGTTCGCTGTGAAGTCCCAACCATTATCAAGTCACATTTTGCATGGACTTGGCAAGCAACAACCCTCAACCGTGGAGACGAGGTGATCAACCTGCCCATGTCATGTCTGCAGCCCTACCATGTCAACATCCCGGACTTCTGATTCTCAAACGGACAGGTATCTGGTCAAGGACGTCAATTATGTTACGGTTATTCTTTTCTTTTTCTTTTTCTTTCCTTTTCTTTTCTTTTCTTTTCTTTAGTCAGCCGGATTACGCGGTGCACGCACGATCATCACGGACTGACTGCGCAGTAGTATTTTTAGAATACTCACGTGTATTTAAGTAAGAGCCTCAGCTGGTCTAAACCCCAGCTTCGGCTAAGGTTTAATCTACCTAACTTAACGCTCCGCGCTTTCTGACTATTTGTCCCATCGACTTTCATCGCCTTTGGCCTGCTAGAGTATCATCTACCGAAGTGCGAGTAGCGATCCTAGCACGATCTAAGTCGATAGAGTTAGTGGCTAACATTTAGCCGAAGCTCGTCTTCGGTTGCCCAACCACTTACCGTTGCTCAACCGCCCTATATCCAAAATTGAGCCGATACACTTCCTGGTTGCAGTAGTCCTTTGGGTAGTACCCTTCCGCCTACTCCTTCTCATACTTGTATTCGACTTAATCGCTCGCTTCGTCCTAAACGACGATCTCCTCTTAGCAGTCTACACGACTGTACTCCTTACCTTCTTCCTGATCGGACTGGGAGTATCGGCCCTGCTTCTAGCAAGCCTGCTAGTCGCTTTATACGTACTATATCCCCGTCTCATCTAGGAAGCACCACGTCACCCAATACGAAACCCTTTATTCTCGCTCTCCAGCTCGCCTCTATATTAACAATCGCCTTGTTAATAGTGACGAGCTCCCCATCTGACGACACCTGCGAGATTCAGCTGATGAACGGTTCCAACTACGAGACCGACCTCAGTTTAATCATCGCACTTCTCATTGTCCTCACCATCCTTGCTGTTTACCAGCTTGCATGGTCCATCGTCGACTTACGCCACGGATAGATCCCCGGACGAATGCCCTGGTCCGAATCCATTCTCGCCGTCTTTGCGACTTTTATACTCTTTTTCTTGTCCATTACTTTGTACCAACTTCGCCGTTGTTGCCAGCGGAGACAAGTCCGCGCACAACTTCCGTTCCACTACATCCCCAGCGCACCGGCGTACCCACCACCGGTAATCGACATCCCCTCGGCGTCTCAGCAGACGATCGAAGATGGCGGATCCAACAACTCCGGGGGACCTGGAGGGTCCCTCTACACATCGTCGCGACCCAGCTCGCGATCCTCAGAGTCGAGCACAGACTCCTACAGAAGCGCTTCCAGCGCAGCAGCAGACTCAATCGACATCGCCGATACCCGGGGCGTACTCCTCGACAGAGGAGACTCGCCCTTACCAGGTCTCTTCGACCAGTCTCCAGTCCAAGGCGAGTCTGGCAACGACGGAGGCAGAAGACAAGGCACCAGGCATCTGGTCGAGGGCGAAGAAAGCCCTGACACCGAGTTCGAAGGGGACGAGCTCACCGAGTGGGAAAGAACCCGACTCGACGACCTCCTCAACAACCTCTACGCGAGTGAGGAGGAAGATGCCCCCGATACCGGAGGCTCCCACAGCGAAAGAACCCACTCAGGGTGGGGACACAAAGGAACGTGGGAGGAGGTCCGCGATCGAAGGATCGAGGCGGACAACGCAAGAGATCGCGCAAGAATGGCGCGCAACAGGGGCCGCCGAGACGACTTCTACGATGATCCCGGCGAGCTTGGCCTCGGAGCCTCCGCGGCTACCACCCGTCCAACTCACCCACAGCCTGTTCCAAGGGCCTGGCCAACCAATCGAGGTCCCCCAGTCGCCTGGTACCCCGACACCAGCTGGGTCTACGCAGACGACGGGGAAGAGGATGCTGTGGCCGGAGTCACGCCCGGACCAGAGTCCGACCTGGTCTCTGACGGGACCGAGGCCCCAACGCTCCCTTCCCCCGTCTCCTCGATCGAGCCGACGAGTGGGGAGCTTTGGAGCGAGTTCCCAGATCTCAACGCCGAGGAACTTGGGACAATTACCGCCGCCGAGCGCCTCGCCGGAGTCTCCGACTGGGAACCGTCCGTCTCGTTGCGAGCCTTCGCCGACCCCGTCCCTCCGTCTCAGCGTCCTTGGCCGCTCCTCTATCACACGTACGTCGAGTCCCTCCGACTCACTCGAGCTGCCAGGGAGTCCCCAGAGATCCAGGCCAGAATGGAGCGAGGCCGAGCGCACGATGCACGCATCCGACGTGCTGAGGAGGACGCCCTCTATGGGCCCAATGGATTCTGGGACCTCCCCCTCGAGCCCGACGCCACTCCCGCCGAAGTGGACAACCGAATACGAGCCGCCGCCGTTCGTTACACCGGATACGCCCGAAGGGCAGGGACCGACCTCGAGGCCAGAGCCCGAGCTTGGAGAGTCTATCAGGAGGAAATCTCCAACGAGGACTCCGACATCGGGAGGTGGAGGCGGAACAAGGAGCTTGACCGACTCGCCCGAGAGAGGCAGGAGGCAAAGGATGCCGAGTCATCCTCCCAACCCGGCCCTGGAACCAACGGTAATGGCGGCAGTAACTCAGGTCATGCTACGGGGCCCGACCCCGCGACCTGACATCTTCAATATTCTACCGTGGCATGGGCTATACGAAATTATCATGGAACACATGGAGAAGGACCCCCAGTGGTTATTCACTGACGCGGGGGTCGATTATCAAGCCGCAAAAACTATGGGGGACGTGTACCTCATGAAGAATATACTGGAAGTAGAGACATGGCATCGGGCTGCCATCGTGTGGAACATGATGAATCCTGAAGCACCTCAACGAGGGTGCGAACCGTACCGACGCCCTCAACCAATGCCGAATCCCCTCGAAACCGAAGAGTTTTGGGCGGGTGCCGGCCCTGACGACGACGATATGGACGATCCCGGCGCGGGACCCTCCGATAAGGGCAAACAGTCGACAGTCCCGACTCAGCCCCCGGCTCAGCCTCCACGGCAGCCAAGGTACCCCGGCGACTATCCGCCGCCGGGGGACAATTATCGACTACGATCCCTACCGCGACCACCTAACCCTCCGGTACTGCCCCACGTGCCATCGCCGCCAGACCCGATTCCCCCCTGGACGTTGGCCGCGGGGAAAGACAACAACCCATGGAGCGACGTCAAACCAAAACTGATTACTCAGCCCGAGTACTTTACGGGGGAGTCGGAGGATATTAATCGCTTCTTGCATCACTGTGAAATGTACTTCCAAGTATTCCCATTACATTTCACCATGAACGATCAAGGACAGAACCCCTACCGCATCACCTTCGCGCAAGGGTACCTACGGGAGAAGGCAAAACAGTGGTGGGGCGACCAATACTACCGTTACCGGGACGATGAGGGGCATTGGAGATTCCCCACTTGGGCAGAATTCTCCCGCGATATCACAACGGAATTCCGAGAAGTGGCAGAAGTGGCCATCTGGAAGGCCGAATGGAAAAAGGTGCGACAGTCGGAGTTCAAGTCCGCAGTCGAGTTCTTCGCCAAATTCGAGCGCCTAGCCCACAAGTGCGGGGAATTCGGAGATGAGAAGCAGATGTTCGAAGCAGTCGAAGCGGCAATCAGGCCGACGGTACGCAAAACGGTTATGCATGGGGACAACGAGCGCCCCACAACCTATGCGCAATGGAAGGCGCGAGTCCTGAGGATCGACGCCAACTTCAGGTACGACGTGGCCCAGGGCCTCGCCAGTAAGACCTCCCCGAACCAAGGCGGTTCGGGTCGAGGCAACCAATCAAAGGGGAGTGGGTCTGGTGGCGATAAGAAGGACGCCACAGGCACCACGTATGGAGGGGCCGGTCAGCCGATGGAAATCGACAAGCTGCGGTCCGATAAACGATGCTTCAAGTGTGGGAACACGGGATGGAACCCGAAGCACAAATGTCCCGAGGACAGATCAAAGTGGCTCCCGGTCAAACTCCCACCACGCAAGAAGCCCAACGTCGCCCGACTCTGCCAACTACTCGCAGATGCAGAGAAAGAGGAGCTCGGTAAAGACACCAAGATCGAGGAGGTCAAGGAGGAGAAGAAGTCGTCAAAAGATGAGCCGGCGTCGAAGTAAGCGATTCGACGGCGTCGGCTAAGGACTTAGTTTCATTTGGTACGCAACTCTGTAATACTAGTCGGACTCATACTACGTATGTAGGTACTCCCTTTGACCAATATACCAACATTTTCGCCGCATTACCAGATGAAGACACTAAGAACAAGGAATCGCAAAACGCTAACGGCGTAGGAGGGGATTTCCGCCACTCCGCGCGGTCTGCGCTCAGTACTGAACCCCTAGGGGCCGTCCGAGCTCAGGAACCCCCGACTCACCGCACAGGGAAAGCCCCTCGAGGGCAGAGCCCCCTAGGTCGAGTCCCGACTGCACCCTTGACGAAGGGAGGTCACCCCGGAGAGGGAGAAAGGCCGTCAGCCCAGCCTGCGGGGCCTGCGTCCCCGTATGTGGAGGCGTCTGTTCTTGCAGGAAGCGTCGGAAAAGCAGCTGAGGCCGGGAACTCGAGAGACCACCTGCCCCTAGTAGCCAAGAGACACCCGACGGCAAACAGTGCAGACCTCTCGAGGGAGCCAATATGTGTGCATCCGCGAAGGGCATCCCGAAGTACCGCCGGGTCTAGGAAGAGCAGTAAGTCTAGGACAACCGTGGAGGTTACAACGCCGCGCACAAGCGCCCGTGGCCAGGGCCGAACACAGGGCAGTGAGCCCTCCTCCACCACCTCGACTTCCAAAGGCGCCCAAGTGCCGCCTCTGGACCTTTCTCGTCCAGGTGACCAAATGCCACTTCGAGGGAAGACCCCTTCGGTCTCGTTAGAAGAAGTCGAAGACGAGGAAGCCTATTTACGGTCCGATATCCCGACTATTGCGCCAAAGGGGAAGTCGCGTGTGACCCCCGTCGAGGACTCCAAAGGTGAGGATCGCAAACCCGTCCTGGACACGTACTACGAACCCTTCGGACCGCACTGGACCCGAAGGGCCCTTCGACTCGCTAATAACGAGTCGGCCGCATTTGCCACCCTCTATCGATGGGTGCACCCTCGCCGCACCGGAGAGGTGACAGTGGAATTATGGGAAGCGCTCAAGGAACAACCCGAGACCGCCGCGGAAGCCAAAGACAGGTGGGGGTGGATGGAGGATCTCACCAAACCACCTATGTACATACGAGGGAGAAAAGGGCGCAATGTATCGATTACCGTGCAATTGGAGACGTTAGACACCCGAGAAACGCATTCCGTAAAGGCGCTAGTGGACAGCGGCGCTACAGGTAGCTCAATAGACCGTGCCTGGGCACAGAGACACGCCCTCAATCTCAAAAGTGCGGCCCGACCCGTTCCGGTGTATAACGCAGATGGCACCCGCAACAAAGGGGGTGACATCACTGAATATGCCGAGGTACGGCTTCGCATTGGGGACCACGTGGAACGGATCGAATTAGCCGTGGTAGACCTTGGCTCCACTCCTCTTTTCCTCAGCCATGATTGGCTGCAAAGGCATAACCCGTTGATCGACTGGGATACCGGGGCAGTTACACTAGCTCGCTGTACATGTCGAAAAATTCCTTTTTCCCTACCAGATACGGATCCGTCATCCAAGTGGGACGAATATGAGGAAGGAGACACCATCCTGGTTATTGACTTCGAAGAAGCATTCCACGTACGAGCCATGGGTACTAAAGCCAATGAATTAGCCGCCCAAGCTAACGCTCGTAAGGAGGCGAAATCATTTGAAGAAATTGTCCCCACGGAATATAGGGATTTCGAGGACGTGTTCGCCAAGGAGAGTTTTGATGAACTACCCCCACGGAAACCGTGGGATCACGCCATCGAACTGATTCCCAACGCCAACGCTAACCTGGACTGTAAAGTCTATCCGCTCAATCCAATGGAACAAGAAGAGCTGGATAAATTCCTCGACGAAAACCTCGCTACAGGACGCATTCAGTCCTCGAAATCTCCCATGGCGTCTCCATTTTTCTTTGTTAAAAAGAAGGACGGGAAACTTCGTCCAGTACAAGACTATCGAAAGCTTAACGAGATGACTATCAAGAATCGTTATCCGTTACCGCTTATCGGGGAGCTTATGGATCGCCTGAAACAGGCTAAATACTTCACCAAATTAGACGTACGATGGGGATATAACAACGTCCGGATAAAACACGGGGATGAGTGGAAGGCCGCATTCCGAACCAATCGAGGTCTTTATGAGCCCTTAGTAATGTTCTTCGGGCTCACAAACTCTCCGGCCACTTTTCAGTGGATGATGAACGACATCTTCAAGGATCTGATAATGGCCGGGGAAGTATCAGTCTACCTAGACGATATCCTCATCGCCTCCAAAACTAAAGAAGATCACCGACGCATCGTACGCAAGGTGCTCGAAATACTCCGCGCTAACAAGTTATTCTTGAAAGCGGAGAAGTGCGAGTTTGAGGTTGAAGAAACCGAGTACTTGGGAGTCCTCATCAGTGAGGGGAAGATCCGCATGGACCCCGTAAAGATCGCAGGGCTGCTCGATTGGCCGGTTCCGTCCAAGAAGCAGGAACTGCAATCGTTTCTAGGCTTTTGCAACTTCTATCGACGGTTCATTCGGGACTACAGCAAGCATGTCAGACTGCTCACTATGCTAACCGGAAAGGTGGAATGGAAGTGGGGAGAGTCCCAACGGAAGGCGTTTATGGAACTAAAAGAACTATTTCGGAAGGACGTGGTCCTAGCCATCCCACTCGATGAAGGTAAATTCCGCGTGGAAGCTGACTCCAGCGAAGGGGCGGTCGGCGCAGTGTTATCCCAATGGCAAGAGGAGAAATGGCGGCCGGTAGCCTTCCTGTCTAAGGCTCTGTCGGTCACCGAGCGCAATTATGAAATTTATGACAAGGAGCTCCTGGCCATCATGCTTGCGCTGGAGGAATGGCGACAATATCTCATGGGTGCTCGCGAAGACTTCGAGATCTGGACCGACCACTCCAACCTACAGTACTTCCGAAAGCCCCAAAAGCTCAACCGACAACAAGCTCGGTGGGTGACGGAGCTGGCGGAATACCAGTTTACGTTACATCACAAACCAGGGGCCCAGAATCGGAAGGCCGACTTGTTGTCTCGACGAGCAGACCATGACCAGGGGAAGGACGATAATAAGGACGTAACCGTTCTAAAGCCTGACCATTTTAGGGCTCTCGTCATGCCCACCATGGAAGACTTACACGAAAGAATCAAGGCGGCTACACATGATCCCCACAAGTGGGATCGGGGAATTTCTGACTCCCTCAACCACGAGAAAGGGATTTCCCGAGACCAAGAGCTCCTATGGTACGACGGACGCATCTACGTGCCCCGAGACAAGCAACTACGGGGAGAGATCATCGCCCTGCGGCATGATCACATAACTGCCGGACACCTGGGGATAGAGAAAATGAAGGAGCTAATCCTACGGGATTACTGGTGGCCAAGGATGCGCTCTGAAGTAGAGGTGTACGTGAAGGGATGCGAGGTCTGTCAACGAACGAAAGCAGACCGTCGTCCCAAGAGGGCACCCCTCCACCCGAACGAAGTTCCGGATCGCCCGTGGACGCACATTTCCGTCGACATGATCACTAAATTGCCGAACTCCAAAGGCTTTGACTCTATCCTGGTTATCGTCGACAGGTTTTCAAAGACGATCATTCCCGTAGCCTGTACGGAAGAGCTTACATCTCTAGGATTCGCTAAGATCCTACGTGATCAAGTTTACGTCCCGTATGGCATAATGCCCGAGAAAATCATCTCGGACAGAGGCGCAGTCTTTGTCTCTAAATTCATGAAAGAATTCTACTCCCTCCTTCAAGTAACAGGGAACCCCTCTACCGCTTATCATCCGCAAACGGACGGACAGACAGAGAGGGTTAACCAGGAGATCGAGAAGTACCTCAAGATGTTTGTGAACTATCGACAAGATGACTGGAGTGAATGGTTAGCGCTCGCGGCATTCACTCACAACAACCGCCAGCATTCAGCTACCGGATTTTCCCCTTACAAGGTCGTCTTTGGCCGAGACGGACAGGTCATCAGGACGGCACAACGACAGAGCGTGGTGCCTGCCGCATCCAAACTCGTGCAAGGGATCCAAGAAGTGCAGGAGAAAGCAAAGAAATCCCTCGAACGAGCAGCGGTTTCCATGAAAAAGGCATACGATAAACGCAGAAACGAGGCAGTAGGGTATCAAATCGGAGATAAAGTATGGCTAGACTCTACCAACCTTCACCTCCCTCGCCCGGCGAAGAAACTAGGGGATAGACGGGTAGGACCGTTTACCATTCTCGCCAGAAAGGGAGCCTCCGCCTATGAACTAAAGCTCCCTGTTAAATGGCGCATCCACAACAGATTCAATGAGTCCCTGTTGACCCCGTACCAAGCGCCGGAGTTCCCTAACCAACCGCGGCCGGAACGACCGCCCCCAGAATTAATTGACGATGAAGAAGAATATGAGATCGAAGAGATCGTGGGCGAAAGGGACCGAATTATTGGTCGAGGACGGACTCGTCGCACTATCATGGAATACCTTGTCAAATGGAAAGGTTATCCAGCGGAGGAGAACTCTTGGGTAAAACGTTCCGATATGGCTAATGCCGAGGAACTCGTCAACGACTACGAAACCCGCATCCAAAAAATGATTTGGGCCGTAAACGAGAAGGGGAAAACGATCGGATTCGACGACAAGATACCGCGCAACTTGCCTATCGAATTCCATGATCCCGATACCCCATGTGTCACCGATATCGAGACGGTATATTCCTCCGAGTGTACAAATCCAAGACACTCGGACAGCCAACAAGACTCTTACCCCCCTTCTGAAATCATTGACCATATCGCCCTACCTGACGATTGCCCAGATGAAGAAGAGGAAGTAAACCTCCAGAACCTCGAACGTATACGGGAAAATTGGGACTCAGACACGGACAACGACGAGGACACAGACGATGATACCTGGTCCTTTTATTCCGAATCACAGAATTCCAACCCCAGTGACGACGTCAACTCCAACGACTCATCTCAGATGAGCGCGGCCTAAATCGGCCATTTCCTACGGTGTAGAAGGGGATTTCCACTGCTCAATTACGAGCACTGAACCCTTAGGGATCGTGAATCCCGACAGACAATTGAGGCCTAACCGGTGCAAAGCGGCTTAGGAAGATTATGAACCTAAGTCCAGGGGGAGAGAGGGTCTGAGGCCGAACGCAACGAGTGTCTTTTCAGGGCGTAGCAGAGGTCCAATCGATCCTGTTTTAAAGCAGAAGGGAGCCCCTCAATTCGCTTGTGCGGAAGGAAGGAGACATATTCTCATTCGGGACGAATGAGTCTTAAGGAGGGGGTAATGTTACGGTTATTCTTTTCTTTTTCTTTTTCTTTCCTTTTCTTTTCTTTTCTTTTCTTTAGTCAGCCGGATTACGCGGTGCACGCACGATCATCACGGACTGACTGCGCAGTAGTATTTTTAGAATACTCACGTGTATTTAAGTAAGAGCCTCAGCTGGTCTAAACCCCAGCTTCGGCTAAGGTTTAATCTACCTAACTTAACGCTCCGCGCTTTCTGACTATTTGTCCCATCGACTTTCATCGCCTTTGGCCTGCTAGAGTATCGTCTACCGAAGTGCGAGTAGCGATCCTAGCATGATCTAAGTCGATAGAGTTAGTGGCTAACAAATTATTTGGGGTCCTGAGTCTTTTTTATCAAACAAAGGTCGCAAAACCAGGGGTTAGTATCAATTCATTCACCCTTTTTCTCTTCTATTCTGACTATGTTTGATCCCAGAAAACGGCGCCCTCTTACAGCTTCGTTTTACCTAATAGAAATATCTTACGGTGTCCGATTGGTGCCCTCTCTATTCAATTACAGTACATGTTTGATCAAGAGCAGCTCTGTTCTAAGGTCAGTGGATGGGACTGGACAAGGCCGTCTACATTCCACAGTGTCAGTTCATTATACTGAGCTCATTTATCATTTACTCACTGCAAAATAAATTTCATAGCAATTGTTGATGTTTGGGAAAACTGTCGACAAATGCTTTACTGGAGATGCCTTCGGAAAGATGTACCAGAACTTTCTGGATCGAACATCGGTCACAACGAAGAAGAAAACGCATCTTGCACGCCGAACAATGCCCACAATTCTGGAAGATATGGGGTAAGTTTCTTTTGGGTCACTCGTCTCACTATTCTGTGCACTTACAATTACTTTCCAAAGTGTTCCTTCAGATCAGGTCGATGTGACGGGCAACTGGGCCGGTAATGAACGGTGAGAGACTTATACAGCAAAAATTCCGAAGCTTGTATGTAATCCATCTTCATCATTCACGCACGGTGTTTTGACCCGATCCATTTCCAGGCCGTCGTTGCTCTTGCAGGTTTTGCAGTTGGTGAGACCTACTCAGTTCCATGGGCTAGTGTAGATGTACCTGTAGAACTGCAGAAAAGGGTCTTTCCATTTGTTGAAGGGGCTTTAGCAAGCTTACAGGAGAGTGGGTGCCCAAATGAAGGAATATATAACTTTCTGCGGCTCCTTGTGGAACTGCGATCTTTCTTCTGGAGGGTAAGGCTGCTTTCTCTTTTTCCACTGTGGTTTCTGACGACCCTTGAATCAATTAATTTAGACAATGGCTGCAATCAGTCTGCAGTTTCCAAACTCAGGGCTTCTTCAACGCATCAAGATTATTCAAGATGCCAATGCAAAGGCCTTCTTCAGCAAGTGGCCCTCTGCAGTGAAAGCGCAAGAGGACTTAAGCCTCACTGATAGTGATATCAGTACCTTATTCCATGAGACGCCGACACGGCATGCAGTTTCAGCCATGTCACTTCGTCTTCGTGGTCTTGAGGATACCGCCCAGGCACAAACTCGCCTGATGGAACGTTTGATTTCTCGCATGGATCCTCTATCTCCATCGAAGCAGCCTTCAGGAGGGAAGGGTGCCATCATCCGATTCCCATGTTCAGCGAGTGCCTCTGTGCAGCGCCATGCTGAAGAAAGTACTGTTCCATTGAGAGGTGAGTTGCAGCTGTTGGATTTGAAAGCCCTAGCCCTGATTAATTTCCTTTTGCAGCTTTAGAAAATGATCAAGACGTTCACATGTCCTCGCCACCAAGCTCTCCAACCCTGTGTCCTTGTCGGCTCTTTGATTCAAATCTCCCATTTGGCAATCTCATTCCAGTATCGCCATTTTGCAGCCCAACGAGATCAGCAAGCAATGAAGTAACAACTTTCCCTACACTCTCATCTTCTAGACCAACCGATATCTTTATACCATACGTACTTAACATCAATCAGAAGACTTACTACGTACTCCCTATTCTACCATCGCTACCAGACCAGCCCCAGTCTCGTTCATCTCATGATCTCATTATTCCTTCTCTCGCTGCATACTCTCCACAAGTCCTACCAACATTCAAAAAATCAGAGACAAATTGGCAGTCTGTATTTTCACGAGTAACGGATCCAGTAAAGCTGTGGGACTGTTATGCCCCCAGGAGTCTCAGAGATTACCCTGATGTGAAGAGTATCTGGCAATCTTGGAGTGAGGGAGTCATCATAGAGGACATCGGAAGACTGCCGCCAATACGGCTGATTGAAAATAAGTGGGGTAGCTTGAAGAATGGCACTACGGGAAAGGGGAGACTTCCATCATGGAGACCCCGTAATGATGCCAAGGTATGGTTCCATGCATGGCATACCAGTTTCTATTTGCACTAACTAACAAATCACATCCATCTCTAGGCCCAAAAAATCTGGGGCAACTACTACTTCTTTGTAAAGCGCATCGAGACAATGCTTGCAGAGGGCCAAAGCTCAGACGATGCGATCCAGGTCCTTGAAGCATGTCGTCAGGAGCTGACAGGAAGCAAGACTGTCAACACGCTTCACTCTGCTTTACAGATCAAGAAGAAGTAAAAATTTAATTGTATTGTTATGTTATTATTATACACTTTTATTCTATTTTATATCTTATTCTATCTTATCGACATGGAGGAGACCTACCTAACAAGTGAGCGAGATGAGAGAAAGAGAGAGAGAGTCCGAGATGGAGATGAGATGGCTTTGAAATCGGGAATGGCAAAGTCTGAGGTGGGAATGCAGACTTTGCCAGCCAAAGAGCGATCGGCCTGCCAAAAGGTGTGAATAATTCTGTGAATTGGGGCCCCAAAAGTGTGAATCGGCCAGCGAAAAATTGTGAATCGGCCGTGACTTCGCCTGGGCCATGAGCCAAAAAGTGTGAATCGCCCCAGCCCAGGCGAGGACTTCGCCAGCAGGACCTGCCTAAACGGGGCACGTTCACAGTTCACAGCCACATTCAAGCTCCGATGATTCACGACAGTTCGCTAAAGAACCACTCATGTTTGCTTTAGCGCAAGAGGGGCTATGTATGATGTGATGCTACACTCCACCCAGTAAAACAACGTGTAAAGTATCTGATGGCGGCTACCTCAAGAGGAAGGACCCCAATGGGTACGGAGACGACAGCCTCCCTCACTCACCACCTCCGCAAGATGCATTACCGAGTGGATGTAAGGCGCGGGGTGTTGACGTTAACATGAACACTCGACTTCAAGGGACCGCCAAAGCGAGCTAGTCTATAAACTAGTCGATAACCCCATTTCAGGCTTTGGCGACACCAGACTGAGGAAAAGGAGGAGGATGTGAGCGGGGGGCTGTATGGCGCATATCTCCGAAGACGACTACACATCTCCCTCTGCTTTAATTACTGCTTACTGACCGGGACCTCTAAAGTCCTTGCAGACGAACACCTCCTCTTAGACTTCCGGACATGGACGAGATATGCGTAGAAGGTGGGCAACCCTTCGCGTCTACACCCCTCGGTTTGCCGAGCCTAATCAACCACCGCATCCCAGGGTTCGGCAACGACCTGCCTATCCGCTTTTGATATACCCCTATAGTAGTGACCCGCCGGCTACCAAATTCACCTCTGTCATCGGTTACACCATTATACATCATGTCCGTAGCCTAACATGTATCCCATGGCCATACACCATACACCAGGTTTGACTCCTGGAGGCAAAATTACGAACCATTGCTTGGAGGTTTTGCTGCTCTTGCACATTTCAACACATCCACATGAAGAGACGCGGAATTTGTTTCCAGAGGAGGGATGCTCTCTCACTTGTGTCCCTTCGTTGGACTAGTGGATTATGCACAGTGCGCTGGGTTCGAGTCCCAATGGTCTAATCTCGGGGTCACAAAAATGAATGTTTTTGTGTGACTAGTAGGCTCTTCCATGTCTAGGCGTGCAAGGAGGCGACTCCTGGCCAAATAAGGAACTCAGCTTTTTTGTTGTTGCGTAACATTCACCCACTGCGAAGAGATGCAGGAGTTAGGGATGCTCTCTCACCTATCAGCTAAAGAGGCAGGCGTGGTTTGGAGGTGGGCTCGACTTCTTTCTTTAACGGAACGTGCCAGTATACGTCCTGCACACCTTGATGGGGCGTTGTGTACAGCAGAATGGGGAGGTGGTGTCAGATTAGTAACTCAGCATGCATGGGTGTAGAGCGCAACAACAACGTGCAGACCGGGTTGGGAGGAATATCTCTCGAATTCATAGCAGCAGGGGTTTTGTGAAAGAACTTATATACAATATGCTCAACATTAGTTGTGGCACTATAGCCAAGTGGTTAAGGCGACAGATTAGAATTCAGGTTTTATGATATCACTTCTATCTGTTACTCTCTGAGTGCGCAGGTTCAAATCCTGCTGGTGTCGATGTCCCATATTCCATGGTCTTTTTGGACTACACTGGAATAGTAAATACAGTAGACAACTGGTACCGTAGGGCTATGGCGCTACGTACGAAACTGGGGTAGCGGGGGGGTTACTGTACGTGCATGTAGGGAGGAAACCGTCACGCATCACGAAGCCCCGGTTGGGTTTCCTATTTTGTCCCCCATCACGCATCACGGCGCCCTGGTTTCATACTTTGGGCCGTGACGTATTCAGATAAAATCGAATAAAATCCGTAAAAATTGTACAATGCAAAGTATTTTTCATGTTCAAATTGGATAATTGCTTATTCTGGTAATGTACACTGAGCAATAATGATATACTTGGTTACTACAGTTTCTTATTGTACAAACCGTCACGCATCATGCCCTGCCGGTTTCACATTGTCGGAATTTTGGCAGCGTCACGGTCGACCTCGGGTTTCCTCCCTACATGCACATACAGTAAGTTACGGTTTCTTACTGTCCCCTGGGCCCCGGCCTCCCAAGGGGGGTTTTGATTTGTAGTCGCTTTGTCAGCGACTTAGTATCCTCACTCGGTCCGATTGCTCTGGCCTCTGCTCTTCATCGTTGGCAGCGAAGTTCGCTCCGAAGACGCGGTTTCCACTACTCGCATCGCTCGCTTGATACTGACGGTATCGTTATCCATGTTACCTGCATGCCGCAAGTGACTTTTCTGAATAAACTCCTAGTAAAGAAGCCTCCAAATAAATTTTAAAAAAAGGGTCTGCGGGCGTTGTTCACAAGATCGAATTTCTTTCAAGCTAGTACAGTATTATACAAATTCAGCAGGTCTGATTCACAAAACCGTTATGCACCAAACGAGGCGGTATAATTTGACGCCAGGATCGATCATCTCAGGATGGTCATGGTGACGTTCATGCAAGAAAGCATCAACGTGAACAGTACCCTTGGGGTATATTTCGCCATCCCAGAGCGATCGCCAACTCTCAGGTGAGTGGCAGAACATGCTACTGCGACGGCCAATATTCGGGCGGAATCCTTTCTCCTGCAGACCACTGTGCGATCCAAAGATCATGGACCCGGGCTCAGATGACAGCAGCGCCGCCATGATCTTTGCTATTTCGAACTGTCCTTCTTCATCAAAGAGATGGAAGAATGACGAGGTATGAATGGCGGAAATGTTTCCTCGCAGCTCAGCTAAGGACTGTACCTGGGAAAGTTCCGGGATGGAGGAAGAAGGGGCGTCTGAGTCCTTTGTCAGTCCTTTTAACTGAAAGATGTCTGCAGGGATGAAGCGTGCAGGGAATGTTTCAGCTGTGCTCTTGAAGAGCCTATGTCCGAGTTCCCAAAATTCTGTTCCATATATATTTAAGTTGTGCGAGAGGAATGGGGTACGGTAGGAAATTCATACCAGGATGTAAATCGGAGGCTATGACTTGTTCTACGGGATAGCCATCTACGACCGCTTTTCTGGGGTCATTGCCGACTATGTGAACGTTATACAATCAAGGCGAGGTAAAATGTCACATGGCGGAAGATTTACGAACAGCAACATCCGATGTCGGCATAGACTGCCCCCTTGCGATCTTTTCCGAGGTTCAATAGCTGTTGGTAGCACGGCTGCCTCGAAATCTTCAACCTAGGTGTTTTGAAGGTCAAACAAGATCAACACGGTGGCAGACTCGACGACAGCTTACTTTGCAAAGGCAAACCGGCGGATGCACGAATAAGGGTGCACCTGTAGCACAACATTATGTATGACACTTGCAACTCGGAGGATAAGCCCCGTTTACCTTGTACGCTTCCTCCTGGATTGTCAAGATGTGATGCTTGAGGGCATCTTCATCTTCTATCCCAGTTTGAGCTTTAAAGAACGCAGCTTCGTCCTCTTCCAGTGCGTAGAACTTGGAGTCCAATTGGCGAGTGATAACGTCTGAGCTCATTGCGGAAGAGATGGGCAGTGAGAAGAATGGTGACTGATACAGAGGATTTTATACACTCTCAGGATCGGAAAACATAAATAGCAGTGCGAGGGTCGTCGCTGGTATGATGTTCCTAAAGCCTGCGAGACTGCTCCAAAAAAGAATCAGTGCTAAAGATAACGGGTGCTGACATGAGAGAAATGCGTCATTCGATCCGAACTGCCGAATAGGGGGACCATTCCAAATGAAGTAAAGCAATACCATCACCTTCAAAGCCGGCCAGTATATCCCAAAGCTGATACACTCAACAGAAGGAAAGACCAAGCCCCGTCCCGAAATGGGAACACACCATCCCACCGCCTCTCCCATCCTCCTCCTCCACCCACCCCTGCCCATCACACCGCACATAATCCCCAGCACACCACATAATAGTGGGCCTCGCGCCCTGCCGGGGAGAATCCAATCGGACAAGGAACGTTGGGATGCCCGTCAGCCCAACACTGGAGAAAGGCTGGAGGGAGGTCGGCCGTAGGTTCCTGATGCGCGAGCGGCGTAGAAGGAAGGGTACGAGCTTCGCCATCTAGGTGAGGTAGAGCCGGTACCAACACCGACACGTGGTGGAGCTGGTCGATGTCGAGCTCAAGTCACCGAGAATTGCGAGTATCGAGGCTTGTATGAAGAGGAGAGTGATGACGGCGCCCTGCCAGTCTAGGAAACACTTGATGGATGGTTTCTCGGGGCATGTTTGATGCGCTCACTAGCGCTCATGCATCATGTCTGGGTGCACGAGAGCGGGGGATAGCAACGAGGAGTCTGGGGGTGCTAAGTGAGGTGCGGCGACTACGGATTTCGGGGAGGTCTTGTTGACTGGAGCGAGCAAAGGACAGGGTGGGGTTGATGTCTTGAGGGAGGCATTTTTGCGCAAGTCGGGCGGCGGCGGTGATGTGAACGGAGGGGTTTGAGTTGGGATAGCTACGCACAGGGACCGCGATCGGCTTGTATATGCCTCCGCCTCACCGCCACTCTTGGGTCCAATTCGGTATTTCTGCGCACTCGGAAGCTTATTATCCTCGTCTCTCAGATATAATGGTCGATCCTGTAGCTCGGAGCTAACATCCTCCTTCAAGTACCAAACTCCCAATCTGAGCAAACCTCCGAAGGGTGAACAAGTACTGCAGTCAGCAGATGTCTGTCATGGCATGAGCTGTTAGTGCACCCTTGATGTGGTGCCAAGGGGTGGGGTCGGGAGGTTGATGAAGGGCGAGGAGACGGGATTGGACAAAGATGAGTTCCAGGCGAGTACTTTGGGGGCGTAATGGCTTTTGAGCTCGTCATGGATGAACAGTACTAAGCCTTGTTCATTAAGGGAATGAAAGGACTCGACACGCAGGCGATCAAGAATAAAGTAGCATTACGAGCTTCTCTCACAGGATCAATCTTCATGGACTCTGTCCGCGTGTCCCACGATGCACTGTTGCCTAAATCAAAGGGATTGGGATCACCGTTCTCTTGCTTGAACTCTGCTCGGTATGATGTCTTGTCGTACCCTTCACAGACACTAATGTATCCAACGATCAGGTATGGTATCTCGTGGGGAGTCATGGGCGCTCTGGAGGATTGTGTCAACCGGACGAGAGCGTATGCGCTGGAACGGCATCAATTTCAGCGTCCGTTGGCTTCATTCCAGCTCGTTCAGAAGAAACTAGTTGATGCCCAGACGGAGGTGACCTTGGGACTCCTAGCCAGCTTGCAAGTCGGCCGACTCAAGGAGGCCGGACAATATTCACCTGAGATGATAAGTATGATCAAGAGGAACAATTGTGGGAAAGCTTTGCAACACTCGAGGATTGTGCTGGATATTTTGGGCGGAAATGCCTGTGCTGACGAGTCAGTCATTTACATTCTTCTATGTCGCCGGCGCTGATAAGGAGCAGATATCATGTTGGAAGACACGTTGCCAATCTGCAAGTCACTAATACATATGAAGGTAAAATGTGCTATCCTCTTTCACTAAGCTACGTTGACATATCTTTTTTTGAAGGAACTTATGTGCGTATCGTATATAAGTGCTGCTGTTTCTTTTCGTTCATTGAAACTTTGACTTTAGGACATCCACACTCTGATACTTGGGAAAGCGATGACTGGTATACAAGCATTTTTCTAAACATGGACACAGCGATAATTCATGTACGTATAAGTACACATGAACTCGGATTTTTTTATTTCGTCTGGTGCTATTCAGCGCCAAAAGATTCGATCGACTAGTACAACAAACCCAAGGGACTATTGGCATTATCGAACCGTCGGCAGGCAGTACATGCGGAATTTTGGAAAGGTTCCTTTCTTCCCAACGAGAGCCCGTTGTCTGCTGGTTCTTCCGATGTCGGTAGGCTCCGGCGGCAATGAGGTTACTGTGTTATGTAAATTAACGTTTGAACAAGGTACACGCAATTTCCGACGACGAAGGAAGGGTGACGACTTAGGGTCAAAGATCGGAAGAAGCCGTTGTGAGGTCTTGAAGAGCAAGAACCCTCCTACATGTGTGATGCGATCATGCGTTACACTCGTCATCAGGCCAATGCCTGAAAGCCTTTTGGCCTCTTCTCCGACATCGTGACCAGTAACACGGAAGCGATTGCCCGCCTCTTGCCCTCGTGCTTTAGTATGGTGCACTCGTGAGACTTCTTGTTATCCTGGGTAGGAGACGAAAACAGAACGACGAGAAATAACTGGGCGACCTAGGCCTTGATGCGATTCGTCACAAGACTCTGGGTCTCTGATCAAATGATGTCCGAACGTCCTCTAGCGCTCCGCTTGATCTAGCGTCTCTGGCGATGCTAGGGTGCTCTCTACTTCAAAATGGGAATAAATGTTACGGAGAATGCCACCGTTTCAGCTTTGTTTCCGGATTTGTCGTAGTACGTTAAATCGGTCCAGACTTCGCCATAGTTGAAGGTGCGTTCACTTTTGCTAGGCTGCTACTATTTGCACTCGGTTCACATCAGAGACATCTTATGCGCGCTACTGTCCACACAGAAATGTCAAGGTAAGACATATGCTAGACTTATACCACCGAAATTTCCTGGACAATAGGCGGTTCTCTTTGCGGCCGGCAATTGTTCAGGGACCTCCTCTGGATGATGGAGAGTACCATAAGGGTCACGAGTTCGCAGACATAAGTTGTGATCCTACATGGATCAAACGCGTACTTTGACTTGCAGTTCACGGAGGTGTCCGACAGAACGGTGATCTTGGCTACGCCGTAGTCCATTGTGAAGTTCGACTATTTTTTTTCAGTCTTGAGAAAGAGATTACAGCAGTATAAGATGCTCGAGATTCTACATCCTTCATCATTATCACCCACCCCCCCCCTCTCTAGTCTCTCAGCCTCCTCAGCCTCTAGCTATTTGATCCATTTGATTCAACCCTTTCACATTTGCGAAACATGTCTTCGTTGTACACTACTCCGGTCCTGGGTCTCAGCAAGGGTCTTCTTGTGCTGGACACATCTGCAAACGCCACGGGTGCACCGCGAAACAGACAACGTGTACTCGTCGTCGGTGGCGGCGTGACTGGTTTAACGTAGGTGCATCGTACTGTTAATATTGTCAAGCTCATCCTTGTATTGATAGGACTGCCTGGATCCTACTCGACGCAGGATATGATGTCACTGTGGTGTCAGAGCAGTGGGCCCCAGCGACGCCTCGTATCACGTCTCAGATCGGTAAGCATATCTTTTGCTGAAGTTGCAATCCGTCACTGACAAAAAAATTTACTTTCCAGCCGGAGCGTTGTAGGTGTATACATATATCATTTACAGCCCGGAACTAAACCTCTATTTACCAGGTGGGAGTATCCTCCAGCCGTCTGCGGTAAGACTGCGTCACTCCATTCGGGAATCTCGAAGCTCAATCACACACTGTATAGGCCAGCACACAGATGCGAAGTCCTTGGCTCTGTCCAAAGGATGGTCACTGACATCCTACCGAATTTTCGACCAGCTAAGCAAATCCCTGCCCGCCATCAAAATGCGCACAGCCAATTTCTTCTTCGGAAAAGCAATCGAAGACCTCCCAGATCAGTTAAGCAAGATGCGCGAAATCGAAGCGTCGTGTATCAAGGGCTTCGTCCGGGACCCGGATTTGATTGCGAAACATGCAGTCAACCAGAATGCCGGCGTTGTCGACGCATACTCCCATCTGGCTCCTGTCATCGACACAGACGCGTACATGGCAAGTCCCTTCATTCTCAAACTTTATCATCGGTTGTATTCACTCTCATCAACAGGTCTGGCTTCATGATCTGGTCGAGGCGAAAGGCGCGGAGCTGATCACTCGCCGCATCGACGGTGATCTCTTGGACTCCGAGGCCAAGCTTCTGGAGACCTATGGTGCCGTTGCAATTGTCAACGCTACTGGTCTAAATTCATTCGAATCTGCGGGAGACAAGTCATGCTACCCTCTACGTGGTGGTCTAATCCGGTTAGTGAATGACGGGAAACAGTTCCCGAAGGTTACAGAAGCTCTAGCCGTCACACACGACAACGAACTGAGCTCGGAGCATGAAGATATCGTGTTCATAGTTCCCCGAAACGACAACGTATGTTCGCTCAGTCTCCGATTCGATTTCCTTTGATTTACCTCACTTTCAGATTCTTATCCTCGGTGGTATCGCTCAGCCGCACAGGTGGGAGCTTAACCTCACGATGGAGTCACCTGAGATCCAACGTATGCGTGAGCGGTGCAACAAATTGTATGTGCTCCCTAATATGCGATGTCTCCGGTCCACTAACGATGGCATTGTCAGTGTTCCGGGACTGGAGAATGCAGAATTTGATCCTGTAGCGCCTGTTGTTCAAGGACTGCGACCGACGCGTGTAGGAAATGTACGTGTGGAGCGGGAGCTGCGACCGAATAGGATGCGTGGGGGATCGAGCAGCATCGTTCATTCGTATGGGCAAGGAGGATCTGGTTTCTCGTTCTCTGTCGGGTGTGCGGTGGATGTTTTGCACCTGATTGACCAAGTGGTGCTCGAGAGGCGGGTTGAAAACTTCAATGTGGAAATGTATCGGGCTAACTTGTAGATTAATATATTGTTTCCGTTTCATGATTCTCGTGTACCAGTATTTTGTATTTCCAGAATCTCATTTTCTGCCGGCGCCAAGCTTCCGATCTGCTTGAGGTAGCTGGTAATAGCATGATCTTCCTAACGTTTTGGATACCTTTTCACCAGGAGTATAAGCTCCATAATTAGATACCCCTTACTACCTCCCTTCCAGACCATTACCACTATGATTGCGTTTCATGAGATGAAGAAAATAGAGAAGATGCCATGACAACGCTTGTCACCATGCCGTCGCCCACGACGTTGCTGGCTTTTCCGGGTTCTACAAGCCAAATATACCGGCTATGCTGGAGTTTTGGGAGGACTGAACAACTTACAAGAACATCCGGCATGACAATGGAAGTGGACAGATGTTGACAGCGTGTTACCTTTATCTGGCGAAAAGATCGCTCGATAGCTTCGTCATTTCGCCCAGATGTATCTGATATACGTATATATCGCCAGCAACTTTTGGCTGCGTAATGTACTAACTGACTACCAACTCCTGCACTGGGGGGCCCGGGGAGTGTTTGTTTTGGACTTGAAAAACGACACACAAAGCAAGAGGCTCGCTAGTGGCCTTGCATTTTGTACGAATGTAGCGACTGTAAATGAAGTAGTGCCGAAAGACCAGTCTCGCCGGCGCCGCTTTATTGACATCTTATATCTTATTGCTCATCACAAGATTCGGAAGTGAAAGGTCATGGGTCGGGGAGCAACGGGGGTCAACCTTAACCTCTTTCTATTAGCAGAGCAAAAATGCCGAGATACGATCATCCTGCAAGAGTGTAGCGCAGCTAGGAGACTGTCGGTGTAGGGCGTTGTGTTTCGGTAGCTTGCGGACTTAGTTACATGATACATCTTCTTTCTTCTTCTGTGGTATTGTCTGGATGACGCTCATGTTAGCGATAAACGAAGAAACGCTGAACAGGCTCACGAAGCAACAGTTTATCCGTGCTCGAGAGATTCCTCCGAGATTTCTGCCATGTCCTGATCTTTGTGGTGAGATGATGGTGGCGACGTGACTAGGTGTGTGCTTCCGATGAGAGATGAGGGGATGCGGGCTATCGCATGGGAGGCGTTGTCGAATTCGAGGAGGAAGATTTTGTTGTAGGAACATAGTGAATGAAGCTTTGAAGGATTAGGCGCTCATCGAACCTGCCCAATCCCAGAACACGCTCCTAGAGAAGTAGATCGGCGCTATCCACGAGTATACTTACAGCTGCTGGATCAAGCCGTCAGTGTACTGGTCCTTCCGTTTGGACTGCAAGTCGCCAGGCCTCGGATGGGTTGAGAAAACTACTTGACACTACGCGATCCCCAGGAACTTTGAGATATTTGCAGGGATTTTGGTGACTCGATGGTGCTTCCTCCCTCGGTATGTAGAAGAAAGAGTGGATTGAAGTAGGCACGTCAGAAGGGAAGTTGCTCGTCGGCTTTAATCGGTCCGACCATACTACGAGTGGATCCTTGCTTTTTAACCCCCCCCCCCCCCCCCCCCCCCCCCACCTTTGCGCCTTCTCGCCGTATTAGACGTTCCATCGCATTTCCAGAGTAGCAGGGCACTTGTCAAGACGCCGAACAGCTTGCTCGACACGCCAGCCCAGCCCTAGAACCTGAACTTATCGGTCCAGACGCAATTGCATCCACTACTATCCCCCACTTTTACCGACCGTGACGGCTCTCCCAGGTAGGACGTACCTGACCGGTGGGAGCGACCACCAGGAAACAGAGCCACCGTGGATGATCTGCCTGGTGCGCAGAGGAAGCGCGTCGAAATATGTTCTCGCTTGGATGGAGAAGACGTGAGACTGGCAGGCGTGGACGTGGGTACGAAGGTCCACAAGTACTCGACGAGGAATGAAAGCGGCGAAGATCGTCAAGCAGAACAAAACCATATCCTCTATCTGTCCGCCAGACTCCCCACCACCCAGGCCCTCGTCAGACACCCCGTCCTTCTCGAGTTTACGCAGGCGCGAAGATGAGCGATCGCGACGCTTCATCAAGTATCGCTTGGGGGAGGAGGCGGGAACGAGACATGGAGGATGGGCAATAGGAGAGAATGAGGATTACTTGGAGGTGTACGAGCCATTGAAAGGTCGGACGTAGGGAATCCCCGATACTGTTCAACAGCGACATCGTGAACGAGAGGAACGGGGTCACTTTTTTGCTCGGGTGAGTACTTCCATTTTTAGTTCTCGTATCCTTCATCCAACGAGGTTACAGATTTTCGCTGACGCTACGATACGCCGCCGGTCCAAGCGACTTGGTCATCAAGAAATCTTGGCCTCAGTCATCGCCCGCTCCCAGGGAAAGAGAAACTTTGACATCCTCTTCCCGTAGAGAACGCGCATTCAACCTCAACCCAGACCGTGTCGTGGGCTTATCCCGAACCCCGGCGAGTCAATATCAATGGTCGTATCGCTACGTTTTGGAGTCTTCCCAGAGCCAGAAAGTCGCGTATAATTGGCAAGAAACGTTACATCTTTCTTCACACCGCGCAGCTTGAATGTCTGTATTCAACCAGCGAGGTCACAGATTTTTGTTGACGCTATACATGATACAGCGCCCCCTGGACTACTTGGTCTACAAGAAATCTCGGCCTCCACTCTCATCAAGAAAAGCTTTGACATCCTCGTCTCATAGTGATCGCGCATTGGGCTTATCCCGAACCCCCATAAAGCGAGAACTTCCCTATGCGTCGTATCCGTGTCGCTACGTTTTGGGAGTACCAGCGCTAGCAATCAATACATCCTTCTTCACACCGCCCAGCGTTGGGAATGCAGCCTGAGGCCTGAGGTCCGGTCAGGTACTGCTATCTTCGTCGTGGCAGGCATCCCCAAACCACTCATCCCTCAGCAACTCCTTCGCACTCCCCCGATCTTTAGGATCGAGCCTCAAGCACCTCCGCATAAACCGTACCACCTCCTTCGCCTCATCCATACCGACATCCCCATCACTATTTTGCACCACCCAATGCTCAGTCTGATAGAGATAACGCCCGGGTCCCTTTTTTAGCCGGCCTACAAATACTCAGTGATGATGTACATTGACTGGGCCATACATACAGGTTTCATTAAAATACTGTCCAGCCAGTGAACTCGCACTTAGTTGCTCGGCCATGAACACCTCGCGTGTATGAGCGATCATCTGAAAGAGCATGATTTCCGTCGCGTCGAGGTGGACACCGTCGACGGTTCCTTCCTTGGTATTGAAGAGCGGGACGCCTGTGACGATCTCATACACCTAGAGGAGGGGGGGTATCAATTCACACTCAACACTCAACACTCATAGCCGTAGCCTTACCAAACAACCAAACGACCAAATATCAACCTTCTCATCCCACGGACCTCCAATGTAGATCTCAGGCGGGCGCAAGCTCTCCGGACAGATGTGATCTGTTATCCGCTGACCGATAGGCTGCGCTGGAGAAAGGACTTTAGATATCCAGAAAGAGCAGTGATGGGGAGGAGGGTGGGGGGGGGGGGGAACTGACCACTTCCCAAGTCACCCAAGACAAACGTCTGCTTCGCAAACTCTTCCATCGTCGGTAGAGGCAGCGGCTGCGACACAGCTGCATGAACAATCCCATCGTAGGATGCCTCTGCTTGATGCCGTCGCAAAGGGTCCGACTCGAGAAGCGCGCGGATGTCCTCATTCGAGAGTGTAGTGTCGAAGAAGATATTATCGGACTTGATGTCCGTGTGGACGACGCCGCACTCGTGTAGGTCGTTCAGAGCGCGAAGCGTGTGGAGTAGGATACGTTTGGCCAATGGCAGGGGATATCGCAGGAGGTTGCTGCTACGAGCATACCGAGTGATGTCTCCCCCCAAAAGCGGTGTGACGAGGCAAAGGTGTCTCCCCGCGCTGCCCTTACCAGGGAGGAAGAAATGGTCCACGAGTCGTAGACAATGAGGACTGGGACTGGGAATGCGTTGTAATGCTGGGAGTTCCCAGCTCACGCCTTTTGCGGCATATTGAGTGCAGTGTCCGTTAAGAGCCTTGAGAGCGAAATGTGCCTGATTGCTATATAGGACAAATGCATGAAGAAAAGGGATGGAACCATATATGAGGCCGTACCTCTGATCCTGGACGAGCCACGTACTCGAATTCATCCCCCACCCAAGCTTGCGAAGGACTCTGTACGAGCGACTCCCAAGTGCTTCGCCAAATTCGAACTGTGCAAAGCCATATCCCATGCTCTCGGGCATTCCCAGGGGTTCTTCGACAAAGTCGAAATCTACGACGCGTTCGCCGGATCGACGGTCCAGTGCTGGTTGGGGGTGAGTGGGATGGGGGAGGCATCGGTTCCGGCGCGAGGATCCTTGGTCCAGTGGACGTTTTGGTTGCTGGTTGGGGATGGTTCCATGTGTAGAGTGCTCAAAGAACGTATACCGCTAGTTAGCAAGGTAGTATGGCGCTGATGAAAACATCTGAACAAGATGCGAGTCTGAACATGCATATAAGACTGTAAGACTGTTGTATTGGTCGACTCTGCTATATAAGAGACAAGCAAAACCGTCGCTTACCAAGCAGCCGCCTCTTTCATCCCATCCCGGAGGTCAACTCAGTGAATGTGAAACGTTTTCAACGCGCGGCCAAATCCGAAGGAGAGACTCGCGATGATGTCTTCTCTGTCTGTTCCTTCAAGCGTCCCTTTCATTTCGTATTCCCGGCTAGTTGAGAGCCACCACTTGAATACTAGATGGATGCGCCAGGTTCGAGTCCTGTGGAGGTGGTTTGATTTTGAAAGAGAGGATCCTATGCTTTTTTGACCTCAGCCGTCCCCCCTCCCCCTGTCGTATGGAAGGGGAAGGGTCACATCCAGCGACCGTAGAGCGTCAGCTATTTGGCAAACCGAACGTTGATTCTAATTGTCCCATTCAAACGTTAAACCCATGACCAAGTATGTACATGCATGGCGCACCAGGTTCGAGTCCTGGGTGGGGATTGCCGAATATATGATTCAACGTCATTTTGCATGATGAGTCTCTGCTTTCGCGTCTAGTATAGCGTGCCTTCTCAGCATAATATGACTTCCTTCTAGCCTAAGAAATGAGGATGAAATAACATATTACTTTGAAGCCATAATAGCAGTATACAGAGCATCTAGCGGTAGCGTCCTTGTTCAAGCATTAATCGAAATCATTGGAGTCACAGTCATCACCATTCTCATCCTCATCGTCTTCCTCTAAAGACTCGTCAGCCTCACTGTCCTCATCCTCATCCTCCTCTCCGTCCACCCCATCCTCATCTTCACCTGCACCACCCTCATCACTATAAGGGTCTTCCATCGCAACCAAGTCCTTTTTTCTCTCCAGTTTTTCGAACCCCAAACGATCATCCCCAGACACTTCCCTACCCTCGCTCTCCAGTACGTTTCGCCTAGTCCTCTCCGCACGCACGGCACGGCTGATTCTGCTATAATCTACGCCAAGAGCCATGCGGCGGAAGCTGGTGAAAGCGCTCAAAAAAGAGCCACGCGCCGCCTCAGCGCTGACGCTTCGGTACTGAAGGTCGTTGGTTAATCGCAGAAATATTAATAACAGCGTGGAAAAAAAGAACATACGCGTTCATCGAGCCTCCTCTGTACCTCCTCCCGCTCTCGGAAGAAATGACTGTACATCCCCTTCCAGTCGAAGCTGACCTCGAACTCGACGTCCTCGGCTGGGTCAAAGTGATACCGAAGATCTGGTAGCATCGTATCATTGGCGGCGTGCCGGACCTGGATAATCACATTCGGGTGCTCGAGGGACGAAGCGTGCCTCAGTGCCCATTCTAAACTCTCTTGACATTCATACGATTCAAATATCGCACGAGAAGAGTCATCGGGATCGAGGCTATAAAACTGCAATTCTACTACACCCGCGTCATGTTCGCCTTGAAAGAAAAGAAAAGATAACCAGTCCGCTCGGATGCCATAGCACTATTCAGAATTGGCCTTACCAGTATCGACGCGAAGCCAAGTCTTTCTCAGATGCTTGGTGACAAACACACGTTCGACGGCGTCTTTGAAATTGCGCGAGACTGGTCTACAGTTTAGCCACAGAAAAGAAAGGTTTCGGACGCCGTATTGGAGCAGGATTTCGTAGATGACATCGGTGGGGATGTCTGGAGGGGACATGGGAGAGAGAGCCTGGTAGTCCTTTTTTTGAAATTCGAGTCGAGTGGGTCCTTCCCAAGCCTGACAGTGAGAAGCAGATCAGCGCTGTCCACGAGTACGTGTACGGTCGTGGTTTCCAAGCTCCTGGGCGAAGCCGTCCTTTAATATTGATGGGAAACCATGTCAAGGATCTGTACAAGCAGCTTCTAGTAGCCAGGCTGAGAGAATTCTTGATGCATGCTTATACGACCTCCGAGAATTCTTGGGATTTTTGGAGCGATTTCGGTAAGCTGATGATGCTTCCCTCTAAATCAGGGGCATTCTCAAGCTGGCGATAAGAATGAGTCGTCTGGAGAAGGAACGACGTCGACGTCGGAAGGAGAGAGAGCAGTTTGACATATACAACATCGGCTCTAATCGACCCGCCCTCAGGCTTACAGTGTTTCAATCGATAAAGATGTCACTGCGGCCGAGTGGGATGGACTCACTGCCCGAGTCCTTGAAACTTTGACAAGAAGGTCGTCTGCTATTTAGCCAGTGCAAGTCGTGAATTATATTCCACCGCTATGGGCCCGGCTATTGAATTCTTTGGTATCTCAGATTTGACGATCTGCAATGAATTAAATCTGGTTCCGGCTGAACAGGGGTCAGGAGACTCAACAAAACTCGAATAGGCCTACACGTTTGTAGGGCGTATTCTACCTGTTGTCACCGTCGATTCTAAAATCGGTACCCATCACTGTCCTCTCTGTCATGAATCGCTGAATCCTCTCCTCACGGATCGCCCTACGGACACTTATCTTATTTGACCAAAACAATACCCACATTTCCGAGGACTTCAATTTATCTCCCTGTTCAGCCTGGACAAGGGAATCCTGACAGTATCAATGTTTCGTCAGTCGTCAACGGGATCAAGTAAAAGACACTTACCGCAATATTGATCTTCCTCGCCACCTCTCTCTCTTCTCGGAAAAAATGGCTAAACATTCCTTTCCAATTAAAACTGATCTCAAATAGGCTCGATTGAGGGTCGAAGCTGTACCGGAGGTCTGGTAACATTGTGTCGTTGAAATGATGTTGGACTTCAATGAGGATCTTTGGCCATTCGAGCTGAGAAACGCTAGCTTCGAGCACCGTATTCAAACAGTGACAGATATCCTCCAGATAGCGTTCATCGAGTTTGGGGTGTTTGTATATTGCGCGGGATGAATCTGTGGGGTCGATATGGGAGAACTCGAACTTCTTATGGCTGGTTCCAGTTTGTTCTCCTAGAAGATGAAGTCCGAGTTAATGTAAGGGGAAACACAGCGAAGAAAAGTCCACTCACCCCTAGTAGAATGTACGTGAATGAATGATTGACTTAGGTACTTTACTGCAAAGACGTGCTCGACTGCGCTATGGAAGCTGTGCGAAACTCGACGACAGTCGAGCCAAAAGAAAGCGGTATCATTGTCGTCGGAATGGAGAAGGGTTTCATAGAAGATGTCGACGGGGATGTTTAGAGGTTCTGAAACTGGTGAAGACATCGAAGTCAACTTGGAAGAGGTGAGTGATTGACTCAGATCATTGAGCCAAAGTAGTAGCTGATCGACTTTCTAAAAGGAGGAAACTTCCATGACTCGAGATTGGAGCACAAGCCATTCAGTTGGGATCTCCAGAGAGGCGGAAAAGACATGGAAGCAGATAGAAAGTAAATCACGGAGGCTCGGCAGTCTTTTGATTTTCATGCGCTTATGGACTTGCTGGCATTTCCGCGAGATTCTTGTGTCCCTCTGCCGACGCAGACCTGTATCCAAGTAAACTTCGAGTCGTTTGATTTGGATTACCGAGTCGCCAGAAGTATCATGAACGGAGCCATGAATGTTACAATTTGCAGGATAAACATTGTTAGCGAATGAGAATTGTCATCATTTTGAGTCTTCTAAGCGCGGTGGAGTGACATCGGCGACTGGAATCAAGAGCTACAGTCAGCGCAGTCGGTATATTCTAGAGAGGTGATCTGAAGATGCTTTCAATTTTGATGCCGGTTATTGCCTTCGGTTTCGGTTTACGTTCGCGAGGACATGCATTGGTAATGGATACCTATGGTAATTAGAAGGGGTTGGATTAATTACTTGCCTCTGAAGTTCGCAGGGTTGAGAGGAGCGGAAGAGTTCGGACCTTGTGGGCCCGGCCCCCGTGATACATCACACAGCCACATCTTGCACCTCTTTCGGACGCTCAACTTCGTTCAGCCTTTGATCAAGCTATGGATAGTTGCAGACATAGAAGCCGATAAAACAAAGGTTGGGGTTGGAGTGTCGTCCCAAAATCTGGACTATGAACATGTCGTCCTTCTGTTCCCACTCATTTCCGACCTCCGCGCGCAGTTTACGGAAAACCGAGAAAGTTCACTCGGTTTTCATGCACAGTACTTTCTATGCTGGTTCTTTAGAATCAGGACGGCAGCGATAAATGTTCATTCCCTTGTATGTTGCATCTTTTTTCGTTGTATGGTACATTCAACTTACTAGCGTATACTTTGTTTCATAGAAGCTGACCTGGGTAACCAGCGGGGAAGGAATTTCTTCCGTAAAGCTCTCGTCTATTGACAAATCAGCCTTCGGGGTCCTATCGACTTATGCAATTGCTGTTCACCGCCATGCTGTTCTATATTTTCCTCCTGTTCATTGGGTTCTATCGAGGACTCGAAGATTAATCACTCTTTGCCATCCTAGTGTCGGTTTCTTCATGCTATTCACCCCGGTGAATGAACGGATTTCCAGGAATTTTCTTATGTACAACACCTGCTGTGTGTGGAATATCTTATGGTCTTGGCAACTCGCTCTCGTTATCTGCCTCGCTCAATCGGTAGGTCTCGCCGAAATGCCGTGTTCCTCTATTTTACTCTGCTCGGCACAGCCAGGACCTTTTTACTGATCAGCTTCCAATTCATCCGAGTCAAAGTCAGGCGCTCTATTGAAAATGTGAGCCCCTTGTTGTCTCCTGACAATGCAGCCGCATGGTAGTTCAGTTTTGGTCAGAAACGCTACCTTTATATCATGGAACGGAACGACTTTCCTTCTCGTCGACTCGGATATTATTTTGTACTCAACTCGTGCTTATATCTTCTCGTTAGTCTATCTTCACCTTTACATCCCACGCTTCATCCTTGAAGTAACCTACATTACTACTTAGATCTAGCCCATCTTCTTCCCTGAGTTGTTCTCACCCAAGCCTTGCCGAGGTGCACCCCTGAGACTGGGTCTGAGTAGTAACTACTGAGTAGCTACACGCTTCATAGCTTCATTCGAAGGCGGAAGTGACCGTACAGACTCCGAAGCCGGTGTTTGCGCGTATTTCAAAATGGCTTCCACGCCGGTTCTTCATCTTGAACTGAACTTCCATGCACGCGGAACATAGTTACCGATATTTTGGGTTTGTTCTTTTGTTAGTCTTTGTTCTTTCACTAACAAGGGTTTTTGCTATAAGGTAGTGATTTGTTGCGGTTGAGCCAACGTGGCCCTGTCCATAAATATCTTCTGCTCCTCCTTGGCACCACCGTCGCGTTTTCACATTCGCAGAAAAACCATGGTGCCCGATCCAGTTGAAGTCATTGACCTGACAGAGCTTACCGACTCTTCTGACGACGAGGAAGACCTTGATACCAGCCAGGATGAAACCCAATCGTCTTCCGAAGACGAGGGTAGTTCATCTGAAGGTGGTGAAGTGGCTGTTGACGCGACATCTCGCGCCGCCCTTCACCATGCTATTGCCTCTATTTCAGAGAGCCACCTGCGCCAGGTTATCGCCAATCTTGTGGACAACGTTCCTGCTGTTGAGCGAGCGATGGCCAGGGAACTTGTATCTTTCGATCCGAGGTCTCGATCGGCAGCACCCCGATGGGAGACTTGTGGCAATTGTGGCGAAGAATATGATCTGGAGGTGGACAGAGAGCCCAACGAGTGCAAATTTCATCCTGGTATAGTGATTTACTTCGCTGTTTTGTATCCACAAAATCTAATATCCGTGCCTCACAGGAGAGATCGAGGTTGACGAAGCAAGTTTTGTCGACTGGGATGAGGATTACCACGGCCCTATGGATACTCTTGCGAACCGGCGCGCATACCCGGAGAATTTTATCTGGACTTGCTGTGAAGAAAACACCGGAAGTGAGGGCTGCGTTATACAAGAGCACATGCCCGCGGTACCACGGAAAAGGCAGCGACTCTGATCATACGAGCCCTTATGATGTAAGTACATTGTTTTGTTCATCGGTATATAATCACTGACGTCGGCCCCGGATATCATCGATCACTCTATTCGGCCTCCTGTAGACGAATTCCGAGTACGAACTTTATGACGCCTTGCATCATTGTACGGCACCGGTGCTAGCGTATTATTATTTTCCTGATTTGGAATCCAGTCTTTCGACTCTTATTGTTTCGTATGTTTTCTACCAGTGGCGTGTGACTGTGACGTCTGGATGCTATTTAATATCTGCCGTTGTGTCAATGACATTTCAGTTTCGCATTTCTTTGTATTCTGTAGCTTTTACCTTTCGCCACTTACTTGTCCTTCTCGATCTTTCAACTGACTCCAGCATGAAGGACGGTTCAGATCACTCAAAAATTGCTCATCGACCTTATCCCCTCGAACATGCCATTCAATCCACGCCGTCATCTAGTCCATGTTCATCTCCCTCGCCCCAATCTGACATTGGTTCCGATGATGGATTCTGGATCGACGAAATGGAATTGCAATCAGTCATTGCGTCCACTCCAGAATCTCTGCTTCGTGATATTATCGAGAAACTAGCGAGAGGCAACTCACTCATACGCCGTGCCCTTGTCCGCGAACTCCGCTGTAGATCAGCGGACATGACACCCTCTAGTTCCCCGTCCCGGCGCCGACGAAAAGTTCTACACAAAAAGCAGCGCAGTTCTGAGCGGGCGCTCTACTTCCCATGTACCGCATCGTCGCCGTCATGCATCAACTGCGGCAGGGTTTTTTTGAATGGGTGGGATGGTGGTCTTCAAAAGTGTCTATCTGATGGTCCCTGTGCCTATCATCCAGGTACGCATTTTCATACGAACGTAAGTCCACTAACGTGACTATCGGCGTTTTGCAGGAACGCTAGAAGTTTTTGAATTTTCACCGACGATCAATATGCATGGAAGGCCTGGACATACAATGAAGATGTGGACGTGTTGTGAAGGGGATCCTGACACATCCGGGTGTGTGTCTGCAAATACACATCATGTAGGATCATTTTAATTTCACTATGTAAGTTCGGGGCCACATCCCGTTCCGATGTAATTTTTAAGTTCCCATCACTGATCCGTTTTAGATCAAATTGCATTCGAAGTTCCTGCCATTCTGAAGTTCATTCTACAGTAGCAGTTCTAAGACATTCAACTTGTACAAAATGCGCGCTTTTCATGCGTAGTCCTAACAATCAATGTAGTCATCACTGTACTTACCTCGCATTGCAATTTTAGATCATATCAGCTCTTGATCCGGTAGCCCGTTAATACAATTTTACGAACGGCACGAAACACATTGCGAAGGCCTGTTACTATTAGAAGAGAATATACACGCTGTTTCCTGGATACCGCTTCGATATGCCGAGTACCAAGCGGCAAAGCCTCTTTCGGCGCAACCTGTAACGTATGGCTTCGCCTCCACAGCCCTTCAAGCTTCATAGCGTGGCGTCCGTGTGCCTGCCCTGTTATTCTATTAAGGAGCTTGTCACTCCTCCCTTGATATCCCACATTGTACACTTCGGTGCCGCGGCTTCAAACATCTAACCACCACAAATCTCCCACATAGCAACCAAGGACAGCGTGCTCGATACGTGCCATACGCGTCTATTAAAAGTAATCTCTACGCAATAGCAACAGTAATAAACGACGAATGGGTATTCAAAGATATTCACAGCTGAAAAAATAAACGTTATCGCCAAGAGGTTTGAATTGAATGTTGACGGCATGCTCAAGGAGGTCACTTTCGTGCCGTTACGATCTATGCACCAATTATCTGACCATCACTCATAGAAGGCACATTTCGGCCGAAGGTTTTCGGGCTCGTCACCGGCATCCCGCAATAGAAATGCCACAACGCCATGGGCAGGAATAGAACGAGCGGTGAATTCGTGGACGGCTGTGCCGTTGTCAGTATGAGACCAGAGATCCTGGATGACACGAGTTAGAGACGCAGTGTTCTCGTGCAATGAATGTATCTGCATACCTGAACTGAGTATTGTCTCCCCGCGCACATCCATGGCGACTCTGTCAATCGGAATGTCATATCGGTGGCTTCTTCGTGCGCATTTATCTATAGATGAAATTTAGTTCGGACCTCTACAACGTAGTGGCGACAGTACCATCATAAAAACAGTCCCATTTTGGATCTGCCCACTCCAGTACTGAGCCGGGTATTTTGGGTCATTTGTATAATCAGGCTAACAGACGTGGAGGGGTCACTTTGGTGGAGCGTCTAGGGAAAGAACAAAAACCTACTTTATAGCCCCATCAAAAGGTATTACTCCTGTACCTACGACAGGATCCTGGTTAATGGGAATTATTTCTTCATTCTTAAGAATTTCTAAGGTTTGATTAGATATTGATTTGAGCTGGTGACGAGAACAAATTAGGAAGGGGTCTTCGAGAGAGGAGAGAAAACTAACATTAGTTCCCTGTTATTGTCACAGATCAGTAAGGGCTCGAAGATAAGCTAGGACCGACTAACTATCAGTAACGGCGATTTCATCAAGGCCCACGTAGTGAAATGTGTCTTGGATTCTTCATACGATAAACCGCCATTGCCGTTGCAAGACAATTGAATGATTAGTTAGTCAGGGATGAAAGAAACTCGAACACTTACTTCTAGTTGTCACGGAGTGATAGAGAACGGATCAGTGCTAGGGTCCGATAAGAAATGAATAACAAACTGATACATTATGACCGTAAAAATCTGACGCCCAGGCATGGAAAGAATTTCTGGCGTCAAGTTACTGGGATTGGCATGTTAAGAAGGGATTGACTCCGATTGTACTGATTGATAATGCTAGCAATCGAAGATCATTTTGCGACCAAGTACCCGGAGTCAGATGCGGACCCCACTAAGCATGAAAGCCTGACATATAGATGTCATCGGTTGTCTGCGGGCTATCAGTCCGTATTGTCAGAGAAACAAAAAGAACTTGAACTCACCCTCCAGGAATGACCGAGATTTCTGGCCCAGAGCCAGGGCTGCAGCTGGAAGATAACGAGCGTTAAGACATGATGCCCAAGGCACACCGATGGGCCCCGACTTACCCGGTCCCACTGACATATAGAATACAGCGTCGGAGGCCGTCCTGCGGCAGTCGCAAGGCCCGTTATTGCGTTGGCCATCCTCGAAAATTCTACAATCAAATGGCTGTTATTATATCAGTGTTACAGCGTAGAAATGCTCACTTACTCCCAATCATGCCCTCATGGATAACATCGTCAAAGGGTACTAGCATTTGATCATTACAAAAGGTACGAGGGCGGAAGGTTGAGAACAACAGTTACCTGTGCAGTTGTCACATTTATTCAAGTTGCAATCATCGGTAAATGTTATGGCGACGGGCATCTCGAACTCACTTGAGAAGATCGAAACCCCATGTCTCACGGAAAAGCCTTGTATCCCTGCAATATATGAGTCAGTACGGCCACCTTTTCAATGGAAGGAAGTAAGTTCAGACCTTTCTTCATTTTGATATGATCCAGGATACATCTGGCAAGTGTACCAATCCGAATCGCCGTACTAGTGGAAAAATTCGTTTAGATAAATATCAAGAAAATATTTCAGCCTACAATGCCTGCTTTCCTACAGCAGAACAGCGCCATGAATATGAATCAGTGGTCGGAAAGCAGGCATAAGCGTACAATCCAAGGAAATGCATACGATCTGTGAGATTCTGCATTCCGGAGGGAAACTGGTTCGTGTCTTGTGATTGAGATAAGCACCAGGAAGGTTATATCATAATATATCACAACGTAATTTCCATGATGTCACCATCCGAGTTTCGCTGTTTCTCCGCGCAGCAGTCATATATGTTCATGTACTCATACTATCCCATGTCCTGGTGTAGCCTTCATTAACAGACAGGATTAAATTGAAGCACGCGCGATAAAATAGTAAACCTTAAGACCCAGCGATACGATCAATTCAGCCCTCTCATATATTGTGTCTTCATTGATGTTACACTGTGAGTAGCCTAAGGTTTGAAGGTGAGAAGGACCTGGAGGACGTGGCGTGACGAACATAATAGGCATTCCAAGCTGCGGATGATCAGGAACCTTGAAGGAGCGGGATAAAAGATTCTGAGAAAGGACGAACTGCTGTAACCCATGACTGCAAAGGCGTATTGATCAACGAGTAAGTAACGTTGGAGACATGGAATCAACGTACATGGAAGTCGGCCAAAGCCATTCTCAAGAGCAGAAACTGGCAGTGAAACGATGCTAAGGAACAGAAGAACCGCGAAAAGAGCGACAATCGGAGAGACTAGTATCTCGAGTGAACAAGGGAACGAGAGGTAGGCGTGTTTGATCAAGTACCTCTTTTTGAAATGCTAAACAGACGTGCTGGTGTAGCAAGACAACGAGGGCCCTCGGTCATCTGGGCCAATCAGGGTGGGCGTTCACAGGAGGGTTAAGGTAAAAGCGCAGTCATTTATTTCCACTCTCTCCCGCATTTTGATAATCACGGTGATCGTGGTATGCCCTGTTTAGCAGCATACAGGCGGCGGCTAAGGATGCTATCTCGTGATTCACACAAACTGCACTTCTACGAGGGTACCTGTCAAGTTGATATATCAGTGTGTAAGTTGCACATAACCATATAAAACAATGCACTGCTCCTATCATCATGACCTATATCATTTGCTGATGTGAACCTTATTTCTATGAATACCCTTTAGTATTTACTGATCTACCCGTACAAAGAAGATCAGTATTCATCACGAGGTGATGTGACGCTCACTTTAGGTATGTTCGTATTTTTTGATATAGCTGCATCATTTAAGTAAACTCTGTACACCGCCGTGACGACCGTGTATGTACCCGGTAGCACCGTTCCATTAGCTGACTTGGTGCCAGCGGTACAGTCAATGGAACATCCATGCCCATTTCTGAACATATTATATACGACCATGTCCGTAGCGATAACGGTATGATAGCCATTCTTACACGGCGGCATCATGCAGGCAACATACAGTGATTTTGTGAAGGCTAGTGAGACAATACGCAGACTCTGAGGCTACACGGGCCAATAAAGATGTTGAGCATAGACACACGGCAGCCGTGTGGCCTTTCCAGGTGGAGTGGGGATTGAGCTTTGGCTCCATTGCGCAATTGCGCAGCCAGGAATGTGGACACCTGATTGTTGTAAAAAAGTCTTAGAGTTACTTGAGTAGTACTATATGAACGTTTGGGAGGTTGGGAGAACGTACCTAGAGTTTTTGCCAGAAATCGGCTCCAGCTTGTTGTGGTTTTCGGATAAATTAAAAGCTTTCGATGACACGTATGGACGATACACGTGACCGTGACTGACTGACAGTTTCTATTAAATTCTAGATAGTTCTGTACCGTCATCGGTTCCCAGTGCGGCCCGGTTTAACGTAGCATACATGCAGAAGGCTCCACACGTTACCTCGAGTCGTGCTTCGTCGTCCTGCCTCGTTGCAGACTTGTCGTTCATGGCTGTAGAGTCTCCCTCGGAGGCTGTTGGCTGGGTGGAGCCAGATCCAGGTACGATCGATTGACTGCGATATGGAGCAAAACGTCATTGATCCATCATGCAGACGACAAGCATAAAGTTTCAACAGAGGGAGAGGTTCTTATCATTCCTTTCTTTCCTCCGTTCAATTTGCTAAGCCGTTACTATAGTCCTTGAAACTCACAACTACCGCTCTAACGATGCCTGTAGGACAAACAGAACTGACTTTGCACTCTCCTTCTACAATTATTGGGACACCCTTCGATGTCGAATCTCCTCGATTCGAGTACCCTTTCCCCGAGTCCTCATCACGCCCAACGGAGACGCTGCACAGTCTTGTCTCTGCTGCATCTTCGATATCCAGTCTGGCGTCCTTGCAATCACCTCTCAACCATATAACACCGATCCACCTTCCGCAACCTGACATCCCGGCCCTTCTCCCTGTCCGTACAAAAGTGCGCACAGAAACCATCCCGATCCCCCCTGGATTGGTTGAAAAACGCCATCGATGGAGTCTCGGTGAACGTAAACTGTGCGGTGAGGGCGAAGATAGCTCAAACAAGGGTATGTCGTCCATCTGTGTATGATTCATCTTCTGACTGTCGATCTTGAAGGCGATCGGCCGTCCGAACGTAATAACGGTGACTATGTTGGATACAATGTTCCAATGCATTAACGCTGATCTTCAGAGTAGGACAACGGCGGCGCGGCTCCTCAGTAGGTCGTGAAAATAACGCCAAAACATCTCAATTACCTGTTTAATGAGTGAGCAACTACCTGATCGACATCATCACCCATTCTAATCTGAAGTTTAGCTGCTTTCCCGGTCACTAAGTTATAAAGTATGCACCACTAAGATATTTCTAATACGAAAACCTGATCACTCGCATAGGCAATTCCTTATCCGAGCCTGAGGATCCGCAAGACAGCTTTCATTACTTTGAACGATTCTTACGATTGTCGTTATTCCCACTGCTTTCTTCGCTTTCGACACATCAATTTGGAAAGGCTATTCATACATGTAATACCTTTTTCCTTATCATACATGTTTATAACGACCACTTATGCCGCATACATGTACGCTACCAGTCATCGTTAGTATTTAGTTGCTTTAAACACACACACACACGAATAAGCACATATTGACAAATAATATACCGGTATTACTATGGCCACTCGAGTCCATGCAATATAGTCTCTCTCATTAACAGCGGTCGAGTGTCAAGCAGGGAGCAGTTGGCGTCATTAGATGCCCACTAAAGAAAAGAGGGATACACGTGATTCGCGATAGCGCGTTATTGTGGTCTATTTGTCGTTAATCCTTCTTGTCTTCCTACCGCGACGATCGTGTGCTCCCGCCCCATTACTCTCGATGAGCGCTCGACAGCCTTTTGTGCCCATGGGGCCGCGCCCGGTGTCGCGGACAGCTCATCACAATGCCCCTGCGCCACCTCAAAAGTCTTCCTTTGCTCCTGACAAAACCAATCCGCTTCACTCGAATGCAGACGGTAATGGAAACTCTAGCAACACTCCGCCTCTCAATCTCCAGAATTTGATGAAGAAGAAGTCTCTCATACCTGGTAAAAACTCCATCCCTGCACCTGGACGACGCACCTCAGGTTCAGAACATGCGCTGGAGAAGGAGAAAGGACCTTTACCTGGATTTCCCAGGCGTGTTCAGACCTCGAATCCCAACATTGTTGCTCCGCACCCTCTGCCTCCACCTCTGTCGATGTCTCCGCTCTATGCTGGCGCTGAACTCTCTCTTAAACCAACTGATCCTTCCCAGTCTCATACTCTGCAATCACCTACTGAAAAGGATGCGCATATACCCGCCTCTTTTGCTGTTCCCGATGTCTCTTTTGCATCTCCTGCAAAGCTGAATACGAAATTTCAACACATGCCTCAGCCTCAATCTGGTGGTCCTCAGCGCACGAACGAAAATAGGAATAAACGTAGTAGAAGTGAGTTCGGCGAAGACGAAGCAACATATGCCTACGATGCAGATTACGGTTCTGGTCAGAATAAGAGATACAAGATGGATGGTCCAGACGTACGTCATGGCGTTCTCGATGTTGTGTCGTTCTCAGGTCTTATACTAGAAATATCCTGATCCGTTCTCTCCTGCCCCATTGTCAAGTCCGCTGCGCCACCCGGAATACCGCAACAGCCCTACAAGTTCAAATCGTGGATATCGTCAACATGCGGACAACGAATCGTTCCATGACTACCACCCCAACAACTTGTCGCAGGGCAACGAGGGGGCCCTCGATAAACTTCTTGGACGTGATGCCAACATATTTGTCGAAGAACATATGGATAGCTACGAGGCCCTAATAGAGAAGTGGAAGAATTGCACTACGGACGAATGGATTGCTGGGGCCGACGGTAAGCATTCATGTATCGCTACGCATTATGTCACCTCATTCGCTCCCAAGTTATCATGGTCAAGTACTCAAAGATCCTCGAATTTGTCAAGACTCATATGACGTACGCTTCCTTAGTTCCATACAATTTGTTTGTTGACCCTGTGACGCCGCAGGACGAAGCTCAAGTTATTTGCAGCCTTTGATAAGCAAGTTGATTCTCACGGCGTTGTTCTCGAGGAGCGCCAGAAGGTGCTAGCTGGGGTTAAGCAGAAGTTGGTGAGCGAGAGTGGGAATATTCTGGGAAGAGACAAGTCGTAGTTCCTGGTGAGCGCTTGCCAATGGTGTAATTTCCTTTGTGTACCGACGCGTGCCAAACAGTATTCGCTTGCACCCTCGCTGCTGCAATTTCAGCGTTTTCTACGTAATTCCGCATCTATGCACTTAGAGAAGGCCACACGAGAAATTGAAAAATGCGGGAAGCTTATCTCCCTTTTGTCCCATGACCTGCTCTCTTGACTATGTTCGGGCGAGATCACACAACTGATGCCCTTCGATGAGTCCTGTGGTATGCTGTCATTTGTTCATCCATGCACGTCGCCCTATTCCAACTGCCGCTATGCTGTGATCGGAAGTAGAAGAAAGTAAGGCTTTTTTCTTTCGATGGCATCTGCGTCTGATACCTGTTCGCACCGCCAACTCTTCTGCTACACGTCTTGTATACAACTTTCGAGGCCCGCATGTCATTGTTGACTGGCCTGCTACGGCGATAGAGCGCTTAGAGTGGACAATAGACAAGTTGAGTGGTATGCGATGGCAAACAATTCACTTTCACTCACACGATCGAACTGAAATGCGAGTTTGCCTGTCCTGTCTCTAAAAATGCCGCCGCCAGCTCTACGCAGAATCCAACATTTCTTCCATCACGTTTCATGTCAATCACGGTGGCCGAGGATGCCATCCAAATGTCAAAGCCGAATCTTTTATGTACGATTGTTGTCTGAGATCTTCCGATTACACGTGGTGTGGGTACGACAAAGTGGCGGTGTCATAGCTGACCGCTTGCCGCCGTGCAAGTACCTTATTTGTCACTTCCTCCAGCTCACTGGACTCTGCGGCTAGTAAACGCCCTGTCCACGCACTTCGGCCAGCGCAAGTAACGGATCCTGATGATGAGCGGCGAAAAGAGGTGCGTTATCCTGGCATCCTGCAGATGTAACTTTTCATAATGATTTCGTACCAGCATGTCAACAACACTGAAACGCAGAAACGGGCGGCTCAACCTCAAGGACGAAGAAGACAGACTCGAGGCCTCCAACACAGCACTGCGAGATTTGGAGTCCTGTCGGTCCGTCCCAGCCTCTGTCATCTCGCCTTCCGTTATCAACGTCGCAAGTGCTCGTCAGACATCGCTTCCTATCGGCCACCAGACCCATCATTCCTTTCGGTCGTTGGCCCATTCAGAATCAGACGATGAGGAATTCGGAGCGGAGAGGGCGTCTATGTCGACTCCATCGTCGGAGAAGGCCAGGCGGAGCAGTACATTCGGGGCCGCAAGCAGGGTGAGTCGGGACGAAATTTTCAGTATTGACTTGGAAGGCTTATCGCCGAACATAGAGCGCTCAGGAAGAACGGGATGACAGCAACTCCTCATTTACAAGGGGTCAACCTTGCACGGCTTCATCGGCGGAGATGGAAGACGTCGCGACCTCGAATATCATACACACCCTCCCTAATGAACTTCTGACACTCATATTTGAGGCGGGTTCGGTCCTCACATACCCTTCGCTCGTCGAACCGAAGTCGCCTTTCGTGCCCATCACAGTGAAGAAGGTCTCGTCCTTCATGAACACGGTGATGCATGTCTGTCACCGGTGGCGGCAAGTAGCCATTCACACGCCTGCACTATGGACCACTCTACACATCTCCCGATCTCGAAAGGCGCTGGATAACCTCCCCAGCGTGAAAGACTTTCGCAACCCCATGCCCTGGGTTACCGAGCACCTCATGCGGTCGCAGTGCCTTCCTCTAGACATCAGCCTCGACTGCCGGCACATCTCGATAAAATCCGTATTTAACCAACTCATACCGGAGAGTCATCGCTGGCGCAGTCTCGTGATCACTATACCCTCTGTGCAAGACCTCCCGAATGCCCTATCCAGCCTCAAAAAAACCCCTGCACCCGCCCTTGAAACGCTGGAAATTACGTCTCTCAAGTACCACGACTCTATTGCGCCGAATCTCACCTCCTTCTTCCGGGGCGGGCTCTCACCCAACCTGTCCCACGTACGCCTGAACCGCGTTTCACTGTCCTGGCTAGCATTCCCGCTTAAAGGCCTCACGACCCTCGACCTTCGCTTCGTCATCTGGCCGACCTTCCCTCACCTAGCGGAAATGCTCTCCGGTTCGCCGAACCTCCAGAATCTCGTTCTCCACATCGACAACACTGCCGCTAAGCTTCTTGACAGGCGTGGTCGTGCTGCGATCAGCATCCCCTCCCTTCGGTCTCTCGAGATCCGCTTATTCAGCCAGGGATCACCGACTATTTGTCCTTTCCTCCAGATATTCTCCATACCTGCGTTGGAGAGTCTCACATTGCGAGAAGTGACCTCGTCGGACTGGTGCAGGATTCTTGTGTACTTTCGTGTCAACTGCACGTCGTACCCGGTCTTGCGCCATCTCAGGCTATCGTGCATTCGCGGGCTGATCTCCGTAGATTCGAGTGCCGTGCGAGCGTTCCCACAGTTAACGCATCTTTCACTGAACGGGATCTACTCGAGTGCGTTTTGCCGCCTCTTAGTGGATGAGAAGACAGATGATGGGTATCGCGTGCCAGTATGGCCAAATATGACGAGTCTGAGTATCAGAGGAGACGTGGATTTGAATGTCAATTTGTTAGAGAGGGCAATTATTGCAAGAAGAAGGATGGGGAGAGCGCTGACGAACGTGGATCTAGACCACAGGATGCCTAGTGATGACTGATTACGATATAGTGTACGTGGATCCTTCATTTTTGTCTCGAGCTTCTGCTGATCCTTTTCCACAGTTAGTAGAGGTAAGACTGGTTACCACTCTGATACCTTTTTATTTAGCGGTTTCAATTGCTGTTTTGCTGTTTAATCTACATTCCAAGTTTATGCATTTGATGGGTTTATGGTACTTGCAATGTTATCGTCAGGACATCGTTCCCTGCGTAGTCGCTTTTACATCTCGGCCGCAAAGCTTTGAGACTAGGCCTTGGTATCTCTTAGGTCTGGCTCCTATGGACTCGGTGCAGCGTTGTGGCTCTCATGGTACTAGAATGAAGTAACTTGATTCCTTTACTTAGAGAGAAGGAGAATGACGTTATGAACCAGGATAAGGTTACTTATGGCCACTTGGACTCCTTAATTATGATGCCTAAAGTTCGAAGTCTGCTCATTACCATAGTGATGCACGCAAAGGAGCTGAAGGAGAGGGAATTGCAAAGTTCGAATCGCACTCTGTGTCGATACCAACGTCCTCTCCTATAGTCATTGGAGGTGTTACATTATGTCGACAGGTGAGCGAGCTGTTCTAGATTGATAAGGGGACCCACTAGTGACCCACTTGACAAGTTCCAAGCTCATGGGATGATTGACGGTATTCGCTGTCAGTACTGAATATTACGACTAGCACAGGCCAGAACGATGAAACTGTAGTCTGGTCCCTGTATGTAATTCGAACCAGATACAAGGATCACTCGCGTCCACAAAAAACAATAGCTCATATGTCGAAGGCATCCCGCGCCTTTAGCTTGAGGGAAGAATAGGTTAAATAATTGCAATCATGCCAACCCAAACGCTAAGGTCATGGGTCATTCCGCCAACACACCCCTTTCGCGTAGTATTTGCGACCTTCATTCCCATATCCACAGCGAACAGACAGTTCTCGAATCAGGTGTATATGAGAACAGGCACAACGGTGCCCAACAAACTTCGAGTGCATGTGGATGGGCTTCGCCCCAGGTTCGGGTATTACGATCGTCGTTTCTAGCCGTGTGTGGTTATTACAGTCTTCTAGGCGTTCACGAGCGACATGATGCGTTTGAAACTGTAAGTCGGCTGCGAGATTCCGACGATTGATAAACTATGGCTGGTTCAGAGCGTCACGGTTTTCACCAATATAGGGTATACAGCTCATGACTATGAGCTGGGCAGCTCCGTCATTGACCGGAACCCTTCAAGCGCCACGAGAAAACCTCTTTGCCGATTTTGACGCAGATCGTATCAGCGTCGTAGAAGTTCATTGACTTGGCTGAGAGTCCGCTTTGGTATTCCTGGTTCAATTTATCGATCAACCGAGAGGGGATACCAGGGATGGTGGGGAATTGGGTCTGTGATTCGGACGGAGCTTCGTCAAGTAAAGCCCAAGCGACGGATGCATGGAATCGGGGTTCTGCGTAATAGCCTTTCTGACGAAGTCCCTGAAGCGTCGGAGCCAACGCAGTCGAGAGTTGAGAGAGCTACAGTACACAGTCATAAGATAACGAAAACAAAGACGGAACTCTGAATGTACCTGATGATGCCCCGCGCCGACTTCAATTGTTAAGAATGTCCTCGTTCCCTCGTCGTTAGTGAGCTCAGCAAAGGTCGAGAAAGAGATGGTGAACCTGTGATAGACCATTAACGACGATTAAAAACAGTTATTCAGTAGACACCTGCCTTTGATGAGTTAGTGCAAGAGACTTCACGGCGCGCTTCAGGTCTTCCCTCTGGTAAGCACGTAGATATATCGGCCGAGACAAGGACACATGCAACTCAGGTCCGACATCCCCGTCCTTCGACCAGAAATCATTCAGCGAGGGTATCTCATCCTTCGCTGACTGTATAGCTTGACTGAGCAGAGAGAACAGTGCAGATTTCCGGTTCAACCCAAGAGATATATAAACATGAGCAGCCCATTGACCGTCAACATGAGGAGTATTTCGTTTTCTGCCTTGGTGAAGAGAAGGATCGTCTATGGGGGCTGCAACAACCAAGGATGCTGAAAGAGTGGGCAGTTTTCTGCCGTCTTGTCGGTTAGCTGATTGTAGCCCACTAGATGAAGAAATCACTCACTTCCGTTTCACAGGTTTTTCTACATTGTCGTCATCCTCGGAGCTGGAATATTCAACCAAAGAAGACGAGAAGAAGGCTCTTTTCATCCAAACGAGAAAGGAAAGTGGCCGTCAGAAAAAGAAAGCAGCATGCACCCAAAAAGGCAAGTTCAAGCTTCTCGTTTACTGTTGACCCTGCTTCAGGATCGAACCGACTAGTGTTACTGTCGCTGCGCTACCACTCAGTATACTTTGGCTAACCACTTCGTTTTCCGTGACTTTTTCGAATCGAGGCTGACAAGTATACGGTCCAATGTCATGCTACAATCAACGTAATATTACAATACAATCAAATACAATCCTCCCGAATCCTTATCCAACCACCGGCATTGAAGCCCACGAAGCATCATAGCCCGATTTTATCTTCAAGAAGCCGTGATGCTCTTGGTACCAGACTGACCATCTGCCGGCGGCTTTGGGAACGTCACTGTCAACATACCGTTCTCCACGGTAGTTTTGATTTCGTCTTCCTGAACATAAGGTCAGCGTTCTGTGCATATACTTCACCACCGAAGCTTGCTTACTTTGATACCCTCGGGGATACTCAGCGTCTGTGAGAACTTCTTGTACGACCTTTTGCTAATGGAATAGTTCTCTCCCTGTTCCTCCAAAGAATGGGTGCGCTCGCTGGAGACAGTCAATTGGCCGTCTCGCACGTTGACCTGGACGTCCTCAGCCGTCATGCCCGGCGCCGCCATGCTAGCCGTGACCATGTTCTGGCCTTCATTTTCGCGAAAGTTGAACCTATCCGGCTTGTCAATGTCTGGGTATTGCCGGCCCAACCACAATACGAAACACACCTGGAGCTCAGAAGACTCAAAGTTCCAGAGCTACGACTCTCTAAGCTCTCTGAACCTTCACTGGTAGCAGACCCAGATACGGAAAGATTGAAGAGACCGCCGATCCTGATAGTCATATTTGTGGTGAGAGGTGATGGGTTGATATTTACTCACAGACCCACGTCCAGGCTTTATATCGCAGTCCAGGGTACTTACTGGTCCATTCTGGAAGGTTCGACCATGTTCATGTGGCGTGTTACTGGACAACAGCATTTTTCGGTCCGTGGTGACGGCACTTTCATCTATCTAACTTGGACTTTAATGGCACCGCATCTGCCCGCTGACTCGCGCAGCGCGCTCAAGTGTCCAAAACTCTAGGTAGCTGGGAAAAAGAAATACTACACTGCACTCTTCGTGTCCTTCCAAGCTTTATCAAGTCTGCTCAGACTTGTCCCGGTATGTTCATTGATGACAACTACTATTCTAATAAATGGGGTGCATGCCATCGGCTGCACCCGCATTGTCAAACTTAAACTGTCTTTCAGCTCTTCTCGGGGCCCGTTATGACTCATGGCGGATGGCAAACAGGAAACGAACTCTGACACTACCATCCAGCTCTGTGAAATGAGCATCGACGGAGATACCAATAGTCATTAACTGGGATTGGTCGCAGAACTTTTTCAAGCCGCTATGGTCGCAACAACAAGAATCAACGATTTCGGAAGACTCAGACCTCTTATGCTCTAATTCAGGGGGACTGCCTTGCTCAGTGGTTAATATTCGAGTTTCTATGGACGATCTAGCCGCATTCATTGCAGACGGGCCAGAAACTGCCAGGAAATGTACAAACCCAAGTAAGTGCTTATCAGACGTATAGATACTGTCCCGGTGTAACGGCGCGTTCTAGATTCATCATCATTGATTCAACCATCCAAAGTCGAGGCCCCACATTTGGGTCATTTACGATCACGCTCTTATCCTTACGGCCTTTCGGGAAGATCTTCTTAGCTAAGTTATATTCAAGTATGGAATATTAGGCATGCTCGCCTCCAAGCTTGTCTCGAAGATGGATATAACGCCAGTTCTAGATCCCTCTCCATACCAACTCAAATGCATACATGAGCCTTCTACAACGAGCCTTGCTACGACTAGTACCGCCTCTTTCACGGGGACCCCTGCTGCTAGGGATTCGCGTCTCACTCGTAATTTCTTTTTGTTATCGATTCTTCCCATCGATAACTGATACTTTGCACAAGATAGATCTTCAAGAAGGTAATACTGCCATGACTGTCATTGCTACCATCGATCCTCGAAAAGAAAGACGTCCACACTGAGGTGCACAGTGGTCTTTTGAAGGAAATAAGATATCGAAGAGCATGAACGTCACTATCGGTACGCAGTGCACAAGAAGCGTTATAGCAAGTTCCCGGCTCCCTACTGATGTAGACTTTTCTGCTTCGGTTTTCAATTGTTGACTTCCTAGTCTTTTCAGGACAATGACGGGTAGACATAAATGTCTTGGCAATAGGGTGCTGACGTCGGCAAAGCCGAAGATGTCGACAGTGCTATGAATGACACAGTGCAATCTTGAACTAGCCATTTTCCTGTCAAACAAAGGATGATATTCATAAAAATACCGTCATCTGTTAGATCAAAATTCATGTCTGAACGATAGAATTGTCTCTGTACCCACAGTTGTCCAATCAAAATTCTTGAATAATCCAAGTGTCATGAAGAATTAACATAAATATAAAGTCGCGCTAAACACACCGTATCGATAAGAAACATGAGTGATGAGATGATTCTATGATACCGAGCATAATAGTACACTTATAGTATGATAAAAAAAGGCAGCCTTAAGCAGCCATGCGCGAGTGATGATATACAAAACTGACGGTCTAAGTTCGTGCAAATGAAGCCAAAACCGTGGTATCCAATGAAACACAACCTTTTACTTCCTGAGATCGAAGACAATGCGGCCGGCGACTTTACCCTCCTTCATGCCTTCGTACACGCTAAAGAGGGGCGAAGGTCAGTGAAATAGGACCGAACGTGCGCATGTTGTGCCTCACTCTTTGAGCTCCGCAATTTCTTTGCAGACGAAGTGGACCTTGACCTCGCCACGAGCAGCGATGTCCATGGCCTCCCTGGCATCTTGACGGTTACCGACATAAGACCCAAGAATGCTTATGCTCTGAGAAGGGCTTGATTAGCTTTCATCCTTGATTAAAACCCAATCACAAATTTACCTTGAAGACAGTGAAGAAGATAGAGGCCTCGAGCTTAGCCTCTCCGGGCAAACCAACAGCCATGAGAGTACCACCATTACGAAGATAGTCGACAGCTTGAGTATATCCGGAACTCTGATGTTCCAGGTCAGTCCAAATTACGTCATAGCGGAGGAAAAACTCCGTACCGACGCAGCTGTAACTACTGCTGAGTGTGCACCAAGTCCGTCTGTAGCGGCCTTGACATCGGCAACGATATCTTTGCTCTCCTTGAAGTCGATCCAGACGTCTGCACCGAGCTTCTTGCAAAGTTCCTTCTTCTCCTCGCCGCTATCTGTGAAAAGGGTGAGAGATGTCTATTTAAAGAGCACATGCGCTTACCGATAGCAATAACGCGGAGTCCGCGAACTTTGGCGTATTGAATGGCTAGGGGAATCAGATAAGTACAGGAACCGAAGGAACAGGGTATTCAATGTACCGAGATGACCTAGACCTCCTCCGGCACCTGGTAAGACAATCCAATTGCCAGCGTTGGTCTGACTGTATTTAATAGCGCGGTAGACGGTGACACCCTGTATTCAATCGTTAGAATGCATTGTGATTCATCGGATAAGCGTGACCTTACAGCACAAAGAATGGAGGCTGCCTCATCGGATGGGTAGCCTTCAGGGATGGGGGTGACATGGTTGACAAAGGAAACAGTGTATTCAGAGAACGTTCCGTCGACGTTGAAACCGCTCAGTTTAGCATCCAGGCAAGCTAAAGGAACCGAAAATGAGCTTCTTGATGCCCCACACGAAGAAGCCATCACTACTTACTCTGCTCACGGCCATTACGGCAGTCCTCGCAGTTCAGGCAACTGTGGGGGGACAGAGTTAGGACCGGCAAGATATTGAAAATGAAAAGATACCGACGAGTCGGCAAGCCACTTGATACCGACGCGATCACCGAGCTTAACCGGGGAGTTGGCAGTGTTGTCTCCAATTGCGACGACGATACCGACGCCTTCGTGTCCACCGATGAGCGGGATGTTAGCTTTCAACGGCCAGTCACCTGAGACAAGTACGTGAGAAATCGATAGCGGAAGAAGTACCGAATGGCTCTTACCCAAGGCGGCGTGGAGATCAGTATGGCAGCATCCTACGGATCAGGACATGGATCAACGGTGATGAGAGCATTTTAGGCGCCTGTGAACGCACCGGTAGCTTCCATTTTGACGAGACATTCTCCGGGGGCAAGCTCCGACTGGGTCTTGACGGGCCAGTCGTTCTTGATGACAATACTTCCTCCGGTTTCCTCGATAATGGCAACTCGTTGAGTCTTGGGAATCGTATAGTGGGTAGGCATGGCGGTATGATAGAAGGAAGGGCGGGAGAGACGGTTGAGAGAGGTAGCGGTTAGGGGACGGTTTATTTGGGGGGAAGCAAGACGAAGAAGTCGTGAACTGGGGCCCTTGGGAATGAAGACACTCATTTTTATATGTATCGCTGGCAATTCAGTCCCGGAGGTATCATTCACTGAGGTTCTGAGAATGATGTGACGTTGTGGGCTAGTCAAGGTCCTTTTATCATCCAGGTGACCTCCAGATTGGACCTCGAATTCGCAATTATGTTGGTGACGCGCTTACGCGACGGCGTGGCTATTCAGGGCTATTCTGGTTTATTCTTTCCGGTCCAGATGCGGCTCGAATTTCATTCCGCAATGATTGGATATAATTTCCTTTTCCCTGATTGGCTGCTGTCACTGCGTCATCGCCATGTGTCATGTGGTACGTGCGTGTTTTGTGGGACCACACGCAGTAAGAGGTAACAGTAAGATATCTGGTATGAGCGCTTTCAAGCTAGATGGCCCTATTACCAGCCAAAGCAAAGACCAGTGCTGTATTGATAATCTAGGGAGAAATTCCTCGCGATCGGATGATCGGTCCTAGTAACAACGCGTCAAAAGTAATCGTAATGTCGTTGCGAACAAAAAACAGTTTTTATGCCGTGGCGGATAACCTGATAAGCCTTCATTCGGATTTACAGCTTCGGGATATGTGCCAAGCGCGTCCCGAGAGTACACGCTGTATACTCATTCCCCACACGATCGCTTGGCCCCATGTGGAATAGAACGTCTCTCTAATCGAATATTTCCCCGAGATGCGGGCCAACCAAGAAAGGAGCAGCTGATCAAAACATAGGAAAAAGTCGCTCCGACGGAATAGGACGGAAGAGCACGATCCCATTAGAGTAGCCCCAACGTGCCCTTGGCGCGCCTTAATTGACCCAAAGCATGGGGTATGGTTAGTGGCGTTGTTCACGAGGAAACATCATCATGAACCATCAGAGACCATCACTTACCCCGCACTGCTCCCCCGCAAGAATCCTATCATTCTGTGGAACAAAATGCTCGTCAGAAGAATCAAAAGAAAGATACGGGTAAAATTTAAAATTATATGACACACATCCGACCGGAATTTTCATACTGTTCTGCCCATAACGAATTCGTCCCCGCTTAGCTCTTCATCCGAATCAAAGTCACTCCCCGCAATGTCATCTTCTTGCCGTACAACAACGACGCCACTTGTCGTCTCGTCGCCTTCTTCATCCATTTCTCCATCCATTTCATATTCCCCCACAAAATTCTCCGTGTTGTCTTCAGCATCCACTTCATCAAAATTTCCATCGACGCCCTCCATATCGTCCTCTTCATAATCCGACGGGAAGGCTTTATCTTCTTGAGTTGGATCCCAGGATCCCTCTCTAGTCGTTGGATCATCTTCGTGGGCGTCCTCATCTTCCTCGGATTCAGACTCATAGGCATCCCAAACGTAGCCGATGGGCGGCCTATTCCACCCGCCATACGTAGGGTCTAACGCGGCGTCCTGCGCCTGCCTGATCAAGTCATGTTCCCAATAAGAACCGACCACATTTGGTTGACCATTCACCTCGAAGTCAGGGACATCGTCGGCGGAATCATCTGAATCCTCATGGAAATCTGCACCGCCGGGTCCGCTTTTTGACATGGGCCTGGTAATCCATACAACCGGAAATACTGATGGATCCTTAACAAATGTCTCCCAGCGTTCCGGAAAACAGTTGGAGAATTCAGATCGCAGGGGGTAGATGAGCGCGTCCTCGAGCAGGTCGATGAGGAATTCTCGCCCATCCTCATCATTGGAGTGAAGCTGAATTCGACGTCCCAGATATATTTGCCATTGATCAGTTTCTTCCATTGTCGGAGTATTAAAAAGGTCGAATAGATCCTCATCCGCCCGGGCCACAATACCGTGCTTCCTGGTGAACCTGAGTTTATACCTGAGGCACATAGCGACTGTGGCTCCGCGCCGCATAAGAGATTGAAATTCGGTTGGGGAATTGGCATAGATATCAGGCACCGGAAGATCTAGTGGCAAGTCATTCAAAGGAGTCGTTCCTCGCTGAACGAGAGCACGATCTAAAGACATTGCACAGTTTTCATCAGTCGGAGCAGCCTCCCCGAGCATTTTGTCGTGCTCCTGTATAATAACGTTAATAGAAGTTGCAGGCATCAATGTTTCTTCTACCCACCTCAGTCCACGCAAACAATGTGGCGCAGTCGCGCCCTTGGCATACGCCATCAATCACTTCGTAGTGACACTTTGGGCAACGATATACCCTTTCCGCGTTGTCCCAGGAAAGTTCTGTATGCGAAATAGTCTCGTCTTCTTCATCAGACGCGTCGCTTTCTTGGCTAGCCATATCGTAGTCCTCATCAGGCTCGTCACCACTGTGGTCCTCACGGCTATCACCGTTATTGTCCACGAATGCCCGAAGAGCGCCTCTTAACTGCGCGGTTTCCTGAAAGAAAAAGTCTTGAGACGCGTCAACGAAGCGAAGGAATCCAATTACGCGTCTAGATTGAGCTAGGAGCTGTCGCAATCTTTCATTTTCGCGTTCCAGTTGAAGAGGCATAATAAGGCAACGAGAACGACAGTGGGAGAAGGTTCAAAGGCAAAGGCGACGCGTACGTGACTCAGGCAATTTGGGCAAATGTATGCGGTTGCTTACTATCGGACCTACAAAATTTAGTACAAACTTCCTTCTTTGGCATTCGCGCTCCACTGGCTTAGACTTTCACCTGGCATCAATTCTGTTCTTTCTCCGCCTTGCTGGCCACAAATCTGCACCGATCTCCGTCCTTCTGTGGTTCCAATTCAACAAAGCTGCCACTCGTCGTCGTAGTATTCTGTTGCAGTACAATTTGATCTTTACTGTCGATGCCGTAGCCCGACCAAATAGGGGAACGTTTAAGCTTGAAGGTATTAGGGTTCTTGGCGCGCACAAAGGATAACCAATATGCAATCAGTTCTTCCGCAAAAGCTTTTTCCTCGGCTGTCATCGGAGAAAAGGTCGTCGTCCCATTAAATCTAATGGGGTTCGTTGTGAGAGTTTGAATACCGTGATCATGTGAACCTCGTACGTACCCAGTGTTGGTACCAAGGAACATCATCCAATTCTCTGCGGCATGCGCAACGGTAGTCGTATCCGAGCTGGTTGGATTTGGTTGATTGTAGCGGTATGCCCAGGCATTTACCCCAGCGCTCGAAAACGCAGTTCCTAAAATGGGACGCTAGTGACAGCAATGAAAAACATCAGCATGCATGACAGCTTCCAGAAAAATGTATGGTCACACACTGCGCATATGAACACCGTCTCTCCAGCCAGCACAAACAGTCTCTGCAGTTCTGAATCGAAGTCCGAAGAAGGGTATGCCTGCAGTCAGCCCGACTTGGCATCAGAAGAAATGAATACTCCACGAAGAAAAGGCAATCACCGCGAGGTACTCATCCACATCCGTGTCGTCCAATCCAGGGTAGAAAATTTTTAACGTCTGACCAATATCGAGACTCGCGACCGACGTTTCGTTCGACGTTGAACTTATTCAACATAAGCCTTTCACTGTAACTCCGCTAGAGTAATGAATACTGACCCGACAATTAGGGGAACGCGAGCAAAGCGTCCTGAAACTATGGCTGTCGTCGGATGCTCAGTCAAAATTTTTCCATCAATGACGGGATGGAAAGAGTTGTATGGACCGGAGCTGCCTCGAAATCAGCTGGCTAGACGTACATTTAAATGGCTATGCCTACAAAGAAGCATCTTGAGCACGAGCAAGATCCCCAATACTAGCATTCCGTAGACAGTTCATTTGAGAAGCGAGGTCTCCGGAATCACATCCAGCTTTGGCCGCGTAGAAGTCAAATAAGGGCTGAAAACAACAAGTCAGTCAACGTATTAACTATGCCCCGCTACTAGACTACATACGTTTTGTTGCTCTGGGGAAGGGACTGCACCGCGGTATACACTCTGAGCTATAGCACCAGAATATAACTGCTCTCCTTCATGAGCGATGAGATGCAGCTCCACAGACGATCCTCCAGCGCTCTCGCCGTTGATGGTAACACGCTCGGGATCTCCACCGAATGTTGATATGTGCTGTTTTACCCATCTGAGTGCTTGGATCTGGTCGAGAAATCCAGCGTTCAGATCACCGTGCTCGGAGGAACTGGCGAAGTCTGGGTGGGCCAAAAAACCGAACGAGGAGAGGCGATAATAAACAGAGACGATCACGACATTGGGACTCTGATGCACCCAATGGTCGAAGGGCCAATTGGCAGGGTTCCCGTAGACGTATCCTCCACCGTGAATATATACCAAGACAGGCACTGCATAGGGGGCAAGTCATGCGCTCAGGCCGAGGTTTACTTCCGCGCTCAGCTGACTTACAGTTCCTGCCACTGGTCGGAGAATAGATGTTAACCTTTAGGCAATCCTCGCTCCCTGCGCCACCGGCGTCACCGACTAGGAAAAGTTAACGTGCAGATCTGCCAAGGCAATGAAATGAAGGAATAAGTACCTCCCGTAGTGCCCTGAATGCAAGGCTCCGGATAAAACGTAGCATTGATCACCTGCCCGTGTGCTTCTGTCGTGATGCGTCCCGTGTCCAAAGGTACGGGCGCGCGGAAACGTCGATCACCCAAGGGCGGCTCCGCATATGGAATACCAAGATGAGCAACGGTGTCGGAATAGGAAAGATTACCAAGATATTTGGCGTATCCTGTGTCGACGACGAGTCTGTCGTCACCAGTCGGGGCAGAAGACACCAAGGTATTTGCAAAATGGGCAAACAAGAGAACGACGACCTTGACCAGAAGCATTCTGACTTGGGACGCCAGAGGAGCGACGTACGATTGTTTGACCTAGATTCATTCGTTTTTATGGGGAGTACTCGAATAGAACTTCTCGTGTGAATTCACTTCCAGCTGGATTATCGGCAGCTTGTTCTCGATGTACGCGTGATGCTGAGGACCCGGGACGAGGTCAAGTGGGTACGAGACGCGCGCGTATGAACAATAGTTGGCCATCACAAGATAAAGTTTTGCCATTCGAAGTAGAACTCTTGCGTAAAACCGTTCGGATAAAATGCCTTGGAGAGCGGCAAAAGGGCGACAGGTGGTAATGCAAGGCAAGTTAGGTTAGCTGACAGTCGTCGGGCCGACGTCTCCGCTAAGGATGGAAGAATAGCGGAGCTAGTACTTGAGATATCTGATAAGTAGAAGATGATGATGATTGTGCGGCACAGATGAAACGAATTCTACCGCCTCACTGAGTCAGTATGGGAAAAAGTCAAGTTAAGCGAATCACGCACAGTATGGAAATCAGCGAACGTCAGGACTTCGTAGTCAATGTGTCGAGGGATTTCCTTCTTGCCAAGCATTATATGCAGGTCCCATGCTCATCGTATCCTTTACAAGATCCACAAAAAGCTCTGAACCGCGGCAATTTTCTTCGGTCTGGATGCTTTCTCTTAGAATGTCTTCAGTACACAAGCGGCGAGTACCAAACTAAAGCAAGAGAGAAAACATGCAAGGCACAAACCTTCACATGTCGGGAAGCTGAAACGTTTGACACCCATACCTCCTCTCCCGAATAGCACTATCCCTCTTGTGCTCGCCTGAGGTATTACTCCCAGCTGACACAGTCAAGCGGCCGTTGTGGACGTCAATGGACACATCATTTTCTGATAGTCCGGGGAAATTGAAGTGGCGTCTTCGTGAAGATCTATCCTAAAGGAGAAGAAGTTAGATGGTAGACAAGCACAGGTGGACGAAACGCGTAGCTTAGTTTTGAAAACCGTGTACATGCCTTCAACTACCTTTAGTCGGCGCAGCGGCTGGGTTTAGTTGCCGTTGTCCGCTGCCCTTGATTGTGATGCAAATTCTGCATCAGGAAGCAGCCCTCCGCTTGTAGACAGGCATGGATTGCGTGCTTGAACAGAGACGTGACTAGCCAGGATGGAGCTCCGGATTTCTCGAAAGCTCGAGACCCATGGCACAGAACTTGAAGAAGAATCCAGAAAGCTCCGGGCGAGAGTCGCGATTCGGTCACATGATCTCACCCTCCTAAAATTCAATGAATATCGACGCGTATGGGGTCGTGCAATATCGGTCGTGTACCATCGGATAGTATGACAAAAGGTGTATCTTGTGCTGAAGAAAGAAGAGCTCGTGTGTCCTGGTGGTCACTAGATCGCTGCCCCCGTAGAATGTTTGGCAACCTTCTTCGAGTTTCTCTGAACCTTATACTCGTCACCTGCAGCAGAAAGTTCGAGCAAAAGTCTAGCACTATAAAGGACACTCACATCTTCACCTTCCATTCCACACGAACACATAAACCACAATGTCTGTTTACTTTCACGAACCTTTCTACAACTTCGACCGTCTCTTCGAAGCATTCACTCGTCCTGCCGGCCAACTACTACAGGCCACGCAAGACACTGCAATGTCCATCTTGAGGCCAATGTCAGTTCATCGTTCTGCATTTTGGACCATCTTCTGACTTGTTTGTTGTTTCTTCAATACAGAATGGATCTCCACGAAGACATCACTAACAACACCGTGACTGCGACGCTGGAGTTACCTGGCCTCAAGAAGGAGGATGTTCATATTGATGTGCATGGCGGCCGTCTGACTATTTCGGGGGAGAGAAAATTCTCATCTGAAAGGGAGGACAACGGTTATGCCGTCCGCGAGCGCAAGTATGGCAAGTTCTCGAGGATATTGAGGGTGCCTCAGGGAGTGAAGGTAAGCAAGCCATGGCAGCTCACGAAGACAAGTGTGGAGTGTCTGAACTTCATTCGCAGGAAAACGAGATCAAAGCATCCCTTGCAGACGGTTTGTTGACAGTAACATTCCCCAAGGCTGCTCCCGAGACGACGCCAACGAAGATTACAATTTCTTGAACAGTTTCTTAGGATAGCGTATATAGCACTGTATTTTTAGCGTCAACAGAAATTTGTATCAGTTTTAGTGTAACGAGCATGTGCAAAAAGTAAGGAAGGCGTGCCTATAGTAACGGAACGTTTCTCAACTATGCAGTTACGCATGGCGTCCCCAGTGCATCACTCATATCTGTGGGAAATTCCGTCACCAGGAGAGCTCGTAGTTTCCTAGCGAAGTCATCAGACTCGGTTTCGGATATGCAGCCCGGGCCGTTCAGTCGGGACCTTCTGCAGAAAGATTCGCAATCAATGTCAGAACCGAGGTCAAATAGTTCGTCACTACGAAGTATTATTCCACGATGGATGCGGCACAATTCTCAGTCTTCGAAGCTGCAATCTAATAACGCGATCCTTCACATTTAGAAAAAAAAGCCGGCTATCAGAATTCCAGAGGTCATTTTCAATCTGTAAATGAAGGGGATGATCAGTGCCCTGCGATATTTCAGAAAAAATGTTAAAACCGAACGTTAATACCCAGGAAATCGCCGAATAACCAAATGCCAAGGTGCTAAGACAGGAAAGAGTGAAGTCGGCAATTCCCGACGCTTGTTGCCTTCTACTTTGAGGCTACCGCCCAAGTGCCGCTGCTAACAATCGAGTCTTCCCTGCCACCTTTCTACATTCAAGAGGACGTAAAATGCAGGTCGAATCCGGGGCTCTTTCTCAAAAAAAAAAAAAAAGGAAAATTTACTCGTCAACAGCACGGCATCAGCTCTCAGGCCCAGATGTCGTTGCCAGGGGAAATCATCGACTCTATCCTCGGACACCTGTCCGACTCGGATTCTGGTGCAATGCTACGCATCTGCAGTCTAATCTGATACCATGGACGCGTATCCGTCTCTTCCGAGATGTCTACGCTGGCGGAGTCAATAAAATAGACATTGGATGTCCAATTATCATGGTCCGGCCCTACCACCCCGGGCCTTGCGTCTTGTGGAAACGATAATCTTTGCTAACGAGACGTGAACCATTACGCTGCGAAGCATTGATTCGCTTTTCTTCTGCCCCTTCTTGCGGCGCTGACATTGAAGGGATTTCGTCCAAATGAACGGCAGAAGTGCGTTATGCTTGCTCTGGTCCATCGAACACAGCTGCCAAAGTCCCGTCTGATCTTCATTCGAAAGGGCTTCGTTTCAAGGGGGCACAGTTTCATTCACGGCACTACATACACGAGGTCATTTGCGCATCCCCTTCAGTATAGTCCCTCTTCCTGGTGTGCTCAGCTGCCGTACAAGGAAGCCCGACGGAAGGCCCCTTCCTTCAGCATGACCTTGACTCAATGATTATCAGAACCAGCAATAATATCGTTTCTGTGGGTCCTCTCGCACCCTCGTACACCCCTCAACCGGAGTTCGTTCCTTGACAAACTAGCTGGAACTAGTGTCTCAGATGGCACCAATGAATATTTCCGAGTCCTAGGTATCCTTCTGCGTGGTTTCTCCATATGTGGACTCCATATGCTTCCCATCTGACCTTGGTGCGTTCTGCGTTCCGTTTTGTCTATCATCCTGACAACCATTATAAGCAGTAATGTTCTTATAATACTTCCCTGCTTTTCCTCTTCATCAATCTCCAGATCCTCCGCCAAAATATTATTCTGGGCGAGAGGTGCCTTTTCCATACACCGGGACTTGGAACTCCATCCTTCGTGCGGACCCTTACAGTCGCTTACCGGACCGTAAGTAATGCAACCTCGCGGAGCTCCTCCCGCTGGACGCCTTTCTATCTGAGACGTGTTTTCTGTCGCGTGACGATTGATTTATTACTTCCTGGGTATGTTCTGGTACGTTCAGGGACATGGGTGCGCGTGTTCTTGCCGGACCGACAAAGCTGAACAGATTCGCTAATATCATGTAAAGCGCATGCGCCGGAGCTTGGAACTCCATCCTTCGTATGGACCCTTACCGTCGCTTACCGGACCGAATGTAATGCAACCTCACGGAGCTCCTCTCGTTGGACGATATTCTATCAGAGACGCGCTTTCTGTCGCGTGACAATTGATATATTACTTTGGGGTTACCTACATTCAAGGACGTGGACCTGCGTGTGCTTGCTGCATTCAAAGGAAGTTGAACAAATTCGCGGATATCAAAATCTTCAAGCTCCGGTCAGCTTCCACTGGTTGATGCTTACCGTTTCCCAATACCGGCTCGCCATTTCTCGGTTGAGGAGGGGCAATCTGATGTGCATTCCCAGTTTCTTGTGTGTATCTTGTCCATTATCATATCTGGTTTTCGATAACCTTGACGTTCACACATGTCCTTACCACTCTAATCTTCGCGGGTCCAGATATTGCGTATCTGTAATCTGCATAATGGATCTTGGGCCTCTTCCGCCACAGAACTACTACATCTATCCCCGTCCTGGCCGTCAGGTACCCGCCCCAAGAACTCTCCGCAGCATCCGCAGCTTTTTTTGACTCTTCAAAGATAGCAAAACATGCAATGTAGTATTGGTAACGGTAAGTCACTTGCCCATCCCCTACTAAGCTACTTATACGCCCAAACAGGGTGGCGAGATAAGGATGGCCGATGAAAGGCATCAGCGGGCTCTAACTTAGTCATTGTGTTTCGTGTTCACCCGATAACCGTACGACGTCGGGTCAACACCACTCATCCTTCCCCTTCTTCCTGGAACTTTTCTTCGACAGCAGTCCATTAGCCCATGTAACTCTTATTGACCTCGTTGATTGGAGCTACCGAAACAACACCCTCGTGGGCGGTAAGCCGCGCATGCCTTTATGCTGGAGCCACTAACGACGTGCAGCTTGATGGTGAGAAAGAATATACATCAAGGCGCAAGGAAACTCGGTATATCGTCTCATCGTTTTCACCACTTTTCGCTGCCTAGTATCGTGTTACATCCTCAGCTTCGACCGATGTGGGTATTATCTTGCCATGGACTACATCCTAGGCAAAGCGACACGGTTTAGGAAGCGGCCGGCGCGTACCAATATTAGCGGGGCGGTGTTTATCAAATCGACCCGCTATATCGAGAACATCCGCTCGCTGGTAACCCTAAAAAAGCACCCGCCGCTTTGCCTTTTGACCACAATCATGTCCGCCGCCTCGTCTGCGGCCGGAAAATCCCAAGAAATCCCTCCCGATATCTTCTACGAGGTTCTCCTCAAATCCGGGGTGAAAGACCTCTCTTTTCTGTGGATAAACTGCCGTCAGGTCTCGCGCAACTTTAAAGATGCAGTCGAGCGCGTCTTTATCACTAAACATCTGAAAAAGACTTGGATTCATATCGACCCAGGTTGGTCTCCACGGTGTCTCTTTCCTCTACCAACATAACCTTATACTCCCACCCACTCTAGGCAAGTGTTACTCAAGCGAACACGGCAAAGTCTTCCTGGCCTCCGAATTCAAATTCCCTCATCTGGACCCTGCCGACCCCTCCCGCGCGATATTCAAAGACGAAGAATGCCGCCGCCATGAAGACTTCCACGCAGCGTTCACGCGCCGGATGTTCAACGACGGACCCTCGCTCGAGCGACCAAGGGCGATCGTTCAAGTCCGGCATAGCGCGAATGACACCATGCTTCCGGGATTCCAGTCCAATTTTGATCCAGACTTGGGAGTGTTTGAAGTTAGCTTTGAGTGGAAGGGGATGTATAGCCATTTTTTTAGGGAGCAGAAGGAAGTGAGTAGGAGGATGCGGGATTGGGTAAGTGGTATCCGTCGGTAGAGCATAGAATGATTAACCCACTCGCCTCCCCTAGGTTGAGAGTGTCAAGGACGAAGTGAGGGCTATCGGGCAAGAGGGCGAAAATGATCCCGAGGGCGGTTTAGGCCTAAATGGGTCCCTCATGCGCGTCATGCAGATGTACGCGACTACGAGCGACGAGATCCACAAGGCTATCCGTTCGGAGAGGATACAGCGAAACGTGCTGGAAAACGAAGGGAGGGAGGTTTCGGGGAGGGACGATGCTGGGTATCAGAGGGTTAAAGAAATGGCACATGCGATTGGGTGGGAGGACCCGTATAGTGATGAGGAGAGTGAGCAGGAGGAGGAGGAGGAGAGAGATAGTGCTGATGAGTCGGAAGGGGATTCGGAAGATGCTGATGAATCAAGTGAAGGTGGCGACGGACCAGGATCCGCCGAGTAAAGTCAGTTTGATGCAGATACCCTCTTATATCCCGCTACTTTACAGTGATACTTATTCTGTTTTCAGCTTTTTTCTTTCGTTTATCTTACCAGGATCCAAATAAAGTTTGTCATCCGACGTTCAACAACTCGACGCTCATGGTGAACTTCCAAGTCTGAAAAGAATGTTGGTACATCTCTGCAAAATCAAAAGAATACCAGAGCACATGCCACCCGATGATCTTCAACTGAACAATAAAGGATCGGTCTTGGATTGGATTGTCGCAACAAAGGCAAACATTTTCGCGCGCGCGCACAAGTCAAAAAGATACCAAAGCACCCACAACTCTCCCTCAACCCAACACCAATGTCCAGCACGTCTTTCTTCGCATACTTCTCTCAGGCCATTCCCAGACCGACAGAAGACACCTGGATGCCCGAGTACGCTGTCCCCTCCCCCTCCTGCTCCCCCTCCTCTGACTACTTCAATACAGCATGGACTTTCGCCAAGACACCACCACAAACACTGTCACCGCCACATTCGACCTCCCCGGCCTCAAAAAGACCGACATCGGCATCTTCTTGTGCAACGACGTGCTGAAGATCGACGGGGAGGTTCCTGTGCGGAAGGAGAGAGGGCATATAGTGCGTGGGCAAAAGGAGGGGAGGTTCTCGGCGTCGATGTGTGTTCCTTGGGGACTTCAGGTGAGCTCGTTGAGGGATAAGCACAAGCCACTGAGGGTTTTGAATAGGAAGGACACGTCAAGGCTTCGCTTGAAGATGGGGTGCTGACGGTTACGTTTCCTATGTGGGTGGTACCAGAACCGGTGATGAAGCAGATTATGATTTCATGAACGTACTTGGAGCTGGGGGGGGGGGAGGGACATTGATATCTGTTTTCTGTTCAGTAAACGCAAACGAAGAATGAGGATGTACTCACTCTGCCATACAACGTCCGTTCCAGAAGGATCTTTGGTCAAAGGTCTACCTCGGGGTGGAGAGGTTTAGGCCCATGTACGCGATTCGATGGTCCAGGACCTCGTTGTTGCGGAAAGTGGTGACGAACGTAATGTACTTTCCGAGGTGAATGGACACCTCGGCGATGGTATGCGCCTGAGTCTTCGAGTTTCAATTTGCATGAGGTTCAAAAAGACGTCTACTCTTCAGAATCTCCGCTTCATCCACGGCCATGCCGGCGGTACCCAGTCTGGGTTTCCAACAACCATCTCGACCTTCAAGCTGCGCGGTGTGAAGAACAAAACGTAGCGATACGACCAGATGATCTATTCCTCGCGTGGAAAGATCTCGCTCCTTGAGCTTCGGGTTCGAGATAAACCCACGACACGGTCCGAGTTGAATGCGCGATCACTACAGGAAGCTTCTCTTTCCCCGAGAACGGCGAAGACTCTGGTTTCTTGAAGACTAGTTCAAGAGGCCGAGGTTTGCTGTAATGCCCACGCCTATCGCGTCGAAAAGCTCTATCTGTGCACCACTGAGGCAGATCATCCATGCTGATGCTGTCGCCGGTCAGGTACGTCCTGCCTGGGAGTCGGTAAAAGTGGAGGATAGCACTGGATGCCGACCAACGGGCTGGGCTGGCATGTCGAGCAGCTAGCTGTTCGGCGTAGTGTCCAGAGCAACTGGGAGCTTCTTCGAAATCGGAGATGTAATGGGCTGTCTTCTACGGTGAGAAGATGAGATGCGAATCGAGAGTTGGTCCGGGCCGATTCAAGCCGACGTGCAACTCTCTTTCTGGCGTCCATGTCGTTCCTACTTTAATCCACTCTTTCTTCTACATACCGAGGAAGGAAGTACCATCGAGCCACCTAAATCGTTGCAAAGACGGCCAATATCTCAAAGTTCCTGGCAAGTAGTTTTCTCAACCCACCCGAGGCCTGGCTACTTGCAGTCCAAACGGAGGGACCAGTACATTGACAGCTTGATCCAGCAGCTGTAAGTGTACTCGTGGATAGCGCCGATCTGATTCTTTGTCCCTTGTGCGAGGAGCGTGTTCTGTGGTTCACTAGGCTCCTACAACAACATCTTTCTCCTCGAATTCGACAACACCTCCCACGCAATAGCCCGCATCCTCTCTGTGTGATGTAACGCGGGACGGACCGCAGGACCACAAGGTCCGAACTCTTCCGCTCCTCTCAATCCTGCGAACTTCAAAGGCAAGTAATCAATTTAACTCGTTCTAATCACCATAGGTATCCATTACTGGTGCATGTCCTCGCGAACGTAAACCGAAACCGAAGGCAATAAGCGGCGTCAAAATTGACCTATCAGGTGGAGCCTTTACCAACTGCGTTGACTGTAGCTCTTGATTCAAGTCGCCGTGGTCGCTCAACTACGCTCGGAAGATTCAAAGTTATCGCGATTCTCATTCGCGAACAATCCTTAGCCTGCGAATTGTAACATTCACGGCTCCGTTCATGATGCTTTTCTGGCGACTCGGTAATCCAAATCAAATGACTTGAAGTTTACTTGGATACAGGTCTGCGTCGGCAGAGGGACACAATAATCTCGCGGAAACGCCAGCAAGTCCATAAGTGCATGAAAACCAAAAGACTGTCGAGCTTCCGTGATTTACTCTCTATCTGCTTCCATGTCTTTTCCACCTCTCTGGAGATCCCAACTGAATGCTTTGTACTCCAATCCTGAGTCAATGACCACTTCTTCCAAGTTGACTTCGATGTCTTCGCCAGTTTCAGAACCTCTAAACATCCCCACCGACATCTTCTATGAAATACTTCTCCAATCCGACGACCAGGATACCGCTTTCTTTTGGCTCGACTGTCGTCGAGTCTCGCACAGCTTCCACAGTGCAGTCGAGCACGTCTTTGCAGTAAAGTACCTAAATCAAACATTCATCCATGCACATTATACTAGGGGTGAGCGGACTTCTCTTCTCTGTGCTTCCCCTTACATCAACTCGGACTGCATCTTCTAGGGGAACAAACTGGAACTAGCTATACAAAATTCGAGTTCTCTCATATTGACCCCACAGATTCGTCCCGCGTGATATACAAACACAGCAAACTCGATGAACGCTACCGAGAGGATACCTGCTATTGTTTGAATACAGTGCTCGAAGCTAGCATTTCTCAGCTCGAATGGCCAAAGATCCTCATTGAAGTCCAACATCATCTCAACGACACGATGTTACCAGACCTCCGGTACAGCTTCGACCCTCAATCGAGCCTATTTGAGATCAGTTTTAATTGGAAAGGAATGTTTAGCCATTTTTTCCGAGAAGAGAGAGAGGTGGCGAGGAAGATCAATATCGTAGTAAGTGTCTTTTACTTGGTCCCGTTCAAGACGACTGACGAAACATTGATATCGTCAGAATTCCCTTGTCCAGGCTGAGCAGGGAGATAAATTGAAGTCCTCGGAAATGTGGGTATTGTTTTGGTCAAACAAGATGACTGTCCGTAGAGCGATCCGTGAGGAGAGGATTAAGCGATTCATGACAGAGAGGAAAGTGATGGGTAGTACTGATCCTGGAATCGACGGTGACGAAAGATAGAATACGCCTTACAAGCGCGTAGGAATATTTTAATGCCTATTCGAGTTTTGTATATTTCTTGACCCCTAGCCATATCTCCGATTGAGGTACCAAAGAATTCAATAGCCTCGAATGGTGGAATCTAATATAACTCCGCACCCGGCAACTGCCGCTACTGGATTAGAACTCCGGTCGGTGTCTCCTAATGAGTACGTGCAATATCAGAATATCCTCCTATAATGGCGAATATCACCCGTTCTTCCAAGCCTAGCAATGATTGGACGTCGAATGACTTGGCTGCATATAATATAACAGTCCTCTGCCAATCCACGGATGCCTTCTTTGGATACACACCCAACACAATACCTGACGGAATTGATCCTGATTTCCTGACCGCTACTATTGTCCCACCCAATTGTGAAAATCTGTCGGATCATACCTATCGACTCCTTCAATACTTAGATATTGCCACTCATGCCGGCTCTAACCAGGAATCAGCAATCAACGATTTTGCCAAAGAGCTGCTTAGCTTACTTGGTTTTGAAGAACGAGGAACTGTTCTGCGATTGCGCTATTCCATTCCTTTTATGATATGCGGTGACGATGGGCGTGTAGCACAGACCAACCTATGCTTGGTTCAAGGCAACACGACGATTCTCCTTGTTATTCAAAACGAAACGGCCATCGGTACCAAGAATCCCGAAGCGCAAGTCATCGCTGAAGCCATTGCTGCTTTCCAATACAACAACGTAGCTCGCGATCGCAATGGCTTAGATCCGCTTGATTCCATGACAATCCCTGCCATTACTATGATCAGCACTCGTCCTGTTTTCTACAAAATACCGGTCACTCAGCAGCTGAGCAACGCCATTGCTATGGCTCAGTGCCCTGTCTCGAAAACAGAAATTGTCAAGTGTGTAGTTGCGCCACACTCCTGTCGTCTGAGCGAAGGAATGGAGGTTCCTGAGTTTAGGCAAGAGGTTTTGCAACATTATGAGGCTTTCAGAAGAATGTCGAAGGAATGCTGGAGTCATTTCATTGTCTAATTTTACTGTGGTCAGACTTGTAAGTCGTGTCACGGTCTTTTGAAGTTTCCCACCGTAACGAATTTTCATACTTAGGCAGCCTGACCATTTTCCATTCCCCTTCCTCGGCCCCTTTGCTCATGAATAACATATTATGGGCCCGTTTTGACGATCGTGTATTTTAGATTCGAACATACAAACAACTTCAGTCTCTTGGTTGTTCTTAAAGAGGCCCCGCCCTTCAGCTTGAACAACATGAGTTTCTTCCGAGGGAAAGAATCGGGGACGCGGCAACTGCTGCTACATGTACTGAATGATGATGTTTATGTCAAACTGCTCTCTCTCCTTTAGACGTCGATGTCGTTCGTTCTCCAGATGACTCATTCTTATCGCCAGCTTGAGAATGCCCTAATCTTGAGGGGAGAAGCATCATCAGTTTAACGAAATCGCTGCAAAAATTCCAGGAATTCTCGGAAATCGTATGAACATGCATCAAGGATTCTCTCTCAGCCTGGCTACCAGAAGCCGCTGGTACAGATCCTTGACAGGATTCCCATTCGATCTGAAAGGACTAATGTATTGATGGCTTCACCTACGCGACTGTAAACGTACCCCCCGGACAGCGCTGATCTGCTTCTCACTGTCAGGCTTGGGAAGGACCCACTCGACTCGAATTTCAAAAAAAGGACTACCAGGCTCTCTCTCATGTCCCCTCCAGACATCCCCGCCGATGTCATCTACGAAATTCTGCTCCAATACAATGTCCAAAACCTTGGTTTTCTGTGGCTGAATTGTAGACCGGTCTCGCGCAATTTCAAAGACGCGGTCGAACGCGTGTTTGTCACCAAGCATCTGAGAAAGATTTGGCTTCACGTCGACGCTGGTAGGCCATTCCTGAGTAGTACTATGGCATCGCATCGCAGACCGATTTCTTCTCTGAAGGCGAACATGACGCGGGTGTAGTAGAAATGTAGTTTTATAGCCTCGATCCCGACGACTCTCCTCGTGCGATATTTGAATCGTATGAATGTCAAGAGAGTTTGGAATGGGCTCTAAGGAACGGTTCTTCCCTCGAGCTGAATGTGATTATCCAGATCCGTCACGATGCCAATGATACGATGCTACCAGATCTTCGGTATCACTTTGACTCAGACGAGGACGTCGAGTTTGAGGTCAGCTTTGACTGGAAGGGGATGTACAGCCATTTCTTCCGAGAGCAGAGGGAGGTGCAGAGGAGGCTCAATGAACGCGTACGTGCCTTTTCCGTTGTTATCTCTGCAATTAACTTTGAATGTCCTCTTTTCTTAGTTTCAAAGCATCAGAGCTGAGGCAGCGCGTGGTTCTATTTTGAGCGCTTTCCACAGCTTCCGCCGCATGGCTCTTGGCGTGGATGATAGCAGGATCAGCTGTGCCGTTCGCTCGGAGAGGATTAGGCGAAACGTGCTGGAGAGCGAGGGTAGGGAGGTGTCTGGGGATGATCGTAAAGGGTTCGGAAGACTTGAGAGAAAAAAGGACTTGGTTGCAGTGGAAGACCCTTATAGTGATGAGGGTGGTGCAGATAAGGACGAAGGTGAAGATGAGGACGAGGACGAGGTGGTTGGAGACGAGGATGAGGATGAGGACAGTGAGGCCGACGAGTCTCTAGAGGAAGACGATGAGGATGAGGATGTTGATGACTGTGACTCCGATGCTTTCGACTAATGCTTGAACAAGGACGCTACTGCTGGATGCTCCGTGTACTGCTATTATGGCTTCAAAGTAATATGTTATTTCTTCCTCATTTCTTAGGAGAAGGAAGTCATATCATACTGAGAAGCACGCTATAGATTGCCATTCCCAGACGCGAAAGCAGAGACTCACCATGCAAAATGACACTTGCATCTTGGTAATCCTCACCCAAGACTCGAACCTGGTGCACATGCACGTACATACTTGGTCATGGGTTTAACGTTTAACACTGAGCCAGACAATTAGAATGAACGTTCGGCTTGCCAGATAGCTGACGTTCTACAGTCGCTAGACATGACCCATCCCCTTCTATGAACGCACCGTACGATAGGAATCCTTGGCGGGGGTTTACATCACGGCGGCCGAGGTCAAAAAAGCATAGGACCCTCTCTTTCAAAATCAAACCTCCTTCACAGGACTGGAACCTGGCGCATCCATCTATTCAAGTGGTGAAACTTTCAGGCTTCCAACCAGCTAGGAATACGAAATGAAAGGGACGGCCGAAAGAATGGACAAAGAGAACATCGTCGCCTAGAGGATCAGGATTCAGCTACTTGTATTCTTTCGCTCGTTCGGCTTTGGCCAGGCAAAAACGTTGTGGCACATATCTTAGTTGACCTCTGGGAGTCGAACCCGGTGCATTATGCATACTCACTAGGCTACATTGGTCTGATAGGAAAGGACGTTCTTGTCCAGATCTAAAGAAAACAAGGGCTGTTAAAAGGGCCGTATGCGCTAGTGTGGCAGGGACGTACCCTGACGTACCAGGAATATCCACGCGTCATCCCCCATCCCCAGTTAAGAGATACGCGAGGCTAGATCCTTCTCTTCCCAGCGCTGATCTCCTCTGTGTCCATGGAGAGCGTTTTCGCTCCAAAGATGGTTAGAGAGCTGTGGTCGTTGCGTTGAGAAGGCAAGAAGCATGACGTCACTGAAACCAAGCAGACGCGTGCACCCCCGGTCATTTCCATCAACTCTGTTCCATGCAGCATTACTTCCTGATCCCTCCCTCTACCGCCATTGTACTGGCGACTTATCTTTATAAGCATGTGCGTTTTGTCTATGGGAGCCAGATGCGTACGGAGTGCGTGAACTCGAACAACGGGCTGCTTCGATGTCGGAGCAGTGGGGCGGAGCGGCTGCTGAGGACAGCGCAGAGAGGGACCATTGCAGGGACAGAGCTAAGAGGGTGATTTCCGGCAATGTCAACACCCGCACGCTCTTCTCGCCGTCATTGCGACCCTTTAGCACTAATGTCGGGATCCCTCTTATTGGCGTGGATCTACTCGCAATGAAACAGGATCTCTCGAATCTCGGTCGTAGTCGGGTCGAACTCCGAGCGGAAATTCAGGAGGAATCAACCATCCTCTTTCTTGGCGTGGAACGCTTGTAGAGCACAGAAGAGTGAATAGATGGCAGGGAAAACAAGTCCTAACCCGACGTGCCATTTCGGCCTCGACTCTACCCTTCGATTCTTTCAATAACGATTCGCCTCACCCACAGCTGTTTCTCTCCTGACTGTTCCACCGACTTCCTTCCAGCTGAATTCCTTCCCTTTCTATGTTGTGAACGCTGAACATGTGAGTCTCGCCCGTAAATCTGCGTGCCTCCTCATAATTTATTATCCTCAGATCTGAGCAGACCTGTTCAAGTCAGAAGCATCATGGCCTCTTTCAGGTGTATCCTCTCCCCATTTTATGGATCGATCTGCTCCTATGAGGAGACTGAATATTCACCCTCCCTTCTCCCAAGATGCCGCAGATCGGCACCAATGCAACACGCGATTACGAATGGAGAACCGGAGGAAGCTTTTTATTATCCGTACTACAGGATATGGTATCAGCAACCGTTGACTAATCATGTTTTTAGGCAAAAGTATCTCCGCAGAAAAGAGAGCTGTTGATCCCATACGATGGTTCTGTCGTGGATTTTACTACCACGTCCGCCGAGTTCATGTTACCAGGCTATCGAACATCAGGTATGATTCTTGCCGGATCCACCACTACCTTCATCTGATTTTGACCTCGATAGCGTCCCATCCGTGTATGCACTTGATGGTACCATCCAACAGGACCCTTGATAATACCCCAACAACCTAGATCAGAAAAAGTCCAAATCTCCGCGACCATGTCCGAAAATTTTTGCGTGAAAATGCCCGAAAATGACTGAAATCTGACCTAGGTTCATGCAAAAATTCCTCCATGTCCGAAATTTCGTTTCGGGTTCCTGAAGACCCCAAAATGTCCGAAAATGCGTAGAATTTTGATTTTCCGCTTTTTACGTGCCTAATATGGCCGTCAATCATTATCAGCATCTTCCTCCAATGCCAATCCATTCTGCGGGATTGAACGAGAGCTCCCCGTCACTGAAATGGCAGCGGTTTGACACTAGTGGAGAAAAAAAGCTAAGGACTTCACAAATTGCGTAAATTCAGGTAAGCGACAAACAAATAAATATATGAAATCGGTCGCAAAAAATATAACATATTGAACACCCCTACGGTATCATTTTTGACAGGCTCTAACCACTACACCAGCAGCCTATAATCCAACTAGACATGTCCGAAACTGATCTAGGTTGCAGACACCGGCGCAGCTATGTCCGATATAGTTCGACTGGGTTTGAGGGCTTCCGACCCCCCCCCCCCCCCCCCATGTCCGCAAATCTGACCTGGGTTCTGGCCTCAAAAAGTACGTTTCATGTCCGTTTTCTGATCTAGGATATAAGGGTATTATCAGGGGTCCTCATCCAACTCGGTTCCATATCGATAAGGTAGTAATCACGTGAAGACTTCGCATCAGCCCAAATTCAATTCCGGGCTGTGAGTTGCAACACTGCCTACCTAGAGGCAAACAGCTTTTCATTTAATACTCCTTCGACTGCATACCCTTCTGAGCCTGAAAAATGGGAAATAGTACGTATCATTAATCCCTCTGATCGTTTCGAGTGCTCAGTACGACGACTTTAGCGCCACTCAAGGTCTTATACCAATGGCTTTTCGGCAGCGTGATGTTGATTTGGAACCACATATGCTCCGTCTTTTTGACTGCCCCGACGATTAAAGATTCATCTCCTGATGAAACTTCTGAACTTGACGAAAATCCCAACACAACCGTGCCGTGCGGGCCGCAAGAGCACGGTAGTTCTATTTCAGAAGATGTTGGTCCTGCCTCGGAGACGACACCAGACTCGTCACCCTGCTTGCGTCCAGAATCATCATCCATTGTGGGTTCGCAGACTATTGCCACAGAAGAGCAACCATCTAGTGATCCTTCGGGTGGTTCTGACACATCTGATGACTATGAACCATGGCCTCTGGTAAGTCAATCTACGAACAAAGGGGAAATCAGCGGTAACATATTTCCAGGATGTCTCTCTTCCCGAAGTCACCATCTCCGCCTTCACCGAGACGGGCGTTGCGGAATCGTCAATCATCATTCCAGAGCAACGGGAATACACCGGTATAAGACCTGTGATATCATCCCCCCTTGCTGACACTCCCTGCGCTACCCTCGGCATTCAAGGCCTCTTGGATAGACTCAACACCACACTCGGGACATCACATACCCTCACTAGATCCCTGTCCTCCCTTCTTAAAGACTGCATCTCAAAGAACTACGACTTTGGCGTCGCATATGGCCGCCTCCGCCAGCTATGGTACACCCGTGACTGGAGTAATATACGAGACACATTTCGCGAATTGGAAGAGGAGGACTGGGAGATGCGACAGAAAGCGCTTGTTGGCAACCAGATTGTCGAACCGCACTTGCCACCTCGACGTGTCTGGGATCTGTACAGTAATCGGGTGGTACCGTGGTGGAGCACGGGCATCCCCGTTTGCGAAAGGGACCACTGGCCTCGGCCAATATCACATGCGTGGGTGGGATGAGGAGGATCGGGTCGATGTGTGGACACCCATCAATGGATATGGATGGCCTGTTCCCATCCCGAAAGACACCAACCTCAACCTTATTCGTATTGAGATGCTCAATCGTAGAGTGGAGTATTATCATGAAGCGGAGTATGTGTGGTTGGATGTTCTCTGCTTGAGACAGGTCAGTGTTGGACCGGGGGAGGATATGCGCATGGAAGAGTGGAAACTAGATGTGCCCACCATCGGAGCAATGTATCAAAGCTTCAATGTGGTGTGTTACTTGAGTGGGCTGGGTCGGCCTTTGAGTCTGAAGGAGGGCGACTTGGAAAGTGACCGGTGTTGGTTTAGACGTGCATGGACGCTACAGGAGGTCGGTAGGAGCAGGGTGATTGTCGGGGACACACCAGATGGACCACTGCATGTCAAGCCAATAGACAATAATGGGAACTACGGGGCTAAGCTGCTGACCGAATTTCACAAGCAGCTACAGTCTATCAATCCCATTTTGCATGGTAGTATGCTTGTGGCACTGGAGAGCATGCAAAATCGCGTGTCAACCAATCCGGTGGACAAAGTTGCAGGACTTGCATTTGTCATGGGGTCCAAAATGATACCGGCCTACTATGAGAGTCAATCTCTTGAAGAGGCATGGATGGCACTCGTGAATTCAGTGGATGCACGGTTTCGAGCGGAGTTGTTCGGTTTCTATCCTGAACCAGGAAATGCAAGCACAAAATGGAGACCATCGTGGGAGCAACTTATGATGACGCTTCTGCCCGTGGACGAACCTTTTCCCGGCATCAAAGTCCATCGGAATGAGATGATGGATGAAGACTGGTGTGATGCACGTTGCATTGAGAAGGGGTTGGTGCGGGGGTTGGCCGAGGGCAGTCAACATGGAGAGTTGGTTGTTAAAAACAAGGATGGGATAGAACATGGATTCAACATCATGGCCACCCACAAGTACCCGATAGCTGAAGACATGTACACACTGATTATCGCATCTGGCTGGCTGGTTACGGGTTGCTGCTTCGTTGTTGGGCGAAGCCTGCCAGGGGGAAAGTTTGAGAAAGTGTCAATACTGCAAATTTCTGATGAAGAAAGATGGAGTCAATTAGATGATCTACATATTACTAAAAGGTGTCGATATATTCTTGTTTGAGTGACACATATGCATTGCGTAGTAGCCACCAGTTCTGCGAAATCCTTTTCATCGATGTTGTATGCCTTGACTGCCGCATCTCCTGTACAGTCATCTCCAACAAGATGCCAGCGCCGGCGGACCCTTTGCCTATACCAAAAGTGCTAGCCAACACCAGGCCGAAATCTCCACAGGTGCCGCGGGACCTCGATTTCGTACCGGAGTCTATAGCGAGCTCTGTTGCAAACGCAAACGTCCTGCGACCTCATCGTAGGAAAGTATCTCCCGAGCGAGTACAAGATCCCAATTAGGATCAGCCAGGGCCGCAGAGAAGGTTCAGACGACTAAAGAAAATTCTTGATACGATGATGGAGAATATCGGCTCGTTGGCTTGCTCCATGCGACAGATTGTTCGCGCAATGATGTTCTCTCAAGAACAGGGCCGCGTTCGTCCTGAAGCGGGTATATTTCATCGATGACGATGAAGCAGCAAGGCTCGTGTTAGTGCTTTTACGCGCCGCATGGGATAATCAGCGACGAAATCAAGATGTAGCCTAACAAATATACCTTTTTCCACACCGGTTGGCACACAAAGTAAGATGGGCTCATCGATGCCATACACAATAAGCGGTGAATCTTGGGAATGGTGGACAGGCGTGCCTTCATCTGACGGTCCCCAACCCGCGTCCTTTTCGTGCACAGCAACCTCAACAAGTCGACGCGCTCATTCGCATGAGCTTGGTACACCAGACAACAACTCGAAATATTGTCGTGATATGAAAATGCGGGTAGTCGAAGAGTTCCAAGAGCTGGTTTTCGCAGACTCGGAGCCAAGGATGGAGGGTACAGAGGAGGATTTGTCAGCAGTAATGATTGGGTCCAGCAGTGGGCACGTCTGTCATGGGGAGACGGTGCCTTTCTTGGCCTTGGATTTTTCGATTCGCACCAATGACCAGCGCCTCTGAATCTTCGGCAACTTGGCCACCTTCCTCAGGTGCAGCATCACCATCTCCACCCTCTTCGTCGTCTGAGTTCAAGGTAATCTTCGTCCTCCTCCTCTTGTTCCTCTTCATCAAAAACTACGGCAACCCGGACATCGCATCCTTCCTACGAGTCCGTATTGGGATCCAATATTGCCTCGTCTTCAGCGCTATAATCGGTACTCTTTTACACGTCAGAAGATGCCCCCGCGAACTCGTTGCAAGCTAAACATGTGTCGAGTCCAACCGAGACTGTGGTGGCGAAGTATAGTGTTGAGAGGTCGTAATTATTGGCGTAAGTGGGTGGCATGGAAGAGGATCATTGGGTACGATATGTCGCGAGCACACAGCTGCAGTAGCCGCGAGAGTGAGAACTGATGTAGAGGATGATCCCATCTTGCCCCTATCATGCTTCCCACCTCCTTGCCACTCAAAACACGCCCCAGACGTTGATACCTCAGATACTTGGAGGATGTTTCGTACATCAAGCGCCGCATTATGTTCGTGATTCGTATCAAGCCGTGGTGGGTACTCTTCAAGGGAACCGACAGTCGCGACGATGAGGGTGAATAAGTTCAGCCTTCCGAAAACTTGAGAAGGATGGGATTCCTGGCGAGGGGCACAACTTGGCGACCGTGTGGACGCGATGGAGGATAGGTGAGCTTCTCCTATGTGTTGCGAGCGGCTGCTTGGTAAGCGAGAGTTCTGCTTGTGCATGTTCAGACTCGCATCTTGTTCAGATGTTTTCACCAAGCCTTGATCCAGCACCACACTAGGCGGTATGGCCCCGGTCTACGTTCTTTGAGCTCTCTACACACGCAACCCGTCCACTGGACCAAAGATCCCCGCGCCGGAACCTCCGCCTCCCCCATCCCACTCACTCCCAACCAGCACTGGACCGTCCATCCCGAATCTGGCGAGCGTGTCGTAGATTTCGACTTTGTCGAAGAACCCCTGGGGATGCGCGAGAGCATGGGTTATGGCTTTGCACAGTTCGAATTTGGCGAATCACTTGTTAGTGGTGGAAGTCGCTCGTACAGTCCTTCGCAAGCTTGGGTGGGGGATGAATTCGAGTACGTGGCTCGTCCAGACGGCACTGTCTTTACCATCCCTTTTCTTCATGCATTTGTCCTATATAGCAATCAACCATATTTCGCTCTCAAGGCTCTTAACGGACATTGCACCCAATATGCCACAAAAGGCGTGAGCTGGGAACTACCAGCATTACAACGCACTCAGGTCAGTCCTCATTGCCTACGACTCGTCGACCACTTCTTCCTCCCCGTAAAGGTAGCGCCGGGAGCCACCTTTGTCTCGTCACGCCGCTTTTTGGGGGAGACATCACTCGGTATGCTCGTTCCAGCAACCTCCTGCGATATCCTCTGCCACTGGCCAAACATATCCTACTCCACACCCTCCGTGCGCTGAACGACCTTCATGAAGGTAGCATCGTCCACACGGACATCAAGTCCGATAATATCTTCTTCGACACTACACTCGAGAATGAGGACATCCGCGGGATTCTCGAGTGGGACCCTTCACGACGGCATCAGGCAGAGGCATCCTACGACGGTATTGTCCACGCAGCTGTGTCGCAGCCGCTGCCTCTACCGACAATAGAAGAGTTTGCGAAGCGTACGTTTGTCTTGGGTGACTTGGGAAGCGGTCAGCTCCCCTCCCCCCCATCACTGCTCTTTCTGGATATCTAAAGTCGTTTCTCTAGCGCAGCCTATCGGTCAGCGAATAACAGACTACATCTGTCCGGAGAGTTTGCGCCCGCCTGAGATCTACATTGGAGGTCCGTGGGATGAGAAGGTTGATATTTGGTCGTTTGGCTGTTTGGTAAGGCTACAGCTATGAGTGTTGGGTGTGAATTGATACTCCCCCCTCCCCTAGGTGTACGAGATCGTCACAGGCGTCCCGCTCTTCAATGCCAAGGAAGGATCCGTCGACGGTGTCCATCTCGATGCGACGGAAATCATGCTCTTTCAGATGATTGCTCATACACGCGAGGTGTTCATGGCCGAGCAGCTGAGTGCGAGTCCACTGGCTGGACATTATTTTAATGAAACCTGTATGGATGGCCCAGTCTGAGTGTTTGCTCCCGCTCTGTGCTCATCACAATCACTCTAGGCCAACTGAAAAAGCAACCCGAGCGATATCTCTATCAGACTGAACATTGGGTGGCGCGGAACAGTGATGGGGATGTCGGTATGGATGAGGCGAAGGAGGTCGTACGGTTTATGCTGAGGTGCTTGAGGCTCGATCCGGAAGATCGGGCGAGTGCGAGGGAGTTGCTGAGGGATAAGTGGTTTGATGATGCTCGCCACGACGAAGATAGCAGTACCTGACCAACCCCTTGAAGCTGGGCGGTGTGAAGAAGGATGTGTTGGTTGCGAACGCTGATACTCCAAAACGTGGCGATACGGATACGATCATCCACTCCTCGCATAGGAAAGTTCTCGCTCCTTGGGGTTTCGGTACGAGAAGAGAATACCGGAGCTTCTCCCCTGAGACCGGGCGAGGACTTGGAGACTAGTTCAAGGAGTTAAGCTTAGCTTGGACCGGCGGCATATTATAGCATCTGTAACCTCGTTAATTGAAGAATACTATTACGAGAACTGTAAATGAAAGTACTCACCCAGGATACAAAAATTGACCCCAATCCTCCCGTTCACGCCGATGTCGCTGTTGGACGATATCGGGGAGGTTCCTATGTTTGACCTTTCAGTGGCTCCAAGTGATCCTCAGCCTCTCCTATGACCCATCCTCCCCAACTCTCCCATGGAGCGTCGCGGTCATCCATCCCCATGCCATCCGTAAACTTGAGAAGGATGGGGTTTCTGACGAGAGCCTGGGTGGTGGGGACATCAGAGAAGCCATCTCGGTGACAGATAGAGGATAGGGCTTTGTTCTGCTTGACGATCTTTCATTTCTTGTCAAGTACTTGCAGATCTTCATCAGGGTTATGACCCACGTCCACGCCTGCCAGTTTCTCCATCCAGGCGAGAACACTTCTTCTGCGCACCACAAAAGTCCACCACCGTAGTTCTTACATCCTGGTCAGTAAAAGTCGAGGATACAGTCACGTCTGGACTAACAAATTCCAAGTGCGATTATGTGATGGATGAGATCTTGTGGGTAGAGTTACGTCGCAGGGAGAGAGCTTGAAAGATGAGAAAACGCGATATTTCAATCTTGAGCGTAAAGAAGCGGGGTCGGACCGATTAAAGCCGACGAGCAACTCTTCCTTCTGGCCTCCATGCCGTTCCTACTTCAATACACTTTTTTCTTCTATATAACGAGGAAGGAAGCAACCAAAATCACTGCAAATATCTCAAAGTTTCTGGGTATTGCGTAGTGTCAAGTAATTTTTCTCAACCCATCCGAGGCGAGTAGTCTGATTGATTGACTAGGAACCTGGGATCTGTGTACTGGATACTAGCACTGATGTGCTTCTTCGGTCCTTGTGCGGGGAGCGTGTTCTAGGATCGGACGGGTTGAACGAGTACTCATTTATTAGGCTCCTACAACAAAATATCGAATTCGACACCTCCTGCGCAATAGTCCACATCCCCTCATCCTTCTTCGGAAACACTCACCTTGCCACATCCAGTGAAGTCGCCACCATGTAATTCATCCATCAAATGTTTCCTCGACTGGCACTGTGGCAGGGCACCATCATCGCTCCCCTCTTCATGCAAGCTTCGATGCCCACAGTTCTCGATGACGACTTTGAGCTCAGCACCGACCAGCCTTCCCCCCCAGTTCCACCATAAGTTGGCAAATCGGTACCAATTCTATCTCGCACAGATGACGAAGCTCATATCCGTGCATGGCGCCTCCCCTACCAGGAATCTACGGCCGACCTCCCTCTAGCCTTTCTCCAGTGTTGGGCTGACGGGCATCCTTGTCCGATTGGATTCTCCCCGGCAGAGCGCGAGGCCCAGGTGAGGTGTGGGGCGCGGTACGAGGGTGTGTTGGGGATATGTGGGGTGGGATGGGTGGATGGGAGGGGCGGTGGGATGGGGCACGGTGCTTGGTCTTTCCTTTTGTTGAGTGTATCGGCTTTGGGATATGGCTTTGAGATGATGCTTCATTTGGAATGGTCCCTTTATTCGGCAGTTCGGATCAAATGACGCATTTCTCTCATGTCAGCACCCGTCTATCTTTAGCACTGATTCTTTTTTGGAGCCTTTATAGCACTCTCGCAGGCTTTAGGACAGCGACGACCCTCGCACTGCTATTTATGTTTTCCGATCCTGAGATTGTATAAAATCCCCTGCGTCAGTCATCGTTCTTCTCACTGCCCATCTCTTCCGCAATGAGCTCAGACGTTATCACTCGCCAGTTGGACTCCAAGTTCTACGCACTGGAAGAGGACGAAGCTGCGTTCTTTAAAGCTCAAACTGGAATAGAAGATGAAGATGCCCTCAAGCATCACATCTTGACAATCCAGGAGGAAGCGTACAAGGTAAACGGGCTTATCCTCCGAGTCGCAAGTGTCATAATGTTGCGTTACAGGTGCACCCTTATTCGTGCATCCGCCGGTTTGGCTTTGCAAAGTAAGCTGTCGTCGAGTCTGCCATGTTGATCTTGTTTGACCTTCAACACCTAGGTTGAAGATTTCGAGGCTGCCGTACTACCAACAGCTATTGAACCTCGGAAAAGATCGCAAGGGGGCAGTCTATGCCGACATCGGATGTTGCTGTTCGTAAATCTTCTGCCATGTGACATTTGCCTCGCCTTGATTGTATAACGTTCACATAGTCGGCAATGACCCCAGAAAGGCGGTCGTAGATGGCTATCCCGTAGAGCAAGTCATAGCCTCCGATTTACATCCTGGTATGAATTTCCTACCGTACCCCATTCCTCTCGCACAACTTAAAATATATGGAACAGAGTTTTGGGAACTCGGACATAGGCTCTTCAAGAGCACAGCTGAAACATTCCCTGCACGCTTCATCCCTGCAGACATCTTTCAGTTGAAAGGGCTCACAAAGGAAGACGCCCCTTCCTCCATCCCGGAACTTTCCCAGGTACAGTCTTTAGCTGAGCTGCGAGGAAACATTTCCGCCATTCATACCTCGGCATTCTTCCATCTCTTTGATGAAGAAGGACAGTTCGAAATAGCAAAGATTATGGCGGCGCTGCTGTCATCGGAGCCCGGGTCCATGATCTTTGGATTACACAATGGTCTGCAGGAGAAAGGATTCCGCACCAACTTTGGCCCGAACCGTCGCAACGTGTTCTGCCACTCACCTGAGAGTTGGCGGTCGCTCTGGGATGGCGAGATATACCCCAAGGGTACTGTTCACGTTGATGCTTTCTTGCATGAATATAACCATCCTGAGACGATCGATTCTGGCGTCAAATTATACCTCCTCGTTTGGTGCATAACGGTTTTGTGAACCAGATCTGCTGAATTTGTATAATACTGTACTAGCTAGAAGGAAATTCGATCTTGTGAACAACGCCCGAGACGATGGTATGGTTTCTGACTTGTAACGGCCAGAAAATTGCGCTCTAGGGCTCCAGAAGCTTTAGTTTTACCCTCAAATGTTAAACTTTGTGAAATGCCAGTAAAGCTCTGACATTGAGATCTTGATGCTACGCAAACGCATCTTACTAAGTCGTCAGATAAGGGATCTCATAGACCCTTTTTTTTCATTTGGAGGCTTCTTTACTAGGAGTTTATTCAGAAAAGTTACCTGCGGCATGCAGGTAACGGCAATACCATGGATAACGATACCGTGAATATCAAGCGAACGATGTGAGTAGTGGAAACCGCGTCTTCGGTGCGAACTTCGTGAAGAGCAGAGGCCGGAGCAATCGGACCGAGCGAGGATAAGTCTCTGACTAAGTGACTACAAATCGTATCCGTAGGCCAACTGAAAAAGCAACCCGAGCGTTATCTCTATCAGACTCAACACTGGGTGGTGCGAAACAGTGATGGGGATATCGGTATGGATGAGGCGAAGGAGGTCGTACGGTTCATGCGGAGGTGTTTGAGGCTCGATCCTAAAGATCGGGTAAGTGCGAGGGAGTTGCTGAGGGATGAGTGGTTTGGGGATGCTGCTTGACGCCTGCCACGATGAAGACAGGACCCTTCAGATTTGATCGGGACCTTCAAGCTGGGCGGTGTGAAGAAGGATATATTGAGTGCTGTCTCCAGGGATACTCCAAAACATAGCGATACGGATACGACCGTCCACTCCTCGCGTAGGAAAGTTCTCGCTCCTTGGGGGTTCAGGGTATGCCTAGAGTTGAATGCGCGGGACGAGGATGTCAAAGCATTTCTTGACGAGAGCGGGTAAAGACTGAGGCTGGGATTTCAAGTTGGACTAGTCCAGGGAGTTAACTAGCAATGTATCATAGCGTCGGCGAAAATCTGCACCCTCGTTGATTGAATACAGGCATTCAAGCTACGCGGTGTGAAGAAAGATGTATTGATCGTTGTCGACGATACGCGACTTGTTGGCTCTGGAGAGACTCCAAAACGTAGCGATACGACCATTGATATTGACTCGTCGCGTAGGGATGTCGTCGTTCATCGGGGTTCGGGATAAGTCCATGACATGGTCTAGGTTGAGTTGAATGTGCGTTCTCTGCGTGAAGGGGATGTCGAAGTTTCTCTTTCCCTGAGAACGGGTAAGGACGGGTGCGATTCCTTGGAAACCAGTTCATCATAGCATCAACGAAAGTCTGTAATTCGTTCATTGAAGCATACGAGAACTGAAATGAAAGTACTCACCTAGGATGCGAGCTAACCAGTAAAATTGACCCCGATCCTCTAGTTCACGATATCGCAATCGGGGATTTCCTACGTTTGACCTTCCAATGGCTCGTACACCTCCAAGTAGTCCTCATCCTCTCCTACTGCCTATCCTCCACGTCTCGTTCACATCACCTCTTCTAAGCGGTAATTGATGAAGCGCTGCGATCGTTCATCTTCGCGCCGGCGTGAACTTGAGAAGGACGAGGGTTCTGGATAGTGGGGAGTCTGGCGGACGGATAGAGGATATGGTTTTGTTCTGATTGACGATCTTGGTTGCTTTCATTCCTCGTCGACCTTGTTGGAGTGTTATGACCCTCACGGAGCAGCCACGTCCACGTCTTCCCCATCCAGGTGAGAACACCTTTGGACGCGATCCCTCCGCTCGCCAGGCAAATTATTCACGGTGGGTTCTGTTCCAGGTCGCTCCCAACGGTCAGGTACGTCCTGCCTGGGAGGGCGGTAAAAGTGGAGGATAGCATTGGACGCCGTCACGTCTGGACCAACGGGCTGGGCTGGCGTGTCGAGCAGCTGTTCGGCGTAGTGTCTAGAGCAACTGGGTGCTTCTTCGACATCGGAGATGTAATGGACCGTCTTTTACGGTGAGAAGATGAGATGCGAATCGAGAGTTGGGGTCGGGCCGATTCAAGCCGATGTACAACTCTCTTTCTGGCGTCCATGTCGTTCCTACTTGAATGCATTCTTTCTTCTACATACCGAGGAAGGAAGCATCATCGAGTCACCGAATCGCACCAAATATCTCAAAGTTCCTGGGTATTGCGTAGTATCAAGTAAATTTCTCAACCCATCCGAGGCAAACTACTCGTGTCCAAATGGAAGGACCAGTACATTAACGACCTGATCCAGCAGCTGGAAGTGTACTCGTGGATATCGCCGACCTGTTTTTTTGTCCCTTGTGCGAGGAGTGTTTTCTGGGATCCACTATGCTCCTACAACAAGATTTTCCTCCTCGAATTCGACAACGCCTCCCGCGCAATAGCAAGCTGATCGCGGACCCTGTGCGTGGCCATCGCAACTCATTTCACACAAGGGCCCGACATCACCGCCGCCGCTCGACTCGCGCAAAAACGCCTCCCTCAAGAAATCACCACCACACCGTCCTTTGCCCGCTCCAGCAAGAAAGGCCTCCCCGAAATCCATCGGCTCCTCGAGAAACCCATAGCCGTGGTTCCCCCAGACTCCTCGGTGCTATCCCCCGTCCTCGCGCACCCCGCATGAGCGCATCGAACATGCCCCGAGAAACCATCCATCAAACGCTTCCTCGACTGGCAGGGCGCCAGCATCGCTCCCCCCATGCAAGCCTCCATACCAGCCATACCAGCACTTCTTGTTTACACCAATGGCGTCTTCGAACTCGACTCCGAGGGACACATCCCACTTTCTCTGAAAGACATCGACGAGCGGCCCCCAGACGAGCAGGAATACCTTCGACTCCATCACAAGTTGCTCTCCCGGTATCGGTCCTATCTAACCTAGATGGAGAAGCTCGTACCCGTCTATGCTGGTGCACGGCGCCTCCCGCATCAGGAACCTTCCCCTAGCCCTTCTCCGGTGTTGAGCTGACGGTCCGGGATGTGCTTACCAAGATATCAGATGCTGAGCTCATCCCAGCGTTCCTTTTCCGAGTGGGTTTCTCGTCAGCAGAACGTGAAGCCCACTATGAGGTGAGGTGAGGTGCGGGGCGCAGTATGAGGGTGTGCTGGGAAATGTGGGGTGTGATGGGTGGAGAGGAGGATGGGGGAGGCGGTGGGATGGTGTGCTCCCGTTTCGGGATGGGGCTTGGTCGTTCTTTTTGTTGAGTGTATCAGCTGTGGGATATACTGGCCGGCTTTGAGGTGATGGTATTGCTGCTTCACTGTTTTCTTTTTAGTGTCGCGAGTCCGGCATCAGTGATCGAGCGGTATATCGTTTTGAGCTCGTCCCATCGATTCTCTTTGTATATATGCATATCAAGTCAATGTGATGTGCTGGGTCCTGGTGCAACATCCAAAAACTCGAAAACAGTTCTGAAAAAGAAAAGAAAAAAAAAGTGCAATCGCTGCGCGGCGTTTTACATGTGATAGTAACACCAAGCCCCCGGTTGGCAAAAAAATGTAACTTTCGAAAATCCAAAATATTCAATGTTAACATTCAAATGTTCAACGTTGTCAACATCAACCTAGGGTTGCCCACAGGGTAACTTACCGGTAATAAACCCAACAGTATTGAAACCTAGGTTTCGTGCGCAGCCCTGCCAGTATCTACCGTATTTACTATTCCAATGTACTCCAAAAAAAATTTATAAGAGATGGAATATCGACACCAGCAGGATTTGAACCTGCGCACTCAGAGAGTAACAGATAGAAGCTTGGAATTCTTTAACCAAATTCTAATCTGTCGCCTTAACCACTTGGCTATAGTGCCACAACCATTGTGGAGCCTATTATATATACATTCTTTTGTATAACAATCAACGAAACCCCCCTGACGCTATGAATTCATCGAGAGATATTCCTCCCAGCCCATTCCGCGCGTTGTGGTTACCCATGCATGCCGAGTTACTAATCTGACACCTCCCCATTCTGCTGTACACAACGGCCTGAGCCCGCGGTCAAGGTGTGCATACTTGGCAGGACATATACCAGCTGGGCGCCTACTTATCTGTTAAAGAAAGAAGTCGAGTCTCCCCCCCCCAAAAAAAAAAACCCCACCTTCTCCTTTAGCTAAACGCTCAGGTCGAGACATCCCACCCCCGGACCTGGCAGGGTTAGGCAAAGTAGCAAGTGGATAATGCGAAACGGAGAGAACGTCATGTATGAGCGCGAGCCTAGGCACTCAAAAAAATCGGTATTAGACCTTTGGGATTCGAACCCAGTTCATACTATACATATCTACTAGTCCAAGAACAATACGCATGTAGGTGAGAGAGTATCCCTCCTCTGGAAACAAATTCTGCGTCTCTTCGCGGTGGGTGAACGTCACAACAGCAAAAAGCTGCATTCCCTCCAGGAGTCGAACCTGGTGTGTTTCCTCCTCGCGCGCCTAGACTTGGGAGTTGATCCCAGTGCTGTGCATATCCACTAGTCCAACGAAGGGACGCAAGTGAGAGAGCATCCCTCCTCTGGAAACAAATTCCGCGTCTCTTCGCGTGGATGATGTGTTGGAATGTGCAAGAGCAGCAAAAAATTGAAACAATGGACCGTTATTTCGCCTCCAGGAGTCGAACCTGTATGATCATGGGATACATGTTAGGCTACGAGGGATGGTAGTGTAAACGACGGGAGAGGCAGAGAAGGAGGGGCATGTCACGGCCAAAGCGGATAGGCCAAACCCTGGGATGCGATGGTCGATTCGTGGCATAGAGTCGAGGGGTGTGGACGCAAAGGGTTGTCAACCTTCTGCGCGCGGCGATGTTCGTCTGCCACGGCTTTGGGGTCCAGCAGGCAGTAGTTGAAGCACAGGGAGATGCGTAGTCGTCTTGCGAGCCAGCCCACCGACTTGAGGTAGCCGATACAGCGGGACAGTGGACGCGCGGGAACCAACCCTTCTTGCACGTCAACGAGGTGGAGATCAGGTCTATAAAACAAGAATGGTTGTTGGGCGGGCTGGACGCGAACAACTAGTAGTAACGCACCAGGACTATCCGCGCGTCCGCGTCATCCTGCATCCAAAGTCGAGAGCCACATCCGCTCACACCACCCTTCTCTTCCCAGTGCTGACTTCCCCCTCCATCCCCCTTATATCCATGTGCATGGAGGCATAAGCAGCAGCCGTTTCCAGAACTTCGGGGCTCCACTCAGTTTTCTTTGCGCAACCGCATTTCCACAGTAGATGAGACGATGAACTTGGAAGACCGAAAATTTCGCATTCAAAAGAATCGATACATCAAAAGACCGGATGTCACTTGGAACGACACTAGCAGGATTTGAACCTACACATTTTGACCACTTGGCTGTAGTAGTGTCCCTTGGCAATGAGGAACGGGCACACCAATAGCAATGGGCTGAGGGATAGTATTGTATATCCGAAAACGCCACAAAGTGAGGGCGGGCATAGTAAGAGTCGAACTACTTGGAAGGAAGATCTACGCAGACCGTAATTCCAATACGCCGAGAAAGGGTAGAAACCACGTCTCTTTCCCCGGGATCATGGTGTGACACGTAAAAAAGGACCTTCGCCACCGTATTTCATCTCCAGGATTCGAACCTGGTATGCACATCATACAGATCCACTAGGTTACGTGCACATGTTGCACTCCTTCAGCGTCGCGTGATGACTCTTCTCCTTGTAGTGATTCGCCAGAGGCCATGGGAAGGGTGAAGTGGTCGGGACGGGGAAGTAGTCAATCAGGCGATATCCCACAGAGGAGGGGAAAGTTATAATCCCAACTAGCTGGGCGAGACAGAAAAGGCCTAGGAGCTCCATGCACCATGCACGAAGCTGCAAACCCGAGCACATCCAAGTCGACGTCGATATACGAAGAACAAGCGCCTACCTCCTCCATGAAAACTTCAGCTCAATCTTGACAGTAGTAGTCTCCTTCACGCGACCGCATTACACGTCCTAGTACGAAACCGATAACAGCATATTCTCCTTTCGTTGACGAAGACGAATTTCAATCCTTAGCCATCGTTACCTGGAGGAGCTCGCTTTTTGCAGTGTGCATCCCAGGGTCCATCCTGAGTATGTATGCATATGCTTCGAGGTGGGACGAAGGAAAGGGCGTGGTGAAGATGGTGGAGTTGGCAAGAGGTGTAGCACAGCCACTGCGACAACTTGCTGTTCTAACCTCTAGCGGTTGGGTGTTTTACCATGCCATACAACCTCCAATCCGGTCCAAAATACATGCGAGTACATACATTTTCCAAGATATCACCAAAAAAAGCAGAGTCAGTTAGTATCATGATCAAGCGTTATTCTCCATCACCTTCGAGAGCGTGAATGGACCCTCCCAGGCTGGCATACCGGGGTCTTCATGCGTTATCCTCCAATTCCCAACAAAATTCTTCCCATCGACAATGTATCCATAGAAGAACAAGTTCCCCAAACGGCGGTCGCGCTGCGAAAGAAACACACGGTATGAGAACCCACAGAATGGAAAAGAGAAGAACAAAGCACCCACCGCGACCCTAAGAATGCCAATCATCCCATCCCAACGCCTGACCCGGCCATAATACGTGTAATGATTCCACGCTTGACCATGCCTATCGTCAGTCTTTCCCGTAATGATCACATCCTGTACACCGGTGCACGGCGGAAAAGGAACATTATCCAGAGGCGCATCCTCATCGTTTACTGCCGCATCAGCACCCGCTTCCCGCCGTTTCCTCGCCTGCTTCTCCCGCATCGCACAACCCATGCATGTCTCTCGGTCATGAAACCTCCCTTTTGTCTTCGTCTTCGACTCGCTTCCATTCCAATTTTCGTACACGTATTCCTGCTCCCGAGCCGTCACCCGTATACCATTCCCGTCAGCAGTGTCTTGGAAAGCGACACTTTCGGGGAAATAAGCGTTACGCATGCCTTGATCAAATTCGTCAAGGAGATATTGCCCGTCGATCTCGGGTCGGTCTTGCTCCTCGTCCACGGGTATATCGTCGTCCTCCAGCTCGCTCTCACTAGCCATTTCCACATCATAAAGGCTCTCCGCGTCGTCCTCGTCCATGTTATCCTCTTCCTCCTCGGCGTCCTCGTAACACAAGGGTACAAGTCCCTCTGCATTAATAGGAATGATATCTCCGCCCGCATAAGATACGTGCTCTCGTAGGCGCATATATACAGGCGCGCTTATGAGCCCGAGGTAATCCTCGCTAAACCCCTGGGGCAACGGTACCGGGTTGTCGTTTTGAGGTTGTTGGGCGATATTTTGGTTCGCGATCAAGAGCTGCAATAGTTGATGTTCGCCAGGTATCTGGAGCGGGGAACTCGATGAGAATGATCTAAGGCAATTGGGGAAATAACCTACAGCCATACGACCGGCCCACAAACCGGTGAGGGATCCCAAGACGTACATCTCGGCTTGACGAAATCTGAGCTCGCGTACCTCATGGGCCGCAGTCTTGACTCTCATCCGTTTGTCCAACTTGGCTCGCCGCCAGGTCTCATCATCGTCACCAAGATCATCAGCCCACGCATCCGTGCAGAGCCGAAGTCTGTACCACTCCGAATCGTAGGCCTTGCTTATGTCTGGCACCTCGTCCGAGGAATCTGGAGCGACCGTCGGAAGCTTCGTGCCCCCATACTTACCGTCGGGGCCACCGAGACGGTGCAGATTCATCTCTTCGATGTCCTCCTGCGTCGGGGTAATCTGTCCGCCTAGGCCTCTGGCTATAGCCTCAGACCTGTTCCTAGGAAGGCTATAGTTCATGCCAAATGGATACAGCTCCCTGCGTGAGAAGAAGAGGAGTTTAGCAGCGGTAGTGACAAGGGGACACGTTAAACTGATACGCCGTGAGAAATGAACCTGTGACCAGACACGAGAAGGAGAAAGGTACACTGGATAAGGGCCGTGGGGTGTAGTCACAGAGAGGAAATGAGCCCGTGTGCGAGAAGGGACTCGAGATGATGTGCTGGAAAAGTTATAGGCTTTGGAGTGGAGGGGTAGGACAAAGTGGTTCGGCGGTGCAAAGGCAGAGGCGTACCGAAAAGGTACCGTAACGAAAGGTAGAATCAATTGAATGATATGTTCGGACATCTCGTCTGTTTCGGAAAGCAACGACACTACGGTTAAGTTCAAACATGAGATCATCACAACAGGACGACGACGTACATTTTGTGGAAAGTCTCCAGAAGATCCATAATGCCAATGCATTCACATAGTTGTCGAGCGGCCAGCCGCCGTTATCGCTTGCTCCGTCATATAGGCGCAGGGTCACGAAGTCGTGGATCCACTCGTACGCGCCTACCGCGGTTAGCTGCCGCAGATTGTAGCCATCGTCGTCGAGGCACATAAAATACACGATCCAGAGAACGTCGGAAACATCGACGTCATACGTGCTCCTCAGCTCGTGCTCCCCATCCAGTCCCCGTCGCTCAAGAATGAACCGAAGCGTCTTGCGATAACAGCACAGCTGGTGCTTCAAGTCCCGCGACGTTAGTTCGAATGCACGGCGACTGACAGCACCGTAACTGTACTTGTAGATGAATATTTGGCGATAAACGGCATGGGATTCATGGAGGTAGTTGCCAATGGCGCGGCAGGTGAGAATGAAGGGTAAAAGGGAGCTGGGAAGGCCGTCTCGAGTCGGACAGGCGACGTAGAACGCTATGAGGTCGATTGTCTCTACGGGCAGGGAGAGGAGCGAGGGCATGGCAGAGGACGGACAAGGACGAACAGCACGTCGGATTCATCGCGAGTGTAGTCTATATAAACTAGGTGGGAAACTAATCTCCGATGCTTCAGAAAAAGTGAATCATGCCCGGATATAGCCGTGTTTTATCCCCGATCGTTCACCCCATATTTGTCCTATTTTTCCTTCTTTTCCATACCTTTTCCAGCCCTTTTCTTTTCCAGTTTCTGATAAAATCGCGGCTACCCGGCAATTTACCTTCATACACACTGCTTTTCATACTTTCGCAAATATCCATGCACCGAAGCACCCCAAAACGGAAGTTTTCCTTTTGTTCTTGATCGCCGCCTTGATCTGTCACCATTTACATAAGTATGTATCACCGCGACTTTGCGCTGCCCAGACTTGCAAACTCGCACGACCTTTCCATCAGCTCTCAGGCCTTCCCCTTTGTGATGTGACAAGTCCCAAATCTCTCCCACCTGATCTCAAGTCTATACTCAGCGGCGCTCTTCTTCTGCCCTTCGGTCATGTAAGATATTTCCGTGAAGGCAGTTCATTTTCAATAAATACACCAAAAAAGGCGTATTGCACATGGAACGACACTAGCGGGATTCGAACCTGCACGTTCAATCTTGATGACCGGGACCACTGGGCGCAGTGTCTTTTCAAAATTTAAATGAGGAATGGGCATGCCATTGCCAATGGCCGATCCTGCAACACACGTAGTGCAGCACAGACCGGCAGCAAAATGCCCGTTGGTCAGAGAAGACGACTTCACCTCCAGGACTCGAACCTGGTGCATGCATTAGGCTACGTACTACAGTGAACATTAGCGCTCAAAACACCAGTACAGCGCAGAAAAATTACCGTGACATTGTTTACCCCTTTGCCCAAAGTCCATCACATGGATCGATGACATAGTGGATGGAATGGTTACTCCAGATATGAACTAATATCGAGACGACGGGGCTTGCGGGCGTACGGGAAGAATAAGAATCCGCATTAGTGAAAACCCAACGTCGCGTCGTTTTGCTCAGAGTAGCTCGGTAGTAGTTCTCTTCACAGACCACGACAATGACCATGATGTAAGATTCTCATTCTGAATCTAAATTGAAAGCCTAAAGAGTCGAAACACTATAGAAAAATATTGGAGCATATCGGAACTACACTAACAGGATTCGAACTTGCACATTCAACCTAGTGGCAGATGGCTTTCTGTGTATCCGTAAACTCTGGACTCGGGATTGAACATGGGCGACAGGATACAATAGTTAGCATAGACAACGAGAGAGGTCCGTTTGGCAATGGTAGTCGGTGCCGGGTAGGTCAGTAACCTTCGAGTTGGTAGGTCGTGGAGGAGGCGTGCGTCACCGTCAAAAGTGGCCCTGGGATGTGCTGATCCGCGTGTGCTTGCAAGAGGTATTCGTAATGGCTCTCTCTAAGCGCGCCTCGTCCATGTCGAAACCGTCTACATTGCTCTTAGAGGTGTCCAGTACAGCAAGGACAGTACGTGCATGTGAACAAAACATCGGGCAGGCTCCTTGGTATTAACGTCCGGCGAGCCGATGTCGAAGGGGAGGAGAGGTCGTCGTCTGACATTTCACACCAGTACGTCAGGAATGTCGGATACTTGACACGTCGTCTTACTGGATGTATTGAAAGTCGATACTCAGTCGTTGCCATCCCAACATCGCGTCGTATGCAGCCCTTCTTGCGCGTCAACAAGGCGGAAGTCAGACCTAAAGCAAACATAAGCGGGCCGTAGGCGAACAGCTATCAAGGACGCACCAGGAATTGAATCCACGCGTCATCCTGCATTCCCCAGATGCGCCCACATCAACCCTCCTTTCCCCAACACCGACCTCTTCTATACAATATCCACAGAGGAGCCGTTATCAGACCTTCGGCCGAGTCTAGTCCTCTTCGTGCGACCGCATTCCTTGTTCTCGTTTGAAAAATGTTGCATAAACCACGGCAGGTGAGACAGTAGCGGTTGACAAGAAAGCTTTAGCACAGCCACTGGCTACGTGCGCCGCGCAACCATAACACTTATGTATCTCTCCCACTTGCGCCGATCCCAAAAATCCAACTGCCGCATGTGCATGGTCAGATAACAAGCTGCGAAACCCAGTACGTTGTATCGAGGAGAAGAAAAAGGAGGAAGCACAGCCATACTGCAAAACAGACCCGGGTGAAGAATGATTTCATACTCCAGGACTCGAACCTGGTGCATGCATGCGAACACATTAGGCTACGTAGAGGTACCAACTCGTGAACATTGAACAAGAAAGCACTCCAAACAAAAGCACCGAACAAAAAGTTTACTATGGCTGGTGGACTTTGGGAAACAAATCCTGCGGCCGGTGGTGGGTGACATTTCGGTAGCGAAAAAAACCTTCCAAGCTGCGTTTTTGATTTCAGTCAAACCTGTAGACCTGTGACCGGACCCCTACAATGAGCAAGCGTCGATGTAGGGGACCTGTAAAGCTGACTTTTAATTCATAGGCGACATGGTTAGGCATTTGCCGAGGCCCAAAAAGGCCATTCGAGTCGTTACCATATTGGGGTTTTGGTGGTGATCGCATCCGGATCCATTTCGTTCAGATACTATCGCGTCTCGATGCGCAGCCATGTATTTTGTCTTCAAAACCTCGTATTACCATCTTTAAACTCATATAATCCATATGGAGACCTTCTCAATTGTTAAAACATTATCTGACACCCTTGCATCCATCCGAGATGCCACCCAAGTTGAGTCGCTTCACCATCGTATCACACAAACCATTGATTCTGACCGTGTCCCCTTCACGTACATCTGCTCATTACCCAAGGGTCAACAACTCATCTGTTACCGCTTCATTCTCTTGGCGTTTTTCGTGACATGTGGTCGAGAAGCTCCAAGAGAAGTCCAGCTCCGTGCCGCTCTTGCTTCTTATGAGCGTCGAGACTGAGCGGTCATTGCAGGGACAGGACCTTGGTTTTGCGGCTACAGATTTCGACGCAGTCGCCTTCTTGGGCTTTGGATTGAGGATGAACTGGGTTGATGAACTGGCAGCTGTTGGCGCTGCTGAGGATGAAATGGGAGTATAAAAGACATGTGTAGAGCAAAGAGATTCTTCTGGTAATGGATTCGATTGCTGGACCATGGCTAACGAAATGTACAGAGCAAAGTCGCGTCGAGACACAATAGTAGTAGTGGTAGTAGTATCTGAACGAAATGGATGCGATCACCACCAAAACCCCAATATGGTAACGACTCGAATGGCCTTTTTGGGCCTCGGCAAATGCCTAACCATGTCGCCTATGAATTAAAAGTCAGCTTTACAGGTCCCCTACATCGACGCTTGCTCATTGTAGGGGTCCGGTCACAGGTCTATCAAACCTGGTGTATGGCCATGGATGCATGTTAGGCTACGGGATACGATAGTGTAAACGACGAGAGGGGTGAGTTTGGTAGTAGAGGAGGAGGAGCATATCACGGTCCAAAGGGGACAGGCAAGTTGTCGCCAAACCCTGGGATGCGATGGCTGATTAGGCTGGGCAAATCGAGGGGTGTGGATGTTTGGCAGACGTCTGCACCACTAAAGGGAGGTGTTCATCCGCCATGGCTCGACGTTTGCAGTGGGAGGTGCAGTGGCAGGCGTTCATTCACTTGACAGGATGGCCGAGTCGTATACAGTAGATATTCGGCGCATCAAGTATTAAAAAAGAACGAGTCGCACCCTCCCTTCGTTCCATGAACATCACACTGTTTTTCAGCGCACGAGTCGATGAAGCTTGAAGGTGAGTGGCCCCCAAACCACGCCCTAAACGACCAGATCCTAAGTACCAGTGCTTGTCATGCAACATCCACAATATATTTCTGACCCTGGGATATCGATCGCCACCCCCAGGACTCGAATCTACTGCTCAAGTGGTCAGACTAGGTAGTAGGGGTCTGCTCTGAGTCCCAACCAAGCGGATAATGCGAAACGAAGAGAACATCGTGTATCCATGCATGAGTGACAGCTGCTTCTTCCTCTGTCCATTCGCGTGCCTAGACATGGAGGAGCCTGAGCATAGTCACACAAAAAAATCATTTGTCACCTCAGTATCAGACCTTCGGGAGTCGAACCCAGTTCACTGTGCATATCCACTAGTCCAGCGAAAGGACGTACTAACATGCACATAAAAGACCCGTCCCCTCCCCAGCTGGAATGGAAACAAACCTCCGTCTCTTTTTTCCATTACACCTCCTCTCCTCCCTAGGCGGTATGTTGCAGCAGCAAAAAACTCTCAGAACGATGGTTTGCGATTTCGCCTTCAGGAGTCGAACCTGGTGTATGGCCACAGGATACATGCTAGGCTACAAGAGATGGTGGTGTAAACGACAACAGAGGTGAGTTTGGTAGTCGGCGGGCCGAGTTGGTAGTAGAGGAGGAGAGATGTCAAAAGCGGATAGGCAGGTCGTCACGAAATCCTGGGAATGGTCGATTTCGATTAGGTTCGGCATCCGGGGCATACAGCCGAGAGGTGTGGATGCGAAGGGTTGCCCACCTTCGGTGCGCATCTCCGGGGGAGGTGTTCGTCCGCCATGGCTTTGGAGACCAGTAGGCAGTAGTTGAATCAGAAGGAGATGCATGGTCGTCTTCGGGGATATGCACGTCACACCGACCCTCCCTCTTGAGGTAGCCGATACAGCGGGATAGTGAGCGCGCGGGAACCAGCATCCTCTTGCGCATCAGCGAGGCGAAGATCAGGTCTATAAAGCAAGAATGGTTGTTGGGTGGGCTGGACGCGAACAGCTAGTAGTAACGCACCAGGACTATCTGCGCGTCCGCGTCATCTTGCATCCAAAGTCGAGAGCCACATGCGCTCACACCACCCTTCTCTTCCTAGTACTCTCTCACTTTCGCCTTTCGCCGATCCCAAAAATCCAACCACCGCATGTGCATGTGCATGGTCTGATTTATAAGCCGTGAAACCCAGTACGTTGTAAGAAAAAGAAGGAAGGACAGCCACATTGCAAAATGGATTGGAAAAGACAATTTCACCTCCAGGACTTGAACCTGGTGCATGCATGCAAATGCATTAGGCTATGTACAGTGAACATTAACGCTCGAAACACCAGTACAGTGCAGAAAATTTACCGTGACATTGCTTACCCCTTTGCCCAAAGTCCACCACATGGATCTGTATATAGTGGATGGAATGGTTACTCCAGAGATGAACTATTATCAAGGCGGCGGGGCTTGCGAGCGTATGGGAAGAATAAGAATCCGCATTAGTGCAGATGACATGTAGTAAAACCCAGCATCGTGTCGTTTTACTCGTAGTAGCAGCTTTCGGCTCTCGTTGCAGGACCACATCACCACATAGTATAAAACAACGACAGTGTTGATGATAAATAAGATTGGAGATTTGTGTTCTGAATCTAAAGACGATACATCAAAAAAACAAACTTTAGATCAGCACTGGCACGACACTAGCAGGATTCGAACTTGCACATTCAACCTTGACCGGTGACCACTTGGCTGGTTAGTGTCCTTTCACAATGGTAAATAGCTCAAGCTATCATGGAGAGGAATCGGGCTGTGTATCCGAAAACGACACATTTGAGAAAGGGTCAAGTCGACAAAATTTGACAATTTAAATGAGGAACGGGCAGATCCTACCGAAACATGTGCATGTGCGAAACAGGACCCATAGCAAAACAGGGAGGATGATTTCACTTCCAGGACTCGAACCTGGTGCATGCATTAGATACGAACTTGTGAGCACTGACCAAAGAAAGCGCTCAAAACAAAGTCACAGTGCAGAAAAATCACATTGTTTAAGGCCCTTTGCCCAAAGTCCACCACACAGATCAGGATGGAATGATTACTTCCGAATCGAGAGGAGGGACTACGAGTGCACGGGAAGAATAAGAATCCGTAGTAAAACCTAGCTTCGCGTCGTTTTTGGCTCTTCTCCTTGGACCAGATCTAAAGAAGAAAAAACCTGATAGAAACGCCATATGTCACTCTCAGGATTCGAACCTGGTGCATTACGCAGATCCAATGGGCTACAACCCTGTCAAGTTCCACAGCGTAGTTCGTCGAAAAGAAGGGAAGATCTCCATCTCTGCTCTCGGCAGTAAGAACTAAACTTCGTCACAAATGAGATGGCATGACAACGTTCAGACTGGGAGGATGCACGTCCTGTCGGTCCATTGTCGTTTATCACGTTCACCTACTACTCCACTGCTGACAGCCAGGTGACGACAATGGGGATTCAACGTCCGTCTAGGTGTATAGAGAGGTGTGAGTCAGACGATGATCGTCGCTACAATCCTCAATACACTGGGATGAAGGTGGACGTCTTCTCGTTGAGAAATCAAGCATTTTCCATGCAAAAATCATCAGCATCGCCTAACCTCCAGGACTCGAACCTGTCCTCTCAATGCCTGGTGTCCCCTGAAAGAGAATAGGTGGCCCTCTGTTCATACGTCTGAACAGGGAGAAGTGACATGGCCACACAAAAATGCTGACGATGATTCCCATATTCGACCTCCGGGAATCGAACCCAGTATATTATGCATACCCACTTGGTTAGATCTGTCTATGGGATGTCTAACGAAAGGACGCATTAGCCAAGTATAACGCGCATGTACATGAGAGATCGAATCAAAAGACGTATCCCGTGGTGCTGGGTGATATGATGTTGGAACGTCGCAGCAGCAAAAAAATTGGTGCCGAGACCCAGCTGAACATTTAGCCTCCATGAATTGAACTAGGCTACGGGATACAATAGTATGGACGATGAGAGAGGTCCGTTGGGCAATAGTAGTCTGCGGGTCACTATGCTTCGAGTTGGCGAAGGAGGGGCGTGTCACCGATACGCCAAACCCTGGGATGCGGTGAGTACGTGCGTGCAAGAGGTAATGGCTCCCTCTAAGCGCGCCTCGCCCATGTCGAAGCCATCCACATTGCTCTTAGAGGTGTCCAGTACAGCAAGGACAGTACGTGCATGTGATCAAAACATCGGGCAGGCTCCTTGGTATTGACGTTTGGGGAGCCGATGTGCTGAGTTACTAGTCCGACACCTCCCCATTCTGCTGTGCACGGTTTGGTCCAGTGGGAGGTGCAGTGACGCGCCAACAGGTTGTATACAGCAGATATTCGGCGCATCACCTAGTAGGAAGAAAGAACGAACCGAGCCCTCCCTTCATCACACAAGGATCATATCTTCCTCAGTGCACCGAGATGGGGGTGAGCGACCAAATCGAGAAACCAAGTGCTTGTCCGAGTCATGCAAAAAAGCCACAACATACTTCTGGGACATCCCACCCCCGGACCCAGGGTTAGGCATACCAGCAAGCGGATAATGCGAAACGGAGAGAATGTCATGCTTGACGATCACGCGCTGGAAGAACCTGAGCCTCGCCACCCTAAAAAAAATCATCTGTCACCTCGGTATTAGACCTTTGGGAGTCGAACCCAGTTCACATACCCGCTAGTCCGCATGTAGGTGAGAGAGCATCCCGCACCCCCGCATCTCTTCACGGTGGGTGAATGTCACAACAGCAAAAAAGCTACGTTCCTTATTTCGCCTCCAAGAGTCGAACCTGGTACCTGAGCTTGACTTGGAAGAGCCTACTAGTCACACGAAAACATTCATTTTTGGTGACCCCGAGATTAGACCATCGGGACTCGAACCCTAGTCCAACGTAAGGTCGTACTCAGCGTGCTTGTAAGTGAGAGAGCATCTCTCCTCGTCTCTTGGCGGAGGGTGATATGTCGAAATATGCAAGCCAGCACTACCAGTAAAAAAATGAAACAATAGACCGTTATTTCGCCTCCAGGAGTCGAACCTGGTGTATGGCAATGGGATACACGCTGGGCTATGAGGGATGGTGGTGTAAACATCGAGGGAGGTGAGTTGGTAGTCGAGAAGGAGGGGCATGTCACGGCCAAAGCGGGTAGGCAGGTCGTCGCCGAACCCTAGGATGCGACGGCCGACTAGTTAATAAATTGGCTGGGCATCCATGCTGCCTGCCTGCCTGCTGCGTGCGTCTCGAAGCTGTCTGCAGCTCTAAGGGGAGGTGTTCGTCTGCCACGACTTTGGAGTCCAGTAGGCAGTAGTTGAAGCAGAGGGCGCACGTAGTCGTCTTCGGAGATGTGTGTGATCCAGCTCTCCCTCTGGAGGTAGCTGATACAGTGGAACAGTGGGCGTGCGGAAACCAGCATCTCTCTTGCGCGTCAGCGAGGTGGAGTTCGAGGCTATAGAACAAAACAGGCGCTGAATAGGCTGTACATGAATAACTAGTAGTAACGCACTATGAAATCCACGTGTCTGCGTCCACGTCGAGAGCTACGCGTTCTTATATCACCCTTCTCTCCCAGTGCTGGGCGCTTGAGCGCTGTCCTCCCCTCCTCCATCTCCTCTATATCCACGGAAGCGTAAGCAGCTGTCGTTTCCAGAACTTCAGGGCTCCCGTCAGTTTTCATTGCGCGACCGTATTTCCATGGTAGATGAGACGATGAACTTGAAAGATCGAAAATTTTGCATTCAAAAGAATCGATACATCAAAAGACCGGACGTCATCTGGAACAACACTAGCAGGATATAAGACCGCACCCCCCCTCCTTTTCCTCAGCTTGGTGTACGCAGGAGATGGAGTGGTCGACTAGTAGCTTGCTTTGGTAACGTTAACACCCCGTGCCGTATTCGTTGGATGCATCAGCGTGTGGGAGTCGAGGCGGAGGGCGATGCCACTACATCATCATGCATCTGCCTGGTGAGCGAGGGTTGTTGCGGTCTTCAGGATGCGCACGTCACACCGGTCGGGTAGGTGGATACGCCCATCAGATACTTTGCATGTTGTCTTGCTGGGTGGAGTGTAGTATCGCGTCATACACAGCCTCTCTTGCGCTAAAGAAAACATGAGTGGGTCGTACGCGAACAACTAATCGAGATCCACGCACGCTCACATCTACATCCATGGAGAAGCTTCAGCTCAGTCTCGACAGTAATAGTCTTCTTCACGCGACCGCATTACATGTCCCTGTACGAAAACGATAACCGGGGCAGTGGAGAATAGTCATCAGTCTTCACGTAACCCCGGCTTGCTGCTCTCGAATTCTTCCACCCGTTGACGAAGACGAGGTTCCTCATTAGCCATCGTTACCTTGCTGGAATTGAAGGAAGTTTTGTAGTGCGCGGCTCAGGGTCTATCTTGCTGCTGGGAGTGTCTATCGTCTTGAGGTGGAATAAAGGAAAGGGCATGGTGAAGGTGGTGGAGTTGGCAAGAGGTGTAGCACAGCCACTGCGACAGTTTTCGCAGTGAGATGTTTCCGTGCCGATTAGCGAAAGGCATTTCATTTTCAATAAATACACCAAAAAAACTTACTGCACGTCGAACGACACTAGCAGGATTCGAACCTGCACGTTTGATGACCGGGACCATTGGGCGTAGTGTCTTTTCACGATGAGGAACGGGCATGTCATTGGATCCTGCAAGACGTGTGCATTTGCTTCGTCTGGTACAGTGGAGAGAAACATGTTACTTAAGAAGGCAGCACAGACCCACAGCAAAATGCCACGGGCCAGAGAGGATGATTTCACCTCCAGGACTCGAACCAGGTGCATGCATAAATCTAAAAGCCTAAAAAGAGTCGATACACAGCCCTTTCATTCATATAGCACAAGCAACCCACTGCGATGAAGGTGAACACCCAAAGCACGTCTTCCCGTCGAGAAATCAAGCAAAATTATCCCGCGAACCGGGCGTATCCATCATCTCAAGTAGCAGTCCATGAACAGAGAGAACAGGCGGCTCAAGGATCAGTTCCTTCCGACATCCCTCTGCTCGTTCCACACAAAAACATCCACAATACTCCCCCATGTTTGACCTCCGGGAATCGAACCCAGTGCATTATGCAAACCCACTCGGTTACATCGGTCTGACGGGATGACGTACTCGTCAAGAATACAACGCATGTACATGAGAGATCGAATCAAAAGGCGTATCCCGTGGTGCTGGGTGATATGACATGTTGGGAAGTCGCAGTAGCAAAAAATTGGCAATGGTAGTCGGCGGGTCAGTAACCTTCGAGTTGGTGGATCGTGGAGGAGGCACGCGTCACCGTGAAAAGTGGCTATGAGATGTGCTGATCCATCCGTGACGCGCGCGCTTGCAAGAGGTAATGGCTCCTTCTAAGCGCGCCCCGCCCATGTCGAAGCCGTCCGCCATGGCTTTAGAGTCTACACACCTCCTCTCTTAGGAATGATCAGTACACCGCGCGCGCGAACCAAGCATCGTGTTATCCGCAGGCTCCTTGTCGAGATAGAGTATCGACGTTTGGGGAGCCGATGTCGAAGGGAAGGGAAGGTTGTCGTCTGACATTTCACACTAGTACATCAGGAACATCAGATACTTGACACGTCGTCTTGCTGGATGTATTGAAAGTCGATACTCAGTCGTTGCCATCTCAGCATCGTGTCATATGCAGCCCTTTTTGCGCGTCAACAAGGCGGAAGTCAGACCTAAAGCAAACATAAGCGGGCCGTAGATGAACAACTAGCATGAACGCACCAGGAAAATTCACACGTCATCCTGCACCTCCCAGACGCGCTCACATCAACCCTCCTTTCCCCAACGTTGACCTCCTTTATATGATATCCACAGAGGAGCCGTTATCGGAACTTCGGCTCGGCCTAGTCCTCTTCGTGCGACCGCATTGACACCTATCCCCGTCGCTCAACTGAAGAAGATAGCATAAACCACGGCAGGTCTGACGGCGGCGGTCGACAAGAAAGGTTCACTGCACAGCCACTGGCTACGTGCATCCAAACGCGCCGCGCAACCATAATACTTGTGTATAGTGCATGGTCTGATTATTTGACAAGCCGCGAAACCCATTACGTTGTAAGAAAAAGAAGAAAGCACAGCCACACTGCAAAATTTCTCGATGCAAACGATTTCATCTCCAGGACTCGAACCTGATGCATGCGCGTAAACACATTAGGCTACGTGGAGATGCCAACTCGTGAACATTGAACTAGAAAGCACTCAAAACAAAGGCATAGAGCAAAAGTTTACTACGGCTGGTGGACTAGAAGACCACCACCACGGGCCGAACGTGTGCGTTGATTCTTGTCTCGTTGGAGATGGAATGTCTATTTCCGCGATGAATCGTTATCGAGCCAGTGGGACTAGCTGGACGAGAGCATCATAATATCATCACGAGTGTGCGGGAAGAATAAGAATCCAGATTAGTGCAGATGACGTGGACGACGACGCATCACAGCGTCATGTCGTTTTTGGTTCTTCTCCCTACGGAAGACAAAGAGAACGAAGAAAAAAACACTGGTTCAGGCGCTAGGCCAATTTCACTCCAGGACTCGAACCCGGTGCATTATGCATATCCAATGGGCTACAGTGGGCTGGTGGAGGTCAAGTTCTCGTGATTCAAGTATGAGAAACGACATCATATTCATGGAGAGCTACGAACTCAAACATCTCGAAACGTTGTTCCAAGTCCGTCATAGATGCATAATTCCTCTTGTGGAAGACAAAGAGAGGGGAGAAAAAACATTGATGAGTAGACCCTTCACCCCCAGGACTCGAACCTGGTGCATTATGCGAGATAGATACAAGTTCTCGTCGGAAGAGCTGGGCGTCCAATAGAAACGGCGCCAGGAGGATGGCTATACCTGTTCGCGTCCGTTGAAGGAGCCAGGCAGCCGTAGAAAAATTCTACCGCGTCTGGAGCCAAGCGAAGGAAGGTTCAGACTGGGCGAATGTATCCAGACCGCGCTCTCAAATAAGTAGAAGCAATAGAAAACGAGTTTCCGGCAGAGGTGGAACCAAGAGGTGCCGGTGATGCTGACGGGCGCGGTCTCGCCTACAAGACCACACACAAATGGTCGAAAGGAGTACCGGTGGAGGATAGGCTTCCTTATTCTCAGGTGGCGCTTTCATTCATTCATTCGGGCCAATTACAAGTAACCCGCTAAGAACAGATGAGTCAAAGTGGAAAAGCAGGAGGAACGACGCTACGTACCAAACACCCGTTGTCCGTCCCGCATCACGTTTCTCCTTCTCCGTTCATGCCATCCATACCAAAAAGTCGGCCTGGTGCACTATGCACACTACAATGGACTGATGATACCAGTATGCCGTCGGAAAGAGTGGGACGAAACGAAGGAGAGATCTCCATCCCTGTTCTCGGTGGTGGGCCAAAAACTAGCATCTGCCCACGGGATGGCGCCAGTGAATGACGAAGGCTTTGTGTTGGGATGATGTACACCTGTAGAACAGGAATGTCGTTTATGCAATGTATGTATTCGCGTCCAAACACGCTTTGAATGGGGGTCCAAACAGCGTGGAGTGAATCAGGGGATAGTAAACCTAGATGCTACAGCTCATGTTCATGAGTATGCCAAACGGAATCAGAAAACAAGTCTCGTACCAAAGACCCCGCTACGGTGTCTCGCTCTATATCCCCAACGCCGGCTAGTTGTCCGCTAATCAAACCCAAGTACGCCTTGCCATCGTCGCTGATAGAGAGAAGAGTTCGTCAAACAGTTTACATGGCATACGGGACGTGAGACGGCAACGATTGAAAGAGACCGCGCTGCAGAATGGCCGTCGGTGGTGGGAGAAGATAACAAGAGCATTGGCACAGCCACGAGCAAAAGTTGTGGTCTCTTCTATGCTAAGGAGCCAAGCTCCTACTTGGTTGCTCGACACTGCTTCGTAGTTAAAACTTAAACGGTAAGGTCACTCGACATAAAATTGTACCAGAAATTAAAACTCAAAAATGGATCCTCAAAAAAAATTATCAAAATTTGATTGCTACAATTCCAAGCATCGACACCAGCAGGATTTGAACCTGCGCACTCAGAGAGTAACAGATAGAATCATGGTGCTAATTTCTAATTCTAATCTGTCGCCTTAACCACTTGGCTATAGTGCCGCTCCTGGGAGATACCTTCAATACTATATGACCACATGATGATATTACAAAGAGTTGTGCACTTTCAACGACAACGTTACCAGTAACCAGATTGTATACTCTCGCTAATATCCAAAGAGATGGACTAGTTTTGGCGCTCGAATGCAGTGAGTAAGCCTCTCCAGCAGACTGTGTTGTGGCATGCGGTGGTGTGGGTGTTCGGGGCATGTCTTCATTCAATTACTGACACTTAAGAGAGTTATCTTCCATTCGGCCTGGCAGCCTTTTCTACAAACACATGATAAATGAAACTTGATGCCTAGCTACTAGAGATCTTTAGTGGGAAGAGGAAGAGGAGGATTTCTTTATGTGACCAGTCCATGAATCAATATGTGAGGATAGTCCTCCTCCTCTCCTCCCCCTTGAAATTGATATCTGGTCCAAATGATAAGGTGTCGTTACTAAACATTGGACTGTTCTTGTCAAGATCTCTCTGCTCATCCGGGAATACCATTGTTCACCAGGAAAGACTTAGCTATACAAGAATTTATTCGTCTGTGGACATGGAAGTCCAACAATACATGCAAAAAAACTTTGACGTCAGACATAATTGCACCTCCAGGACTCGAACCTGGTTCATCCACATCTGAATGGTTAGACCAAGTGGTCCATGCTGTGTCCTGGTGTCTGCTCTAGAAATCCAAACCATGCGGGAAACACAAAATCGCCAGGAATAACAGTAAGCGGAGAGAACGCCGTCACTTTAGCTACCAGAGCTTCGAGTCAAAGATCAGCTGCTTCCGTCTCCGCTATCCATTTGCGCATTCCCATCTTGAAGAACATAGAAAAACAGTGTGACATATCTTGTTACTTGACCTCCGGGAGTCGAACCCAGTACATTGCCCACTAGGTTAATGATTATCGACACTCGTCAAGAATAACAAGAATCAAATGATGCGTCTCTCCTCCCAATGGAAGGGGATAAGCCTCTGCTCCACCTCTCCTACCTAGGCTGGAATGTGCAAGAGCTAGTAGCAACAAAAAGCGGAAAACACCCTCATCCACATACTTCGCCTTCAGGAGTCGAACCTGACGCATGGCTAGCGATGCATGTTAGGCTACGAAGTATGATGGTATAAATGACAAGAGAATGGTCATGAAGGGGAAGTTCATGTCAAGAGCCAGAAGTTTGGAAATGCAGGTGATGTTGCGAAATTCTGGGAGGCGGTCAAATCAGGTAGGTCTTCCCTACGACGATTTGTTGGATGAAGAACCGGGCGTCTGTGTCGCAGCGTGACGATAGGCATTTCCTCCTCCGACCACTTTATAGATTCGCTCGATGTGCACAGAGACTTCCCAGAGTCTAGTGTGAATAAAGGAAGGTCGACCGAGAGTTGAAGCTGGAGGTCGGAAGTCGAGCTCAAGTTAGCATATATCATTTCAAGCTTCGTAGGTCCACTCGAGCACAACCAAAACAGCCAAAGAAGCGTTGGTAATTTCACCTCCAGGAGTCGAACCCGGTGCGTTACAGCGGCACAGACCGCCTAAGCTACATGCACACGTCGGGATCGCCCATCCTCAGGGTGGAAACACCCCCACAGAGCGATGTTCCCTCACATCTACGTCACAAAATCCACGTTGCTACGTCGTCTTGACGAATGCGAAACAGCGGTACGATGATTCGTGGTAGTGGCACGCCAGTTGTTGATAAGCATGAGCCGCTGCGAGTGATGATATACAAAATTGACAGTCTAAGTTCGTGCAATTGAAGCCAAAATCGTGTGGTATCCAATAATGAAACACAACCTTTTACTTCCTGAGATCGAAGACAATGCGGCCGGCGACTTTACCCTCCTTCATGCCTTCGTACACGCTAAAGAGGCGAAGGTCAGTGAAATAGGAACGGACGTGCGCGTGTTGTGTCTCACTCTTTGAGTTCCGCAATTTCTTTGCAAACGAAGTGGACCTTAACCTCGCCGCGAGCAGCGATGTCCATGGCCTCCCTGGCATCTTGACGGTTACCGACATAAGACCCAAGAATGCTTATGCTCTGAGAACGGCTTGATTAGCTTTCGTCCTTGATTGAAAACCATCATCACAGATTTACCTTGAAGACAGTGAAGAAGATAGAGGCCTCGAGCTTAGCCTCTCCGGGCATACCAACAGCCATAAGAGTACCCCCATTACGAAGATAGTCGACGGCTTGAGAATATCCGGAACCCTGATGTTCCAGGTCAGTCCAAATTACGTCATAGCGGAGGAAAAACTCCGTACCGATGCAGCTGTAACTACTGCTGAGTGTGCACCAAGTCCGTCTGTAGCGGCCTTGACATCGGCAACGATATCTTTGCTCTCCTTGAAGTCGATCCAGACATCTGCACCGAGCTTCTTGCAAAGTTCCTTCTTCTCCTCGCCGGTATCTGTGAAAAGGGTGAGAGGTGTCTATTTAAAGAGCACATGCACTTACCGATAGCAATAACGCGGAGTCCGCGAACTTTGGCGTATTGAATGGCTAGGGGAATCAGATAAGTACAGGAACCGAGACAGGGCATTCAATGTACCGAGATGACCTAGACCTCCTCCGGCACCTGGTATGACAATCCAGTTGCCAGCGTTGGTCTGACTGTATTTAATAGCGCGGTAGACGGTGACACCCTGTATTCAATTATTAGAATGCTTTGTATTATCGGATATAAGTGGTGACCTTACAGCGCAAAGAATGGAGGCTGCCTCATCGGATGGGTAGCCTTCAGGGATGGGGGTGACATGGTTGACAAAGGAAACAGTGTACTCAGAGAACGTTCCGTCGACGTTGAAGCCGCTCAGTTTAGCATCCAGGCAAGCTAAAGGAACCGAAAATGAGCTTCTTGATGCCCCACACGAAGAGGTATCACTACTTACTCTGCTCACGGCCATTACGGCAGTCCTCGCAGTTCAGGCAACTGTGGGGGGACAGAGTTAGGACCGGCAAGATATTGAAAATGAAAAGATACCGACGAGTCGGCAAGCCACTTGATACCGACGCGATCACCGAGTTTAACCGGAGAGTTGGCAGTGTTGTCTCCAATTGCGACGACGATACCGACACCTTCGTGTCCACCGATGAGCGGGATGTTAGCTTTCAACGGCCAGTCACCTGAGACAAGTAAGTGAGAAATCGATAGCGGAAGAAGTACCGAATGGCTCTTACCCAAGGCGGCGTGGAGGTCAGTATGGCAGCATCCTACGGATCATGACATGGATCAACGGTGATGAGAGCATTTTAGGCGCCTGTGAACATACCGGTAGCTTCCATTTTGAGGAGACATTCTCCGGGGGCGAGCTCTGATTGGGACTTGACGGGCCAGTCGTTCTTGATGACAATACTTCCTCCGGTTTCCTCGATAATGGCAACTCGTTGAGTCTTGGGAATCGTATAGTGGGTAGGCATGGCGGTATGATAGAAGGAAGGGAGGGAGAGACAGTTGAGAGAGGTAGCGGTGTAGGGGACGAGTTATTTGGGGGTAAGCAAGACCGAGAAGTCGTGAACTGGGGTCCTTGGGAATGAAGACACTCATTTTTATACATCTCGCTGGCAATTCAGTCTCGGAGGTATCACTCACTGAGGTTCTGAGACGTTGTGGGCTATAGCTAGTCAAGGTCCTTTTATCATCCAGGTGACCTCCAGATTGGACCTCGAATTCGCAATTATGTTGGTGACGCGCTTACGCGACGGCGTGGCTATTCAGGTTTATTCTTTCCGGTCCAGATGCAGCTCGAATTTCATTCTGCAAAGCCTTCATTCGGATTTACAGCTTCGGGACATGTGCCAAGCGCATCCCCAGAGTACACGCTGTATACTCATTCCCTACACGATCGCTTGGCCCCATGTGGAATAGAACGTCTCTCTAATCGAAGATTTCCCCGAGACGTGCAGAAGTAGGGCCAACAAAAAAGGGAGCAGCTGATCAAAACATAGGGAAAAGTCGCTCCGACGGAATAGGACAGAAGAGCACGATCCCAAAAGTACTCGAAACAAAAGCATAGAGCAAAAAGTTTACTATGGCTGGTGGACTAGAAAACCACACGGATCGAACGTGTGCACTGACTAGGACTCCGTGTCTCGTTGGACTATAATTCAAGTGGATGGAATGGTTACTCTCGAGATGAATCAGGCAGCGGGACTGGCTGGACGAAAGCATCGTGATATCATCACGAGTGTGCGGGAAGAAGAAAAAACCAGATTAGTACAGATGACATGGACGACGCATCACAGTGTCGTGTCGTTGTTGGTTCTTCTCCCTACGGAAGACAAAGAGAACGGAGAAAAAAGCACTAGTTTAGCCGATAGGCCAAGTTCACTCCAGGACTTGAACCCGGTGCATTACGCATATCCAATAGGCTACAGAGGGCTGGTGGATTGATAACTCCCTGTCAAGGTACGAGGAACAAGGAACGATATCATATTCATGGAGAGCTACGAACTCGAGCACCTCAGAACGTTGTTCCAAGTCCACCATAGATGTATAATCCTTCTTGCAGAAGACACAGAAAGGGGAGAAAAGCATTGATGAGTAGACCCTATTTCACTCCCAGGATTCGAACCTGGTGCATTATGCACATCCAATGGGCTACGAGATAGATACAATTTCTCGTCGGGAAGAGCTGGGTGTCCAATAGAAACGGCGGGAGGATGTCTATGCCTGTTCTCGGCCGTTGGAGGAGCCAAGGAGCCGTAGTAAAATTTTACCGCGTCTGAAGCTAAAGCCCCAGATGACATGTGAAAGAAGGTTCAAACTGGATGAATGTATCGATGCCGCACTCTCAAATAAGTAGAAAACAGCGGGGGTTGAAGCCAAGAGATGCCGATCATGCTCGCAAAACGAGCGCCGGTGGACCAGATTCTCGGGTGGCCCTTTCATTCATTCATTCAACCCAACTGCAAGCCACCTGCTAAAACAAATAAGTCGAAGTGGAGAAGCAGGAGGAATGACGCTACGTACCAAACACCCGTTGTCCGTCCCGCATCGCGTTTCTCCTTCTCCGTTCATGCCATCGATACCAAAAAGTCGGCCTGGTGCACTGTGCACGCTGCAATGGACTGATGATACAAGACATCCGCCTCGTATGCCGTCGGAAAGAGTGGGACGAAACGAAGGAGATCTCCATCCCTGTTCTCGGTGGTAGGCCAAAAACTGAACTTCGTCGCGTCTGCCCACGAGATGGCGTCGGTGAATGACGAAGGCCTTGTGTTGGGATGATGTGCACCTGTCGAACGGGGATGTCGTTTATGTAATGTACGTATTCGCATCCAAACACGCTTTGTAAGGGGGTCCAACCGGCGTGGGTGCGTGCGGAGTGTATCAGGGGATAGTAAACCTAGCTGATGCTACAGCTCATGCTCATGAGTATGCCAAACGGAATCATAAAACAAAGCGTCGTACCGAAGACCCCATCGCAGGACGCTACGGTGTCTCGCTCTATATCCCCAACGCCAGCTAGTTGTCCGCTAATCAAACCCAAGTACGCCTTGCCATCGTCGCTGATAGAGAGAAGAGTTCGTCAAACAATTTACATGACATACGGGACGTGAGACAGCGACATTGAAAGAGACCGTGCTGCAGAATGGCCGTCGGTGGTGGTGAAGACGACAAGAGTATCTGCACAGCCACGAGCGAAGGTGAAATAATACTTTGGTCTCTAAGCTCTTCCATGCCAGAGAGGGCCAGGTTCCTCCTCGGGTGCTCGACCTGCAATGTGCATGACACTGCTTCATCGTCAACTGTCAGACTCAGTACAATAAAATTTTGTCAAAAATGGAACCACCGACACAACCATCAAACAAATAATCTCAATCACATTATCCCGACACCAGCAGGATTTGAACCTGCGCACTCAGAGAGTAACAGATAGAATCATCAGCTACTTTGAATTCTAATCTGTCACCTTAACCACTTGGCTATAGTGCCATCTTTAGGATATCTCTCGGGAAATTATTAATCTTCAGATAGAGAATTTATCTCAATTCATCCTTTAATTCCGTGACTGACAAGCACACCGTAAATAGTATTTCGGGTGTACCGGGAAGACACAAAACTTGACCGGAAACTCGTCCTGAAACTGACCTTGCCCGCCATTTCTCCAATTTCGGGACTAGTTTGTGGTCAAGTTTCGGGAGTCACGTGATAATTCCAGTATAGCTGAAAACTTTCTGTTTGCGGTGTGAAGGAGATATAGGTTGGCCAGGTGCGATGATCAACTCTGGGGAGATATCGTTCCATATGTTGATTTTACGGTGTTTTTAGGCGGGCAACCAAGTCGGGGAAAACTTTTGGACAATGATCCTCGCAGAACGTGGGATTGACGCTTCTGGAGTACGCCGTTCCTTTCGGGGATTCATATGATCGATACAACTCAACTTTTGTAGGTGTACAGAGGAAAGAATGATCTGGAACTCCAACGAGTACATAACGGTCCGATTTTCTTGATTTCACGTCATGAAATACCATCGCAGGTTGGCACATATTTTACGGAGGTAGAATCTTCTGGCCAGCATCGTTATGTTCCTTGATCCATCCAAGTGGATCTAGAAGTTGGCGTTCTAGACAGGGTAGGCCTACCTAGCTGTATCGTGAAGATCTGGACCGAGCATTTCACTCCAGGTGAAGAGCGGGAAGCTGGGCAACCTATTTCGACCCGATACGTTTGTCTCCGCTGAGCCGGGCATGGGAAACAACTGGGCCAAAGGATGTAGTAAGTGGCACATCCTAGAAAAGTTCCTTGAGCTGATAAATCTTTGTAGTTTACACTGAAGGTCATTCGCTGCTGAGGTCTTCTATATTCTTTACGTTTACTCAATAGCAGATTCATAGGCGCTGAGCTCGTAGATGAGATTCTAGTCAGTATGCTGTTTTCGCCAAGTTCTTGTACAGTCTAAAATATCTCTCTGTAGGAGACAATTAGGAGACAATTGGAGGCTTGCGATGCCCTACAAGGGTTCCAACTCATCTACTCACTGGGAGGAGGGACTGGATCGGGTCTTGGATGTTTATTGCTCTCAAAGCTGCGAGAGGTACACTTCGATGCTTCTGTTCCTGAACAACATTAACAAGACTTCAGGAATACCCCGACCGCATGCTTGCTACCTTCTCCATCATGCCCTCACCCAAGGTATCGGAAACCGTCATCGAAGTATTTGCTCTCTGTCCTCATTCTGTCTCGAGTCCTCGATAGATTCAAGTCGGCTAGTAAACTCCTTTTGAAGCGAATTAATGTCTTTCTCACTGGCTGTAATAACTAGGTTGCTCCCAGACAATCGGCCAGTAATGACTGTTATGATGTCATGATTCATACATAAAATAAAAAGTAATTTCACGTACATTGCATGCTCTTCTTGCGCCTTTTCAACTCCCTCTCATTTGTTTCAGCTTTGACAAGTGCCTTTTCAAACAATCCCTTCATCCTTTCATGCTCTGCCCACTCCTGTATCTCTGCATCCGTGGCCTCCCACCCAATAGACCTCTCATACTTCTCAAGAGCAAGAAGGATTTTCTTTGCTTGCTTGGCATTGATGCTACTATCAGGATTGTTGAATGCTTTCGAACGAGTGGGTTAGTCAGTACATTTAAGGCAAAGAGATAAAACGCAGAGCTGACCTTTCCATGCAGCATCAACTTTCTTCTTGGCAGCAGTCTTCAACATTACGGCCTTCTGTTGATCCTTGTGACGAGCATTGAGGTATTCTGTGAGCAAGAAGTGTAGCAACATTCTGAACTCTTCCCGTGCAGAACCGGATTCTTGATCCTCATAAGCGCTGCCAAATATTGCTTCCGCGATTTCCGCCTCCTTCAGGGCAAATTGGCCGACCGTGACAAACTTTGTTTTCTTGGCTGTGAAACGGTACATCGCCTTGATGTCGACGTCGGCACGAGCAAGCCCCCGCTTCAGTGACTCCTTTAGTCTCTGGATGAAGCCGCTGGCCATCCACCACTTCGTATAAGCATTACGACCTTGTGAATGGCTATCGTCTGTCAGTGAATTGACGGCGACGATGGCGTCTTCAGTAGGAAGGCCCTCAATGTGCTCCAAAAATTCCCTGATGTGCAGAAGGTCTTCATTGTCGATATGGCGAATATTGGTACCATTGAATCCTTCGAATCGCATATGCTCTTGCCAGATGGGTTGTTCGAATAGCTCGGGATATGTGGCAAAAATGACGGCGCAGAGAGCCCGTGCTTTTTGACGTGTGCGACCCATGCGAACGATGGTAAGGGACTGCCTGGAAGAGAGGAGACTTCGGTGGGGGTGGAAAGGAAAGGAAGCAAACCCTAAGCCCTTTATATATAGGTTCCTGTATCGTTAACGGTGAACTGGGTTCGTATTGCTGGTGCAAAAGCCTTTCTGTAGAAAGACTTTTTAAGCCCCGCACCAAACCGGGCATCGAACTCTAACTTGGTCATGTTCTCGGCGGCTCAGAGGGAATCCCAAGCTTTACGCTCAAGTTTGGAGATCCATGCGTCATTTAGCAGTGTTACTGGATCCGAAAAGTGGTCACCTCGGTCCGAATGCAGACCCTAACCATCTACGAGTTGGGTAAATGTCTGTTCACCAGGCAAGACTTAGCTATACAAGAAATTATCCGTCTGTGGATATGGGAGTCCGACAATTATAATACATGCAAAAAACATTGATGACCGACGAAATTGCACCTCCAGGACTCGAACCTGGTTGATCCACGTCTGAATGGTTAGACCAAATGATCCATACTGTGTCCTGGTGTCTGCTCTAGAAATCCAAACCATGCGGGAAACACAAAATCGCCAGGAATAACAGTAAGCGGAGAGAATGCCGTCGCTTTGGCTACCAGAGCTTCAAGTCAAAGATCAGCTGCTTCCCTCTCCGCTATCCATTTGCGCATTCCCATCTTGAAGAACATAGAAAAACAGTGCGACATATGTTGTTACTTGACCTCCGGGAGTCGAACCCAGTACATCATGCTTGCCCACTAGGTTAATGATTATCGACACTCGTCAAGAACAACACCCACAAGAATCAAACGACGCATCCCTCCTCCCAATGGAAGGAGATAAGCCTCTGCTCCACCTCTCCTACCTAGGCTGGAATGTGCAAGAGCTAGTAGCAACAAAAAGCGGAAAACACACTCATCCACATACTTCGCCTTCAGGAGTCGAACCTGACGCGTCGCTAGCGAATCATGCTAGGCTACGAGGTATGATGGTATAAATGACAAAAGAAGGGTCATAAAGGGGAAGTTCATGTCAAGAGCCAGAAGTATGAATACGCAGGAGACGTCGCCAAACCTTGGGAGGCAGTCAAAATTAGTAGGTCTTCCCTACGGCGAGTTGTTGGATGAAGAACCGGGTGTCTGCGTTGCAGCGCGTGACAGTAGGCATTCCCTCCAACCGCTTTATAGATTCACTCAATGTGTATAGAGACTTCCAGAGTCTAGTGTGAATAAAGGAAGGTCGACCGCGAGTATTAAAGCTGGAGGTCAGAAGTCGAGCAGATTAATCATATATCATATATCAAGCTTCGTAGGTCCACTCGAGCACAACCAAAAACAGCAAAAGAAGCGTTGGTATTTCACCTCCAGGAGTCGAACCTGGTGCATTACAGCGGCACAGACCGCCTAAGTTACATGCACACGTCGGGACCGCCCATCCTCAGGGGGGAAACACCCTCACAGAGTGATGTTCCCTCACATCTACGTCACAAAATCCACGTTGCCGTGTCGTCTTGACGAATGCGAAACAGTGGCATGATGATTCATGGTAGTACGATGAGCATGAGCCGCTGCGAGTGGGATTGTAAAGACAGAGCATAGTCAGGCCTGCGTTCGATGTACATGCATGGAGGAATGGAAGCATGAAGGTGGATCCTGGGTTGCTTGTCGAACAGATGCCAACGTGAAGCAGTTCTTGAAATGATAATGTTGAGGAGGACCAGGCTACGTCCTCGAACCACATGGGGCCCTCAGGACATTCAAGCTCTTTGTTGAGTATCTCCTCAACCTCGGCATGGCCCTTATCCTCAAGCTCCTCGTCTTCTTGGGTATGGTTCGAATACAACACAAAGACCACGTCGTATTCGAGGGAAATAGGACATGCGAACTTGATTTTCATGCGACAGAGGTGTCGGAGATGCCGGGTGGTGTTGATCAGGGAGTACACGACGAGGCTGGCTCGAACATCTTCCGGGTCGTCGCTCTTGGGTTCTGGTATGAGTTGATGTTGGCGCACATAGTTAATGGTAGGTAACGCCGAATCCATACTGGTATCGACACGAAGAGTATTTGGGATCTGCGACTTTGTATTCGCTGAAGTTTCTCATGGGCTGCGTCCGAGTTCCATAACCAGTCCATCTCTATACGTTCGAGTCAACGGAAGAATAAAAGAGTGGAATGGTATCATACAAGTTGTCGCCGAAATGTTTCTCCAGCTTCATGGTACACGTCGTCTCGGATGAGCATGATAACTTGCAGTCTCGTAAACCAGAATCGACGATCCGCAAGTCGTACAGTGGAAGTAGTGACGGTAGAGGCTGGAAACCACGGATTGCCGAACCGGCATGGCACGCACGCAACATTGGTGTGCCAAAGTAGACGGTGTCCTCTCTACATCTCTTGAATGGCATAAGCACATCTTCTCGTGCCCAATAACTCAATACGAATACAGTGCAAAAACAATTACAGTCTCAGCTCAGGCACGTTCTCAACGGCGATGGACGATAACCGGTTAGCCACCAGGCCGACGTACGAACCACGATCGTTCAACTTCCGTCGTCCACCACACCACCTCCCGTCGTTTCTGTGAATCGTTTGACTGTCCCTTATCCTCTTCCTTATGCGAATGACCAGGGAGGTGTTTGATCTGAATCTTCGTTTTGAAGGACGGCGTACTCTCGTTTTCACCGAGGATTACAAGAGTCCGGCTAGCGTAGAGCATGAAGTTGGCGCAGAGAGAGCACGGAACTATGAGAAGAGGATGCGATTTTTGGTACGGAGCTTGCTTCTGTGTCACTTTGGTATTTACATGAGTATCCAGGTTCCAACGTTCACTACCCGATGACTAGTGCAGTGAAATAGGTATTTTTCCGATGGAGATTTCGACTCAGCCTTTGGGAACAGATTATCAAGACATGTTCCTTACATCTATTTATCGTCGTCTGAATATGATGAAGCTTAAAGAAGACGGCATTCACTATGACAGGACCGGCGAAAGGCAAAACAAACGAGGTACATATTTTTTCGGCCGAACTCTTCTCTATTCTTACAAAAGTCAGTTCTCTTTTCTCTGGAATCAGTGAATAAATCCAGTCGTTCGCCAATGCGCTACCCATTTCGCCACAAGCTCCCCATTGACAGCCGGCGCCTGCTTCAAACTCGGCGCGATCTTAGTCGTCTCCTCTGTCAAGAACACCATCGGCTTTATATGGGATAATGCATATCTCGTGCGGAAGAACGGCTGTCGAACGTCGGGTGAGTGACCTATAACCACCCACGAAGAAAGGTACTCACCAACAACTTGATAGTTGGATTCTTCTTTCCATCTTCATCCGACTTGGCCAGCCTCTCTACCCACTCACCCTCATCCACACGCTCGAAGCTCATACCAGAAGCTTCCAATCCATCAAGAATATCCTTCCAATGCGCCGATATGTTGGGATTCACAATATGATACACAGCTGTAGCGGGCTTCATCGCATTCAACACGATCTCCGCTATACTCTTCCCCGCGAAATCCACAGGCAACCATGAAGGATTCTCGTCAATCTCAGGAAGTGCACCCACAGTATTCGCACTCCTGAACATCAACGGCCATGCCTCCGTTTCGTTCCAAACACCGCTTCAAAGGAGAAAGTCAGCGTGCACTCTTTTCTCGATGACTGAACCACCCACTGCACAGAATCCCCATCCATCTGGCCTATCCGCAGAATGGACACCGGCACCCCACTCTTCTCCGCTGCGCGCTCACAGAGTTTCTCCACGACCCATTTGCTCTGCGCGTAACCTGTTTCCGCAGCCGTCGACGGCGCGGGGGGAAAGTCCTCTGCGCATGTCTCGTCTCGAGATCCCTGCCTACAGCTGATGGACGAGCTGAATGCGAACGATGCAGGCTCCGAGAAGGGTGATTCAAGACACAGATTGATCAGGTTCACCGCGCCACCGATGTGAGAGTCAAAAGACTCGATGTTGAGCACAAAGTTGACTGGCCAGGCGTTCTGTTTTTGAGTCATAGTAAACACGACGACACGGAAGGGAGGTGAGGTTGTGACATACATGGATAACATCCGTCACCTCATCTCTCACGGCGCCGTACTCTTCTTCCGTCAACCCGAGGAGAGGCTCGTTAGCGTTTCCTGCATACGACGTTACCTTGCTTTCGTCGATGGAGACCTTTCGGGCGGTAATGGACTCCCTGATACGTTCCATAGATTCTGCATGAGACTTAGCACGGGACAAGCAGATGACCTTTCGAACTAAGGGGGATGCTGTTAATTGAGAAAGAATATGAGCGCCGAGGGACCCAGTTGCGCCAGTAAGGAGCTATGCATGAACAGAGTGAGTCTCTTTTATTTTGAGGTGTAAGGAATCCGGGCTTACGACTACACGTGCGTTGGTAGGTTTCGATAGCGCAATAGCTTTGACTGCATGTTTGCCGACCTTAGCACTCCATTTATCGAGCAGTGCCGTCATCGTGGCTTCGTGTCCATTGCCTACTTGGGCACCACTTCCGCTTTGCAATTGCAGGATATAATCTGCAAGTCTAGTGAAGCATTAATATTGGGACCGTAATCAAGGATGGAGAATGCACGTACTTCTCCACCGAAGGATACTCATACACCACTATCAAGGCAATCGTGAGTCTTTCATCCTTCTGAAAGTAGAGTATTCTATCTTACCCGTTTGTCCAAGGTTATGAGTTCCCAATTCGAGCTCCTTCTGCAAACTATTCCGTATCCTTGTCGCCTGTAACGAGTCGACACCGAATGCGAAGAGATCTACCTTCCTATCGAGCTTTGCGGAGAGACTGGGGTCAAGGGCTTTGGCAACGGTGTCACAGATGTACGCCTCCAGCTCGTCTCGTAGTAGAGTCTTCTTCTCCACCTTGACATCAGTTTGGTCGAACCGGGCGTAGATGCTCTCTGCGCGATTCGATTTAGGAGCAATTCAAGCAAAGACGGATGGAGCAGCATACCAATGAGGTCCTTGAACTTTTCGTAACACGCTAATCGGACTATGCTCATCTTGGAGGCGACCGGGATATTCGTGCCATACCTTCGTTGGTTCTATTAGTTGCTGTCTCGCAAACTGCACAGAGACACGTACGGCAAGAACTCTACCATCTCGGGTAGTAACCGCGAATGTGTCGGTGCTTCTGCGTTGGCTTGCTCGATGACGGGCCAGACTTTGGACATGAGCTCTTCTCGGGAGAGACCTTCTTCATGTGCAAGGCCAGAGGGGAGGATAAGGCATCCTGTTTGAGGTTCTCCGGTCCCGAAGACAATAGCTGGGAAGACCGTATGTTATTGTGCAAAATGCTATGAAGGGCGCTGGCTTTACCTTCCGCGACGTATGGACTATTTCGGATACAGAGTTCCATGGGAACTGTGTCGCTCGTCAGCAATGATAGATTGATTAGACGGATCCTTACCGGGGTTGGTCTTCTCCCCGAGGATATGGACGAGCGTGTCATCAAGCCGTCCGATGTACTTGTACAAATCCTTGTGCTCGGGATGCCGGAGGAAGAGGTCCCTGGTCGCGTAGGATCCATCAGGGCGGTTAGTCTCAACCTAGGATTGGCTGAGATAGTGGATCTCGAAGTCAGGGAGGAGATTAGCAAACCTTGGGAGGATACCCGTCCTTGACGATAAGTTCAAAAGTGTCGCCACCTTGTGGTTCCCAAACGAGGTAGTTGGCTGAACCGATGAAAGGGTGGTTCCAGTTCCAGAGTTTGTCTGTCGCGAAGTCGCGGTCGGAATCCATCATAAATCCGGTCTGTAATAGGTGAGTTGGGTTTATCGATGAGTGGAACGATTCTTACCTCTGTGGCTCCGAAGACGCTAAGCAAGTTTATTCCTGCTTGCATGAGTCTGTTACCGAGGTCATCCTGATTGCAAAAGGGATTAAATAAGGAAATGGGAGTCGCAAGTGAGGAGCTCACTGGGAGAGGAGCACCTGCATATGCGACGATATCAAAACTGGCTAGAGCGTTGACGCCCTCGGGTGTTTCCGCAAGCAGCTACAATGACTGTCATGTACGCAAACTTTATTGTAAGCGCGAAGGAGAACAAGACCTTAATAATATATGGCACAGCATAACATTCTTGGACTGGAGGAGACGCAGCGAGTACGGCACAGATGTTTCTGGGTGTTAGAGGCAGATGAGGCGGGAAGAGCGTCAGTGGTTGGCCAGGATAGATGGATTGAAATCTAAGGATCGAGTAAGTGAATTTTCGTCAATGGACCATAAAGCAAAGAAACTGACACGGCAAAGTGACCGTATGCGTGGAACACAGGGAGAGTACTGAATCCCGGTTTCCTCTTGTTCAACGCTGCATCTTCAATGAGACTGTAGTGCGTAATGCGGACTGGTTTAGGGAATCCAGTCTACGAAGAAAAGGTCAAGGTGTGCCGAAAAACATCAGGAAAGGGACTCACCGAACCAGAAGAGTGCAGAATGACGGCAGGCCGTTTACTCTCCTGTTCTGGTGTCAGAACGGCCGGGAAGGGTTTGATCTTCGTGTTCTCAACGCCATCGGGTCCCCACAAAGGAAAACGTTTGTCTTCGACGAGCTCCACCGTGTACCCTTGGTTGCGAAGGAGCTTCTGCGCGTCATATGCTTCTTGGACGAATTTCGTGCCGTAAATAAGGTGGGTAGCATTAGTGAGCTTGGTAAGATATGCCACTGCTGGAACGGAGTTGTTCACCGAGAGAAGGAGAGCGGTGAGACCAAGCTTTGCAAGGGCGATCTCGAGAAGTGATTCGTCGATTGCTGTGCTTGTCAAGACAGCAATGGTCTGCACGGGTGGTACCTCGCCTAGGGCCGTTTTTGGAGCGAGGCCCAGGGAGTAGTAGTGCCATGCAAGGCGGTCAACGGCAGACTGGATTTGAGAAAAACTACGCAAGCGTTAGCGGGAGTTTGCAAAAGAAAGAAACCAAAGGTACGTGAGCGAGTGCAATACTATTGCAGAACCATCGTCAGGTGACCCCGTATAGATAGCAGGATCATCCGGTTGGGTTCGTGCATGGATTGCAACAAGTTCTGTGATGGACTTCGGTTTGAGGGCTACTGAAGGCATTGCGACTAGGGCAATGGCAGATAAGAAAGGTTGCTGCTTTAAATACTGACGATTCTTCTTGTCGCCTATGAAGCCCGGGCCTGAGCCTGAGCCGGGCCCAAGTCTGAACGGGCTTGGGCTCAGGGCTCGGGCTTGAGATTTGAAGAGCCTGAGTCTGCCAAAGCTGGGCCCTGTAAATCACTAGTGTTGGTCATGGTGTTAAAAATATGGCAGCCGTGGGACGTCAGAGAACCTAGGAGAACAGGAACCTCGAAGGGACTATCAATACGCCGTGTCCTGGATTTTGTTTTTCCTTTCTCAGGCGGTGGCCGGTTGACCAAAAGAATGTGGGGTAGGGATATGTGGTACTTGGTTCGAATGCAGTCACCTTCTAGCATACATTTGGATTTAACAACCACTCCATATCAGGTTCAGAGGACATTTCAGACGGTAATGCGATCCGGATACGGACCGCGACTGTCCGTATCTCCCTGCGCAGAACCTTCGTCACTAGTGATTTACAGGGCCCGGCCTGGCCCGGCTTTGCTGGGCTCGGCTTTGGCAGGCTCAGGCAAATCTCAAGCCCGAGCCCTTCATAGGCGACAAGAAGCAAAGTTTTTGGGGTCATTGGAAGGGGTAAAAGTCTCTGAAAGAGAACATTGTTCGCATACATAGAGGATGTATCGACTCAGTACTTGGTATAGCACACATTTAGATCGAAACAATGAATTCAAAATATATCACCTGATGTGCTGTACAGCCGCCGAGGTGAGCCCGATCCCAAGGTCAGCTCGATCGTAAGGTCGTCAGACACTTGGAATGCAAGATCGACTTGCTTATTATTCCTGCTCTGGCTACGTGCTATATGGTGACTTTCTGGCTGTATGTCGTTCCTGGTTTGCTTATCAGCCCCTTCTAATTCTATTACATGTGGGAAATGAAATATCTTACTCTTCGCATGTCCTCACCTCGACTGTTTTAGCGACAAAACGACGCTTTCGTACGCAGCTATCTTCGGCAGTAAACGTCCGACATTTCGTATGAAAGTTTCTGATTTGTATATCGAATACGTGAATTCGTTTCGCTTGATGCCGCCAGATGATCTTCTAACTGACTCCACAGAGCTGGCTGTCCAGCATCTTCTACTGTGCATAGTTATTTTTATACGTCTTTTCTATTCTTCACACTCTGCGCAGTTGGATGGCTCACCTGGGCCCTACCTACTAATCTACTGATGCAGAAATTTCCCCTCAACAAGTATCTTGCGGCCAACGTAAGCGTACTTTTCTCATCGATGTCAGTTCCGTTCACTTTGAGAATCTGGCCCGCAGATATTCTTGTGGGGTGTTCTTATGACCCAAGCGATTAGTCAGAACTTTACGCCGGATCTTGCGGTGCTACGGATATTGTCTGGTGCATTCGAAGCCACTGCCGACGGGCCTTCATTTGTCCTCATCACTGCGACTTGGTACACACGGAAGCAGCAACCCACACGCATTGGTTACTGGTCTCTGTACATAGCCCTTTGTTTGCCTAACACTTTTAATTAGTCTCTGATTCTTCACTAGGGTCAACGGTCTTGGTATCGCTTTAGGTATGGCATCGGCCAGGTATGTGAGTATGGCTTTTCACGACTGATCCTAACGTTGGATTACTCCCAGATCGTTCACCATGATTACACGTTAGATGGAAGCCTGGTCAAGTGTTGGAGGCGATCATCGACCCCGTAATCTACCTCTTCTTTTCGTGTGGATTCACGGCGAATGTTCCCGTCGTGTGTACATGGTAAAGAAGCTACTTCTCCGTCCTGACGGACAGTTCTAGAGAGGTACATCTAATTTTGGCACTTTAACTGTCCAGACTCCAAGGGTAGTCTTTTTTCAATTGGCTTTCACAATTCTGACGAGGATTTCTCGCCTAGATTCGGACTCGACACTCTCCAAACAACGCTTATGCAGATTCCTTACGGCATTGTCATATCTTCGATGTATGACCTTCCTTCTTTCTCCCACCCTTATCATTTACACTGGGTCTTTTAGCATACTTATCGCGATATTTATTACAGCACCAGTAAAGGTAGGTCGATGGAGTAGTGTTAAAACTGGAAGTTGGAAGTCAAGAACCTGTTTGAGAGCTCAAGTTATCAAGCTTCGCAGGTCCACTCGAGCACAACCAAAACAGCGAAGAAGCGTTGATATTTCACCCCCAGGAGTCGAACCTGGTGCATTACAATCTCGCTAGGCTGCATGCAATTGCCCGTTGCTAAGTCCAAACATCAAGCGTGTCATTCTTACTGACGTATATCCCACTGGGTGACGGATGGTGAGACGAGCCGATAGATGAAGTCCTTGTGTGTCCCAATCGTTCCTGGCTTGGCGAGATTCATTGATGCTGGAGTCCATCTTGAGAGCGTTCATTGACGCAGCGAGAGACAACCGGACCTATGCCACTGCACGAATCGAGCGTATCGAAGTCGCGCTCCCATTGGTGCATAGAAGCGACGGGCAGAAGGAACTGGGATCTTTCTCTCCTGAATGACGATGGTCAAAGTTAGTTTTGAGTTTAGCCTCTGATGCTTATGAGCCCTGCTAACGAGAAGCCTGAAGGAGACATTCCGCTACCATCCCGTAGTGTATAATATTTTCAGATATGCCCAACAGGATGAGGTGCTTTGTTGAGCACACGTTACCACTACTTCAGGGAAAGTCTTGCAGGAGCTACCGATCCCGAAAGGCACCCAGATTATTGCTTCTATTGCAGCGTACAACAGGTTAAGCTCACCTTATTTCATCTTTGTTTAAAACCGTGTATTGACGAATTACTTGAATAGAAACAAGGAAATTTTCGGCGACGACGCGGATATCTTCAATCCTGATCGGCGGTTGCGTGATACGGTTCCGAACACGAAGTCAGCTTTGGGCATTTATGTGAGCCTGCAAGGGTATTATTTGACTGTCAGTGCATTTCTAAATTTAGCGCGACGAAGGTTTACATTTTCAGGTGGCTCGCGATCGTGTATTGGATGGCGATTCGCGTACGTTGGTATTTTATAACCTTGATGGAAGCGTGCTCATACCCCCCCAGCGTTATGGAACTACACACATTCATGATTGAGCTTTTGGGAACCTTTGAGTTCTCGCTGGACGATAATGAAGAGGTTAGGAGGGAGTCGACATTTGTTATGACTCCGACGGTTGAAGGACAGATTGAGAAAGGCTCTCAGCTACGTTTGGAGGTGAAACTGACAGCGAGGAATGAATATTGAATAATCGTTCGGATGATGTTTGTGTCCTATCACCCATCTTCGTTTCCAGTACAGTTTATATAAATCACTGAATAGCATGAAATATTATTAGGCTGACTATTTCGATAACAGCCAGTCCGTCATCGTTCTCATACGCACAGAATTTATTGAAGAATGTGTTCCAGAAAACTTGAAGCAAGTTGTGTCTTGGAAACATATGGACCCAATAACACTTGAGAATAACTGGTGCAACTTTATAATATGTATACATAATCTTTAACTAAATTTTACGATATGGAAGCGTCTGCATCACGTCCAGACCGTTCAGTAAGTAGGACTCTGGACTTCGTTGTAGAAGAAAAACGAACTTCGGCTAACCGGCGCGACGTTGCCGGTCGCGTGCTAGGTTTTCCTTAGGGTCTGACAGTCTTACAGTTTCACACTTACCACCATCATCACGACAGGCGCGAAGTTAAAGGCTCTTCTAATGCTATGCCTGCCACCATGGGACTGCACCAGTGGCCTCCAAACTTTGAGGCGATGGAAGCGCTTGAGCGCCAAAGGGTACGAATGCCTTTTATCCCTCTACGCTCATCTCTAACGCGTCCATAGCGATGGACTGGTTATGGGAACAAGACAAATGCCTTCAAAAGGCATCCAAGTAAATACGTAGTTGACCCGTGAACCGCCTCTATCAGTACGGTTGTGGGCTCACTTATCAGCGGCTTCTCGACTATGCGCTTCAGCACAACCTCGTGGATGTACCCAAGGACCTGGAGAATAATGACCCCGAAGACATCAGAGGAGGCCTCATCATGTATGCCTTAATTGGCACGTCGTCATTGCCATGCACTCCAACTACTCCCAGGAGGACAAGGAGCTCGAGGATGATGTCCAAGCTGAAGATGAGCCTGGAGTTCGGTTGCTCAGATGGTTCTATGTGGTATCGGTACGCTAATTATTAGTCGCCCAGTACAGCAGGTTAGTACATATTATCATTTTGATGAACTGTTACTTCATCAGCACTTGCTAGGTATATGTATGATTAAAGTGCCTTCGTACTACAAGACAGCCGCTAGTACTATTATCGCAACGGCGCCTCGGGAATGCCGTGGGAACGGCTTAGTCACCGGCTAACTCGGCCTGTAACTACGCAGCTACCTTAGACTGCAACATCCATGAACGACACACTCTACAACTTACCCGACGATGTGCTGATCTACATTATCGCGTTTCTATCTGTTACTGACATCCTTCTCCTCCGCCAAGTGAGTATTTTCTAGCCCAGCGATTCTGGATGCTAATAATGACAGACATGCAAACGATTCAACGCGCTCACAAAACTACACATCGTCTGGACAAACGCATTCAAACTCGATATCCTCTCCAATGATTATCCCGTTCCCATTGATGACACCGATCTGGAGCAGCGCACGCGCCACGCTTACCGACTCGCGTCTCGATGGCTCGCAGACTCCCCTCTGATGCCAGCGAGCGAGACAGGTTTCACTGGCTCGACCGTATCCGAGATCAAATTCATACCAGGCCGACAGCACAAATGGTTGCTGACCGTATCGAAAGGGATCTGGTCGGTGCTGACGATCTGGGATATCACGCGCGGGCACAAGTGTTCGGAGTGGTCGCCAAGAGGCGCGCTGTTCACTGGGGTGAAGCTGAACACAGATACAGAGTCTGAGGCGAGTATCGCTGTAGCGTTAGATGGGTGAGTCCTTGTTATTCTGTTGACCCACCGCTAACTTGTGTAGATCACAGAGGACCGCGCTCCTGCAGCTGGATGACGATGGAACCTTGCATAAAATCCACATGTTCGACATCGACCTCCGGCCGGTCACTCTGACTGGCGATATTATAGCCCTCAGCGATGACTTCTCCAAGACACTGATCTACAACTGGAAGACGGACGAGCGAGCCTACCTCGATGAAGGAGGCGACATGCAGGTAACCGTTCTCTAACTGATCTAATTATCGCTTACACATCTGTACTTGCAGTACGACCACTGCATCCAAATTATCTTCACTGCACTAAACATCCTCGTCATCCGCGCGCGTTCCATCAACCTGTACACTACCCCACCCTTCCTCCACGGGCAAACACACTCTCCCATTGCCTCCTACTCTTTCGGCTGGGTCGACGGCGCCAGCGCAACTCCCGCTTCGATCCTCATCCGCTCTGAGAGCGATAACCCTTGGGCATCAGAACTCAACTCGTTCGAACTATATTCCCTCTCTTCCTTCCCACCAACACTCACCAGCAAGATATCCTCCCGGCGCGGTGCTCTTCGATGTACAGATGTCATCCTAGGGAAACGTGGGACTGCAGTATGGATACGCCCCCATGATCGTGCGATGGTCTCGCACTGGGAGGAACACGATGGGTGCGAGACGCTCATGGCTGCCGTATTCCCTGGCCCGCTCAACTCCTCCGGACAAGTCCGTGTTCGTGAGGTATGCTCGAACCCGTTGAATAACTGGACCGCATTGGATTATGACGAAGAACTTGGGAGGATCGCCCTTGGGTCGGGGTTTGGGAAGATTAAGATTGTCCAGTTGTAGTCATAATACATGTCCTTCGTGACGTACCGGGTGTGTGACGTTCAAAACTATGGTTCGAAACCCTTTGGAAGGGTTAAATTTTGTGAAAATCTTTTTCTTCTTTGCGCATGAGCCTGCGCTTGATTCTGCGTACCCATGCTTCGTGGAAGCGATCGGATTTTCATTACTAGGCCATTTACCTTTCAACTTTTCGGCCAGTCGGTTATTCTTGCGCCATGTAACGCCACGATCAGTGAAATCAAACTGAACTGGAGCCTTCCTCATGACCATTACCCCAGCCGCCGAAAGCAGTTTGGGCTGACAAGATAGTAAGTCTCCGAGCTTCGATTGGTCTTTTCCTCTCCCGAGAGCAAAAATGAGTCTAATATCAAGGACCAGGAGCGAGAAAATGATGAAGGTTTCATTGCAGTACACGTGTACGGAGTCGGCACTGGCAATCTTAAGAGACAAAAAGAGAATAAACGATGCGACCACCTGCTTGAGGGATTAAACGAAGCTTGTTTTGAATCGATCACCGAATTTTGCTCGAGAACATCATAGGAAGCGTTCCTTGACGGAACAGGAACTGAATGGAGTACACAGTGCAAAGACGGCGATGAGTATGGAAAAAGGTAAAAGAGTATCTACCACCTCGGGAGGAAACTAGCTTCAAAAGAAGAGGAACCGAGACCTGGACGGAAGGACCTAGGATCCGGATACACATTTGCCTGCACTTAATGCTGCGTTCGTCATGAAAAACTGGAAAACTGGATGTATTAGCCACCTCTGGTATCTACTGATACAGCTCAGGTAAATAAGCGTAAACCAGTCTACCTTGGTAGCTCGTTGTAAATAAGGTCACAAGTATTAAGGAAGGAGGGAAGGAAGGAGATTTTGTGCTAGAAAAGCAGAGCGGTCCGTCCTCGGGCCGGTGAGGTCACGCAACCCGATCGTTCAGCCTGTGAACAACACCCGAATTCAACTATCGTCGTAAACATTTGCATTTGTTCCGTAGATGCGCCCCTTCGCTATCAGTTCTCGAACCTGTGAAAGTCGAGACATCATCGACATCAGCAGAAAAGCTTGCAATTGTATCCTGGTCGGGCCTTTTTCGGAGTCTCTTGCTCAACTCTTGCTCGTCAGGTTTTTGCCTAAGTACTGTGTGGACGTTGGACACTGCCGTGTAATGCTGCCTATCTGCCTTGACGAAGCCGTGATGGTGGTTTCTCTAGAGTCCAGTTGCATGGACACGAGCAGCGCAGTACCGGTCTGATTCTTTGGAAAGTTGATGGCAGCTCTCATGTTTCGATACCGCTCTTTGGAACCCGGAACAACACCGAGCCGTGGCCCCGCGTGATCGCATCATTCGCTTTTTCAGGAGTTAGAACCTCCTCAAGCGGCGCTGAGCTCCTCAGACTGTGGCATGGGACCTAGTCACCCTGGCATGGGACATGCTTCTCGGGTTCTTTACCCCCAGAACCTTCCGGTTATGTCTAATTTCATTTGACGAAGGGGACTATAAAGTAACGCATTTATCATTTCTGGCCAAGTTGGTACCTTCACGGTAACTCGCGACAGACAACATGAAAAGCTACGTTGTTATGCTTGGGGCTTTTGCAGGCTTAGGTATGACCTTTTTGCGACCTTTTTCCATCAAGTCTTATATCTATGTTCCACAGGGTCGTTTCTCTTCGGGTCTGTAGACATATCCTCTCAACAAGTGGAGTGCTTTTCAAGGCTGATCGGGACGCAGATATGACACAGGAATCATCACCACGAGCATCGCTCATCAGAGCTTCAAGGACTGTAAGCTCTCTTCTTCTTCCCTTGTTATCCTGGTTGACATATTTATAGATATGGGAAATCCGAACGCCGCAGCTACTGGGGCGATAGTTGCGACGTACATCGCTGGAGAAGCTGTCGGAGCTATATCACAAAGTCTTCTGGGGGATTTCCTAGGTCGGAAACGGTATATGCAGTTGATGTGCATGGTGGTACGCCGATCATTTTGTCTATTCATCTTCCTAGCGTTGATAGCCTGGCATAGGTCACCGTAGGAACGATCATTCAAACAGCAGCTCAGAACTATGCGATGTTTCTCGTAGGACGAATACTGACGGGCGTAGCTGTGTATAAAGGCCATAGATTCATGAATATTTGCATCTGCTAACGAATACATATATAGGGGAGGTCTCATTGGCACCGTTCCTATATACAACTCTGAAATTTCGTACGTGCCCACGCCTGTCTGGTGTGTCGGTCTTCATATTCTGTGCTAGGCCTCCAGCGTCCCGTGGATTGATTGGTGGACTTTCAGGGTATATGATAGGTGTGGGTACTTTCCTCGGTAAGGAGCTTTTAGTCTCAGTGAAGTTGTCGTTCTCACTGTAGTTGACAGCTAACTGGGTCGGGTAAGCTTTGGAATTTCCAGTATTCTAATCGTGTTATCACATCCTATTAGCTTTGCCTGCGGATACGCACCCACTACGTCATCTTTTCAGTGGCGATTCCCACTGGCACTTCAAATACCACCCGGGATCATACTCTTCTTTGGCCTGCAATTCTTTCTCCCAGAGTCCCCGAGATGGCTCATTAATTCAGGCCGCGACGATGAAGCCCGTCTAGTATTTACTCAAATTCGCGGTGATCTTTCCGGTGTGAGACACATTCATTTTCAGTCTTTCGCGCTATTGAGATGTCATTTTTAGGAAGACTTGCACAAAGAATTCGATGATATGCGAGAACAAATACTTTTCGAAAAGGTATGTTCGACAGTTGTTCAAAGCCATATTGTTCTTACTATCTTAATTTCTAAGTCGACGGAAGTGAAAACTTTTGCAGAAGCTTGGTCAAAGTACAAGAAACGTATTCTCATCTCTGTCGCCGTACAGAGTATGACGTCGTTGACTGGAGTCAATGTTGTTGGTGAGTCTCCTGATCCTTGATTTCTTCAGTGGTTAGATCTGTAACACGGAATTTGAGGCTACTACCAAACGACGCTCTACAAGAATTTGGGCATCACCGGTCAAACTATTCTACTGCTGGCTGGTATCTATGGGACTGTGGGTGTCATCATGAATGTATTCTCAGTGAGTCGCATTACTTATGTTCGTGTTACAGCCATCCATACACAATTGCTAATTTACGATAAGATATATTTTTTAGATAGATTCGGTCGCGTAAAGCTCCTGAGATGGGGTACATCTGCCTTATGTGTGGATCTCATTTACTCTGCCTTAATGACACGCTACTTCGCCGGATCCGACAATAATGTAGGAAAAGGATTTGCAGTCCTCGGAATCTATCTGTTTACGACCATTTATTGTGAGTTCCTTGGCCTTTCTTCCTCGGACACCTCTGAATCTGCTGCGAAAAGACCTAGGTCTGAATAGCACTACCTGGTTGTATGGTGTCGAAGTTCTCCCTGTCTTTTTACGGAGTAAAGTGTGCGTACGCGTAGTCTTTGATCTTTGGTCCGTTGAATTGTAATTCACTCCGCAGCATGGGATTGGCATCAACGTCGCACTTTGTATGGAATGTAGCCCTCACGGAAGCGGGACCTAGTGTTTGTTTATTCTTCAGCCAACTTCGGCCTCTTGTGTATGTTTACTTGCTCGCTTGGTAGGCTTTCGCAAACATCGGTTCGAACTTCTATTGTAAGTCACTTTCTCGAGCCATAAATAATGATACTGATACTGACATTCTGGAAGACGTCTTCGTCGCGACAACCTTCGTGGCTTCTGTTGGAATATTTGTGTACTTTCCAGAGTAAGTCTTTTGACCTTCCTTCGTCATCATCTCCTCATCGTATATGTAGAACCAAGGGAAAGACACTGGAGGAAATCGCTGCATCTTTTGGAGACGACGTCGTCCATTCTGAGTCTGAGGGGGCTTCATTAGGCAAAGGGTAAGATGAAAGACTCGAAACTATTGCATAGTATTTAATCATAGCTGTAACGGAGAATATATCCTCTAAACGAAAGCATAGAAGGCCGCGTCAACTAGCTTATCGAGTCGCATACACGAGTCACCAGACGTCTCGCCCAGTATGGTGGCGTGGCGTGCAGTCAGCCTTTCATGATTCTTCCTCTACTCCTAGCCTATGCTGGCCTACCTCCAGTTTGAAGGTCTGGTGACTGAACGGTCAGTTACAATGATGGAAGAAGGTTTAGATAGAATAGAGGAAAGACTGGTATCATTCAGGGGCAAGATAGTTCAAGGTGACTGTTCGAAGGTAGTCACGCCATATAAAGTGAAGACGAGCTAGAATCTAGAAAATATTCAAACGTCGACGATGAGGGACCTACAAGGGACCTCATACAAATCCATGAAAAAAAACTCGATTGACAACTCTGCAACTGCGTACAATTTCCGACTAAGGATGCTAATTCAACCAAAACTATTTATCTTTTGACGATGGCTTAAAATTGTGGTTTTGGGGGTCAAAGAACGCGACTCGCCTCTTCATCGCATAACGCTTGAAGCGGCTTGCGTACCGCCACCATACCTAAAACAAGGATCCGCCAATGAAACTCAGAATTAGGTCAAAGATGACCTACTTACGTCTACTGACTCTCACGAGCCTATAAATCACATTATGAACATTGGTAAGATGGCTTCTGGAGAATGAGTGCCTGACCTCGACTTCCAAGCCGCGAACCCAATAGGCATCAGGACCGTTAGCGTAACTGACAAAGTGAGGTTGATATCGTGTGTAGACGGTAATCAGCGGGCTCCTTACGGAACAGCTGAATCGACCTCTGCCTGGCGAGTCTGTGGAATGGGGTACGTAAAAGTTTGTGGACAGGGTGGCGAAATGAAGGTTTGCGTGCCTCTACATCTCGTACCCAATAAGAATTAGGCCCGTTCGCGTAACTGCGAAAGTCATGTCAATTCCGACGGTAATCGTTGTCTCAATTAGATTACTCACGGTACAGCAGAGTCAACGCCTTTTTCGCGGGTCTAAGAAGCCGAAACTTGTCTTATGAATAGTAGACCATATTAAAACATACTTGCCTTTTCATCACGTACCCAATAGGTATCGGGTCCATTGGCATAATTATTTATTCCGATGATAAAGTTAGTTGCAGGCCGATGTAATCATACGACTATACTTCCGGAGAGGTTCTCTGGCGAGCCTAGAATATATTGTAAAGCTTGAGGACCATGACCCACACGGAATTAGGAGGAATACCGTATACGTACCTCGACATCGCGTACCCAATAAGTACTCGGTCCATTGTCGTAGCTGGTAGATGTGTATATATCAGTCGCTCAGGAAAGGAGGGAAAATCCAGAATTTACGCTATGCCGGAATCAACTTCAGTACGAGGACACTAAATGGATGTAGTGAGCGAGGAGCGGTCTGAGACCGTTAGTATGGAGATTAAACGCGTACGATAATGATACCGGCATTCACTGCCCTGAAGGCGAAGAAGGTAATGGATAGAAAAGCTGTGACCTTCATGACTGCAAATGAAATGAATGAATGATGTGGATTCATCGCAGCTTGAGGTTTATATAGCTCTCTGGATCGAGCACGGGGAAGAAATGCTGGAATTTCGCGGACAAAGGTGTCAATTATGTTGGTCAGTGTCAGGATGATGGATCACGCAATAAGTGCTCCAAAGTCAAGGTTGGAGACGAGTTGCATGATGGATCTGTCAAAAGAGTGTCACCGACCAATTGGAACATTCCTCCGTCCAATATGGACATTGAATTAAGGTTCTTTCGACTTCAAGGACAAAAGCTGTCGTCATGAGTCAAACTGCTGCAAGGCTTTGTCCACGGAAAAGAGTCAAGAGACTATGAACGAGGCAGAATACTGCCACATGATACAAACTGCCAAGAAAACAAGTTTCCAGAGTTATCATGGCTTTGCCTTACGGTTAATGGTTGCTGGAGGGTGGTGGGCTATGCGGAAGTACAGAATGAAGTCAACACTGAGTACTGATCCTGCGCAATTCTGAGACAATTGGGATTCGAAGTTGAATGCCACGGAATTTACCGAGCTCGAAGCTGAACTGTCGGCAAAGTGTTATTCCGGACCCGGATCGGTCTTCGACCTCGATGTCGCCCAATCTGTACTATCGTACAGCGTTTTCCCGCCATCTATGCGTCAGGGATATCGTGTGGTCATGCTGAGGTACTCTTTTGCTTGTTCATCATCAGCAAGTAACGTCCAGATGCAGAGTCTATACATTGACAGCTTCGAGACACGCACGGGAAGATGAAAATTACGTGCCGAATGAATGGGCAAGTCGTCTTGGCCAATGGCATCGGATTTTTCAACTCGTAATGGATCAAGGATTGGGTCTAGCTACGTGAAGCCGCGAATCTGTCAAAGCATTCGACAGTTCTAATCAAGGGCGGACTCTTTGTTACCTCAGGTCCGCTTCCTCTTTTGAAATACCAAGTTCATGCTTTTCCTGACGCTCTAGAAAAGTATTTGGATGCTCGGGATGTATTACATACCAGGAACCCTTCCCTATATCCCGCAGAATCTATTTTCTTCATGATGGGCAATGAGTCGCTAGGTTATGTCCCACTAGCGTCGCCTGACGATGACCCATACTCCACACGGAAGATTCGTGAGACTCGTTCGAAATTACGAGAAGATCTACATTGGGGTCATCTTACTGCAAGCTATCGCGCTGGCATTTTCCTTGATCACCAGCTTTCACGAAACCAACGATTGCCAGCCTGCCTTCGTGGATCGCCCATTGTTATATTGTGAGCATCATATCAGCTGGTGTTATTAACCTTCTGAGTCGCCTTTTGAATAGCGCCTGCTCAAGAGGCTCTGGAAAACGAAGTGAAAGTATTTACTGTTGGGCGAGAAGAAAAGACGATATATCAAGGTTTCGACGCCGAAGCAGATAGAGCTTGGGGTGATCTCTACAACCGTAAGTGATCTACATCAATAGCGTCTTTCTCTATGATCTAATATATTCATCTCAGACACGCTTTTGAAAATCCCCAAAAGCCAGGCCGCTCTTCTTCCAAATAAGACTTATCCTATCTATGGTGAAGATGGATACTATCTAGCTGGTTTGGACGTTTTCCATCAGCTTCATTGCCTTGTGGGTAGGGCTTCTAAAACCTGCTTCCTTCTTCATTATGACTCAAATCTTTGGATAGCACGTCGTCCGTCATGCTCTTTATAGCGATCACTTCGACGATCCTCAAGCAAATCCTGAACATGTCTCCCACTGTATCGATGTGATTCGCCAGTCTTTGATGTGAGCGAGTCTTAACACTGAAGCCCGAAATTGACTGAAATTGTTCTACAGGTGTAGTGCAGACATTTCTGTGAATGTCTGGCAATGGAGCGAACAGCTTTCGGCTGTGGTAGGATACAGCTCCCAGGCACATTCGTGCCGCAATTTCGACAAGCTTCGAGACTGGGCGCGAGAGCGCAGAATTCACGAGTGGATCGACATTCGCCTTTTTGTAGAAGACGACTTACCGAACTCACCCATCATCAGTTAGATCTTATCATGCTCGGTTCTACCAATGATATAATTCTATACGAATGCGAAACAGCAACATTTCCTAAAGGGATCGGAACCAGGCCGACTCGGATGGCTGTGCTGGCAACGCGCACGGATCTCCAATTTTATGTAGGCAAATTCAAACCAATTCTTATACCGTTGAACGTTGAACACCAATGAACGACCCAAAAACTGCCCAAGATAACATAGCTTATGTGCTTGGCTGGTTATGGGATGTATATTGACAAAATGGTCCAGTTTATCTCGATTGTTGGCTCTCAAAACTGGATCCGTTTCGCCCTGTTTTAAGAGTGTAAGACATAGCCTTTGCGATGGTAAACAAAGACTAACCTTGAATGTTCGAATGTCGGAAATCGGACCTTCCTGTTCTTTGTCGTGCAGTCTCCCTTCGACCAGTCATGATGTTGCCCCTAAAGTGCTATCGACAGCAAAGCCGAGTCAAAGCTACAGATTGGGCCTCATCAAAACAAATTACTTTAACGATTTACCTTTGTTCTCTTCCGACGTCAGGTGGCGATTGCTTAGACCCTGTGGCCCAATCCTGAGAGCCTTTGTTCTCGATTTTGCTTATAACCCCCCCAGGCAGTGGCACGGATTTCTTTCTTACAACCCACTCGATATCTCGTTTCATCTTTGACTTAAACGTCTTTTTCTAACAAGTTGAGCGTTTTATACCCCCGTCTCGTTGTTCTAACTAACAAAATTTTGTAGTGGCCACTAACCAGACCGGCGTCTCTTTGAATTTGCTTTTCGATCGTTGCTTCAAGGAATCCATCGACGAACAACGGATGTGTCCAAAATGCAGTCTCTTCACTTCGGCGTCATCTCAAGAACCAAAAGATGTCGCCCACGAACTGTTCCATATCGAGGCAGATATTGAGCAGATTGGTCTTCTACTTAAAACAACGTTTGATCCGGAACCCACGGATCTGAGGGCCCTCCATGTCACTAGAATGCTCAACGCGGGTAGGGCCCATGTGTACAGCTTGAGACGTCACCAGCTTCTGTTACAGAAACGTTATCTAGAGCATTTACTACGAGTGTTGGATACTGATTGCAAACCACGCTGATTGTACAAGTCAGAAAAAGTACTATATATATATGTTTTTGTGTACCTTGCGATGTAGTAGTACTGTTGTGTATATGCAAGTTGATATCAATACTAGATAATTTCAGATAATCGAAGTACAGAACAGGTTTCCGAAGGCAGCGTATATCCGACGGGTAGTGATAACGCGCAGACATACTCATGCTTTCCTGCAGCGATGTCGCTCTTTATGAGCCCTCCAACCTTCTCTCAGACACTCTTTACCACAAAAGTAGGCGCGTCCTTCACAAGACCCTACAACAGACAGTCAAAACTTCCTCTAGAAAATAATGTGGGAAAAACGTGCCTCCACATTTGTGTATATATCCTGTTGATGCACAATTGAAGCACCTCCGCCACGGCCCAGCCCTCGCGTTCAGTGCCTCCTCCTCAACATCTACATCCGCAAAATCACCTCCAGGCGTATCGAGTTTCAGCTGCCACAAATCGTTGAAGGCCTTGAGGTATGGCGCCTGGTTCTGCTTACACATTGGCACAAGCTGCGTGTTGGTGTATCCGCCGAACATGTATGTCTTGCCACTGTCGGGATCAACGATGAGGTTCGCTTGGCACCTAAGGGAATTTGCTCATCAGTACAGGAACTTAGAAGAAGAACTGGGCTCAGGTACCTGTATGTCGGGAATCCCCTTGTGAGAACATGTTTCCATTTGGGCGCCTTCATGGTTGGTGTTGCGTCCGGATTACCAGTCACCGGAGAGGGATCGCACATGAAAGTGTCGGCAAAATATGTGAAATTGAAGCTCATGCCCCTACCTCCAGGCTCATCTGACAGAACGATTGTATCTTGGCCAGTCGAATACCCTCCAAAGAGTAAGAACTTGTTCAACACAGGATTCTTGACACCAAAACGTAAGAGAAATCAAAGAATGCACACAGACACTTACGAAGGCATGCGCAACCTCAGACCGTGCAGAGGGCAAATTGCCCGACATACGCTCCCTACGCCACTTCTCCGTGGGTATGTGCCAACTCCACATGTTCTCAAAGATGAAGCTGTCGTTGGCGTGTACCGGATCCCCTCGCGTGGCTGCTGGGCGATTTGCCTCACCGCCCAAAATAAACAACCTGTCTTGTTCCTTGTTGACCCAGCTCATCGCCGTCTTGCGTGGATCCGGAGCCAGAGGATCAGCTTTGGGGTGGAGGTGTCCACTTAGACGGCGCCACTTCTTCGTCTCGAGGTCGAGCTCCACTAAAGGATTGCATCCAACTTTGTTGTCGTTATGTGTCCCCCCAAACACGTATAGTTTACCGTTCGCGATTTCCATACACGCGTCGTTCACCATAGAGTGGGGATACAGCCAGTTGTCCATCCCCGCGTGTTTATCCGCAGTGGTGCGCTCGTACGTCGTGTTGATTGATCCCCACTGGCCTTTCTCTAAATCGAAGTAATCAACTTGCTTTTTACCCGTGAACAAGTATGCTTTGTCTTTGTACACCTTCATTGTCCAAGTTCGCATGACACACCGATATTCCGGCTCGATGATCGGATATCTGGCAAGTTCTTTCCAACCGTCGCGTGCAGTGAGATCCAAACACCAAATATCACGGTAATAAGGTCCTATAGCGATACCTTGAAAGCCTCCAGCAACATACAATTTTCCTGCGTTTATCCAAAGTCAGAACCACGTCATACCAAGTCGAGGAGAAGAAGAACCTTTCCAGATAAAGCTAGCAAAGTTGCTGCGAGGCGCAATGCCACTCCCCGCTTTAGTACGGAGTCGTTTCCACGATCCGCGGATTTGCAAACCCGGATCAGTTACTTCTAAAGTTGGCGTGCGAGAAGGATCCGGATGACGGAGCTGCAGCAAGTCTACCAGGGAGTCTATATTGTTGAGATTCTTGATCTCCCCGGAATGATGCGGCGCCGGCATACTTTGATAGATGGTTAAACACCTCCAGCGGGTGTACGACGCGCGGCCAGTATTTCCAAGCCGGAGATAGATGTCTGCCATTGCTGTTTTTGCGATGGTGTGCTGGAGAGTCATATCGGGCAAATCAAAGTGAAAATCTTTCCAGTCTGATGGAGCTTGAGTAGAAGGAAGAAAAAATATGCGTGTGAAACTGACCGAAAAGAGGTTTTGGGGATTCGAAGGTACAGTGAAGGTGAAGGATCTCAACCTCTTCATACCAAGCCAAAGCCTATCCAGCAGTCTGGTAAATAACAAAAGCAAAGTTCTTTGAGACTTACTTCCTCAAGTCGATTCTGATGAACCAGAGCTCCCGTTACTCCATTACAGCAAGCCATCAAGTATCGCCGAACGTGAGGGTTAAAGGATTCGTAAAGACTACATCGCACACTATTGTCCTGTCCTGCTACCCTGGGAAGAGTAAAATTGGCCCCAACAAGGTTACGTGCTGCCGGTGTGCAAACAGCAGCAGATTCCGGGTATTTTCCTTGCCGAAAAAGGGATTTCGCATCATCTCTGCATTGTGTCTGGGTTAGACTTGTTTTTGCAAGTCATCAAGTAAGAATACTGACAGCATTGGCTTAATGCTGACCCCAGCCATCACTGCGTCCGTCAAATCACGTCTGGACATGCTTGTTTCCGAAAATTTGACAGGAAACTCGACTGGAGTACTGAGGTCAGGCATTTTGAAATCTGGTGGTAGCTTGAAGCTAGGCATGGTGTGCCAAGAATCGACGACGACGTGAAGGGAAGAAAAAGAAAGTGAAAAACGGTAATGATAAGGTAAGATCTTGCTCTGAATAATTTGCAAATTAATCCTATTGAGCGAAAATCGGACCACGCTTATCGGGATTCGGCAGATCCCCATAATTTGTACCTCTTCTCTCCCATGGCTCTTTTGCTTTCTGGAAAACACTGATCTCCACGTTGCAAAATCCGAGTCAGGATCGCAGACAGGACCCTAGTAAGGTATGCTCATCTCGGATGGAATTTCTTGGTTTTGGTCACAAAAATGTGCCACAATGCGGGTCCTGCCTGGGGGAGCTTCTGGAGCTTGCATCGGCCGGCGAAAACGACGTTTCAAGGGTGTGAATGAGGTATGGCCTCTACGGCTGAAGGGGAATTGCGCTCATCGCAAAATGAGGGGAGAACGAAGGCGGTTTGAAGGAAGAGTCTGAGGCTTCAAATGGGGATTGCGGCTGATGAGCACCGCAAAATTTGTTCTTGCATTTTCTTCCCGTCTCCACGGCTGACACAGTTCGCAAGCTGTTCGACCAGTTTTCTACAGAGCGGTCACTGTGACTGACCAGAAGATGAGTCCATGTGCAAAATGTCGGTGTCTGATTAGTAACTCGCCTTCGGGCGTCATTCGACTGGTCTGACCGCTTTTCAGGACTTGACACTTTTGCTCGTCACATCGAATCAAACTTTTCCTTGGGAGTCAAGGAATGCATAAATGTGCCTAAGGGAGAGTATTTTGCCCATATTCCCGGGCCGGGTTCAGTCAACATTGGATCCACGTCGAAAAGACTTAGTAATTTTCCTGCTAAAGGATAGCACTGATAGATCTTCAGAACACAGTAATGGGCTTCGCTGGAGAGCTGGGTCGCCTTTGTAATTAGCCGCGAGTTGACTTCGTTCTGTACCGGGCTAAACGACCTAGTAACCAAGCATTGCAATGAGAGTTCCGTTTATGTGGCTAAATGTTTTACAAGACAAAGAAGTTATCTTCAGGATAGCGTACATTATTAGTAGCCACTCGACCTTACTGCTACTTTCCACTGGACATCATGTCTGGCGCTGAGAACGCATCCTTCCTTCAGGTCCCGGTGATATCGAAATCGCATTCTGAGGACCGAGTCTTCTTATGAAGGCCTTAGTTAGCAGTGTTATCAGGCGCGATCTTTCCTATTCAATGACGGGCATACTTCGTAAGGGCACGTCTCGTAGCAACGGCAAAGTAGAGGATGATCTGTAAGTCGATGGAAGGGAGATTGAGAGACAATAGACCAATCTATGGCAATAACTGGTGTTACTTTTGCTTTAGGCTCCGTAATAAGTTCAGGATACCTACTAGATCGATTTACGAGCCTCGGAGTAGGCTGTGTATCCGTCCCTGACACTGTACAACGTGAAGTCTAGTGAGATCTGGAGCTAGATTAGGGCAACAATAGATTTGGATTCGATGAGCTCCTTGTGCTGGGTCGTGATGTCCAAAAACACATACTACATATAATGATTGTTAATAACAAATTTACCGAATTATCGTCATAGATCCAAGGTACTGTATAATTTCGATCACATCGAATGTCACATGTCCTGAGCCCGCATTCGTATTCGTAAAGGAAGGGCATGTCACAGGTCACAGGAGCCTCATTCGGATAGGTTCCGGGGCTCCAGACGGCCAAAAAATCCTAAATTGGGCCATAAATCATGCTAAATAGCGTAGAATTCTCCGGAAGCGCTTTTTGCGCTGTTTTCAAAGGATCCTGATCCCTTTACGGTCGAAGATCTACCCATAAAATCAACCTTCGTTCGGGTTCGTATTCGTACTTTTTGCGAATGTCACAGTCCCAAATTCCGTATTCGTTCATTCGGCAAGGTCCAGGACCGTCACAGGTCACAAGCCATTCGCTCTGATCAAAATTATACAGTAATCCACAGGACCGGTCAGTGCTTGCCACTGCCGGCCAATAATTTCATGTTTTTGTTTTTAAAAAAGAGATTCTGTATTTGAGTAGTTAATTACTGAATATAATGCACAAAAACGAAATGTGTTCTAATCAAGACTGAATTGAAGGCTTAGCGCGTCAGCATCGATCTTAAACGTGACCGCGCAATGACCGCATCGAGGCACGATCGTAGTTGCCGACGGCCGGCACCGGCACATGTAGTATGCTAATGAGGCTCGGACGAAAAGATTTTTCAATGGCTTCAACCACGAAGTACATAGAAACCCCCGACGTCTACTCTGCACGATTAACGGTCTGGTAGGAAGGAAAACCATAAGCCCCCTCTCTGGTAAAAAAAAAATTCCGACTCGGATGAATTGAAAATCATTGGAAAATCATAGTTGTACTAGTCTAAGAAAGGCAAGAACCACCGGGTACTGAAACAGTACTGTTGGCCAGAAAAAATCTAGACAATGCATGACAAGCCTTCCTATGGATTTTACCATTGAGTAGTGAGTACCATCCGACTTGATTTCACCTGTCTTTGTTCAATCAGTGACAACCATCACTAGCTTCGATCACATCGCAAATCAGGGTTGAAATTTACGTTAATGGTAAAGTCAATGTTTAAGCTTCAGTCAAGACAAAGAATGCACTGAGGAGATATTTAACCCTGCGGCTGAATGCCTCAGTCCAAGACATCTCTCCCCCCCCCGTTTGATTGCCACCCTCGTTTGATACGACTTCCGATGGCTCTCTTCGGCGCACTAGAACCTCAGTATCTCCCACCAACGGAGGACTATAACTCGTTTTACGAGCTCGCTCCCTTTCCGTTTAGTGGCACCTACTCTGTCGAGTTCTTCCCAGAGCCGATACTTGGCTTGGACCAGAATGGCTTCTTGTCAATGGATAGTTTCCAAACCGACTTCTACCGTGACGTGCTTGACCCGACACCGGCCTACGACGCATTTACATCCCTCTTCCTCCCGACACAGCCCGCTGCGACTCCGACAGACGTCGCGCCTATCATAACCGCTCCGTCTGTGCTATCTGACATTCAGCCGACCGATCTCAACGAGGAAGATGCTGATTACGACCTTGATCCCGATTTCGCGGACGACTTCGCGACGGACCCTCTGCCCTTCACCCAATGCAGGAGCTTTACCTCAGCACCATCTTCTCCGCTGTCATCCCTTTCAAGTCTGGCCGACACGGACGACGCAGAGCTCGTCTACGATGAACCAGCGTGCAAGGAGCCTGAGTCTTTATCGGGAAGTCGCAAGCGTGCGCGGGTCTCCGAGTTGCCAGCGACGATTACCATATACCGCCGTACCGGTGCGACTAGACGATCACGCTGCAAAAATGGAGACTTCAAAAACTCTCTCGAACGCTATGCATTCCACGATGACCCACAGCATGTGCGTTGTATGGAGATAGGGTGTACCGCTCAGTTTGAGAGCGTTAACGCTGCTATAGACCATATGCCTGTGGCTCACCCTTGCGAAAGAGAGCCCAAGACTAAGAAGAAGTCCAAGCCTGCCAAGAATCCCAAGCGTTTCCGATGCGTATATTTCGAATGTGACAAGATCAAGAGTAGCGTTGGGGATATGCGGAGGCACTTGATATCGGAGGACCATCAGTGCAAGAGGTTTAAGTGTGGAGACTGTGGAGGGCTGTGCCAGCGGCCGGATCCTGTGAAGAGGCACCAGGACAAATTTCGCGGGAAGTGCAAAGGTCGGTATACCGAAGACCAACCAATCAAGCAAAGAGCTAGAAGGACGTAATTGACATGTCTTTGAGGTTTGCTGCCAGTCCTAAGGACTTGAATTCCCATTCCTTATGCTACCGTTCTTTAGGGTATACCGCGCTGTTTTATCAGTTATGGACTAAATATTTGAGTATTTACTACTTACCATGTATCTACCTGTAGACTGTAATCGCATCTGGCGCAAAAGTACTGGGTACCGGGCGTCGTACATGTTATCCACTGGCATATGTAAGCAATACCCGATGGTATCATGGATTTGAAGAATACGCGAAATGCTTCGACCAAAAGAGCGAATTGTTACTGAGTCCTAGTTGCCGGTGATTAGTCCGTCAGGATTTTTCCAGTGACATAGTACAATCAACGCAGCGGTCACCAAAAGTACGTACTGTCAATTTATTCGTTGAAGCTATCTTGTTTTTGCCACAAAACCCACTTTTATTCGATTAGGTTTTGACGAATGAAGGTATGATCCAATTTCATACTAGGCAAGTGCTAAACGAAAGCCAGAATGAGAGCTCAACGAGACTTGAGTCGGTCTGTAAGTACGAATCTTTAATTGTCGGCGTAATTGTCGGAATTCAAGTTGAAAAGACCACGTGGATATTGTCACCCGAAATGGTTATGAACTCCAAGGTTACACCTGCTTAAAGCTTTCCACCCGGATATACGCAGCCGAAACCACACCTAATCAGATGCTACACATCGCGCATACAGACACCTATTCATATACATTACACAGACCATTACATAGATAAATCACTGCGTAAGGTCTGTTTTCAATTGTCTAATCAGAAAAGAAAAAGACCAGACTTACAGCGACGTATCGGAAGGCAGGATTCTTCCAATCAGTGATATCTTCCAAACCTGTGAGATTGGGATCATATTCGACAGAACCTTCTGCAGCAGCACGGTCCCGTCGTTTGTTAGAAATGACAAATATCGCACGGAGAATAAGGATAATGATAATCTGCACGATAAGTATGTGTAAAATAGAACAAGAAGATCGGTCAACGCTGACTCACCTCAAGTGCCCGAGAAACCATACACCCAACAACACCGGTCAGATATCCGGGTGCTTCTGAGTCTTTAAATAGGAACGGACCGACAATGTTCCTAAAAAAATCATTTCGTTATTTCTAGAAGCTCAGTGGGTATGACTTTGACGTACCCAGCGGCGACGCCTAAAAATACAGCAGCGCTGGCAATTGAACGCTTAGTTTGACCGCCAACATTACCAGAGACTAGGGATAGACCAAGAACGAAGGTAGCGTTGGAGGCACCAGTCATCCCTATTAATGCATGTCAACAAGGATGTATACACGTTCACAATGAAAAGGGCATACAATATCCGATAAGTCGTGGGGCCTTGCCTTTGCACCAGGCAATCATCGCGAATCCAACAACTGTAGGAACATTAGTGACGGCCATGAGCCATGTTCTATTTCCTTTGGGCAGCTTGGAGTTAATAAATATCGCGATAAGTATGCTAAAAACCCCAGTGTAAACCGGTGTAAATGATAAGGGTGGGAGAAAGAAGGAGGGACATACATCGAGGATATGATAATCCCGTAAGGAATCTGCATAAGCGTTGTTTGGAGTGTGTTGAATCCAAATCTAGGTCAGAAATCCTCGTCAGAAATGTGAAAGCCAGTTGAAAAAAGACTACCCTTGGACAATTAGAGTGCCAAAATTAGATGTACCTCCCTAGAACTGTACGTCAGGACGGAGAAATAGCTTCGTTACCATTTACACACGTTGGGAACATTCGCCGTGAATCCAAACAAGAAGAAGAGGTAAATTTTGGGGTCGATGATCGCTTCCAACACTTGACCAGGCTTCCATCTGACGTGTAGTCACGGTGAACATCTTCGGCTGGAAGAGTAAACAATTAGAGACTTACTCCCGATTATCAGTCAAATTCTGGTCATCACGTTTCCGACTGACTATCATTAGACGCTCCGAGCGGGTAAACCAATGCGTGTGGTATGGCGAGTCGGGAACGAATATCCACAAAACTATGGCCCACAAAGAACAAATAGCGCCGATAATAATGAATTCGAATTTCCACGAAGGCAGAGACCCTAAATCAGGTGGTTGGCGAATGTATGCAGAAGTCAGGTGGTTTCCCACCTTTGATCTAGGAGTAATCCAACGTTACGGTCAGTCCTCGTGAAAAGCCATAATTCACATACCTGGCCGATGCCATACCCAAACAGACCGCCTAAAGCGATACCAAGACCGTTGGCCCTAGTGAAGAATTATACACTAATAAAAGTGCCAGACAAACAGACGGCTGCGTACAGATACCAGTAACCAATGCGAGTGGGTTGCTGCTTCCGTGTGTACCAAGTCGCAGTGATGAGGACAAATGAAGGGTCGGCAGTGGCTTCGAATGCACCGGACAATATCCGTAACACCGCAAGATCCGTGAAGTTCCGACTAGCCGCTTGGGCCATAAGAAGAACGCCCCACAGGAGTATCTGCGGGACAGATTCCCAAGGTAAACGGAACTGACATCGATTAGAAAAATACCCTTACGTTGGCTGCGAGGTACTTGTTGAGGGGAAATTTCTGCATCAGTAGATTAGTGGGTAGGGCCCAGGCGAGCCATCCAACTGCGCAGTGTGAAGAATAGAAAAGATGTATAAAAATAACTACGCACAATAGAAGATGCTGGAGAGCCAGCTCTGCGGAGTCAGTTAGAAGACCATCTAGCGGCATCAAGCGAAACGGATTCACGTATTCTGATTTCGCCAAATCTAGGTCGGAACGGACTGTTGGATATAGAAATCAGCAGCTTTCATAGGAAACTATCGGACGCTTACTGCCGAAGATAGCTGCGTACGAAAGCGTCGTCTTGTCGCTAAAGCAGTAGAGGTGAGGACATGCGAAGAGTGAGATGTTTGCTTTCCCACATGTAATAGAACTAGAAAGGGCTGATAAGCAAACCAGGGATGATAGGTAGCCAGAAAGTCACCATATAGCACGTAGCCAGAGCAGGAATAATAAGCAGGTCAATTTTGCGTTCCAAGCGTCTGATGACCTTGGGATCGAGCTCCATGGTGTTCATCTTTGCAACGTCAGCTATAAATGCTGCCGAAGGATTTTTCTTGAGGAAACAACCAAAAAATCCGGGCGACACATCTTCGTCGACCTGGACCTCTTCTACCCAGGAGAAATCGTACTTTGCCCCTTCGATCTCCTGGATATGTGCTTTGTCATCGTCGGGTGCAGCGCTATGAGCTGCTGTGATGGTCATGGTGTTAAAAATATGGCAGCCGTGAGACGTCAGAGAACCTAGAAAGAGACTATTTATATGCCGTTTCCTGGATTTTGTTTGCCCTTTTTGCATCCGAACTATGCTCAGGCGGCCCGGTTAGAAATGTGGGGCATGGATGGCCGGCTGACCAAAAAAATGTGGGGTAGGGGCCCGGGGATGCGTGATCGCTTGAATGTGGCTGTACTTGTTTGAATGCGATCACCTCCTGGCATATATTTGGATTTGACAACCGCTCCGTATCAGAGGACATTTCAGACGGTAATACGATCCGGATACGGACCGCTACTGTCCGTATCTCCTTGCGCAGAACCTTCGTCAGTATTTGAAGCAGCAGCCTTCCTTATCTGCCGTTTCCCTAGTCGCCATGCCCGCAGTAACCTTCAAAGTGAAGTCCATCACAGAACTTCTTGCAATTCGTGCACGAGACCAACCGGATGATCCTGCTATCTATACGGGGTCGCCTGAGGATGGTTCTGCAATAGTATTGCGCTCGCTCACGTACCTTTGGTTTCTTTCTCTTGTAAACTCGCGCTAACGCTCCTGTAGTTTTTCTCAAATCCAGTCTGCCGTTGACCGGCTTGCATGGCACTACTCCTCCCTTGGCCTCGCTCCAAAAACGGCCCTAGGCGAGGTACCACCTGTGCAGACCATTGCTGTCTTGACAAGCACAGCAATCGACGAATCACTTCTCGAGATCGCCCTTGCAAAGCTTGGCCTCACCGCCCTCCTTCTCTCGGTGAACAACTCCGTTCCAGCAGTGGCACATCTCACCAAGCTCACTGATGCTACCCACCTTATTTACGGCACGAAATTCGTCCAAGAAGCACATGACGCGCAGAAGGTCCTTCACAACCAAGGGTACACAGTGGAGCTCGTCGAAGACAAACGTTTTCCTTTGTGGGGATCCGAGGGTGTTGAGAACAACGAGATCAAGCCCTTCCCGGCCGTTCTGACACCAGAACAGGAGAGCAAACGACCTGCCGTCATTCTGCACTCTTCTGGCTCGGTAAGTCCTTTCCTGATGTTTTCCGGCACGCCTTGACCTTTTCTACATAGACTGGATTCCCTAAACCAGTCCGCATTACCCACTACGGTCTCATTGCAAACATCGCGTTGAACCAAAACATGCCGGGATTCAGTACTCTGCCTGTGTTCCATGGATACGGTCACTTTGCCGTGTCAGTTTCTTTGCTTTATGGTCCATTGACGAAACTGACTTACTCGATCCTTAGATTCCGATGCATCTATCCTGGCCAACCACTGACGCTCTTCCCGCCTCATCTGCCTCTAACATCCAGTAACATCTGTGCCGTACTCGCTGCGTCTCCTCCAGTCCGACAATGTCATGCCGTACCATATGTTATTAAGGTCTTATTTTCCTTCGCATTTACAATAAAGCTTGAGCTCATGACGATCATTGTAGCTACTTGCGGAAACACCTGAAGGTGTCAACGCTCTAGCCAGTTTTGATGTCGTCGGATATGCAGGTGCTCCTCTCCCCGTGAGCTCCTCACTTGCGACTCCCATTTCCTTGTTTAATCCCTTTTGCAATCAGGATGACCTCGGTGACAGACTCATACAAGCAGGAGTGAACTTGCTTAGCATCTACGGAACCACAGAGGTAAGAATCGTTCCACTCATCGATAAACCCAAATCACCTATTGCAGACCGGAGCTCTGATGAATTCCAACCGCGACTTCGCGACAGACAAACTCTGGAACTGGACCCGCCCTCTCACCGGTTCAGCCAACTACCTCGTTTGGGAACCACAAGGTGGCGACACCTTTGAAGTTGTCGTCAAGGACGGGTATCCTTCCAAGGTTTGCTGATTCCTTCCCCGACTTCGGGATCTGCTATCTCAGCCAATCTTAGATCGAGACCAACCGCCCCGACGGATCCTACGCGACCAAGGACCTCTTTCTCCGACATCCCGAGCGCAAGGACTTGTACAAATACATCGGACGGCTTGATGACACGCTCGTCCATATCCTCGGGGAGAAGACTAACCCCGGTAAGGATCTATCTAGTCAATCTATCATTGCTGACGAGCGACACAGTTCCCATGGAACTCTGTATCCGTGGAAACAGCCCATATGTTGCAGAAGGTAGAGCCAGGGTCCTTCACAGAGTTTCGTCTACTGACGTCTTCCCAGCCATTATCTTCGGAGCCGGAAAACCTCAAACAGGATGCCTTATCCTCCCCTCTGACCTTGCACATGAAGAAGGCCTCTCCCGAGAAGAGCTCATGTCCAAAGTCTGGCCCGTCATCGAGCAAGCCAACGCAGAAGCACCGACACATTCACGGTTGCTACCCGAGATGGTAGAGTTCTTGCCGTATGTGTCCCTGTGCCGTTTGCGAGACGGAAACTGATAGAAAGAACGAAGTTATGGTACAGGTATCCCAGTAGCCACCAAGATGAGCATACTCCGACCAGCATGTTACGCAAAGTTCAAGGAACTCATTGGTACGCTGCTCCATCCGGCTTTGCTTGAATTACTCCTAAATCGAATTGCAGAGAGCATCTATGCCCGATTCGACCGAACTGATGTCGAGGTAGAGAAGAAGACTCTACCACGGGAAGAGTTGGAGGCGTACATCTTTGACACGATTGCTAAAGCTCTTGGTCCTAGTCGCTCGGCAAAGCTCGATAGGAAAATAGATCTCTTCGCGTTCGGTGTCGACTCGTTACAGGCGACAAGGATACGGAATAGTTTGCAGAAGGAGCTTGAGTTGGGGACTCATAACCTTGGTCAGACGGGTAAGATAGAACATTCTACTTTCAGAAGGATGAAAAACTCACGGTTGCCTCGATAGTGGTATATGAGCATCCTTCAGTGGAAAAGTGCGTCTATTCTCCATCCTTGATTACGGTCTTAACACTGATGCTTCGCCAGACTTGCAGACTATATCCTGCAATTGCAAAGCGGAAGTGGCGTTCAAGTAGACAATGGACACGAAGCCACGATGCTGGCAATGCTCGATAAATGGAGCGCCAAGATCGGAAAACACGCAGTCAGAGCTACTGCGCTATCGAAACCTACCGACGCACGCGTAATCGTAAGCCCGGATTCCTGACATCTCAAAACAAAAGAGACTTACTCTGCTCGTGCATAGCTCCTTACCGGCGCAACGGGGTCCCTCGGTGCTCATATCCTTTCTCAGTTAACAGCATCCCCCTTAGTTCGAAAGGTCATCTGCTTGTCCCGTGCCAAGTCTCATGCAGAATCTATGGAACGTATCAGGGAGTCCATTACTGCCCGAAAGGTCTCCATCGACGAAAGCAAGGTTACGTCGTATGCAGCAAACGCTAACGAGCCTCTCCTCGGGTTGACGGAAGAAGAGTACGGCGCCGTGAGAGATGAGGTGACGGATGTTATCCATGTATGTCACAACCTCACCTCCCTTCCGTGTCGTTGTATTCACTGTGACAAAAATAGAACGCTTGGCCAGTCAACTTTGTGCTCAACATCGAGTCTTTTGACTCTCACATCGGCGGGGCGGTGAACCTGATCAATCTGTGTCTTGAATCACCCTTCTCGGAGCCTGCGTCGTTCGCATTCAGCTCGTCCATCAGCTGTAGGCAGGGATCAAGAGACGAGATATGTCCAGAAGACTTTCCCCCCGCCCCATCGACGGCTGCGGAAACAGGTTACGCGCAGAGCAAATGGGTCGTGGAGAAACTGTGTGAGCACGCAGCGGAGAAGAGTGGGGTGCCGGTGTCCGTTCTGCGGATAGGCCAGATGGTCGGGGATTCTGTGCAGTGGGTGGTCCTGCCCTTGAGAAACGAGTGTATGCTGACTTTTCTTTGAAGCGGTGTTTGGAACGAGACGGAGGCGTGGCCGTTGATGTTCAGAAGTGCGAACACTGTGGGCGCAATTCCCGAGGTTGACGAGAATCCTTCGTGGCTTCCTGTAGATTTCGCAGGGAAGAGTATAACGGAAGTCGTATTGAATGCGACGAAGCCCGCTATGGCTGTGTATCATATTGTGAATCCCAACATGTCGGCACATTGGAAGGATATTCTTGATGGATTGGAAGCTTCTGGTGTGAACTTCGAGCGAGTAGATAAGAACGAGTGGGTGGAGAGGTTGGCCAAATCGGATGAAGATGGAAAGAAAAATCCGACTATCAAGTTGCTGGTAAGTACCTTTCTTCGTAGGTGGTTATAGGTCACTCACCCGACGTTCGACAGCCATTCTTCCGTATGAGATATGGACCGTCCCATAGAAAGCCGATGGTATTCTTGACAGAAGAAACGACCAAGATCGCACCGAGTTTGAAGCAGGCGCCGACCGTAGATGGGGAGCTTGTGGCAAAATGGGTGGCACATTGGCGAACGACTGGATTTATTCACTGATTCTAGTGAAAAGAGAAGTAGGTTTTGTAAGAATAGAGAAGAGTTCGGTAGAAAAAATATGTACCTCGTTTCTTTTGCCTTTTGCCAGTCCTGCCGTAGTAAGTTTCGAAGAGAACATTAACCATCAGCTATACCTACATAATCCTCAAAATACGGAATCAGCGGGGCTAAGTCCTCCAAAGGTATAGAGTCTATCAAACGGCGAGTGAGATCAAAGAAATGAGCGAGGAACTCTGCACATACCCTAAGAGCACTGGATTTATCACACCGTTATGCTATCAATGCTTAGGTGTAGCTACTATTTCCCGTTTCTCCAACGACCCGTTTGGACTGAGACGATTTTGATCGTAACAAAAGGTTGATTTCGTAGAGGAATAGAAGTAAGAGATAATGAGGAACAGGTCAACTTCGACGACGTCAAATGTTACTATTGGCGTAAATTCTGTACGAAGAGGTCCAGCCTATCCAGAAGGTGAGTATGACCAAAAGATATTAGAAGCACCACATGCCTTTCTGTTTCTGTTTCTTGAAACGTGAAAGAGCTTGAAGCTTGAACCGTACGAGGGCCTTGCCCTTGGGCAGCTACTTGCATCGTTATCATATTGCCATAGACAATACTGGTCTTCTTCAAGCTTCGTCACATTAGATGACGATAAAAGAGTATAAGAACATATGTGTCGTCTGTAGGAGCCCGCATCGGAGAAATTAACAATTTTAGACTAGTTAGTCATAAAATCCGCTTCACGTCTGGTGCATAGAGCTGGCGGGTACGAAACAGTGCCGCAACGGTTCATACCAGTGGCACGCCAGTCATCGATGAGTATGAGCCGCTGTGAGTGGGAATGCAAAGACAGTAGAGTGAACTGAGTTCGATGTACATGCATAGCAGTGGATTCTGGATTTCCTAAGCCTAACCGGGAATGTGTTATATGCACCTGACAGACACCAATGAGAATTGTTTCTCGGAACGACGGAGATACCCTTACCAGAGATCACTAAGCCGTTCTCGTGCGAGAGAAGTGTCGAAGATGCCAGGCGATGTTGATCAAGGAGTGCACGACGAGGTTCGCTAGAACATCCTCGGGGTCGTAGCTCTTGGACTCTTCTATAAGTTGATGGTGGTGCTCGCAGTTGATGAGCCATTGGTACTTAGGTGACGCCAAATCCATGCTGGTATGGACACGGAGGATAATCGGAACCAGTGTCCTTGTTTTCGTTGGGGAGGTTTCAGTCATGACGTGTCTCTCTGTACAACAAAGAACAGGGAGGTCAGTTTTCCGGCATCCAAATACTCAAGGACAGTCTTTGTTTACCATCATGAGGGGAGAGGTTGGTGCCTTACGTCCTTGAAACAAGGAGGCCATGCCGAGAAATGACGCGTCCGCAGGCAGTTCTTTGGGAGAAATATTATTGCACCCATTGCGCGATCTAACCGGTGGTACACTCTTTCATTGGCGACGTATCCTTCGTCTGTGACTCCTCGATGAACTTGAGTGTTATGCTGACAGGAGTAAGCTCGGGCTTAATGCAATAACGAAAGATGAGGTATGTACATGATGCAAGATGAACGAGAACTGGGGAGCATAGAGACAGTGATATTTATCTTATATGCACCTGACAGACGCCAATGAGAAGTATTTCTCAGGACAACAGAGATACGCTCACTAGTGATCACTAAGCCGCGTCCTCAAACCACATAGAACCCTCAGGACATTCAAGCTCTTTTCTGAGTACCTTCACGACCTCAGCATGATCTTTATCCTCAAACTTCTCGACCTCTTGGGTGTGATCCGAGTAGAGCGCCAGGACCACGTCGTATCCGAGGGAGATGGAACGCGCGAACTTGATTTTCGTGTGACAGGTGTCGAAGATGCCGGGTTGTGTTGATCAAGGAATACACGATGAGGCTCGCTCGAACATCTTCCGGGTCGTCGCTCTTGGGTTCCGGTATGAGTTGATGTTAGCGCACATAGTTAATGGTTGGTAACGCCGAATCCATACTGGTATCGATACGGAGAGTATTCGGGATCTGTGACTCTGTATTCGCTGGGGAAGTTTCTCATGGGCTGCGTCCCAGTTCCAAGACCAGTCCATCTCTACATTCTAGTCAGTAGAAGAATAAAAGAGTGGAATGATTTCATACAAATTATCGCCGAAAAATTTCTTCAGCTTCAAAGTACGCGTCATCTTGGACGAACATAATGGCTTGTAGTCTCGTAAACCAAAATCAACGATCCGTAAGCTATTCAATGGATATAGAGTCTGGAATTTGATCAGGGCGGAGGTGGTTGGAGAGGAAAATATGTGATTGTCGCACTGGGCATCCGCCGCCAAGCAGCGCCAAGCGTGGGGCTATGACGGTCCGTTGATTGTCCGTGGCTGTGCGGTACATCTCTTTCTTATTTACTACCACCAGGTACTTACGCACTATGATCTTTTCCTGTCGTCGCCATATGACCTTCCATGATCTGTGCGAATCGTTTCATCATCCCTTATCCCCTTCTTTATATGGAAGACGAGCTCGAGGAAGGAGTTTGATCTGAAGCGAAGGATTCAAGCGTTCGGTACTCCGGTTACCAGTGCACTGGCGACATCAATGATATTCATCTCATTGAACTACTCGGAGGAAAGGGCCTCGCACATTTCAGTGTCACCGACCGATGTCTTTCTTACCAATCTCACGTCTATCCCTCCTTTCATTCAGGAGGGAAAGATACCAGCTCCTTCTCCCCGTCGCTTCTATGCACCAATGGGAGCGCGACTTCGATACGCTCGATTCGTGCAGTGGCGTAGGTTCGTTTTGTCTCGCTGGGTCAATGAATGCTCTCAAGATGGACTCCGCCGTCGATGAATCTCGCCAAGCCAGGAACGATTGGGACACACAAGAAATTTATCTATCGGCTCGTCTCACCGTCCGTCACTCAGTGGGATATACGTCAGTAAGAATGACACGCTTGATGTTTGGACTTGGCAACGGGCGGTTGCATGTAGCCTAGCAAGATTGTAATGCACTAGGTTCGACTCCTGGAGGTGAAATATTAATGCTTCTTCCACTATTTTGGTTGTGCTCGAGTGGACCTGCGAAGCTTGGTAACTTGAACTCTCAAACGGGTTCTTGACTTCCAACTTCCGGGTTTAACACTACTCCATCGACCTACCTTTACTGATGCTGTAATTGTTGGAGTTTCAAGTGTCGCGCATCACAGTGCAGTTGACGTCGGGATCATCGGTTGTCAGGGTCAGTCAGGCAAGAACTCGTTTATTACATCCTGTTGCTTCTATTAGTGTACACGGTGAGTAGATAAATAGGTAGTCGAATGAAGACAACCCTCGCCTGTTTGCGAGGGTTCCCTGCTATATCCGGGTGAGCGGCTGGAGAATTACCGCTTATCTCAACAGTAATAAATATCGCGATAAGTATGCTAAAAGCCCCAGTGTAAATGATAAGGGTGGGAGAAAGAAGGAGGGTCATACATCGAAGATATGATAATGCCGTAATGAATCTGCATAAATGTTGTTTGGAGTGTGTTGAATCAGGTTGAATCCAAATCTAGGTGAGAAATCCTCGTGAAAGCCAATTGAAAAAAAGACTACCCTTGGACAATCAGAGTGCCAAAATTAGATGTACCTCTCTAGAACTGTACGTCAGGACGGAGAAGTAGCTTCGTTACCATGTACACATGTCGGGAACATTCGCCGTGAATCCACACAAAAAGAAGAGGTAAATTGTGGGGTCGATGATCGCCTCCAACACTTGACCAGGCTTCCATCTAAAGTGTAATCACGGTGAACGATCTGGGAGTAATCCAACGTTACGGTCAGTCCTCGTGAAAAGCCATAATTCACATACCTGGCCGATGCCATACCCAAACAGACCGCCCGAAGCGATACCAAGACCGTTGGTCCTAGTGAAGAATCAGACACTAAGAAAAGTGTTAGACAAACAAACGGCCGCGTACAGATACCAGTAACCGATGCGAGTGGGCTGCTGCTTCCGTGTGTACCAAGTCGCAGTGATGAGGACAAATGAAGGGTCTGCAGTTGCTTCGAATGCACCGGACAATATCCGTAGCACCGCAAGATCCGGCGTGAAAATCTGACTAGTTGCTTGGGTCATAAGAAGAACGCCCCACAGGAATACCTGCGGGCCAGATTCCCAAGGTAAACGGAATTGACATCGATTAGAAAAGTACGCTTACGTTGGCCGCAAGGTACTTGTTGAGGGGAAATTTCTGCATCAGTAGATTAGTGGGTAGGGCCCAGGCGAGCCGTCCAACTACACAGAGTGTGAAGAATAAAAAAGACGTATAAAAATAACTACGCACAGTAGAAGATGCTGGAGAGCCAGCTCTGCGGAGTCAGTTAAAAGATCATCTGGCGGCATCAAGCGAAACGAATTCACGTATTCGATATACAAATCAGAAGCTTTCATAGGAAATGTCGGATGTTTACTGCCGAAGATAGCTGGCCCACAGATTGCTTTTTCACGCCAAACGGAAGCACAATAGGGACATACCCATAACCTCCTGCCAAGGTAGCGGGAATAAATTCTGCGCGTATGAGAGCGATGACGGACTGGCTGTTATCGAAATAGTCAGTCTGATAATATTTCACGCTATTCAGTGATTTATATAAACTGTACTGGTACAGGATTCCTGTAGGTCGACGTTTCGACCTCCGAGTTGGGTTTTGCGTAGCTAAGATCCGAGCAATGAGGGCGAAAAGGTGTAGAGTTGAGTAAGGAGCGATCGAGCGATAAGAGAGCTGGATGATAAGCCGCTATGAGAGCTCAGAGCTAAGTACCCGGTTCACTCCTGTACTTGCTGAAGTCTTTCGACTTCGGCCAGAGATGAGAGTAAGAAGGTAAGATTCTCTTAGCTAATAACATGCATGTAACTACTGTCCACTACGTAATATATCTTACACTATGGCCCGAACAGCTACCCCGTTGAAGGAGACATAGGGGCGGTTGGCGACCCGCGTTGAGGGGTCGAGGGAAAGTAAGCTCCCGCGCGTGCTTCAAGAAAATATAGAAAGAAGAAAAGAAATTATACTGATTTCACTCGACAACTCCTTACATAGAGTGGAAGCGAAGATGGATGATAGGGCACATTGAACATCATCCGAACGATTATTCATCCCTCGCTGCCAATTTAACCTTCAAACGTAGCTGAGAGCCTTTCTCAATCTGTCCTTCAACCGTCGGAGTCATAACAAATGACGACTCCCTCCTAACCTCTTCATTGTCGTCCAGCGAGAACTCAAAGGTTCCTAAAAGCTCAATCATGAATGCGTGTAATTCCATAACGCTGGAGGGGTATGAGCACGCTTCCGTCAATGTTATAAAATGCCAACGTACGCGAATCTCCACCCAATGCATGATCGCGAACCACCGGAAAATGTAAACCTTCGTCGAGCTGAATTTAGAAATGCGTTGACAGTCAAATAATACACTTACAGGCTCGCATAAACACCCAAAGCTGACTTCGTGTTCGGAACCGTATCACGCAACCATCGATCCGGATTGAAGATATCCGCGTCGTCACCGAAAATTTCCTTGTTTCTATTCAAATGTTTCGTCAATACATGGGTTTGAAGAAAGATGAAATAAGGTGAGCTCGACCTGTTGTACGCCGCAATAGAAGCAATGATCTGGGTCCCTTTCGGGATCGGTAGCTCCTGCAAGACTTTCCCCGAAGTAGTGGTGACAGGTGTGCTCAACGGAAGCAGATCATCCTGGTGGGCATATCTGAAAATATTATACACTACGGGATGGTAGCGGAATGTCTCCTTCAGGCTTCTCGTTAGCAGGGTTTATAAACATCAGAGGCTAAACTCAAAGCTAACCTTTACCATCGCCGAAAGGTAAGGCATCGACTCGAAATCAGATGGCAAGAAGCTGCTACCACCACGTTCGCGGACAACCCGCTCCGTGGCGCGTATTTCTTTACGGAGTCTCTCTTGCATTTCCGGTTTTCTGCACATCTCCAGAAGCGCGAAGGATATGGAGTTGGCTGTCGTTTCGTGACCCGCAAGGATGATTGTACTGGTGCAGCGAACATAATGAGCAAATGCTCCCCAGTATAATCAAGAAAACCTACTTCATCTGAGCTAGTAACTCCTTTTGGTCTAATCGTTTTTTGGGATTCTCAGAAGCATTGGCTTTGACCAGCATGCTCATGATATCCCTGCGACCGTCCCCCTCGAGTAGAGCTTTAGACTTCTCCGTGACAAGGTCTTTCGCAACTACGGTGGACCATTTATTCGTCTTCTGTGCGTGAGCGAGACGTGCTGATCTGGAATTGTCCATGATAAATCCTGCGAGGTCGTATGGGAGGTTATCCATGATAGAGAGGGACAGGATAGCGGGTTTCGTTGGCAGACCGAAAGTGTCGAACCTGGAGCGGTGGCAGTCCCGTCAATTGGGAGACGTAATAGAAGAAGAGAGGATTGGAATTACATCAAATTGGTGTAGGCCTTCGTGAGGGGGTTATCCAGACTATCCAGGGCTCCAAATTGGTAATCAAATGCGGCTGGTAAATGAGATAAGTAAAAACAATACAATGATAGATCACGTCCCGTTCATTCACCTTCACCGATAGCATCTAAAGCCGCACGAGAAATCCAAGGTGTTACATTGACAACGATTGACTGGTCACTGCTCAGTTCCATGAGTTCTGTCCACTTTTGGGCCATCTGGAAGAAAAGGATGAATATATATTATGAAAGAGTCATGCAAGAATGGGTTAACCTTCTCAGCGCATGCGAAGAATATTGGGAAGAATGATTTAGATTCTGGGCCACCGAATCCAGGGAGCATGACTTTTCGTTGACGTTTATGGTCATCGCCTAAATATCCAAGGACAAGGTTGAGTGATACATAGACATATATATTCACGAAAAGAACTTGCCATCCACAGCCGTGAGTCCTGGACCAACCAATAATTGTGATAGATGACGCCGGCCGGTTACTTTAGGGAACCTATAACTCGCCGTGTGATAGATATATTGAAGCGCTTTAGGATCTGAGATGAAGAGACGGTCTTCCTGGGAGGATATTAATTTAGGCGATGGTGTTGCACAGTAAAAGCTAGTTCTTACTCCCAAAGGCGCACGTACGCGGAAGACATCTCCGTACATCGCCTGCCATTTGAAGTCGACCTGCACAAGTTAAGGGAAGGAAGACGGGAAGTACGAACGGCGCATACCTCGCCAGCTTGTGCCTGTAGAAGCTCCGGCAAGTTTCCTGGTAGAGCGCCTGATCAGTTCGCTGGGCATACAAAGGAACAGAATCGAGACTTACCGTATAAGAATGATTCGGATACAGGACCGGGAATGTGAGAAATAGAGATGCGCGACCATCGTTTATATGTAAAATAGATAGTCGCAAAAATGAAGAAGAAGAGGAATTCTGCAAACATGGTTTGAAGGAAACAAGTCGTTCAACACACAGAAGCCTGAAGGCTCCTTTATAAAGGCTTTCAAGCATCCGCTCCATCACGGAGAAGCTTGTACTTGAATAAGGCCGTATACATGATGTAGCTAATAGAGATGATGTCGAGAGGATCCCCGACCCGTGTTGATAGCACAAAGTTCCAGATTTGTCGCGTGTGACAAGGCAGCAGGGGATAGTGGCTGCTTCGACCTATGTGCCAAGCTCACGGGGACAGTAGAATAACGGCAAAGCTTCCGCCTTTAGTAGTACTAAGTCCGTTTGATTAGTGAAGCTTTCAAGAATGCCGTGATACCATGGAGCAAAGATACCGTTTTTCCTAGGTAAAACGGCAGAGCGGTTAATTTAAAGGTATAAGAGATTTGGGTGCCCCGCCTTGCGAATTGGGAAGGCCATGGGAATGCACTCACGATGTAGCTTTCGGTTGCTATTCCATGGCTTCCAGATAACAAGCGTGTGTTCGCACTCAAGAGAAGGTCGCAAGGGAATAAGTTTAAGCAGGAATTGCAGGTCACGGCCCGGACCAGAGGACCCGGAGCTTGTAAAAGCGCAAGGCTGAGTACGGAATAAGTTGGACTTGACAAGAAAAGACGAGTGCAAAATAGCTCCGGCCCGACACCCGAAAAGTTAACCACGAGTCGGCACTTTCCGGCAGCCGTTCTACCGAACCATGTCCAATGTCAACGTCAGGTCATACACGCATTAGGGACTTGACGTCTCCGCAGCCGCTCTCTGCTCTCCGGACACAGCCACTGCAGCCGCTCCGGACACAGCCACTTCCAACTGGTGACTTCGAGGTGGGACGTTTTCCAAGAGGGTTTGGGACATTTTTGGGTTGTGTTCAGGACATTTGAAGAAGGGCTGGGGACGTTTTGAGGTGGGGAGATGGGGGCGTTTTCTGAGACTGTTCGGGACTTTTTTTTTTTTTCATTGGCTTCAGGACATTTTGAGATGGGCGGATGGGGACATTTTCTAGGGTTGTGTTCAGGACATTTGAAGAAGGGCTGGGGACGTTTTGAGATGGGGAGATCGGGACATTTTTTGGTTGGGTTTGGGACATTTTTAGAAGGGGCTTGGGACATTTTGAAATGGGGGGATGGGGACATTTTCTGAGACTGTTCAGGACATTTTTTTTTCATTGGCTTCAGGACATTTTGTGATGACAAGAGACATTTTCATAAAGGATTGGGGAAGTTAAACTTTGAGACCTAAGTAACCATATGCTGAAAGGGTCTTATGAGGGACGTTCATCCATGGGTTTGTCCCCAGTGAGGTCTGTAAAATGGCAGATGAATAAACATTTTACCTCCAGTTCTCACATGGTGTGTTCTCAGATATTGAGCAATGCATGGAACTTGAAGGTCCTGAGCACCAGATTAAAATGTTTTGATCCCTCACCATTGAAAACGTCCGGATTACCCTCTCTCAAATGCCCCAACTCCTTGTAGCAGGCTCATGTGTGGTACTGACTCTGGTTGGTCTCCTTTTTATGGACATAAGAACCAGAATCAATATCCCTCCCTCAAAATGTCCTGATCCCTTGTCTCGAAATGTCCCTACCCCGTCACCTTTGAAAACATCCTGATCCCTTTGTGTCAGCACCTTTTAAAATGTCCCGATCCCTCCTTTGAAATGTCCTGACCCCCGCCTTTGAAAACGTCCCGATCTCTCCTCTCAAATGTCCTGACAGTCAGTGTTGAGAATGTCCTGGTCTCTTTTCCGAAATGTCCCATACTCCCCCTAAAACGTCCCAACCCCTCACCTTTGAAAACATCCCGATCTCTTCCCTCAAATGTCCTGATGTCTTTCCCAAAATGTCCCATAGTCCCCTCTAAAATGTCCCGAACCCTCACCTTTGAAAACGTCCCAATCTCTCCTCTCAAATGTCCTGACCTGAACTGTTGAGAACAGAATCAGGAGCCGCATCCCCGGTGTCGAGCGGCGATCGGTGCTCAAAATGGTTCAGGATCATGTGATAGACCTGCTGTCCACAATTCTCGTATACTCTCGTCAACGTCGAGGAAATTATCGTCCTTTCCGAATTCTTGAAGATAACCGACGGACCCTACAGGTAAAACGCCACGATCTCAAGAAGAGGAGTGTTCTGACCCTTTGAGCTCTTTCTGGTTCCGTTGTTATCACTTTTGAACGTCTTTGATCTCTTTTGGGCCCGAGAGGTGAGCTTTCTGAGGCGTAGGCTTTCCTCGCGTATTCTCATCGGCCTGTAATTTTGTTATAGTACTTACACCTCCCAATAAAGTTGTATCGACAGATTCCCCGACCGCCAATGTCACTGCAACATGTGTTTAATATCATATAATATCTACCAGGAACCTCTCACTTTCGCAAGTTTACTACTCGGCGCCAAAGAGAAAAGAAAAAGGCATGGTGTTATCATGGTGTCTTAGCGCTTTAGCCCGTCTCAGCTCATGGCCAGCGACTCGGACTTCCATCTCAGTACACATAGGTCCTATCAGTGGCATTGACAAAGCCTTCAAACTTTGTTCTGCCTTATGTGCCACCTCAACTTCTTTGGTTTACCTTTGTCTCTATATAAACCGGCGGTATTGTCCTGCACTGCTGTTCTACACCCCCGCCTGGTACATGCCTTCCCACCGAGCCTCCTCGTCCAACCTAAAGGTACGTTGCATCGTTAAGCCATCCGTACTCAAGATCTCACTCCTCAATAGGATGCCGTCAGGCTTGGATCGACCACAGCAATCCAGTCTATCCCAGCTGCACTTGTCTACCCTACATATGCACCAGTACTTGCCACCCACCTCTCAAGTGATAAAATACCCGGACAACTACCAGACCACACCTCTGATTCACTATCTTGGCGATCTATAAACATTGCTTTGGAGTGCATTCATTCTCTGGATCGAGGTCTTCAAGTGATTGCTACCACAGGCCAAGAGAGACTCATATCTTCTATCATATTACCACTCTGGCTGGACATTCACGCATGGTCGCTTTATCTCTTACGATGCATCCAATCCTTGGACAAGGAGGAGCGCCAAAAATTCCTTCAATGCGGATGCTGCTGCCACCAAATCAATATCCTCACCCGCGTCCTCTCTCTCCTTATTGACCTGACCGAGCCTGCTGAATCCCGCCCTTTCGTCACGTCCTCTCGCGCGCTTTTCCTCGTGGCTCTAGAGCTGTGGCCCTCTACAGCTGACAGATCGCCTGGTTGGGTGGACTTCTCCTGCATATGCGCCTTTCTCTGCGTGTGTTTGCATGGACAAAACGACATCAACGCGCCCAGCGTATTTCCACACGCCGCTATCATTCAGGAGCTCGAAAGTCAAGCTATGGACACTGCACGAATGCATCTGACGTGTCTTCTCCTCGAAGCACATCGACCCGAGCTGAACGTTGTCAACCTCGAAGCGCAATATACATTGATGACTTGCCTTGCTGCCGCTTCACCGACCTTACGTGAGGCGTATCTAGACCACAGCGCTGTTCGCTGGACGGGAATTGTTCTATCTCGCCTCACATCTCAACAGTCTGCCTATGCTCCTCGCGCGCAGATCCATGTCGAGAGATGCTTGATGGCCGGCGCTCTGTTCCTCATCGAGCATGTCGGGGACGACTTACGCCGCATGTCGTCCACCGTGATACGATCTGTTCTCAGAGGCGAGAAACTCCTTTCCGGGATGCAGGATATCCAAGAAGACGCCAGCCATGCAAGGAAGTACTTTTCCCAACTCCTGGATGAGATAGCCAAGTATACTGTCTTTCGATCGGCACTGCAACGTATCGGAAAAGGGATCAGATCCGCGGAACAAACGCAGCTCGATGTCGGGCTCTCTCAAGGCGACGTGTTGAAAGCGTGGAATCGCCTGAAGGATATCGTGGAAGAGAGGACTGCGCTGGAGCGGGAGCATCTTTGGGAAGGAATACGTTGCTCTGATATTTCGGTCTGTCCAACTCTCTTGCTTCAGTAAACTACCATTTTCTAACTTTAGCCCCTCTGTCAGTGCGCTACTACTATCCAAGGGACCCAGTACCAGGTCTGCTCAAGATGTCGACACTCGGTGTACTGCTCTGTGGACTGCCAGAGAGAAGACTGGTCGGAACACAAGCTTGGATGCCGTTTGCCGGCTCCTTCTCCGATCGACGAGCAGTTCATCTCCTTCCTTGCAAGGCGGGCCGCCAGGAACCTCCCGGGCAATATAAGCGCCAAGATTGACTTCCGGACTGTGCCGCCAACTTGTACCGTCCTTGGAACTGACGCATTTCGAGCATGGGATGGCATGGAGGACATTTGTAGCAGATTCCCCGACGATTTGATAAACCTCCTTCATGTTTTGACCCCCGGACAGGATGACGCTGGTGTTGGACGGCTTCTGGTTAATATTCCTTCTTTGGGAGTGGGGGTAATGTTACACTAGTGATAGGTATGCAAGCTGATTGTCCGTGAAATTATCCAGATATGATAGTGTACAACTGGATAGATCCCGTTTCTATTGCCAAACTGCAAAGTCGTCGCGGTGACTCCTACTAGATCGTTGAATAGGCTTGTAAAACAGAGGATTTTGTCTGTCGGCGATCGTAGGATGCACCAAGCTTCCGCTCCTTTTCAGTTTCTCTCCAGACGAAAACTCTAAGGAAAATTTTATGACACTGCCATGATTTTACTTCGGGAAAAAACGGGCATGACAGGACTGATGTTTTCCTTAGCAGCGTCTGCATATCTTAGTACAAACAGGAAAAGTACTACTTGGACAAGTGAAGACCGAGAATTAGATACTGTACATTGAAGAATAAGGAAAAAGCTCAAACTCTCGTAAAGGTTTTCTTCAAGCTCTTGATAGAAGGCGAGAAGAAGTATTCGCCGCCACGAGGAACAACAAACTCATCTGTCAAGTTAATCTCAACATTGGGATCAGCAAAGTCAGTTCCCGACAACGTTCTGATTCCTCCGTTCCCAGCTTGCCCAATGATAGGATCGAATCTACGGATAACATCAATTAGTGCCGGATTATCAGGGATAACGATAACTATCCCTACCCAGGCTTAGGAAGCGTTTCCCCAACTGGCGGGAAGCCGACTTCGTTTGCCCATTCTACGTCAGGATCAGTCTCGTTACAACGATCATCAAGTTCTGGCGCGCTTACTCTTCTGAATGAACTGGAATGCATCGTCAATACTGCTCTGATAGCAGATAAACAGCAACCCTCTTTCGTGCCGCGTTTTTGCCTCTTCTTTCTCGCTTTGGGTTACCTCCGGTCCGAACTGGATTCCGCGGCGGAGGATTCGTCTGTTCTCAAGCGAGATCGGAGGGTTGGCGTCTTCAAGATCAGCGCGAGGTAGGGTCTTGCGAACATGGGCAGCAAATGGGCACCGAGACTGGTCATCGCGCCCCCCTTGGAACCTGAAGTTGTTGTTCCTGGTATCGAATGAGTGCGACAAAGACCTCTGAGGATCGGCGCCTAATTCCGGATCATCTTTGTGTGGCGTGAGGTCTATAAACATTACATGAGAATACGAAAAATTCAAGCAATTGTATGAGAATACCGATGGGTGCACCTAGCGCAGATGCAATGAGACGCCATGCACGAGAAAGAGAAGCAAAAGTAGACTCACCGCTTTTCCACCTTCCCATCATCCTTGCACCCCTCAGCTCACTACCATCCTCGGGAGAAAGCCCGTGGCCAGTAATTGGATGCTTCTTCAAGAAATCATCAAACTCCGGCACGAGCTGGAACAAGTACCGGAAGACGAGGAAGCTCCCATCTTTCGCCCAGCCCGGCCTAGTCGCCGCCCTCGAATCTCCTTCCTCCCCGACAAGCAAAGCACCCGCCCTGACAGGTTTCGGACCCGGAGGTGGATCTTTATCAAATCCAATGACGGATGGGTTTGATATATTGTCAAGGAAGCCAAAGCTATTAGTTAACACGTAAGACTTCGAGGAAGAGATGAAGCAGGACGAGAAACTTGCTGCTCATGTGCCGACACTGCGCCTGGCCTGGCATCCCCCTGGATGTGGGTAACTTCATGGATGGAAGTGCCGAAAAGAGTTTGGATCTCCAGCAGTTTCTTGTTGACGGTAAGATGGCTGTCCCCGGCAATGAGGATGACTGCATCTATCTTCTCCTTGAAAGCGGGTTCCCAGTCTGGAAGAGAGTCATGCCCAAGTTTGTCACCCAGGTTTACAGCAGCGTCTTTCAGTTGGCCAGTCTTGAAGGCCGAGTCACCGAGCGCGTCAGCGTCGGCGATGCCAAGCTGGGCAGAAGAAAGTGTTAGCGACCCAGTTCATTGAGCAAGGAGTGCCGAAGGTGTACCTTATCAACACCGAAATGCGAGAAGGCGATGTTAACACCGACCATAGGGAGGAGAATGGGTGTCTGGCCAGGAGAAGTCACCTTCTTGAGACCATCGATAGCTTTGCGGTCAGAGATGACTTGCGCGGTCGTCTTGATAAGGGGAATGAATAGCTTGAGGTGGGCCTTGAATAAACTGGTTTTGGTGATCTGGAAGAAGAGACAGGTTTCTGTCTTCTTCGGTAACCCGCCGCTGTTGAAGTTATGGTGAGCGCGTAATAGTCATAGATGAAAGGACACCTTACAGAGTATCGCCCTGGATGTTGTTGAGATCCAAGGATGGGGTGGTAAGAGGCTGCTGGGCGGCGAGGTGCAGGGCAGATGGGTTCAGAGTATCCATGGCAGGTAGATGTGTCTACAGCTGATGCTCCAGGCGCGCTTATATACGCCAGGATTATTCCATGGGGTTCCGTGACATCCTACATCGCGACAAGGTCTTTTACAGGTCACACAACGCCGATCCACTAAGCAGGACAGGGCAGGATCCACAATTCCCCGTACATCTTCCATAGTAACTTAGTTACTTCTCCTTTACAAATCATTAAAAAGTGAATAGTGTCAGCCATGTCAGCCGCACCTAGCTTCTTGAGATGAATCTTGGCAGCCAGCGCGCCACGAATATTGATGACTGCTACCATCGTCATCAAACTGTGCGAATCTGTATCCGAAGAATATTCGTGACGTAGATATGAAGCGAAACAGTTACCTGTAGAGAATGGGATCCGTAAATGACATTTGATAAACGGGGGCTAGATAAACGGCGCACCTATCATTGGACGCCTTCCCGAACAAGTGCACCCGAAGTCACTCCAAACAAACGCCAGTCAGTTGACTGGCGGGGCACCATCAGAACGGGGAAGTATAATGCACGATTTTGTCCGTGGGTTTCTGCAGCCTCAAGTAATATTGACGAATGCCCCGTGCTCTCCGTGATCATTTGCTGAGTAGGAAGTTAGGAAGGTCTCAAGACTATACATGCGGGTAAAAGAGAACGTACATATCTTACTTTATCCTGGAATCATGACCTTCCAGGTGCGTCAAAGTTGGAGCTGATCCATGAATCATATCCAAAGATTAACTCTCAGGTTCCAGCCAGCGAAGATACCTTCCGCGAAAGCTTGATCATTGGTATACGATAGCTCGACAGCTATATGGGATAGAGAATCGCAGGTTTTCACCTTGCGATCGGAGAACTTGTGCAGTCTTGCTGAAACTCCGGAATTGCGATACAAGTTATAGTAGTGATTTAAATAGATACCGTGGCATCACCAGACAGGGAAGATGATGAGCACTTGCGGTGACGTACTGAGGAGAGGGTTGCAAGTTTTCAACGTCGACAGATATAACAACGGTAAGGGAAAAACAATATCAGGACGCTGTCGCTATCGCTTCCGCGGCCATGATGATATTTGATGGCGCCGACACTGGGAGATAAGTGATAAACGACGTTTTTTTTGGCATGGGCGTCCTGACACACCTTTACCTGTATGTTATGTCAACATATAGACGTGATTGTGTAGCGCCTAGGCATGAAATAGGCCTCTAGAACGAGGGGGCGCCGTGCTTGGGCTATATTCTTCACGTCTACGAGATGCATCAGCAATGAATTGGGAGCTGTAAGCGAAAAAGAAAAGAAAAGAAAGGCACATACTGTGCAGGATGCGCTGTGTCTGCACTGTCAGCGACCGTATTGTCTATATGCGCTTGATCTTGGTCTAATCAGTGAAAGTTAGTTCGTAAAAATAGTTTCCTGAGAGCATACCGCATGAATATTCGTCCTTCTTGAACTGTTCACCTGCCAGTTACTGCCAATCTAAGGTGATGGTGCGTCTTCAAGAGTGAGAGAAACATGTCGGAACTTCGCAGCGGGTTGCTTTTCGGCAGAATAAGCGCTGGATGACGTGTAAATGACCTTCGTCGATGGATGTCGACAGACGACTGCAATCGAGGTGGTGGTCTCGGTCCAACCTCCATTTGGGGGCTTTCTCACGATAGATGCCGGCGGAACCGGTTTCATGTTCAATTACTTGCCGCGTATGTGGAAGTATGTGAGCTGAGTGTCTCTGAAACTATCCAAATTTGATAGCGTACATTGAATGGAACCCATTAATACAAGCTGAAGCGCGGAAGTCAAGTCCTGTTTAAGAGTGCTATACGTCCCTTGTTCCGAGGAACGACTCATTAGCGACTGCCGTGTAACGGAGCTCCGTCTCGCATGTACATTTTCCCTAACTCAAGTTCTTCGCCAGGACTAAAGCAATGCTCCGGAAATCTCGAAAGCTCCAGACAAAAAGGGTCCAGACTTCAGAGTGGTCGCGTTAGGGAACGGTCACGTGGTATGCGTGACTTCCACGGGCCTGGCCTGAAATCGGTTTAAGTCTCACTTTCTTGGTACAAGCTAGTGCACTCTTGGCACGTTTCAAGACTCGCAATATACTTGACCCACAATATGACGGCAAGAGTGGAACTGGTAGCATTGAGGACTATTCATAGAAAATTCGAGAACGTTCTACCGCTTGCGTGGTGTCTCATGGTGTATTGGTCACCTGCAGCGGAAGGTTCGAGTTGAAATGGCGAGGGATATAAAAGAGCGTCGCCTTACTAGTTCTGCAATCATCCAAACTTGAAGCAACGATGTCTGTCTACTATTACGAGCCCTTCTACAACTTTGACCGTCTTCTCGACGCCTTCGGCAGTCGTCCCATCGGGCAGCAGTTGACAGCGCCTAATGAGCCTACGACGTCCGTGTTCAGGCCAAAGCAAGTCGTCCTCATTATTTATGACATCATCGAAATTCTGACTGCGCCTATTTGAAGAATGGACCTGCACGAAGACACAGCCAAGAACACCGTAACCGCTACCTTCGAGCTGCCGGGCCTCAAGAAAGAGGACGTGCAGATTGACGTGCACGATGGTCGTCTCACCATCTCCGGAGAGGTCAAGACCTCCTCTGAATACGAGGAGGAAGGCTACGCTGTTCGTGAGCGCAAGTGCGGCAAGTTTTCGAGGATGTTGAGGCTTCCTCAGTCCGTCAAGGCAAGTTGATGATTTAGTTTTTCTTGAGCAAGTTCCTTGACTGAGATATGTATCTTTCAGGAATCCGAAATCAAGGCCTCCTTTGAAAATGGATTGTTGACGGTCAAGTTCCCCAAGGCCGCTGCTGAGACGGCGCCGAAGAAGATCACGATTTCTTAAACACAAAGTTGAATTGAATGTTAGGAACGCAGAATATTGTATCAGTAGTTGAATGAGAAATTGTATTTTGTAGGAGATTATTCGAGCGTGTGACTGAGAAGAAGAGCTGACGTCGTGTAATGACACCGTGATGACGCTGCGCAGGAAAATAGAAAGTTCCGTCCGGCGCTTTAAATCAAACGTCCACTGCCGTTGTCCCTCCTGATTTTCTAGCCAAGATGCTGTCGACGAGCGTCTTTCAGGGTACACTGGAGGTCTGGGGCTAGACGCGTAGTAGAAGTCATGGTGGTAAACGTAAGTGTGACTAATGGCCAGGCGTCGACTGACTCAAAACTTTCTCCACGAACATAGAGGCAAAGTTGATGTTGCGCTTGGAGATCCTCGCCGACACTATCCATGAGGGCCCGACGTCACCGGAGCGCCCAGGATGCGTCTGCCACCCTTAATTGCGTGCGGACAACTCCGACTGTGGGCGAAATTCGAATCAACGACCGGACTAAAACTATTACCTTCTCTCTTCCATGGATCCTGGACTGTGGTGCGTGGCGAACTTGGTCGTTATTTCCTTCATCTTACCTTTACTTTAGGCAAAGAATATGGTGAGGGTCGCATCTTGTGGGCATTTATCCAAACTTATCGTATGGACAGGACACAAATCATTTCCTTATCATTGCCCCCAATACCTCCAGATGCCAGGTCGGCGCTCACAGCGAGGACATTCTTTATGATACTCCTCCCGCCTTTCCTTTCATATTATCTCGCAGCGCGTCTCGCGATAACCGGTCGAGCAATATTAACTCGAATTGCCTTTCTTCCGATAGCGATCTATACCACGTATAAATGCGCCACATCGCTCGACCTCGCCCCGGGAACAGAGAACGTGAAGAACAGGTACTTTAACGATGTTCTAGTCGTACGTCTACGCAACGCCACACTTGAAAACTAGCGCTCATTTCCTATAGCTCTCCATGACTTTATGCTCCTCACGGATCATCACTTGGACCTTCACACCAATACCACCACGTCGACTAGATCCATCTCTACCATTGTCGCCTCTTCAACTCTGCCTGAGCCTCCGGGGATACGGCTGGAACTGGGGCTTACCGCAAAGCCGCGCACCGCGAGAATGGCGCCCAACGGATTCCACCATGCACTTCGTTATCGCTACAGTGTTGTCTGTTCTCTTCCATATCATCTTCTTCGACACTGTACATATAATCACCGGATGCATCGCCCCAGGAACATGGCAGTCTCCCTGGGGTGCTCCCATCCTCCCGCCTTCCGGCTACCCAAACCTCAAGACCACTTGTATCTCGTTCCTCTCGTTCTTCCTCATCTACAGCTCCGTCCAGATCATCTATGACGTCTCCACCCTCGTCGGTGTCGCCCTCTTCCAGCAACCGCTCAGCGAATGGCCGCCTCTCTACGATAATATCCTACTCTCAACATCCCTAGCCCAGTTTTGGGGCCACAGATACCACCAGATCTTTCGGCAGACTTTTTCTGGACCCTTGTTGCTCTTACCCCTGCCCGAGTTTGTGCAGCTGTTTGGAGCCTTCCTGATATCGGGCGTATTCCATTGCTTTGGGGTGTGGGGATATGGTAACGGCGCACATTGGTGGCCAATGGGAGGGTTCTTCGCGGTTAATGCGTTAGGTATCGGGCTGGAGAGGGCATGGTCGTACGTCTTTGGGAGGAAGGTCGGTGGGGTGGCCGGAATGATGTGGACAGTCCTGTGGTTGGCTGGTTGGGGGAATTGGTTATTCGATGAGTACTCGAGGAGGGGTATGATCTATCAAAAGATCTTGTTACATTTTTATTCATAATACATTGTATATTTTATAGACCAAGTAATTTGAATCGATGATTGCACTTAAAGCACTGATTATTGGAGCAGGCCAGTATGTACTATGGCTTCCTGGCGCAATGGTAGCGCGTTTGGCTTCGATTGCTGAATGGTACCAAAAGGTTGCAGGTTCGAGTCCTGCGGTGGTCATTGAGTTGCTACTGCATAGTGTTTTATATTTTTACTACTCCTGGATGCTCAAGAGTCAAGCGCTCACGGCTTATAGGGCTAAGGGTAGCGCACGAAACCTCCAAGGGGGTTAAGTAACTGTTTGTTACCGACCCCTCCCCAGGGGGGTGGTTTTGCTACGGTAAGTTACCGTTACTTACCTTATCACGTGCACTATCACATGCCTGACGCGCCGCATTGCCCAAAACCTTTGTTTTCGTGTTGTTATACATTTTCTTGATGTAATAAAAGGTGGTTCATTTGTAAAGACCACTCATCTGTGAATAGACAACCTAAATTGAAATATACATGTTATAGTACCAAATTATTCTGCTCAACTACCCGTCACATGACAGGTAAGTTACCTCCACAAAAGTCCCTCCGGCGAGGGGGGTGTGGTTACCAGTAAGTTACCGGTAATAAACCCAAGTGTATCGAAACCTAGGTTTCGTGCGCTACCCTAGGTCCCAGACTCATAACTTCCAAGGGCCAAAGGCCTCAAGCCGTGGCCCGTAAGAGTCAAGAGTCAAGCTTATGATTTTTAATACTAGCATTGTCGACGGTTGTCGGTCGTTGTTATAACTTATTATTCGGTAAGTCAGTAACTCACTCAGCACCATCCAGGTGAAAACTCTTGATTTTCTACCACACTGTAACAAAAAGGTGGTCCTTGCGATCTGCCATGATCAAATTTATTCTGTCGGTGTTACGGAATACCTTGGCACGAGGAGGTCACTGCGCAGGGAAAGATAAGCCGTCATGACTATTCTCACTGCCATCACTGGCTTACGATAATAATGGTTGCTTATCGGATACACATTTCGACGACTTTAAAGCGATTATTTAACTATTTCATCGGGATCACATCAGACTAATACGCCCCCTTTCGGCGAGGCCCAGCGCGATCAGTCTCAATAGTTCTTCTTCATCAGGAAGTTCGAACACCGATACTTTCTCGAATTTCGGGCCTACCTTCCCAGGCCGCATTTTCCCAGCTACCCAATGCTTGTCCGAATACAGCACTCCTAGTCCGTTGTTACTTAACAGTGAATATGGGCCGTCAGGTATGGGATGCTGGTGGGTAGCGACGATTTGGAATGTGTGAAGCTTCCTTCGCCAATCTCTAACAAGTAGTTCTCCGTGTCGCAATCCTCCTTCTGGGTTTCCCACAGCCAGCCCTCGCACATAGCCGCCACTCCATATACAGTATCCTTTAAACGTGTCAACATTCATCTTCTCATCCCAACGAAGGTCACCGTAGACGCATGGGTCCTCTTCAAACGACGGAACCTCGGCCATGACCTGTTTCCATGATGGTCTCCACCTTGTGTCTCCGTCGCCGGGATTTGGATATAAAAAAAGCAGTTGAGCACGATACCTCTTCTGCATCGTATTCACCAGCGCCGTCCAGGCATCCTCGACAGACTGCGTCTCGTAGTACGCTGGTATTGTGTTCGACTCCAGAAGAAATGCGAGCCCTGCTATTTTGTCTACAGGGTTCTGCGACACGCGATCCTGCATCAGCGCCAGGGCATGAACTACATTGTGGGTGGTGGAGGAGAGGTTCTCGAAACACCCCAGTTTCTGGTAAAATGTTCTGAGTCTGTCCCCTGCGTGATGATCCTCCCTGCTCGTCTGCATGGCGCTCCTCGAAGGAGTACCATCCGTAAGCCCACCAACAATCCTATTCCTGCCAATCTCTTGTAGCGTCCAAGCACGATTGAACCAACACCGCTTGCTTTGCAGGCTGTCTATTTCAAATCTGAAAGGCAGACCCAGCCCGCTAAAGTAGTACACCACCTTCGTAGCCATGCGATAGACGTGCCCGATGGTAGGCACATCGAGTTTCCACTCTTCCTCGCGCAGATCCTCCCTCTTCCCGCCCTTCTGTCTCAAACAGAGGACATCCAACCACACATACTCCGCTCCCTTACCCAGCATCTCGATGCGGATGAGATTCAGGCTGGAACCTTTGGGCATGGGCACGGGCCATTCGCGTCCATTGATGGGCGTCATCACATTCGAACGATCGTGCTCATCCATCCAAGCATGTGATATTGCCCAAAGCTTCGACCTCATCGTACTCCTGATAACCCAGTACGGCACCACTCTATTACTATAGAGATCCCAGACACGTCGAGGGGGGGTCTTTGGGTTGATAATGCGTGAATTAGCAAGCGCCTTCTGTCGCATTGCATGGTCTTCCGCTTCGCGGATTCGCAGTGTGTTTGCCAGAGTATTAATGTCGTCGTACCAAAGTGAGCGGAGATGGCCAAGTGTGGTGCCAAAATCATAACTCCTTGAGATGTAGGTATCCAAAAAAGAATGTCGAGTACGGGAGCGTCTTTCCGAGGTTCCGAGGAAGCTATTGAGTTCATTGAGAAGCGTAGCAGCGGTAAAATCGGTGCAGGGCTGATTGGCGTAATAGGTTGTTAGGACGGGGTACGTTGTACAGGTATATACCCGCTGCATTGGAACGTGAATCGATGATACCGCATCAGGTTGGTCGTTCTCGGTATCAGCGTGGAGAGTGACTTCGCGGAATTTCCGGGGCGGTCGCATCTATGCATGTATTCGTTAATTACTTTGCATTGTCCTTCTATATGTTCCAGGCTACTTACCATTTCGGGTCCTTGACGTCTAACATCCTCCCAGCAGTGCACTGTATTGAAGAGCAGCTCTTCAGGGGATAAAATACCTATATGGAATGAGGGTGTGAAGTGAAAAAGGAGTAACCTTACATACCGCCCAAGTCATCCATGCTTCAAGTTTGGTTGGCCGAGAATAGAGTCGGATGTTAGTCAACAAATGGCGACATGGTGTTGAATAATTGCACGGAAATATCGATGGGTTTTAGGACTGCGACGCATTATATAGGATCATAGGCGGCAAACTGACAGACAACTGGAATGAATGTGACAGAAGAAGTAATCAGCTATAAACGGCGTCTTCCCAACAAGTACAAGGCGTATCCCAAGCAACATGAGGGGGGAAACGAGTGTATTGTCTGGCCAAAGCAAAGCACGGATCTCGTTAGCTCGGGTTCGCTACACAAGGTCACCATGTGTGTCAGCAAGTGAGATGCCATAGTAGGAAGCGCTGGAAACGCCGAGATGACAGATCATTAGGGTATTGCTGCGATAATTAGCACAGGCTGTGCGGTAGAGATCTGCTAGAAAATCGGCTCCTCGTGCAGACGCGTCATGCCGAGCGAGAGCTGGATGACTAAATGATGCGGCACGCCATGGGAGGGTACGACACTATTCCTGCCTTGAAGAGAGGTCGATAATCGATTGCAGGATAAGCGCATGCGTGAGAAAGAATTATAGTGATAGCTTGGTCTCGGATACGGCAATGGTAGCAACGCGGCTATGATATTGGTGGCTATGTGGGCTACGCGTGGGTCGAATCAGGGTCAATCAAGTAAATCCCCATCTTGTTCTTTTCCATCTTGTCTGATGTCGCCGACTCTAGGCTGCAACAGCCGACACAGTAGATGGACCTATGGGCGTTTGTGTGGTTTTCACAACCACAATTAAACGCCACAAGAATGAACATGTTCCTACTTGGGAGATCCCGGGAATGTTTTGGTAGCTTAGCCTCTTCAGTCTTGGGAAAGTGTCGTAAAACGGATGATGAGATCGCTCGAGATCTGACTTTGCAAATGCATGTGCGATTGTCCAGGGTGTCCGCAAAAGAGATATATGATTTGTATCCCACAGGGAAGCGGACCTAAGCCGTACCAAAACTGTAACCGTTCGAGATGTGGGTTCGAGAAGAAATAATGAACTCGCAAACCTAGTGATCCATCTATATGATGATACTCCAAGGGTAGCATTGGGTTGTGTTACGAGCATATCAATCTCCGAGCTGAGGCAAGGTGCACAGGCGAGAGAAGATGTTGTGACAAATTCTGGCTAGTATAAGTCAGTTGCTTGGGAACCTAAAACATTCTTCTCCACTGACCTCAGATACGGCGGAGATAGTGACTTCAGGAAGACCTTCATAACTGAAAAGGCGCCCGATGTGCCTGGGAATACATTATTTATTACCTGTCCGCTTAGTTGCTGATACACGCACCATTACGACGTTAGTCCTAGATCATACCGGAGGTATGAAATCACATTTTAATACTCGTCAATTGTTTAACCTATGCAAGACACAGAAAAATTAGCGACAGTAATCTGATCTCAAAGACGCGTCTCACCCACCTCGCATAATTCCGTTAGGCTTTACATCCAGTGAAGCCTGAATGAGGTGCTCAAAAAAGGCATTGCGATAGGAGGAGCCCGAGAAATTTCGCTGTAAATGTCAGGTCCCTGGGTTAGGAGAGCAAGAGTAAGCAAATCATAGCTAGAAGATAACTGTGTTCATCATACCCAATCCGACGTTCCATGTTTTGTGGTAATACAAAAGTCAATTGCCTTCACCATAAAGACAGAGACTTTGCGCGCCTCTTCAGGATATTGTGACTGAGTTCATATCAACTTTGGGGTCGCCAGAGAGGAGAGGGTGCACGTGTCATCCTGTTCTAGTTGAAAACCGATGGTACACAAAAGAATCATCGAGTGAAACTAGGTGTAGAAGATTAAAAAATCATTGTAAGTGATATGCAGATCGACGAGAAGACTGGCAGAGCACTCTGCTTACCTCTAGCAGCTCCGTACGCGAGGTTTCTCTGAGCTTTCTCCCGGGCCTGGCCATCCGACCGGACTTCTAATAAACGCAACGCATCGAGGACTTTAGAAGATTTTCGACGCGTAATTTTCTACATAGAGGCAGGAAATACAACGAAGACAATAGATCAAAGGCAGCCTCGAGGTTGGCTGCGAAAAGGGAAGCAGCGTCCGGTTCCATCCGGCCCGGCTTGCTTTGCTCGTTGCTTTGACGCTCACGGCATTTTGGTCTCGAGAAATCCATCTTCTGCTCTTCCTCCTGGACATTGACTTTCGTTTTCTGATTGCAGAGCCAGTAAATGTAACGAGACATTTCCTCGCCCTGCAACCAATGTTATGACCTCTCGACGGCGAACTAAGGGGCGCGATGGCAGGAACTGATGGTGAACATAATGACATGGAAGATGCAGGCGAGAGGAGATGGTAACCAGCTCCGGCAGTCGTGTTATCTTTCCTTTTGGCGTTCCTGCTACCAGACAACGGAGGCACTTGGTCAAGGAAAAAGCACCAGAGGTCGTCTCAGCCAGCCACTATCACAATGGCCGCCTCAAAACCAATCCGACAGCCGGCGGCCGCACTTGTCAATGACTGCATGTGGCACATCGTTGCGTGTCGTTGGGTAGGAAATGGAAGAAAAGGTACGTATGTATCTTCTCACGTGTTGTCAACGAACATTTTATCAGGTTCCAGCAGTTTTCTCTTCTAGTGAATTCATCGTCATCAGGCCTGGATCTGATGGACAGCAAGGAGGGCCGCCATGTTATTGTCCGTTTACATCACTTTGCCGATAACTCCTCTGCAGTTGACTCCATTATACGTCCCAAACGGGGACCAGGTCAACAGCATGCAACAGTGTTTTTCAAGATAGCCACGGAGCTCTTGGAAGAGGACGAAGAAACATCGCTGGAGGTAGCATGGGCACCCGGCCACCAGGACATACCTGGAAACGAAAAAGCGGACGCTTTGGCGAAGGAGGCATGTACAATGTTCGACATGGGACAGCGCACATATGCAAACGCAAGGAGAAGGATGCGAGAACGAGTACAGAAGAAATGGGTACAGGAGTGGGAAAGGACAAGCCCTACTGGCCGCTTTGGACTCGCAAACCGACTCAAACCACAGCTAAAACCAACCCAGAGGTTCAAGGAGACACCACGCGAGGTGTTCGGAAGGCTCGTACAGTGTAGAACAGGGCACGCCCACATGGGCGAGTTCTACGAACTGTTTAACATCCCAGAGGCGACGGACTGCGAATGCGGCGAGCGACTACAAACGCGAGATCACATCATACGATCCTGCCCACGATACAACGACCATCGACAGATCCTACGCGAAGGATCACAGAATCTAGTGATGTGCGACCTTTTGGGCACGACAGAGGGCATCGAAGCGGTCACAAGGTTCCTAGCGGAGTCTGGAGCCTTTACAAAGACCGGAACTCAAAGGCGAGAGGTGGGAATGCCGCTCTGGGAAGATGAACCAGAGCCGCATGAAGAAGAGGATGATGGATAGAACACTACATCGCAGCGCTACCGGGCCCCCCCATTGTTTCTTTTCCTTTATTCTTTTTCTATTTGTATTTATTCCCTATCTCTTTTCCCTAGACAATGATTTTCGCAACGAAGAATAGACACCTAAAACACACGAAGCTACATAGAATTTTACCCGAGAGTTTTACATACCATAGAGTTGACAAGTAGATTAGTATTACAACGAGTAGCGGTACAGTCATACATAGCAGTAGAGTACTGTACCCCCGCGTCTTCGCCCACTACGAGGCGTGTTGCGGGTCACCAATCCAGACCTTCATCATCATGTCCGTTTACATCAATCACGCAAACGATTATTATGGGCAACAAGAACCGTGCCGTGTATGCGTTGGTGATGATTGCTGAGCTGGAGGACTCGGTTTATTGGTTCACCCTACGTTACGGTGAGTCTCGTTCTTCGGGTGGCATCCTCTGAATGAGGTTATAGATCTCCAATGCACGACGTGTTATACAAGGAATCATCTCTGTATGGATATATGATAACGATGCAAGTAGGCGCCTGAACGCTTCGACTCCTTATCGTTTAAGCTTGCGAAGCTAGCTGGAATTGGGCATCCCAGGAATAGACACGCCGACAGCGCTTGTAACCCGGGGTCCTCTTGCACTGGTGAGCCTTTCGTATCTCATACTACTCTTACATTCTCAGTGGTTTAGTTTTCAAATGCAAGATTCCATATCAGAAATCTTTACTCTGATGGCCTTCTTCAGGCGCCTCGCATACCCAGAAGCATCTTCCGGAGGATATAAATAAGGCCATCACAGCGCGCCTAATGCTCAGTGCTTGTATACGTACAGTAACTGCGGCTGCGTAGTCTTCTTCACACGGTCCCGTTCAGACTCTTACTATCACCCCAGAGGTAGGGCCTCATCGTCAAAGATCGGAGTCCTCCAAGCTGACAATTTGGATTGGTCACAGCTTTATCTTGCGGCATGAGTACTACTTGCGTCGTCTGCAACACCCCGACCAATACACGATGTGCAAGATGCAAGAGCGTCTATTATTGCAGTAAGGCGCACATAGCGCAGGTGCATCTTTCCTTGTGTATCGCGAAAGTGTTCTAACCAAGACTTTGTATAGGACTGGCCCGTTCACAAAGTATTCTGCAAGCGAATCAGCGAAGCTGGAACAAACCCCTTCGACGCTATTCTGTTTGGCGTTAATGAAAGGCTCATCAAACTTCCTTGGACGTGGGGTCCCCTTGAAGAGGGGGTAGGAAGAAGCTGGCAGAATCTGGACGACGGGCCATGGTTTAAGGGCAGAGATAGCTTTATCCGCACGCTATATGTTCAGAAGTTTGGGGCTAATGGACCATCCCTTGGTCGCACTCTTGCAATCCTATATGACGATAACTTTTTGGTCAACGGCTCCTCGATCAATCGGTGTATTCAGAGTGTTGTTCGAGGCGACTCTGTACACCCTTGGGCGGGGAACATTCTGGCTCTTAGGGCGCAGGGAATGCCCTCAGATTGGTATAACAATGCAGTTATGGAGGAGGATTTAGCCCCGCTGATACGATATTTTGAGGATTATGGAAAATAGGCTGAACAAGTTACATGCAGTTGGTTGTTGATGTTCTTTTTGAAGTCTTTGCTTTTCTCGTTAATTCTTGGACGCTATTTGGCTTACGATGTACCTCATGTGTGTAGTAGTAGTGAGCGCATAGTACGAACTGTTTATGCCTTGAATACCCTCACAGCTTCGCCGATTTTCCAAATCTAAAGCCCTTGCTTTCCCTCTTCAAGAACGCCCACATGAGTTTGTCCTTCCAGCCTTTCTCCTTCCACGCATTCAAACTCGCCGGAAATTCATCAATCACTCCTGGCACCGTGCTGTCATGGGCGATTAAGAGCAGGACATCTGGATGTGCATCGAGCTTGGTCAGCTTGCGGAGCGTCTCGTTCGTCTTTGGTACGTCCTGATACACTGACCGAGATGGGATGCGCAACATGGGCGTGCGCAGAAGAGCAACGTCTTGGGCGATATGTTTAGGAAGTGGGAAATGAGTCTCGTAAGGAGGGGCGGGCCGCATATCCCCCGTATGGTGGCAACAGTCCCCGCCTAGGAGAATGAACGTGGTTGGCGTTACACGTGCGAGAGCAGAGACGTGTCCCGCGAGATGCTGTGAGTATTCTCAGATGTGACTCGAGAAAGGTAGAGATCTAGTACGCAACCCCTGGAGTATGGAGGATGTAGAAGCTTCCGTCGTCAAAGTAATCCAGGGCAGGAAGATCCGCGATGCGTAGCGATCCCTTCGAGAAGGAGAGTTCGGTCACTTTTCGTCCGCTGAGGTGCATGTAGCTGGTTAGGAATCTACAAGACGGGATATGGGAACATACGCGAGGTCGCTCTCGATTAATGTGGCGTTGGGGTCACTTGGGTAGGTCCTGAGATCCGAGCCAGGTCCTACGACGAGTTCGGTGGTTTGAGGGAATTTGGACATGTCACCTGTGGTTTCGTAAATGGTTAGTGTTAACGAAGACTTAATATGTCATCAGCGCACCAGTATGATCCAGATGGGTGTGACTTGACGAAATATTCAGTCATTGAGGAGTAATAGGGAATAATGACTTAAAACTCTATCACCTCCATATGACGGCTTTAACGCTCCCAAGATCTACACCTCCCTTCGTGAGCTTCTCTAGGACATCCGTAGACGCTTCCATCGCCTCCCGTACACTAAGGCCTCCGAGACTCCTGATATGCCTATGCACGGCGGGAGATAGGCTCTCAGAATCCTTGCGTAATCCAAGGTCATACATAACCCTTCCCTTCACCGGGTGCTCAATGAGAAACGCGTAAATCGGGCCTGAGAAAAACTCATGACCCTCAACAACTGGGGTAAAGAAGAGAGAAGCAGGGAGACATTTTAGCTGTCCAACGTTTAGCGCTTTTACGACGACCGTGGATGTCGAGGGTGGAATCATGGTGGCGGACATGAGAACAGCTGTATAATGTGTCCACAAGCCTATAAATGAAAGTTGGAGTCATGAGAACCGTCACAGAGTTGCCGTTGGAGGGTGTATGGAGAGGCTTTGGTAAGTAGTGCCCCAAGACTGTGAGAAGACACGGGAGAATGTATGGCTGAGCCCGTTCGTTGTTGATCTTGGGTCCTCGGAAACGTGAAACGTTATGGTCAGGTGTAACCACAGCACTAAACAGTATCTAGGACATTCTCACTCTTTGACTTATCGCCGGCCGAGCCACAGGACAGTTTGAACACAGGACCCGCATTCAACGGAGGGAAGGCAGTTTCGACTGAGTGAGAATACAGGATGCAGTTAGATATGTGACGGTGGGTCTAGACTGCATATGTCCCACCGACCTAAGATGGTTCAGCTGGGTAAGTTCGGCCCGGTTCTTGATGCCAGAACTTTCAAGTCGGAGCAGTACGTAAACTAGGTGTTCAGATAGGCGTCTGCCCTTCATGATCAACGATAGCGATAAGAGGTGAGAGCGCATGTTTTTCGGTCTTATTATGAGCCTCTGCTAGACTTTGCTGACCCTTGACTGCAGACGTGTATTGCTGCAACTGGCTTGCAAAATCGGGAATCCAAATCGATATCAGATGACTGCGAAGAGAAGTAAACGTAAAGCCAGACTCCAACTGGGAGGGTCGACGAGGGAAATGGATTACGACTGTTCAGTTTTCGATTCGAGTAGTACGTTTAACGGTCAGGGCGAGCCCTCAAGATCTCAAGGACCATTTCCGATTGTCGCCCGGTGACCAGTTGAGTACCAAGAGAGTTCCGCGAGCATTCCGATGCCAGCACCACCGGCAAGTCCTTTCAGAATCCATGACCTACTGAACCTGTTTCATCCCAGAATATAGCGTTCATTGGAAAAAACCAAGTTCCGGACACCAGCATCAAGTCAAGAACCAAGGAGAACACAATAAAAAAACGTAAAGCTTTCATGCTGATATGAAGAGCTTCAGATGGAAACCGATGGAAAGTGCGAAGAACACCAGTGCGGATGTCAGACACATGACGTTGATCGAGCATCTGAGGCCGCCCTACTATTTATATCTACTGCAAGGGCAAACTTTCTTTCAACTCAATGGAGCCTTGCCCACCTACCGAGGAAACTGGTCTCCTCACTCCTACCTCTACCTCTACTCTTTCCTCCCAAAAGCGACGCTCACGACCCGCGACACCTCTACCACACCTGCAGATATGGATTGTCCTGGTGCTGCAGATATGCGAACCGATAACAAGCCAGAGTATCTACCCTTACATCAATCAGGTGCGTCGTCCCAGGACACCGTGGACCGCTGGGTGACTGACCTTTTGCCCTGTAGCTGGTGAGCGAGCTGGATATCACTGGAGGGGACGATAGGCGGGTCGGATATTACGCTGGCTTGATCGTATGTCTCGCTTTTGTTTTCGCGTTCATCTGCCAACAAGAACACCTGTAGGAGTCCCTCTTCTTCGCGACCGAAGCTATAACGGTTCTCCATTGGAGTCGGTTCTCTGATACCGTAGGGCGAAAACCCGTCCTGATGATTGGACTGGTCGGGTCAGCCATCTCAATGCTATCGTTCGGTCTGTCAAGAACCTTCTGGGCACTAGTCATTAGTCGCTGCGTCACTGGACTACTGAATGGGAATATTGGTACGTGCTCCTCGGTTCTCGACGCTAAGCATGAATGAAACATTCCTGGGCAGGCGTTATGAAAAGTGTCATGGGCGACTTGACAGACCCATCTAACCGTGCGGAAGGATTCGCACTAATGCCTGTCGTATGGTCTTTTGGGGCAACGATGGGGTACGTTCGTCATCCTGTTTTGGTCACAACATTAACTGGAATTTACCGCAGCCCTCTTATCGGCGGAACGTTCGCGCGTCCCCATGAACGATTTCCCGAAATCTTCTCAGGCACCTTTTGGAAGCAATATCCCTACTTTCTCCCATGTCTCGTCTCCTCATTCTTCGTCTTCCTCGCCTTTCTAATAACACTTGTCCTATTCAAAGAGGTCAGAACGCTTAGTTTCCCAACTCTACCCTGACTAACTCGCTCCTCTCCAGACTGTACCAAAACACCGCCGTCGGTCCCGATCCTACGACTCCATAGAAACACAAAACTCCTTAAAAAAGCGCGACGAGCCAGTCCCTCTCCGTGGTTTGCTCATCTTTCCCGTCCTGATATCCGTGGCGAACTATGTCACACTTGCCTTCCTCAATATTGCTTTCAATGCACTCTTCCCTCTCTTCCTCGCTATGCCACCCTCCATAGGTGGGTTGGGCATGCCTCCCTCGACTATTGGCTACATCATGGGCGTCTACGGCGCCTCTACTGGTATCTTCCAATTTTTCTTCTTCGCCAAGATAGTCAGAGGGTTAGGCGAACGCCGGGTGTTCATCAACGGCATGCTTGCATTTCCCTTCATGTTTACGCTGTTCCCTATCATCAGCTTCTGCGGGGGTACACCCTGGATTTGGGTAGGGATAGGATGCATAGTCGTGTTATCCATCATTATGGATATGGCATACGGCGCGATATTCATGTTCATCACTGCTTCTGCGCCGAGTAAAGCGTCTTTGGGCGCGACGAATGGGCTTTCGCAGACTACTGTCTCGATTGCGAGGGCTATAGGGCCTGCGCTCGCGACGTCTTTGTTTTCGCTCTCTGTGGAGAGGAACGTGCTTGGGGGGTACGGAGCGTATGTTTTGTTCGTGGTGTTGTCGGTCGTTGCGCTGGGCTTGGCAGTGAAGCTGCCGATGGAGGTCTGGGAAGAGGATGATGAATAGACCGCGATTGCTTAATGAAAAGTAGGTGATAACCCCAAGTTTTATCTACCTACACATGACTTGGACAGCACTGGTTCACGATTTTTTTTTGCATTTGGTCACTGCAATCCCATAGACGAGCTGTTTTTGCTGTATTCTGCTTTCACTGATCAATATACTTATTCCCTGTTTTTCTCCACAGTGCCGGCGGAACCGAACCTGTAGCCGGCCCTCAAGATGATCCTGATGGATGTGCGTTATCGCCACTTTCGGATGTTGTAATCGCATTGCTCTTATCTGCTCTATCGCATCCGCTGACATCTTTGTCTTTGACGTGGGATAGTACAGTAACTGGCCTTCGAAACCAAAGATCGATCGGAATATACCCCCAAACAGTGGGAAGGTGGGATTCCCACGGAGATAACTTCTGGTGGCACAGCTGTTTCTCAGTGGGATTGGAGATTTTCGGTGTGATTACCTGTATAAGGCTTTGACTTAGTCTTATTCTTGGTTCCCTGCACGGCTGTGCCGGCATACTAGGTGCTACCGGCCACCGGCGCTTAACAGCTCTCCCCGCATTCGTTGAGTTATGCAGAACTCTAACCAGTTACCAGGCCCTCCGAACTCAGCATGAGAGCTACGCGGCGGCGTGAAGCTTAACAGTAGGGTCAATAAGCTGCACGCCGAGAGCCAACCTAAACTCACTAGGGGAAACAGATGAATTCCCGGAGGCAGCGGTCAGAGCGGGTACCCTCGATGGGCTGGGCGTGGCACCCGGAGAATGCGGTGCTTGTACCGGACTCAATCCCACCGAAAAAGAGCCTCAGGCCAGAAGATTTCACGAATCCCACTGAAAAACGGACGCAATCTTATCCCACCTTCCCACCGTTTTGGGCGCCCTTCGATCGATCGTGGTATACTGCCAGGAGTGGCAGGATAGCGAACAAAGACTTTTGGCGCTCGCTAAACCTTTGTCTTTATTCTCTCGGATTTGAAATCGTCGATCATTGATGATGGTTTCGAGACAAACTAACCACTCGTGTGTCAATACTCGATTTTTCCCTTTAAAATGAAGCATTATTATGGTCTACCTCCGAACGACTGGTTCTCTGTTCCCTGATCTATAACTACCGCGGCACCTTTTTACCTCACATGGGGAGTCGTCATGATGTTTCCAGTCCTGATGCCACTTGCAAAGGTATGTTTCCCTCGAGGTATGCAGCTTGTAGACCCTGACTGATTGAGTGCCACAGCAGACATCTGGGAGCCTGCGCCACCATTAAGAAACCCGTGGTCGGCATGCGACGAACTCGAGAGTCTATCTTTCCGTTACGCCCCCGTCCCCGCCGATTCGGAACCCTATCTCGGGACACTCGCGAACGATATTAAGCGCGAAATGGCTACTCTGAATGATATGTTGCTGTGAGCCCCCATTCCTAGACTCATTCCCGTTTTGTACTGATGACTGTCCATGATTAGAAAATACAAAGCTGTTGCAGCCTCCCAGGAGGATGATGATGACGAGGAGGAGGAGGAAGAAGACGACTATGATCCCTTCGAACTAGACTATAGCTACCCGGACTCAGAGCCAGCTGCTACAACGGTTCTTCCAATGGACGAATTCTGGGATCTCGTGGACGACATCCGGGATAAAAACCGCCACGCCCCAGGTGTCATGTCCCCTCTGAACCCTCTCCGAGCCAAAGCTCCTCCGGATTTTTGGTGGGAGAGTGGGGCGTTGTCACCTTTACCGGAGAAGAGGAAATATCACTGGAATATCGAGAGGGTGCATGTGAATGAGACGTTGTAAGACAGTTTTTTTATCTGCATGGGGTGCTTGTACTGATATGTGCTGGTAGAGCTATCCCCAGTCCGCTTTTCCGTCGGTATACGTTCATTAAGCAGTGTAGAAGTTGTTGGCAGAGTCGGTTCGAGCAGTCGAGTTTGCAGAGGTATATCCAGGGTAGGAATCTTCGTGCGAAGTATCTGAAATGCGTTGGGCGTAGGGACGAGCCTGAGGGACGAGAGAGAGGATATGGGGTTTCTGTTGCTGAGAGCCCACTTATGCACTTGGTACAAATGGGCACGTAGCACAAAGCATGATAGTTTGTGTTTTTATTCTTATACATTATAATTATTTACCTCGCAGTTTTGCGTAGAGTACAGATGCCTTGCCAGGTGGCATAACAAATATAGTGAGGGATCTGGTGTCGAATTGGGTGGCGATGACGACTCTGCGGCGTGAGGCCAATTTTTTGTTATCGATGGTAGAAACAGAAGGGGGAACGAGACGCGGGGTGGACGACAGATACTTGGTACGTAGCGTCATTCCTCCCACTTGCACTCTAATTCATTCATTTTTAGCGGGTTGCTTGAGTTAAATCAATGAATGAAAGGGCCACCCGAGAATAAGGAAGCCTTTCCTTCGCCCGCGCTCGTTTGTACGTCCGCATGACCGACAGCCTCTTGGCTCCATCCCCATTGTCAACTTGTTTTCCATTGCTTCTAGCACTACGTATTTGGGACTGCAGCCTCGATACGTTTGCCCAGTCTGAACCTTCCTTTGCATTGCTCTGCATTGCTTCAGACGCGGTAGAATCTTTCTACGGCTGCTTGGCTTCTTCAGGGTGGAGAGCAGGGATAGACATCTTCCCGTCGTTTGGACTGGATTTACAGCTCTTTCTGACCTAGGTTTCTCCTCTAGCTCGTCGTGGCCCATTGGATATGCGTAACGCACCAGGTTCGAGTCCTGGAAGGGAAATTTGTCTACGAGCCTCATTTTGCAATGTGGCTGTGCTTCCTTCTTTTTCTTCTCGATACAACATACTTACTGGGTTTCGCGGCTTGTTATCCATGCACATGCGGTAGTTGGATTTTTGGGATCGGCGCAAGTGGGAGAGAGATACCTAAGTATTATGGTTGCGCGGCGCGTTTGGATGCGTCACGTAGCCAGTGGCTGTGCTGAACCTTTCAACCGCTACTGTCTCACCTGCCTTTGGTTTATGCAATCTTTTTTTAAACGAGAACAAGGAATGTGGTCGCACGAAGAAGACTAGACCGAACCGAAGATATGATAACGGTTTCTCAGTGGATATTACTTATATAGAGGAGGTTAGTTCCATCGACTGGGGGGGATGCGTGGATTTCCTGGTGCGTTCATGCTAGCTGTTCGCCTATGGCCCACTTGAGTATGTTTGCTTTAGGTCTGACTTTGGCCTTGTTGACGCGCAAGAGGGTCTGCGAAGGACACGATGTTGCGATCCTATCGACTTTCAATACATCTAGCAAGACGACGTGCAAAGTATCTGATGTTCCCGATGTACTGGTGTGAAATGTCGCACGCCACCTCCCCTTCCCTTCGACACCGGCTCGCCAAACGTCAATACTCTATCTTATGTTTGGTTCACATGCACGTACTAGTACTGTCCTTGCCGTACTGGACACGACATGGGCGAGGCACGCTTAGAAGGAGCCATTAGTACATCTTGCATGCACGTACTCACCACATCCCAGGGTTTGGCATATCTGCTCTTGGTCCCTCCACGACCCACCAACTCGAAGCATACTGACCCGCCGAGTACCATTGCCAAACGGACCTCTCTCGTCGTCTATATCATCGTATCCGGTCCTCGGCTCAATTCCTGGAGGCTAGATGTTCACCTCGGCATGTTCCTAAAATCAGCTTCCGCGGCGAAGGAGACTATGTCGCAGCTCTCCGTGAATCTTTCCTCGTGCGTGGATCAACCCACTTTCCCTGCGCTGTAGGCATCTCCCCTCCATGCGTAGTTGGAATATCATCACGGCTTTCAAGTTCTTCGCCTCTGAACGTTTAGGGAAAGAGACGTGACTTGTACCCCCCACTAGATGCGTTGGAACTCAAGACTTCGTTCGACTTGACCCTTTCTCAGTGTGTCGTTTTCGGATACACAGCATTTGCCATAGACCTGCCCTACATCGACGCTTGCTCATTGTAGGGGCCGGTCACAGGTCTACATTTGCCATTGTTCCCCATTGTAAAAGGACACTAAACAGCCAAGTAGTCACCGGTCGAGGTTGAATGTGCAAGTTCGAATCCTGCTAGTGTCGTGCCAGGTGTGATTTAAAGCTTTTTCTGGTGTATTGACTCTTTATCATAGTCTTTTGAATTCAGAACACACATCTCCAACCTTAGCACTGTCGTTGTTTTATATTATGTGGTGATGTGGTCCTGCGAAGAGGACTACTACTGAGCTGAAAGCTGCTACTCCAAGTAAAACGACGCGACGCTGGGTTTTACTACATGTCATCTGCATTAATGCCGGTCCTTATTCTTCCCGTGCACTCGTAGTTCCGCCGTCTTGATATAGTCATCTCTGGAGTAACCATTCCATCCACTATATATAAGGAGTCATCGATTCCGTGTGGTGGACTTTGGGCAAAGAGGTAAGCAATGTAATTTTTCTGCACACTACTGGTGTTTTGAGCGCTAACGTTCACAAGTTAGTATCCGTACGTAGCCTACTGCGCTTGCATGCATGCACCAAGTTCGGGTCCTGGAGGTGAGATCGTACCCCCCGACCGGGACCCATGGTATTTTGCTGTGTGCCTTCTTTTTCTCCCACTGTAAAGTTGCATGGTTCACCAGACGACCGGGAAAGGTGGGGTGTAGTGGCATTGCCCTCTGCCTTGACTCCCCCGTTGTCTCTGGCAAGGGGAAGAGCCATCACGCGACGCTGAAGGGGTGCAACACGCGCATGTAGCTTAGTAGTGGATCTGTAATACCAGGTTCGAGTCCTGGAGGTGAAATCTTATAATTCGTAGGACCTTTTTTTGCGTGCCACACCATGGTTCTCGTGGTTTCTACTTTTTCTCGGTGTGTAGGAATCACAATCTGAGTAGATCTTCCTTCCAAGTAGTTCAGACTTGTGTGTTTATGCATGTTTGTTTATTCCTTTATTCTCAATGACCACATTATTGCTACCACAACGGCGCTGAAAGGGTGTGTCAGTGGTACACCCAAGAAGTTCATGTCTTTTGAAGAGAAAGAGGCGATGAAGAGGCGAAAGGTATGAGTGCATTCCGTCTTTTGTGCTCCCCTCTAATGCATATTTAGAGGTAGGCTGGTTTGGGGAGGCTGACAGAGGCTATGGAGACGCTTCCAGAGGAATACAGAGTCACGGATCCTACCTGCCACCCGCCTGTCTTCCAATACGGCTTTGGTCTCACCTTCCAGCAGCTTCTTGATTATGCACTTCAGCACAACCTTGTTACGGTACCCGAGAACCCAGAGAATGACGATCCCGAGGACATCAGAGGGATTCTCCTTGTGCGACGTAACTCAATATCTTCAACGTCTTTGTCGCTTGCCACTCAGATACGTGAATCCCGTGTCGCTCGACTATGATGTCGTCATTGCGATGTACTCCAACTACACGAAGGAGGATGAGGGGCTCAGGGACGAGGATCACGCTGAAGTCGTGCGTCAGATGAGTGAGGAGCTCGGTTGCCCAAAGGGTCCCATGTGGTATCGGGACTCTCGTTAAGCGCCATTGGTCAGTATATTCGTCATCACGATGGTCTGTTTCTCATCAATGATACAAAGGCATTGGTCCCATTCAACACTTGTTACTATCGTCCATAATGTCTATTATATTCAATTCAGCCCAGCATACTGAAGTCTGTGCAGGAAAAGGGATACTTTGGCTACAACACCAAAGTCTGACGCCATCTGCCCGCTTCTTTCCATTTAACTGCTATACGTTGATATCTGTGCACTGGTTAACGCTGTCTCATACGAGCTCATGACATCGTTTTTTAAGAACACGTCCTCGACTTGTCATTAAATAACTAGTGACGCTATCGTATGCGAATCCATCGGTGCCAGTTTTTACAAGACGACAGAAGTTCGCCCTTGATCAACTAAAAATCGGAGGATCGGAGGACAACTTTTTTTTGCCGCACAAGACCACACGCCCTTTGACGTCATGGCAAGGCAGGGGAAGTGAGTGACACTTTTTCGCTCTCTGGCCGCCTACTAGTATTTAAGTCTGGCTTTAGCTATGTTCTGTACAAATAATGGAGAAGTTCGCGAGTGCTGGACCTCTCTTTCTGCATAAACCAGCGGACAAGTCATCCCGGGGGCAACAGGCTCCATTCATCCTATGTCCGAAAGCTCGATTTACAGAATGCCCTGAATGGAGGGTAACGATCTCATCAATGAGAATGTGCCTCTGATACCACTGATACCAACACCGCCCGGCCCCACAGCTGATGAGAATTTCTGCTGGCAGAAGTAAAGAATCTGAGCACTGTTGACTTCACACGTAAGTACGCGGCCAGGTCTTGTTAGCACGCTCTTCGTAGCGGAGAATGAGAACTGGGTGGCATAATGTCAAAAGCAAGCGTTGATGAGAAGTTCGAGATGAGGATGTTGTGCACTGACCACTGACCAATGGGCGGCATCCTCGGGCACTCCGCGACCTCTGCATGATCTTTATCCCCAATCTTCTCGTCCTCCTAGTCAACCGAAATGGGACACGCGAACTTGGTTATTGTACAGTGGAGATGGCGGACTGTGTTGATCAAAGAGAACATAACGAACGAGGCTTGTTCGGGGGTCGTCGCTCTTGGGATGAGCCTGATGGTAGCGGGCGTAGTTGATACCGGATCTGCACGGGTGTATAATTTGCATCCGGACTTCGAGCTCCAAAACAGTCGAGTCAGCGAGAGAATACAGACATGGTGATTCCGCACAAGCTAGGTAAGGTTCTTCAGCGCGTCGGCCCTCAAGTTTATTGGAGATACTACTCCAGCATCATTTAGTATTCAAGTCAGAACCCCATTAGGGCACTATAGCCAAGTGGTTAAGGCGACAGATTAGAATAAACGCACATAGAAATTCCATCTGTTACTCTCTGAGTGCGCAGATCCAAATCCTGCTGGTGTTGCCTATCGTCCTGTAATCGCAGCCTCTTTGTTGAGTTAATATGTCCTGGGTCTTTTTTTTTTAAACAAAAAACAATCATAATTGTCGACGGTCGCGATTCGCGAATATTGATAGCAGCTCCTGAGGGAAGACTGAGGTTAGAGTTAATACTAAGAGTCAGTTCGGCTGCCAGATAGTTGGGCCCGGATAGTTGCCGTTTTGGGAAATCCAACACGATCCAACTATCCAGCGCTTTTCTGTGCTCGTCCTGTGCGGTTCTAGGCTTGATACTGGGCGCAAGTGTTAGAATATGGATTGCTATTTTTAGAAGAGCGAGCTTGCATGAATATTCTCGCTCGTTCTCCCCATATTCCCCGGGACGCTTACTCATTTTATTAGTGATACATTACTCATTTATTCTAGTACATTCTACGTATTCTGGTAGTATAAAAGCTGTGTAGTTAGTAGGGCATCGCTAGCGTGATTGCCGTGAACATTAGTTCCTCTTTGTGCTTACCTGTGAACCACGAGTTCTTACAGCAAGAGCATGTTAAATGTGTATCATGTAACTATTAAGTTATTTTCTATACCAGATTATGTGTGCTACCGTCTGTAAACTGCGGAACTCAATTGAAGTCTTTCGAAGAAGTCCTGCTCTGTGTCATGATTTTTAGTGTACCGGTGCAAAAAGAAACAGTTATGACATGGCTAAAGATGGAAAAGAAGTCAAAGGAACCTGACTTGTAGGTCAACCAGGGTACATAGATGCAGAACACACAAGCAGGAAGAACATAGTATCACAGTTAGAATTATGTGTGCTGAATTGAGTCCCAGCAGTGTCTCACATGCACTAGTCTGACCACGGTTTGGCGCAGAACCTCGTGAACCCGGTTCGAACCCGAACCGCACCTTCAGGTTCAGGTGTGGTGCAGGTTCAGGTTCGCTGTAGCTACATGGGTGCAGGTTCGAGGTTTGAACAAGGCCAGATGGGTGCACCCGAACCTGAACCCCGAACCACTATACATTTTTAACTGCTCTTATTAGGACTTTTATACATATCTTTGAGATGCCTTTCTGTACTATTTATCATTTAGGTCTATTTCTGGTGCATCTTTTCTACTTTGCACCTCCTTTGGCCACGTTTGTGATGGAATTGAGTCATGGTTAGCGTTGGTGATGTCATACTCATTGATGAGTTCACTCATATCTGGCCTTAAATGACATTTATTGGGTGATATACTATAAGTTGAATAAATATACAGTATAATAGACATTGCTAGAACTATCCCACCCTGCTGTACAGCATCCAGCCTCGACTTTCTGTCTGCTGCTGCATCGGGAGGTGCAAACCCGGTGCACCTTGAACTGCACCTGAACCTGCGGGTTTGGTCACATGATCACACCGAACCAAACCGAACCTGAGGTTCAGGTTCGAGGTTCAGGCAAAAGTGCCCGAACCTGCACCGAACTGAACCCCGGTCAGTCTAACATGCACAGAATGACATATCTAAGGTACATGAGTATTTGAGATATGACAAGAGCTGTATTATTGTGAGAGGGAAAGTCCATAGATACTATTGATGATGTTCAAATGACATGACTGTCAATTGACATGAAGTGGCGGAACTCAGGTCTGACTCTTGTAAACAAAGAATCTGAGCACTTTCGACACATCCACTGGGTTTCAGAAGTGAAATTACCCCCAGAGCCATGCAGGACGAGCACAGAAAAGCACTGGATAGTTGGATCGTGTTAGATTTCCCAAAATGGCAACTATCCAGGCCCAACTATCTGGCAGCCGAACAGACTCTAAAATTTGACGTCAGGTAGTCATCCAGTAGTGGCAGTTGCTGGGTCCCCGATTTTTTCCCTTGGGTGAAGAAACAGCATGTACATGTATATCCGCTTGTTCAAGCTGCTCAATAGAGTGGTAATGCAAAAAGCTTGCTCAGTGGCTGCACCACCAGCTCACATTTTGCACAGTCTAAATCTAATCACCTGAGTGCGCTCCATTCAACAACCTATACTAAGATTACAAAGAACGATAAAATTTCTGGCCTTAAAATTGAACTCATTGATGAATTGTCATTTCACACTAGAGGCCCCGAGGAAGGTGAATGTAACTCAGTCTGCCATCTAGTATGCAAGAGATCACAAGTTGGTGGGCATCTAGTCTGGCCAGGGTCCAGTTTGGTCCAGGTTCAGGCACATTTGCCTGAACCTTGAACCCAAACCTCGAGGTTCACTCTCCACTCCCTCGAACCTCAAACCTGGACCTGAGGTTCAGGTCCAAGAGGTCCAGTTCAGGTCCGGTTCGGGTTTGGACCGGGTTCAGCAAAATTTTTGCTGTATACAATGAGTATAGAAGGGATGATAGTAGATACAAGTAGAACTTGTCAACTAGCTAAATATCCAAGTCCTCATCATCAAATCAAGGCCCAATATCCATCTAAGCTTCATTCTGGGGAGTCATGCAACCATCGTGATAAGCCTTCTTCAAGTGTTGCATGGTACCAAACTTCTGTAACGAGCATGCTGACGGCAACCCGACTTCCACTCAACCCAACAAATCACAGCCCAGAAACCTATGGACTCCGATTCCCAGTTTCTATTTCATATTCTATTTCATATTTCACTTCTCCATTACAATTTATCAATAGCCCGACATCAGTAGCGAACATGTCATCGGACCCCATTGGCTACCGACTGGTAGAATACATCCTCTGACAACCCTAGAATGTAGACCACTCCAAGTAGGAACTAGATTGGACTCCTAACTAGTATATAAGCCTTAGAATTACACTGTAGATACTCAGTTCAAATATCAACTTGGTTCAGCCCAATCTCTCTCTCTGACTCTAAGTCACACTCTCATTCTCCAGTCCACGGAACTCCGATCTGTTGGACTTATCTCTTACCTCATCTCTGCCACTCTGTGGACTTCTGTCCATATTCATCTTAGGGCTTCGGCTCAGGGGTGACATTGCTAATAGCTTCGCCTATGCCCAACGCATCCCATGGCATTCCGCTACATGCACTTACTGCCACAATCCTATTGGCATGATCCTAACAGTATATTCGAACTCAAACCCTTGAGTCGAAATTTTCTTCCTAACCATGTCTTCTACTTTCACTGTTCCTCCAGAAACCAGCCACAACTCCACGGTCAACAACTGAACCTACACCATGGACGATATCTCTGCCTCTGCTTCAAAAGAGGGTCCCCTTCTCTTTGGATTGGATTCTGCCCCTCGCCAACAATCCTGTAGGAAAACCTACCTTCACAGTGGCTTCACTGCTCGCCAATCTGATGCCAACTGATCGCCTAACCCCTTCCTAGCCCAGCGATCAGAATCCAATGGCTGGGGCGAGTATCAAAGTGACCCCCCATGGAATTCAACTACCTCTCTGTTTGATGACATCCAAGGTTGCGATGATGACGATGACCAAGGTTCAGAAGACGGGGAATTCCCCCCTCATACGCCAATGAATGGTCATGGAAACCCAGTGAGAAATCCTGGCGGTGGCCCACCCAATCCTGGTGGCCTCGGAGGTCCTGGTGGTCCTGGTGGTCCTGGAGGAGGACCTAACAACAATCCTGGTAACAATCCTAATCCTCCCAATAATGACACCCAGATCCTCATTCAACTCATGAATGTTCTCTGTGGCATCTCCGATGCTGTCAATGGCAATCGACAACATGCTGTACACACCAAGGTCAAGGAACCAGATACCTTTGACGGTTTGGACTCCCAAAAACTCAAAGCCTTCATTGTCTCCCTCCAGTTAAACTTCAACGACCATCCTGATGCATTCTGATCAGACATGGCCAAAGTCAACTATGCCATCTCCTTCCTTTCCGGTGTCGCACTTGACTGGTTCAAACCGGATATCCTCTACCCTAATCACCACAACCCTCCTGCCTGGGCATACTCCTATGCTGCCTTCCTTTCAGAACTTCGAACCAACTTCAGCCCCTTTGATGCCATTGGAGATGCCGAAGATGAACTGGAAAACCTTCGGATGCGCGACGAAGACCGCATCATGAAGTATATTGTCAAATTCAATCAGTATGCTGCCATTATTGGCTATGGTGACGACTCCCTTTGTCACGCCTTTTATCATGGCCTTTGCTCCTGCATCAAGGATGATATGGCCCACCACGGTGATGAGCCTTAACTTCCATGGCAATGGCAAAAACCAAAACTCTAGAGAAGTTTATGGCAAATGGCGTGTAGCGGCAATAAAGGCTTTGTTGTTGTGCAAGTGTTTCGGTGCACCTCCATGCGATGAATTCCTCAAGAATGCAAGTATACACTGCGACTTTTCAGTCAGCGAAGTAGTACCCTTAATGATCAAGTACTAGAAAATGTTGGCTGTAAGCTGGGAAGGGTCTCGATAGATGAGAAGGAACAGAATCCAGTATAACTGGGAATACCGGCAAACCATGAATGAAGTGATGGCAATTAACTAGTAAAAGCTGTGGGCGATGTTGACGGAATTAGAGAAAATGCCATCAAAGAGAAATACTGTTGAAGAGGCTGGCTGTGGGCACCTGTGGAATAGTGAGCAGGCTAAAAGGCAAACCTCAAAAACCCACACACACACTCACACAACTACACAAACTACAATCACCCTCGTAAGTTCTAGGGGGAGCGATTATTTCTAATGCGATCTGACAATACTTCAATATCTCGAAGAGTTTCCCTTATCCTCAGTGCTCTTAGTGAAGCTAAGCTTTCTCTAATGAATTCCTAAGTCTAGGAACTTTTTACAGGAAGGTCGTTCACTGGTGCGATGCAACCTTCAAGGCAGATTTGAGTTATAATACACAAGGGACACTGATCCCAACAGAAACAGAGGCAATACATGCCGAAACTTTAGTGAGCTCGCTAAAAGAACACCACAGGCAAGCACTGACTTAGCCCGCTCGCTACACCACTGTATGTAGGGGTTCTCCAACTAACTCCAGCAGGTTATCTCGACTCAAGAACACTTCAGAAGTGCTCAGAAACAGATTCA